TTAGCGAGCGCGTTGCCTGTAACATGGAGCATAGCAGCACCGCTGCATAATATGGAGGCTTCTGTGACGAGGCTCGACGCCCATATGAAACTTTTGAAGTCGACGATGCGAACTGCAAGCTAGCAATTGAGGGCGTAGCCCCTGTAATCCCTACCGACGTTCCTGAACACGACAAACAGATCTGGCGGGCGCTACTGCGAATGGCATCTGTATGCCAAGAAACTGCCCGCGCTCTGTATGGCTCTTCCGTATTTCATGCCTGTACTTCGTATGATACCCCGTAGAAAATTACTGCCACATTGGCTTTGGAGTGGCCCGGGCCCCACTGATTATAGTGAATATTGGCCCCCAGTCTGCTTGAGTAGTTAAGCGATGGATACTGTAGGAGCTGTGGGACATATGCAATAAGGATGCTTACCAGTGGGAGGCATTTGCGCGTTGTTAGGCGCACGAGTAATGCCATGTACTTGTACGAGTAGGATGCTCGCCTAGGCGAGGCCCTGGTTCCAGATTTCCTTGTGGCATTAAGGCCACCCATCACTTGCAACCTGGTCCCAGCCCGCATGCCGTCGGATCACGGTGGATCAATATTCATCGACGTTTCTTCGCCCAACGGGAAGAGCCTGGTCAACTTGCAGGTGTCTCACCAGCAAGCTCACCATTGAGCCGGAAATACCTTGGAGGAAGGGTTTATTTACGTAGCCCCCACCCACGAGAGTACGGAGCAACGGCGCGGTAGCACCACTGTGCAACGTACTCGTACATGCTGAGATGCCGAGTGCTTGACAAAAGAGGTGCCTGGTGGTCTCCATTGTGTATCTGTACTGTATGGCGACATCTTTTTTGTGGTTGACGCGGGACAGACATGCTACGTAACACTAGCACGGCACATACTGGACTTGATTTGAACCTGAACCTGGGACCTGGACCTGGACCTGGAGGTGCCTGAACAAAGCAAGTCAGTTAGAACAAGCCCTGGCTTGATTTGGAGATCTCTAACCTGTCATTTTGGACCGGGGAGGGGGTGGAGGGAGACGCTTCTTTGGTACAATCTCCGCCAGCACCAGCAGGGAGAGCCATTTGTATCTGCCGTTGGAGGTTGCCCGAACGAGAAAGCACGACAACACTCAATTAGCTGCCAGAGATGAGGCCGTTAGCTGTGTGCCATTGAGCTGTTCTCGATCGCCGCCTCACCCTTGGCAGGCTTGTAGTGTTCAAGACGTTGAGATGGAGGGGCTGAAGCTTCTGGCAGCCACAACGACAAGGGTGTGGCAAATGGCACACTGTGCTCGCGGCTTCGGCAGTACAGCCTGGACAGGCCAAAAGGGGCGAGACGCCGAGTACACTTGAGGGGCATTGTACAGTGTCGACGCCACCGTGCACGGAAACTGTAAACACTGGCTCCGTACAGTGACCAATCGCAGGCCGCTAACTTTAATTTCCAGCCGCCCTGGCTCGGAAAATTGATCTCCTGCCAGCTGCCGTCGTCGGCTTTTGGCCTCGGCCAGGCCATCAACAGGCCTCCCTCGCTCGCCGCCTCAGACTTGGGCGAATGCGGCCAAATGACGAGCACGTCGTCAGCCCATTGCTCCAAGTAAGTTATGACAAGTCCCCACCTGTCTAGACCTCCTTCTGTCACCCACGCCGAGCGATCTGGCCCCTAGAGAGATCGCCAGGCCCCCCAGCTTCGCTCAATGAGAGGCCAGGAGCATCGCTGGAGCCGTCGCGCCAAAAAGATCCATTTAGCGCTGTCAACGCAGCGTGCGAGGGGGAGAGACGGGGGCATGGGCCTCTGAGCAAGTGGCAGCGGACGTGGCAAAAGCACCTCGCATGGCGCTCTCAAATTGCCTCGTACGAGCTGGTCCAGGGCAGACTGGTATGACACGGGGACGACACTTACACCTTTGGGGTTATTGCACCTACGGAGGACAACTAGTACGAGGCACAAGGTGCTTACAGGGCGTGTCTAATACACACGCACTCGTACGCGCGCGGGCAGGCTGATGGCCAAAGCCAGGCGCGGCCGCACAAGATTGATTTTGACAGCTGGTGGACCCATGATTCCAATCATTTGCGAGGCAAGCATCGTACAAGAACGTGCATTTGCGTTGCGACACCACGGCCACGGTCCTCGTGTCTGAAGCCCCAGCGGCGGGGTACAAGTGTACCACTAGCAGTATTCCCAACTGCACGGGGCTGGCTGAATACGATAGACGCCAAGGTGGTCGAAATGCTGTTGAGAACGGGAGGTGACGAGGGAGCGAATGAAGAGCTGTGCCTGCTCTAGCCTTGCAAACCAGCTGTCGACCTGCCACCACTGCTAGTACGCATTTGCCAGACGTTCGAGACGGAGGAGGCGAAAGTTTGTAGAGGATCCCGGGGATGTGGCATGGAGATGGCACATGATATCGGCAACTGGCAGTTTTGCAAGCACGCCGCAGCAATTTGCGGGCAACATGTCGCCTAAGGGATGCTACTCACCAACTCACCTTGTCTTGTGGCGTCAACGGCGCACCATATTTCCGGGTATAGCTGCGTGATGCGGAGCTGGGAGAGAGAGACATGACTCTCTAGCAAAATTGCTGAGCACTAACCCACCAGCTATGGAGGAGGCCTCGGCGCGGAAAATACTGGATCGACGCAAGGGGATATTCTGATACAAGGACGCGCGGATTGAGTCCATGGCTCTCAAGCTGGGGTCATCTACAACAGCTGTTCTCGCATCATGACAATCTGCGCCGGCGCAGAATACAGGATGCTATTTTGTACTGCTCCGTTTCATTCTCGGTACTTCGCGCTTCGCATGGCATGAGGCCTGTGCCATGTTAGCCCTCTCCACTATCTATATAACTCGGCTGCCAGTGCCCACATCGCAGCCGCTATAGATTCGGCGGCTCCCCTTGGGGCAGCCCTTGACGCTGGACGATCGGGTATTAATATGGGGACTTTTTGCATTTGCCTGGGATATCCTTACGCGGCCCCCAAAACAGCTACCAGTACGAGGGACGGAGTACATAGTACACCGCTCACACTTCGGGCTATCGCTTCCAGCTTAACTTGATTCCAGAGGGAGGGAATCATGCCCTCGAGGACTACAGATGATTGGGAAAGTGCTACGAGTATACTCTGATCTAACAGGCTGTCACACACGCCGTGTCTTTGTGAACTGCGTAGAGCTCATACTAGGTAAGTACCCTGAGCTTGAAGCAGCATTAGTACTGCCTTGTTCTCTCTCCTGGCGCCTCAATATTACACTAGCACAAGTACACGGATGTATAGAAGACCAAGGAGAGGCGAACGGATACACGCTTGTGTTGCGAATAAATTACTTACTATGTACGCCTATACTTGTAGCCGCTCTGAGAAGCGCAGATGGCAGGGAGCAAGTCGTGGATAGGTCAGTGCCGTCTGCTGCACGTCGACGGAGCATTGATCTGACCATACTAGCAATGCATTCTAATGGCGGCAGAGATCTACCTCCATGTACAATCGGATCCGAACCACAGCCAGCGGATAGCATCTTTTCTCGCTCACACTGACCACCTTGCTTGTACGTGTACACACTACTCGTACTTGCAGTTGCTCGGTTGTGGTCCTGCCTGCAAGAGCTTATATATCATGTTCCATACTGCAGCTCGGACCCTTGGAGACGATGTGGACGGCCCTTGTGTATTGGCTGGTATTTCCACACATGCGGTTGCTCCATCGTGTACAACAGGCTACCACGACTGCCAGACCATTTCGTGCTTCTCCCAAGCAAAATTTTTCTTTTGCTATACGATACGAAAGCCTGCCGCCAACCCGTCATACTGAACCGAAAGGGTTGCAGTCTGTGTCGCTCGGTGACTGGCTACAGTATGTCAGAAATACCACTTGAGTTAACAACACCCCCCCTGGGATGCCTTCTACACCTACACCCACCCCCATCCAAACCCACTCACCCACTAGGCGCTTGCCTGCGTTTCTGTGACCATTCTATCTGGCTTCCCTAAATCGAAGGTTCATCAGAACAGGCTTTGGGTCCGTGGAGCCGGTGGCCCACCAGGACCTGTCGAGGCTTGACGAGTACTTTGGCTCCCCTGTCCTTGTCTGTGGCGACCGTGCTGTCCCTGGACTGGACTTGCTTGCAACTCATGCAGACTGACTGACTTGACTTGGACTGCCTGACTGGAGGTACATGTTGGAATGTATAAAGTCACAGGGGATAGTGGGCTGTCAGACCAGCGCCACTTGGCCTGAGTCGCGACGTCCCTTTTTCATTTTGATCCAGCGCCGCTAAGAACCCATGTTACTGCTCCTATCGAAAAGGCTGGGTCTACTCGTACATTGTATATTGCTCTCATCCTCCCATGCCACCACTCTATGATGCGACGAGCTCTTTTTAAGTTCCGCGAGCCCACTTTGCTACGTACTGCGTATCTCGACTCTGCTACTGTTGGCCTTTGCTACTCTACTTATTACATGCATATATGACCGACACTCTACAAATTCTTTGATATCAACCTATCTACCTCCCCTCAACCCCGTATTCACAACGCCTTCTGCCTCTTTGTTGATATCTATACTTTTTTGGAATACGCCTCTCAACAATTCCCCGTTTTGGCAATCGAGCTAGCTCGGTGCATCTACCCGTCCACCTTTCACGATACTGGCTTCCGGCGCCGTGGGCTTGCGTCTGATAGACCAACCAGCAACTTTCTTCAAGGATTAGGTTTGCATTATTGTTTTGAAGTTTCCGAAAAACCTCGATCGAACGTCATTACCTGCGTATTCGTTTTGTCTCCACAGTCAAGTCGAACATAGGGCATATATACATGTAAGTTTCTGGCCTTATAAAAGGAGGGGTTCAGCCCGCTCGCTGACACAGCGACTCTACCAGCTATTGCCCTTCGACTTGAAACCTTTTGATTCTCTGCCAGTGGGCTGCCTTTATGGACCCTCGCTCTTCCAGAATAGAGTCCCCGAGTTCTAAGCCAAGGTCCTATCCGGCGCCGTTAGACATGACTGTCCTCGCCCCCCAACCTTGGACGCTTTCCCGTGGTCGTGAACGGTTCCGCGATTGGGAAATGTTCGAACCCCGAGGTGAAGGGCAGCCGATTTCGCTGCCTTCTCTCAAACAGGTAGAGTTTTCTTTTCTTTTTCTAAGAATGTAGGCATGTTTACTAATTTCTTGTGCTAGATTTTCCCCGAACTCGAGTTGAGTTTCAACGGTGGTGACGATAGGTCGCGAACCCATGACAGCAGCATTCGGTTCATGTCGCCCGACTTTCTCCTTTCACCTCGCAAGCGGGGAAGGTATGAAGATGATGCAGAGGAGGAGGAGGCTCAGAGAAGAGTGCCGCGGGTGCATCGAGGCCCTAGGCATCGAGTCCACGGCTCTCCTCGCCAAAGCCCTAGTGCTCTAAGGAGAGTAGAGAGATGGCACAGCGTCAATGGAACGACAGTCTCACCCGGTTCATCGTATTCCCTTCCCGCGCCAATGGAGGTACAAGACATGTCAAGGCCTCGTGTCCCTCTGCCGAGCTTAAGAACAACCATGAATTTCGACAACGAGTCCCAGCATAGCCAGGAGAGCACCCACAGCAACTACCGAGACTACGGGAGAGCGTACAGCCAAGATTATACCCACTACAACACTCACAGCCACTATCAGTCACAACCCTCAAGCCCTGGTCGACCTTATGACCGAACACCATTCTCAGCTGGCGTATATCACAACCCCCATTACATGGAGACGAACCACGCGAGCCCCTATGGAGAGTTGGGAGCTATGGCTGGCGAGAGCAAACAGCGAAAGAGGCGCGGCAATCTGCCCAAGGAGACAACAGACAAACTACGGACTTGGTTCGTTCAACACCTGCAACACCCATACCCTACAGAGGACGAGAAGCAGGAGCTAGTGCGCCAGACTGGCCTACAGATGAGTAAGTATCTGACAATCCCAACCGCCGATTCGAGTCGGAGGCTAACGCCCCTTTGCAGATCAGATTTCCAATTGGTTCATCAACGCAAGAAGGCGCCAACTACCTCACCTGCTCAAACACGAGAGAGGAGAGGCTGATGCCGCAGGCCGGGCCATTCCCAGCCGTGAAGGCAAATCTGATCCCTCGTCCATCGTCTCGTCGCCCCTTAGTGAGGCCGAGGCCCATTCAAGCGACGAAATTCTTCAGCGCCATCGGCGCGGAAGCTTAAAGCGGGGCAGTGTATGAAACGGGGGTCTAAGGGCCGAAAGGGAACAAAGCGAAAAAAGCGAAAAAAGACTAATAAAAAAAGATACATCGAATGGGAATAAACAGGCATAACGGGGCGGGTTTGGGTTTGGGATTCATTCAAAAGGGACTATACGAATAATAGTAGTAATTGTTAAATGACATCATGACGTTCATCACGAATGCGTTCCTCCGCTCAGAAGCTGTACATCTGTCCACTTGTGACTCCTATGATAGTGAGGCGCTGAAGAATACTTGGTAATATGTGGGCTTTTACGACGATCTGTTGAGATCCGGGGAAAAAGGGCCAAAGGGCACAGGAGGGCGCACGTATTGTGGCGATGATTCCCACGCTATGGACACAGGAGTGGTCCTAGAGAAGCCTAGATTGGGCGGCATGAAGCGCCATCCCAGGTCCATACACGTATCAAGATGCGCCGAGATGTCTGCGATAGGAACCGGAGAATCCTCGGGGGCGCTCCATTTTGTTCGTATGGACGTTTAAGGTTTTCCTTGGGATGTGAAATAGTTTTTGACACCCCGGGAGGGGGAAAGGCGGGAGACATCAAGTGGGTGTTGGTGGATAGGTACATGTCGCCGGGAGGCGAAAAAGCAAGACAGAAGAGAGAAGAAAAAAAAAAAAACAGCGCTCTAATCTCTCCCGCCCCGCGCCTCGGGAGGGAGGGAGTCACTACCCATGGCAAACTCTGACTGCGCCTACGGGATAAGGTTAGCCAATGGCAGTTGACGAGTGAGGAACCAAGTACTGCCGGTACGGCTCGGTCGCTTGGCGTGTGAAAAGGCATTTTTTTCTCGTCATTTAACCTCTGTCAGAAGTCAAACGGTAGAGAGGCGAGTTGTGGCTTAAGCCTGAGGTCATCGTGCCGCCAGGCGCACCAATGGGGGAAAATTGCCTCGCACTGCCACATGGAGAAGTTGGGACACAACAAGGCCGTCAACAAGATGGGATCGAAATGGAGAAAAAAGCGTCGATGTGGCGGTCTAGGCATGATGCGATGCGTTGCGGCAAACCAAGTAGGCAATTGTTGGAGAATAGCTGGCCGGGTGGTTTCTGGATTGGCGGCATGTTAGTGTCCCAAGAGGGAAAAAGAATCAACCCTGGGCGGCCACACCCCTTCGGCTTGGCACGGTCTTTCGATGTGCTAGGATTTTTTGGAACCCAGCTGAGCAGATCCTGGCGCATCTGTATAAGTGACATGTTGGAAGCTGCTTGCTGACCTCGTAGTTCGTATAGCGATCCGGCTAAGACAGTGTGCGAGAGCCGGGCAATGCAAATAAGCCATTAGCCGAGGATATCAAAACAGACCTGCTAGTCCAACCGATGGAGCTTCTGTTGCAGTAGTCAAAATTAATCCAAAGGTTAATAAAATAGGAGGGGGATACGGAGGGCAGTCCGTTGCTTTGGGAGCGCGAGATTGGTGAGTTCCTAGTATAATGATAGTGTAAGAGATACTTTTTGTATGCGGCCGCGGCATACTTCGACTGGGGTGAGAGGGGGAGGGGAGTGACAGAAACCACTCCAAGACGCAAAGTGATGCTCAGATTTGCAGACTATGCTAGGCAGGACTCGTTTCCGTAATCCATGCCATGGCACGCAACGGGCTACTGTGCTTGGCGAGAGGGTCTCTCGTACGAGAGAGTCAATATAAGACTTTATGCTCCTGGCTCTTGGCTGTGAACAGCCGACAGGACAGGATATGCACAGTACTGAAACATCAAGGAAGCAGCATCGCGTTTTGGACCAAGAGCACGGGAGACGGTGACGGATGTGGAAGGTTCCCCCCAATAGGCCAGGGGTCATGCCTTGATTGACTGGCCACAGGGCTGCCTTTTCTCCCAGTGAAGCCACGGAACTTACCAGAGCTCAGGTGGAGTCGGCGAAGCTATGTCAATGCAGAGCCTTGTGCATTGCCCTAGGCCCTGGACTGGCGATCCGAGATTCATGGGTGTCGATTTGGGCTATGCGATGATGGATGATGCCAGCTGAAACAGTCTTTTTTCCATCTCACTTTTAAAGCTCGCGTATATCAAAATTGGAATGTGATAGAGTTTAGGGCGCACATGAATATGCAAAGAAAGTCAGACAGGCGAGACAGCATTGGAGGCATTCGCAAGAACCATGCTGATGACGATTCTTGGTATGCCATAGCGCATGCACTCTTGGCGATGGTCAATCTAACATGAGCGAAGCGAGCATTCGCCTCGCGCAAGTAGACTAAGATGGCGGCACGAATAGGAGGTGAAGGATATTAACGGCACGATGAATCCTTGCGCTTTTTTTTTAGTCGTATTCCGTGAGCACCCCCCGTATGTAACTTGCTGGAACGGCACGTCTGGGAGCAGCTGAATAAAGGTTGATGAGATGGCTTTGGGAAGCGTGTGATTGATGTGATGGTGCAGGGGTCTGCAATCCTTGTCCCACCACTGCACAGGGTTTTGCACCCCTGCCATGCAGCACCAGGGAGTTGGTAAAAGTGTCAAAACAAGACTGACGGAAATATGTACGAGCACAGGTAGCATGTACTAGCATCCTCCCGAAGAGCCGCCAGCGTCGTCTCGTCTCGTCTCGTCTGTTTTGTCCGATGTTTTTGCAACCTTGGTCGTATACTGGCCGTTGTGGCTTGCGGTACTACTCGGCAAAGATGACAAATACCTTGTCTCGTGCCTGTCCTGTGTGGCTGACATCAACTGACTTGACAGGCGGGCACAGACGGCGACGGGACAGGACAGGAACCAAGGCTGACCCTCTCTTTTCCTTCTCCTCTCTCCTTGACGTTGCTCGATGACCTGATGCGGCGGTGGCTGCTGGATGCGCCTGTGTGTGCGCGCGGGCAGTTTCTCCCGGTTCCCCGAGCCGGCCAACCAGGCGGCTATCTTTAGCGTGCTGGGATGGTTTTGACATCTGCGGGTGTGGGACGAGGGCCGGGAAGTGGGAAGTGGGATTTGGGGACGTCGATCCAATTGTTCTGGTCCTTGTGCGGCTGATGGTGGAGGCTCGTTGGTGGATTGGTGGACAAGCAGAGTCGCCCCGTTGTGGTTGCGGCTTATGCATGTATGCACGTTGTACATACGAGCGTTATGCATGTAAGTGTGCTAGAGCAGGGCTAGCGAAGCCTGATTCGATACGGACGGTCTTGCAGAGGTCAATCGGCATAAGCGAATGCACCAGAGACAGCGGATGCAACATCGGTGAGAGAAGAATCCACGTGTTGGAGGCCGATTGCCAGGCCAGCAGCGGCAGGGGGGGTGATAGGCAGACGCCATGCTTTCGGCGAACAAAGGACAGCGCCAGCGTCGATGCCTGCTTAGCTGCATCTGAGGGTTGTGATATTGGATAGTATGGGATGCTGGAGATTGGTCTAAAAACATCAATGCGCACGGGTGGGAAAACAAGACCTGGACCTGGACAGACTCCATAGGTATTGCCATTACTAGTCGTGGCACATACTCCGTTCTTGCCCTTGACTAAGCGAGACCGGGAACTGTCCATGCTGTACTGTATTACTCTACTGTACGGATACTGTACCTATAATCGCTGTAAGTCTGTACTCGTCCACCGCGCGCGCAAGGGCCACAACGCACTGAAAAAAGCTCTGTGCTCCGCTCGGTGCTCATTTCGCCGAACCAGCACGGCGCTCTGGTAAATGCGGTCCGAGCTGCTGACTACGTCTCGTCGTAAAAGCATGATTTTCGAGGCTGCACTCGGCCTAGCCCGGCAATCCCTCGCCACTCCTTTTGCACAAACCTGTTTGGGAAATGAGGCTTGCTTTCTTCAGCCTCTCGCTCTCGCGAATTGACTTTGTACCCTTCCCTTCCCTGCTCTGGGGCCGTGCCGTGGCTGGCCTTCTCGCAAACTCTTGCCGCCCCTCGAAGCTAGATGGAGACCGCCCGTGGCCGGATCTTGCATCCACACGATGCCTCCAGTATGATAGTGTGTATGATAGTGTGTATGATAGTGTGCGGTACGAGTACTGGTATGTATCGTACTATGTACGCGATGAGATGATATCGACTCACGACAGAAACTGCCGGCTTCCGCTGACATGTGGCCACCAAGACTACTTGCCGGCAGCACGGAGCAGTGTCTGGATATCGCAGGTCCTCAGGCAGGCCCCTCGCTGACCTCCCCCCCGGCTCATCCTCAATTCATGCTGCTACTGCCTGCTGCTACTACTGCCTGGTACTGCTTGCTACTGCTTGCTACTGCTTGCTACTCCTGCAACTCCTGCTGGTGGGATGCTGTCAAAATCACTCCCGAGGTGGGGCCTGGAGCGCTTGCAACGACCAAATGCACCTCCTGTGATTCCCCGCCAGCTACTGCACAGGTTACTGCAAATGGAATCCTTGAAAAGATTCCGAAACCGGGGCGTCAATTGTTCAAATGGTCTAACGTGGGGGGTTCATGGGTCCTTGCTCCTCCATGAAGCCATATGGTGGACTCGGACGGAGTGCCTTTGACAATCTAGGCCTCTGGTCTTTCTCCAGAAGCTCAGTTATTAAGGTGGGGTTGATGAGGATCAAGTAATCCCTTTGATAAGCAGTCCAAGACTCTCCCCCGTTGATTACTCGATGACAGCCATGACAGGCACGGAATATCCGGTGGGAACACGTTCCACGCAATATTCGTTTACGGGCGCACATGGCTGGCTTGCCATGACATGACTAGGTGGGCTTAAAGGAGATCCTTTCGCCTCTTCCTCGGACGGCTTGTACTGCAGGTGCGTACGCGTACGACTGACATGACACGCGCTTCCACCCTTCATTTAGACTATTGCTCCCAGATATGGCGGAATGTGGGTTCTAATACACAATGGATACCGCAGCCTCGGCCAACACCCTCATATTAGGCGTGGGCCGCATCCGCCACGCCTCTTTAGCTCGCTTGATGGATGGATTCATTGTTGTCGAGATGAACTCGTTTGCTACGAGTACAAGTATATCAATCAGCCTTGTCAGGCAGCCCCTTTTCGCCCCTCAGCAAAGGTGCCCCCCCGAAAGCCCCTCATATCATCGCGACTCTCTAGCGTCAGTGCAAGCGCTCCGTGCTACGGGAATACGGGTCCTACAACCACGTCGAGGAACAAATGAATTATGGGGTATCTACAGTTAGGCCAGACTCTAGTTTCTTTCAAGGCTTGCACTATCTGCCATGAGTTGCGGAGTAGGCTTTGATCTAATCAATGATGGATTAGTTTGCTTGGGTGACGGATTATCCGACCTCTAGTTGATCTCGAGATTTTTTTTTAAAGTTGGATCTAGCAATCTGACGGCGCGGAGTTCTCTGGAGGGGGTGTGCGCCGAGATATACGAGCGGTGCGACGGCGGGAAGTTTTTTGACACTCGAAAGTCTTCCCGAAACAAACCATGATCAGCAAACCCACACTGGGGAAAAAGACATCCCCGGTGGCGACCTGTGGTGGCGAAGGTGTCATTCCATCAGCATGGAAGCTAGGGAAGCAACTTGAACTTGCTTCTAGTAAGTCGCCTAGTTTGACAGGTAAGCAGTAGAAAATTTTAGGAGGGTATAACGCTCCTGAACGTGGAGAAACAATGGAGTTGTAGGGGTGAGTTAAACGTCAAACGTTAAACGTTCTTTAGGAGGCTGGCTTAAGGTTGGCTGATATTAGGCAATTCTGAGACAGGATTCTGGAAAAACGTTCTGTAAGCCCTAATATCATCGTGTTACAGTAGAAACATCTCGAATGACAGTAATATAGAACGGTGTAATATTCGTGCCGTGATTACTCTGCCAGAGGGCAAATTTTACGTAGTTGGCTTACAACAAAAAGACAAAGAGCTCGCCTTACAAGTAAACACTGACTTGAAGCGCCTTGGCTATGAGTTGTCGGATTGAGAAATTCTACTTATGAGATGATTAAAAGATGAGCAACGATTATGAATGCGTGTTTTCATCTACCGTATAAAATATATGAAGTGGTCCATTCAGTCTCGGTGGAGTCACCTCATGATTTTGTCTTCACAGTATTTTCCTATTAATTTGTCTCACCACGGAGATTGTACCTGGGTGGTTGACTTGTTCAGATACGTCGTTTCGTAAAGACTAACTCTGAATATTGTATCATGAATAGAAGCCGTTGGTCCAAATTATGTTGTGTCATTATGATGAACATTTAGAGTCATTCTACAATCCGACCCCAGTACGGCTTCTTTATCTTGTTCATTGCGCCGCTTCTATTGAGATGCTTATCATACACGTCTCCAAGTTTGTAGATGACTTTCCAGAGAGCCGTCACAAAAATCGAAAAAGAGGGGGGGATATTCAATATGAAAAGACTTATATACTTGAGCTGATTGGGCAAATGAGTCTTTTTCAAAACGAGACACAAGCTGGGGAAGTTGTGGAAAGACGGAAATGGTTTCCCGTAGATCGAATGAAATATCGTCTGAGGTCTATTGAATCTGAATGACTTTGAATTTCAAGGTAGGCGGAATGTAATCGAGTATTTGATATGAACGGGCTATCAGCCATCTATTCGTTCATTTCAAGGTTGATGCATGTTGGTTCCAACTTGCGGCCCTTACCATTGACATATTTATGAGTGCATCAACGATTCCTGAGACACTTTTCAAACTAAGATGCATCATTTTACTGAGAAAAGTAGTACGAATCATACCCTGCTCATGATTATTCTGATCACGTGGAGTGTCTCGGTCATGTGTCGCGGAGCATGATTGCTGAATAAGAACAGAGACTTGGATGATGAAGAAGTAATGAAATGATGCTGCTAGATAGGAGCGTACTTCCAGAATGTGCAAAAGTGAGTGTCTCTGATTCTGCAATTAATCTCAAAGTACGTGTCATGCAATCTATATTGACATGCATCATGGCAAAATGCGTTGCTTTCACAAGGATGCGAAAACAGCTTTGAGAGTTGCATCTAAATATCAAAACAGTACACTCTAAAGCCAAATTTAAAAAAAATCCAAATAGCAGTAGCTCAGCAGCCAACTGTGTTTCCTACGTCCCCGCTATCTAACTATGGGATAGTAATGGAGACATCTGATTCTGGTGAGTGGCTTACTAGATCAAGTATTGAGCGAATTGAGCAGTAGTTGATATCCTGTAGCCATTCGTTCACTTTGTAGTATGTATGGTTGCATCTTTCACGTTTGTTGTATGTGTGTTGTGGAGGCTTGGATGATAAGCCATGACTGTGAAAGGTGAATTGTGCGATATGAGATGATGAACGCTAGTTGGACGTATCTTGCCGCGAGATTTCACTTCACTGTCTTAATTAATGAATGCATGTCAATTTTCAAATCGCGAGTATAAATTTCGTCATTCAGTACTGGAAATTGCCAACGAGGCTGTGTTTATGCATCAGCGAGAATCTCATTCTAGAGGTAAGAAGGTATCCGCACTCTCTTTGATCAGCAAATTGAGTGTTGGGAGGTTAGCAAGCCTCATCAATGCTCGAACCATCTTTATGTGTAATGCAGTTGAATATATATGCATGTGCTGCGCGATATGCGTGCATCGTTTCGTGATTCTGAATACATCTCATCGCTACGGGTTGACTTGTCCTAGCTTTCATTTTATAAAAGGGCAAGAGAATGAGCCATTATGCACGGTAACAATATAAGTATGCTCCTTCAACAAACATGTATTACCCGAGCTGTGTTAGGATAAGATCTTGAATGTAAACACACACCGCATTTAATGTTCATCTCATCTAGTCCCACAATCCTGTGTCTAGATGGGTGGCGCCACTAGTAATGGCGCGCGATAATACAAACCAAATGCGTTGAAATAGGCCATGGCAAAACATACAGGTAGGGCAGCTATATAAGATTTCTGGGCATCTTATTCTTGTTGCGCGGTTGAGTTGTGGAGGAAATTTGTAGTAAGAGAATTGGATGGGTATGCGCGCAATGAGTTTCAGACTCAATTTGTCGTTATTGACGAGAACGCAACAGTACCCGGTGCTTATTTGGTAGCTATGGCACTCGATATCTTTAATTATCTGACTGTCATCTCTTTGTTGGATTGTTTGTGGTGATTGCAAGGTAGATTCTACCCGCTATGGATGGTTGAGTTTATTAATGTTCCAACCTCATTGTAGATACCTCGTAGTTAACCGATGAGCATCTATCCTGTGAGCTGGGTATTGCCAATCAAATTTAGTACAGCATTTGATTCTAATTTTCAGTCCAAGGGTTGGGTATAGCTGTTCGCCGAACCAGTTGTCACGGTTCAATGATGCAGACATGCTGTTTACAAATATAACCTCCAATTCCGCATGAGCAGCTCCATGGAAACAATACCTCGGTAAGAGATAATCATATTTTGTCTTCACACAAGTCTAATGCTTGGGGTATTTAATTCTTCAGTTAATTTCAGGCAACAACATGACGTGTTGTGAACGGTCTTGAGGCAATAAGAGTAATCAGGCGTCTGCCCCTTGCGCTGGTCAAAGCAAATTGGGTGCTTATTCATCACTTATTTTGGCAGACCATCAAGCAAACTTTGCTCTATCCCCCATTAAGCTTGTTTAATGCTTGAATGTTTGCTTGTGATGACGGTCGCTGCTATACCAGATGGCCGCTTATTCATCGCATGTCGTGGCAGATGCACGTACTCGTACGACTCATTTTTTAAAATTTATCGCATGTCACTCATGCAGCTTGGTTTGATGACTACATACCTTGTGCCAACGCGGAAATAGGGATTGGGGATTTGCCGTTTGACAAACATGCATCCATGCATAGCTGCAAGTGCCTACTGTTGAAGCTAGGTACTAACCATCCAGCTAGGCGATGACGTCGGCGGAATCCTGCCTGTGACTCCCTTAGCTGAAATCAACGGCGGCGTGAACGCAAGCGCCGCGTTGAGGTGACGCAGTTCACAGAGGATTTGGACACGTTTCCAAAGAATAGCCTGCTCGCATGCCTCGTATGCCTCGTATGCCTCTGGTCCAGCCTGCGTCGTTATCTGATGAACGTGGCTGGCCGGTGGCTTGATATCAGTCTCTCCAGGCCGCATCCATCGGTATTCAAAACCCCAGAGGCGTCTTCAAAAGCTGCCGTCTTCTGCTTAACTAAGAATCCGTGATTGGCCAGTTTAATCCGTCGAGCTGGAATTACGGCCAGAAAAGTCCGTCAGGTCGGCATATCGGAGGTCGGACTTCGGCTCAAAATCTGCCCGGAGATTGTGGTTGGCCCCGATACGTGCTGAAAACGTGACTTCGCGACCTGATGTGTCATAGTCGCATTGGTAAGCCTGGACTGCTGGCCTGCCATTCACGCTGCTGCCCGTATCAATCTCTCCGGGATATCGATATCGAACGGCATCGCCCTTCACCACCGCGACCCTGTCTGGGCTCCAGCGCTGTTATATAGAGGCCCCGGTGGCTTCTGCCGTGTGCCGTCGCGTTGAGCCGTGGACAACTTCGCCTGTGCATGTGATTTGCCTCCCGCCATGTCGTCGACTGAAGTCCAACCCGACGCCTCCGCGGCGTCGATATCGATGTCGATGCAGGGCACGGAGCCCCTTGCCTGTGTCTCGTGCCGGGCCAGAAAGCTCAAGTGTGACCGGACGAAGCCCGCCTGTACTCGCTGCGTCAAGGTCAAGAATGAGTGTGTGTATCCCGAGTCACGGAGAAAACCTACCTTTAAGCGGCGGAACGTCAAGGAGCTAGAAGCTCGTCTGGGTAGGTGCCTTTGCTTAGCCACTTATATGTCAGAGCACAAGCTTATTTGCTGCCTTACAGCTCAGGTTGAGGAGTATCTTAAAGAAGTCAACAAGGGCAATGATGACGGAGCCATCCTCCTGGATGATGCCGACATCTCCCTGGGCGACTTCACCTTTTCTGCTGACAACGTCAGCCAAGATGCCAACACCTCAAGCAGCGCATCAGATCCAACCGTGTCCTTTGAAATGCCCAACTTCACCAGCCAAGAAGGTAGTACCTTCATGAACAACCAGCTCATGGGACTTGGCATGTCCGAGGCTCTGCCTCCCTTTGAGATGATTGAAGAACTGTACGCCAAAACTTACTCCTCTGTGGTGTCTATCAAGGAGAGAATTCTAACAGCTACAGGCACAATGTCTACTTTCTCACCCACTACCACTTTCTCCCTATTATCCACTCTGGCCGCTACTATCAGGCCTTCTATGGACCACCGACGAGGAAACCGCCGATGTGTTTGCAGTATGGAATTTGGGCATTGTCTGCGAGTGGCCACCCCAAGTATGACCAGTATGCCGAAGCTTTCTACAAAAGAGCACGGCAGTACATGGAAGCAGACGAGATGAAAGTAAGCTGGCTGCACCCCCTGCGTATATCTGAAATATTCCGTGTTCTAACTCCTTGGCTTAGAGCGATGGCGAGCATTTCGTCACCGTAGCTCACGCCCAAGCGTGGGCCATCATTGCCAGCTACGAGGCGAAAGCCATGTTATTCACCCGTGCATCTATGAGTGCTTCTCGCTATTGTCGCCTTGTCCAAATGCTGGGATTGGACAGACTCGACAGGGAAGGAGACGATATCCCCCCAACCCTTGGCCCCATTTCCAACTGGACCGAGCTGGAAGAGCGCAGGAGGGTCTTTTGGGGTGCGTTTGCAATCGATGCTCACGCAAACATGGCAACGGGTTGGGCCAATATGATCAAGTCTGAAGATGTATGGCTTCTTTGATTGATTTCTTCACGATTGACATGTGGAGTGCTGACCAGATTCCAGGTAATGACACGCCTTCCATCTTCCGAGGAAGCATTCATGTCAGGACGAGAAGAGAAAACAGTCTTTTTGGAGGAAGTATTTACAGGAGCTTCTTTTGAGAGCTTCTCCGGTGCTATCGTCATATGTGAGGTCTTCAAGACCATCCTGAGGCATGTTCACGGGGCGAAACCTTCCGATCACCCTGAGGACTTGATGAACGGCGCATACTGGAAGCGCCATCGTGATCTCGACAACAAGCTTTCAAGTCTCTTCATGTTTCTGCCCGAGAAGTTTCGCCTACCACAAAGATCTCAGGACCCAGCAGCAGTGCATACAAATTTGAACTTGCACGCTTCTGTAATATGTCTACATCACGCTGCCATTGAGACAGCAGAAAAATTCGGATTCAACGAGTCTATCAAGCAGAACAGCATGTGTAGGTTGAGGACTTCTGCTGAAGAAATTGTCAGCATTATTAAGATGACATCGCACCAAGCCTCAATTTTCGTACGCTTCGTTCCTCCTCCTCATTCTTTGATACCAGACTAACGGTGGTGACAGAAAACGCAACTCTGTGCACTCTCATTGTATTGTGCTACGACGGTATATGTATATTTGGCCAAGGATGACCCTGTCTCCGGTGTGACTCCCATCGACGTTTCCAACCTGGAGATTATTATAAACGCAATGGAAGCCATTGGCCGCTTGCACCAGGTCACAACCGCCTTTCTCCAGCAAGCGTGTCTCGATATTGAGCGTAATGGTCTGACATCCTGCCTACGGCTTCCGTCTCTCTCAAAATATCGCGACCTCTTTGGCGGTCCAGCATCCAATATCCCCCGACTAGCTCGGAGTTCAGTATCGCAACACACTGAGATGTCCTCGCCGTTGCCTGGGAGACTGCCCCTTGGCCAACCCAAGGGCCATAGGAGGCCATCCGGCTTAAGAATGAGTAAGCCACTTGCCTCCCTGACAGGCATCCAACCAGAGTTAAACCACACAACAGATTGCTTCAATGCTATCCTCGGCGCAGTTACCCGAAACGTGGCTCCCAAAACGTTTGACCCTGTCAACAATAAGAGGAAGCGGGTAGCTGTAAGCCCGGGGCCCGACGCAGGTATAACGACCATCCCCAGGACTTCTGGGATTGCAGAAGGAGAGTTCCGCTTCAGCATCAGCAAGGGAGCTCTGGATACCCCTGCAAACCGCGCCTGTGGGAATCTATTTCCTGGGGAAGTAGATATGAATACGAATACTCAAGCCGTTGACCCGATTTTTGTGCTCCCAGACCGCACCAACTCATCAGCATCATCCCCAATACAACGCGGAGCCGGAACAGAGCCTTTTTCGGCAAGCAGCCACACTTCACCCAGCTTAGGTCTTGGTAATACTCCCGAGGAGAATAGGATAGACCTTCGGCAGTTTCAAGGGCGCATTTCAACGCCACTTTGGCACAGCACAGAAGAAGGACTTTTCAACCACATCACAGAGACAATTGCACAGTACTCGGGGGACGGGAATGATCCTTGGGCGTTACTAAATGGAGAGCACAATAACTGGAATGGCGCCACAACAAATTGATATGAGCCTGGGGCGTGGAAACACGGCAAAATAATAGTTGGTATGACGCGAAGACATTTCAGGGGCAGTTGATTACGCGGCTGTGGACAAGGGATAATTTTCTCTTCTCGGCGCATTGCGGTTTGATTAAGGCAGTGTACGATACCCCGTGCGTGGAAACTTACGCAACTCTTGTAAAACACTATTTCGCTTTGGAGTTAAGGACGGACGGAGCAAGATCAAACTGGTTGATCTCATCACCTCTCTTTACCAACGGAACATTATATAAGGACTTCTATAGACTACATGATGTTAATGTCACTTAAAATAGCCATAAAAAACGTCATACCGCTTATACTACTGTCATGATGTGAGAGGTTCCCGGCTGTTGCGGCCAATAGTCGGTGGGCCAAGCGCCGGAATAGGGAATACGTGGGGTGACGGGTAAGAACTTTTGGGGGTTAAACTGATAGAAAACAATGTCAACGGCATGAATCAACGCTTCACGGACATTTGTGTCTGAGTCTCAACCAAAGGACCAGTGCCAAGAGTCATTTGCTTAGAACTTGGTCAGGTGACAGGTAGATCGATAACATAACTGAAGGCCCCCACATCGCTCATGATAGTTTCGTATTTCCGGAGTTCATGGCCTCATCTGCAAACTATTTGGGACATGTGAAAACTGGCTGCCATCTCTTACCTCAGTCACTCCTTTTCTCTCCTTGGACATAACTTGTTTCCTACCGAGCCCCGAGCCAATTGAGCCGAAAAAAGAGTGGCAAAGGGGAGAAGAATTGAAAACATGCTTGCATACATTGTCGGCTTATTGGCAATTCTGCTTTTCGTCTCGAACCCCATCACCCAGTATTTCCTGCCGCAAAGCTCTCGCGCGAGGAATTCGTTGTCACCGAGGCCGCAGCTGAACGAGTCTCTGCTGGCGATAGATGGGGCGAATGCGACTGTGCCGAGTTGCCCGGCTGACGCGTACGGGGCGCGGATTTTGAGCAGGGAGCCGTTAGTGGTGTATTTGGAGGGGTTTTTGAGTGAGAGTGAGAGGAAGCATTTGCTTGAGATTAGGTAGGTGTCGAATTGAGATGCCAATTGTTGTCTTCTTTTTCTTTTCTGCTTTGTTTTCATTGTGTTTTTAGTGTAAATGGGCGTGATTCGAGGATATCAACTTGAAGTACATGAGAAGCCGGGAAAGTGCTAATGAAATCTACCTATGCAGCGAGCCTATCTTTGAGCCGTCAACCATTACTCATGATTCCAGCGCTACGCATCGGGACACTGCCGTTCGAGACTCTTCTGTTGCAGTCTTGCCCCGGACGGACATTGTTCGCTGCATCGAGGCTCGCGCAAGAGCATTTCAAGGTTGGCGGCGAGACCTCTGGATAGAGCGATTGCGAACACAACGATATGTCGCTGGCGGGCATTACAACCACCATTTTGACTGGAGCGGCAATGCTGATGGATGGGGTCGAGTGAGCAGTTTCATGGCTTGGATTGATGCGTCAGACGAGTTAGAAGGTGGAGGAACGGAGTTCCCGCTGTTAGAAACTACAATGGGTGGTGATGCACCGAAGTGGTGTGATTTGATCGAGTGTAAAAGCGAAAAGGCTGGGGATGGAGATGGCCAAGGAGAGCAGAAGAGACTCAGTGACGATATTAAAGCAGAGGGAGAAGATGTAGAAGGAAAGGGGACCACGTTCAAAGTTGTTCCTGGAAATGCGGTATACTGGGAGAATTTCGCGCCGGATGGGAGGGGGTATGATGAGACCTGGCACGCTGGCTTGCCTGTGAAGAAGGGAGTCAAAGTCGGGCTGAACATTTGGAGTTTTGGACGGATAGAGTGAGCGGATTTTGACTTTTGTCTTTTTAATGTATATAGCATAATTATTAGGCAAGCGATAAAATTGGTGTCTTATATCGCCATTACTCAAGAGGTGTAAGGGTATCGACCTGAACGGGGTGGAGAAACGAGAGAAGCAAGATTCTTTTTTAACGCTGTTGATTATTTCCATCTCCTCTCGCATTGTCCCGTCCAACGGCCCCAAGCTATTACCTTGCCGTTGATTTCCTTGGCAATCTGGTCCCTCGTGGGTTTTGAGGCGATGATGTTCGCATCCAGAGGCTCGTTTAGAGCAATGATGTCGAAGAAGTCTGTAAGAGCCAGAGAAACAAATGGTCAGCACAATTCACTTACAAACCTGTAGTGTACACATCTAATGTGAAGTAGCAACAAGGCCGCTTACATCTATGGATGCCGTGATTGAGAAGAGGCCGTGGGGGGATGTAGATGCTGTTGCGGCGGTTGGTGCCGTAGTAAAAGCCGCCGCTTAGTTTGGTGGATTTTTCGCTTTCTTGCTTGAAATCGGTGTTTGTGACGGATAGTTTTTCGTTGTCAATACCAAGATATATCCTTTCACACATGACATTAAAGGTTAGATATTCCGGTTATACTTGCATACCCACGTTCTCACCTCAAAGCATTGAATTGAACTTACCCATGGCAGATTGGTGTTGGCAGCGGCGCATCCGGATCCTCCGACATCAACAGCCACTGCTTGACGCCCTCGACTGACTCCCACTTCAACTCTGGGAAGCGGCCTTCTCCTCCAAACATGTAATCGGGCGATAGAGTCGCGCCATCCGCACCGCAGTCTGGGGAGGTGATTGGGATGGTCGGTTCTGGGTGTGAGGTGAACGCGGGGCCCTTGGTGAAAGCTTTGGCGTCGCGGCCTTTTGCGTTGGAGAAGAGCCAGCTAGCTGCTACTTCGACGTAATTCAACATGATTTATCTTGTTTTGCTTTCTTCCTTTGTGTTCTCCGCCGGTTGGTTACAATTAATAGGGGAGGTGAAGCTGTAAGGTATGAAGTCAAGTTGGTAACGCCTGTCTGATACACGCAGCTCTCTGTTCACAGGCTAGGATGGAAGAACTCGGTAAAAAGCAGATGAAAACTTATACGTCGCAGATATATATTAAGATGGAAAATCACAATCAGAGAATATTTCGATGCTGCGATGCATCATACGTTTATTAGAGATGCTGATTGCAAACTCCGGCAGTCGGTGCCGAATCGGCTGCTGATATTCCACTAGCATTTGCCGAGATTCGCCGGCAGACCCCTACTGGGAGAATCATTAAGGTGCCGAACTTCGCCTGAATAGGCGCGGTAGAAGATTGACAGGAGTGAATGGATGCTTACATAGTCCCTGCAAATAATTGACCTCAATATCGCTGAGCATTTTGTGTCGATTGGGCTGGACAGCTCGAGTTATAAATCTTGCAGTACATGTGTGAAGCGATTGTTCAGTGTCGTTGGTTCCATGAAAAAGACCTTGTGACATATCAAAAGATTATCTATAAAAGCGTAGCTGGATATCCAGGTCGGCCTTTGGTGTTGAGAGGAAACTTCAATACATGGTTTCGAAGGGAGTTCCTCATCAAATAAGAGGGGGGATATCAGTGTTCAAGTTGGGTGTACTACTCATCTCATGGCCGATAGATCATTCGAGTAAGAAGTTGCTGCCATGAGAAGCTTACAAATCTAGCATATTACTACTGGGACTAATGAAATGCACATGCAAGTCTAAGCGTAGGATTAGGTCTTATAGTCGGCTGCCAGATTCTGCACCAACACAGTGGATTCTCGAGAAACACCATTCAGGAAACAAAGATTCGTGCCTATGTGGTAGCCCAATATAAATGCGAATCTATTGAAAATCCTTCGCTTGACTCATTCTGAGAGTCACCATATCTATTCGATGCAACAACCAACAACACTGAAACTTATGCGCGCTTGCATCATCAGGATTGGCCAGTTGGGGAGCTGCATACATGCAGTCAGCCAATCCATGGTTCCGATCCATGGTTGCAAATTAGATTTCCTTGCATCAGCATGCAGTCGAGAACATTATTGTTGCGTGCAGATACTCTGTTGATACCCCGCGCGTAGTTCGATATGGTAAGAGTCTCTCAGTTTGTAAGATTCTCTCATCACTGCAATGACGGTCCAGCAATTCTTACCTTAAGCTATCTTATGAAATCATTGTGGAAAATGCTCATCAGGCTACCAAATAGGAAGTACAGGAGAATTCATCGGGTAAGCTCAGTAATTTGGAGGATATATGTCATACTGCACTAAATAATGACTACCTGTAGCTAGACAGACTTTATACTTCGTACTTCTCCATTTACCTACGTGAGCATAATAATGAACTGGAACCATTCGCAAGGTATTCGTTTTGTTTGTCGCTTAATATTAGTAGCGTCCTTGAGCTCATACCTGTTCCCTGCTGTACTGACTACTTACAACTTCCGGATTCGGTTCAACCATTCGACCAGCTGAAACTAGTGTAGCAAGCGTATACTCGTATATGGACCTAGCTGAGGCTGTCATGGTTTGTAATAATCATTAGCTCGAACGCCGCGGTTTACTTTCCGTACGATCCATGTCAGCCTTGAACACAGCCACGTATCTCAATACACCACTCCTCATCTTCATGGTTCATATCTAGTTGCTTGCCAAGGTGCCACTACTAGCTTTGAACTGGGGAAAGCTTTACTAGGCACAAATAAAAAATCGTAATCTAAGGAGTCAAAGCATCCAACATTACTATATGGTGTGCTTACGTGGCGTGAGATGTATCACTAGTACCACGTATGAGATGGTACAGCTTTCTGGTCTGTCAGAAAAGTGGCTTGTATCGAAAAGCATGTTTATTTCTATTATTATCATTGGGTTTAATTGTTACAATTACAGCCGCATATAAATTCCATCATTTGTCATTGTTCATATTACTGAACATTTCTCACCACTTCCCTCCATCTACAAACTAAATAGCGAAATCCGATACTAGATCATCAGCTATAAGTTAATATGCGGTACACTATCACAAGAGAGCAAATCAAGGAGCTCGCTGCTCAGTTGGACCCATCCACCCGATTGTTCACCAGCGCAGATGGCCAGGAATATGAGAAGCTAATTGCCCGGTGGGCTGATAACGCAGTCAGACAAGCTGTGAGTAGCCCCTTCCTTGAAGTCAATTGACAATGGCTCATCGCGATAGGGTGTTGTCGCTGTTCCTGTGGCATACGAAGAAGTATCTAAGCTGGTAAAGTTCGCCTCTGACAACAAGCTTGAAATTACCGTTAGGGGGGGCGGTCATTCTACCGGGGGCTGCAGTTCCTCAGAAGGCGGGCTTGTCATTGATCTCTCAGGCATGCGCAATGTGAGCGTTGATAAGGACTCCAAATTGATCACTGCCCAAGGCGGTGCCCTGTGGGAAGATGTGGACAACGCTGCCATTGAAAAGGGCCTTGCCACAGTTGGCGGTACTGTCAACCATACGGGCATCGGCGGTTTAACTCTGGGTGGCGGTCTTGGCTGGCTTACAGGCTTATATGGCACCGTGGTTGACAATCTTGTCTCTGCGAAAGTTGTCATTGCCAATGGAAGCCTCCTGACTGCCTCAGAAAATGAGAATACCGACTTATTCTGGGCCATCCGTGGTGCGGGCCACAACTTTGGTGTTACCGTCGAGTTTACACTTCAGGGGCATGACCAGACCAATGAAGTGTATGCTGGAGGCGTTGTATTCACCCCGGACAAGCTGATCGCCATTATCGATACACTCAACGCCAAGATGAAGTCTCCAGACCCCAAGGCAGGAATTATCCTTGTCTTCGCGAGCCCACCAACGATGCCAGGCCCGGTTGTCGTTGCCAATGTATTTTATAACGGCGACCAAGCCGCGGCAGAGGAATGTTTCGATTCCCTGTTCAAGCTCGGGCCTGTTGTCAACACAGCGAAGATGATGCCCTACAATCATGTCAACGGGTTATTCAACGCGATGGCCACTCATGGGCGCCGCAAATCTATAAAAGCAATCACTCTTACAGACCATGTTGATGCTGAATTTGTGCAAGAACTCTTCGACAACTATGCACAAAAGATGAAGGAAAATCCCGATTTGGCCATGACATTTATGGGCATCGAGTTTTACGATGTGACTAAGCTCAACAGCGTGCCTATAGAGTCGATGGCATTTGCCAATCGTGGTCTCTATAGAGCTGGTATCATTGGCTTGGAATGGACAGATGCTCAGAAGGATTTGGAAAATAGAGCGTGGGGTCGATCTATTCAGGACAAGTGCCGACAACGAATCATCGACAGCAACCAGTATTCTCCGGAGACTACTAAAACCGCGTTGGAGTATGCCAATTATATCGAACGTAAGAGTTATTTCCCTATCAGCAACTTGACTTGTCTGAAATAGCTACTAATTCGCTGCAGCTGGTGATCTTGTGGATAAGAGACCATTCGGTATCAATCAGCGACGACTGGAGATATTGAAACAAAAGTTCGATCCAGATTGTCTATTCCACAAAACTACTCCCGTTGTGCCTTTGAAAAATTAGGGGCGTTTAATATCACCAAAGTAGCAATTCGGAGTAAATTTTCTCATTCTATTTTCAGGTCCCACAAACCTGTTCTTATTCGGCGCAAGATTGTTTCACATAGTTAGCAGCTACAGTTCAACGCGCTGGGACGATAATTTTCAAATTGAACAGAACGTTGAATCATTTTACATATGCATAGGGATTGGTAATGTTAATAAAATGTTATATCACTTGCCAAGAGACGTTATGATGATCTGTATCAAAATCACACATACAACCAGATGTGTGCCTCCGACTAAATATATATATATATATATGCGCTATGCTCATACTCCTTGTATATGCATGTAAGACGAGCCCTATGTAAGAAGTTGCAAACTTGGCGTTGACCAAATTCGAAAAAATCTAAGCTCGAAAATACAAGCAGTATTACCCTCAAATCGTTAAAGTCCTTATTCATCTAGCTTTTATAACGTGTATATCCAAAACACTAATGCCGGTTGAGCAATATAAACGTACCCTCGCGTAATAAGCAAGCTGTTGCTCAAAGTAATTTCTCTAACTAACTTTCCGGGTATCGTTGTTTCTTCTCCTGGCTGATGATGACGTCAAGTGCTCGTCCTATGGGAATTGTTTCCTGTTTCACCTTTTCAAGACCATCAGCTGAAGAATAGAAGAGAAACAGGTAAAATACCATGCGCTTGCTTAACTTGGTTGTTTTAATCGTTGGGATTGGCTAATACAATCATGCTAAGGATAAAGTAGTGCGTCATACGCGTGGATGAGGCTAGAGCAGATCACCATTTAGTGTCTTCGTATTGTTTTAGAGCCAGCTGGACTCATGCTTGTTAGTACTGACATGGCTAATAATAAAACTCACGGCTTACTTAGCCAAAATTAGACAAAACGATTGTTTCACTTACTTGCGCAAGGCAGATTGCTCTGCGCCTCATCTATACCGTCACTGGAAATATTCTGAGAATATCGTGTAGATCCCTTAGCGATGCAGACTATATAATGCTGCTTAAAACTTCTGAGAAGATACAGAATTGGATAGATTCAGCTCCAATCTTTATCAAAGTACTCGCTTTACATGAAACGTCGTCAGTCCAACATGATCTTTCAATACTCTCTCTTCGCAGCACTAGCAGCCGTAGCCTTGGCTACACCAACCCCTACCAAGACTTCTAAGCTATCAAATCACCTTGGCAAACGAGATTACTGCGGCGATCATGAGAACCAAATGGCAACTTGGTATGACCGTGGCACGGACCCCAACCAAATTACAGCTTGCGGACACCAGTATGATCCCTCAGCTCTTGTCGTCGCCATTTCGACAGATGTACCAAACTACAAGTCCTTCTGCGGCCGCGAAATCCTTATCTCTTCCAGAGAGCAGTTAGCTGCAGTAGTCGCCATTATCGATGATGCCAATGCCACTGGTGATCTGGGAGAATTCGCTCTCGACCTTTCCCCGGCTGTCTTTGATATCCTTTCACCAACCGACCACACCATTGACCAAGACGGAGAAGTTGCTATTGACTGGGTTGTACTGGGTGGCGATCCCTGCCCGTAAGAATTTGAGGGAAATTGTTTATAATCGACATTCGATGCGGGTTCATATCAACTGGATAGAAGATTTGTGTGAGTAGAAGGCATTTTGGTTATTTGATGGCATACTGCGAGCTTGTATTACTTTTTTCTAAGCCATGACACATATACAAACAGTATAGCCGTTCTGCTGTATGAGCTATTTTGAGCAGGTGGCCGGCGCAAGCTGATGACAACATACCATGCAAATGTTTTGCAGTGGGGATTTGTACATAGATATTGATAGCTGAAACATGGATCGGTATAAGGGGGTGGCACTTAGTGACTTGCTTATGACTACTACTTTTAGAGCATTGAATTTTATACAGCTTATGCATAATACTATTTGAAATATCCTTTTTATTGTTAAGCTCGGATTTCTCGTTGCTCTGTATAGAAGGGGAGTCTGGTATACAATAGGTAATTAGTGTAATCCCACAGCCTGCCTGGTCTCTATGAGTCCCAAATAGACCGCTAACAGAAGCAATTTTGCGTTAGGATCACAGGTGTTCAAGATAGGAGCTACCATGGAGAGAAAGAAAGAGACTCACATGCAGCACGCCATCACTCACCGATTATTTCCAAAATCGTCCGTAACGTAATGATACTCTGGCTTGTGTCGCAAAGTTCGGCCTCGGGGCCGCGAGACATCAACGACGTGGCAGATCGGTAGATCCATTCCAACACAAAGGGAGAAGTGTCATTGATGCTCCCTCACTCACCAATCCGGAATCTCTGAGCATTACGCAAAGTGTTTGCCAAGGTTGATTGAAGCGAGAGATATGAGGTCTCTTGACTTTCCTTGGGCGAGTCTTTGAGTGAATCGGCCAAGACAACCGTGTGTATGAGTAACAGCGCGCTTCTCTGTATGTCAACATCCATGTATGTTCATCTGGTCCGATGAGATTGACTTATAGTAGACAGCAATCGAACAACAGAATATCATGTTTCTCTGCGCGCTTCTTCAATTTCAATCAAACGCTGAAGTGCGAATAGAGTCCTGTCTAGGATGTGAAACTCTAGCGAAGGCACAGGCTACATGCCGGTATTTCCGGTGTACAGCGACGCTATTTTATTTCACATGAATGGCACGACCGTTCTGACGACTCGGGAGTGGATTGCATAAGAAATTTGTCTCGTAGGTTCATCGCGATCACGGTAGTTGGCTGCGGGGATGATGACGGCCAGAGTCCGCTTAAGAAAATGATGTCAATAACACAATGGGTGTGGCTGTACGCTTTCTAATTAGCTTGGATAATGCCGGTTGTAGTTGATTTCACCTCCCAGACAGCCACTTACGGTGAAGGACAGTAGGAAAGGGGGGACTTGGTAGGCTAGCCGAGAGCGCCCAGGGTGTCCGATTCACGCGACTCAGAGTATAAGATATGAAGAGTTATCATTCAAGAATTTTTCATGTGGTATTCGGTGAAGTACGAAAATAAAAGATGACAAAACGCTTCTAGCTCAAGTACAGTAGCAGAAGCCAATGGATTACTCAACATATGCTTGATTACATATGACCAGTCGCGCTACGTCGGTGTCAGACGTCTCCCAGTTTTGAACTTGCAACTCGGATGATGTATTTGAATCATATATTTGAATCAAATACTAGGTGCCGTTGCAGCCATGATGTGGCAATATATCTTAACTATTGGGGTTTCTATACTAGATAACACCGGATTAACAACAGGAGATTTGGGTAACTTAAAAACTACATCTTAAATTTCTAGTACTGCCAATGGACATGTGTAACTCCTATAATCCAAATATGGGACTACAACTACCGTTGCAAGAAATCCTCCCGGTGAAATATAAGTTCTTGGCCATTTAATAACGACACATGGTTTCCTCCTCAATATTGGGGGCAGCAGCGGCATCTTCCGTCGTCTCCTTTGGAATCAGAATAAACTAGGCCATTATAGTCCAACCTGGCATTTTAGCCCCCATCCATGCTCTTAACGGAAGTTGGTTGAACCAATCAGTGTATACCATAACGCGGCCGCGTTTCCCGCAACATTTGCAGACGACAGGCTCAGCGCCGTAGGACGGACTTGTTCACGAAACATGTGCGTTTCGAGTTGCCTTTCAGGAAAGTATCTAATGGAACGATACATTTGATCATGGAATCCGAGCAGAGATGATAAGTAATCTTCTGCAATCACCTCACCGAGCAGGGAAGCGGAAAAGTAATAGTGGTCGCTCGTTGTGCCGCAAGTATAAATTACGCCCAAGTCCTCATAACATATTAAATCACATCAACAGCTTTCCTCTTCCAACAACAAAATAAAACTTATCATCATGCCGTCTCATCAGCCAATCGCTCAAAATGACTCCATTCAAGCATACGTTTACGTATTGCCCCCTCATAAAGTCAACTTTCCAGGGCAATTTGACACAGAATCCTTCGAATTCTCTCCCACTGCATTCACCCTGATCACCACACAAGACGGAGCAGTGCTGGTCGATGCACCAACCACAGATCGTGAAGGAGAAGAAGTCGCACAATGGGTCAAGTCGATTATTTCAGACAAGAAGCTCGTCTATATTTACGTCACCCACGGCCACGGCGATCATTTCTTCGCTGCGGGAGTAATCCAGAAATATTATCCCGAAGCCCGCATTCTAGCGACGCCGCAAACACATGTTCAAATGCAAGAGAATCTTGACAAGAAGCTATATGAGGGTCTGTGGGCTTCTACAACTCCGGAGTTGAGAAATACATCTCCTCCGGAAGTACAAGTGGACATACTAAAAGACGACAACACCTTCGTTGTTGGAGGCCACCAATTTCACGTCTTGAGCCTCCCTGGAGGCGATATTGGCGAATCCACGGTACTTCATGTACCTGATCTTGATCTTGTTGTAGCAGGAGACGTCGTCTATGGACATTGTTATCAATTCCTTGGCCAGGCCCAAACTCCGGAGCTACGAAACAAGTGGCTACAGTCTATCGATCAAGTAGCCCAGCTGAAGCCAAAAGTCGTGGTACCATCTCACATGCAATCCCACGAAGACTTCGGGACTTATCATTTGGAAGAAACGAAAGAATACATTAAAGCTTGGGAAGAGCTTGATGCTACAACCAACACTTGGCAGGAACTGGAAGAGGCTACTAAACGGAGGTACCCAGGCAGGATTGGCAGTTTCATTATCCGATTCTCTTCTCTTGTTGCAAAGGGAGTTATGCAGGTTTAGTGATGAGAGCGAATGGTATTATCCCAAGGACTTTAAATGATGTGATATTTGACAAGTCTATTAAAATGTGTGATTGGGTGAAAAGGGAGCCTATAAGTACCCTGTGATTATTGCCTTCTATTGCGGCACCTCTAGTCTCAATATATTTATGATACATGTCTCATTTTGCAATGCGCTCTCCTCTTGTATATGTTAAAGTAGTGATCAGTTTCATGTGGATCTCCAAGCTCTATAGGAACTTGGTGAACGTTTTCACTTGTCGCTAGTACAAGTCCTCGTCGTCACTCGCCGTTCCGTCCTGGAATCCCATCACTGCCTTGCCTTTTCCTTTGCCATTGACTTGTTCTTCCTCATCACTGCTGACTGCAATGGCCTTTCCTTTGCCTTTGCCCTTGCTAGAGGACGACCTGCCGCCGCTCCTCGATCCTCCGGAAGAACCAGGTCTTTTTCCGTGGTCTTGTGATTGCTGCTTCTTGTCGCTTCCTCCTTCAAACTGTGCCCTTACTCTCTCATAGTGCGCTAGTTCACCAGCACTGACACTAGGAATCAACTCCTCGTGTGCGGCGATAAAGTCCTCCTCTTGGACCATGACAGCGATATCCGCGGGCGTGGCGTAGTGATCGAAGAAGTACGCCGTGGAGACCTCGTGCTTGTTAGCCGGGTCGGCATTGAGGGCGCGGACTTTGGCGTCCACCGCGGCGGCCTGGCGGGTGACAGCCTTGAGCATGGCATCACTGCAAAGCGCGTAGAAATCGGCACCAGTGTAGGTGAATGGGAGGCGTTGGGAAACTGATGCGAGAGAGACAGAAGGGTGCAGGGTGAATCTGCGGAAATAGGGATTAGTATACGTTGTTTCATCTAAAGGAAAAGATTACAAGGTAGATAACGAAAGGAGGGAACGTACTTTCGAGTAAGAGCCTCCAGAATGGTTTGCTGCTTCTCATGAGTATCGGAAACACCAAGATAGAGCATCTTGTCAAATCGACCAGGACGCAGCAGTGCAGGGTCCAAAAGATCGGGCCTGTTGGTGGCTCCAATGACGAAGACGCCTCCAGCATCCTCGCCGCCTGACATACCGTCCAGCTCGGCCAACAGCTGCGACACGATACGGTCCATGACACCGCCAGAATCTCCCTGGTTACCTCTCTTTGGCGCGACGGAATCCAACTCGTCAAAGAAGACGACGCAGGGGCGAGCATCTCGGGCTCTCTGGAAGACGCGTCGCACATTGGCTTCTGACTCACCAATGTACATGTTGAGCAGCTCCGGACCCTTGACGCTGAAGAAGTTGAGGCTGTATTCGGTGGCGATGGCCTTTGCGAGCAGCGTCTTTCCAGTACCCGGGGGACCGTAGAAGAGGATACCGGAACGCTTCTTCATGCCCTTGGCGAACAGTTCGGGTCGCTCCAGCGGTAGCTGAATCGTCTCCGTGATGGCCTCTTTAACATTGCTGAGGCCACCGACATCGTCCCATGTGACATTGGGAATCTTGGGAGCACCAATGGAGTCGGAAAAGTTCTTACGAGCAGCTTCAACAGCGACATCAAAGTCAGCCGCTGTCAGGCAGCGCGCCGACGGGCCGCCAGCAACCTGCACGTCACGCACCGTCATGGGCATGCTGCTGCTGCTAGATTTGATAGAGAGCGACTCAAGTCGAGCGCGTTGGGCTATCGAAGCTCTTTCAACGACATCAAGCAAGTCACCAGCAACCAGCGCGGCCGTCTTGAGGGCGATGGCATTGAGATCGATGGCTGGCTCCAGGGATACGCCGCGGTCTTCAATGACAGTCCTCAGGATGACTTCTCGCTCAGCCTCGTCGGGGGCTCCCATTTCGAGCTCATGGGTGAAGAGCGCGCGGACTCCATCGGGGACCTTGTCAACCTCGTTTGTAGTAGCAATGAGGACGCGAACATCCTCCAGGATCTCTTTAATCGAAGACTCTATTCGATCAGCCGTCAGCGCCTCGATGTGCTGGATGAGGAGGGCACAGCATTCTGGGCCACAACTGATAGCACGCTCCGCACGCGTCCTCAGGAAGCCTTCTGTCTTGACATCGCTGCCGCTGCCTCCACCCTCACTGATGATATCATACGCATCAATGGCGAATGTGTGTAAACCCATATCGCTGCAGGCATCTTTTGCCATTGTCGCTTTTCCGATGTTGCGGTGCGACGATGTCAGTAGGATAGCAACAGGTGGCATTTTCAGATGGACAGCCCTCAAGCTCGTTGCGGCAGCCAAGAGTTCACGCAGCTGGCGCCTCAGAGGGGGGACATGTTGCTGGTCACGATCTGCCAATTGCGGAGGGCCACCGTCTGGTGCCCGTTGCGGCGTCTTCTTCAGGCCCAGATAGTAAGGCCAAGTGCTGTCCTTGATACCTGGTATCCGGCTCGTCTCAAAGCCTGACCCGTGCATGGCAACAGTTGTGCTGTCGATGCATGCGACAGTCCCCCACAGAGATTCCGCAGTTCCGTCCTCATCCTCGTCTGACTTTTGCACTTGGATATGCCCAACTTTGAACCAAGCAACGCTGTCGAGATGTGATAGAGTCTCCCCACCAGACTCGGTAGACCGTGCCGTAAGTGCCACTACGTCGTCAACCTCGGAACCGCCTGCACCGGGAGCCTCTTGGAGGGCTCGACCCAGCTGCGCATCTACCGGCACGGCAATCAAATCACCCTGCCGAACAAGGCGTAATTTATGAGCAAAATAGCGCTTTAATCCACCCAACACGGCGGTTTGGTACGCCCTTTCCGCGGAAATGGGGGTCCTAATGTGGTGAATGGCGATATCCTTTGCGTACGGAGGCTGCGATGCGCTCGCGAATCTGGGCAGCGTCCCTTTACCCTGATATGAAGACTTCTTGAGCACAGATATGCGCAGGTGGGTGGCTCCATCAATATTTGCGATCAAGATCGGCGAAGCATAGGCGGCTGGGCTGGACGGCCGCTGGACTTGCGACTCGAAGAATGATTGTCGCCGATCGCCCTTCCTTGAACTCGGGATCCGTGTGACGGGGCGTTGGGAGTAGCCCTCGGGCAGGCCATATACGCGAACAGGCCGCCAATTAGACACTTCAAAATCTGGGTGGTTGAAGCTGCCTAGCCCAAACGCGCCAAATCCATTCAGGGGAGGCTCCTCGGCGGCTTCAATCCGGACCCAGTCTCCGGAGAAGCACCCAATCTTGGAGAGCGACGCCACATCCACATAGATTCTAGCCTCTTCATCGTCCTCGGGAGATGGCTTGGGATGCAGCAGATCAGAGGGTATCTGTTTTCTCAGACCGTGCACTTTGAATAGCCTGCCGCGAGCTCGATCGGGGCGCGCAGTAGTAGATGTAAAGTTGGAAAAGACGGAGCCGGGGGTAGCAAAGCCGTTTGTTTTTCTGCCACGGAGCGTACCAGCAGTCATTGGCGTTCCAGGGCCCATAGAATTCATCGAATTCGTCGTCGGCAGTGTGGGGACCTCCAAAGATATCACCTCGTCCATGGAATCATCCGAAAGCTCCTCCTCCTGTTCTGATCCCGAGAAATCCGTCTCCGTCTCCGTCGCCACCACCGCGTCGTCGGTAACGGCACCAGCCCGATCGCGCTCTTCGGCAGCAGAGAAGAACTGGTCGTTTGTGCCATCCTCATCGTCGTCATTCCCGTTGAGCTGCTGACTAGAGGTCATTGAGGCGGCAGGACGAGCCTGTCGTCGGTTGCCTCCTCTCCCCCTCATCAAGATGATCTTTGTAGATTCCGTCAGAATGCCCTGAGCAACGGGCTCGCACAGCATGATCTTGCCCGGGTTTGGCGGCAGATGGGTGACAGGATGCGGCGGAAGAGGCAGCGGAAACAAATCGCCAGAGTGAACAACCTTGAGGCTGCCGAGGGCCGCCCTGAGCGCCATGGCCACACGCTCCTCAGCCGTCATGTTGGCGACGCCCTTGGCATTGGGATTTGTCGGATGGTCCTTGTAAAACGTGCCTTCGCCATTCTCCAGCCGTTTTGTTAATTCGCTTTCGAGGTTGACAAATACCGTCTCGAGCGGAACAGGGGCGACATCGAGGACAAGGATTTCGATGCCGCTGCGGCTATGGCTGGACAGCTTGGACGGAGCTACCTGCTGCAGAGTAACAGCAAAGCTCTGGAGGGCTGAAGACGAGGGCGAGAACTGGATGGTCGAATGGGCCAAGTCGCTCGATCGCAGAACGGGAACAACGGACCAGGCCATTTCAACGGGGTTCGCATTGGGCGCCCATGGCGCGACTGCGATATGGTGGATGTCGTCGGCGAGCTCATCGTTGGCGTCTTTGTGATTCTTGTCAGCTTCTCTTCAGCGTGCAATAGTAGCATTTTTGGCACACTGGAGCATTGCCAATCGCCATCACTTACCACTCGCAATGTGCGGGAAGAGGTCGGAGAAGAGGTCGTCGGACACGATGCCAACGTCGCCCTTGGTGCGGTCGTCGAGCACAAGTCGGGCGGTGATGGCCGGCTTGTCCTGGCGCCGCCTGCGGTTCCGTCTCCTGTGTGACACGACAGGCGCTCCGTCTGAGACAGCCATCTCGACTGGTTTCTAGAGGTTTGAGGGGAAGGTAGGGCAGGATCGGGCGCAAGGAGCCGTTGTAGCTGGAAAGGAGTCGGTGGATAGAGCTGTTCAATAGTTGACAAGACCCCGCAGCCGCTGGATCATGGCGCAGGCAAGGTCAGAAGAAGATGAGAATAATCACGGTCAAACACCAAGACGGGTGATCAAGGACGGAAACGAGATCACCAGGGAATCCAGGGCAATTGGATTCGGCGCGTGCTGGGCGCGATGCGTTGCGATGAAGATCAAAAGCCTGCAGATGCGTGTCGTGTCGCTGCAGATTCCATGTCCACTATAAGCACTGGCTCGGCTGTAGCCGTGGCAGCCTCGGCTTAGGGACTGGCACCCCAGATTTCCGGCCTCAGCTGGACGCTTACCAGCAGGGCAGCTCCACCAGCGGCTGCTGGAGTTACCACGGCATGGGGAGAAGTTGTACAGGTAATAGTCTAGTGGATGGCTTAGTTGGGGATGGATGGATAGCTGCTAATCTACAGGACTGGAGTGCATTATGCGGTGCTTTGCAGCAGCACTGATTCGAGTTGGACATTAATGTTCCCACGCTGCGATTCGACTGCGGGTGGACTTACCCTGGACTACCTACTGATGTAAAGGGGTAATCACCTGCCCAGGTGTATTTACTCGCCTCATCATCTATACAGTACAGATTCTATTTGCAGGCATTCCAAGTGAAGAACTAGCATCATACTATCATGTCAAATGGGAAACTTGTTTGCTTTCCACTTGATTATTTCGTCATGCCTTGCTGCACTATTCCGTCCAAGATTCATCCCAATAGGAGGTTTCACATGTATTTTTTAGCGATACACGTATCTCCAGGCCAGTCAGCCACCTCCACCCCACCAACTGGGCCAGCACTGCCATCAAGGAGGCAAAAAACATCGCCAATTTCACAAGCTAAAACTGGATTGAATACCGGAGAATTACAGTATCGATGCAAATTATGGAGCCACCTAACAGGGATCGACTCTTAATGAATCGCAACTCGATTGCGTCACGCCTACCAAACACATCAATGCATGCATTCTGGAAATGGGGAAGCCCTTCTAGGCTTTCTGGATTTAGATGCAGCTTTTCCCCTCCACTCACCGCATTTATCAATTGTCTCATGATGTCTGGTTAGAGCCCTACCGGTGTTTCACTCTTTAGATCCAATTGCTCCGGTTTACGATTCATGGCAATTGTCCATATCTGTTCTTTCACAACATCCATTATTTTAATAGTTATCTACAGAGAGATAACCTGTTTATAGCAGGGATTTGACTGCTAACTGGCCTGACCTCGTTGATGTCATCGCCCTACCTCCTGGATGTCCATTTGTGAGGCATTACCACAACACTTAGTGGCAGCTACCGACTATATGGGTTTTGGGAAAGCATTTGAAAAAGAGCAAGACGATATAGGGAAATAATTCTCAGCACAGTTAACGCCAATTGGCTAAAATGGGTCACAACGAAGATCCCCCAACCTCGGCGCAACACGACATGTCGCCTCGATCGACGTTCGAGGTTGCACAGCAGGCAATTGAGTTTGCCAAACAGGCCGAGAAACTCTCACACCAGCGAATGGAAGATGGCTCTGCAGCGGTAGCTGTGCAGGCAGATTTTGTCACGCCGCAGGATCCCGTTATAGTCACATCGGATGGAAACAGGCTGCCAGGCGTGCCGTTGCATGAAGCACATAGGCTCAACGTGCTGCGCGAAGAACTGCAAGGACAGCCAGCAGAGGTAGAGATTAAGAAGGGAAGCGAAGTTCAAGCAAATGTCTCAAATCCGGCTGTGCACCACCACAACAGGGAGGGCGGCCGGAAGACTTTACAGCTACCCGAGGCCCAAAAAGATCAGAATAATGGACAGTCTTGGCAACAGGCATCACAAGGAACGTTGAGACATGCCATGCCTCCATCACATACGCATCCCCTATTTCCGCCCCTACCGCTATACGGACCGCCGTCGTTGCTACGCAATATCCAGTGCTGGTTTTTCAGGTCTACGTCATTTGTGCTGAGCATGGAGTTTCTTGGTGTAATTGTACTCGGCTCGCTGTTCACAAGCATTCCGAATTACTGCAAGGCAATGTTTCTGCCTGGTCAGGAGAAAAAGCGGCCCTTTTATGAGCAGGAGCGCCAAAACGCAGCCATCAGAGAAGAGAAGGAAAAAGACTGGGACCCGACGGGTATCCAGAGGCGCTTGGATGTCGAAAACGAAAGCATAGTGGATGAATATCCACCGACTGAGGGCGGCAAAGACCCAATCATCTGCGATGTTGGTTACTATGCGCGCAGAGTTGGCCTTGACGTGGAGACTTTCAAAGTCGAGACTGAGGATGGATTCATCATTGAACTCTGGCACGTCTATGATCCTAGAGAGCATATACCTTTGGATGAGGCAAGCAGAGAGAAGCTTGGGCCGACCGTCTTCCAGGAGCCAACCCAACGACTGGGAAATTCGGGCAAGAAACGAAAGTTCCCCGTGCTGCTGATGCACGGCTTGCTGCAGAGCTCAGGGGCATATTGTTGCAACGATGACCAGAGTCTGGCATTTTGGCTCTGTAAATCAGGATTCGATGTTTGGCTGGGTAACAACCGGTGCGGCTTCAAGCCCAAGCACGTACTGCTCGAGTACAGCGACCCACGGATGTGGTGCTGGAACATTCGACAGATGGGCGTCTTTGACCTACCGGCGCTTGTATCGCGTGTCCTGCACGAGACGGGATTCAAAAAACTCGGCCTCATCTGCCATTCACAGGGAACAACTCAGACGTTGGTGGCCTTAGCAAAGGAGCAGCGACCTGATTTGGGTGAGAAGCTGACCGTATTCTGCGCTCTGGCCCCTGCGGCATATGCTGGACCGCTCATTGGCAAGATGTACTTCAAGTTCATGCGCATAATCTCACCCGGCATGTTCAGGCTCATGTTTGGGATCCATGCCTTCATCCCCCTGATGATGCAGATGCACGCGCTGCTGGATGCACGGCTGTACGGATGGCTGGGTTACAAGGTCTTCTCGTTCCTCTTTGACTGGACTGATGAAAGATGGGATCGAGGCCTGCGCAACCGCATGTTTCAGTTTGCGCCTGTGTATGTAAGTGCCGAGTCGATGAGGTGGTGGCTCGGCCGCGAATGCTTTGCCAGACACAAGTGCATCCTGGCGACGAGAGACGTGCTGCGGGATGAAGAAAGTCAAGATGAAAGCGGCAGCAATGAAGATGAGTCCGAAACCAGCAACGAAAGGCACCAATCCGGAGATCAGGCTCACAAGACCAAGCAGCGGCGCCACATCAAAGGCTCCACGGCATGGTACAATCACCAGGTGCCTCCATTTGCGCTGTGGGTTTGCGGCGATGATCATCTGGTAGACGGGCAGAGGCTTCTTAAGCGTTTCGAGGCAGGCCGCGAGCCGCACGTCAAGGTGGTGCACAGCAAAGTGATTCCCGAGTACCAGCACCTGGATGTCATCTGGGCAATGGATGCGCCATCCCAGGTATTTCGAGAAATTCGCGAGGTGCTGTGGAAGACGTGCGACGTCAGGGACATTTGCAGGATTCCAGAGGGCTGCGATATGGTGCCACAGTGGGAACCAGCCGAGGCTGTGGCGACCGGGGCGAGCGAATAGGGGATCATGGATATACGGCAGTTTTCTCCTTGTTGTTAGCTTGTACTTGTACTCGTATGCGAATGCGAACCAAAAAGCTCGGAGTCTAGGGTGGATGCCACTTGTTGTTACCATAGATGTGGAGTTATAGATGGAGTCAATTCAAGACAAGAGAGCATCTTTGCCTTTGTCGGAACATAACCAGGGATTGCGGCAGGACTGAAGCTCCATAAACTCGGATGAATTACCGACAGTTGAGCTCAGCAACCTGTGATTATTAATCTTTCTCACAATCTGCCATCATCCACGAGACCATCGACACTTGATTCGCCAGCATCCGCCAGAGAGGTAGGTCAGATCCAAGCACATTTCCCCTTACTGCTATTCCCCCGCATTAACCCTCTGTGGACTCATTTGACATGCGCTTGAAATCCATTTCTGGCTCTCTTTCACGGTGCCCCACACGCCCCGTTCACGGCACCGAGGTTAAAAGATGCAAAGAGCTCCGCTTTAACCGCCCTCGTCTTCTCCGTGGCGCCGAATCCAACTAACAGGGTTCATGTTGCTTTATGTGACTTTTTGTCATAGTATTACGGAGTGCTTTATGTAGAAATACCCGAGTCAGAATCAGCCCGGGTTAGGCTCTGTCTGGAGCCGGGCAAACTCGGAGTTCCCCAGGCGGACAAGATTGACATCCGAAGGCCAACTAGCATCAAGAACTGCATACTCCGTACAAGCCCGCGGAGAAGGCTACGGTAGTTCGGGGCTGGGGCCGACGACGCGAAACCAACCAAGGTATAGCTCTGGACTAGATGTTATTTCCAATTATACCTAGGTTGAGCGCGGAGACGTGGTTCGTACTAAAAGGAACGAGGTGACTACTACCATTTAAGCACGGTCACGATGCGGTGCTAGGGCTAGCTCTTGCTTATCCTACTTTATAATACTAAATACCCTCCGCGTGCCCATGTTTTGAAAATATCTTTGATATCCTAGTATTGCCTTCATATTACATGTAGCCAAAGCAAGCCAGTTCCAGACTTCAGCATTGTCTCTACCCCCTTGTCCATCCTTGACCAGTTTCTGTTGGCATAGACGGCTTCGAGAGGTGTAAGGCCGCCTTTCGATTTTTCGATTACCAATACTTAGAAATCTGGATACATATACATAACACAACGACTTGACCGCGACCATGCCCATCCCATCGCTTCAAGCACCAGTCCAGATCCCTCTCGTCGACCTCTGGACATATCACCTGGAGCAGCCCAAAAGCTACCCCGTCGACAAACGTCAGTATATTACAAAGCGACTGTTTTCTCGTCTCATTTTTTGTCTTGAAATTACTACTCATTCTTCGACAAAGGTGCCGTAATATCTCACAGCTAACACAATATCCCAGCCATCTTCGTCGACTGCGACACTGGCAGGTCTCACTCCTTCAACCAGCTCAAGCATCTCGCCCACGAGTTCGGCAAGGGCCTTCGCCATGTCTTCAACTGGCAAAAGGGCGACGTCATGGGCCTCTACACGCCCAACAACATTGACGTCCCCGTACTCTACTTTGGTATTCATTGGGCTGGTGGTATCGCTAGCCCTGCCAACCCGACGTACACGCCCGAGGACCTGGCTCAGCAGCTGAAGGACTCTGGCTCAAAGGCTCTTCTTACTCAGAAGCCGTTTTTGGAGGCTGCCCGCAAGGCTGCGGCGCTTGCAGGCTTGTCCGCGGACCGGGTTTTGCTGATGGGAGACGGACGGGATGAGACGGGAGTCCACAGGCATTGGACCGAGATTACTGCCCAGGGAGCCCCAGTCCAGCCTCAGAAGCCCCAGATTGACCCCAAGAAGGATCTGGCCTATCTCGTGTACAGCTCTGTGAGTGTGCCCATTTTCATGTGAATTTCTCATTGGCGACTAATACGTTCAATTAGGGAACAACTGGCATGCCCAAGGGCGTGATGCTCAGCCACTACAACATGGTTGCTCAGTCCGCTCAGGCGGAGAAACAAAACGACATCAGATGCATCTTAGGAGAAGTAGACACTCAGCTGGGCGTTCTTCCCTTCTTCCATATCTACGTACGTGCGTCCCTGGGAGACGAAACAGAACCGCAATGCTTTAAATCATATACTAACATCAATATCTTCATTCATCCAGGGCCTCTTTGTTGTATTGGGCACCACAATCCATACCGGCGCCAAATGTGTCATCATGCCCAAGTTCGACATCGAAAAGGCATGCAAGTTGATCCAGGACAATCACGTCACCTTCATGTATGTGCCGCCGCCCATCGTCCTCGCCCTGGGCAAGCACCCCGTCATTTCAAAGTACGACTTGTCGTCGCTGCGATGGATCACGTCAGCCGCTGCCCCGTTGAGCAGGGAGCTGGCCGTTTCGGTGTGGGACCGCCTCAAAGTCGGTGTGAAGCAGGGATACGGACTGTCCGAGACGTCTCCCGGCGTCATGGTACAGCTGCCGGAAGAGTGGTACAAGTATCAGGGCTCCGTAGGAAGGCTGTATGCGAATATGGAGGCCATGATTGTGGATGAGGACGGTAAAGAATTGGGCTATAACGAGGTAAGAAGCATATTGGCGGAGATTTCTACTGCTGAGATTCTTTCTAACAATGATGAAAATACAGTCTGGAGAGCTTCTCCTCAAGGGACCAAATGTCTTCTCAGGCTACTGGAAGAGACCTGAACTCAACAAAGAGAACTTTACTGAGGATGGCTGGTACAAGACGGGTGACATCTTCTACTGCTGTCCCAAGGGCAACTTTTACATCACCGACCGCAAGAAGGAGCTCATCAAGTACAGTAAGTACAACATCCTCACCCACATCATCAGGCACATTTCAACAATAGGCGAATTCTAGCCGTGCTTGTCTTATCCAGTATGTGAGAAACTAACTCTCCCACCACAGAGGGCTTCCAAGTCCCCCCCGCCGAGCTCGAGGAGAAACTCATTGGCCGCGAAGACATTGCCGACGTCTGCGTCATCGGCATCTGGGACAAGGAACAGCACACCGAGATTCCGCGTGCCTATGTCGTGCTCAGGTCCGGCGTCGAGGAGTCTGAGGCCAAGGCCAAGGAAATCACCGAGTGGCTCAATGCAAAGGTCGCACCGTCCAAGAAGCTGCGCGGAGGCGTGCGCTTCATCAAGGAGGTTCCTAAATCTCAGGCAGGCAAGATTCTGCGGAGATTGTTGAGAGACCAGGTCAAGAAGGAGGAGGAGGCGGAGGCAGCGGCACCAAGGGCGAAGCTGTAAGTGGAAGAGAGCGGGCGTTTTGGGTTCATGGTAGAAGAGGTCGTGTAATTTTAGCCGTTGTTTAATTGTACAATTCGACGCCGCAGATGACTTTGTAAGAAGTCTCATCTAGTGCCAATATAAGAAATACACATGAACGGGTCTACCGTTTCATCTATCCTGGTGTTCATAAAGCTGTCTATTTTCCATCACGTCAAATCATCCCAATCTTTCAGCCTCCTCTAGAAGCTTTTCAACGCTGAATCTCGGATCGCCCTTTGTAAACCATTCGAGCAGCTTCTTTCTTTCTTCCGCCCTCTCTTTTCTATGTCCATCCAGCTCGTCGCCCTTCTGCTCCCACCCGCCGTAGAAGCGCTGCAAGCACATAACCAACCATCTTGCGTGGTCCGGCTGGACGCCCCGCCCTTCCATGACCTGGCCCTGCATGAGAACCAGGCCCTTATCCTTGATCAGATCGAGGTGATGCGTCACAGTGGTATGTGGCTGCGCAAACTCCCCTCTGGTCTTGTACTCAACCAGCTGCGTGAACAGCACCGTGCTAGTCTTGGACGCTGAATCAAAGGTCCACTGCAGAAGGTGGATTTCTGCGCCCTGGTCCTCATGTGGCACCGGAAGGATAAAGAAGGGACTGCTGCGCGCCAGATCCTCCATCGCTTCGTATGTTGGCGCAGGGATGACGGCGCAGAGCGTCTGCGGAGACGAGGCATGGCGAAGGCGCCAGATGGCTGTGAGTTCCTTCTCAGGCAGGTCGGCGACCTTTTCGAGGTCGAGAATATCGCCAAGGGGTTTGATAGCGGGCTTTTCGCCAGAAGAGCCCTTCGGAGCGGGCTTGGGGGAGGATGGCACAGGCCCACGATACGGCTGGGAGACTGGTGTGCCCTCGGTCTGCGGGATAGATGCCGAGGACAGATCCTCTATTGAAGGAACGTCTATGGCGTCATTCTTGCGCTGTTCTTGTATCTTGTCCGCATACGCGGCCTTGAGGTCCTCAATGCTTCCGTGGCCCTCCTGCGACGCCTTTTGGCTGAGTTTCTCGCGGTACTTCTCGAGGATCACCTGCGAAGGCTGCGTCGTGTGGAATCGGACGTCGACGACCTGCGCCCAGCGCCGCTGCTGGGCGGATCGAGTGGCGAAGCGCACCGAATTGGTCGCCAGATGCCTCAATGTCGGTATTCGAATCATGGTCGAGGCAATGAAGCTGGAATTGGTTGTGCGAGTGCTGATTCAAGCAAAGAAGCAAGTCGAACGCGGGATTCTTCCGTCATTGCCAAAAGTGGGGCCCGAGTCCCAAGAAAAAAACACCCCACCATGGCCGATGTTCGTCCTGGCGGAATTGCGATTTTGGCGTCCTTCCGCTCGTTAATGTTTACAAATCCGTCCTTGCTCTGCATCCGAGTGGCCTAAAACGCCCTGAAGCGACGCTCTACAGAAGAGAATCCTTGCTGGAAACTCCAATTCTCATCCCGAGGGACACAAGGAGCGGTGTAGTCGTCGGCAGAGAGCGGCTGGTCGTACAAAAGTTACCCCGCGATAGTGACTGGGATTGGACGCTCAGACTCACCGAGACTTGCATGATAACGTTGGATCGACCATTGGGGGAGCGCTCGCTGCAAGAGAGCTGACAGACAAAGGTCTCTGGACTTTTTTTGGACTCTGAATCATTTGGGAACCACCCGGGTTCTTGTTTAGGCTTTACTCAGGCGCATAGAAGTCATGGCCGACTTTCGGCAGCTGGCCCTCGACTTTGTTCTCGAGGAAGATGAGGCCAAACTAACGGATTTGGCCCAGAGGGCGGCCAAGGGTATGTTTTATTTTGAAGCTTGGAAACGTAATATGTCTAACTTGTGTCCTTCCTTAGAGCTCGAGACAGCTCCGGCCAATTCCAACCCTGTTGCCCGGTGGGTAGAGGCTGTTCAGCCGTGGATGCCTGGTAACGAGACTGAAGATTCACAAGAAACTCCTGATTGGACATCAAGAGCGAAGGGTGAGAAAATAGCTCTCATCTTCTGGTCATAGCGATGCTGTACTAATTTGAATGCGATTCAGCTTTGGAGTTTCTGTCTCATACGTTGGATTTTGTGAAACCAGATCTCCTGAAATTGAGCCAAGGTAAACATGACCCTTAGATGCTGACACGACCCAGTTCGACTTACAGTATTTTCTAGTGAAACTCTTGATTGCCTTCTTCGGCGCCATGCTCGATATTGACCACAAAGCTGGTATCCTAGCTTCGGCCACGGCCTTGTCTCGGATTATAGCAATGAAGGCATTTCAGTCGCAGAGTGGCTACGACATCATCGGTAAAGTGTGCGGTATGAAGGAAGATTTCCAAAGGCAGACTGCCAAGACTCGTCTTGCAGTTTATGAGTTGCTGAGAACACTCATTGTCACCCCTGAAATCGCGAGCAATTTACAGCAACGGGACGGCCCCTCCTCTACATTCATGACCAATCTGCTGGAGCTGTGCCGGAATGAGAGAGACCCAGACTGTTTGATTGTGTGGTTTGACATACTGAGGATTTTTCTCCAGCAATATGAGCCTTCCCAGGAGGTCCTTGAGGCTGTCTTTGCTGCCTTCAAGGCATACTACCCCATCACCCTACCGCGCTTGTCACAAAGCGGCATTACCCCAGAGGATCTTAAATCTCAGCTTCGGAAATGTTTCTCGTCAACTTATCGTCTCGCATCTCTTTCGCTGCCATTTTTGATAGGCAAGCTTGACCAAGGAGACGGTGTCACGGTCAACGTCAAGGTAGGCTGGTTTTATTCTTTTCTTCAGTATTCGACGAATCTCATGTTTTTTTTAGGTCGATGTTTTAAAAACCATTAAAGAGTGTCTCGAAGAGTACACAAACCCAGAAGAATCCATTATTCCATACGTTAGTCGGACCTGGGGTAGTCTCAAGTATGAAGTACGAAACGGAGAAATCGAAGATGCCATCTGGGCTACTCTCGAAGTGTTGAAAACGCTCGCAACAAGGCTCAAGGGGGACGATCTTCGAAACTACACGCTAGATGTGACACGCGACTGCGTTAACGACCTTTCGAATCCAATGTACACTACTCCAGCTGGCCGTCTCATCGTTAGTGTTCTCAGCGCAAATCCAAGCGCATTTGTTCTCATGGTGGCGCCAACAATCACGCACCTTAAGGATAATCTACGACACCGGAAATCAGTGACCCATAGCCAAGACCTGCTGAAAATACTTAATGTCATCCTGGAAACTCGACTTCTCTTATCGCAGACACAGATGACAGATGAGCAAAAGAGCGATTTCGTGGCTATTGACGGCATCTTCAAGAATCTTTACCACGAGGTGTATAAAGGCCCCGTCGCACTTGGAAGCAATGAAAACGCTAATTTCGACGACATGAAAATTGCAGCAGAGGCTGTTCAGGGGGCGGGTGCGTTGGTCTCCCAAGGAACTGTGCCGCTTGGGTTGGAGAAAGATAGTGGGCTGCTTCTGCCAGAAGCAACAAGTTCCGAAATCTGCCAAGCACTTTTCGCCATTGCACTAAATGGCTTTGGTAACCATTCTTCAAATTCGAATTCGGATGATCTTCTGAACGAGACGGCCAAGGCCCTACACAGAGCCATCCAAGCCTACGCACCAGGTTTCCGACCTCTGGTAGACCAGTTTGTGTCAGTCGTTCAGAGCAGTCGTGAGAATCAGAGTGATGAAGCTGCTGAGAAAATCCAAAAGATTGGCTCTCTGTTGGCTTATGTTGGATGCTCCGAATTACCCAAATCTCTTATCGCTGGGCGACATAATTTCCTGGCCCTGGTTCATATCATGACTACTGAACTAATTGCGGCGATAGACGCAAAAGCTAGCCCAAAGATTTGGTGTGCGTTGATTATCGGTATTCAGACTACCTCTCGTTACTTCAATGACGCTTGCTTGAAGCATGAGCCAGAGGCAGACCAGGCTTTCGATGGCTCTATGTGGTTGTACCGGGTTACTTACAAGTATCCAGAGCTAAGAATCATTGCAGGAGAAGAAGATGACGGTTCGGCGCCAAGTTACAGTAGTGCAACACCGCCGAAGGAAGTAACTGCTACTGAGCTCCGCAATGACTTTTTGCTCATTGCTCTGGTGGTTGTTCGGAGTCTTTATCGCCGCGCCACGGCTGTAGTTGGCCCTATCCCGGGTACTAAGAGTCCGGCACTTCAGCTCAGCAGCGACTTTGATGGCTCTGACAAGACATCCGAGTATCAGTATCTCCATCTTGTCTCCGACTTTGCCGGCTTCGTTGCTCGCGAGATGGGTGAAGCACAGCAGGCTTCACTGAAACTCGATCATTACTTTTTGAATCTATTCCAAGAGGAACTAGTACCCGTGCCTCCCTCCATATCAGAGGAACAGAGAAAGACCAAGCTGGAGAAGTACACAGATGAGCAAGGATCATCATGGGGTTGGTTGACGGAAAAGACGGTCAATACTCTTTCTTTCGGACTCTTGGAGGCCATGAGACCGTCTGTTGTTGCAAAGCTCGTGAGTCATCTCCCATATTTCTCCCTGTCTCCTGAATCTCTCCCTCAATTCTAACTTCCTGAATAGTTTGACTCTGGAGTTGCGCAAGAGCTTTTAATCAGCGGTACTTTGAGTGCATCTCTCACCCAGAACTCGGTCACAAGACCTATTACCAGATCTATCCTGACTATTCTGGCGAACAAGTACAAGGTTGAGAGCCTCGGTTATCTGATGGCCAGGCTGGAAAGTCGATTAGAAGCTGCCTTGAAAAATGCTCAAAATTCTTCCGACAACGATGACGCCTCACGCTATCTGGAACAGGTATCCTCCATCTACGCAATCGTCAGCGGTCTGATACGTCGGCCAGGCGGCACACAAGCTCGAGCCCTGATTCAGCGGTTGCGAGATGCCCCCGGAAATGAAACCACCGGTCATCTGCTGGCTCGTAGATTGGAGATGGTTGTTGCACCGCAAAAGTTCTTGACAAAAGACAGCTTTGCCGTTGTGAAGCCGCTTTGGACGCAGAGGATTTACTTCGAATTGGTCAAGCCCATGCTCGACATTGCAACAAGCCAAGATGCCGAAGCTGGAAGTCAGCTTGTCAAGACCAATTATAGGATTGCCGTTTTATCAATGGTGAAGCACATGCCATTTTCCATTTGGGAAGACGACTGCGTGGAGATCCTTCGCGTATCAATGGCATTGTCGCAAAGCTTGGGTCCTGGTCCTGATACCCTGCCCGCGCTCGAGATACTCAAAAACATCTTGGCAGAATCTCCAGAAAAAGCCCAAGAATACGCCAAGAGCCTGATCGACATCTCGCTGCCTTGCTTCTCACTCAAGGCCGCATCACAGTTGACGCGGCCAGACTGGCTACCCTCGGGCTACGTCCCCGCAAAAATGCGCCCCGAGGTCGAGGCCGAGTGCGGAAAGCTGGCCCTGGAAGTTGTCGGTGCGCTGCCGCGGCTGTTCGAGTCGAGACACGTCGTACCGTTTGTTCCACAGGTGCGGAGAGAGCTTTCCCTGGCATGCGGGCATCCGGTGCGGGATCTGCGGAGACTGGCGAGAATGGCCCGGGCCGCGTGGACGGAAATCAAATAAGGTAGGATGACGGTGGGACAAAGCACTGTAGAGTATTTATAGATATTTTGGAGAGAATTTGGGGTGGAGATATTGGGCGTTAGACAAGGCCGAAATGGATAGACTTTACGCTTTGTTGTGATGACACCAAATTGTTCCAGACATGAACCGCTCAAGTGCGGTAGCAGATAAAGATAATTCGTCTTCATGATATCTGCTACCACTATATCAGGGCATCGAGCAGCACCAATGGAGTCTCTACTGAACATACTCTGTCTAGAATGACTCTTGTGAAGAGTGGCAGTCATCATTCTGAGGCCTCATGAAGTAAGAAAAGGGGTAGTAAAGAGGAGGAGGAGAAACTCATAGCCAAATCTACATGCGCATCATTCATTCATTAATTCAAAAAAAAAAAATTGTTTCCTTGTCCTCCTGGCAATCGCGCCCTATCCTTACGGGGTATCAATCTTCACATCGTCCAGACCCCGCGAGATGATTTCTCCCGCCAGCTCAATCTCGAGCTCAATATCCGGCTGAGCTTCCTCATACAGCCAATGCTTCTCACCCGCCATCATATAATTATTCATTGCAAGTTCATGCGGAATGATGCTCTTCTTCAAGCTCGGATTGCCCGCACAGGCAGCCTCGACCTTGAGCTGAATCTCACAGCTGCGCTCCACCAAGCCCAACAAAAAGGCAGCCTCATCGACAGTCTGTCCAACAGTGATGATGCCGTGGTTAATGAGCAGGGCAGCCTTACCCTTGGGACCAAGTGCCTTTGCAATCTGTCTGCCCTCCTGCTCGGCCGTCACGATGCCGGCGTACTCGGTGTCCACGGCGAGGACACCGTAGAGGTCGCAAACGTCCTGGGTGATCATGTCGAGAGGCTTACCAAAGGCGCACCAGGCACGACCGGCGATGGTGTGAGCATGGCAGATGGCGTGGATGTTGTGGCGCGCCTTGTGGACTTCAGAGTGGATATAGTAGCCGGGGTTATTGACAGGACGAGTCTACAACAAAGTCAGCAGTATACCCTTGATCGATTCATCCAAATAGATGCGGATTAGATTCTCATACCCTGTTACCACCGACAATCTCGCCATCGCTAATTCTCAAGCAGACCATGTCACTGCCGTTGAGGAGGGCAAAGTGCTTGCCAATGGGGTTCATCCAGATCAAGTCCGGGAACTCTGGGTCGCGAACCGAGATGTGGCCGGAGATGCCTTCAGTGTAGCCATGACGAGCCCAGTTGCGGAAGACGGCGGCCATGTGCAGCACAATGTGCTTGCGGTGCTCGTGAAAGGAGGGGAAAGTAGGGATGCCTGATGCAGTGAGTGGTTAGCGGAGGGTCTGGATGAGGCATTGTAATGAGATGTTTATGAGATGGGATGAAGATGAATGGATGAAGAAGATGATACAGGTCTGTTCTCAAAACCAGAGAAATGGTGGGCTATTTTGGCGAATGACAAATGGGATGGATGTACCTCGCAGAGGATTGGGCCCGCGGCTAAGATTGGCCAACTGGCACTCCATCTCTTCTTCTTCAGCAGCAGCGACGTTCATTTTGAGGACGCTCTGCGGCTGGCTCTGTTCCTCCTCAGTGGCTGTAGCAGTGGGTGGCGCCATGACGACGACGACGATGGTGTTTTATAGGCAGAAGATAACAAACAGCCGGGGGGATCAAAGGGTGAGTGGGTGAGGCGGGAGATGGCTCCTTGTGTTACAGAGGATACAAAGTACGAGCATCCGGCTCATGCCCAACGGCCATCTCACGGGTGTTTATACTCGTCGGTCTCGCAGACAGCAGATGCAAGGGGTGGAGAGGCTTCCGATGACGGCCAATGGCCATTTGGCTGATGTGAAGCCTGACGTAAGTTGGGTTTGGCGTCCTCTGTGGTCAGCCGTTAGTTCGTCGTGGATTTCCTATTCTGGGCTCACCTCATCTTCGCCGAGTCGCACTTGTATGCGCTTAGCCGGGGCGCCAGCTGCGGTTAGCGAGTTGTTGCGAATTGCTATATGCGGGGGATCCCCCACATGTCGGCCCGACATGCATATATGCAGTACGGAGGAGATGGCTTCAGTTGTCTCTTGGATGGACTATTGGGCTTGGGTATCCATGTTCTTTGCAGGACGAGCGATATTTTGTTGTGTCTTTATTTACAATTGATTGGCTAGGAGTAGTAGTAGCTGCAATGTCATTTGGTTTTAGCGGCTGAGGATATTCGTGATTGTCATCCGTGTGCAAAGTATTACCTCCAAGTATTAGTCGATCAACTCACCAACCCACCATGAAGCACTAAGATAGGTAGCCAGCCGCAGTGGGATACATGGATTTCCCCCCATACTCGACGTAGTGCCAAAATACAATTAATCACCGAGTCCAGCCCGGTCTCCTGCGCCCTCTCAAGACATTCTCGCGGTGCGCTGAATAATCCCGTCGAGGAAAAACACCTGCATGAACAGCAGTTTCTTCCCCAGCACCTGCAACTAGCCGAGCCCGACGATATCCCTTTGATGCATACGGATATAAGCTGCTGCCAACCACAGCATGAGCACGAGCACAAGCGGAAACCCGCCGCAGGAATGAACCTATAGAGGTAAATTACAACTACATTCGAACACTGATCGTAATTGATGAATAGCACGTAGATGAACTCGTAGGAAAACACATCTGCTTGATGTCCAGATGCTCAAAAAGTCTATTTCCCCATAGTCCCCCCCCTCTCATGCAGCAATTCCACCACTTACACGACCCCATAATCTGTGCTGCGCCTCACCTCTTTTCAACGACATGACTCCCCCAGCCATTCTCACCCTCAATCCCCTCAAACACCAAACAATCACATTCACAAACCATAATGGCATCCCGAGAAGAAGCCCTCAGGCTCTGCATCAGCCTCGCCCGCGAAGCCCTTGAAGCCGGCGACGCCCCCTTCGGCTCCGTCCTGGTCGACGCCAACGGCACCATCATCCACCAAGACCGCAACCGCACCGTCACAGGAGAAGCCGGAAACCTCCAGGCCGATGCGACGCTGCATCCCGAACTGACGCTTGCTCGATGGGCGCATCTCAATATGACGCCCGAGGCGCGCGCATCCGCCGTCGTGTACACGTCGGGCGAGCACTGCGCCATGTGCGCAGCGGCTCATGCGTATGTCGGGCTGGGCCGGATCGTGTACATTTCCTCCACGGCGCAGTACCAGAGCTGGATGGAGGAGGCGAATGTCGAAAAGGGGCCCGTGGCGGCGCTTCCGATCAATGCCGTTGCGCCGCACATTGAGGTTGAAGGACCGGTTCCGGGCCTGGATCTGGAGGTCAAGGCGCTGCATCAGCAGAGGTGGCAGCGACGGAAGCTGATGGCGGAGTCAACGGCCATCAAGGCTTGATCAGACGTGTATTCGGTCGACTGTATTGATGGAGCGTTCGGTGGCATTGAGATTGGAGCATTCGTAAACTCGATTGTTGATGGTATGCATCGCCGCATGCATCGCCGCATCGATAGGGAGGACATGAAGGCTGGCTCATGTGTTTTAAACCATGTTCAATGCAGAGCGCTTGACTCCGTTTCTCGAATCTGTCTGTTCGTCGCCACTCACCTTGTTTTCCACTGAGGATTTGCTCTGTCTTCATGACAAACGACCAGCTGCAAGCATCCGGTGCCCATTCTCTTGAAGCCGCCATTGCTCCCCAAGAGTGCGTCTAGGAGCGCTGCTATGGAAGTCTAGAGCGGCATGTCTTCGACCTGAGAGAGCATTTCTGCTATACCTTGGTGGTGATGTGAAGGCATCTTGCATGGACTTGCATTGCAAAGAGAGGACAGGTAGGTGCATGCGATAAACGCACCGGGCAAGGTGGGATGAGACCGCGTATGTGGCCAGGCACTGGCTGTTCCTCTGTTTGAACACAACAGCGTCAGTCACCGTACAAAGCAGTATCACATGTGAGCGAATGCGGAATTCTGTTTGATGATTGGACCATCCGGGCCGCATCTCTAACCGGCAGCCCGGACTCAAATCACGTAGCACAACGCAGTCAAACGGAGCCGCGCGTAGGTAAAGCACGCGCGCAGCACGCGTGCTTGCCATGACTGCGAACGCTTCTAGTGAAGGAGAATCTCCTTCGAACCGTCCATGAAAGAGAAAACCTAGGGAGCATCAGCGGTAGCAGCAACAGTAGCAGCAGGAATCCCTGTAGTTGTATGGGCTCCCAGCAGCAAGCGGCCACAACCTAGATGAATGCCAGCCAGCATTCACCTTTTGCCCGTTTTCCGTTTCCCATTTCCCATTTCCCGTCTCTCATCCCCCCTTCCCATCTCACTCTCCACCCCCATCAATCTCTGATCACCGCCTCAACACGGCTGACAAGGCAGTAACTGCCTCTACCATGGGAGCGTCAGAAACATTGGTCAACGCCAGAGATCGTGTTCGCGGCTGTCTGCAGCTAGGATGCTGATTTCTATGTACATGCAAACCGAATTGGCCATTTCCAACGGCATGTCACATGGTTCTGGCCCAAAGCGTCGTGTAAACTGCCTCATTGTTCCATAATCCAGAAGGCTTGTCGTAATTGGCACCTCTTTGCACATCCTCGTATGAAGGGAATGGAAGAGTGCAAGAGCTCTATGACAGGGAAAGGGAGTACGCAAGATACATTATGACAGGAATGCATGCAGAGAAATGGACTGGGAGAACGCTTCCCCTCGTCCCTATACTTCACATTGGTCTGAGGCTCTCCTCTCGACCCTTGCTTGTTGAGTACGTGCAAACGCTCTGGCCTCCAAAGCGCTGAATCACTTAGTGAATTTACTTTCCGCAGGTGCTTTTACTGATATCTAGATCCAAGAGGTAGGCACTCAGAGGCAGACACGGAAGAACTGCGTTGATGCATTCTACGTCCATGTCGGCTTGTTGGCCCGTACTCTGGATTTGCGGCTGGCTTGACGTTTCAACTTATTTTTGCATCACGGGCGGAACGGGTACTCGCAACTGTAGTGACTGATGTGACATCTTGAGCATTGGTCGTTTGGGTTTGGCCATGGCCATTCATACATATATAAAAAGATGTCCTTCAGCTCAGGCCCAGGTCTTGCTCAGCTGGTGTCTGATAAACGATTGCAAAGTCTGGTCCTCTTCCACTTCAACAACAGCGACAAGGACGAACAGAAACCGTCGACAAAATGCAGAGCCATCCCAGGCAGTTCGTCAATGCCCTGCTCGCACGTCGACGGGAGCGTGCCACCAGTACCGCTCTTATGGCTAGCGCGCCGGCCTCGTCTGAGGAAGATGCCGTTCCTCCCATACTCCCCTCCGGCGAAGAAACTGCTGTACCAACCATGATCCTCCGGTCTGAGGAAAATGCCGTTCCTCCTACGATGGTCCCGTCTCAGGAAGATGCTATTTCTCCTGCGCCCGGCTCGTCTGAGGATAACGCCGCTCCCGCCACAGGCCCCCCGTCTGGCGACATAAGGCCCGCGGATCAGCTCTGGAACGAGGTGTGGATGGAAACGAAGGGGGTGGATGTGTTTAAAAGTGGGCAGAGCTACGAATCTTTTCGTCAGTCCATTCTCAACATGTGCAGCAAGTATGAGGAACGAGGCGACACCAAGTGTCTGACTGCCATCAAACCTGTTGTTGACGGGCTGCTGTCCATCAGCCAAGCTATCACAAATCTGGCAAAGATAGACTACTTGTTACCTTTGTTGTGGGGTGGAACTCAGATCTTGTTGGAGGTGAGTAGTGCCCTTGTTCCTCTTACTCCCAACTGAGGAGTCGTCTCGGGTTACCAGTTCAAAGAGTGCGAAAAGCAACCACGACATTTTATCGAGCATCAAAGTATTGCTTCGCGGCCTCGACAAAATGATGCCACGGCTAAAAGATTGTTTCAACATGTTCCCTGACAACACACGCCTGAAGGAAGAATTTAGCGACCTGTGTACAACTTACCTGGAGGCGTGTATTCGCACGGCACACCATCTTCAAAGGGCAGCTTGGAGTGAGTATCCGACTTGCATGCCTCCCTATCTGTGCTAACCTTGTATGCTCTTCGAAGGGAACTATCTCCGAGCAGTTGTCAGATGCGGTAGCGACGGTCGACACTTTACCGCTGCAATTGCCAAGCTGGAAAAATTCGAAAGGATTATCCATGACGAGACGATGCTGGCTTTGGCCATGCATATCATGCATGGCCGATCGTCCCTTAGTGGGAGAGCGCCAGCTTTGACAATCCCAGCTTCGACAGCCACAACTTCGACGGCCACAGCTGATCCGGCCACAGTTTCGACAACCCCGGCTTCGACGGCCACAGCTGATCCGGCGCAAGACGCCTAGCGGATACCAGCCGTTCGTCATCCGGGAGGAGACGCGACGCGCTGGACGCAGAGGTCTTCTTTGGTGGAGGAGGAGGAAGGGGGGGGGGGGGGGGCGGAAGAGGAAGATGTGTGATTTAGCACACGATTTTGCTTGATTCCTTTGGGATTCGATGTTTTGTTTTTCTGTGTTTTTGTTGTTCTGTTGTCTTTTTTTCTTCTTCTTCTTTCTTCTTCTCTTTTTTTTTGTTTTTGTCTCTTCTCTTTTCAGCGACGCACGAGCGGGCCAATTGCCGGTGTCGCATGTGTTCTGTTTCTATTCATGGCTCTTTGTTCATTTTCGTTTGCACTCTTGCTGTTCTAGACGGGGCATTGTCGCGGGGGCGTTCTTTCCTGTTTCTAGACTGATAATGCGGGGCTACTTGACGTCCTTAGATTGTATCCATGACCAATACGGAGTAGACAGTATCTTATCCTTTTTTCTTCTTTTGTCCCAGTCATGCCTCAACTTTTGACATTGGCATTTTTATTTTTGAACAACGTGCAACGGCGTTGAACAAAAGAAGCGACAAAAATAGACGCATTCTCTGCAATGGCCGCAACGTGTCCCGAGCACTACTCCAGACCGCAGAAAAACGAGCTTCATCAAAGACGGGACTCGCGAGCTTTGGATGCAGACTGACCTCTCTTTGGCCGTAGATACAGCTGCTTTCCGTGCTCAGGTTGTTCAGGCACACAATGTTGTTGGTCAAATGGACTGGGCATTGCCTTGCCCATCAAAGGACGCTACCAAAGCAGGATGCCCATTGAAGCCTCTTTGCATCGTTTTACGCACCAGGGATAAGTATATAAATATGGCCTCACTTTCCAGTTGTATTGGCTCATCAGAATCTTTAATTCTGCGCAATCGAAGCCCCTCTATACTACAACAGTCCAGGACCATTCATTACCTACACAATGTAAGGCGCTCCCCTACCCTTTTTTCTTCACCCATATTCCAAGTGAGACGATGTGACTGAGCCAGGCGTAAATAGGGCGGGAGCCATTACCAAGTCTGCGGACAAAATAGTTCAGGATCTCAACAAGGCCCGCGCTGGGGTCGTCAAAATATTCCAAAACGCTGGCATCGTCGGCTTAGCTACCCACGTCATATTTCAAGGCAAAATTATATGGACAGCAAACATGGGTTACGAGAATCTCCAATTCAAAGTGCCCATGGATTCGAACACCATTCTCCCCATCGGCGCTTTGAGTCAAGGCTTCACAGCGGCTTGCGTGGCTCAGCAGGTATACAGAGGAGAGTTAAGCTATGATACCAAAGTTTCAGCTATTTTCCCCCAAGTTAAAAACAAGGATGCAACGATCGGTGATCTTCTCGGCCATCGCACAGGACTTCAAACACCTGATAACCTGCTACAGGCGAAGTATGCTTGTCGTTTCAGCATGGATTGGGGCCCAATAGACAAATTTGTACAGCTATTCAATGATCTTCAGCCTCAGGCGAATCTACGATCTCAATTCCTTCACAATAGCATAGGATATGCTCTGCTCGGAGGGGTCGTTAGAACGAAAAATAACTATTACTATGTGAGACAACTGAAAGAGAATATTCTGGAACCTCTCCAAATGGCTCATACCAAAACGGTATGGCTAGAAAAACATCAGTCGGGACCAAGGTACAGTGCTGGGTCTAATGGCTCGCAGTATGCCCATGAAGTAGTGAATTGCCTTGACACGGAAGATTTTCAGCTATCAGCGGCTGTTGGAGGCATGACCAGCACCACAAATGATTTGGCCAAGTACTGTATCGCTCTGAATAAAGCATGGAAACGCCGTGGTCCTGCAGCAGATGATGAGGCTCGGAACCTCAGAGGCAATGAGGTGTTTCCTGATGTGGATTTGCTGTTCAACCCGCTCCAACCCATGGGAGACATTGCAACCGATGGAAAGGCAAAGAAAAACCATGCCGCCGGCTGGGCGACTTGCACCCTACCTGCTGCCATTGGCGATATTGGAATCAACCCAGGACTGATAGACATGCCAATTCTCGGAGGCGGCAGCGCTCCAGTCAGGATGATCTGGAATCAGGGCATGTACGACTGTGCCAACGCTTTTGTCGCCCTGCTGCCGGAATACGAAGCCGCAGTCATAGTGTTGGGCAATACGACGACGGGGAGTGACACGGCAGACTGGATTGGGCAGCATTTGATCCAGGCACTTCTGGACAGTCCCTGCAAGAATGACTACCCCTTCCTCGCTTCAATGAGCGCACTCAACGCGCGCCAGAAGTACTGGGAGCTCGTTGCTAAATTAGAACAAGGCCGACAAACCAAAGGGCCTCAGAGGCCTCTTGACCAGTATAAAGGTTTGTACCGAAACGCTTCGGGTCAAGACATATATATCAGAACGCGATCGCTTTTAGGAAGGATGCAGCACGAAACGGACTCGGAAGACGAAGATTTAGCAAAGGGGGGCAAAAAAAGAAGAAAGAGCCCTCTCATGATCTGTTTCACAGGGAGTATTCTCCCAGAGCATCCACTACATTATCATCATGGAGATACCTTTACATGGCTCCAGTCGTGGAATAAAATGCTCAAGGGTGAGTTTCGTGTCAGCTACCATCCAGAGTATTACTCTATCCGGTTCCAGCCAAACAAAGACGGTAGCGGAATAGACTCGTTCGTTTGGGTCAATGATCCAGCGAAGCCTGAAGGGGAAGTCTTTACTCGACATCCTGCATGGTGGGAACTAATTTGAAAAAAAAAAAAAAAGAAGGACCGCAAAATGAATATGTGCATCATGGAGACAATAAGAGCACTATTTCGAGGTATTTAGCGCGGTTGATGTATGCGTACTGCGCAATTCTGTGTGCCGATCGTTGTCCCAGTCCCTCTGTTTTTTTTTTTTTTTTGCAAACCACTTTTGGGTGGTAACAAGTTGCGTTTATCGACTCGTCAAGCCACAGCCTCGCGGCATCACACTTGTACATGGACCCCCTCCCAACAGTGTTTTTCACCCTTGTTCTTTTCACCCTTGTTCTTTTGCGCAAATGAGAGTTTTAGAGTAGCTGAGATAGCAATAACAATATGCGTTTATTTGACTCGTTCAAGCCACACAGCTTTTGCGGCATCGTTGGGACTTTTGGTCTCTCGGAGGCGGAATGCCCTTGAAGCGGGCTGCAGCCTCAAGGTTTACGCTTGTCATACTGGACAAGAGGGGGAATTCTGCATGGACAAAAGTTTAAACGCATCTGGGGACCGCTCACGAGACGCCACGCGGACCAGGAACGCGAGGGGGCGCCACAGGAGAAGAGAAGTCTGCCCGATGGTTGGCTGGAGCGTTTTGGGGTTTTTTTGGGGGGTTTTTTTTGTTTGCGTTTGCGTTTGCTGTTTGACATCGTCACAGGTACGTACCTAATGGTGCTATTACCTGTATTTACTACTACTACCTACCTACATAATACTACCTAGGTACCTGTGAAGAAGAAAGAAGTTGAAAAAAAAAAACCTGTCTGATGGATAAGCGTTGCCGAGCACCGACAAGGCAATAGTACCCAACTGTCTACTTTAGTATGGGGATCGTACATGAGTAGTTGGCATTTGAAATGCGGGGAGAGACAGGCATCGTCACATGCCGACGTGCTTCTGAAGCGCCGTCCGTTGTCTCGTGGCTCCGCAGATGAAATGGCGCCCGATTCCTAATGCGAGGTTTCCCATTGGCAGAGGCGACATTATTCCCTGTATATATATGCTATATAATAATCATACAGGTGGCCTCGAAGAAGAGCCATTCAGAGAAAGGCGGGGAGGGGGCGCTTCTTCCTTCCGGCGGCTATATACGGAGTACTCAAGGGGGTTAAAGAAAGCCTAACACCGCCGGTCTGCCACTACAAATATGTATGGATGTGAAAGGTAGCGTTGTAATTATGTTGTCGCCCGCATGGTTAGTGCTGTGCTGCTTTTAACCTTGTCTCGTACATACGTGTGCCAATGCCAATGCATATACAAGTACGGGGGGGCGGCAGTGAATTTTTGACGGTGGATAAAGCTGTGTCCGGGGGTCGCTTATGCGGCTGGGTTTCGAAGCAAAATGTGCGGAGAAATTGCAACCCAGCTGACTATTTTACTTTTTTTTCCGCCCCCTTCTTCGACGTCGTTGTATTTTCGATAGATTGAGATTTTTAATTCCGCTCGTGCATGAGGAGGTAGTACTTGGCTGGAGGGCTGTTTCTGTAGCTAGGTACCTACCCAGAAAAGGTACAGTACAAGCACCTGTGCTCGTATTCCTCTATTTAGCAGGTACCTATTCCCTGTTTCAAACGCCGTAGTGTAAAGTAAATGAAGCAGCTCAACATTCAAGGAGCGCCAAATGATGCCCCCTTTGTCCCTTCTTCCATTCGATATTGGCGGATCCCTGGGTGTGGATAGGACGGGTGTATCCCTTGAGAAAGACGCGGAGCCAGTCCGTCCCCCTCGTGATGTGCAGCGAAGACGGACATTGCAGCTTGACATGCGGAGCAGCCGCCTAAAGAAAAAAGCCCTATCCCCTAAACAGCCCCAGCACAGTGCCGGGAATCGGCGGCTAACGACGAGGATAAAATCTACGCTACCCGTAGTGACTTCGTGCTGTCGTCGTTGCAGGAGAGAGAGACACGTGGGTGTATGACGTGCATTTTGACTATTGGATATGTATGTTGTGTAGACGGAGTACTAGGTATTATGTGAGGATTCGAATTGGGCAAGAATTTTGTGGCGCTTTCTTCAGCGGTTGGCGCTGAGCTTAGTATTGCTACACCATTGTTAGATGATGTGTGGAAGATGAGCACGGGCCTATGGATCTCTTGGTAGTAAACGGTAGTAAACAGCTGAGCTGCGGGAGCTGAAACCCGGTCGAAACCAGCTGGAAATGCGCTTGAACTGGCTGAAGCAAAACAGTTGCCCGCTGTCAAAAGAGGCTATTTGCAGTTTGTGCGAGCTCAATGTTGCAAGTACCCGGGATTGTTGCCTCTTCCGTGAGTGTACATGTAGGGCATGTAAGTACATAGCCGGATTGCTGCATACAAGAAAACCTTATACTGTAGACGAGCTACTAATTCAAAGCGACTTCGTATTTTATAAGTTTACATCTGCTAATGCATCTCTCTCCATCTCTCTCCATCTCTCTCCATCTCCTTGCATCTTGAAATTCTTAAGTACGTAGTACCACCCACACTCACTCACACACACCTATAGGTACTCAATGCTTGAGTTCGCACTGTCCGACCAGGGTTGCCCGTTGAAAGGGGGCAATATGGCCCGCCCAGGCCCAGTCATGTGCTGCCGTTGGGTTCAATGTTCGGGTATTTTTGTTGAGGGGCGCGCTGCAATGCATGCACAGGCAAGAGAGGCGTGGACGAATGTGCTGCGTTCCTTGGTCTTGGTAGCAGAGGCGAGAGGTGGTGATGGCAGAGATTGGGCCGAGACGAGTTTCATTCGCTTCCGGCTGGAACACGCCCATTTAAAGCGTGCCCCCTCTTCTGGGCTCTGGACTCTGGACTCTGCTCCCCGTTTTTGTCCTTTAGTTTCTGGTATTGTTGTGATTGTTACCGCTCTGTTGCATTTGCATTTGCATTTGCATCATCAATATCATTATCATTATCATCATCATCGCGAAAACGTGCATATAGTACCTATTGATTACTCGTACATCGGATTCTGCCGAAGCTGACATCTCCGCCCCATCTCCAGCGCACGCAGCACTCAAATCCTTCCGCCCTGCGCAGGGTCGTGCCCAAAGCTGGATCTGGAGCTGGAGCTGGAGCTGTAGCTGTAGCACAAGCAAAACGCACGGCCAACAGCAGGAAGCAGAAGCAGAAGCAGAAGCAGAAGCACAGCCAGCAACAAGCTAGCCATGTAAGTCACCAGAAGAGGAAGAAGAAAAAGGCACAACCCGAGAACTATCACCTCCATCTCCAATCTCCATCTCGTCTCGGCTTTGGTGGCTCCATCCTCCCCCCTGTCTGTCGGGGCATTAAAAAAACACATGACGCCGCCCAAAACAAGAAAGAAGAAGAAAAAAAACTTACCACCCGAGTGTCATCAAAGAACCACTTTTCCCATCTGAATGGCCTCGCATGTAATAATGCAACGCTGACTCTGCTCTCGTCTTTTCTTCGCCTCGCAGCATCACATCATCGTTCGATCCCCTTTCTTTCGTCGCGGATCCACCGAGTCCGAAGCTTAATCAGACCATTGCTCGCATCCGGAAGCCCAAGTTCCCAGCCTTAGCGGTGGAGCTGCCACACCGTCATCGCTGCGCTATCTAGAGGCCGTTATTTTCAAAACACGGGCTCGGCAAACTTAGCCTTTTCACCTCAGCACGAACCATTGACAGCATACAACACAACGTACCTTTGCTATTCTTCGAGACATATTCGACATACTCAGCGAGAAGAAAAAAAATACATACACACACGAAAAAAAAACCTATAAACATGAGCGATACACCAGACGGCCCTCCCTTGTTTCGCCCCGTCCCTCGCCGACCCTTCGTCTTCGACCTCAAGTGCTCCACGCCCACGCCCCAGATCATCACGCCGCCCCAAGACGACGAGAGTGACAGCGAAGAGCAGCGTCTCGAAGACGAGATCCTGCTCGCCCGCTTCCGCCGCGACCTGCTCAAGACTGGCTTCCTTGGCTTGCGGCCGTCCGAGGACTCTCCCCCCGACTCTCCCACCTTTCTCACCGAGTCACGCTCCACTGCAGACCTCAATTCGTCCACACTCGCGGGCATTTACGACTGTTCAGACCAGGAGGACGTCTTCAATGGCGCAGATGACGGCGAGGAGCTGCACAACCCCTGGGGGACCGGCGCCGGATCCCCGGTGAAGCGTCGCGAAAGCGTCAGCCGCGCCACATACGAGCTCATGCGGGACCGTTCGAGACGCCAGTCACACGCCAGCGCCGCCGAGTCGAGCCGCTCGAAGCAATCCACAACTCCCGCCTCCAGGGCGCTGTGGCTAGCCTCGCGAGCCCTGGTTCTGTTCGTTCTGGGAGCGGGCTACGGCGTGCTCGTCACGCACCTGCACCGGGAGCAGGGCCTGCTTCAGCTGCCCGACGCCGGCAACGGCATGCCGCAATACAACGGATCGTACACTGCCATGTGGGGGTTTGCGCTTGCTGGCGTTGGCATGGGCGCGCTGCAGCCGTGGGTTGACGGCGAGTGGGACGGCGTGTTTGGGTGCGACGGCGACGAGGCAGAGGTCGAGTCGGTCGAGTCTCTGCACGATGAGGATGAGGAGCAGTCTTTGCTGGAAACAGACTGGGCGCTGGTGATGAGAGCAATCGGCGTGTTTGTCGGTGTTGCCTTTGCAGTTGTGAGTCGAAACTCCCGTGTCACCCTTTGTGGAGCTTTGCGTTGCGTAACGTAACGTAACTTAACTAACATGCCATGACCAATGCAGCGTCGTCTCTCGTGGACATCAAGTTCACAAGTCTCATTAGCCGTGGCACTGGCCAACTTGTTTCTCTGGTGGTTGATTGACAGAACCATGCCTGCCTTGGTTGTGTCCACCGTCGTTGGCCTCGTCGGAACCCTCTTCCTACTGAGTGTCAGTCCCGACATGATCCGGGCTCCCTCGACCACGTTCATGCAGACCAACAGCAGCTTCTATGCACAACCCCATGCCGAGCCGGCAATGATGCTGGGCGGAATCGCCAGCCAAGAGACGGTCGAGGCGGGCATCTGGATCCTCAGCGTGCTGTTCTGCACATGCCTCTGCTTCGGTAACATTGGCCGAAGACTAGCCAAGAGCAAACCAAAGGGCCGCTGGGATAGACAGCAGCTTTCCAGCCGATGATGATTTTAACGCCATTGTCATGAAACCTTTTTTTCAACAAAACTCTTCTTGGGTCTTTCTTTCTTGGGTTATTTTTCAGAACTTTTGGGAAAAGCCTCATGGAAACGGAAACTGGTAAAGGGTCAAAGCGGGATTTCTGGACAAGCATTTTGCATTTTCATTTTGCATTTTTTTTTCTTATTCTTTCTTTGGAGTCGGGCTCTCCGGAGCAGCGATGGCATGCATGCATTATATAGCGGATACCCTGGACAGGTATTATTGCGGTTTATTCAACGGAACAATTTTAGGGATGACGGCGCTTTTCAACAAGGGAAATGGGTACAATGTATTAAGTAACCTCGTTTACCATGACGGAAATCTTTATAGAGGGCATTTCGGTATTACAGAGAGTTATCACGACGCATGAGGTTTTGCAAACACTTGGGGAATTGCACTACCCTGCAGTAAACACGAATTCTCAGATGACTAATTGCCGCTACAAATGGTGTGTGTTTCCAATCGCCTTGTGAAGAATGTACAGCCGAGGTAAATCAATCCTGTAAATCATCTTTGTCTCAATACACCCGCATATCATACAAGCCGCACGAGTTCCTTGCCATTTTGTTCTTAACATAGCATCAACTACCTACATAGACTAATAACCCAAATACTCCCCAGCATTACCATCACCACCGCTACGCTAATATTCACAACTCACCCTCTCCCCCCCCCCCCTCACTCATATATACCCAAACACATCCACGCAGTCGCAGCCACAACTCAAACACACACAATGCGCCGCCTCCCCGCCTGGTTCGTCCGCAGCGGCACCTCCACCGGCCTCCTCTTCAACCGCGCCTCCCTTCCCCCCGTTCCCTGCCAGTGGCAACCCATCCTCGCTCCCGCAATGGGCTCTCCCGACCCCCTATACGCCCGCCAACTCGACGGCATGGGGTCCGGCATCTCCTCCACCTCCAAAGTCGTCGTCGTCGGCCCTCCGTCCTCAAACTCCTCCGGTCCCGGCTCCGATGTGGGGCCGTCATCTTCCACCGCCGACGCCGCCATCGACGCCGAATTCACCTTTGTCCAAGTCGGCATCCGCGACGGCGCCCTCGATCTCGCGGGCACATGCGGCAACATGTCCGCCATCGTCGGCCCCGCCGCATGGGACATGGGCCTCGTCCCGGCGTCCCGCGTCGCCTCCCGCGTCTCGTACGACGGCGCCACGCGCTCCCGCTGGGCGACGCTCCGCATCCTCAACACAAACACCAACAAGGTCGTCGTGTCACGCTTCCAGCTGGACGGCAGCCCGCTCGCCTACGCCCCGCGCGGCGACTACGCCATGGACGGCGTGCCGGGGACGCAGTCGCCCATCACGCTCAGCTTCGTCGATCCCGCGGGTGCCAAGACGGGGCGGGCGCTGCCGACGGGGAATCCCGTGGACGAGCTGCAGCTTCCCGACGGGAGCCGTGTCAGGGCATCGCTGGTCGACGTCAGTAACCCGGGCGTCTTCATCACCACATCGAGTCTCGGCATCGACGACGCGGCGGCGGCAAACCTCACCCCGGCCCTGGTCGAAGCAGACTCGGCACTGAAAGCCCGCCTCGAGCAAGTCCGCCAGGCTGGTGCCTCAGCAATGGGCCTGGACCCGAAAACCGAGAGCGTGCCAAAGGTGGTGATGCTACTGCCGGCCAGCGCCAGGAAATCCGCAGAGACGGACATCCAGTGCCTCGCCATGTCCATGGGACAGGCGCACAAGGCTGCGCCCCTGACACTGTCCCTGTGCCTGGGCGCGGCGTCGCAGATTGACGGCACGATCGCGGCGGAGTTGATGGGGGGTGAGAAGAAGCAGGTTGTCAGGATTGGGCATCCTAGCGGCGTGGTGGACGTGGGCACGACGGTGAAGAATGGCAAGATTGAGGAGGCCAAGCTCTTGCGAACGGCGAGGGTGCTGATGAAGGGAGATGTATACTATTAAGTATCATGCATGGCTTTGAAAAGGGGCTGCTTTTGGGAAGTAGAATGGAGCTATCTCTTTATTCATCACTCATAAACGGTAGCGTTGTGGCTTAAAGTCGGGTTGCTTTGTGAGACGTATTCATTGTATTTTAATGACGCACCATCATTTCAAAGACTAGTTATTGATTTTTTTAAGTTGAATTATTCATGTATACATTAATTCATGAAACACTCTATTGAGTTGCAACAGGGCAGTTGTCAATGTTCTTTTGCCACGCAAGCTTTGCATAAGGAAGCATAAAGTCTACTACAATCAGCTTCATGTCACAGAGCGACTGGGATCATACGAGGGAGACGTACCTTGAGAGCTAAAGTTGCAGTCGATGTAGCAGCTTACCATGGCGGAAGTGTAGTTGGAACCAAGATCCGACAGGATGTTTGACTCGATGCTATAAACAAGTCAGCCACATGTTGCCATTGCCTTCTACAATATACTGTAGAAGGAAAAAAAATAAAAAATGAAGAAGCTTACAAGTCGAAAAAGATTAGGTCGACGACTTCAGGGTCCTTGCCCTCGGGGAAGTTGGCCTGAGCCTGGAAGTAGCCGGGCAGGGGGTAGTTGGGAATGCCTGTGTGCTCAGTGTCGTCACCATCGGTGCCCCAGTCATCCGTGGTGGCATAGCCCGAGGTGACGACCTCCTGGCGGCGGACGACACCGTGGCTCTGGCGCATCTCACGCCTTGTCAGGTAACCCAGAGTAGGATCAGTACATGAGTCGCGGGGGACGGGCATGGTGGCCAGATCACGCTTGGCAGCAGGGCCATTGTTAAGCCTAAGGCGTATTAACATCACAAACATGCTGCGACGGGAAAGAATAAACTTACTTTGGCAGAACAGTCTTGGCCAAATCATATGGCACGTCGGGAATGTAGCGGAAGATGTCACGGAAAGGAGAGACGATGAAGTTGTCGTCATAAGTAAAAGGTCCCTGGTGCAGATCGAAGCGGATCGCGCCAGTGTTGCCAATGATGAGGCGAGACTTGTCCTCACGCGTCTTGTTGAGGACAATGGCAGTAACGGCGGGCACAACGACACCGGGGAAGATGTTGCTCGAGTTGTCAAAGGGCACGCAAGAGATGCACCACGTCTGGGGCGCGCAGCCGTACACATCGCCCAGCTTGAGATCCTCGCGCACCTTGGTGACCTCCTGAGTGACACGCAGACCGGAGCCGTAGTCAAACGCCTGCTCGGTTTGCTTGGTGTGGTAGGCAAATGTCAGGCGGTTCCAGTCAAGGTATCGGCGCGAGTACACAAATGGAGAGTTTGCGCCAGTCCGGGCAGGACGGGTCGGGTTGGCAACGCCGTGGGGGTTCTTGACTCCGTTGTAGGCACTGTTGCAGTCGCTGAAGCCCGTCATGGACATCCAGCCCAGCGTCTCGCAGTAGCGGCCGGACTCAATGGCCACCGAGTTGTCGTCGTAGACGGCAAAGTCGCGGATGTGGCTGTGGCCGCCGAGGATCTGGATCGGGGTGATGGGATGCACCTTGCGGATCTCGGCGAAGACAGTCTTGAACGTGTTGGAGAAGTCCGTCTGGCGCACGGGGTTGTGGCCAAAGAGCACAAAGACGTCGATGGGGTCGCAGGTGTTGATGGCATCCGTGAACCACTCCTGCTTGATCATGTCGGCGGCCTTGAGCACCTGCGAGGCGTTGGAGTTGCCGGTGAAGTCGAACAGGACGCCAAAGGCCATGACGCGCAGTCCCTTCTCGGTGGTGAAGTAGCGGTGCGTGGCTCCGATGTACTCGTACTGGCCCGACGTCTGGTTGAAGGCCTTGACGTTGGACGTGACATAGCGGTCGCCCCATTTGCGCGCCCACTTGTTGAACATTTCATACGCCACCTCGGACACGTACAGCTCGTGGTTGCCAATCGTCAGCAGATCGTAGGCGATCTCGTCGAAGATGGGCATGGACTCAGTGCCGTCGATCTTGGTTGCGTCTGAGACGCCGTTGCCGTCGTGCAGATCACCAGTGTCCACCAGGAGCAGGTCAACGCCCATGTTACCAGCCGTCTGCTTCATGCGGCGCGTAAAGGTGACAAAGTCACCCCAGTCGGCGCCATAGTTTTGCTCCTTGAGATGGCCCTCGAGCCAGCCATGGGTGTCGGTCTAATAGCAGCAAGACGCGAGTTAGTATACATGTAATCAACCAAACTGACGATGGCATCGGCGTACCGTGTGGAGGAAGTTGAGTTGCCCCCATTCAAGAGGCGCCTTGGGTCCGTATGCCGCGTTGGGCGCTCCGGGCTGGATGCGCTTGACATGGCGAACATGCTCGACCGTGTTGGTAGGGCCGTAGCACGACGAGTCGCTCCCACAGGCCAGCGCCGAGGGGAGCAGGGCGGCGAGTCCGCTGACAATGGCGAGAGTCTTCATGTCGGCGAGTTTGTGGGCCAATTGACAAGATCTCTGGACGACAGACAGACAGAGAGACACAGACACAGACACAGCGGCCAGAGACATTGTCTTATATCCATTGTCGGCCATCTCCGGACCCTTGCAGCTCCTCCCCGATAAGCCGATCTGCCTCCGCAAGTCAGCACGTCGCTGAAGAACTTTGGTAGCTTGGCATTGCCTATCTCTGTGGTCTGCGGTGGCCCTGCGGTGGCCATTGGCGACCTTCCTAAAGCAGCATCACGGCCTTCGGAACTCAGCGATTTGAGCCGCCTGCCCTAGGCCGAGGCATCCGCTGTCGGACGAGCCAAGCAGCGTTCCTGACTGGCCCATGTGGGCTGCATAGAAGCTTGCCGACAAGCATATCGAAGAAGGTTGCTTGTGTTAGTGCTTCTCGAATGGGTCACCGAGGCGCTTCAGCCAGAGGCTGTGAACTCCATAGTCCAGCTATTGTTAGGGCAGAATAGAGTATTTTAATATTGTTGGTAGGGACTTTTGAAAGAGCCAAAGCTTTGTGAATGAGCTGACGACATGGGCCAGGCAGCCATATTTGTGTCTCTGCCATCCACGTGGGCCTTATCGATTGACATTAGCCGGGACTGCGATGGAGGTGAGGCAGAATGAAGCAACGCAAGATTCGTGATGGAGTTGTCAATTCATAGAGCAATTGATCAATTGGAAACATGGAAAACAACAAACAGTAAAATAAATAAAAAATTGTTAAAATTTAATACATTGCCTTTCATCTTCACGCCCGTCAGCCGCTGCTGTCTTTGAATAATGGTAAGCAATAATATACCGCTACATAATACCCTGTCCACCAAGAAGCTCCACAAACCGCCCAGAACCCTCATTCCTTCAACCAACTCCCAACACCCTCGTCACTCGATACTTGCCCTAATACGAGTACTACTAATCACAATGGACCATCCCTACTACCCGCTCGGTGTCTCCATCCCCAATTACCGCCCGAATGACCTCCCGCTCTCCCGCTCCCTCCCCATCTTCGGGACCCTCATCGGCGCCGTGGTCCTTTCGGCCTACCTCCTCGCCGGCTCCGCCTCCGACTCCCGGCGCCGTGTCCGGCCCGTAGACCGGTTTGCCGCGTCGTGGTTTGCCTTGTGTAAGCTGTTTCTATTCAATTGCGTTGAATCTAGGTTCAAACACATGGCTAATTGCAGAGTCTTCGTTGCCAGGTGGCTTCTTGCATATTGCTTTTGAAGGTTTGTGCTCGCTTTTAATTACACAAGCAATGACTCTTATTGACCCTCATCTAGGGTACTACATCCTTCACCGTACAGACATCTCTGGCAAAAACACCCTCTTTGCCCAGCTCTGGAAAGAATACACTCTCTCCGACTCGCGCTATCTCACCTCCGACATCTTCACCGTTTGTGTCGAAACCATCACCGTCGTTAGTCCTTTCTTCTATTCTAGTCTTGAAACCTCTTCTTAGAACTATCTAACACATCCATCCAGTTTGCTTGGGGTCCCCTGAGCCTCATCACGCTCCTCTGCATCTGCACCAACCACCCATCCAGACACCTCTTCCAAATAGTCGTCTGCGTCGCCCACCTCTACGGGGTGGCCCTGTACTATGCCACCAACTGGGCTGAGCAGCGCTTCCACAGCGTGTCCTACAGTCGACCCGAGTTTCTCTACTTCTGGGTATATTACGTTGGATTCAACGCCCCGTGGGCCGTCGTCCCCTTCTGTGAGTGACCACCCCCTTGCAGAATGGCTTGTGAACCTGACCGTCTCGTGACAGTTTTATTGGCGGATAGCTACAGTCGGATAGTGACGGCATTCCGAACATTGCATGAGAAGGAGTCTCAGCAGAAGAATGAGTAGGGTACATTCATTTTACACAACTTGCCCCATTAGAATAATGAGCGTCATTGGTGCTACCCTTCTCTCGTATCGGCGCTTGCCCTCCACCTCTGTGATGCTTCATCTTGTCCGCGTCCATCTAGCATTGGTCAACGGGACTCTGTCCCCTGCTCTCAGCTCGACTCTTGTACCCATTTGACCTACCCGTACTCGTACAAGTCCCGTAAAAAAACACAAACAATGAGCAGGGAGCATGCGTCCTAGCGGAGCACCATCCGGAGGTCAATTTCTGGCCTCTCCAATCGCGGAGCCCCCATCCGGTGGCACTAATTCACCCCCTTGCGTCCCATCTTTCAGCCTCACTCTCGCCCAATTTCGCACCAGGCACTCATACATGTATGGCTGTCAAAGTGTCAGTGCGCGAGACAGAGTGCCCCCTCTCATAAAAAAAGACTAGATCGGCACGGCGAGCCGCTCCGTCCCGGTACTTAAGCTTGCTTTTCTCCTAGCAAAGCAGCTAGTACCTGGTTCATAGTGCTGTTGTAAGCTTGTCACCGAGGAGTATCGGGATTTCACGCCATCATGATGTTTGATGTATACGGATATTTCTTCTTCCTGCTATAATAAAAGAAAAACAAGGCAAGCGAGAGAAGCCTACACCGTTCCCCCTATTCTCCTGTGTAGCTCGGCTGCAGGTGGCGTCGAGATTGTCCTCGAGTCTATGTGATTCGTGCGAAGCTCATCAGCTCCAACATTCTTGTGGCTGGTGTTACACAGCATATGCTTAGATGCTTGCTCGCACTACCAGTAGTATAACGCACGTGGACGCCTTTGGTTCAATCAGATCATTCCCATTGAAGCATCGGAAGCATCTCCGTCCATGTCCTCGGCACTTCGAGAGAGCCCAACATGCTATTCATACAAACGTGCCGTGTCCATCGACCTAGCGTGGAAGCGTCGTGACATATGATGTGGCGTTTCAAGTAAAATGGAAGCCTTCTCTCCCTTGCGTCTGGCATCGGCCCATGATAAGCCGAGACTTTGGTCCCCGATCCGCATGGTATCGGCCTGTACAGCTGAGTGGTCTGTCATAAATGACGACTCAGACCGGTCTGCCGTTTGCATAAATTACTGCCTCTTAATCGATCTAGACCCGCGCAACTCATGCAAGGGGGACCGCATGCAGCTGCACAGGCATGACAAAGCAGGTTGCATGGATTGGATGGCTTCATTTATTTCTTTTCACAGCATTCTTAGCCTGGTTGGTTTTCTTACAGAGCGCCGTAGCAGATGATCTTTGGAGAGATGAAATCAGGTTCATTCACAGCTTAATGGGATCAACATGGACGTCTAGTATAACGTGCATCCTACACATGATTCGGGGTATGAATCAACATCTACATTCACTCACACAAGAAAGAACATGGCAAAGAACTTTTTTTACACAGTCAATTGTCATCTCCTAAGAAAGGTAACCGGCGCACTTCGTAAAACCCCCGTGCCCATAGCCAACACACTAGAAAGAACCCGCATGGCAGAGCAGAGAACTGTCATCAGAGGCGCAATATTCAAAGAATATCCTCTCGCCAATAATTCTCTGCTCCTCCTGAGCTGCATACACGTATCCAATCATGACTGCGTTTCCTCCACCTATACCAATCTACCACTTGACTCGATTCTCACGCTCTAGAGACAATACCAACATGTAACGTGGCAAGCTTCCCCAAGACTCACTCAGAGGCCGGCAGTCCGCATGTTCACCAGATCAGCGAAACTCTGAGCGTTCCAAGTCAGCTCAATCTCAATCTTGATAGCCTTGGACTTGTCCGAGCCATTGGCGACCACCGCAATGTCGTCTCCAAAGCTGGGGCCCAGAACAACCACCTGGTCATTAACAGTCAAGGTCTTGACAGTCACAGTGAACTTGGCCAGCCCATCAGCCGTAAACGGGGCCGGCGGGATGGCTGTCTTGTCGCCAAACAGACCTGCGCCGTGAGTTCGCAGCATGTGCCTCACGCGGCTCTGCACCGCTCGCATGCTGAGCTGGCACTCGTCGGCCACCACCGTCTCGCCATAGCCGGGCCATCGAATAAACAAGAGCACGCTCCTGAAGGCCGATGAAGGAGGAACGTGACGCCTGCCCTTTTGGTTTTCCATCTGCATGCGGACAATGTCGCTGGGGCCCTCCGACTGAGCCTTCTCCTTGCCCTTATCCTTGCCCCGAGCCTGAGTCTTGACTGCTTCAGTAGAAGGAGCAGGAACAGCAGGAGTAGAAGGAGCAGGAGCAGCAGGAGTAGGAGCAGCAGGAGTAAGAGCAGCAACAGGAGTAGCAACAAGAGCAGCAACAGGAGTCAGAGCCGGTTTGACAGGTTCAGGCTTATTCTTCTCTGCTGCCTTCGAGCCGTTGGTGGACTCGAACTCATTATTCATGCGCTCCAAGCCATACGAAGGAGTTACGCGATAGAAGGCACTCGCTGGTCCGTAGTTAGGGCAAACGATGCTTCTCGAGCGAAGGCTGCTATCGCTGTCGATGGAGACAGTCTCTTGAGTCGGGTCGCTGGCATACAAGTAGCCCGGCATGTAGCCCGGCATGTAGCCCGGCATGTGGCCCGGCATGAAGCCCGGCATGAAGCCCGGCATCATGTAATTCTTCTCATAGTTGGCCATTTGTTGCATAAAGTCAGATTCCGGATCATAACCCATCAAGCTCAACAAGCTCGTGCCAGCAGGCGTCGGCCCAAGAGCGGCAGCAATCACTTCAGAAAGTAGATTATTGCCCTCGGGCGTCTCCTTCTTAGTCTCCTTCGTCTTCTCCTTTTCAGGCACAGCCGGGGCGGGCTTCGCCTTCGCCTTCGCCTTCGTGTCCGCCTTCTTGCGACTCACGTACGCAGCGGGATCGTCCGAATTCTCAGACAAGAACTTGCTCAGCATCTCAGCCGACTTGCGGTGGGCCTTCTCCAGCACGTTGAAGAGCCCGTCGCCCGTCTCGCAATAGGTGACGGAGCGGTCGCCGCCCTCGGACTTGAGGATGCTGACTCTCCACTCGTCGGGGGGCTGGACCTGGGAGAGGACCTCGAGCAAGCATTCGGTGCCGTAGACGACGTGAAGGTTCGCTGTGTTTGATGAAAAAGTCAGTATGTTATTCATAGGAAGTAAGGTATGGGAAAGTGGTTTCAACTCACACTTGATCAGCTCAATGTAGTGCAACGCGCCATGGTCAGAGGTAGTTTGAGTCATGTTGCTTGTGTTTGGATGGCACAATGTCAATTCCATAAGGAAAAAGAAGCAAAGATAAAAGCAGTAGCAAAAAATGATAAACGAGGCAAAAAAGACTTGAACAGTAGTTTCGTAAAATGGTCGATCTGATGGTTGAAAAGGAAAGAGAAAGAAAAGAGAGAATCCAAACTGCCAGAAGGGAAACACCACGACTTATATACTTGGGAGGGAAAAGACACCACGGCCTGGATACATGGCATAAACATCTATCCATCCCGTCTCGTTTGCTCTGCATATCTTTTTATGCCAGCGTCGACCTCTGGCTTCGATTCGTTTCCACGCTTTCACTCCCTTACATGACTGCCCATGCATCCCAGCCCGCCACCTTGTAAGTGTTCTCCTCAAAATACCCCATACTTTGTACCACCATAACAAGCCACCGAGGAGCACTATTGTCCCGTTCTCAGACCGCTTGGGGACGGAAAAAGGCGTCAAACAAATGGCCATAGCCTGGCTGCGTTGCCCCTGGTTATTACCAACCTTGCTCTCTCCCGAAATCAAACCATCAAGCATCAAGCATAACTCGAAAAGAAAAGAAAAGAAAAGACTGAGAAAGCCGAGCCTAAACCCGTGCCGCTGCCGCTCGCACACACACATGTCTTAGCCGCAGTATTTTACTGCACTCAGACAGTCAGGCTGAGACCAGACCCCGACCAGGGGTGGCCGAAAAAAGGCAAACAAGGCCAACCAAGAGGCTGAGAGCTGCATTGTTAGCATCCCCAACTATTGTTTTGTCCTTTCTGCCCATATTTGCTTTTTCTCCTCTCCCGTCCCCCTCCCCTCCCCTCCTCTTCTCCAGGCAGTCTTGTGACTACGTGTACTCACCACGCAAATTCGCACCATGGGCTGCATGTCGCAAACAAATCACAGACCCTTGCTCTCGCTCAACTCGAGATGCTCATTTGTCCATATCCGAGGCAAGTCTCAAAAAGAGGGACATGTCATGTTTGCCGCCTGGCTTTCATCACGCTCTCTCTCTCCCCTGTGTTTGGCCAAGCTGCATCCCCGGAGATGCATGATTGTCCCAAACCGGCTCCTCCTCAATCTCTGCCGTGTTTGTTTGGTCTATTCACCCCGTCGGACCATCTTCTCCTATCATCTCTGCGGTATTGTCGTCACAGCGCATGGCAGAATGATGCCGCAGCGTCTGTCTCTGGGGCCAATCGCCTGGTCGTGGATGGAACATGCCTGGCCAGCATCGCGACCAAGGTTAACTGCAATCGCTTCGCCCTGCCTTCCGATCCCGCCCGTTCCCACTAATAGCCTCGCTTTTTTATTTGCAGTCAATCTTGTCCAGGTTCCTGGGAGTATCTTATCAGCATGGGAGGCGAGCTGGTCCAAGTAGAAAGAGAAGAAAGGCCAATCATGTTACGAATTCATCAGAAAACAAAGCCCTCTCTCAGATATCACATCCCATACAAGTACTTCGTCTGTAAATAGCTTCCTGCGCTGTGTCCGCTAGACGTCGTGGGCCTCTATTGTGGCGTTCGTGCCGTCAGTTCTCCGAATCCTGATTTCAGATGGCTGGCGGCAGGCAGAGACACCGGCAGGGGTGTTGCACTCCTTTCTTTCCATCAACCCATGTACCTGGATTAGGCACCCGGCCTCCGAGTCTCGTATGTAGGTCGTAAACTCAAGTGTTAGTTATCTACTGTACATGGTTGTGGTTTGAGCAGGGAGAGCCACGGCAACGTAAACCAAGTGACAAACGTTCATCTATTTAGAGTCAAAAAATGCATTGGTCCAATGTTCGTTCGCCACTCATGTAAATCCATTACCCTCGAGCTCATTAACAACACGTCCTTATTGCCAGTCGTCATATTTCCCTGCCCTGGCCATCATAGCCCTTTCTGGTCCTATCGGTTCCCAACCTCTTCCCAAGTCAAATCCGGGATTTTTTTTCTTTCTTTTCTTTTTTACAAGCTGGCTTGGAGCCGCTCCAGTCGTGACGTTACGGCTTCAACTAGCGCAGACTCTCGGGACAATAGCCCTTGCACTTGCTGCAGCTTGCTGCGTCGTATGTCTTGGGGGATACGCAGCTCCACGCTGCTAGCCGGGGACGAGGTGCCGCTCGCCGTTTTGAGGGCCTCGCCCTCGGCCACCAGCTCTGCCTGCAATCTCTTGACCTCTTCCAGCCGCCTCCATAGCTGTTTGGCCTGGTTTCTAGTCCCGACTTCAGCCCCGGGAGCTGGTCCAGATACGCTGGCCTCCATCGCCTTGACCTCCTCAACAAACGCTCGCTCCTTGGCGCTGAGTTCACGCGAAGTGGTCTTGCTGACCATCTTTCGCAGGTCCTCCATCCGCCGTGTCAGTCTCTCCTGTCGCTCCTTGGCCTCATAAATCCGCCTCTCATACATTTTGTTATCCGGCTCGTTATCCTCTCTATGAGATCCGTTGATGGTGTCAATCTTGCCCTTGACCTCGTTTGCCTTCCTGACCTGCTGCCGTAGCTCCGCTTGTAATAGTTCGCAACGGCGAAAGACTTCGGCCGCTGCCACACCCAGTCGGTATGTCTCATCACTTAGAACCTTGTGTGCGTCGGTGAAAATGGACAGCGTTAGTGGGCTGAGTTTCACCTCCTGGTTGACAATGGTCTTGTGGCGAGATGTGCGAAGGCGCTCCAGCAGCTCTGGCAAAATGGACGATTCGCTAAAGGTATGCGGAGGATTGTACACTGGTCGAGGTTCGTAAAAGTCCAAAGGTGCCATGCTCATCTCACGCTCACGGACGGGGCTCTCCTGTCGTATGGTGACCTGTTCGTCGTCGGGTGTTTCAAATGTAAGCGCAATGGGTTCGTAAGGCGTCGCCGAAAGGAGGAAGTAGCCAAGGTCGGGATCTCGGATGGCAACGCAGGCTGCTAGTGGGATTCCGACATCTGCCGCCTGCTGTGCGTATACCCTATCTCTGGTGGACTGTGAGTTGACCAGGAGACCAATGCGGAAGTCGGTGCCGGCTTCATGGTCGCCACGCAGCTCGCTCTCAAGCCTGAAAATCCAAGGAGCGAGAGAAATGAATGTAATGGCCGCGTGGTGAGTGACGAAAAAGTTGTATCGTGAAACGACGTCCGTGCTAAAGACTGGCCAGCTACCCTCGTTGACCTCGACTGGGGTCATGGTGTCAATGGCTTGGAACGCCAGAAGAGTAGGGGCTTCTGCGTCAGCAGCATTCAATACGCGGCTAAGCCTGCTCTTGCTTTTGGGAGGTAGCCACTGGGCCTGGACTCCGTCTGTGTCCAAGTACACACGGACCTGGCCACTCGTGGATAACAAGCAAATGATGGTTAGCGAGAGGCCTTCCTGGTCTCCGTTGTCAAAGTCCAGCTCGTCTTCCTCGCCCAGCATAAGGTCTTCCGTCTCCGTCTTCTTTCCAATGACCAGGATGTCTGTGATGGAGCTATCCAAGTCATCTCCTGTTTCCGGGCTCGACAGTAGGTCAAAAGGTCCCTGGAGGCGAGGGATGGCGCCGGGCCGCGAGGGTCTGGTGTAGACTTCGAGAGCAGGTTCCCCTGGAATGACAGAATCTATGATCTGAGGTTCTTGGGAGTCAATCTCGCCGATCCATTGAAGCTGCTGCTGAGCCAGGAGCTTTTCCTTGTCGTCTACGCTGGGGTCGTCCTCGATGGCACCAACGGTGGTAACGATGGACACCGAAAGAGAAGGAATCAGCGTTGGCGGTGGTGCCCATCGCTGTGGCAGAAGGGGGCTCAGCGCATACACATCACCCTCGCGCATGGCAACCCACAGTGTCATCGGATTCCAGCCGCCGGATCCCTTAGTCGCGAAGCTTGCTGCGGCCACCTCCATCTCAAACTCATCGGGCGAGAAGGCTTTGCTGGTGGCTGACACCGACGCAGAAAAGTCCTGGTCCACGTTTGTGCCATCCGCCAACTTTTTGAGGTCTATCGACGTCGTCGGAGAGTCAAACGACCAGCGGTCCTGCGTCGAAAGCTCCCACACGCGGACTGTTGCGTCGGCTGTGACGGTCACAATGCAAGAGCCGTTAACTCCCAGAGGGTGCCATAGGGCGGACACAATGGCAGAGCGGGATGTGACGTGTGTCGTGGGCCCAAGCGTGTATGTTTTGGGCTTCAGCGGGCTAATGTCATCGCTCGTGAGGTGAGATGAGTCGGGCAGTGCGCAGATGTGAACAGTGTGTGTCGTGAGAATCGCCAGAAGATTGGTATTGGGCGAGATGATGAGCTGCCTGATGTCGTCGGCCACTGGGGTTTTGATTATCTGCAGAATGTCGTGTCAGCAGGTCTTGTCGTGGTCACGCCACGGCATATTGATCCCTTCTTTCTTTCTCGTTAGAACACTAATCAACTCACCCTCCATCCGGCCCCCATATCAGTAGCATCCGTATCAATCGACTGTAAAGTATCGTCCTCGCGCTTCACTCGAACGCCCACGCTGCTCCTCCTCCGCGATTGCTTGTCCGTCCATTCTTCCTTGAGGTAGACCAGATCACCCCATCGGATCTCCCTTCCCACAGCAACGAAGACTTCCGTTCCGCGTCGAGCAATCGTCCTCCTGGGCCCGGGAACCTGCTTCTTCTTGGCCGGTGACAGGGCTCTGGATCGAAGGAATTCGGCCGAGGGCTCAAAGAGCTGGTTGCCGGGGGCGTTTTTCGACAGCCAAGCTGCCGAGTAGGTCTTGACCTTTGGCATGGCTTTGTTTGTTTGCTTGAGAGTCAGACTGACCCTCGTCCCTGTTCCCGCTGGTATCCTCTCTCTCTCGCTCTTTCTCTCTCCCCTTCGTATTCAGTGAAATAACCGGCGGAAGCTGTGTTTGCCCTGACGGCTCAAAGAGAGCGGCGTCTTGCCGGATCCCAAAAAACAATCCAAGGCTGGCTCGAAGCTTTTGCAAAAAAGCGCGGCTGTCAGCGAAGCAAGAAAGCTTTAGCGCGTTATCTGGGGCGACTGGGTGGCAGGGGGCCCACTCGCAATCGCTGTACCCGCCTATGAGATCCGTTAGTGCGCTGTTTCTACAGGTGCCTTGCATCAGCGACAGGCTCAGCCTTTTTTTGCTTGTGCTTGTGCTTGTGCTGGAAGCTTTCGTTTGTTGCACAAGACTTCACATCAATTGACTTTCTCTCCGTCATCTCAGCCGTTATCTTCCCCCCTCATTTACGCAATCATCGACAGTCAATCTCAAATCACTGCTTTAATTTCCCTTCGCTCCGATTCTCCCTCCCAATCTGAAGTTCGCACACCGGTCACACGATGCGTGGCGAAGTTAGAAGCACCGTCGAGCGCCTCGACAGACCGAGTGCATACTATCTCAGCAGAGTACGTGCAAGCCAGAGCATCCCCGTGATCCGCATTCAAACCGCAGCATGAATGCTCATCAGCCTCTAGAACAAGCGCAGACGCGACCGAGACGACAATGCAGATGAAGCTGCTGAACCCGCCGTTGATCCCCTCGCCAACGCGACGACTCTCTACGTAGGCAACCTGTGCGTTTCAACCTCCCTCCCATCGTGTCTCTCGGCACATGGCCTAACATGACCTCGATAGCTCCTTTTACACCACAGAAGAGCAAGTCTACGAGCTCTTTTCCAAGTGCGGCGAAATCAAGCGTCTCATCATGGGCCTCGATCGGTTTAACAAGACCCCCTGCGGCTTCTGCTTCGTCGAGTACTACACCCACCAGGACGCTCTGGACTGCATGAAGTACATTGGCGGCACAAAGCTAGACGAGCGCATCATCCGAACAGACTTGGACCCTGGATTTGAGGAGGGGAGACAGTATGGCCGAGGCAAGTCGGGCGGCCAGGTCCGAGACGAGTACCGGGAAGACTTCGACGAGGGCCGAGGAGGTGTGGGTAGAGCGCTGCAGAGCGAGAAGTCGAGATACGACGATTAGGAGAGGTTTATCAGATGAAGTGTTTTGTTTATGAAATCTTGATATTTGGAATGATACCTTTTACGGGAATAGATTTGGAATTTTCTCAGCGCAAGTTTCTATCTTGATTTTAATCCATCGCGCCATTCAGGTTGAGCACCACCATCCGGGTATTCCTACAGTCATCCGCCGATTCATGCAGCCAAATCTCAAGTTTCTTTTCTTTTTCTTTTCATCTCTTTCTTCTCTCCATCATGAATCCCATACAGCCGTAGTTCCAAAAGTACTCCGTCGTAGTGCAAGGTAGTAGGTAGTATACAATAAGTCTCTGCTTATATCGTCGCAACTGTCGTCTCCCATCTTTCCCCTCCATGTCTTCTCCCCAATCCAGGATAAAATTGCAAATCGCTCGTTGTATAATCGTCTCGGTTCATCCCGCATTAGTATCCAGGAGGGTTGACTCTCTGTGAAACTCTCGTCCACTTTGGCAGCTCTAGCAATTCCCCAGCGTCAGCATTCGTACAGAAGAAAAAAAAAAAACAGCGACAGAGGGCCACGGCCATACTGTGAATGCCCTTGCGGTACTTCTTCTCCTTCCGGTCAAACATGGTGTACTTGTCTCTCGGCAGCATCTCCTCCTCCACCGGCATCTCGGCCTTCCACCGCTCAATGGCCTCGAGCGTCTGGCCCTTCTTCGCCAGCGCTGCGTCCAGCGTAGCAACCACGCTGTCTACGGCCCGCAGCCGCAGCCTGTGCCGCCTCTTCTGGAATTTCGACAGCCGCCAGGGGATCTTCCACAAAAGACCTCCCGACAGCGGGTTCGTGGCGCGGAATGGGCCGAACATGTTGTGCTTTTCTTCTTGGTGCTGGTTTGAAGAGTCGCTGCGTTTTAGAAGCTTTTCTCTCAAAATGCAGTTATTCCGGACTTGGTCGCATCGGATTGGCCCCTCCGGAATTGGGGGGCGTGTGTCCCGGGCGGAACAATGATGCGCCATGGCGGTCGCACACACCCTCCTCCCACCTCTGCTAAGCAACTAAGGTATGTATCTCATCCACTCCAACAGTCGCAATCCGATAAGCTCATCTGTTGTTCCGGGCATCGCGAACCACGAACCGCAAAAGGACTGCCGAACCAGCTGGGCCCCGCGCATTCGCCCGATGTTTGGCGCTGCAGCACAATGAGCTACTACTTTGCCATTGTCGGCACCCAGGACAATCCCCTGTTCGAGTACGAGTTCGGCACCTCCAAGCAAGGCGGCGATGGCCAGTCCCGCTTCACTGAACAAGTGCGACACTTGAACCAGTTCATCCTTCACTCGAGCCTGGACATAGCCGAGGAGGTGCAGTGGTCAAGTGGTCAGATGTAAGTATCTGGCTCAGTCTGTTTTTGCCTATGGGTAGCTTGCTCTCTGGCGTGTAACCTCGTGGTTGTGAAAGCCGTGGCAAGACAGAAAGGGATGGAGATGAGATGGCCGAGGCTGACTTCCTTTCGCCACGCATCGCAGGTACCTGAAGTGCATCGACAAGTTCTTCAATAATTACATATCCTGCTTCGTCACCGGTGGCAACGTCAAGTTCCTGCTGCTGCATCAGCCCACCACCCCGACCTCGACGGCAACGTCCAGATCGTCGACCGCTATTGGCGCCAACCCGACGAGCCCGGCCACCGAAGAGGCAATCAAGATGTTCTTCACGGAAGTGTACGACAACTGGGTCAAGGCCATCATGAATCCGTTTTACAAGGCAAACATGGAGGTTCGGAGTCCCATCTTTAGAGCGAGGGTAGCAGCTGCTGGACGGAAATACCTATAGATTTTTTTCAAGTTACACGTAATGAATGATGGAATTATAATGACCACGTCAACGTCACGATTGCCAAAACAAAGAAACAGACACCCAATGCGAGAACGTGTTTTTCACGGAATGATTATCGTAGTTGTATTCATGTGGTATTCTCATTTATAAGGTCGTCTACCATGACGCCTCCTCGTAAGCCCATTCCCCCAACGCCAATCGATCAAAGTACAGAAGAGTCCATGTTATTTGCACAGATAACCCCAGCTCCACATCGCCATCGCGCAGACACAAAGCAACGCGTCCAACGCTCTAACCACCGAAACCGTAGAGGGTGCGGCCCTGTCGCTTCAGAGCGTAGACAACGTCCAGCGAGGTGACGGTCTTGCGCTTGGCGTGCTCAGTGTAGGTGACGGCATCACGGATGACGCCCTCGAGGAAGGACTTGAGAACACCGCGGGTCTCCTCGTAGATCACTGGTAATCAAACGCGTTAGCTACCCATCGCTTCTTTTCCAACAGCAGCCGATGATGCAAGGATGAAACTTACTGGCAGAGATACGCTTGACACCACCACGACGAGCGAGACGTCGGATAGCAGGCTTGGTAATGCCCTGAATGTTGTCACGAAGAATCTTGCGGTGACGCTTGGCACCACCCTTGCCAAGGCCCTTTCCACCCTTTCCACCTAAACCACGACAGTCAGCATCACAGCTCTCGACTTTCCATTCTCGACCCGACACGCGTTCGACGCAATGCAGATAAACGCATACATCCAACACAGGCGTACATCAAACACACATCGAGGCAAACAACAATGAAGAATACTTACGGCCAGTCATGATGAATGTATTAAAATGTGAAAAAGTCGGGATATATAGAAATCCGTTAAAAACGCGTCACTTTTGCAATGACGTTTTCTTCACCAGTTAAAAAGAGACAAAGTGTTGCGAGAGCAAAGATGCGGGGGGCGGGCGCGAGCAATAAATACGCGCAGGGAATCAGCGCCGGATCAGTAACTGCTTTGCTCTCTTTGTTGCGCGCTGAGCGTTCCCCTATTCCCTTTTTGGGGGTGGGGTGGCAGCAGACTTTTGGTGGAAAGGTACTTGGTGCTTTGCTTTTTTTTACTTGTGGTTGAGGTACCGCCCGTTAAGTGCTATTTTTCTTTGTTAGTGTCCTTTTTTTTTTTCTCTCTTCTCTTTGTGCACCTATTTTTTTTTTTAAACTGCTCGGAAGGGCGGGATGCAACACACGCGACTATTTCTGGCTTTGGCGGGGCTCCCTTTTTTCCAGCTCAGCAGCAATTATTACGAGCTGACCAAGCCGAAACTGCTCTGATTTCCCCCAAAAGCTAGCCCGGGAAAACATCGGCCAGGGGGCGAGGCGCGTTTAGGCACTCTATCCCTCCCTGAAAGGAAAACAAAACGGTGACCGCCCATTGCTGAATCCAGTAAACGGTGTTCTAGCGCGCAGGTACCTAGCGACTCGCCACAGTGCAAAAGTGCGCTGTAAACAAACACGATGGTGCAAGCCTCCCTTCTGTAAAGCAGTAGGTACATTGCAGATACGCGCCAATTGCCGGAAACCAGAGCAGAGCAGTGTGTTCCCTTACGTAGCCCCTTGTTTATGCGCGTCAGAGAGACGCTTCAAGCTCCAGCAGGAATACAGGTACCTTATGAATCGCGATGAAGCTCAGCAAAACGCCTCAACCATGTATAGTAATAATAGCTTTGCGTTCTTGATAACATGCTACTTAGGTTAATTAGCAGGTAAGAGGCAGGTAGAGAAATAGGTAGGGATAGTACACAAGTAGGCAACCATCGTCTTCCCTCATTCAGTCAAAACACCACATCACTGCACATCATGGTCCAAACGCCTGCAAAAAGTGGTATACAGCCAATACACTCCTCCCCATCATACTATAGTATTCAATACATCGAGCAAGGCAAACCAACCCATTGCTCTCGATTCTCAATTCGACCCTAGTCCAAGCCGGCCAAGTAGCTTCCAAGGCCCCCAAAGAACGCCAATGCCATGCCAAAAGACTCACCACCCTGGCCCCGTGTCGTGATCGTGTCTTGACCAGCCCAAGTTTACCCTCATTCTAGCCTTTGCAAGCCGCCGGCAAGCTTCCAAAGCCCATGCCCAAGCAAGTGAGTACCAGAAATGGGATGTTTTTTTCTTAAAAGGAAAAAAAGAAAAAAAGAAAAACCGACCCCCCTTTTTTTCATATTACACATGGTGGCTGTTATGCGCCCCTATTATCAAATGCCCAAGAAAAAAAGAACCATCCAAACCCCCCTAAAAAAAAGCAATACTCATGAGCATCATCAAATCAGTGAGTCGTCCATTGGTATATCGTCCTCAAAACTCTCAATCGCCTCCTTAATCTGCGGACCAGCCTATGCAAAGTCATGTTAGTCAGTCTTGTCAGGGAAATCATCTTAAATAGAGCTTCCTCTCACCTTTGGATCCAATGCCAAAGCAATAGTAAAGTGGCGGACCGCCTCCTGCTTCTCATTCATACTCCTATACAGCGTCGCCAGAAGAAAATGCACAGTGCCCTCGTCTGGGGCCAAATCCTTCAAAATGACAAGCTCCTTCTGTGCCTCCTCAATCTGCCCAACAGCAAGGAGAGCCCGTGCTTTCTTGTACCGTGTCGAAGCGGCGCGAGGGGCAAGCTCAACTGCCTTGCAGTAAGCACGCAGGGCGGGTAGGATTTGTTTCTGCTTCTCAAGCGCTGTTCCGATACACGTTACCAGCACTGCGTTGTTGGGGTTGATCAGATGGGCGGCCTGGAAGTGCGTGAGGGCCTTGTCGTAAGCGCCCAGCCGCTGTTGGACCCTCCCGATACCGTAGTAGGCGTTGTAATGTCTCTTGTCCGCCGAGATGGCCTGCCGATAGGTGGTGAGGGCCTTGTCGTATTCTTCGTTGGTTACGTGCTCGTGTCCCTGCAGCGTGAAGCCGTATGCAAACTTTGGGTCCAGCTGCGTGGCCCTCTTGAAGCACTTGAGGGCCTGCTCAGGGTCTCGTGCCAAAGACCACGCGTTGCCAAGAGCACACCATGCCTGGGGGGAGTGCCATGCGGCGTCCACAAGTTCATGGGCCAAAAAGGAGAGCTCAGTCTCCCGCTTCAGGTGCCAGAGAATGGTCGAGTATACTTCCATGTCTTCCAGCCGTGACGGAGCCTGCGCTCGCATCCTCCTAAAGTACTTCTCGGCCTCGGCGTATGACGCCTGCTCGTAGTGAGCACGTCCCATCAGCGCCAGAACCCAGGGCGAGCTTTGATGAGCCGCAGGCAGTGAACCCAGCGCCTGCACAGCCTCTTGGCATTGGAACTGGGACAGCAAATAGTACCCGCTCCCCAGCTTCTTCATCAAGTCCATTACCCATCTTAAGGCCTCTTCGAGCCTTGCCGTATCGGGCTCTGTAATCTTGGGGACCGGGGGAGGTGGAGCATCCTGAACCTTGCCCGTCTCTCCGTGGTCTCCGTCTCCGTTGTGGTCTTCCAGCGGTTTTCGGTTGCCGCTAACAACCCTTCCGACATTGTTGGAGCCGCTGGAACCCGGCCGAACGATTCGAGAGACCGGGGGTCTAGCCTTTTTCAACTCTCGTCCAGCAGGGGGTCCTCCAGGGGCTGGTGTAACCGAGCTCGTCTTGCCCGACGGTTTTATCAATCGGGCGCTTCGTCTGGTTGCATGCTCCTCGAAGTTGGTTGATCGCGATACCGGATGACCGGCAAGCGTTCGTTTCCTATCAGTCGCCGGGATGACGCTGGATCGCGAGTTTCCGGTAGGGGCGCTAGGCGCATCTGAGATGGGCTCCAATGGCTGTTCTTGGCTGTTGCTCTTCTCCCGCGTGGCAGCGCTTCGTTTCGATCCCATTCGATAGTTCATTCGCGGCGGTGCCTCGAGCGTCTGGTCAATGTGCTGGACGTTTCGAGTCCTCCTCGTGGGCGCATGGGGCGGTTCCTGCAGGTTATTAGACCGGGACATCATTGCCTCCGCCGGTGGCGCTGTTGGGGTTTCTAGGCCTTCCATATCAGACTGGTGATTGTTGGCCGAGTTCGTAAGCCTAACTCTCGCATTGTGCATTTTGGAAATAAAGTCGCTCTCCGAATTCGCCAGCATATTCTCGGTCATGGGAGTCATGTCCCCGGCGGAAAAGCTAATGCCAAACGGATCAGCCCCCACGTCAGATGCCATGGATCTCATAGAGGACTTTTTCGGAGGAGGCTGCTCAAAGGAGTTCAAGGTTGCGGTAGTGCTCTGGCTCAGCTCGGCATGTACCAACGCAGTCAAGTCTTGACCAAGGTTCTGCAGTAAGCTGTCGCTGGCTTTGAAGATGTTGGGCACGCGGACCTTGACGCCCATGTCGCATAGAGCCTTGAAGGCATCCCACTGGAAGGCGTTCAGCTTTAACGCATCCTCGAAACAGCTCACGGCTCTCTTTTTATCGTCGTAGCCGCGGTACAGCTTCCCCAGCAGGCAAAGAACCGCAGGAGCGTCGGGATATGCAGATCGAGTAGTCGCGCTGTGTTTGCCCATGGTGTTCTTCTGCGACCACAAGCTTTTGGCCTTATCCAAAGCTGTGATGCCGTCCTTGAACCGCTCCAGCGCCAAGCAGGCTTGGGCGAAGACCCAACTGCAGCCCAAGTTCACGCCGCGATATCCCATCGGCTTGCTGACATCGTAGGCGGATCGGTGGTCGCCAAGTCGGAGGTGGCATAGCGACAGGAGGTATGGGGCTTCACTTGATCGAGAATCTTGCGCGGCGTATCGTTCGGCAAAGAAGAGGGCGTTGTCGTAGGAGCCGTTGTCGAGGTGATAATGAACCACCTGCCCCAGGAGGCCCCCGACAGCAGTCGGGCTTGGCGCCATCCTGGTGGTGAGGGTATAAGTCGCTGAAGACTGGCAAGGTCGTCACCGATGTATCTGGGCCATGAGACTCTGGTCGACTATAGAACTCCAAAGATGACGAGGGGCAACGCCGGGCTGTTGAACTTGTTGGACAGATCGTGCCGCACCGTCGTGATAAGAGCAGCCGCCGGAGAATCTCGAGGAGGAGGTCGAATGAGCAGACAAGATATATTGCGTATATTATGTTCGGGACATGGGCGGGCAGCAGGCGCAAGTTGGTGACGTTCGAATAAACAACAAAACTACCGGCGGGAGTGAAGCACATGCACAGCTTTGCTTTCAGCGCTCTGCCCTGAGTCCTAGGTCACTCGTCCCTCTTTTCCCTTATGGACGCAGCAAATACAAGAGCGCTGCAGCAGCTATGCGTCACAAGGCGAAAAAGAAGTGTCGCGGATGGAATGGAATGGCGGGTCTTAGCGAGCGTGAATGGAAGAGGCCGAGCGGCGCTTCGGGAAGAAACAGACTCCTGAACCGGAGCGAGTATTGCCTGCCTCTGCGCTCCAGCAGTTCCGACAGGCGATTCTCAGCGCCTGGCAGCAGGCAGCGTCTTGGGTTCGAGTTCGAGTTTGGCGGGCCAAGGGAGGGAGCGTGAGAGTTTGCAACTTTTGGTTCGAGTCGCGGCGCGCAAGGTTCAAATGTTGTGGTGTGGTTCAGGCTGGCTCCAGGCGCGACGTACCTCCATTGCCTAGCAACAAGGGGGCCCCCCGCCATTCAGTGAAGGGATGGGCGATTGCACAGCGGGCAGCCCGCTAACGAAACAGGCGGCAGCCCACTGTATCCCGCTGTGTTGTACCATGAATCGATGATCTCAGCCGCCACCAACGAACCTAGTTTGTGCATGTTGACAACAGGCCGCCACACAAGGCGCCACACCCCAGCCATTTTGCGCCAATCTTGGAGCTGGTACACCTTGTCAACTCTCCACTGGCCAAAGATACCAGATTTCACCAAAAGCTTCCATTTGCAAGATCCTGCGCCATTCAACACCAAATTGAACAATTCACACAATGGCTCAGAAAGCGAAAAAGGACCGCGCAAAGTCCAACGCGGCGTCTCTAAACAACCTGCACATCGGGTCCCTCGTCGTCCACGTGCTTTTCCTGCTCTCCCACTTCCTGCTCCGGTCCCGGTCTCTCCTCGTCTACGGCCTCCTCTCCGTCCCGAGCTTCGTCTGCGAATACATCTTGGAAACGTCCGGTCGACCCAAATACGATGCCGCAACTGGGGCCCTCAAGACGTCGGGAGAGGATCTGGCGGCTGCCGGCTTGACGGAGTACATGTTTGATGTCATCTGGGTGACATGGGCATCCCTCGTTTCCGTCATCCTCTTTGGAAACTGGGGCTGGCTCTTATTTGCCGTGGTCCCTGCCTACGGCGCCTACCTGGGCTATGGACTCTTGGGCATGGGCAAGAATGCGCTGGCCCAAATGCAGGATACTGGCAACGCCGGCAATGCTGCACCGCAGGGGAACCGTCGATCACGAAGGACTGCTTAGATGCCATGTACGGATCTATTCGGGCGTGTTCTATTCAAAAGGCTGGGGAAATATGCAAAAAAGCAGGTGTCTAACGTCTATCAATTCATTCTTCACTCCCGTCAAGGCCGCTCTCCCGTCCAGCGTTCCAGCATATCATCATCAACATCCCGGACCAGCACATGGAAATGCTCCAGAGTCCTCACGCTCTGCAGAGCAACCCAGTTCTTGAACCATAGCACCTGCTGCTCTCCCCCAAGCCCTAGTTTTCTAATAAAGTAGTCATTGACAAACTTCTCCACCCGGGCTCTGCTCTCAGCCGTCAAGTCTCCCGACTCAGGGTCGGTAGGAATCGGGGTGCGAGACCACACAACGATGTGCGTGATTCCTGGAGCCAATCCATAGGGCCAGTCATTCAACAGGACCTTGTAGTCCGACGCAGCGGTAAAGGGGACTTGGGACTCGGGTGTGAAAGGTGGCAGGCCCCATGCCTTGGGTAGACGGTTCTGGAGGATGAATTCAGTTATAGTGCCGTACTTGGCCTTGGTCTCTGCAGTCCAGGCAATGTAGCGGCGGAGATCCGAGGGCTTTCTCTTCAAAACACCAAGATCATTTGTGTCTTTTTTTCAGCACGTGTTAGCCTGCATCAGCGATACCATCGCCACCTCTTGATAGACAAATGAAGCCCAACGAGCGTGAATCCACACACCGATAATGTGCTTGAGGTCGTCCCAATCGTGTAGCTTGTAATCCTCGTCCGACTGCGAAAGCACCCATTTGTCCACCTCGGTCAAGGGGAAAGGCGCGTCCGCCACGGCCTGCAGGGTGCTCTGATCCCCCATCGTTTCCGGATTGAGATCCAATGCAAATGGAGCTCGACCTGATCGAAGCCACGGAGATGGTGAGAGCCTAAAAGGGCCCGGTCTGATGGACAGGGGGGGAACAAGCTCATGCGACCAAAAAAGCCAGCCAGCTTCGTGTCCGTATTATGTAATTGCCAACCAGACCACCGCCTCGCAATCTCGTACTCGCAATGGAAGTTCATGGGCCTGTGCCTGTGTATCCCAACATAATTAACCAAACACCCCATATCCATCCCAAAGCCCACGCCTCACGCAGGATCCTTCGCGCCTCGTACAAAAATAAAAAAAGTATGCATCAGGTCCTCCTCTAAAATAGAAAACAGCCACCCACGTCTTGCAAGCAAATTAAAGCATAACCTTGCTAAAAATTCCCAAATAGTTGCCGTTATAGGACGCCCGATCCGGGGCTTTCTCAAATCGGGGCGGGGGGGAGACCCTTTGCGAGCCACTCGGAGGATTTGATTGACCCTTAATATTAGAGGCATCACCCCAGATTTGCTGTAATCTGCGCCCCCCAGAGCCCGTCTTTTTTGTTGAATATTACCTAAAGTATCGGCATTCTTGTCTCGAAATTTGCTTTTAATTGTTGTGTCACTTCGTTCTTTCATACTCATTCCTTCACATGCTCTCTCACTCACTCACACTCTTTATTTTTTCTTCATTTTTCTTGTATACTATCATCTTCGAATCCTAAATTGTTTCCTTTCCTTTTCCTATTATTCGCCTTCTGCTCCTTTCTTTTTTTTTTTTTTTTTGTTCGGCATCTACAGAGTACTAGGGGCTGTTTCTTCTTACCTCATTCGTTGACTTACTTCTTATGATTTGAATCCAACCCCCCAAACAATAATATCTTGTGATAATAAACCGCTATGAGCATCCCACCACCAACATGATCCTCGGTCCCATATCTCTCATCGACTGCCTCGTCTTCTGTATCTATCTTACTCCACAGCTCTTTCGCCAAGCAGGTTTCTTCCCTACCGCAGCTGTCGTTCTCAGGGCCATCCCATTTCTTTGTATGCCACGCCCATCTCATAAACCACCCTTGGTGCTACTACCGCTGGGGAATCACAACAGCTGAGACAAAATGATCTGACAAACATAATGTGATGCTGCAGTACTTACACTTCCTATTCAGTTCGTGTGGAACCGCTACTGCAGGAGCTATGCTTCCCACAAGTCTTCTCACCTGAAGGGCTCTACCATCTTTGAAGACGTCGTCGTCCGGTGCGTGCGATATGCATTTGCTAGCATACCAGCCAACGTCGGCAGAGTCTTCTTTTCCAAGGACGTGGCGCTGCCCTTTCTAAGGTGGCGCATGAAGAGGCATGGGTTCAACGACTTTCCGGTGTATTGGAAAGAAGAAACCATTGGAGAGGTTCACACCCCCTTTTGAAACTTCACGTGCCTAGCTAACGTTCTGTATGCAGGGAGACGCCAAGGTCAAGGGAATTTGGATCAAGCAGCGCGGCGAGGATGAGCCGGATATTGTGATATACTACGCCCATGGTAAGACTTGTGTCCATACGCGAGTTGCCGAAGTGCGCTAACACATGCATGCGACAACAAGGCGGCGGCTTTGCCATGGGATCGAGCTACTTCTACTTTGAGTTTCTTCTAGCATGGCATAGCCTACTGGTTGATGCCGGGTACGAAAACCCTGCCATCTTTGCCTTGGATTATAGCCTAGTTCCGGATGAGATTTATCCCACGCAGATTCTTCAGACGCTCCAGGGCTACAAGCACGTGTTGGAGGTAGCCAAGGATGCCTCCAAGGTGTGTGTTGCCGGAGACTCAGCCGGTGGCACGTTGATCCTCAGCATGCTGCTCGAGGTTGGCATTCAGGTGCAGAGCCAGCAGGCTATGGGACTTAAATTGGGCAAGAAGGGCATGCCAGAGGGGATCCGACCAAATTTTGCCATACCGCGAATGGCCATGCTCATCTCTCCTTGGATCACGTTAGCTTCGAGCCTCCACTTCCCATCCCCGGTCGACTACTTGAATAGAGGCACTCTCTGGAAGTACGGGCACCAATACGCTGGAGACACAATGATACACGGTGGCATGGCGTCGCCCGGAAGGTGTGACGACGTCAAGCTGTGGAAAGCAGCCAGCCCGGAGCGCGGTTACTTCATCACGTACGGCGGAGAGGAGGTCTTGGCGCCGGATATCGAGAACTTCGTCGGGCGTCTAGGCGCCGGCAAGGTTGAAATCGAAGCTCGGCGGTTCGACGGTGGGATTCACGCTTGGCCTGTGGCGTCGCTCTTCCTGTCCAGCACGAGAAGGAAGCGGCTATACGGGTTGCGAACTATAGTAGGGGAGATTAGAAAACGATTCGACAAAGCACCGGCAGGCAAAGCAAGGCAGGACGGGAGGCTGTCAGATTAGATCAAGTTCTACAATGTAATCATGGTGACCAATAAACGGAAAGTCGGGAACCAGAGCGCTGGGGCTCGGCTTCGTCATTTCCTGATCAGCTCAGATTTAAAGCTCACTAGTTTTTATCATCGCACAGCCAGGGCGAGAGAAGAGGGAAGAGACGAGGATCATGGACGATGTGGTTGGTCGGGAATGAATCAAAGGAACTGCAGCTTACCGGAGGTGCGATTTGGTGCCTGGTGCGGGTTCTGCATCATCTCTAGGCAGCTCCAGGCAGCTTAGCGCCAGCTCGGTGCCAGCCACACATTTGAGCTTTCTTTTCCCTGGGACTGGACACGTCTGATCGGGTGAGATGAGTGATGTGATGAGGCTCGACCGCATGCCAGGTTGGCGTTAAGACAGGCCAAGGGCGAGATGCGAGCCTGGCAATGGGCGGAGAGAATGCGCACATCCCTTGCGTGCCAGGGGAACCGCCTTGATGATGGGAAAAGATATGGACATGTAAGTAAAAGTAAGCATGGCGTGTGGGTTGTTGTGCCGGTAGAGGGAGACCAGAGGTATTGTAACAGCCATGACGTGAAAGAGATACAAACGCCGGCTGGGATGCATGACGACAATCAGTAAGGCTGCGTGTTGAATGGAATCGTACTAGATAGTACCGATGGTGTGTGTATCATCCAAGAGCCGCATCGACGCAGCGCCACGCCAGATGTGATGCCACGAACGGGGACTTGGGTGTCGACCTCAAGCCGGGCTGAAGGAGGGCTGAAGGAGGGAAAAGGACATCCAGTGCAAGGCAGTGAGCGAGCCCAGATATTCGAGGCTGTCCATCCTTCATAGCGACACACCCCCTCCTCCCACCGTCATCAGCGTGCCACCAGCCACGGCTCCAAGTCTCATCCAAGGCAGTTCTCCGTTCTCGGTAGCTCAGCCTAGGGCGGGCGCCCAGCAGGTGTTGGTTACCTCGACCTCCCTCCTGTGCGCGCCGAGCAGTTTGCGAATCGACTCCTCGTGGCTGTCGCCCCCTCCCGATTTGGTGCAACTTGGCCATTAGCCCAGGTGGCCCAACTCAGGCTCAATGCGAACGGATGCGCATATAAACGCCTGGCCATTCCCTGCTGTCGATGCCATGTTGACCCCTCCAACCGCGCCCCCAAAAGCAGTGCGCACTTCCTCTCATGCGCGCAAAAGGCGGCTTTTGACGCCGCATCGCAGCCACCCCCATTTCCACATTTGGTCTGCGGTGAGCGCTCCGTCACCGAAAGCCGTTTCTTTGTCCTCGCTTGGTGTAGCATCATCTCATTCATTAGCCGTTGCCATATGACTGTATCCCGCAATACTTTCTATACTTCTCTCACTCTCATCCTCACTCTCACTCTCACTCTCCTTGGCTGAAATATTGCCGAGACGTCGTCTGAGTGAGTGGTTCAAGTCGCGCGCCCGGCTTCTTATTCCAAAACAAGAAATAAATCGCAGCAGGGCAGGATCTTTCTGGACGCCTTCCCTTTCCCCACTAGCGAGAAAGAAAACAAAAAGGGAAGACAAGAGAAGGGACGTTGGAAAGGACAAAAGGCGATTCAAACTCATCGATTGAGAACAGGCCCTCTTTCCTCGTCAATAGCTAGATGTCTAGCTTTGAATAAAAGAAGCGTCTCATACGAGTAGAAGCTGGCTGCATCCAATTCTTTACACCACCTGCACCGTCGCATCGCCTCCGCTTCCTGTCTGCCAGCAACCCGTCCGTCTGTTGGCCCCGTCACTTGAGTAGGTACCAAATGAAGACATGCGACTTCGAGGGTCAAGAGAGAAAAGAAAAAGGAAGAACGAGAAGAAAGTAATCGACCGTCCATCCGTGCATTAGTCTAGGCTCTGCCCTGCCCTACCCTACTCAACCAACAGCAACAGGGCATCGCCATCAAATCATTTATCCCCCGCGAATTCAGCATCATCTCAGCAGACTAGCATCTCGCTGCAGCGCGTCATTTGGCTTGGATTGACCCAGTCGCTTTGCATTGAGCCGGACCTGCAAATCGGCTGCAGCCAGCACTAGCGCCGCCGCTGAAGAAAAAAAAAATCGCTGCAAGGGGAGCGGACTTGGGGAAGAAAAAGGAAAAAGAGACGACGGAGGCTCCCTGTCGGAGGAGAATCTGGTGCCGGTCCATTGTTTCCTGGGCCACTGATTTGCGGTCGTTGCCCTGAGCAGGCGAGGTTGATGCACTAAAGCAGCGCTAAACGGCCGCTGGAAAAAAAACAATGTCGGCCGAAGAATCGTCGAATTACGCGCCACGGTCGCCGGACCTGTCGTCGTTTTTCTCGGGCAGCCCCACCCAGACCGCACCTCAGCAACTCCAAGCGTCAGCAAGCCACAGCCAGGCTGGATATAAAATACAGCCTCCCGCCGACCACTTTGGAGCTATACGAACCGACCCTTCCCCCTACTATATACCTCCCTCCTACGGCGCGTATCCCCAAACCCCGGTCGCCACGCCCACGAGCCAACCCAAGTACGAGCCCTATTTCCCGCCATCGCAGTCGCAGCGAGCGCAAAGCTTCGACGCCCACATTCCAAACGCCGCAATTCCCGTATCGTACTGGCCTGAGGAGCGGGTTTTCAGACCTCCGCTGCCGCCATTATCCACGTCAAACGAGCCCTACCAATTCTCCGGAAGCGCCATTCAGCCTCCGTCCTCGTCGTTCGATATGCCGCCGCGAAAGTTAGTGGCGCCACCGCCCCCTGCACCGGCCGTCGAACCATCTCCTGTCCGGACAAAATTTCCCACGGCCCGGATCAAGCGGATCATGCAGGCCGATGAGGAAGTAGGCAAGGTCGCTCAGCAAACCCCCATTGCTGTAGGCAAGGCATTAGAGCTGTTCATGATCCAGCTCGTCACAAAGAGCGCGGATGTTGCCAAGGACAAAGGATCTAAGAGAGTCACGGCATCCATGCTGAAGCAGGTGGTGGAGGCAGACGAGCAGTGGGATTTTCTCAGGGAGATTGTCGGCCGCGTGGAGAATGAGAAGGAGGGCAGCAAGTCCAAGGCCAAGGCCGACAGCGAAACCGACGAAGAGATGGAGGAGCCCAAAAAGCGAGGCAGAGGTGGCCGCCGCAAGAAGGTACAATAGCACAATGACCTCGAGCACACACACACACACACACACACATGATGACGGGAACGAAGATTGGGATGACTGGCGTTTACTGGCAAAAACATACCACATTGTTATTATCATACAGCGGCGTTGGGGACGGACACATTCGGGAGGGGGTGGCGGAATTCTAGATGGCCGTGTAGCTGTGAGGCTCTCTATCTGGATGCACACGACAACTGCGTGAGGTGTCTTAGTACTGTAACCTTTTTTTTTTCTCTGTTGCCATATTTCCACTTCAATAGCTTTCGCTCTGGACAACTCAAGTACTAGTATTTTCCAGCTCAAGACGAAGAAGACAAAACAAAAATAACGCGTGCGGCTTGAAAGTTGCAGGATCCTTACCGTATGCCCTTGGCATGGATGGGTTCGATTTCTGATACAGTGGATGGCATGTGACGGGTGATGCCGCATTGTTTCACAGGCTGGCTGCGACAGCAAAAACGGAGCTGCCAACGGTGCGTATTGTCTGACATGTGCAGTTGACAAGCACTTGGTCCGTATTTGCAACGGCGCTCCATTGGGAGTCCTTCTGTGTCTGCTGATGCGCAAAGCAATCAATGTCCAAATCCTATGCGACGTACGAAATGCCGCCGTTTATGCACGTGTACGTTGTCGGTGGTGCCCAGATCAGATGAGCTGCATTGCATTGGATATGGAAGCTGGAGGCGAGCGAGTAAGCGTTCAGGGGACGGCTTTGGCCAGCCTCCGCCTGGAGTGCGTGCAGCAGAGTCAGGTCGACTTATTAAGGTAGGTAGCTGAATGGGGTAAACGGCATGGTATGCGTGTACAATTGAGTACATTGCATGCCTTGCCTTGCCTTGCCTTGCCTTGCCTTACGCAGACACTTGACGGAGGCCTGCTGCACTCCGTATTACCACGGTATCTAAGAGGTTGTATTGTGCGAGATGCCTGCAATTCGACAAATTTACTTGGGCGTCCAGAGGCAGCTGGCCAGGACTTCGGAGAGCAAAACTCCTTACTCCGGGCGCCGACGACTCCATTGGCCTGTGTGTTTTATTACCGGGCCGCCTCATGGTGACGGAATTAAACACCATGTTCATTACTCGTACATTACATATTGACAGTACGGAGTAGATGGGGAAACACTCAATTGTAATATCTAGATTCCAGGTACTTGCTACCATGAAAGTCCGCTCGGTTTGTTTGATTACTGTACCTACCTATATCTACTCTAGTATTACATGAATCCAGCCCTGTGTGGGCGGACCGTTCGTGTTCCCGCCCACGGCTCCCGTCTCTGCTGCAAAATCACCTACCAACTCGGGCTAAAAGAAGTCATCCGGCAGAGGAATTGAAACGGTGCCACCATTTCAACGCCTCGACGCTCGCAGCTCCCCTGGCGGACCCCTAAAAGACTGGCGGCGCCAAGCAATAGTGCTGTAGATAGTGGTGGCCGCCAGAAAGGTTAGGCACTAAAGCGGCAACAAGTGGACAGGTCACTCAACTCCTCCAATTGTGTTGCACCAAGTATGTGCGAGGCCAAATACTTGGACTTTGATTGATCTCCGCCTCGTCCGCCGCCTCGACGCCAACGCTTGTTTCGTGCTCTGCTTCCCCCCCCTCGACCTCGACGCTCATTTCTGCCAGCTTCACAGTGCATCCATTTCTGCTTCGGCCCTGTTGCTGCTGCTGCTGCTGTTGCTGTTGCATGCGCGCCCTCACTGCCGCTGGACAAAAGAGCCGTCGCCAATCCCCCGCTTCGAGAGCCATGCGAGACCGGCTGAATCCTGCATCGCATTCCGCCCTCATCTAGATGAGGCACCACTATCGCAGCCGCCAATTCGATCCTTCTTATTCCTCAGTGTCTGCTTGCCGCCTCGCGTGACCCAATGTCGTGGGACTTGCTGCAGCGATTCCTCGAATCCGACGTCTTCAATGCGAATCCCTTCCTCTCCGTCTCCTACCTCTCGTGAGTTGGCACCTTTTCTCTTCTCCTTCTGGAGCTTTACCTAGCTCCGGCAGCTCGGCAGCAGCAAAGCTCTTGTGTGTATAGGCTAACCCGTGCCCTTTTTTGTCTTGTAGTCGCTATGCCGACCATGTAGGCATTCACTATGTCCTATGCAACAAGCTGCGACAGTTCCCCTACGAGGACATCGAGTTCTTCCTGCCGCAGCTATGCCACCTCATCATCAGCGTCGACAACGAGTCAATGGCTTTGGAGGAGTTCTTGTTGGATCTGTGTGAGGAGTCTGTGACAGCCGCATTGCTGGTACGTACTACGGGTATAGCCAAATGGGTCGCCAATTGCGACATGAGATGAAACGAGACGAGGCTTGTTCGCGCACCCTGGAATGCTAACCTGGCTTGTTTGCTACAGACGTTTTGGCTCTTTCAGACATATCTGCACGATTTGTCGTCGAATCCGCAGTCTAATGCCTTTCAGACATGTCGTCGAGTCTACAACAAGGTGCAGCACATCGTGTTTGGACTTGCAGACACGGCGCGGCACCACAAGATCAAGGAAAACGTCTTGCCCGTCACCGTGCTCTCCAGCTTCGTCCTTGCGAGTGTAGCCCTTCCAATGATACCAAGATGGGCCGGCCCCCTTGCTGTCGCACAGGCCCGAAAGCCTCAACCCATCACTGAGGATAGTTCAGACGGGAGTGAAACTCCAAAGCCCACGGCAAAAGCTTCCTCAACAAAGCCCACGAGGGCAAACACCGTGACCAGTCCGACCTCGAAATCCCGGCGCATCAAGGAACCAAAATCACCTGGCGCATCCGATGGCAGCTTGGTCATGGACAGCCGCCCTTCGACACGGCGAGTTGGTTCCCAAGCACCGCTCTCTCGTTCGCCATTGAACCCGGATTCAAAAAGGCCGTCTGCCCTGGATATGAAATCCCTAGAAGCAAGGCTCAGCACCGCATCTCTGCCTCTGCCATCCCCACGAGGACCATCCCGGCCAGCAACTCCCGTTTCTGCAGGAGTCAACTCAAGGCCCACGGACGGCATCCATAGAAGACATTCTCACCACTTCAAATCGGCTTTAGGCACTAACAACATGTCTCCGGCCCAGAAAGCACAGCTTCTGAGGCAACATTACTTCAGATCGCAAACTCAGTTCTTGTCTGCCCTTGAAGGCATCTCCAACCGACTTGTCGCCGTGCCGAAACCCGCCCGTATGAGCGCTCTGCGAGCCGAGTTGGCCCTCATTGGAAGGGATTTACCGGCTGAGGTCGATATTCCCATGATTTGCCCGCCGACACTGATCGACGGCGCGCCCGGGAAGAGCCGCCACCATCGAATTGTGCGGCTAAATCCCGCCGAGGCAACGGTCTTGAACAGCGCTGAGAAGGTGCCCTATTTACTAATGGTCGAGGTGTTGAGAGATGACTTTAACTTTGATCCCGAAGCCCCGGATAACCAGCGGCTGCTGACCAGTCTTCTTGGTGGCAGCGGGCCCACGAAAAGACTGTTTGATCTCTCTTCGGAGATACCCAGGGCCGCTCAGGTTGTTCAGCCTCCCGAGCCCATCATAGACAGCGTGTTCGAACCAACTTCTGGTGATTTAGGGAGCTCGCCGCTTCTCAAGGCGTTTGACGACGAGCCTCCTTCCACCGGCTATCACTCAAAGCACTCTTCTGACCAGCGATTCTCTAGCGGAGCGACAACTGCGTCTACAACACTGGATGCCATTACGCCGCGCACGTCAGGGCCCTATTCTTCGAGATCGCCCAGCCCCGGCTCTCGGCGGCGGATGACGCTCAACATGGCTCGCGCCGACCAGCCAGATTTCTCAGCGCTGGCTACGCACATGAGGACAGCGTCTCAGATGCTCGCCCAACTCGAGGCCACGAGCGGCAAGCGACCAAAACACGAAGTGGCTGCGATTAGGGCCAAGATCATTGCGAGCATGCAAAGCCTCGAGGAGCAGAGCTTTGACGCAGACGAGCACGGTCCTACGTTTGACACCATCATGGCTAAAGCCAGCACAGCCGGCGCGATGCAGGGCATAGACGCGGATCTGGATGAAGAAGAAGCGGCACCAATTGATCCCAATATCAACGCTAGTGCAGGCAGGGACAGGATGGAAAACGACATCAAGACGGGAGGTGTCCAGCGCCGTGGTGATCGCGACGACCCTAGTGCGGCTGTCTTTGGAGAAGCCTGGGAGGCCAAAAAGGAGCGAATTCGCAAGTCCTCGCCCTACGGGTGGATGAAGAACTGGGATCTCATGAGCGTCATTGTAAAAACAGGCGCCGATTTGCGTCAGGAGGCTTTTGCGTGCCAGCTCATCAACGTCTGTCACAAGATTTGGGTGGATGCAAAGGTGGATGTCTGGGTCAAGCTGATGCGCATTCTCGTAACCGGAGAGTCGTCTGGACTCGTCGAAACGATAGCCAACGGTGTGTCCCTGCACTCGCTCAAGCGAAGTCTCACGCTTGCATCGATCGAGGCTGGAAACAACCCCCGGCATCGAATTGCCACGTTAAAGGACCACTTCATCAAGGCATTCGGCCAGCCTGACAGCAAGCCCTACAAGGCTGGGCTTGAGGCGTTCAAACGCTCATTAGCGGCGTATAGCATCATCTCCTATATCCTTCAGCTGAAAGACCGGCACAACGGCAACGTGCTGATTGATAGCGAGGGGCACATTATCCACATCGACTTTGGATTCATGCTTTCCAACTCGCCTGGCTCAGTTGGGTTCGAGGCTGCGCCTTTCAAGCTCACACACGAGTACGTGGATGTCCTTGGAGGAATAGGTTCACCAGACTTTGAAGACTACAAGAGGATGTGTAAACAAGCTTTTCAGGGTAAGTTGAACAACACCACAGATTGACTGATTTAGATGGCAAATTTCCTCTAACATTCCCTCTCTCAGCACTTCGACGGTCCGCGGACTACATCATCGACCTGGTGGCCATGATGGGCCTCAACTCGAAAATGCCCTGCTTCGCCGTCGGCGTCACACATGTCGTGACGACGCTCCGCCAGCGCTTCCAGCTGCATCTCAGCGCCGACGAGGCGGAGAATTTCGTCGAGACGGACTTGGTTGCCAAGTCGTATGGCAGTTATTACACGCGACTGTGAGTTTGTAGATATTTTTTTTCCCTACACATTCATTGACCAGAAGACTAACATGCTCGGGCGCAACAACAGGTACGATACTTTCCAATATCGCACTCAAGGTATATACTAGGTAAAATCCGTAGCCAGTGGCCCCTTTCTCAGGGGAAACCTAATAAGGAAAGCTGTGAATATGCGGGAGAGAGGATATGAAATTCAACTTTGAAAAGGGAAAAAGGGGACGTGTTCTATAACTGAAAGCGTGGGAAGAAAGGATAAGGGGGGCCTTTTCTTCCATGGACACGCAAAACTTGGAATATACTTTGGCTACATTTTGAGCAGTTCTAGCTTATACATATATCATATATGCGACCGGCGTTGCTTTTTTGGAGAAAGGCGAAAATACAAGCCTTAGAAGGAGAGAAATATTACCTACCCAGTACTCCTTAACCAAGCCATGACATGACACATCACAGTGATTAGACGTCTACAAAGTTATGTTTGAAAATACCGAGTAAAATGCAGAATAGTTCTTGACTATTTTTGTGCTATAAATGTAATATTTACCCGCCTGCTAGCCTTTTGGCTCCCAAGTGTACGTGGAGTCGATTATTGCTCCATCATCATTCAGCATTCAAGTCCAGCCGAGTCATACCCTCTCGCTCTCGTATCCCCCCTGATAGCCGCTCAGTTTCTTCCTCTATCGATATTTTCGCGGGTCCAGGCTATCCATTGATAAGAGATTCGCTACTCTCCCACCAGGCTAGCCGGCTTCTTATGCGCCGCGCCACAGCCTTGTCATCATCTCTGGACTCACTGCTGCTCGTGTTTGGCACCGTCTGGGATAGCTTCTAACCCCAGCGTCCTCCCTCTCTCTCAGCTTCTAACCTCCGCATCCGCTCCTCGCTATCGCCGTCGACCATGTCGTTGCGTCGGCTGCGCCGCCCCTTGCGGCCCCCATCATCGGCGTCGTCTCGGCTGCGTTTCGAGCCCGCCAAACCTGCGAGCCCGGCCATACGCTGGGCTTCTTTCAGCAGACGCTCGCGGTTCCTAGCTTCCCTTTCTAGAGTGTGCGCATCTTTCTGCGGGGCAGAGCCAGCACCGGCTGCTCGAGGGCCCCCTTTGATGTCAAAGCCACGCGGGCCCGTGGGCGGGTCAAAGCCCTTGTCGCCGCTCGGGGTTGCAGTGCCATCAATAGAGTGCTTCCTGCTGCCGCTTCCGTGCCGGGTGTAGTCTCGGTCTCGGTCACGGTCTCGATCACGGTCACGGTCTCGATCCCGATCCCGATCTCGGTATCGGTCCTTGCGGTCCTTTTCCTTGCGGCTACTGCTGCTATCCTTGTCACGCTCCCTCTCCTTGTCCCTCTCCTTATCGTGACGTCTGGAGGTTTGTTCATAGTCTCCCCGGTCTCGGTGTGATGAGCGGTGATTCGATCCCCGGCGGTCGTCCTCTTCTTCTCTGTACTTGTCCTTGCGTCGTTCATAGTCTCGATCCTTGTCCTTGTCTTTGCGGCTGCGGTGGCTAGAACGTTTGGCATCATCTGGGGAGGCCGATCTGGACCGTTCAGCTGGTTTATCGTCCTTTGGCCGTTGAGACGACTGCTCGTCATCGTCATCGTAGTAGTGTCTTCTACTGCTCCGGTGCTTCTTCCGGCGGTACGAGTCATCTTTATCCTCCTCTCCTACAGATTCGGAACGCTGACGCCGTTGTCGCCTGTGGGAGCTCCTATGTCCACGGCTGCGGCTCGGGCTGCGGCTGCTGCGATCTAGGCTTCGGCTTCTACTACTAATCCTGGAGCCGGAGCGCTCTGGCTCCCTCCCTCGGTCGCGGTCTACTCGGTCCCGCTCCCGGTCTCTCTCTTGAGCGCTATGGGGGTCCTCAGACGCCCCGCCTCTATCACGTTTATCGTGATCCTTGGGTCGCTCCTTGCTGCGATCACGATGGGGATCACGGTCTCGCATTTTGTCAAGGTTGGGGGTACTACTTCTAGAGCCCGGTTGAGTAGCTGGATTCGACGGCGGCGCCTGTGGCGGCTGTGATATGATGGCAGCAGGTTTTTGCACCGGCAGGCCACTATCTTCAACCTGGAAACCCCTGGCTCGCAGATTCAGCAGGCTAGTATTAGGCAGTCCTTGACGCATGGCCTTGGGGCCTTTGGGAGCATTAATAGGTGCATCCGGCGCCGTCAAGATGGAGCGAATGGCCGCCACGCCATTTCGATTCTGCATACTAGATCCGTCTGGTTGGGCTGTTGATGGGCGCGAGGCGCCTCCAGAAAACGCTTCATTGCCTAGGGTCTCACGAGATGCAGATTCGGAGGGATCTTGTTTGGACCCGTCAGTGTTAGCGCCGCCTTGGGCATCCGATGCCTTGGTCTGGCTTGCACCTTCGCTGGCATTCTCGTCAACCTGAGCACTTGCCGCCGTCGAAGTCGGTTGCTGCCCAGCTTCACCTTGGCCCTGGAAGGCTGCTGCCCCTTGTCCTTGGTTGTACTGGGAATATTGGCCTTGGTCATGATAGTTCATGCCGCCGCCTTGTTGATGATAGCCCCCCCGGCCATACCCCCCGTAGAATCCGCGGCCGCGCCCACGGCCACGACCGTAGTTGTTGCGACGATAATCATTGAAGTGGCCATAATTACCTTGATTGTATCCTGTCTGGAATCCTGAGTTAAAATTCCCAAAGTCCCCAGTTCCCATGCCTGGGCCATTTTGATTGTAATTATTTTGGTCGAAATTCCATGACTGTGCACCGTTCCAGTTATCATTGGAGCCTTGTCCAAATCCTCCTCCAAAGCCCCCCATGCCGTTCATGCCCATGCCTTGAAAGCCTCCGTTCATGTACATGTTCTGCATCGGGTCCATGCCCATTCCTGGCATGCCTGCTCCATGGTCAGTAACTTGAAACAATGGTTCAAACGGGAAAGCCAAGACGGCCGGGAGCCTTACCCATCATAGGAAACCCACCAAATGAATTGGGCCCCATTCCATTTTGCATAGCCATCATCATTTGCATTTGGTTGAAATCGCCACCAGGAAACATCATATTCTGCTGAAATCCACCATTCGCTGCATCAGATGCACCATATTGCTCTTGGTCGTTGCCAGTTTGGTCGGCACCGTCGTCACCTTCGGCAGCAGCGTCTTGCTCTTGACCGTTGGCTGCATCATCGCCTTCATCATCGGGGCCCTCGGTTTCCTGAGCTTCAGCAGCAGCCGACTGCTCTTTCAAGGGCTCTTCCGCGCTGTTTAGCACTGTCTCCTGCTGCAGACGATGCGGTAGATTAGTATACTGATTATGTGATTGCTGATCGTTGGTCAAGCCCATACCTGTTTCTCCTCTTCGTGGCCAGTGGCTGGCTCATCAGCCCTCTGCGGCACTGCATCTTGTACAGGCACTTCTCCACTAGCATCTGCTGCCTTCTCGGCCGGGCCTTCTACAGAGGCTATAGTACCCACGTCGGGTAGCAATGATTTCGGTGCGTCGACCGGTGTCGGAGGCGCAGAGTCATTGGATTCTTTTGGCCGAGATGCCTCTCGCTTCTTCTCCGCCGTGCGCAGAAACACTCTGATGGTAGTGCGCAGAGATTTATTGGGGTTGCAATCCGCAGCGGATAACGGAGAATGCTCGCAAACGGGGCACGACTGGGGGAGGTTCGAGTGGCCTATCAACGATTAGAGCTGATCCGAAAGCACCTTGATTCACAGCAGGATTCGACCGAACGACGTACATGTTTCGCAGATGGCCTGTTCACAGCACGGCAGCCGCAGGGCGTTGACAGCCAGCTTGCTGCAGTTGGCGCATCGCAGTTTGTGTGGGATATCGTCGGGAGCCAACGAGCTGCGTGCCCAGTCAGTATCTTGCATTGCATTGCATGCCGGGAACTCAGCCAGGCAGGGCGGAAGAAGAAGAAAAACATACTTGATCAGCTCAGCCTGAGCCTCGGAAATGGACACGGCCATGTCGCCAGCACCAGGTCTATCTGCGCTTGACGACCATGAGGTTTCTGGGGGAAAAGGCCCAAGGACTCCAGATGCAGGCCGAAGAATGTCCCGGAAGAAGCAGAGCAGGGCCACGTCACGGCGTGACCTCAATGAGCCTCGGCACCACAAATCATTCAGCAACGGGCCACAGTCGCAAGTCAGCAATCGGTCAACCCCTATGAAGAAAGTATGGTGCAAGTTCTGAGATTGTGAGGAGTTTGACGCGCTTCGAAAAAAAGAAGTGGATCTGACAGCGGACGGCGAGCACGACCAGCAGCGGCTAACAGCGATCAGGGGGTCACGTGCCAGCCTTCTTCTCTGAGAAGAGCAATACCTGTAGTAAAGCCTGATATGGGTTACACTTTAATAAAACCTTTGTGTAGCAGTAATACGTGAAGCTTGTTTTGTGCGTGGTGATTTGAATAACTCAGTGGCGTTTGTTTACTTGTTTACGGCTTTTGTTATTTCCTTCTTCTTTTGTATTGAGGATTTGAGGCAGGTAGGCAGCCAATCGAGATGGCCAAAGTGGCCGATTGCGGCCTGAAGCTGTAGCCTGGGCGACTCAGTTGACTGTTTAAACACCTATCCGTTGCATCGTCCAATAAATAGGTGCCTAGTCAGATTTATAGCTCAGATACATAGGTACATATGAAAGGTAAATAATGTAGGTGTCTTGCCTAGTAGCATTGGACAAAGATGGGGATGTATACATTTACGCATCAAGGTGGTATTGCCAGGTAATATATACGAGTAGTTGAGAGCACCTCTACAGTTCCTGGCACTAATGCAATGCTACAGAAACACACCCATCTTTGCCACAACAACAGTCGGACGCTGGCGAGGTACTATTGTAGCAGAAACTAGACGTCTAAATAATAAACGATATGGCGCACAAAACTATAACACGCGAATGACTCCTGGAACGCAAGACTCTGACTCCCGAATGACATGCCATAACAAATCCGACCTCATCTGGCGGGTAGCGTAGCCTGTACCTTGTATAACAAATCAAACATCCCCCCTCTAACAGGCACATCCATCCTTTGCGCCCGCATCCCTTGGTCCTGATAGGTTCACTCTCTGCTCCTCTCCAGCCCTGTTGGCCGTGCCTGCTGCGCCGGGTCCCCTAGCACTCTTGAGAGATGTCTCGGGGATCGCATTTGCAATGGCTGTGAAGACTTCGGTGACGTTGTGGCCCGTCTTGGCACTTGTCTCGAAAAATAACAGACTCTCCTCTTCGGCATACGCCTGGGCTTCTTCCGTTGACACCTTGCGGGCATCGCCCTCTTCCCCGCCCTCGGCTTCCTCGCTTGCACCCTGCGATTCGCCAGCCAGATCTAGCTTGTTTCCTACCAGGGCGATGACGATGCCAGGCGAGGCTTGTCGTTGGAGCTCGGCGACCCAGTGTCTGGCCTTGACGAGAGATGTGGGCTTGGTGATGTCGTAGACGACAAGGGCGGCCTGGGCGTTTCGATAGTACATGGGCGCCAGAGAGGCAAATCGCTCTTGGCCGGCGGTATCCCAGATCTCAAACTTGATGGTTCGTGTGGGCAGATTGCATTTCTGCGTCAGAAACGCCGCTGCCAGGCAAGATTTAGCTGATGACGAGAGCGGGAGGTCTGGCGGGAGGGCCGGGGGAGACATGGCTTACCACCAATAGTCGGCTCCTTGTTCTCCTGGAAGTCGTTGTTGACGAATCGCAAGACGAGGGATGACTGCAAGCACAAGTCAATAATGCTGTCTACCACGGGGGAATCGACAAGCAAGGATTGGCGACCTTTCCGACTGCGGCTTCACCGAGGAGCACCAGCTTGACGCTGCTGCTGGGCTTTGGAGCTTCCGCCATCTTTTACCGGCTCGGTTCGGCGGCTACTGCTTGCGACTTGTAAGATACAGCAAAAGCGACTCCTCTAGGAGGGCGAAAGAGTACAGATTTGCCTGGAGATGTGCGTGGGCTGGCGGATCACTGCTGCCGTTCAACTGCGGGCGAGGTTTGTAAGTACAGAGGCTACTGCAAGTATGCGCGAGGATTGGCGCTGCTTCTAGCAAGCAAATTCCTGGTGGGTACGAAGTACCGGTTGCATGGCGAAGAGGCGCAACGATGACGAGGTCTCTGCGAACCAGCCTACGCACCAGCCACATCATTAGGTACAAGGCGCCGAGCTGCCTGGAGGGTAGAGAGTACTTGCTAAATCGTACCATATCTACGTCATAGCGAGTACTTTCTACCCAGTGCGGCAACCGCTTGGGCGTACCCGACTTTCCCGTCGTCGGTTTCGGCGGGGCAGCCTCGGCCAAAAGTTACGCCTATGCCCGGCTGCTCCCCGCCAAACTTTTTGGGCCTGATCTGCCGGCAGAAAAAAAAAAGTTGGTATGGGACTAGTTTCTGCTGCAGGCGCGAATCCTGTTGAAGATTCAAGCAATTTTTATTTCCATATACACCCAATCGCCAGCATCGACACCTCCCTACGGCTTCTGAATCCAAAAGAAAGCTGGGGATTGATACAGTTGCCAAAATGGCTGGGCCACGAGCAGCGGCACCCAAGGACAAGCCGTCCAATTCAAATAAACGAAAGCTCCTTGACGACAGCGACTCAGAATCAGACGATGGAGCTGCCATTGGAAGCTCGAGCTTTAAGGTGAACGAAGAATATGCGCGCCGTTTTGAGCATAACAAAAAGCGCGAGGAGAAGCAAAGATGTATGTTCAAATAAGACCCAAGGCAGTGTGTCCCTCTCTAACATCTACAAGTGGAAGAAAAGATCAAGAGGGAAGAGGAGAATGATGATTCGTCTTCCACCGATGAGACAGAAGACGAAGATGGTTTCCTTGCAACGGAAGACCTAGACGTTCAAATTTCTGCCACACTACAAGCAATTCGAAACAAAGATCCCCGCGTCTACGACAAGGATGTTACCTTCTATAACCCCGATGACGAGAACGCCGACACAATGACCAAAGAGAAGAAAGAGAAGCCTGTTTTTCTCCGCGACTATCAGCGAGAGAAATTGTTAAGAGGCGACATTGGTGGCTCAGATGACGAGGAGGAGGCACCAAAAACATACCAACAAGAGCAGGACGCAATTAAAAAGTCCCTTCTGTCTGAGATTAACGCTGCCAAACCTGAAGATTCTGATGAAGAGGACGAGGATGAGGACGGCTTCATCAAACGAAAAGAGCCAGCACAATCAGATTCAAACGGTCTACACCCCTCTAGAGCAAAGGCCGTGAAGCTCTCTGAAGTCGACGTGAATAATGCAGACAGGGATCCGGAAACATTTCTGTCGAATTTCTTGGCCGCGAGAGCTTGGGTAGCGGATGAGGGCTCAAGATGGGAGGCCTTTGAGTCTGATGATGGAGAAGAGGACAACCGGGCAGAAGAATTTGAACAGGCCTACAATTTGCGATTTGAGGACCCAGAAAAGAGCAACGAGGTTCTAAAATCATATGCCAGAGACTTTGCGGCTGCGCGATCCGTCAGACGAGAGGAAAAGACTGGCAGAAAGCGCCAGAGAGAGCTTGAGCGCGAGAAGAAGGAGGCAGAGAAGGAGCAACTCCGTGAAGACAAGGCCCGGTTACGAAAGCTGAAGCTCGAGGAAACCGAGGGCAAGCTTCGCAAGATTAAGCAGGCGGCCGGAGCGTTTGGTAAGGAGTTGACGGATGAGCAGTGGATGAAGTTCCTGGATGATGCGTGGGAGAACAACAAGTGGGAGGATGAGATGAAGAAGTGGTTCGACGAGGGTTACTACGCTATCAACGAAGCCAATGTCGCTTCAGATGACGATGAGATGGACGTTGATGGGGAAGGCGACGACAAAAAGAGCAAGAAGAAGCGTCCCAAGAAGCCCAAGTGGGACGACGACATCGACATCAACGATATCATCCCCGATTTCGAAGATGGCGAGGCAAAGCCAAACATCGCCTTATCAGACGACGAAGCACAAGACGCCAATGAGGATGACGAAGACGAGCCATCCGCCAAGAAGCTCAAGTCGTCAGACCACAAGAAGGCCCGTCAAGAGTCCCAGAAGAAGGCCCGCCAAGAGCGCTCCAAGCTCGAGGCCCTTGTCGACGCCAAGATGCACCTCACAGACCACGACGTGCTCAAGGGCAACGGCTCCGGCGGCTTCCGGTACCGCGAGACCTCGCCGCAGGCCTTTGGCCTGACGGCGCGCGACATCTTGCTCGCGCCGTCGGACAAGGTGCTCAACGAGTTCGCTGGGCTGAAGAAGCTCGCCACGTTCCGCGACGTGGAGAAGAAGCGCCGGGACAGGAAGCACCTGGGCAAGAAGGCCCGGCTGCGCCAGTGGCGAAGGGATGTCTTTGGCGGCGAGTTTGAGCATACGGGGCCGACGTATGGGTTTGAGCGGGTGGTTGCGAAGGAGGTCGGCGAGGAGGAGCCCAAAGATAAGAGGAGGCGAGAGAAGAAGAGCAAGTCAGTAGCAAAGGACGGCGAGGAGGTGAGCAACATTATCGGGGATGTTGACGGGACGAGGAAGAAGAGGAAGCGGTCAAAGGGGAAGAAGGCTGCCAAGGGTGAGAGCGACAACTGATTGAACTTTTTTTTTTGGTCTGTTTTTTTTGCCTTATGTGTACATTTTGGGGAAAAAGAAATCATACTATGGCTTGGTTTCATAATAGTGTCATATAGATGGGATTTAGATTTCTACTTGTATTTACAATATCATGCCATCTGAATATGAACCTCACCTTTGGTGTATCTTTCCAGCTACCATACGAGAGTTGCCTCTCCCTATCAAACAACCAGGTACTCAATTTACATTCAAAACACAAACACACATACATAGGTACATACATGCACACGCGATATTAAAAAAAAAAGTAAAAGAAGAATAATCATATCCTGTGAGAATAAACGTTAGGCATTTACATGAATACACTTCAAGGGAAACACGCCCCCCAACTCCCTTTTCCCCCCAAAATCTGCCTTCACACTTCCTCACCATCTCTCCCCCCCAAATGTTCCCAACGGTTTTGAATTCTCCTCAAACTCCGCCGCTTAGCAAACGAGCAAGCAAAAGGGGTTCCAGCAGAAACATTAAAAAATGGCCCGTCGATCTTTCATCTATCGGTTTCTCTCTGAAAAATAAGAAAGCAAACACAAAAAAAAAAGCTCAAACAAAAAACACGTACACTCTTCCCTGAATCATTTCGGCTAGGGAGAAAAAAAAATCCATGGGGCAAAGAGGAATATCCCATCCCAGAGAGGAAAAACAAAAGAAGCAAAAGTGCAAAATAAAATGCAAAATGCAAATCAACGCAGCGTATCATAAAAAAAGGTGTGTGTATCAACAAAACAGGTTCCCAGGCTTTTTCTTGCTCTAAGGTGTTGATGCCTAGCTCGTCGGATGAAAAACTGTCCCATCTTTCGCAAATTTATACCAGGGGGTGAGAGAAAAAAGGCGGTCATGAACTTGATTCAAATGTGACGAGTCTTTTTAATCCCAAGGAATTATGCCTTATTAACGCAAAAAGAAGAACGAGAAGAGACGAAAAAGAGAAACAGAGGGGCGTAAAGCTCAAAACCATAGCCCTCGTCGGTTCAAAATGCAAATGTGTGCGCCTAAAAGGCTTCGTAGTCGTAACAAGGTCATCTGCGCTCCTATGTAACAAAGTTCGTTTTCAAAATATCCAACGCTAGAAGGAATTTAGGTGTTCTTGGGAGGGTGAGAGGAGAAGAAAAGGAGGCTATGGCGTCAGTCGATCTCCTAAATTCGGCTGTGGCTGGCGCTGGTCCGACTTCTCTCATCCTCTTCCTCCATGACATCGCTCAGTCGAGTAGGGTGATGATGCCGAGGCACCGCTTCCCACCCAGCACTCCCATAGCCCTGGCCAGAATAGTCCTGAGGGTTCGAATAGGCGCCGGTCCATTGGCTTTGCGGGGCGGATGTTGACGAGGGCATGTTCGCACCGCTGGGGTTTGTCGTGGCCGGGGTGTCGTAGTCTTCTGGATCCAAATCAGAACCTGTGTACGTTGAGGGCGGCGCAGCGAAGGGAATTCTAAGTCCGTCCCCGTCTAGGATGAAATTTCCCTGCGCATCGATAAGGTACTCACCTTCGCTGTAACCGCCCTCGGAGCCAGCGCCTGCACGACGGCTCGGTTCTTCCTGGTGGCCAGATTGGTATTGTCCTTGTCCGGAGCTGCTGCTTCCTGCGGTGGTCTGTCCTCGGCCCTGGGCAGGCTGCTCAATGGAATAAGTTGGTCGTTGGTAATCGGACTGGTAGCTTCCTTGCTCCCTGGTGCTGCTGTGTCGACTGGGGCCGCCGCCCTGGGTCATTGGCACTACCTGAACTCCGCCCACGACCGTGGGGTGCCCTGACTGAAGAGACAGGGTTCTATCACGCTCCTCTTGCTCACGACGCCCGAGCTCCTCCCAGGCCCGACGGGCTTCCTCCTTTGAGATGGCGAGCTCCTTTCTCATCTCCACTAGCTGCTTCTGAGTCTTGGACACTCCGCGCTCGTGGTCGACAGCCTCGCGGATTGCTTGCTCGCGGTCCCTCCTCTCCTTTTCGAGGGCCGCTTCCAGCATGGCATTCACTTCGTGGGCGCGCTCCAGCTCGGATCTGGTTTCAAAGAACCACCTTTGGAATTTTCTCTCGGAGCTGGCCCGCAGGCGTTGAAGCTCCACTACGGCGTGAAAGAGGTTGGCGCCAGCCGCCGACAAATCCGTAACCTGTCGCGCCAGCTGTTGGCTCATGGGATCGCGATTGATGTCATCTTTATTTTGCTCCAGCTTGCGGATCCAGTAGCTCGTCAGTCCCTCCCAATGGGCAGACAACGTTTCCCATCGCTCGAAAGCATGGGGAAACGAATTGCGTGGCTTGGTGGGATCGGACGCCGTATCACCGGCAAGTGTCCCAGATGCAGGCTGCTGCGTCGAGGAGTTCCCAGCCGGGAAAGCCTGAGGAGGGGAATGGTGTTGCTGGTTGCTTGCCATCTGAGCCGGATGCTGCTGCGGTAGGGTCTGGTTGTGTGCGGCGGTCGCTCGCGGGGCTTGTGAAGGGTCCAGGCCTGTTTGACCCAAATGTGAAGGGTTAGTAGATTGCTGAGCCTCAGCAGTGATGCCTTGGCCAGCAGCAACGCCAGCAGCGCGCCGGTCTGCATTGCGACGCTCCGTCTCCTGCTGCACTCGCGCTTCTTGCTCAGCACGGCTCTTCTCCAATGCCTGCTGTTCACTTTCGGCTCTTTGCCGTGCCTCTGCCCTCTGGCGCGCTTCTCTCGCTGCTCTCTCCTGCATGATCGCCCTAGGACCCTTGATGCCTGATGGCGAGCTCGTCGGTGCGGGAGCGGCCGCTGGCATGCGACCAGGGCCAAGGGAAGTGCCATTGGAGGTGGCAGGAAGGCCACCAGTCATGAGGTCAGACATGCTGGCAGTCTCTTCAATTTCGTCGGCTGTGAAGGGGCGAGGTTGACGGAGAGCCTCCTCTAAAGCGTAAAGGATTGCGTTGTGGGTATGCTTGGAAATGCGAGGAACTCTAGGCTGATGTCTTGTATGCGCGACGCCAGTGGAGGCCGGTGGGTTCTGGATTCCCGCAGAGCTGGAGGCTTCGTGACGCGGCCCCTGGGTCTGTGGTCGCTGGCGCTTATCCTCGTTGGACTCGTCAAACAGCGACAACCCAAGCCCAGTGATGGACGATTCGGAGTCGTGCGAAAGCGATACAATGCTCGGGTAGAAGCCCGCCGAGGCAGCGGCGATGTGAACTCGACGCTCCGGCTCCGGCTGGTGATTGGGCACAGAGTCGAATTTCGGCGTGCGGCGAAGAGATCTGTGCTGCGAAGACGGGGTGGAGAGCCTGCTGGGAGGCTCTTGTGCAGTCTGCAAGTGCGGCTGTTGCTGCTGGCGTTGCTTTGGGAAATGCGTGTTCTCGTGGGTCGCGTAACGGTCGTTAGAAACGGGGGAAGGTCGTTGGGACAAGTCTGCGGCGCCGCCTAGCGTAGGGGGGAGGAAAGACAAGTTGAATGAGGTTGATCACCGCCAGGCTAACCGGCGGTGATGCTAGGAGGAGAGGGCAAAAACCACAAGGGCGCGAGGTCGTCGAGGGATGCCACTACAGGGTTCAGTTTCGTGGGCGAATTGGGTGCCGTAGCCAACGAGCCGAAGAACCCTAGAAGCGCGTGTTTTCAGCAAGAGCAATAAAAAAAAGGATAGGCAAATAAAAAATTGTTGCTATCCAGATCCAGACCAGCAATGAGGTGATTTGCGCCAAAAGGACCCGAGGGGGAGGATTGATAAGCGCAGGCACTAGGATATCGAGACAAAGTTGCGTGAGTCAAGGGTAGAAGCCGGACGCGATATGCAAGCAGGTGAATCGTGCAGCGAAAGGCGGCAGAAGACCCAATTGCCCGCAGGAGATGGGAGAAGGCTGGCTCAGCTCAGAAGCAGAGCAGAGACAGACAGAGGCGCAAAAGAGCCAGGGCGGTGATGTCAAAAAAGCTGGTGGCAGGGGAAAACCGGCTGGAAAATGGGGGGCTGGAGTGCGCAAGCGCGGCACCGCACGTCTTTTCCGCGCAACTGAAGCTGGGATTCAGTAGCGTTTATAGTGGCTGGTCAGCGGCCAGAGCAGGCAGGGGATGGATTGAACAAAGAAATGATCCAGTCTGGCTGGTCTGGTCTGGTGGATCGATGGTAGATTGGTTGGTTGATTGATTGATTGATTGATGAGTGAATGGATGAATGAATGGAGAAAACGAATGGATGTGCAGCGGTTATTATTTCTTTTTTTTTCAGGCTCCCAATGTCCAGACAGACAGGCGGTAAAAGCGCAGATGCCCTCTCTCTCTCTGGTGTGTGTCTCTTCGTCTGTTCTGCTGCGTTGCGACGGCCCAAGCAGACCGGATGCCTCCCGCGCTGGCCTCGGGCTCGTGGCCCAAGCAAAGACTCGATGCGTCAAAAAGGGAAAACAAAGAAGACGGAAAAATCAAGAGAAGGGGGTGTGACGGTGTCGTTGTTGGGCGAGGCGTCGAGATGATGCGCTGGTGCTGCTGCTGGTGCTATACAAGCAAGGGACTGTACAGTAAAGGTACGAGTACTCTCCGTATTGCAGCAACCACTTTCTCTCGCCCGTCCTTTTTCCCCCTTGCCCGTTCTCCACGAGGTCACAGAAACGGCCAGCAAAGCTCAGTTGGTGGAGCTTCAGGCTGCAGGCCGGCGAGCTGGCACCTGTTTGAGGCCCAATGCTGACTTTTTACCACGGCATCGTCTCAGGGGATGCAGCGAGCGGATGTGCTGGAAAGGAGGCAGCGGTTTCTGGAGGTAAGATGCGAGGTTCAAGGTCCAACGTCGACCGTCTGGAGGCGGACACGATAAGATTCAAATGCGATTTGGGCACCCAATGGAAAAGCAAGCACTCTGCATCACGGCCCCCATCTTGGCCATCTTGGCGGATTCTGCTCCGGCGTACCCAGCAGGTCGCATCGCCAGAGCAAGTACATGCGCCCTCTGCGGCTACGCAACGGCGGCATCATGTATCGTCCCAGCCGCGGCAACCTGTGCGCAACCCCCAGCTGAGACCAGCAGCACCGAAGTTGCAAAGCTGCTCGGAAAAGAGGATCACCCTCCACAGCTAAGCAAAATCTGCTAGCACTAGCACCAGTAGCTGAGGGATCCATGGATGGATTCGGTGGGCCGGGGAAAGCGATGCGAATCGCCGAGATGGGATCTAGGAGGAGGGGGCCAGGGCCATCCCTGACTCGAACTTTTGGGCGTCTCTCGCCGTGTTCCTGGTAATATATCAGGTCTCAGGCCTGTCTGTCTGTCTGGGTATGCATGATGCATGCATTGTACCTTGCTTCATGCAAGCACCACGATGGCAATGGCAGTGGCAATGACAATACAAGACGGCAGATACATGCAAACGGGCATCAAAAAGGGACCGCCCAAGGCAGACTCAGCGCAAAAATACAGTGGATGGAGGGTTGATGACAGCTTGTCAGTGCCAGCAACACCCCGATCTCCCGCTAAATGAGGCTGATCTTGTCAGGTTGGCACCTTCATGGTTAGTACGCCACGTCGCAAGCGCCACGTCTGTCTGATACCAAACCAGTACCTGTCCCCTCTACCCCCTTATACAGCCTAATACAAGTACCTGGCGGGTACCACTTATACAATGCCGCTCATGCAAATCACCGCCCACCACCCAAGATGCCCAGGAATCAGGCTCACTGTATTCAAAACGTCATGAATCTTCATCTTGAAGCTGTACAACTCACTGCGAGGCGTTGTGCCTCCCGTATCTGCGCGCCTCTGCGTGTGTTACACAGCTTCTGCCACAGCCCAATATGCCGTCCCTTGGCACAGCCGTTGCCTCATCTTAACGCTTACCGCAGGAGTAGGTAGAGCCTTGGACGTAATAATCAGTCTGTTTCATTTGTCTCTCAGCTTCGTCGAATAGAGAGGCCAGCTCATGTTCTTTGCATTCAATTCGCTGCCATTGCGGAAATTGTACCACGGGTCATGTATCAAATATTGTCTAGCAGCGGCGCGGCACGGCTCGGACCAAAATAAGGTGATATCCGAAGCTTCAGGTCGGGCGAGCCAATCGTTGGCAAGTATCGACGTCTTTTACCATTGACCGGAGGCCTAGGGTTTGGGGATCACCTAGACGACGTCACCTTTGCCAGAATTAGATGTGTTTATGCAGCATTGCGGCTTTAGCTGTGGACCTCGTACTTGTTCTGCACAATGTGGTAATCGATGTTGTCATGATACACGCCGACTAGGACGGACTCTTCTCCTGCAACCAGCGCCGCCATTGCATTGGCACTGCCCACATATCTTGTGGATGTGAAGTTGATCAATTATAACGGCAAGGAGAGAAAGGAATCAACTAGTGGCTCAAATTTCATGGAGAATATGCAATTTTGTGCGTGCCCTTGTTCAAGCTCTATCATAGCAATCATATATTTGTAGGGTAGGCTATGAGAACTGCTCACATGGAGAGTCCACATAGGACCGGCCAACGCATTCAAAAAAAAAAAAGAAAGAAAGAAAGAAAGAAAGAAGAAAATCAAGTCACGAGTACATCGTACTCACTTTCGTTTCGATCTGTAACTAATTGCCACTGCCGTGTCCCTAGTAGCTGCATATTCTACACAAGCATTTGGTCTGGCGTCACATATATGCTGGCGCCCAGTTCGAGATGGTATATTGATAAGGTGAGCCAAGGTACATATACGGAGCTGCGTGACGGTAATTTTTGACACCAATGATCCCCCCAGCCTCCGTAGCGTTGGCACTGCTCCCATACGAGGTATCACCGCTCTGTTAAGCTATGTTATACAGATTCGTATGCCGTACATGTGGTCGGATCATGTCTTCCACCGGCACCACATGGACTCTATCCTTATCTCTTCCCTCTTCAGATTAAGAGAATTTTGCCCTTGAGGCTGGTTCCCTTTATCAGTATAATTCCTGCCCTGTGCTCAGCAACTGAAATCTTCATCGCGATGCCCTGTGCCAGCCATCATAGAACGCGCCTGAAGGCGTACGTAATGCGCGGCGTCTCCTACATATATACGTACTCTTTTGTGTCTCTCCAGGAATTATGAAGGTCTCCTCAAGGTGAAGCGTAGCCATAGAGACGAGGCTTGCATTCTTTAGACCCAGCCTTTCGTGCGGCATGCACCTTGTTCTTGCGCCACGTGTGGATGGGCCGATTGCCTGTGTCACCGACACACAAGAGCTGGATACTAGAGCCTTGTCTTGCCCAATAGATCAGGAGAGAAGTGAACCAATTGATAAGAAATATACGAGTATGGAGTCTCTTGCTGCGATTTGTACGGGCAACTGTGGCAAGGCCATTTCAATCTCAGTACGGGGGTATAGTAGCTTTCATTAGGTCTACACAGAACTAATAGCCTCCAACCACATATAGCCTTTCTAATGCATTCATAAAGAGGCACGAGAAGGAAATGGAAAATCTCCCTGTAGTTCATTGTTGGGCGGTAGCCTAATCTAGAAATACGTCTTAAGCCTGCCTAGTGCTCAAAAGTCCAAGACTGGTTGCCTCCATTTCTCGCGGCGCCCACGGAAGCAATCCGGTCTCACACCAGTCTCTACATGCATGTCTCAGTTTGGGCGATTTGGCTTTTCAAAATCCTCCCCTACCCTTGTCTAGAGTATCCCGATCGACCGGGATAGCGAACTAAGCTGGCCCCGATCAGGCGGCAGGTTGGGAGATGGCGAGCGGTGGTTCAAAAGACAGACAGGGATCCCCCTCATTGAGAGAGGGTCTGGTTACTCCAGGAGCACGTATAAACTCGTAACTATAGTGTTCTGTTTTTGGCTACACGTACTCGTACAGTATGTCAGAGTACGAAGTACTGCCTTCAATTACTACCTAGTACGTCTCGCGCTCGGTCGTTCACGTTGAGATACATCTCACTACACATGTAAGTACATGTTTTATGTGGCCCCTTCACCGCACACGTAGGTTTGTTTGCCATCTAAGTCGTACCTAACGCCACTGACCAAGCATTGGGACGCGCCCGTGTTCGTTTGCCAGGGTCTGAGTCTCAGGCGTTTGCTTGGTCTTTGCACAGTCTTAGCTGCCAGTGAGGACGCGAGAGCGCGACGGCGATGCCGTAAATGGTGTCTTTTCTTAGCTGAGAGTTCCGATCTGGAGTTGGTGTCAGGCCGCGGACGTGCCGATCTCTCGACGGCCGGAATTCGACTTCTTTTCTCAACGAGAGCACCTTGATGGGCAGAGAAAAGGGAGCTACTTGGTATATTTGTTCTACTATATGTTACACACGATTACTTTCTGGGTGGTGAAATCATCTATTCGAATTATTCCTACGAGTACTTGCTACGTGTATATTCTCCGTCGCCTCGTGTTTTGCATATATATCTTATATTACAGATTACCTTCACCAAACCTGAAGAAGAAGAACTCTTACGTAGTGACAAACCAACATATGCCATACAAAGACCAGCCCTTGATCCATGCTCTCCCCCCTCGTAACAAACTCCCGCCTCCAAACCATCTTCCCATCCAAAAATATCTATCCCTCATGATGTTTGCCCACTGCAATGCCTCCGCCCTTCCGCCAAGCCCCCATCCAGAATGCAAACGAGTACCCGCAAAAATCACCCCCAGAGAGCCTTGCAGAGGCAGAGCCCAAGTATCCCTAGAAGCTGAGGGGAATATTCTCGTACACCCCAGCACAGGCCCTCAACTCAATGTTTGCCGGCGTCGAGCAAAGGAATGCTTCCCGTGTCAAGGGCAGCGCGCGGCTCCTCCGACGCCCCAACCCAGACATTTGCGACGCCACGAACTTTGGGCAAAAAGAGGAGGACGAGCAAGGGGAGGTGCGTTTGCCCTCCCCGCAGGGAAAAATGTCTCATCCGATCGATCGAGAGAGTTGTCTGTTATGCATGTCTCTTGTTGTTTATCGTCAACTGTGCATGTGTTTATGTATCTTTATTGTGTACATTGTCTTTGCTTTCTTCACAGACTATTTGTATATCATGCCTCCTTGCTCCTTGAACCCTCCCTCTCGCATAAAGTCTCAGTACGCAAGACTTTATGCTATTCCAACCACCAAAAAACGCACTGACAGAAAAAAAAAAAAGGAAAATACACCCATGTCATACACCTCGACACTCCCAACTGGAGAACCCTAGACAGCATTGAACCACCCAAAAAAAAAAGAGAGAAGTGTCATGGAGCGAACCAGCAAGCTCGCCCAGCTCACCCTCGTATCAAAGTACTACCCCGTGGCAAACTACTCGTACCCTCGCAGCGAGGGCGCCCGCACTCCCTACAACAGCAGGAGATCTTCGAATGAGTCCGAGGATAAGAGGACGTCGCTCGGCTCGCAGGCAAGTGCAGGCGCCGTTCCTTTGTCGCCGCCGGGCCTGATTGACGACCGCACCGACTCCGAGGCTTCGGCAGACGACGACGATTACCGTTATCACGCGCATGGGGACGAGCTCTGGGACAGCTTCCTGGAATCCGGACTTCACATTCACGGCAGCACCAAGAATAAAGGCGTGGCAATGGCTTCTGTTGCAGTGCTAGGTGCCGTCCCGCCCATGGTCCCACCCAAAGACTATCCGGCCTTGATTCCTTCGCCTCAGTGTGTGAGGAGACGGCCTCTTCCTCAGGGACATCACTCTCAAGAAAACTCCTGGCCACTCTCAGATATTCAGTCGCGAAGAACATCGCCAATATACTCGGCATTCCCCAAGATTGTGTCAATGCCATCCAACACATGCTCAAGGCAGAGCTCCAGCTCTCAGCTCTCAGCTGCCTGCTCAACGGACGCTTGTTATCCTCCTCAATACGCTCCTCCTCTTCCTCCAAGACCTGCCGCCCATCAACATCGTTCAGCGAGCCCTCATCCCAGGGCCTTCTCCCCCGTCTCCTTCATGGCATTTCATCGCCCTACCAGCTCCAACGGCTCACGGCCATCCACCCCCCTGGACTATCACTATCCCCCTCCCTCTCCTCCACCAACAGCACCACTACCAGCTCTGCCGCCTCTCGCCAATCGATCCCCTCACTCATCTCTCATCACGCCTCGATCCTCCAACCTCATCAGCGTTGAGCCTGCTCTCACCCAAACCCTCCGCCCTTACAAATCAACCACACAGCTCCGCCCCAAGCCACCTCCGGAGCCACTCCCCATCTCCGTCTTCGAGTACGACACAGACTCGGACTGTGACAACGACGACAACGAAAGCAGCTCCTCGGGATCCCCCACGCTGCCCTTCTTTCGCTTCCACAGGCGCAGCCAGAGCCCCAACACAACCGAAGGCATCCTCGCCCGCCGCCGCGGCTCAGCCTCCAAAGCCCCCGTCCAGCAATCCTTCGTCGACGCTGCCACCGTCGCAAAGGACCGCCGGCGACGCAAGCGGACAAACACTATGGAAAGCCTAAAGCAATCAGTGCTAGGCCTGCGGAGCCGTTGACGGCGTTGCACCTTTTCAGCTGTTCTTGTTCTTGTTTTCTATTATCTTGTTTGCATCTTGATTCAAGGAGGCAGGGCCAACTTGAACCACATTCACTCATTCATTGTTCACGTCTCTCTTTACAAAGCAAGCGGACCATGGCCACTCATTATGATTTGCTTTTAACACACGATTATCTTACGTCTTGGTTTTCCTTTGTAATATTGAACTGGGGTTCAACACGGCAGCATTGGAAGGAGTATTATTAAGTACCTACTTGGGGGAGTTAGACAGTGGCTCATGAAGCCCATAATGAAATTCAATTGCATAAATTTGTTTCCCCCCGTTCCCTCCATAGTGCTCTAGAGCCAAGATTGAAACATCGCCCGTCAAACAGCGGGAACATTCCAAGGCGTAGTACAGTTGAGATGTGGATACATAAAAAATGTGTTGCTGTCACAACTTTAGCCTGTCTGTGTTTACTGTGCGCCAAAATAAAGACTTAGGTTTAAAACATGTTTTCTACGAAATGAGTACATGTAGTTTTCAGCCACATCAAAACTGGTATCATATCGACATTACATCGTGTCGTCTCCCATCTCCAACCACCGTGCATTCCACATTATATACTCATCATTCATATCTCCCATCGCGTCTCGTACTCGTATACCCTTTTCCAGCACATCTCATGAATGTCAAACTTCGATAGCTCTCCCAACTCCATCCGCATGTTGAAATCATGCAACCAATACAAACAATCAAACGCCATGCTCATTTTCTCTGCGCTTTCAACAAGGAGAAAGGATGACAAAAGGAAATAAAACGTAAAAGCAAATCATTAAACCATGGATCTTGAAGATCTTGGCATCTTTTCTGAAAAATCGACCATGCGTCTGATACTCGCCCGGTTTGCGTCCTTTCCCAGCACAGGGCCAAAGAACCATGAACTCTCATCCCGGGAGTCGTCGCGCCCGACACCCAGTCGGTTCTCGAGATCTCTCCGCCCTCGAACAGATCGAAACGCGGCATCTTGTGTGAGCTCCTCAGCAGAGCAGAGACTGATAATTCCAGCAATCGAGGTGACGGCCCGGGGCAGTAGGAATTGGCGTCGGTGGGGCACCATCAAGGCGAGTCCGCCCACATAGAGGAAGAGGAATGCCAACAGGACGCCAAAGACTGGCATGCTGGGATACATCCGGACCGCCCTATCAGGACCCGTTAAAGCCATCAGGAGCCCGCCCCCTAGGATTGGGATGAAAATAAACAATGCAGCCAGCAGAGATACGGCCGCCACTCTCCAGTGTCCATTTCTCAACGCTCTCCATGTCGCCTGCAGGGGAAGACAGGCTGCATAGTCTGCCAAAAGCGATCTCTGAGCCAAAGAACCATTCACATCGTGTAAGTCAGCCCATGGTTGGACGATGCGCAGCGACTGATCGACGATTTGAAACTGCAAAAAGAGAATCATGCCAGCAAGAGCCGGCACGAAACTGAAGACAAAGTCGGCGGGCGAAAAGGCATTGTGATCAGGTCTTGCGCTCAGCATCGGCAGAAACCCAGACTCTAGCCGAGTCTGTGGCAAGAAAGAAACAACCACCAGAGCTGCCAGCAAAACAAAAGTGACTGCTACGGAAAAGATGAGTGGACCATCACGAAGATACAGCGGCAGATATCTGCCAAGAGTGTTGTCGATCAAAAGATGAGGCGCCGCCCCTTTCAAGCCGATTAACACATCGTTGCCAGCCCCTTTGCCCATTGCGCCAGACGCGAACCCTGAATCTTGGACAGGCGATGCTCCAATAGTGTACCAAATGCCTCCAGTGGTCGCATCCTCGGCTTTCCAGTAACCCAGTCGATCAAACCATCTCTCGCGCAGTTGGCCTTTAAACACTTTGGCGTTCTCGGCAAGATCGTCGCGTCGGTAGCTAGCCATGATATTGCTGCGGTTCAATAGGGGCAAAAGATCTCCGATCGAACGAATGTCCCAAACAAGGCCTGTCCATTGCACAAGCCAGAACACCATTAAATTGACTGTTGCCAGCAACAGAATACCATACAGGCCGACAAGCGCCCATACAACCGGTTGAACAGGCGCCCAAATCCACTTCTCGTGGACGAGAATACAAGTGAAAGCTGAGCTTTGCAAGGGGATCGTGAATATGGCCAGCCACGTTGCAACATCAAAAATCTTGAACTGCCACGGCCCAATGAACTGGGGTAGCAAAAACGTACTGGGATATAGTCTCTGAAAAGGAGCCAAATATCTAGCTCGTGGGTCTTCACTAGCCATCGCAGTAAAGGGTAAAATTCGTAAAGAGGCAGTTACGACATTCTGAGCGTAAATGAAAATAACAGCAGCCAATAGCTGTGGCAATATGCGGAATAAAAAGTATTGACCCGAGTAGATGCTGCCTGGGTATGGCGTCAAGCCAGAGTGCGCGTACGAGTACCTGGCCGAGAAGATGAGAGCTGCCATCATAAGTAGAATTAGTATAGCTAGGATTACCATTGAGAATGCCCGTAGGATCCGTGGTTTGAAGTTGAGGGACTGGAGGGTTCTGCCGTGTGGGTCGAGATCTTTTTGCATGTTTTTGGAAACAGGAATCCATCGTGATGAGCTTGCTCCCGTCGGATCAAACGAGGCCGTGCTGCGCCGCGGAAGTTGCCCAGGGGTAGGAGGGCCTTTCTGAGGGAGAGGCTCTGGTCGGGGGTTGTTATCCCTCACTGATCGATCCTGATGAATTGGCGAGGTGTATGCCGCAGATTCATCAAATCCCCGTAGCGGCTCATAGCGATCAGAATGTCCGTCAGACGAGCTGGATACGAGATGTGATGGAAACGATACACTCTGACCGCCAACTAGGGCTTGTAGAGCATATTGAATGTACGGTGTGTCGTCAATGCCAGGAGTAACTTTGCCCGCTGCCAAAGCCAATTCATCTTTGATATTAGGCATGCGGGAGGCGTTATCCGCAGCAAACATTGCTAACTGGGCTTCGTCGAAACGCACTACTGGGTCCTCCTCTGGCTCAATGGCATGGTATCCTTGAGGCTGTGCGGATGGCTTCGCGTACGACCGGTCTGGCTTGTGCAACTCGGAAGAGCGTGACTTTATTATTCTCAGGGGAGCTACTTCTACTCCATCAGATTCATCGTCGATTTGTGAGGATTGGCGGTTAGAACGTCGGCTTGTTGGGGAGGCGCGCTTCGATCGTCCACTCTGGTGGCGTTTTTGGCGTGTCGAAGGGGAGGCTTCGTTGTCGGGGACGGGCTGATATCGAGTATTTGACTGCCGCCAGCCTAGATGAGAGAAGAAATGTTAGCGGGTGCGCTGCAAATCTGCAATGCTGCGCCAACGTACGAGGAGGCTCTGCATAGTCACGGTCAGTGTTTTGGTAGCTCATTCTTGCTGCGGTGGGCGCAGGCAAACTGCACTAAGAGAGAGTTTGACCAATTGCTTGCGCAGGACGCAATGCAAGAGTGAGGGAAAGATGTACGGTGTGGGATGGGTTATCAGGTGTATGGCTAGGTTTTAAAAAGGCTGGGGGGATATCTGACGCAGGAGGGTGTCCCAGCCACCGAAAGATGCATGAAGCGCCGTAGCGCTCGGAAGCTGTCAGGATGGGGCCGAATAGGAGCCTTGCAGGCCGAAACAGCGCAAGATTTGCCGTCCCGCACCTGGCCATGAAAACAAACGGCGGAAGCAACATACCGAATAGAAGCTAAAACGGGATCTGGTATTTAACAATGGACCATGATATGCATGATTTTCTGCTAATCTACCCAAGGATAATCGCCTCTGTCTTCCGTCGTGCAAGGTCGGGCTCGTTCGAATCGGGCTTCGGTAGTGAAGCTCTAGCAAACGGGTGGCGCAGGCAGCCGCCGGAGGCCCGCAAAATCGGGTGGCTGGGATGGCAGGGGTCCGGCCTAACAAAGCTGAAGCTGACTTGGAGATTCGAGCCGCCAATGGAGGCTTTTGACGAGCAGCTGAGGATAGAATAGGACTGGACAGGATAGGATGAGTGGTTGACGAGCATAATTTTGTGAGACGAGGAGCATGGTTGATTTAAGCATGGCAACACAACTGCATCTGGCGGGGTGCTCTTGCCAACGCATTCACTTTGCTCAGCTGGCGATGAGGTGGTCGCGGCCCACTTTAAGACGGCATCAGACCAATGACGAGCGACTGGCTGTCTCATTGGACGCGTGGGTGGTTGATCACGTGAATTTGCATGCATTGCTGAATATCGCCTGTGGTTGGCGATTACGGGCGTTTACGAAGCGTAATGCAATTGAAGATAATGGATACGTCAAGCATGGGGTTGAAATGAATATGCTTGTTGAGCCTCAGGAAGCAAAATCTCAGAAGCAATTGTTCAACTGCACTCTCTCGAAGATAATACTGTTGAGTAACTAAGTACTTAGTACCTAGGCATCATAAAAACTCTCTTGGTAATAGGTACCTAGACTACAACTCTGCTCTATTCAACAACATAGGGGGGTATAGTGCCCAGGTATGTTTTATATCCTATAGCTCCACTGCATAAATCAAGCATTTCAAGTCAATCCACTCGAGCCGCCTCTATAAAGCGGAAACGCGTATCCAGCCCTTTGGATACAGGGTAGATGTATCACCTCCAAGACTGTACCTCATGTACATCAGTTTCTGGGCGGCTCATCCAATTAACGTGCGTACACCACTTAGTAAGCCACCGCTGAGCGACAAGCAAAAGTGGAGCATACCCGTACCTTGGCGATCTTAGCAGTATCGTTTACGGAGTACAAGGCTGGATCTACAGATTCCGGCGACTCTAGTCTTTAATTTCCAATCAATTGTTTTACAAGTGTTTGAAACAGGTCCGGGAATAATATTTCGGCGATTTCATCTCGCGCTGTGCCCTACCTCGGCAAAGTAGACAAATACAAAGCGCAAGGCCATTAGAAAGGCTAGTGTAATCTTTTGGTGATGAATTTTAGCGGCTCTGATTTGCTTACCTGCTGAGCAAAGCTTTAGTAATGGGGCGAGTGACGAAATTTTGACATAGAACGGCGCGTTAGTACGCAGTACCACCTACACAGAGCATATTGTCAGCCTTAGAAATTTATCGCCAATAAACTACGTATATCTTGGGGCGTTCTTTTTGCACCTCTTTCATTCTGGAGAATTCTGTAGTCTTCGTTCTCGGTCGTATCCTCTTCGTAGGCGGAGCATAAATGAGTCGGTTCCCTCTGCTCTTTGCAATTCTGGTTGCTTCAATTTCCACACTCATCTACATCTTACCTGTTGAGCAATACGCCTCAGCTTACTATAAAGCCATATTCAGCAGCAACACTTCTACATCACCCATAAACACACAAGCCGCATCTTCCGATCTACATACACCCGCAAACGCCACAGACATGGCTTCAATTCTCCGAAAGGCAAAGATTACACCTCATCTATCTTCGACCAGGGGCCACAACTCACTAGGATGGCTGGACACTTACCACAGCTTTTCCTTTGCCGACTGGTACGACCCCAAGTACACTCACTTTGGATCCCTACGGGTCTTGAATGAGGATAGAGTGAAGCCCAACACTGGATTCCCCACCCACCCTCATCGAGACTTTGAAATCTTCAGCTACATTCTATCCGGAGAGTTGACGCATCGCGACTCTATGCTCGCCAAGGGCAAGGAGGGGGGCCAATCCGATAAATTCTTCCGCATGCACCGTGGAGACGTGCAATTCACTACAGGCGGCACGGGAATAGCCCACTCAGAATTCAACGAGCACAACAAGGATACGGTCCACTTCCTTCAGATCTGGGCTATTCCATGGAAGAGGGGCTTGACTCCGCGATATCACACTCGCAATTTCCCAGACCAGGACAAAAGAGAGGGCTTTGTAAAGATCCTCAGCCCGCTCAAGGCCGGCGAGGATGCTACCGCACAAGAGGAAGCAGAAGCAGAGCCCGTCATTCCCAACACAATCCCCATTCACGCAGATTTCGTCATGGGCGCTGGCATCATCGCACCCGATGGCAAGTTTGAGTGGACTGTTGGAGGCGGCGCAACCCAAACAACACAGCGGAAAGTGTACGTCCACGTACCAATGCTCAAGGGCGGAAGGGCCAAGATCCGACTTGATGGGCGAGAGGACGCGGAGCTTTCTGAGGGAGACGGCGCATTTATTGAGGGAGTTCAGATTGGAGACAAGTTGGTAGTGGAAAGCATTGGAGAGGCCGAGGCCGAGGTGGTTGTGCTTGACACGGCTTGAGCAGACACGTATGCCGTTTGTTATAGAGATTGTTCACCGAGTTGTATATTATATGTACTAGCAGTAGTGGTAGCGTTTGCAATAATTTAGCAATTTAGCATGACACAATGGAAATAAAAGGCCCGTATGAGTCAAATTCAAGAAGCGGCAGAGAGATGGCCAATAAATTGTCTGCTGATCAAAGAGGCAACGGCCGAAGCAGAGGCAAAGCGCGGGCCCAACTTTGTGTGACGAGAGTTTTTCCAGGCCAGGGTCCCCTGTCTGCTTAGATCCGGTGGTGTGTCTTGGCGACGCAGGCACACAGACACGAGCACGTTAATGGCTGCAGGTGTTTGAAGCGCAATTTTGTTTGCATGCAGCCGCAAGGGGGGAGGAGGAAGAGGGAGGGCAGCGTTGTCGAACTTGATGGGTTTGCAGGCTATTCGTGTTTTTGACGTTGTAGAACGAGATAACCTTGGCAGTGGTTAAGCATGATGGTCCATGACGTAATGAGGAGCACAGGACGAAGAAAAAACTCGAAACCAGTACCACTACGGGCTTCTCCGGATGTATTTAGTCCCTTATGCATAATGAGACTTGTATCGTGCTAGGACATGACATACTGCTTCTGGCCTGGCGCCGTCGTGTAGAGACAAGATAAGGTGCTGTGCCTTAGCAACTTAGTAATAAACCCGGGGCGCAAAACCAGTTCCTGGCTTAACGTTACTCGCACTTGCTCGCTTCGAGTCGAGTGGGAAATGCTCCGCCCACTACAACTCCGACCTCCGCCTCTCTACCAACAACAACACCCAAAGTAGAAGTGGCCGACTGAAATGAAGCCCACTTCCAAAGTACCATGCGTGAACCGCGATAGGCTGACACGAGAGAACTCATCTGTGTCGTGACTGTATCCATGCTTGAAACTGCACGCATACGAGTACGGGTGCGGTACACGACTGTACTTGCAAGGCTTCAAGCATGGTATGTACGCACGCACGCAAGCACGCAAACAGGTGAGAGATGCCCCTCGCAGCTGCACAGCCTGCACTGCAGAATCTTCCTCTGCCAACCCCCGCACACACACGTGGGACGGTTTGCTCATGATAGGAAAATCTCACGACAATCCGGCTGAAATCCGAACTCAGGTTCCCCCTGTCCTCGAGAGATCTAAGCGCCTTGGTCTTTCAGGTACGCGGCGTCCAAGACGGCACAACGGTCTTCCTCATTGGACGGCTTGGCACTAGCCCTACGAGAAAAACACTTCACTTCTGGCAGAAACTGCCAGTTAGAGACTAAGAACACGCTACTTGTGCGCCACGCGCTAAACAATGGCTTGCAGGGGACCTGGACACGACACATGCGAACGGGGACACGCCGTTTTCCTCACGTCCGGCGCCTGTGATTCGCCATCGTACGGCAAGATGGGGGGTCATCCATGTCCAGATCCTTCGCTGTTTTCACCAACGCGGGATGCTAATAGGCGAGACGAACCTCATACCTTTCATGTCGCATTTGCTCGCCTTTGGTCCTGGAAAGAGGAGACGTGAAGCATCGACGACGTCGTTGTGTTGGTGATGGCTGATCAAAGCCTGTCAATCAACATGGATCATGCTTCGTGAACTGGCTGCTTGATGGATCTATATACCCGTTCAAGTACTATGTATGTCATGGAAAGGTTCAGCTTTCAGCTGTCGTGAGTTCGGGCTATTTTCGCCCACTCTAAGCACTACTAGTTCTACAAGCGGCCAATCAAGCTGACAACTGACATCAAGTCGTCTCCCGCCGGGCCCTACTAGGTACTAAGGTAGCCCTCGTACCGGTACATTTGTGCTTGTACCTGTCTGTTGTTGGTTGCAAGACCAACTGTACGTAGCAATCGGTTATGGGCATTGCGTGAAAAAAAGACCGCAACTCCAAGTCTCTATACACGGATACAACGGGAATACACATTCCAGGCCACCCAATCTCGGCCGGAACCCTAGATTGGACCAATGGTGGGCTGTTGGCTGTGTCTGTAGAAACCACTATGCCTGTTCCTGAATTCAGCAGCATCGGCTACTTTGTCCATGGGCTCGTCTGCCCACTCTCGCCGTTTGCCTTATTGGTTTACAGTGGAAAGGCTGTGAATGGACAAATTAGGCTTCACGGAGCCGCTCTTCCGTCATGGCTTACTATGGAGAGATTGGGCCAAGACCAAACGCGCATATGAGCCCAGTCCCGCGGCGCAATCAGATGGGCTTAGTGAGGTGAGGCCCCAGGGGAAGCCGAGAAAGGAAATGGCCGAGTCCACGATGGATGCATTTTGGGAGTAGGCTGGGCTGTTAGTTTACAGTAAGGCCCGAGCAGGTGTGGGCAACTAAAAATCCGAATGGGTGGCCTTGCGGCCGTTGCCTGTTCCCTTCTTCTCTTCTTCTTTCTGTTCTCTTTATCAACTCTAGCTCTGTCAACCTCAGAGACGGCTCGGTTCCTAGGCCAAGTTGCAGACGGTTTCGTTTGCGTCCTTTCGTTGATCTTAGAATCATCATCACACTCATTCTTTTCCTGGCTTCGGCCACCTTACAGTCTTTCTCTAGTATAATCTGGACAGTCAGTCATTAATATGGTTTCCGCAAGGGCTGGTGTTGCGGCCTTTGGCCTCCTCAACGGCTACTGGGTATGTTTGCCATATTTGCCTCTCTTATTCCCCCCTAACTGCTGGACACGTCGCTCACAACTAATGTTCAGGGACAAACCGCACTCGAGAGTATTAAGCCGTACTGCGATAGTGGTATTGATTCCATCACTCTTGGTTTTGTTAACAATGCCCCTGGCCCCTCTGGGTATCCCGGTATCAACTTCGGACCCAACTGCTGGGCAGATTCATATCCTGACCCCGTAACTGGCTTGCCCACACAACTCTTGAGCCATTGCATGGGCCTTCAGCAAGATATTCCTTACTGCAGATCCAAGGGTGTCAAGGTCATTCTCAGTATCGGAGGAGTGTACAGCAACTCTACTCTCTTCCCTTCCAACTACAAAGTTACAGACAACACCACAGCCACCAACTTTGCCACCTTCCTTTACAATGCTTTTGGTCCTTACAACCCAAACTGGGGAGGCCCTCGCCCTTTTGACCAGAGTGCCATTCTCCACACCCAAGTTGATGGTTTCGATTTTGACATTGAGCCGCCGAACGACCAAACTTGGGGTAAGATTCCCCCCTATTCTTGAAATGTGCTCTTATTGGAATTCAACGCTAATATTTTTCACTCAACAGCAATGGCGCCTTACATCAAGATGGTTGAGACGTTCCGTTCTATTGATTCGTCGTTGATTTTGACTGCTGCCCCCCAATGCCCTACCAACCCTCAATTCTTTGTCTTGAAGGACCTGATTCAACAAGCCTCCTTTGACAAGCTTTTCATCCAGTTTTACAACAACCCGTCGTGTGATCCCATTCCTGGAAACTCGGCCGGCGATAAGTTCAACTACGATGACTGGGAGGCCATTGTTGCCGGTAGCGCCAAGAGCAAGTCGGCTAAGCTGTACATTGGTCTTCAGGCCAAACCGGCAGCCCCAGGGTCATTCGAGACAGGCTATGTTGACCCAAATGCTGTGAAGAGCTTGGTCTGCCAGTACAAGGACAGGGCGCACTTTGGTGGTCTTTCCCTGTGGGATTATTCTCTTGGTAACCAAAACAACATCAACGGAACGACTTTTAACCAGTGGGCGCTCGAGGCGCTGCAGGTCGGATGTAACCCCTTCCCTACCACCACCACCTCGGCAACTACGGTTTCTAGCACAAAGGCCTCGACGACCTCTACGACCTCCAAGGCTTCGTCGACGACTAGCAAGGCGACCACTACGTCCAAGGCTTCGTCGACGACCAGCAAGGCGAGCACCACATCCAAGGCGTCTTCCACCACCTCCAAGGCAAGCTCTACTTCTAAAGTAAGCTCTACCTCTAAGGCATCGACAACTTCCAAGGCGTCTACGACCTCCAAGGCTTCTACTACCTCGAAGGCGTCGACCACCTCGAAGGCTTCGACCACTTCCAAGGCTTCAACCACTTCCAAGGCTTCAACCACTTCCAAGGCTTCAACCACTTCCAAGGCTTCAACCACTTCCAAGGCGTCTTCTACGACCTCCAAGGCGTCTTCTACGACCTCCAAGGCCTCCACGACCTCCAAGGCATCAACAACTTCCAAGGCGTCTTCCACCACCTCAAAAGCCTCTACAACTTCCAAGGCCTCCACGACCTCGAAGGCAAGCTCTACTTCCAAGGCATCGACAACTTCTAAGGTGTCCACGACCTCTAAGGCTTCTACCACCTCAAAGGCGTCCACCACCTCAAAGGCCAGCACTACTTCCAAAGTAAGCTCCACCTCCAAGGCGTCTACGACCTCCAAGGCTTCTACTACCTCCAAGGCGTCTACGACTTCTAAGGCTTCCACTACCTCGAAGGCATCCACCACCTCGAAGGCGTCTACCACTTCAAAGGCCAGCACTACTTCTAAAGTAAGCTCCACCTCCAAGGCTTCTACTACCTCGAAGGCGTCCACCACTTCCAAGGCTTCTACGACCTCGAAGGCGACCACCACTTCTAAGGCATCTTCCACTTCCAAGGCGTCTTCTACCTCCAAGGTGTCCACGACCTCCAAGGCAAGCTCCACTAGTAAGGCGTCTTCAACTTCCAAGGCCTCCTCAACTTCCAAGGCCTCCTCAACTTCTAAAGTTTCTTCCACCTCCAAGGCCTCCTCCACCTCTAAGGCGAGCACTACCTCCAAGGCCTCCACCACGTCAAAGGTGTCTACAACCTCCAAGGCCAGCTCTACTTCCAAGGCCAGCACGACATCCAAGGCGAGCTCTACCGTGAAGCCTAGCACCACTTCCAAGGCAAGCTCTACTTCTAAGGCCAGCTCTACCGTAAAGCCTAGCACTACTTCCAAGGTCAGCTCAACTGTGAAGCCTAGCACCACCTCGAAGGTTAGTTCTACCTCCAAGGCGAGCTCTACCGTGAAGCCTAGCACCACCTCCAAGGCCAGCTCTACTTCCAAGGCAAGCACCACTTCCAAGGCGTCTACCACTTCCACCAAGCCCACCACTTCTGCCAAGCCTACGACTTCTACCACGTCGGTGAAGGCGTCGACTTCAAGCAAGCCTACGGTGCCGGCCTCCAGCACGAATGTGGGTAGGGATGTGACTACCACCACCTCTTCTGCCGTCGTGTACCCCACGACAACGAGCAAGTGGTCCAACTCGACAATCTCCCGCGGCCCGGCCACAACGACCCCTGCTGGCTCTGCGACTGTTTCCCTCACGACAAGCACTGTTTACACCACGTCTGTGCACACCGTTACCAAGTGCCCGCCCTACGTCACCGACTGCCCGGCAGGAGGTTATGTGACCACGGAGACTATTGCTCTGTACACTACCGTCTGCCCCGTCAGCGAGGCAACTCAGACCGCCGCGCCTGTGACTACCGAGGCTTCCCAGCCTTGGACCACCAGCACCGTGTACACGACCAGAGTCTACACCATCACATCTTGCGCTCCTGATGTCACCAACTGCCCAGCGAACCAAGTCACGACGGAGACGATTCCATTGTACACCACTGTGTGCCCTGTGACGGCAACTGCTACTGGCACCCCTGTCGGACCTGGTAGTGTCGAGTTCCCTCAAAACACCGACATTGGCCAGCCTTCCGGGGGTGCTCCAGTCGTTGAGGCTGCCTATCCCACTGGCCCCAGCAGCATCCAAACCCTTGCCAAGCCCACCACCTCTGTTGGCGCTCCCCAAGGTCCTTATGGTGGAAGCAGTGTTGCCACCAGCTCTCCAAGCAAGCCAGCCTACCCCGTGGGTTCTGGATCTCCCAGCTACCCTAGCAGCGGCCCTGGCAACGCGTCGCCTTCTGGATCGCCTTCTGGAAGCTGGAGTGGCGTGCCCGTTGGTCCTTCTACGATCCCTAGCATCCCCGGGACAAGCGGTGCTTCTATGATGAGTGCTAGCCTGCTTGGTTTGGTCATGGCTGTGGCCGCACATGTTTTTGTTCTGTAGAAGATAGACGTGCTCGATTTTTGCATTTTACGGATGGGTTTTCCCAAGAGAGCCTTTATTCTTTTTCAGACATTCTTCTTAAAATACTTGGTCTTCTGAGCCCCTTAATCATGGGTTGACGAAGAACTTTTTATTATTATATATTTTTCTTTTTTATGTCGATACGGTCTGGATATGTGTAGGACTTGCTGTATACCTTAGCTTATGACGATGATTTCACAGGCCATTAACGGAGCGCATTCCGGGTTCAATATGTTATATTTTTCATCCTGATGGCTGGTTTCAAAAGTGACTCGGTGTAGCTTATTTGCAGTGTATAGTGGTGTTTACACTAGAGATCTTTTCACATAACGTATTTGTATTGGAAACGTCGTATAGATGCCGGGCTGTTGACAGAGTTGACAACCTGGCCAACCGCGAGTTTAGCCAAGTTGTCATCATAACCAAATGAATACGAAGGCCCACTTCGACTAGGTCAATTATCCAGAGCGGATTGACACTATAACTGATTCCCCCGCACTATGCTCGTCCGCCCTTTGATCTACTTGGTCAATCTCGTAACCATTTCGGAAGCTGACCAACTTTCTCCCAATTATATACATTTTTGTTTTTCTAGCGTAGCATAACAACTTAGAGTAGAATAACGAACATTCAACCACCAACCATGGCAGCTCAAACCCCGGACGGCACACCCATCGACCTTGCAGAGAACAGACGCCGAATGGCCCGCGGCGAGCTCTACTGGGCATTCACACCGGATCTCATCCAGGACCGAAAGAAGTGCGCCAAGGCGTGCAGAAGGCTGAACACGGCCGAGGATGCTACTAGACGAGAGCTCGTTGAGATGTGGAAAGAGTATGTATACTTGTTTTTTGTTGCTCATTCCCTTTGAACTGAATGCGGGTTTTCACTCGTGAACTTTTTTATTTTTGGGTGCTTTGGATGATGTTGTTCTTACTGATGTGTTTATTTATTTATTTATTTGTTTTGTAGGATGACTAGGGATGAAAATGCGTTGCCGCCAAAGGCTGCCAGTGAGGATGAAGATGAGGCCTTACTGGAGGATTATCCATGGGTCGAAGGGCCGTTGAAGATGGACTACGGATACAACGTTGAGTGCGTCCCCCTCAACTCCCCCCTTTTGCATCACAAACCAAATCCATCTATACACGACCCCCCCCCAAAACTAACATCTCACGTCACATAACAAAGACTCGGCAAAAACGTCTTTGTCAACTCAAACAGCACCTGGATCGACACCTGCCCCATCGTCATCGGCGCCCGCACGCTCATCGGCCCCAACTGCAGCTTCTACTCGGGCACGCACCCGCTGGACCACCGCGTGCGCAACGGCACGCGCGGGCCCGAGTCCGGCAAGCCCATCCGCGTCGGCGAGGACTGCTGGTTCGGCGGCGGCGTGACGGTCCTGCCGGGGGTGACGATTGGCAAGGGGGTGGTGGTTGGCGCGGGCAGCGTCGTGACCAAGGATGTGCCCGAGGGCGTGGTTGTGGCGGGGAATCCGGCGAGAGTGCTGAGGAAGACGATTGAGGAGACGGAGAATGGAAGTGCTTGAGGGATGTATAGGAGGGGTGGCGTGTGGTGTTGGTTATGCTATAGATAGAGTATAGAGTTGCGCTGGGCCACTTTGATAGAATATACAATATACAATGTTTTTGTTTATTAGCGAATTATTACTAAGGTCGTTGAGAAAGAAAGAAAAGTCAGGTAACCTGTAACAAGACTTGAAATTCTTCTCAAATTAAATTGATCCCTCCCTCATAGCCTCTTTCTCAGGCGTCATAGTTCCGCTTGTTTCGCCCTCCAAAGCCATCGTGACCACTGGCGGCGCCTTGCCAGTGACAATTCCCTTGAGCACTCTTGTCAACGTTGCTCTGCTCTCCCAAATCGGGTATAATCCAACGCAGATAAATGAGCAAAAGATCCAGATGATGCCCACAGTCACCCAGCCGGTGAAGAACGATTTGGAGAAGATGTACCCGGATCCGTACATGGGCATCGGCCAGAGAACGAGGAACGCAAGCGCCCTGTTTCACAGGTTAGTAACCTAAATCATTGTTACAATGTCCAGATGGGTCAAACTTACATAAAGACAGTGACAAAGCAGGCAATCTTGAATGCCTTGTTGAGCTTTCGGCGCTCTTCCTCGGATTCCGTCCGCTCCTGGTTTCTCTCCAACTCTCGTTGCGCTTCGCTGTCAAGCCCCGACGCCTGGATCATGTCATGATCATCCACCTTTCGAATCTCCATCATGGACTGCCAGTCATACTTGTCCAGGCCGAAAATGAGACACAGCAGCGGCACAAGAACAACAGGTGCTAGCAGCGCAACCACATTACCAGCCAGCATCGGATCGTTTGACCCCGTGCAGTTGACATCCAGCTTACCGCACTTCTTCTTGGCAGTCACCAGCCAGGCTACAATGGCGCAGATTGTACCCAGAATAGGGGAGAGCGTTGCTGCCCAGCGATTTTGGCCGTTCCACAGCAACGTCAACGTAGCCGGGATCACAGCGGCTGAGATTAGAACGCCCATGAGTAGATAGAGGTAGCCCATGGAGATGCCGTTATACCATAAGCCTGTGGAGATGCAGCAAACAACGATCATATAAGCGACCATGGAGATGTGAGACATCCATACGAGACTCTTGCTGCTGGCACTGGGGCGGATGTAGGTTCTGTAAATATCGTAGGTGAAGATGGTGGATGTTGCTACCAGCTCAGCACTGAAAGCCGATGTGACGGCCAAAAACAGCATAATAAGAGTCGCGATGGCGCCGCCTTTGCCCATGAGAGCCACGGCGGCGTAAGGAAGAGCCAGTCCTGCAGAGACTTCCGAGTCCGTGAGGCGGTTAGGGTAGGTCGGGAATCGAGGGCTAGATTCGAGGGCCAGCGCCGCGAGGCCGAGTGTGGTGGCTGTCAACCACGGAATAGCAAACCATGCCGCACCACCCATGATGTATCCCGGCAAAGCATGAACAGGGCTTGCTGCAATACTCTTGTTATAATACCCATTGTCCAAGAACACGGTACCGAAGTTTCCAACGATGTTAATAACGAAGAAGATGGCGCCGCCCTGAGACTTCATGGTGAGGTAGCTGCCGTCGCGGTTGCCAGAGACGGGGTGGGCCTGGGCAGCTTTGACGAGGAGATCATATACAGCTGCGGGGCTGCCAAGGATATCCGAAGTGGCGTAGGTCTTGAGTGCAAAGATCATGATAATAATGAGTACGGCAAACGTATGGATATAGTCAGTAATGAAAGTGGCCTTGAGACCACCAGAAACCGTATATGCCACCACGGGGATGGGAATGAGGAAGATGGCTGCTACAGCATGCATCCCCGTCAACGCATTTACGGTTGCTGCTCCTCCCGTGATTAACATGAGGGAAACCAGCATGTTGGTCATGAGACCGAAGACGATAAAGGTGAAGTGTGCTGGCTTGCCATATCTTGCCTTGATGACCTCCAGGAACGTATGCGCATTTGGTGCTCGCTTCTTGAGCGTGATGGCTATTGTGGCAAATAGTAAGATCTGAACAGTAGCTCCAGAGGCATACCAGAAGGGACCAGAAACGCCGTATCGGTAGCATACACCAGAGCTCTGCAATAGAGTTGCTGCCCAGGTCCAAGAAGAGACGACAGCTGAGGCCACTAAACCGGATTTGACAGTACGGCCAGCAGTGTTGAACATTTCAGACGTTTGAACTTCATTGTTGAACCGTTTGAGAATGTGAGTGACGGTAATCTATTGCAAGGTATATTAGGATATACTGTTCCGGTGGGTATCAAGAGAGGCATGTCTTAGACTCACCATGAAGATGGCGAATGCGAAACCGAGACCCAGAACAATGCCATAGCCATAGCCTTGGCCCAGTGGGGTAGAAGGTGAGTCCGACATGATTCCACCCAGGAATTGATTCTTCACCGGCGAGGCTGTCCAGGATGTTTCATTCAAGATCTTTTTTTATGCCGGCGAGTTGTCCAAATCCGGAGACATGGGAGAGAACAAGGAAGGTAATAAGGGAGGGTATACATAGATATGTAGCATCTTGCACAAGCAGTTTATCTAGATATTCTGCATTCGATCACGACTTTCGCAGATTCGGCCAGTACCGGATGGATGGTGGTGCAAGGCCTTGCCAGGTCCAACAATCTCTTCCTTGGACATGAGTAACCCCCAAACTCCCACTTGGTGATTTTCCATCTTGTAGATTGCGATATTTCTCACTAAAGAGATACGATAAGGATGAAAGCATCTATTACACCAGTCATCGGAAAGCAGCGATCTCGCAACTGTGAATTGCAATTGCGGCAATCTGATATTACATGAAGCTTGTGTCACAAAGCAATCGTAGGGCTGCCGATCGGCAGTGAAGCGTATCAAAGACGCAGCTTCTGGGGTAGCGCTGATAGTTGCAAGGGAGCTGATATGGGATCGAGGCCATGCCTAATGCAAACGCAAATGCAAATGCAAATGCAAGCTAGACGATGAAAGCGGTTGTAAGAGAACTGCTTATCAGCTGCGCCCTTGGCAGAATGAAGATCTGGTTGGCTCGAGAATGGAAGGATCCTGACAGGTTAGTGGTCCCGATAAGGTCGAGATAGCAGATGCTGCTATGGATAGGTGCCGCCCCCCCCGCAAAGTTACCCCATGCTCTAGGGATTGACACGAACCGCGGAGAAGGCCTGATGGCCGCCGGCAATGGATGCAATGGCAGAGATAAGATAGAATGTCAACGCATGATGAGATAACAGTCATCGGGCTATTAATCGCTTCGTTTTCCCTATCTTTGGCGATGCAGTGATTAATGAGTACTCGAGGCTGTAATAAGAGAGATGGATAAGACAGGGCTCCACTCTACTCTTCAGCCGGATATGGGAGATAAGCAGATGCGGTATACTCGTAATAACACCAGCTATTAACAGAAACATCAATTGGTGATACACACGACAAACCACCTCGGGCAATACCGGCCGGCTCTTGCTCGCTATCGGCATCACACATAGCGACACTGATAAGGCCGATGAGGTCAAGACAAGAGTTTAGTCAAGGGAAACTCGTAAATTCATAGTAATTCCATAGGCTAATGTCAATGTTATCCTGGGAAGAATCTTCTCGGACAGATTGCGATTACACGTAATAGTGTTTCATGATGTTAACGACGTTGGTATCATCTGCCACGGCTAAATCGATCCTCTGTTTCTCCAGGCGAGATGCGATCGTGGGGGAAGCAAGGCAGAGTTGAAGGAGTCACATGTCCATGTGTTGTTCATCCAAGAGGCTTCCCAGAGAGTGTGATTGATTGGCGATAACAGATTCATGGGATCATTGCGGCCACTGCGGCCACTGCGGCGTGATCCGCTATCTCGTTGTCTGTCGATCTCGGAGATGGTAGGAATAGCCTCTTGAGAGATGATATCGATCGATAGGAAGGTATATGCAGCTCTCTGTCGAGGTGATGCTCGCTCTGCGCTTCTCCGCTTCTCCGCTTGTTACTTGTCAAGAGCGCGTAAACATGTCACCGTCCAAGGTCGGCACCTCTTCTTGACGCATCCATCAACCCTTCTTCAAATATACTAGCCCAGCGCCGTGCTAAGTCTGACAAGTCAAACGAAACGCCTTGAGCAGCACTACCGAGCTCGGCCACAACCGATGTCGCCAGCTTTCCTTCGAGGCCACAGGGTACGAACCGAGCCCACGGATTGACATCCTCGCCGCCCTTTACGGAGACATCGATGTTGATAGCCGTACCCAGAGCCGTGACGTACCGCCGGTGGTGAACCCCAAGAGCCGCAATCTTGCGCGGCTGGCCCGAGGATGCCCGAACCCAGACCCCAGGCTCATCACGGTTGGTATACGTTTGGATGTCAAACATGTCTAAGAGGAATTGTTGTGTTGTCGCCTCAAGATGACTGGCAAACGTGGCCACACTATACTTGGGATAGAGGGAGGAATGCATGTCCAGCACTGGCCAAAGGACAAGCTGACCCGGGCCGTGGTAGGTGGTGAGACCTCCGCGATTGGTCTTCTTCACCTGAGGATGAAAGAGCTTCTTGATGGGCTGAGGATACCGCAGGAGATGGACGTCCAACGGCCGCTCCAGGTGCGCCTTCTGGTCTTGAGTAAGCTCGTCTTGTCGACGACCCAGCGTGAAGGTGGGTGTAGATTCAAATGATATGAGAAGAGGCCGAGGACAGTCATGTTCCGTCCTCGACTTCTCGGGGAGGCCCTTCCAGGTCAGAAACGCACCCCGATGCCGCTCCTGGGCGTCTTCGGCGGATTCATAGCTTGTCAGGCCAGTAGAGCCATCTTCTGTGAGATGCTGGTGGTCCAGCAGAGAAGCTTTTGAAGGCGTCGTCTGCCATCGTCGGCCCTCTGTCGACAGAGCGGTCTTTTGCACCAAATGCCGTCTCGACAATGCTGCCGCCCTCAATTGCAGGCGAGGCACGTGCCACATCTTGTGACCTGGATTGAGTGCCTCCTAGCAGTTAAAGCAGCCGTAAATGGGACCAGACAAAAAAAAGGTTGACCAGGCCAGGTGTTGACGCAGCATTGCCTGTTAGTCGCAGGCATGTACATGCTAACGTTAGTCGGTATTCGGCAGCACCAAAAGGCAAAACCTGTAGCCCCCGCGAGACGCTAAAGCAAGGTTGTGGATGCTGCTGACGTGACATGACACTGCCGGCGAACTTCAACGGTGACGACGAGTCCGAGTCCAAGCAGCAAATCAAGGGCTTCAGCTTTCGATGCCCCTTTCAAGTCCGCCCGGGCTGGTCATGTGAAATGCTAATCCGCGTTCTAGCAATTCGGCACACCACATGCTAACGCCTCATCCATTGCCTGTTTTGCCTGGCTAAGGCCGCATCACCGGCCTCATGACATCAACATCAAACGGCTCGAGAATCCGCTGTGGAGCTGGCCAACAAGGTTTGCGCCAAAGACGGCCAGCTGTGTGTCTGAGAGGATACACGTACAAGGATGGAATGAATGGCGAGTTGCCTTGCGGTGCTGGTGCTTCGTACCTTTGGCAGCTCTTCGTGCTGTGCCAGTGACGTCTCGTATTTGGCACTTAAGATGCTGACGGGATTGCTGTAGCTTCTTCGAGTCTCAGCATCGGCCAAATTCAATTTGCGCTGGGCAACTGTAGAAAGGCAAAAAGAAGCTTACCCTCACAAAACAGCATCCAATTGCAAACTATTGGCAGCGCAATTGAACGGCTTCGTCCTTTCTCGGCTGCCCGTGTCGTCATCGCCCTGCTCCACGATGCCGCCAGCCAACCACAACAAGCGCCAGCCCGCCAAAAGCTTCATGGCTTCGACTAGCATCGGGAGCTGCAGCAGCGCGATCGCCAGAATGTGATTGTGGATGACTTCTCGCGGCGACATCGTCACTCACACGTCGCGTACATTGTACGCAGCCCCAGCCATTGAATCCACTTGACGTAGATGTAGCTTGTACTTGGGAGCTGAGCAACGTAACCTTGGATCTGCGTGGCTCAATAACTGCATCATCAAGCCCCGCCGCTCCTGCCCCAATTCCTCCCTCTCTGTCCGAGTATCAGCTTTGCTCTCTTCAGCTTCAGCTTCTTTTCTCTTGTTTCTCTTGTCTCTCCGTCTTCCACTATCCAGCACTGCTATAGTCTTTATCCCCATCACCAACATACTTACTTACATCTTCTCCCAATCGCTTCTACTCTACTGGTTTATACTCTCTACTCTCGACGAGAGTCTGTTCATGAGCATTTGATCAAGTCCAGCTGAAGCAGGGTCCCCTGCAGGATCTGTGCCGTCGTCATTCTTGCAGCATCCCGCATCCCTATATCTCTTCCCTGCGTCTTGACACAACACTTAGTATTATTATTACTGCGTCTCGGACTGCCCACTACTACCAAAATGCCCAAGAGTACGTCTGATCCCCATCCCACATATAATGAAAGGCAAGCCAGGCTGACCATGAAACCGTCCATAGACGTCATTCTAAGCACCGTCGGCCTCATCCTCCTCTCCACCTCCATCCTGTTCATCTGGTTCATCATCCTCCCCGGCGTCACGAATGATACCCCCTTCAGAAAGACATACTATCTTCGCGCCGACACCAGCGGCATCACAGGTGCCCGACCCATCTCCCAGTGGACATACTTCTTCATCTGTGGTCTCGACAACCAAGATTGCGGAGATTCTCATCCTGCCATCCCATTCGGGTTTGCCTGGGACAGCAATGCGCAGAACGTGCCACCGGGACTTGGTGGAAGCCATGGCAGCGACACAACGTCGTTCCATTATTTTTACATGTGGCGCTTTGGATGGGTCTTCCTGCTTATGACGCTCTTCTTCGAGGTCTTGGCCTTCTTCGCCTCCGTCTTGGCCTTCTTCGGCCGTCTAGGTGCTGCGCTTACCTTTGTTATCTGTGCCATTGCTCTCTTCTTCTACACCCTCGCCGTATCTATTATAACGTATGTTGAGCCCCAAGTCCCATTTCCCCGACCAATGGATTTAGAAATGGGTTTCTTCTCGTGTAACCGCTTGCACGGTCACTCGCTAACGGTCGTTACACAGTGCTACTTTTGTTGAAGCTCGCAACCGTTTTCACGATGCTGGCCGGTCGGCCCAGATCGGAGCTTATGCCTTTGGTTTTCTCTGGGGTTCATACGCGGCCCTTATCCTCTCTACTGTTCTATTCGCCCTCGGTATTCGTTCAAGCAACAGTTTTGGGCTGAAACGCGGGCAGAGTGAGAAGGGCTCTCGCGGACGCTCTTATGACGGTCATCGGGTTAAGGAAGACTATTCGTAAATGTGACGGCGGCAGATCATTTTGTTACAGTCACTATAACAGAAGCGTAGGAGAGGACGAGGAAAAAAGAAAGAAAGAAGAAAACTCAATACTACTAATACCAGCCTACGGGTGTTCGATGATGCCAAGATGGCCCTAATACGATGGAGAAGGATTTCCCAGTGTTAATGACGGAGCAGGGGAGGAAACAGATCCTAGAGACCATTGTCATGATGGCTCTTTACAAACACCTACACTCGCTAGTAGCACGCAAATATCATTACATAGGCTTTGAAAATAACAATTGCTAGTTCAGTTTAACTGGTCTCTACAAATATCACCACCAGAGAGCAAATGCCGTACGTCTTTGATTTGATCAATCATATACATGAATGATATAATAATTACTTTGCAAGCTTGCCCTCGTGTTCTTGGCCTTGTTTGTCTTCATATACGTACAAAACTCCCAAAATCCTTCCCGCCGTATACACCATGCCTAGCATCCCCCCCCTTCCATCCCAGTCCATTCCATCCCCGCTTCGCCTACAAAAAGAAAACATGTATATATATATAAGATATGATAAAAAAAAAGGAGGCCGAAAGAAGAAGAAGAAGACGAAGAGATTTGTGCCATGATGGAGCAAATGAAACAAAGAAGAAGAAGAAGAAGAAGAAAAAAAAGTTCGAGTATCATCCGCTTATAGCTCCCTTTGATGAAAAAAACAAAAATCCCCCCGTCTAAGAAAATTTGGGGCCAATAGGTAAGTAGGTAGGTAAGTTGTTGCTGTGTGTACATGCAGGCGACTATTTTGCAGTGATTGGAGAGGAGAACGTGAACAGCTCTTCTTTTTCTCTCACTCTTCATGACCCCTTTTGCTTAAATTGTACAGAGGAAGAGTCATCAACACAATCGTTAATGACTCCTCCGTCCTTCACTTCCCCCCCCTTCGCTTTTTGATACTTTGATCTGATTCTTGTCGATAAATTCAACCAACTCAGATACCAGCTCCTGTTGGCATATGTCATGGCGCCGACTCCTTGCTTTTTGGTAGGCCAGCCCAACGAGGCTAAATACTTGGCCTAACGGTGCGATTGGGGCAAACAGGTTTCTACTCCATCCCTCGTATGTTTTTCCCCTCCTTGTTTCTGTCTTTTGGGACTTCAAGTAATTCGTGTGTCAGTACTTCATAGACTTTGGTTGATAACAGGGCTTCCCAAGGGGCTAATGCTGTCGAGAGGCGCGGCATGAAGTGCTGGCTTGCTAGGACCGTCACCGTTATGCCCTTCCGCATTCTTCTTCAGCACCGACTTGACCCATTCAGCAACCTCGGCATCTTCGGTGCCCGAGTTTAGATCTATATGTCCCACCGCCTCTGCTATCTTTTCTGCGGCCTCACCGTCTTCGGATTCTTCGGTAATTGTTTCCGGCTTGGATAAGGATTGAATCCAGGGATGCTTGAGCAGCATAGCGTACGTCGGCCGCATCTTGGGGATCTTATGCAGACAGCTCTTGACAAAATCCTTTGCCAGATCCGTGTAACCCTCATCAGGCATGGCTGGCGGTTCGCCTTCGACGATTGCCTGTAAATATCTAGTTAGTAAACGGCTTACAATAACGCTAGTCGGTAGCAAACTTACGTTCAACTGGCTGAAAATGGTGGACGAGGCTTCAGGTGGGTATGGGTATCGGCCCATGGCGCACTCTATGATTGTCAGGCCTAAACTCCAAACATCGCTCTGGACACTGTAGGTGCCGTCCGCGCTGCCTGGTTGTGCCATGGCACCTCCGGATATCCGCTCGGGCGCCATGTAACTCTGGCATCCAATGTTTGTCTTGGCTATGCTAGCCACAAGATTCCCACTGACGCCGAAATCGCAGATCTTGATCTGGCCTCGCGTGTTGGCCAGGATATTCGTCGGCTTTACGTCGCGATGGATAATGTTATGCTCGTCTTTCAGTGACTTGAGGCCCATGATGGCTGAGTAGGTAATTTTGCGCAGTACGTTTTCGGGAATGCCTCCGGCGTAGATCTTATCAATGGAACCACCATCCATGTATTCAATGCACATGTAAACAGCGCCCTCCTGAAAGAAAGCTCCGTAAAAATCGATGATGAATGGAGACACACACTCGTGCAATATGACTAGCTCCTTGAGAATAGTGGTGAACTTGGCGTCGTCGAGCTCGAGTCGAATTTCCTTCATCGCCATGACTTTACCGGTCCGTCCGTCCAGCGCGCTTGCAGCATCTGGGACCGCCGAGTCCGATTGACTACGGTGTGGATGGGGTGCCAGCTTGGCTCCAGATAAACCTTGACCAAAGCGCGGCACAGTCGGCTTCGCATGCTTGACCTTGTATACGGTTCCGTAATTGCCCTTTCCGAGCTCGTCTATTATTTCCACCTCATCCAGCGATATGCTGAAGGTCTGACCGTTCGAAAAGTTGACTCCCGTCCGGGTAATCGTAGCGGCACCGTCAAAAGTAATCCAGCCCTTCTCTGTATCGATGTACTTCTTGAAGTCGTCTAGTTTGGATCCCAGTGAAGGCTTGCCATTGGGAACGCTCGCTGGGCCATTTCCAGGCATTCCTGCTGTGAAAGAAGGAGCACCGGCTCGGCGCAGTCCACCTGCAGGGCTGGCGCTGCCGCTGCCACCCATATCCGAGAGCTTCATTCCCATGCCCATGTTGGCTCTCCTCTCACTAAGAGATGGTTTTGGCAGGATAGGTGCCGATCTGGGGTGCGGCACGGCACCAGGACGCTGCATGGTTGGGGGCATGCGGAGGCCGGGGAAACCGGGCGCACCAGGGCCTCCGGGCGAGGGCATCGGTGAGACAGGCGAGCTGCCCGCCGCTGCCATGCCCTTTTGCATTCGCTGCTGATGAAGGGCTCGTGCCTTGGCCATGACGCTGTTGTCCATGGCTCCAATGCCGCCCGCAAAAGACGAAGTTGCTTGCGGAGGATGTCTCGCCTTGCCCAGGATTCCCAACGTAGTCGAGTTGGGATTCATATTCCGAGGGTCGGCAAAAGTGTTCAATGATGGTAATCGCTTAGGAGAGTCGCCAAGCTCATCGCCGTTGGGTGTTCCGGCCACAGACGAGTCTTCCGAATATGGCGATGCTTGCAGCGAGAGCTCGTGAGTGCCATCGGACACGCTGTCCGGCGTGGCTGGGATCGAGCCGGAGCCGCTCATTGTGACGGTTGAAGAGATGTAGTTGCGCGGCTATTGCTCAGAGTGGGCGTGATGGGAGATGGAGAGATGGGGGCGACCAAGGACCTCCCAGTATTCAAAGGTAGTAACCATACACCGAAGTCTCTATGCTCGATCGAGGGTGATGGCGTCGCAAAGGCAAGGGCCGCCAGCGACCCTAGCAAGAGTGACGAGGACGAGGTTTTTGCGGTGGACGTTGGCGAAGCGGGTGGCCCGAGGTGGAGGTTTTGAAGCTCGACCAAGGTGGGGTTTCGGAGGCGACAACGATGCTTCGTCGCTGACAATCGCTTCAACGGCCGATATGCGGGAGGCGGACGGCGGATGGTTTGGTCCTGTGGGCTACGCTCGTCGAAGGCTAGGCCAGTCTAGACTTTTGCAACCCAGCGGCTGGGCTAGAGAGAAAAAGGTCGATACTTTTTCCAGATGCTCGCTGGCTTCGGCTGTCGCTCGGTTTATACCGCCGTGTGCCTTCTGACAGGATTAGTTTTTTTTTTCTGTTCGTGGGGGCGATGCGACGAGAGGGGAGAGAGAGAGAGAGAGCGAGAGAAGAGAGAATGGCGAGAGGGGGAAAAGAATCCGAAAAGGCAGCCGGGGAAAGAAGAAGGCGAAGGCTGCAGGTGACGGTTTGCTTACTGCGGAATTGGATTTTCGTCAGGATGCGATGGCAGCAATGCGGATTTCAGCTTCTGGATGACGGTGGATGAAACGGCGCTTGCCTTGTTTCTGCGCCCGGAGCTATCGACAATCAGCCCCAGTCTGCCAAGTGAAATGAGGCTTTGCTCTCCGTGCTCCCGGCAGTTGCGAAGAGCAAAGAAAAAATTTTCTCTCTTCTGCCCCAACGAAAGGCAGGTTTTAATGGTTTATAATGGGGTTGAAGCATACATACAAGGAAGGACAACTGCCCGAGCTTAAGCCCGTCACGATACTACGGGTATGGTAATGTATACACTTGTATGGATGAGAGAAGTTGAAGCTGCGGCGGTGTCAGGGTGCCATCCAGGTGCTCGTACACGTACAGCGCATCAGACGAGAAGCAGGAATCAAATCTCACCTCCCTGGCCAGCAATCAGGAACGGCCGTTGGCCAATTCCCTGGCTATTTTTGGTCGTGTGAAGAAACCTGAAGGCGCCCGGTATTTGATCAGGCCTCGGCACCACCTTGTCGATGTGCTAACCTGCTCTGGGCGTCGTATGGAGTACGAAATTAGCAGCAATGGCAGAGCTTCGCAAGGTTGTGCGGGGTTGTCCAAGGAATTGACGGGTATTTTGGTGTGGAGTTTTGGTGCTGGAGTGACTATGAGACTATGACGATGACGATGCAAAGACACAGCTGCGACGTGCGTCAAATGGGCAAAATAGCGCCGAGGAGCTGCAAGATATCGTCAGGAGGCGGCTTGGTGCCGGCACGTCATGTAGAAGCAGGGCACGCTGCATGCGCCTTCAATTGGAGCGCCGGGATTGGGCGGCTGTGGCGACTTTGGACTATCGTGACCTGAAAGTGGGCATCAGTGTCATGTCACCGGATAAAAGTGCTGGAGTGGTTAATGACCTATGGATGCCTTGGATCTTGCCAACAGGGGACAGAGAAATGGCGAATGGCAAGCAGAGAATCGAAGCTGGCCTGGCTGTGTATTGAAGCTGTGTGACGTGACGTGGTGCAGTGAGGTTGCCCGTCAGCTTTGGGCTGGGCTGGACAGTGAGGGAATGTATGTCAAGGAAGACCAGGGTTCACCGCTGGGAAGCAAAGGAAACGTAGTACCGTAAACCAGTAATAAATAGTTTAGGACAAATGGATAGTCAAGGACAGAAAGAAGAGTGATTGATGGAAATGAAAGGGAGGTAAGGAGGTCGGGAGGATCCCATGTGGATGACTGCTGTTGGCGTTATATATCGCCGTTTCCCACAATGACAATCAAACGCTTATTAACCAGAAACGCTCAACCACACGCTACTGTCTATCTTGTCCAGTGCCCAGACCAGCGGCGGGACAATCTGCCCTCATCGCGGCATGCTTAATATGACTTTGTGGCCTCGACGACGTTTGATAGGTGACTCTGAGGCCTCTCGGGCGGAATGCTCTGTGCCTGCTGCGCTGAAGTGGCTGTCGTGACTCCACCCCCAAGGTACTTTGGGCCGCCGATGTGTTTCGTATCTGCAGCTCACCATCTACGAGGCCGTGGCGCCCATCGCCACCGGCGGTCCAGGTATCGCCAGATGGGATGGTACTTGGCAAGCCCGATGATCCATATCAGACAGATCTCATGATGAAACCGCCTCTGGTCCCCGAGCCGTGCCTTGGACTATCAAGCGGGCGATAGTGGCCTATCACGGCTTTTGAACAATAACGGGCCACTTCGCCTAAGGGGGGGGGGGCGATTTTTCCGTTTGCTTCCTTGCTTCCCAGAGTCACCAAAAAAGACCGAAGCTACTGGAGGCAGGGCTACCCCAGGATCGTTTTCTGAGTGATGCCGGATGCAATCGGGCATCTGGAGCCTTGCTATTGGGCTACTAAGATGAGGCTGCGACAGGCACTGCATAGCGACGCAGTGGCTGCCTGAAGAGCTGACGGCGGCATCCAATGACGAGCCAAATCTGCGCTGCCCTTGCATCTGCTGTCTCTCATCTATTGCTTTTTCCCGTCTTTTTTGAGTCAATTGCAATCTCGTTCTGAGATGGCGTAAATACGCTTCTGCAGCTAGGTTTAGACCTTGGCATGGGGTTAATTTAGGTGTCAGGTACCAGCAGAGCGTAGTACCAGGTACCTGGTGAGATGAGATGCACACGCACAGCTTGGAACTCGAGCATAAACGTGTGTACAAAGGGCACTGAAGTGTTTAATGCGGTGCTAGAGCTGATAAGCTATCGGCGAAATACGTCTGATGGTTCGATGATGCATCATAGGTCTGCGCTGGGAGCCCAGTTGAGAAGCGATCGGCGCTGTATTCGTTTCAAACAGCTATGTTGTGTGCAACGTTTGCTGGGTTGCTGGGCAATCCCCCCTCCATCGTGTCTGTCATGACGTTCTCTTTTACTATGATGGCGATCGGGCAGGCGAGGCGATGGATTGAAACAGGCATGAACACAAGCTCATATCATGGTGACGAATACGGAGTACATGGCACGCCTAACTATGCGGTTCCACGTTGTGATTACAGCTGTGAGCATTTTGATATAGAGCGTATACTGTACATGCATGCATCTTGCTTAGGAACATAGCGCAGCATGGGAAATTATCAAAAGTGGTGGTTAATTTATACATCAAATGCCACTGCGCATCTTGGTAATACAATTGTACCCATCCCTTGCCTGAAAGAACGAGGCTTTGGGACGTGACGGAGTGACGGAGTTGGGACCGCTATGCTCGCTGGCAGTCGTTGACTGGCCGCCTCTTGGTTGACGAAATGAGACAATCTCAGCTGCTGCTAGCCGTCCTCTTGAAATCAAGTTGATAGCAAATGCCGGCTTGATCATCTCCGGGGTACAAAGTACGGAGCATAACGGCAGACTGCCTTGAAATCTGGCGTGTGCTTGAGTTGGCATGTTTTGCCAAGGGGGCTGGCATCGCACAGATAAGGCCTCTTATCTCCTCCATGTCTCACTTGATTCGCAATTGTCAGACTTGTATTACCTAGCACTGCGCTTCACCGCCACGTACAAGCCTCTTGGCCGCCGTGGCTTGCGGGCTGACGAAACAGACAAACGATGGGATACACGTGACTCTAGCCTCTGCAGCCACGCTCCAATCTGCTCCCACTGTGATAGCCCTACGCCCCCGTCGCCCCTGGACAGGGCTCATGGGCGCATTGGCGATTTCCATTGGCCGGCGGAAGCCTCCCGCGCAAGTACCTGGCAGCGCAAACACCCATTGGGAGTGATATCAACGCGCCGGTGGCACGCCAGATGGGGACCGCTAAGAGGGTCAATGGCACCTAGAGGGCTGCTAGAGGGCTGCTAGAGGGCCTACAAGCCCCTTCAAGCCTCTACAAGGCCCCCCAAAGCCCAAAGAGGCCCGCTAGCCAGAAGCTTGTTTGCCCAGCTCTTCCGCGCCTCACCTATCTCATGTCACTCTTGCGTGTTTCGCGACCATTCGCCTCTCTTATCTCTGAGTCGTGGGTGCATCGTCAGACGAGCGAATACATAGGGCACTGGTATTTTTTTTTCTGGGGTTCTACACGTTGGTTGCTGCCTTGTGCGACCTGCATTCTTCTTGCCCCTAATACCTAGGTATTTCCACTTCAGCCAGACGCCCAGATGGGCTCCCGCAACGCCCCATTCGCATTCACTGCAGCCCATTTAACCTGCATCCTCGCACCTTTGCACAATCCATGACACCTGCCTTACCTGATAAATGACCAGGACGAGGACCTGATCAGGCACCCTTGAACGCTGGCTGGACATCCCATTGGCCTCACCTCAGCTCCGTTGTTTTGCCATCGACCTGTCCCTAGCTGACGACGCTTTGATCTGATTATGAAGCACCTAACCGGCGCTTCCCGGTCTGTGATTTTTTTTGGAAAGTCAATCTGACATACTCTTTGTTTCCTTGTCCTTTAAATTGGGCGTCCCCTTTCACCCCTGCTCTGCCGATTTCTGGCCCATCATCCGGATTTCCCTTCTGCAACAAACAAAACAACCAACAGCCTACCACCACGACGCTGACGACACTGAACGTACGATCAATTGCGACTACACTTGATGGATTCCGTCGTCTCCCTCACGCCGCCGACGTCGTTTCGGCTGGCTGTGATGGCGCAAAAAGCATACGAGATGCCGCTCAAGGTCTTTGAGGCGCCGGCGCCGTCGCATCCCTCCCTATCGTATCTCTGCTTGCTCGTCTTTGAAGCCGTCTTGGAGGTGGTCTGCGTGAGCTTGCCGGGATACATCGTCGCGCGCCTTGGTCATTTTGATGCCGATAAGCAAAAATTCCTGGCCAATTTAAATGTCATGCTGTTTACGCCTTGCCTCAGTATGTTCCTTTCTCTCCTTTGCGCTCCAACGTTGAATCGCGGCCTGACCCATCATTCTCCTAGTCTTCACCAAATTAGCTTCCCAGCTCAACGCCGACAAGCTGTCCGACCTCGCCATCATTCCCGCAATCTTTGTGGTACAGACGCTTGTATCATGGATAGTCTCGATTCTCGTTGCCAAAGGATTTCGATTCAATAAGCGAGCCTCCAACTTTGTCACTGCTATGGGTGTCTTTGGCAACTCTAATTCGCTCCCAATCTCCCTTGTGCTCTCCTTATCGCAAACAATCAAGGGCCTCCACTGGGACAGGATACCCGGCGACAATGATGACGAGGTCGGCGCACGTGGCATCCTGTATCTGCTCATCTTCCAGCAGCTTGGCCAGCTTGTCAGATGGAGTTGGGGTTATCACGTTCTGCTGGCCACCAAAGACAAGTACCCAGAGTACCAGGACGAATTGATCGAGGAGGGCCAATATAGATACAGCGACGAAGAGCCGAACAACGAGCAGGAGCCCGAGATTCTCATCAGTGGCCTGGACGGCGACACCGAAAACGATGGCGATAGCAATGATTCCGAAGATTATATACCTGCTGGACGAACGCCTATTGCGAACACCTCCCGGGCTTCGCTGGCTGGCTCGACCGTCGAGGATGCCGACATGCTGAATTTCAAGAAGGGCAACTTTGCTGCGCATGGACATGCGCTTGCAGATAGCGACCCGGAGGATGATATTCTTTCGTTTCCCCAGATCCGTCTTCGAGATGAGACTGAAGTCCAACAAGGAGTTTTTGGCCATGTCAAGAAATATTTGAAATTTCTCAAAGAGCGAGCAGGCGGTGCGATGACTCGCCAGTATCAGCGACTCCCTCAGCCTGTACAGACTGTTCTCTCTTTCATTTACGCATCGATCACAAAATCTGTCAAATTCGCTTGGGAGTTCATGAACCCTCCTCTGTGGGCTATGCTCTTTGCGGTCATTGTTGCGTCTGTCCCGAGGCTTCAGCAGTTGTTTTTCGAAGAGGGTTCATTCGTAAAGAACAGCGTCACCAACGCAGTTCAATCTAGTGGAGGCGTCGCAGTGCCTTTGATCCTGGTTGTTCTCGGCGCCAACCTGGCTCGCAACACTGCCGCTCACGATACTCCCGTCGATCCGGAAGAGGAAAAGATTGGAAACAAGCTCTTGATCGCCTCGTTATTGAGCAGAATGGTTCTGCCAACATTAATCATGGCGCCCATCTTGGCCCTCACTGCAAAGTACCTGCCTATCAGCATTCTTGATGATCCCATCTTCATCATCGTCTGCTTCCTGCTCACAGGTGCGCCGAGTGCGCTTCAACTTGCGCAGATCTGCCAAATCAACAATGTGTTTGAGCAGACTATGGGCAGGATCCTGTTTCAGAGCTATGTTGTCTGGTAAGCATCTCAAGATGTCGATATATAACTCTTTACATCACTGTGCGGTTTTTACTAACAGATCCAATAGGATTCTTCCTTCTACTCTTGTTCTTGTCATGATGGCGCTCGAGGTTATCGAGTGGGCCAAGGTGTATTAATACCACTGTCCCATCTGTGGATTCTTATGAGACCACTGTCCCATCTGTGGATTCTTATGAGATATGAGCCTTGTTTTTCTGTTTTCTTTGCTTCGCTTTTGCTGAAATGCATACATCATTCGGCGTTTACGGGATGGACTGGTGAATTAGAAGCCACACTTCATCTGGCATGGATAGACTGGTATGGACTAGCAATAAGGGGTGAGAGGATACCAAATTGTATTAGTATGGTAGGATCTAGTGGATGATGTTACTTTTTGCTCGATGGAAGCTTTAAAGGACTAGCTTTGGAATGACATGCCTTGTGCATCGTTATGCAAAGGAGCTGTATTTGGGAGTACGACATGAATTTTACACTGAACGATATTATGTTCTGCGATAAGAGCTTTTTGCAGATGAAGCATTATCTTTTTGTTTGTAGTATGCTGCTCGTTGAAAATGAGAGAAATAACATTGCCTTACAGTAGCAATTAGGCACACATGAAACAAGATGCCATGGTGAACAAGGACAAGATTGTCAACAGCAGCGAAGCAGAAATCCTCTTCTCCATTGAATACCATCTACGTACTAAGCATATATTGTTGCAGAATTTACTTCATTTGCAATAACTTCATTTGCCACATTCAAAGCAGAGTATGTGAGCCAGCATGCCCAAAGAAAAAGCTATGTTACTTTGATGTCAAAGGTATGCGGCTCAGCAACTTTCTTTTCTTCTCCATTTTCTTCCTTTTTTGAAATTTCGATCATTCCATCATATCCGTTTCCAATGCCCAAAACTAGGTACGCCTCATACATGAATGATACAATTACAGCCTATCCCAACAATACCACAGGTAAGGTCCTTAAGCACCACCATTGAGCAATGGAGCATCCGAAACCAGCTCCCAGTCCCTCACAGTTCCCTTCCAATCGCTGATCCTCACCCTCTGGATATCGACTACAATGACGCGCACCTCCTCGCCCGCCACAAAATGCCCTCCGGCATTCTCGGTATTGGACGGCGGTTGGAAGAGAGGCACGCCCTCCTCAAAGGTGTTGTTCTCGAGATGCTGCTCGACGTAGAACTTCTCTTCGGCGGACCCAATAGGAGCTATCCGCGCGGCACCTCCTATCGTCGCGCTGATGCTGGACATTGCGGATGTGTTGAGGTTGAGGAGCAGGGCGGCGAGGCTGGATCGGGCTTCGGGGCCGGGGGATCCGCCGGACAGGCGGCGGCCTTGGGTAGGAGGACGGTGAGAGACCCCTGGGGAGAAGGTTGTCAGCATTGAATAGGAATCTGGTGCCTGGGAGCTTCCTTACAGTCGTGGACCAGGAGAGAGACGTTTGGGTTGGTCGTGATGTTGGTCGTCTTGCGAGAGGCCGGATTGGTGGTCATGATGATGACGGGAGAGGTCGAGTAGGGCGAGGAGGGGAGGTAGGTGTAGTTCATGAGGGATACGTTGGGCACGTTATCGGTGCATGTTGCCAGGTGAAGCTATTCGCAATCGCACGAGTATCTAGTCAGCGCCCATCCTCGTGTATCCTCGTCTTGGCCACAGCAGCATCAAACATACGAATCGCGCATTCTCGAGGCATTGCACCACCTCGGTGGGCAGCGAGCTCGTCTGGCGCTTGTGCGTGTCGCCCTCGGACGCCTCGTAGTTGAGCGGGATCTTGTCCATGGCGGCCATGCTGGATCGTGTCGAGCCGAGAGATACAGCCGTTTTCTCTCGTGACGTCTGGGAAAGCTGTGTAGCCCGATCAGCCGATGCTTCAAGCTAGAGGAAGATCCGAGTACAGTATGTGGGGGGGAGGAGGAAGAAAGCAAACGGTAGCCGCAAAGGGGAATCGCTAAGATACTTGGCCCAGTATGGAGCATCCCCGCAGAACAGCAAGTACCCCGATTACCTAACCAGCGTCCAAAACGGGCCAAAACGGCATGACGTCGTGGGGAAAACACTCGGACCGTCCTGCTGGCAAGCAATTAAGCAGCCGCGGCTACTTGCGGCACGCGGCGCTCGGCTCTATCGACCATCTACCCGGTTGAGCCTCGACAAGGCGACGAGCCCTGGGCCTTGATTAATTCCTCCTCAGCGTCCAATTCTCGACTCCTGCAACTCCTTCCTGTCCATCGCCAGCTGCAGCCCGTCGCCATGCGTTCTCTCCGCGCCAATCGCCTCTCTCTGAGGCCCGTGCCTCGATTCCTGTCCACGTCTGCAGCCCCCAAGCCTGCGGCGCTGAGCTCCGTGCTCATCGCCAACAGAGGCGAGATCGCAATCCGAATCAACAAGACGGCGGAGCGCATGGGCATTAAGGCCACCACCGTATACACAGACGTCGATGCCAACTCATGGCACGCCTCGTCCGGCTTCCAGTCCTTTGGCCTGGGCCCGGCAAACGGCTACCTGGACGGCGAGAAGATCATCGCCCTGGCCAAGAAGCACGGCATCCAGGCACTGCACCCGGGCTATGGCTTCTTGTCTGAGAACTACAAGTTCGTCGAGCGATGCGAGGAGGAGGGCATTGTCTTTGTCGGCCCGCCCGCCACCGCAATGGCCGACATGGGCAACAAGGCGCGAAGCAAAGAGATTATGAATGCGGCCAACGTGCCCTGCGTTCCTGGATACCACGGATCCGAACAGGGCGAGGCTGAGTTGCTGGCATACGCCAAGGAGATCACCTTCCCTGTCCTCCTCAAGAGCGTGCGAGGCGGCGGTGGCAAGGGCATGCGAATCGTCATGACGGAGGATGAGTTCCTCACCCAGCTCAAGAGCGCCAGAGCCGAGGCCAAGGCTTCCTTTGGCGACGGCGGCGAGGTCATGCTCGTCGAAAAGTACATTGTCCGCCCGCGACACGTCGAGGTGCAGGTCTTCGCCGACAAGCACGGCAACACCGTCGCCCTTGGCGAGCGAGACTGCAGTGTCCAGCGAAGACACCAAAAGGTTCTCGAAGAGTCTCCCGCTCCTGATCTTGACGAGGTCACCAGACAAGATCTCTGGGACAAGGCAAGGAAGGCCGCTGAGGCCGTGGGCTACGTCGGTGCCGGAACAGTCGAGTTCATCCTGGACAAGGACAGCGGCAAGTTCTACTTCATGGAGATGAACACGCGGTTGCAGGTCGAGCATCCCGTCACTGAGATGGTTACTGGCCTGGACCTTGTCGAGTGGCAGTTCCGCATCGCCGCCGGCGAAAAGCTGCCGCTGACCCAAGCCGAGGTTGAAGAGCAGATGAACCAGCGAGGTGCTGCCATTGAGGCTCGTATCTATGCTGAGAACCCCGAGAAGGGCTTCATGCCCGATTCAGGCAAGCTCGTCCACGCCGTCCTGCTGGATGCTGCCAAGAACGATCCCGATATCCGTCTCGACTGGGGATTCGGCTCTGGCAGCGTCGTCTCCGAAGCATACGACGGCATGATTGCCAAGCTCATCGTCCGCGGCGACGACCGCGAGACGGCCATTGCCAAGCTCGCCTCCGCCCTGCGCAACTTTGAAATCGTCGGCCTGAGCACCAACATTGAGTTCCTCAAGAGGATGTGCGAGTCCGAGGCCTTCATCGCCGGCGACGTCGAAACTGGCTTCATCGACAAGTGGAGAGCAGAGCTCTTCAAGCCCAGACACATCAACAACGAAGTCTTCGCCCAGGCCGCCCTTGGCGTCCTGAGCAACCAGCTGCAGACCGTCAGCTCCAGCCCGCACGGCCAGTCGCTCGGCTTCGGCAACACAAACTCGACCAGCGAGCGCAAGGTCGCCTTCAAGGTCCTCGACGGCTACAGCGAAAAGGAGGGCGAGGTCGTCGAGGCCGCCGTCTCGCAGACCGGCCACAACCTCTACAACGTGACCATCTCCCGCAAGGGCGAGGAGCCCCAGCTCTTTAGCAACATCATCAGCGAGCCCACCATCGAGGGAGAGGTGACCAAGCTCAAGTCCCGGTTCCCCGCCGAGAGGATCGAGTCCACCGTCGTTCCCCAGGAGAGCGGCACCGAGACCAAGCTGGCTATTTTCCAGCACGGCCTCAAGACGGATTTGGCGCTGCTGCCGCCGTCGTGGTATGAGAAGGCCCTGGGCCTGAAGGAGCTGACTGCCTCCGTGGCGGCGCCGATGCCGTGCAAGATCTTGAAGAACGAGGTTACTGAGGGACAGACGGTGAAGAAGGGTGAACCGCTTGTTGTGTAAGTTGATTTTGTTACAAGCATTCTCCCTCTCTACTTTTCCATTTCACAACATCGCTAACAAAAGCTTTATAGCATTGAATCCATGAAGATGGAAACCGTCATTCGGTCGCCGCAGGACGGTGTCATCAAGAAGCTCGCCCATAAGGAAGGAGTAAGTCCATTCCATGAAAATATCCATGCCACTCCATGTGCCCATTTAGCTAACACATCTCTCCCTTAGGATATCTGCAAAGCCGGAACCGTTCTTGTCTTATTCGAAGAGGACGCTAGTAAAGAGTAATCATCATAAATGGGATATACGACAGGCGTTTAACGGTGGTCATGAATCTATGTATATTTGTTCCTTTTTTGGCGAGATATTTCATCTGTCGAGTCAATGACATTGTAGTGTCAATGAAAAGAGAAAGAAATAAAAAATAAATAAAAAGTTTATCCTACCTTTCTTTGCTTTCTTTTGTTCGTTTGCTCTGCCATGATATACCTCCAGGTTCCGTAATCTGCCATTTTCTTTCTTTCTGTCCCTCTTTTTTTTCTGATTTCAATCCCAAAACGCCGACTGTTCCCAAGAAATTCCCTGTCCCAAACTCCCCAGAGCAAAATACATAGTCGTAACATCGTTATTTCATAATCGGTCCTCATCAAACTGACCGGACGGGCTGTCCGACAAACCATAGTGAGTACTAACCATCCATATTAAGCCATCCGCCGTCGAAAAAGAAGCGTCCCGCAAAGCAGCCCAAACCACCACAGAATCATGCACAAGCACCATCATTTTGTCTGCATTTCCGCATACGTGTCGGGCAAATGCCTGCCCATCCGCGACTGCTTAGCCGCTTCTCGGATGCGCTTCCACCAGTCCTTGACGCGGCGCGGCCAGCCGGGATCGGTAGGTGGGACGTAGGAACAGAAATTGTTGAGAAGGTCCTGTGTCGAAGCGTATCAATAAGCGAGATGACTTTTCTAGGTTGGACCACCATCCCCTTTCACCACCGTGATATTCCCATCATTACCTGAATTCACCGGTCGGTGCAAAATAAGAAATAGCCCAGACGGGGGGGACCATAGCTTACCTCTTCCTTCGCCAAGGTGATGAATCCCAGCACAAAGGCCACCCACGCCAACGTCCCCTTGGTGTTGAGAAATTGGTTGCCGCCTCGAAACTCTATCGTCCCCGTGCACCGCCTTCTCCTGCGATGAGGATAGATGTTCTGGAAGTTCCATAGAACGTATCGGTTGCCTTGCATGTAATGGCATAAATCTGCCTTTCTGCTCTTGGATCGAATCTCAGCAGCCACCTTGCGCAACGCACTGACGCTCTTTTCCCAGCCCAGCGTCTTGTTGAGCCCAGAGTCGAGGCTCTGGCTGTTGAGACGGCAGTAGTGGTTATCGCGGCGGGCGGCAGGTAGAATTTCTGCCACGTAGTCTTCATAAACGACTGTTGCGAAAGCAATCTTCTTGAGAGTCCTAAGCGAGAACTTATTTTTGAGGTTGACGGGCGTGACATGAACATGCCCACCGCATGAATCGTCTTCTTGAGGCTTGAAGTGCACGCGCATGGCCTCCCAAAAGTCGGATATGATAGGGCTCACGCCCTGCATGGTATCGAGCTTTGGGGATACAACCTCCATGCACACTTTTTCCGGTTTGCATTTGCGTCAGCGCATATTTCTCTGTGCGTGCATGACAAGATACATGAAGCACATGTACATGAAAATCTCATCGTGCAGCAAGCTGGGTGCAAGTCGGAATTACCAACCATATGGTCGTGGCCGCTTGAGCGACCCGTCGCGCGTGACGAACCACTTTCCTCCATAATACTCGGGGTGCTTGCTATACTTGGAGCAATCGTCATGGACCGCTTGGATGCCCCTGTTGCGTAGCTTCTGCGCCAATTGTCGATACCAGTCCACGTTGGTGAAGCTGTTGCAATTTCCATATGGCCTGGTAACGGCCTCGATCTCTACGCCGAAATTGTAGTGCCTAATGCCATGTGGCATCTTCGTCAGGCAGATGGTGTAAGTCGTCAAGGCGGATTCGAACCCAAAATCCAGAAAAAGATGAGGCTGAGGCTGCACTTACAGCCCGAGCAAAACAACCACAGGTCCACTCCAAACAGGTACGTACGGAGCTAATTTGAGAGAGGTTGGGTTGGGAAGATAAAGTGAGGGAAAAACTTGGTTGCCAAACGGCCTAATTGAGGTCGTTGATATCTGATTTCGACTTCATGCTTTCTAACTCGCCGGCCAGGTCTTGGCTCTTCCCGTGGTTCTAGACACAATTAACCACGCTTGCGCGGATAATTGGTCAATTCATTTAGATTGGATGCACATGCTCACATGACATTGTCGACTTCTTCTCAACTTCTCGTTTTGTGTGACGCATAGTAACCATCTTCGTGCCCGTGCTTTTGTACAGAGCATATTACACGTACTCGTGCAAGAGCAGCAGGGATCATGGCCATGCATGGGGCGGCACGGCCAGCAAAACTCTAGCCGCCCAGCCACCGTTGCGTTGTCCAACACCATCTTCACCCCTACCTCCTATTGAGACAATACTGCCTGTGCCTGTACTGCCCTTTGCGCGGAATCCACAGGCGAACAGCGGTCCCCCTATAATACGGTGGCCCTCGGTGGATGAGGCGGTAGGGAACGTGGCACCTAGGGATCACGCATTATGCTCCGAAGCCGGGCATGTCCGTGACTCTCTTTTCAAACAAATGGTAAAACAAAAGAGAGGCGCCCGAGGTTGTGAGCTCACTGCCACGAAGGAGGCACCCAGTCTCTCCGGGTCAAGACGTGGTGAAGTCCAATTGGTGCCTGCAATCCCATGCCCTGCATGGCCGTCGTCATTCTGTCCTTTGCTGCCCAACCTGTGGCACGGCATCAGAGATCCACAATAAGAGGCGGCCGCACTCCAACGGAGCATCCTGGCTGGCTGTCGAGCAAACGATTGATTCTCGTGCCATGACGTATTTTCGCCTCACAATTAACATCACTGGCAATAGTTAGCAATATGTAAGACAGCGGTATTGTGCGCAGGATGTGCGCAGACAGTTCAAGCCTCCTCCGCGTTCAAGCCAGCCCGTAGGACTTGGTCTCAGAAGCACGACAGCTCGACCCTTGGGCCACCCCGCCCATTTCCCAATTCGACCATGGAGGCCATCCGCAGCCAATCAGTGGGGAGGAAGAAGTCCAAAGTGCCAGCCCAGAAAGCAGCGTCAGCGTTGTCTCTAGACCGCCGGCCAACCAAGTTATACTTTGCTTATGGGAGTAACTTGCACATCAAGCAGATGAACCGTCGTTGCCCCAATAGCAAATTCATCGGAATAGCCCGTCTATGCAACTACCGATGGCAGATCAACGAACGTGGATACGCCAACGTCGCCCAGGCAGAGGGACATTGGGTAGATGGACTTGTGTACGAAATTGATGACATCGACGAAGCCAAACTGGACATAAACGAAGGCGTTGCAAAGAATGCATACAAAAAGCGATACATGACAGTTCTGCTCCATCGAGCTCAGAGCGCCTTGTATCGCCGTCCCATCGCTTGGATTGTCGAAAAGGGCGGGCCCGCGACGGTGGGCAGACAAGCCGGGCTCGTGGCTCAGGGGCGGCGAGAGAATTCGTTGGTGCACTGGCAAGACGATGTTCTCATATATGTCAATCCAAGCTGCATTATTGACAGCAATCCCAAGGAGGAATACGTCAATCGGATCAATCTGGGTATTGCGGATGCCAGGGCCCTAGGTGTCGACGAGGATTACATCCGGAACTGCATTCGCCCCTTTATCCCGGAGAGCACCGAAAAAAGTTCCTCGGGCCCGGCATCCGGGACCCCCAGGCTCAAAGTTCTAGCAGTCTCCCGGGGTAGAAGCGCGAACTCACCCGCGCGGTCTGATGGCCGCTCTCCGGCACGCAAAGACCGATCGGTGAGCCGATCGGTGAGCCGATCGAAGCAGCATTTCGAGCGGCGATCTCAATCCTGGCAACCCCCTAAGAAGGAGAACGACCAGAAAAAAGATCAGGCGACAAAGCCAAAGGTGCCACCCCTGCCTCCGCGACCACAGTCAAACCAACCTCGTGACATTCCCATCGTGGCGGTACAGGAGGTACACCTCTCGAGCTGGGGTTGGTGGCCGGCATTTTCATGAGAGATGGTAGAAAGGACCCAGAGGCTGTGGAAACAAGATGCGGTGAAGAAGGTGTTGGAGCCTGAGATCCATTGTAATGTAAGTGTCTAACTGTTGTGAAATCTATTGTTCGTCTGTCATTGCTTTTCCGGCCAGTATTGCTGACGCTTTCTATACGATTTTAGGAATATCGTCAAGATATCCGAGCTTTTTTTGTCTTTTAGGTTTTTTTTTTTTCACCAGCTCCATCCGCCGTCAAGGCGCATTCTGGAAGACCCTAGGGTCATAAATCAGAGCTTTGAGCGATGCCGCCTCAAGATCAGGGTCTTACTTTTGGGTGATCCATTTCGCGATGGACCGTGAGATCGTGCTTTCGATCCATTCGAATAATCCCATAAGAGTCTTGTCAAGGTCATGGCCTTTTGTGGAATATCGCCATCTTTTTCTCCTCCATATACCAATACCGTGGGTCTGCAGACAATCTTTGCTGCTGACTTCTTTGCCCCGCTAACCGCCTCTACAAAGAGGCCAGGGGCAACGTCGAATAGATACGAGGCATTCTTTAGAGCCTCGGACGGTTTGCCAGCCCCGCCCGAAGGAATAAGCACACCGTCACTAGCAAGGTTGAGACACTCATAGGTGTCCAATTTTGTTCTTGCGGTTCGTGCAGGCCACCTGAAAGTGAAAATATTTGGTGAAAGTTGAAGCCGGTGGGCAAGATCCACTGCTGGGTCAACGATATTTATCCGAAGAGAGCTTTGCAGTTCTGCAGCGGTTAGATATGGCACTACAACCGATAGAAGAGAGGCAAGGTCTTCGGTGATAAGGTTGAGGTATGCAGCTCTCCTGGATTTGAATGAATTCTGGCTGGTCAATGCTGTGAGCGTCTCAGATCTCCATTCTCTGCAGTGCAAAATGTCTAGTTTCGGTTTTTATTAGCTACCATACCCCATAGAAATGCTACATAGAATAGAACGTACCTCGGGGAAGCTTAGACATCGCGCCCTCTAATTCATCAATCCACGCAGCAGTAGTCTCGCCGTCACCATCATCCAAAGGGCAATAGAAAGACTTGGAAAAGAACACGAGCCATAGGTATTGCATTATAAGTGCTCTTAAATGATATTCGTCGGAATGCCAGACATTAAGGCAGCTTGTTGCCGGCTCTCTCATCAGCGATACAAATCTTGTTGACTGAGCCGGGCTTGGCTGGCAGCGGAAGTGACCACTAGCAAGATCGTCCAGGACAGGCCGAATGCGATGCTCAACCCAGCGCTGGATGTTTTCGCATAGATTTCCATATGCTTCCCGAGCTTCGTCCTCCGTAATGTCTTTTCTCAGCGAAGAAGGGCGAATGGGCTGGCCCTTGGGTTCTTCGACAGCCTTGTCCTTTTTACTAGACTGACTTCGAGCTTGCGCGAGCTGGGCTTGCGCTTCTTTCAGCTCCTGCTGTAGAGATTCGACCTGCTTTGATAGCGCCGTGTTCTCCTTTTCCTGTACTTCAAGCTCTTCCTGTCGTGAATCTAAAACTTCTTCGGTGAACTGGCGCAGTCGAATTTCATCTTCCAGCTTGCTCTTGTCGTCTTGCTTGTGTGGTGTCTCTGCGTGGGCGGGTGCCATTATTCTCTTTTTTTTGCCCTTTCTTTGGAACTGTAAATATCTCGAGTGTGGTATGATTCAGATGGTATGAAGTGAGGGAATGGAACTAATGGGGTAGTATGGTTTTCTAGAAGTTTATGGAGTAAGTGACGGGAAAGCCATTGATTGATCACGCCTGTTATTTTTGCTTATGGTGCGTAATAGTTTCCTTTTGGCCAATACCTTGATCCCTGTGCATTGAATTGGCGACTCGGCAGAGGCGTAAATGACTCCATACAGTCTCAGTTGGCTTGGGTTGCCAGACGATGAACTGTCGGTGCGTAGCCTGACCATGTCATCCTGGTGGATCTTCCCCCTTACCGGCTGGATGGCATCTTCATGCCCGAAGCAGGCATCCGTTGGGCTCCACCACATACCCGTTGATGGGGTTAAGGGATCGGCTCTGTGCATGCAGGTCCGGGGTGCCTTGTCTGCAAAAGCGCGCGTTTATGCCCCAAGGCCAGCATTGAGACACCAGACCAATGATTGTCTGTATAACTGTTTTGGAAGCTCAACCAGTCAGCATAAGAGTCCTAAGCTTGGCATATTTTTATCCTAATATCTGGCGGAGCCCCAGCAAGGTTACTGGAAGCATCCCATTGGCACCATCGGGAACTGAACGGCAGCCCCAGTTCATAGCATGCCTAGAGACGATGCCTCTCTACTAAGCCACCGTGTATAGCGCATCTGACTATCCAAGCCTGGGTAACCGCGAGCCTTCCCACCACTTACAGGGAAGTTTTCTGGTGTCACCTACATTTTGGTCCAAGGATTTCCTGTGGCAGGCTTTTTTTCCGAGCTAAAAAGCCTGAGCATGAGCGAAGAGAGAAGAATTGTCGTGTCTATTGACTTTGGTACCACTTTTTCGGGCGTCGCTTGGGCAGAGACGACTCAAGTAAGTCTAGAAGCAGCAGCACGCAAATATTTCACGCCGCGCTAAAGCCTCCAAGCCGGATGTCCAGCATGTTTTATCCGACTGGCCGTCAGTTGGTTCGTCCCAAAATAGCCCCAAAGTCCCGACAGAGCTGCGGAAAATAGCAACAGGTTGGCAATGGGGCTTCCAGATCCCGAAAGCGGCAAAGAGAAGTCGATTCTTCAAGCTGTGAGTTGCAAATCGTGATAATCAAAGGCGACTTTGAGTTAATCCCATGACCTACAGAAGGTTAGATGAACCGCCGGATACAAATGCAAAGACAGACGGAGAATCGGCTCAAGAACTAACAAGGGTATATCTATCATGCCTCTACGCCCACTTTATCAGCGTCTTGGAGGGCCAGATGTCGCCCAGCGTGGTGCAATCAACTCCAATGGATGTTGTTGTTACTGTTCCAGCTATTTGGTCAAATAGCGCAAAGCAGGAAACGGAAAAAGCAGCATCATTAGCTGGCTTTGGTGGAGAGAATAAGATTAGACTTATATCAGAGCCTGTTTGTGTCAACCAAGACTGCAGATCAGCGATGACGCTAACAGTTTGCAGGAAGCGGCAGCGTTATACACTGTCAAATACCTGAGCCCTTCTGTCCTACAAACTGGTCGAAGATTTGTGGTTTGTGACGCAGGAGGAGGAACAGTTGATCTCATCACCTATGAGGTTGCCAAAGTTCAGCCCCTACAAATGAGAGAGGTCACAGAGGGCACTGGAGGTAAATGTGGGTCTTCGATGCTCAACATGAGGTTCCGGCGATATTTGAAACAGGCACACGGGGATAAATATTGGACAGATGAGCGACTCGTCATTGCTTTGGGAGATTTTGAATCGGTACGTAAGCTTTTGAGGGGCTCTGACGGGTACACGTTAATTTAATTGTGCTCAGTTTAAGAAGGATTTTTCCCCTAGAGGTGAGCCACTTACGCTGAAAGTCGACCCATCTCTTGGCCTGAGACGAAATCGATTCACAATACCACAAGACGATATGACACTCAAGATATGGGACCCAATTATGAAGGACATAATTTGCTTGATTAATGAACAGATATCAATGGCAGACGAGGAGGTTGCTGCTGTCGTCCTCGTTGGTGGGTTTGGCCAGAGTAAATACTTGAAGGCTCGCGTCCGAGAAGCCATCATTCCCGGAGTGCGAGTTCTTCAGCCGGAAAATGGTGTCACAGCAGTAGTGAAGGGGGCCGTTATCTATGGCCTTGGGAATTACCAGCCCGCGATGGCCCCGGTGGGCATTGCATCTCGGGTCGCCAGACGGTCATACGGCACCTGCCTATTGGCAAAGTACGATCCGGCGAAGCACGACCGGAACGAAGCGTGAGAAAACATGGCCAGCACGTATGTGGATTTATTAACGATGCGAACAGATTTTGGTCCGACAAAGAAGAAGAATGGGTCGTTATTGAAATGTGTTGGTTCATCCGCAAGGTATGCCGAAAGAAGAACAGATGATGGTTCTTTAATAACGAAGTCCAGGGCCAATCGTACCCTGAAGGCAAGCCTTCTAAGATCGAATATCAGTGCGATATACCCGTTTTCATGGGGCATAAACCACAGGCAGATATCGAGATCTTCAGCAACGATGATGATCGTGAAGCACCAATACACATCACCGGCTCTACCAAACGGGTAGCTACGCTATTTCTCGATCTGCATAAGATACCCAAGTCAGCAAAGACATCTGCGAAAAAGAAGAAAATGGGATGGCACCGATATTATTGCTTGACCGGGGCAATTGAAGCAAGCTATGGGTCCGCAATGATAACTTACACGGTGAAACTTGGAGGTTCGCTCGCCCTATTACCCAACCTCCAATGAGCATGAGGCTAAACCTAACATTACCACAGGTGTAACACACGACGTTATCAAGGTTCGATATGAGTAATCTGGTCAATTTTGTGGCTTTAGGAATCTGATTTTGATGATTACTGTCGATGCACATAAAGGGTGTCTATTTTTCGAAGGTGTGCCTTGCTCTTTTGGTTGTCGTAATGGCTCTTCTATCCATAGCTGGGAATCAGACGAAAATTATCGAAGCAACCGGAATCTCTGACGCTGTCATGTTGATGCAGTTGATCTTTTCTTCGTTCCTAGTACTTGTAAGTTCTCGGGTAGGTGCTGCCTATAGAGGTCCAGGCATGCGAAAGTGCGTCACGTGATATCGCGTTCTGCCCCTCTTCGTGATCGCGTCTCTTGAGACAATCTAACATTTGTTCATCCACGCCAAATCGCGGCATACGTCGCTTTCGGTGCCAGCAGGCAATGACCCGAGATCCAAATTGCCATTGTGCTTCTCAAGCGCGTGGACATGGCTGCCGACACACGCGAGGGCGGTCCACCGCCGTCTACGCTGGCGGCGCAGCTGGTGGAAAGCATTGCGGCGTCAACCAAAGTCTCCCGAACCGATGAGAATAGCGAGCTCAAGGGACTTTTGGCCACTATCCAGCGCGTGAAGGATAATCCAGACCTCCTCAAATCACCAAATGATCGAATTGAGCACAACCATATGCTTATCTATGTATACTGTCGAGTTGTTCTCGAAAACATAAAGCTCGACGACCCATTTCTTGATCGAGCGAATGTACGAACCGAGTCTCAGAAGGCCATCAATTTCTTGCGATTTACAATCAAAGAAACGCCATCAGTATTGCTCCATCAAAATGAAAATCGTGGACTGCTCTTCCGTGGCCAAGAGCCTCTGTGGGTTTGGCTTTTGCCACAACTGCTGAGACTTTTGGGACACCCTCAATGTCTTGAACTGGATAGCTCCATTGAAGGATTTCTCCAGTATATCCTCCTGCTAGTCGCACGAACCGGGAGTTTGTGGAAAGTAGCCCCGTTTTTGGGACTGTATCTTCGTGCATCATTAACATGTATGTCCTTCCATTGCTTCTCTAGGCAGGGGCTAATATTACCGAATTGATGTAGCTCTTCTTGACCATCTCCAAAGCCCATCTCTCGTCCCTTCTCATGCAGATCTTCGTACGAATCTAGAACTCCCCCCATCCTTTGCCCTTGATCAAATTTTGGACAGAGATCAACAACCCACGACTAAACGCCTATCGTACTCGATTTATACCGTACGACAGGGATTACATCTGGCGTCAAGCCTGGCGAGAGTGCTCGCATACCCCCTGACATCGCCTGATTCGGCCTTTTCAAGCAGCGTATCTCTGTTGGAGAATGGGCCATGGCTTATAGATTCCTATCTGGACTTGCGTCATGTCCAAAAGCGATGGGAGCTGCCATCCCAAAGCACCCCTCTTCCACTTGCCGAATTGACTATGGAAATCATCAAATCTTCGATTACTAGTGACCACCCAAGTGCCTCACTCATTGAAAAATCGTGTGCTCTCCTCATTCTACTCTGTAGCGAGATGATTTCCCCCCCTGAGGAGCTGGTTCAACCAACTCCTGCCGGCGACCAGGCAAGGTCAATCTACTGCATGGCTCTTATAATCATTGCCCAAGCATCTTTAAAATCTTACTCGATAGGCCGCTTTGCGGCGTCGAAACTTGTTCAGGAACTCATTTTACTGTCATCACAATACTCCACTATTGGAGAAGATACAGATATTTGGGTAAGTGGTGCACACTTGATATCAAGAGAATGCTTTGGATACTAATAAACCTCGAGCGAAGTGTGACTTTTCTGAGGCAATCAATTGGTTCTCTCTCACAAGAATCCTTCCAAGATAGCATACGCCCGTCGAAATTTCAGGATGCCGAGCTTCGAAAGTGCATTCAAGATCTGCACCTAAACTATGATGCCCCTAACCAAGCGGCGAACGCGAACAAAAGGCAAAAGCTCTCCGAAGAATCAACAGACTTTCTGACAATTTTGACGCATGGTATATTTGAGACCCTTCAAGTCACTCCGCCATCGGACGACGATGTGGTGCTGTTTGAGCAGATCTTCCTGTAAGTTTTCTATACCGACGTTGCATTGCTTAGTCTGATATATGAATAGGAACGGCTATGAAAAATGCAACCAGTCAAATCAGTCTCTCGCTTTGGATCTTTTATCTCGGATTTGCTGCGTCGTCGATAATAACACACGAATGAAGGGTTCGTTGGGTTCTATTTCGGCCCCCATAACGTGTCCTATCTGTGACGAGAGCGCTTCTAGCGCACCGAAGATTTCGTCACACAATGCAAAAGGTGAAGCCAGACAGATATTTTCCAAAGTAGTTCGCCTACCATCATTCTCAGAATCCAGGCGGCCACGGATAGCCGCTATGATTGCCCTCAGGAGGCTCATACTGCACTGCGAAGATGCAGCCTTTCTGAATTTGGAGACCTCTGGCCCGGGGCAGTGGTGTCTCCAGTCGCTAAACAGTTCTATAAGGGAGCTTCGTATCTCAGCAGGAAGAACATTGGCACTCTTTATGCCCCCAAAACCCACTCATAATATGGATGAAGCGTTGCTTTCAAGGAATAGAAAGAATTCTATCGCTCTTCTAAAGTCAGCTTCAGAGGCAGACCCACCACTTTTAATCGAAACTCGAATTTTGGCCTGGGGTCAACTTGGCAGAGTCGTCACTGAAGATGAATTGAACTTGGTCCTGATAAAGCTCTTAGAATATTTGGGCAGCAGTAATAATATTGAATCGGCGTTCGCTTTCAATGAGCTGCTAAGTCTTGCTGAGGCTCGGCGTTCCACGCCTCGTCGCCTCTTTGAGCCATTTTGGAAAAGTCTTGCCTACATGGCCACCAAAGACATAGTTCAACGCCCACAGCGAAGTCGGGCCATAGCAGAACTACTACAAATATCTGTTAACGAGCTCCTGCTTCTGATCCAATCCCATGCACTCCCATGGCTCGTCTTGGATAAACGTAAAGATGTGATCCAAAAGATTGCAGAAGCACGTCAGGAGACGGAAATCTGGCGACCCCTTATGGACAGTCACAATACAGCCTCAGTATTGTCACTTTTAATGCTGCAAGAGTCGGGCAGTATTGAAGAATTTGTCAAATCTAGCCTAGATGAGATATCTCCTCATTTTCACGCTCTCAGCCTTGCCGACATTGTCCAGTCTGAGCCTGTACTGACCGCAATAGAGCTATTAAAGGCTGCAGCGGACGCCGATGCTTCGCGTAAACGCCAGGTCCGTTTTCTTATCCATATAGCCGTTCCATTTACGACTGGTATTAACAAGATTTAGATACAAAAAGCTTTGGCCATGATGGCATCTATGGTATTAGGATCCATCAAGGAGACAAGAAATAAGAAGACAGATTTAGTGGGACGATTCCTGCAGTCACATATTCTCGGGCTTATGGCACGCTTTACAGATGTTATAAATGATTCAATTTCGATTTATCCCCAGGTGATGCAGCAAAGGAGCTGCATTCGTGCTTTGGAGGAAATGATTCGAATTTGCCAAGCATATGCAAGAATTGCCCGTCCGCAGGTATGTCAGAGTAACAGGTAAATTGCCACAAATTCACTAATTGCAGGTATAGATATCAGCTTGTCTTTTATCTGCTGCGTCTCAAGACTCGTTGCGCGAACCAGCTATTTCATGCTGGGCAGCAATGCTCAAGTACTTTGATGAAGAAGACGTTGAGGCCTTGCTTGAGGCTACTTTTTTCATTGTGAAGCGCTACTGGCCTGAACTAAAGCCCGCAGCGATGACCATAATAAGAGATATGCTCGATAATCTCTTGGGAAAATATGAGCATATTGTGGAAAAACACATTGCGAGGCTCCCATCGTTATCTCACCTTGCAGCTTTGAGTGATATTGAAGCTAAGCTCAGTGCTTTTCGACCGTCTCTTGCCCTTGAAGAAACTCTGGGGGTATTTTCTGGCAGAATTGGCCACGACTATTCCGGTGTTGTCCACCAAGCGTTAATCGACTTGGTACCATATTTACGAGATAACCAAAGTGCACTCTACACATCTGCTATCAGTCAGCGACCAGACAGCGTCATTGCCACATTACTGCGGGCTCTCCTAGACTGCGCTTGCAAATACAATGGAGTCCACATCGACATTACTCGGCTCTGCGTTGAGTGTGTTGGGCTTATTGGCTGCTTGGACTCGAACCGAACCGAAGCGGTACGGGAGCAGCGGTCTATTGTGGTCTTGGATAATTTTGAAGTTATGGAGGAAGCCACCGACTTCGTCCTATTTTTGCTCCAAGAGGTGTTGGTACCGTCGTTTTTATCTACTACCGATATGAAGCTTCAGGGATTCCTATCTTATGCTATGCAGGAACTACTTGAAAGATGCGAAATTAGGTCGGCTTGTGCCAACCATGCCGCTGGAATATCTGGCGGCAGTGAAATACATCGGAAATGGATGACCCTACCTGAATACGTGAGGGAAGTGGTTGCACCATTTCTAAACTCGAGATATATGGTGGCACCGATGAATCCTCAAGCCGTGGAATATCCGATATTTCATCCAGGAAGACTTTATGGCAACTGGTTGAGAGCGTTCGTTGTAGATCTCCTACGAAAAGGGCAGCATCCGCACGCCGATATGATCTTTGAACCTCTAACACGAATTATCCGTGTCAAGGATTTATCTACTGCAGAGTTTCTGTTTCCGTATCTTGTGCTGCATGTCCTTTTGGGACCAAGGAGTAGCCAGACAGAGAAAGATCAAATTCTCGGAGAGATTACGCAGATATTGAAATGCCAACTCTCTCCGGATGCGTCCTACCAAGAAAAAGAAGACATGAAGCGGTTTTGTCATGTAAGTGTGTTGATAACAAAGTGACGAAGAATCTTCAATCTAATGGCTATATAGCTTGTTTTCCGGTTCCTTGACTACGCTATGAGATGGATTCATGCCAAGCGGTCAGGTCGATTGACTGGGGCCGCAAAAGAAAGTGTGGCTAGAATCCAAGCCATGCTGGATAGCGTTCCCGCTGAGCTAATATCACAACGCGCAATCGACTGTAACGAGTATGCTCGAGCTCTCTTTCATCTAGAGCAACATGCACAAAAGATGGATCAGGTTAAGAGAGAACCAGGTGATCGGACGCGGCTGTTACAGCAGCTACAAGATATATATGCCAATATCGATGAACCTGATGGACTTGAGGGTATCTCGGCCCATTTACATGTCTTGGACATCAATCAACAGATCTTGAGTCATAAGAAAGCAGGGCGATGGGCTGCGGCACAAACCTGGTATGAGATGCAGCTCGCTGAAAAGCCAGATAACACAGAGGTTCAGATAGATTTACTCAACTGCTTAAAACAAGCGGGCCAGCATGGTATGTTCCAAATACATCTCTCCCTGAGAATCGCAGAAACTAACAAAAAATATAGACGTTCTGCTCAACCATATCGAGGGAATGAGGACAGACTCACTCAGCAATGACAACAGGATCATGCCCTTTGCAATTGAAGCTGCTTGGGTTACAGGTCGCTGGGAAAGCTTGGAAAAATTCATCAATAGATTTCAAGGCAACGTCTTGCAGGACTTCAACATGTCTTTAGGGGTTCTCTTTGAATCCCTGTACAAAAGCGCTCCTACGCAAACTTTTAGCGAGACCGCTAAAATGATGAAAGAGAATATCGCTCTTTCAATGACATCGTCGACAACTGCGTCACTCCAAGCGGCACATGAAATAATGTTGAAGTGCCACGTTCTTACGGATTTAGAAATCATCATTGGCGCCAAGCCAGAAAGCGATGAAGACCGTATGAAGACGATGTCGCTCCTCGAAGGCCGATGCGAAGTTATTGGGGCATATTTCAACGACAGACAATACGTCCTAGGTATACAAAGAGCAGCTATGCAACTCTTGCGGTAAGCTTTGTCCGCTCAAGCCCCCGTTTAAGGGACTGTCACTGATATGATGAGTTTTTAGACCAACATTCTCCGATCTCGACATCTCTGGGTTGTGGTTAGCCAGCTCTCGACTTGCTAGGAAGACAAATTCCTTACATCAGTCGTTCAATGCAGTGCTACATGCGTCTCAACTCGGAGATGATGCAGCTACCATTGAGAACGCAAAGCTGCTATTCAGAGATTCTCACCACCGTAAAGCTATCCAGCTCCTCCAAGGAGCCATTGAGCAGAATAAATTCATGACAAAGTCGGGGTCATCGCTCAGTATGGGCTCTGCAAGCAATTTGAACTCCCATCAAAAGCTGCTCACAGCTCGCGCACAGCTTTTGCTTGCGAAATGGCTTGATGCAGCGGGCCAGACACACGCAGGCGCCCTTCGTGAAAAATACCAACAGCCACCTAAGACGTATTCCACATGGGAGAAAGGCCACTATTACCTTGGTCGCCATTACAAGAAGATACTGGAATCCGAACAGCCGTTGAGGGTGGATGATCAAAGTGACAACTATGTCACTGGCGAGATCGCTAGGCTTGTCATTGAGAACTACGTGCGGTCTTTGAACTCGGGAACCAAGTACCTGTACCAAACTCTGCCAAGAATACTCACTCTTTGGCTTGATCTCGGGGCGCAAGTTGATAAGGCCCCGGAAGGCAAGGTTTCGCTATCTCGCGAGCTTCACAAGCGGAGACTCGAACAATTAGGTCTGCTGCATTCGTTTTTGGACAAGTATATACATCGCTTGCCGGCCTATATTTTCTACACGGCCCTGTCGCAGATTGTCGCTCGTATCGCGCACCCCAACGCCAATGTCTTTGAGCGCTTGACGCACATCATTGTGAAAGTTGTGGAGGCCCATCCTCGCCAGGCGTTGTGGAGCTTAATTGGTATTATGACAACCCGGCAGGCATCTGAAAGGAAGACTCGCGGTTCTCAGGTCCTCCAGACTCTCAAGAGTGTGTCCAAGAAGGTGGATGGGGCATCGTACGATCTAAAGTATCTAATCAGAGCGGGAGAGAAGCTGGCAGAACAATTACTGCTGGCGTGTCACAACGGCGACTTCCACGGCAACAAAACTGTGCATGCCAGCCTTTTCAAGGATTTGCGATTCAATCAAAAATGCACGCCGTGCCCCTTGGTTGTTCCGGTGGAGAGTTCGCTCACAGCCACTCTACCGGCCGTCTCAGAGCACGTAAAGAAGCACAAGGCGTTTTCGCGTGACGTGGTGTCGATAGATTGCTTCTTGGACGATGTGTTGGTGTTGAGCTCCCTAGCTAAACCAAGACGCCTGACAGCGCGAGGAAGTGACGGGAAGTCGTACATGCTGCTCATCAAACCGAAGGATGACCTCCGTACAGACCAGCGGCTGATGGAGTTCAATGGTATCATCAACCGGTCATTAAAACGAGATGCGGAATCCAGCAAGAGGCAACTATATATACGAACCTATGCCGTGGTGCCACTGAACGAAGAGTGCGGCATCATCGAATGGGTGCCGGGAATCAAGACGATGCGAGATATCTTGCTGAATCTCTACGCCGCGCAAAAGATTCACCCAGATTATAACGCTCTTAAACAGCTCATGGAAGAGGCGTCGACGTCAGACAGCAAGGTTGGCATCTTTACAGATGACGTGCTGGGGCGCTTCCCTCCCGTTCTTCCCTTGTGGTTTATCCAACAATTCCCCAACCCCTCGGCCTGGTTTAGCGCGCGCTTGAGATACACTCGATCATGCGCGGTCATGTCTATGGTTGGCACGATCCTCGGACTGGGCGATCGACATGGAGAGAACGTCAACTTGGAGGAGGGAAGCGGAGGAGTTTTCCACGTGGACTTTAACTGTCTGTTTGACAAGGGCCTCACTTTTGCCAAGCCAGAGCGTGTGCCTTTCCGGCTCACGCACAACATGGTAGCCGCGATGGGTATTTACGGCTATGAAGGGCCGTTTCGAAAGTCATCTGAGCTGACGTTGAGTATTCTCCGACAGCAGGAGGAGACGCTTGTGACTATCTTGGAAGCGTTTATTTACGATCCCACGCTGGACCTGCAGAAGGATAAACGAGCCGCAAAACGGAGTGAATTTGGGGTCAAGCTACAGCCGCAAAGCGTGGTTGACAGCATCAAGAGGAAGGTCAAGGGATTGCTACCGAATGAGAGCATTCCCCTTAGTGTAGAGGGACAAGTGGAGGAGCTGATTAAACAGGCGGTCAACCCAAGGAACTTGGCGTCCATGTACATTGGATGGTGCCCATTCCTGTAGAGATGATGGGTAGCGTAATGGCTGGTATGATTTTACGGTGATTTGGGTTTTGTTTTTCTTTGCCACATTTTGAAAAGCTATTTGATATCGTTGCGTTGATAAAGGGGGGGAGAGGGGAAAGCAGAGCAAATGACAAGCATTTATTGGCATAGATGATACAGCTGCCTGTGTTCTTTATTATTATTATTATTTCTTTCATCTAGGTTCCCAAGGTGTCATGTTTCTGCTCATTCTCTCACAGCGCATGGCTGTATGTCACCGGGCGAATGCCTGACCGCGCTGTGATGGGATCAATCGAATCACCTCCAAGGCTATCAATCACTCTGCTCGCCCCCTGTCGGCCAATCAGTCGCAGAACCGCAATCGGCCTGCGTGTGAATTAAATACTAATGTATTTTAATATTCTCTACATTATTATTTTTATTTTATTTTATTTCAATTAATTATTTATAAGCAGAAGTTTCCCCCTCCGATTCTACTGCCGCTGCTGCCACCTGCCACGACGTTGCATCACTGTCTCATTGGTGGTGTGAAGCGCTGGAAGTGAGCTGAGGTCAAGGTGCCTAGGCCAGGTCACTTTTTTTTCTCTCTCTTTTCTCTGACGCGACGCGCCACCCCCAATTTCAGATAAACCAAGCTCCTCCCCCAGCTTTTCCTTCCCACTCAACTTTAGAAAATCCTCATCCTCTTTTTTCACTTTATTTTCACATTCATCCGCCTTTTGCGTGCGGATTTCTCGACTCTTTGATCTACCTCTGCTTCTTTAATTTTCTGCATTTCTGTGCGCCTGTTGCAGAGTCTCAAAGGGAGAAGCTGCAGCCTGGGCCACCGACTTTTTCCCACTTGCATCGTCGTATTTTAGTCTGTCTGGTCTGAAGCCTACGAAACATCCACCGCAACAGATATTGCCTCTTCTCTATTCTATCCGTCTTCACAGCACCCGCAGCTTTTATTTCGTCTTGCTGCAAACATGCCTCAGTATCGTATTGGTAAGTCCCGCTGTTGCCTTTGGGGCATAAATATTTCCCCCTCCTTTCCCCTTATTTCTCCCTTGCGCTTTAAACATCCCTTTGGGCGTCGCAGACTTGAGATATACCAAAGTGAAACTAAACTCGTTATGCTACTATGTAGAGGTCTCGCCCAACAACCGTGCCGGCTGTCAAGACACCGTGTGCAAGAAAGAAGGCGTCAAGATTCTCAAGAACGAAATCAGATTCGGCACTTGGGTTGAGATCCAAGATCGCGGTTCTTGGCGATGGAAGCACTGGTGAGCTACTCCATCTTCCCTTAATGCGGAGCTTGCATTCTTCTTATGGAGCTCTAGCCTGACAATCATCTTTTAGGGGCTGCGTATCTGGATCGCAGATTGCCGGTCTTCAGGAATCTTGTGGTGGTGATCCTGACAACTATGACTATGATGCCATTGACGGTTTTGACGAGTTAAAGTAAGTCAAGGCCTCCTGAACATATCGACAGAGTTTGCTGACATGCCAAATAGTGACGATGCGATCAAGGAGAAGGTTCGGCGCTGCGTGAAGCAAGGCCACATTGATCCCGAAGATTTCAAGGGGGTGAGTTTCATTTTTGGCTTTGCATGTTACAAATTGGGTTTCATAGTCTGACAAACTGTAGGATCCTGAGAAGAACAAGCTGGGCGAAAAGGGCATTTATCTTTCTGCCAAAGAGAAGGCTGCCAAAGAGAAGGCTGCCAAGGAGAAGGCTGCTGCAGAGGTATGTCAGGTTTCCACAATATATTCCCGTATTGTTACTGACCTTGAATAGGATGCGGGTGAGGATGAGGCTGCTCCAGCCAAGGCCAACAAGCGTGGCCGCAAGAAGGCTGCCGACGTCGCAGATGAGCCTAAGCCTAAGAAAGCTAGGAAGTCCAAGAACGTCGAGGCAGATGAGGAACAACCCAAGACCAAAGCCAAGGCCAAGGCTAACGCCAAGGATGCAGGCGAGGAAGATGCTGAAGGGTCTGCTTCTGCCAAGAGAGGACGACCGAGAAAATCGATCGATCAGCAGGACGAAAAGGTAGAGGGCGGAGAGGCTGAGGAGCCAGCTCCGGCCAAGAAGGCCACTAAGAAGGCCACGAAGGCTACGAAAGCAAAGGTTGTCCAGACTCAACAACCTGAAGAGGAGACTGTGGAAGAGGATGAAGTCGAAGAGAAGGAGAAGGCTGCTCCTGCCAAGACTGCGCGCGGACGAAAGGCATCGGCCCCCAAGGCTAAGGCGGCGATTGCAGATGAGGATGAAGACGCCGGAAAGGCCGCTCCAGCCTCTGCCCCCAGGGGCCGCAAGCGCGCTGCCGTGACCAAGACTGACGAAGTTGAGGAGGACGAGCCCAAGCCTCTTGTCAAGAGAGGACGCAAGTCAAGCACTCCCGCCAAGAAGGCTGCCCCCGAGCCTGCGGAGGAAGTTGAGGCAGAAGAGGACACGCCCAAGGCGGCTCCCAAGGGCAGAGGAAGAGGTCGTCCTCGCAAGTCTGATGCTTCGACGGCGTAAAGGATGCCTTCGAGTCCTGTTTACGGACGTTTCACATATGAGAAGTGTGCTATATAACCAGGGGTGAATGCTTGCATCGATTGATAAGTGGCACAGGGTAATGTGCAGTAATATGTCAGAGGCCATGCCCGGAGGTTATTTCTTCTTTTTCATGGCCATTGTCATTGAGTCTCGAGAAGACGGATAGTTAGTTTAATGAGCCGTGGATGGCAGGTGGTCTTTGGTAGCAGATGTTGCTTTACTTTTAGCCCTCGAAGCCACCTAGAGAATGAATGAAAAGTCACTGTTGAAGCATGTTGATGATGTCCCTGGACCTCACCAATCCGACTGCAGTTATTGGCGTCAAAACAAACATCACTTGAAAAGGATGGAATGTCTATGTCTGGTAATAGATGCGACGACGGCGGCCAACAGCCACTCTGTTTGTTCTAGCAGTGGTTCTAGCAGCTGTTCTAGCGCCTACTACAGACACAGCTTAGCGCGTGCAGACGTCATCAGGCACACCCCGCAATGCGAAATGAAGCAGCTGCTATTTCCTATCTCTCCACTTACATATGGATTTTGGTCTTGGACATTCTGCTTATTTGCATCGCGTCGCATAGACTCTCTCTGCCTCCCCTACTATATCGCACACAGATACACTCAGAAGACACAAACAAACCCTCCACTATGTCGACAAACACGAATCCCGATCCCGCCGCCACAGCTCCGGCCTTCATCCCCCTCGAGGCCAACCCGCAGCTCTTGACGACGCTCATCCACAAGCTCGGCGTGTCTTCCGCGCTGCAAATGCATGACGTCTATTCCCTTACCGAGCCCGAGCTACTTGCCTTCATCCCACGGCCAGCACTGGCGCTTCTACTAGTGTTTCCCATATCGGCGGTGTATGAGAGCCACCGAATGGCAGAGGACAGCTTGGTGGCCGAGTATAGCGGCACTGGGAACATGGAGCCCGTGCTGTGGTGGAGGCAGACGATTCGGAATGCGTGCGGGCTGATGGGTCTGTTGCATGCCGTGACGAATGGACCGGCGAGAGAGTTTATCAGTATGTGCAGTGTTGATCTTGGGAGTCCTGGACAAGTCCATTAGCTAATGACGTTGACGACTTACAGCCGAGGGATCGACACTCGACGATCTCATCAAGAAGAGCACCCCACTCCGTCCTGCCGAACGCTCCAAACTGCTCGAACAGACACCAGCACTGGCTGATGCACACAAGGCGGCTGCCACCGAGGGAGATACCCCAGCCCCGGACGCTCAAGACGACGTCGACCTGCACTATGTTTGCTTTGTAAAGGGCAACGATGGCGGCCTGTGGGAGCTTGATGGACGAAGAAAAGGTCCCATTCGGAGAGGAGACTTGGACAAGAATGAGGACGTGTTGAGTGAAAAGGGCTTGAGCTTGGGAGCGCTGAAGTTTTTGGAGAGAGAGGGTGGAGATTTGAGGTTTAGTGCCGTGGCGTTGGCTGGGACGCTGGATTGATTGGGCTGTATTGCTGAATGAAGAAAGAGGGGGCGCAAGACGAGGGGCATTGAGTCTCGGAGTTTCTTGAGTAGTATGTTTTTGGAAAGGCTCTATTGGGAAAGCTTCTCGTGGGATGAGTATCCAGGCATAGCACTAGAGATGGGGCTATGAAAGGATAAGACTTCATTTGTGAATGCAGCAAGCGAAGATTTGGGCTATTCGTAATATGAGATATCTGCCCACTCATCTAATACCGAGTCAATTGCGTCAACCGTGATATTAGAATTCTCTTTAAAAGGTTTATATCGATGTCATTCTAATGATTTGTATGTCGAAGTTTCTGCCCCTCTCTGTCTCCGCCTCTGTCGCTTGCTGTTACTACACCTGCACCAAATACCTGTTGTTGTTCCTGCTCCTTCAACGAGACGAGTTTTCTCAATGGTTAATTGATATCTCAAGTGTCAATGTGGATATGTGGATAGGTAATGAGCCACACGAGCTGGATTGCGAATGGAGTTGGTGTTGGTGTTGCTCCATCAGGGAGGGACTGAGGCCCAGTTATCTTCGGAGATGCATGTAAGCTCGTTTCTCACTATCTTGAACGTTTTTGAGCTCTTTGTTTATATGCATGTTTGACATGTTATTGGATATTTGGAGAATACGGGTGGCCATGTTGGGTGATGTAGTGTCGATACTGTCTGCTTTGAAGTTGGACATGATTATTTGTGTTATATCAGTGTTGGGCGCCATGGATGTCCAATTACTGGTATGATATAGTGAGTCGCAACTAGAATAGTAAATATTGATAACGCATTTATTGTTGTTGAGTGTTTGGGTTGGTTGAAATACAGTATGGTCCATTCTAGCTAAAGACAAATTGATATATGACAAGCTGCCAAGCTTACCACATCAGATACAGACACCAGGAGACATGAGAATATGCAGGTATTTCTATAGCACCAATGAACTAATCATCTTTTATATACTCAATGCAACCCTGTATTAGGGTGAAAAAGTATCTCACTCCAAATTCACAGCCCCAAAATGAAAGATTCATTAAATCCTCGTTCAATATACTGCAATAATACTCGTCCGGCTTTGTAATAAGCTGAACGGAATTTAAAGTATTGCCGTTTTGGGATGGCGCTGTCGGCCGGGAGATCTCTAGCTGGCCAAATCGCCAAGACAAACAGGGCACATGGATTACTGGATTTAATATGGATATGCCTTTTTTTTTTTTTTTACGTTCTTCTAGAACTGACGTCACTTTTTTGCCAAGACTTTAGGGGCTCCTCGATGATATCAACGGAATTTTTTTGGCGATTCAGTTTTACTGATGCCCCTTTTTCTTTCCCACGTTTTGCGAAGAAAAAATGAAACTCTCTTTTTTTATATAAAACTTACGTGTAGTTTGGGGACAAGTGATGTAATCGAGGAATCAGCAATGATGAGTGGCAGAAATGCATCTCCACAGAAAATCGCATCATGGTTACGACAAAGACTTACATGACGTCAAACAAACGAGCAAAGCACGGAAACTCAAAATACTATAGTCCAGAGGAACCAGAAGCATAAGTATAATAAATAGAGTTCTATCCCATTCCAATTTGTTATCAAAGTCTATTCTCCAAAAACGCCTCTGTTTCAGCTCAACCAAAAAAAAAACTCTCTGCAAAAGAAAACTGAAAAACAGAAATCCGCACAATATGCCTCGCCAGGGAGACGGTTCAAGCGATAATGGGCCCTTTGAGGAGGCTACTCACAATGTCGCCCACGGTGTCACTTCTGATGATGTGAGTTCTATAACCGAGTGGAAGCACAAGACCAAGAATCGATGCTAACAGCAGTTGGTGTAGAAGTCAAAGGACAAGACTGCCCCCTTGCCGGAGGGTATCCACGAGAAAGGCGCTGGCATTAAGGGTATGAATGCGAGCGGCGGACAGAGTCAAGGCATTAAAGAAGGCCCTGATGTTGGCCAGGGCGGACGTGGAAGCTCCAACTGATTGTATGAATACATAATAAATTGTTATATATATACCTATCCTGAAATGAGAGGATGAACAAATAAAAAAAAAAAAAAAAGACATATCCATAACGCGTTTCGCAAACAATATGAACCAACCCCGTCTATATGATATACATTATATATTATTTTACTTTAGCCAATGGCTATTTCTGCTTGCCCTGCTCCAACTCATCACGGCGTCAAGCTCTTGTTCCACCGCTGGAAAAACTGATCCTTCCACGTCGGCATGCATCGCACCGTATCTGGAGGGCCCGCCCACTCAATCCTATCGCTTCGCGCGTCGTGGTTGACAACATTATCGGAGACAAAGCCCTTGAGCTGCTTGAGCCTCCTGCCGTTCTTGACGCTGTACTCGAGATTGACGCTCGGTACGACAGCAATCTTGCCGTAGCCTCGCCACCACATGTCCTTGCAAAACAAGACGGGTTCGCCCTGGAAACACTCTCCCGTCTTGTCGTAGTTGGTACGGAAGCGAAGGCCCTCAGCAATCGGCTGGGCGCTAAAGACGGTGGCGCCGTTCCAGCATGCAAACGCCTGGAAAGGGCGCAGCTGCTCAAAGCGGGACTTCGTATCCGGCGCATTCCAAAAGAGGTTGTGCGCTTCGCCCCAATTGCCGCTGGCCGGGATGTGGAAAAACGAGTCTCCATTCATTCCTCGTGCGATCCAGACGTCGTAAAAAGTGGGATCGTCGCCGGAATACGTCCAGTCCATGGCGCAAGTCATGTCGGCATTGAGGTCCTTTTTCTGCAGGAGCAGCTCGAGAATGTCTTCGGGACACGCCGCCACATCGTTGAGAAAGATGACGCTGGCGTCGTCGGAAATGGGCAGAGTCTTTTGATAGATGGGCTCCAGGGGCATGTTGCGCAGCGCTGCAAGCTTGGCTATGCGGTTGCCTTCGGCCGAGTGGACGGTGGAAGAGTTGTAGATGTAAGTGACGCCCAGCGCCTCAAGGCTGGGTCGTAGAGCGGCGAGCACATCCCCGGTGCCGTCAGGGGAGTCTCCCTCTACAATAGAGAGAGCACATGAGTGAGGGCCGAGGAACTGAATGACTTCAATGATGCTGCCAATGAGACGAGGGAGTAGGCCGATGCAGTTCCTCAAGTCGAGAGCGAAGAAGTAACGGATCTCGACGTCGGCGGGCCTTGTGTGTGAGAGTGAACGAGGAAGAGAAGCAGGAGTACTGGATGGTGATGATGGAGAAGATTCTAGGAGAGATGAAGATGCTGATGCCGATGACGCTAGAGCTGAAGATGAGGGCGAGGATGTAGACAGAGATGAAGGAGGCAATGAAAACAGAGGTAGAGACGACGATGCTGATGGAGATGTTGATGAGGATGGAACTGGGGGAGGAGAAGAGGGTGCCGGTCGTTTCGGCGATGGTTTCCCAGACTTGAGCGACTTGTATCGTGTGACGTTGATAGCCGGGCACTCGAGATTCTCCAGTGTTGGGAATTGCTTCACATTGTAGATGGTCTCGAGGTACTCGCTAATGGTTTCCGCCGGTAGGATAGAGCCTGGACAGTCAGAGCCTCGTTCACCACTTGTACTGTGTCTTTGCCAAGCCGCTTACCATTGTGTATAACCTCCTTGGACAGCTGCTTGTATGGGATCGGGCGCCTTTGAGAGCTTGGGAACCACGACAGGCGATCGCGTCCAATGTATAAGCTTCCCAATAATAGCAGGACAATGAATGGAGCCGCCACCAACGGTAACCTTCTGCTGCGCATTTTAAAGACTGGGCACCCTCGAGAAGAGAACAGGGAAAGAATTTGGGAGCCCGGAAACACTTCTCAGGAACTGAGAGCTTTTGACAGGCGTGGAGAAAGCTATTGGTTAAAAGTCAAAAGCAGGACTGGGCGGAGGTCCTCGATAGGGGACGCACCAAGGCTCCAACGCAGTGCAGCCACAGGAACAAAGAAAGGTTATGAAGAAGAGGCTGTGTCGTGTCTGTTGCTTAACTGAGTGATCCTTCGGCTATCGGACCACAGGCGGTGGGTCGTCGTGATGGTGATAATATTCGCAGTCCTCAAGTGCTTACTCTTACTCGTACCTGTTGGTAACTGTGCCTGCAAAGCAAATGCTCGTTTCGTTCCTAGCAAGCAAAGTGGACTCGATGGCGGATACGCCGGGCTGATACGAGATATATGTCAAGCATGGCACGGCTTTAATGCACTCTTCTGGGAGCTCGACTTGAAGGCGGCCGGTCCAATGGCGGAATGGCCATGCAGTGGACGGACAGCTGCGAGACAAAGACACGGTGTGACAGCATCTCGCTTCCCACACTCTGAGATAGGAGGAGAGCGAGCCCATCCCATTTTCCTTTTCCCTCTCTCTCGTCAGCCTGCTTGCCTCCCCAAACCCCCCCATCTTCTCCCCTCTCTCTTTGACTCCCCGACTCTCTTTGTTTCTCGCTCGACCAATCTCGTAATGTTGCAATGGGCTTCATCTCGTAATTGCTTCGTACCTGCACGGCCGCTAGCCCCCCAACCCTGGACATAACCAACCATCTGGAACGGTCTCTCCAGCGGCAGGATACGAGAACAAGCTCAGAGCTATTGGCCAGCCTTGATGTGGCAGGGCTCTTTGGCACCGGCTAAGCCCCCACTGGTCAAGCCGAGCGGTCTCCAGAGCACGGGCTCCAAGACGCCATCTCTCTCAGCCCTCTCATACCCATGTGAAAAAGAAAAAAAAAAAAAAAAGCTTAGCTGCGTGTCAGGCAAGCAGGGTCTTATCGTTTCGGTTTAGCCACGGTCGGACAATATCGTGACAGCGCGCAAGCACGACTAGATGGGGGCGGGCCATTGTCAGGTCGAGTCGAGTCGAGTGCCGTGTTTCTTGTCGCGAAACACGTTGTTTCCCATGGCGTGGACAGCGAATCCCATCACCAGTTGGACATGCAGCAGCGTGGCCTGCGATTGGGCATCGTGGCGTTTCTGTTTATGCCGCACAGGAGAGCGGTGCTGTTTGCGAATGTCTGAGATGCACCCTGGTCGTTGTTATCGGCAGCCTAGCCTAGGATTGGAGGGACAAATGCTTGTTTTCTTAGTAGCGTTACTTTAATACGAGGGGGTGTGCATGGTGTGGACGCAACCTTATGTACCTACTTCCGTCTTGAGCTTAAAGACATTTCGAGACAATCAAGATAGAGTCTATATACCTTAATCCCAGCGCCGTTCTCCAACATTCAATCAGACGATTGATTGGTCTGGTGGTCTAGTGGTATGATTCTCGCTTAGGGAAAACCCTACAGCTGATATGCGAGAGGTCCCGGGTTCAATCCCCGGCCAGACCCTTCTTTTTTCCTTCTCTTTTTTTGCTTCTTTCGGCGATTACCGCATGCGGCTCTCTGATCTATAAAAAGCATCGATGACCTATCCATCTCCATCTGCCCGTACCCCGTATACTTGTAATTACGAGTAAGAAAGCAGGCCGAAATTCCTTTTAGGAGTCGGCGATTTTGCCCTTGTCAATCGGACGAACCAATCGTTATGCTTACTCTCACGAGTTAGCAGCAATTGTATCATCAATGCAGTTGATTAATCATACACACACGAGCCATGGATAATCTATCCTTTTGCTCGATGCTACCCAACTGATACGAACAAATGACATCCTATTTAATTGCAATAGGCCTCTCACAGTCTCCGTCGCCGATTGCTGGAAATGCTTCTGCCCCCGGACATGAAGTATCCCCGCGCTCCTCGCGGATACACCCGAGTCTGTCTCGCTGCAGCCTCTTCACCCGCAATCGCGCGAGACGAGGCATCAGACGCCCTTCCAAGTGCTGTCGCCGAAGACGAGCCCTGGCCAGTCCTCGCAGCAGCAACAGCAGCAGGGGCAGGGGCAGGGGCAGCGTTACTATTGCTCAGGGTCACGTGTGACGGACGCTGGATATCTTCCAATACGCGCATCCACGTTCGAAAATGGCGGAGGTTTTCTTCGTCCTGGTGAAGGCGTCTGGTGGAGGCCAGGATGTGCTCCGTGAGGCTGCGGTAAGCCGGCGTCGCTGTAATATTGTAGCTGTTTGTGTTTGTGTTTATATTTGTGCTAGAGGTGTCGTTTCGAGACGTATGGCCGCTGTTCTGCTGGCCTCTCTGACGCGTTTCGCCATGTCTGTGCTGTCCATGGCGGTGATTGTGATGATGGCGATCCTGCTATTACAACCCGTTAATATCATCAATCCAACCAAAAAAAAACGCTACTCAACAACCCCAAAAACAGACGGAAAAGCAAAAACTCACATCCCTCGCCTCAGCCCTACGCCCCGAATCCGCATACCCCCTCTCTCCCTCGCTCCATCCCGCCCTACCCCTGCGCAACGCATCTCGCCGCGCCCAACAAGCCGAGCAGTCGCTCAGATACGCATCGTCGTCTTCGCCACTGCTCTCGGAGCTGCAGCAGCTCGACCCACAGCTCTCGCAGCAGCACGTCGAGCCCGAGTACTCGGAGCCAGACTCCCGCTCTTCTGACACGAGCACGTATCCCGTCCTCATCGAGTCGCGGTGAGGGCGCTGGAACCCGGCGTCGTAGTCGTAGTTTCTGCCGCTGCTCGTCATTTTTATTAGACGACGGTTCTATTTTCTAAAGATGGAAGGAAAGTTGAATAAACTTTGGAATAATAACAAGAAAAAGAGGAGAGTATCGAGATGTCAAGATATAAGAGCGATAAAGGGCATAGCCGGCTAGAATTCTCTCTCTGAGAATCTCAAGATCCCATCACGGAGTTTTGGGCCTCTAAATACTCATCAGCAACAGCACTAAGTAAGCAATATTCGATTACGACGCCGCAAATGTTTGCGTTGCACCTTTCCTCAATCCTCGGCAACATACACAACAACACGTAATACCTGTAATACACACACACAGTTCAAGTCTGGCGTTCGTCTACAGTCACACTCCCAGGAAACGTAGAGCCAATTCTCTGCATATGTTCATCCGTCTCTCATTAACTAATATCGTACCAATCATATAATATAACATAATCTTCCCCCTTAATCATGAACAATGGCAATCCCATATTATACAGAGCATGCCTGCAGCTCGTGATGACTACTACCGTCCTCCTCCCCCCTATCCTGATACCTAATTACACAAGACTGTCGCACAAACCTGCCACAAAACGCCATGCTTCATCAATGCTTCCGCTTTACCCCTTCATCCGGCAGACGTCATTCGCGCTCCAGCAGCTTTACAGAAAGCCTTTGGTCATACTAGGAGCTCTGTTCAGGCTGCTGTTTCTCTGTGGAACGTCAATCAGCGTCGAATCCTCCCCTTCACTGCCGGTTCTCCAGGTGACGCCTCGGCCTCGCACACTTCCCGCCGGCGCCGAACCCTTCTCCATACGAAGACCCTTCCACCCCTCCAGCTCTCGCTCCAGGCGGTGACACTTCTCCTTCTCCTCACGCAATTCACGCTCGGCACGGCGAGCCGAGAGCTGATTCGTCGACTCCGATGCCTGCAGCTCATCGATTGTCTTGAGAAGCTTGTCGACCCTGTCGCGCATGCGGTTCACGTCATCCGTAAGCTGAGTGTTTTGCTTATCTTTGCGCTCAATCTGCGTCTGTAGATCCTTCACAGTGCGATCCACGTTTCGAACAGAGCGTTGAGACTTGTTCTTTTCTTCTTCATGGCTATCCAATTGTGATTCAAGCTAGGAAGTAGTTAGTACATGGATACCGTGAACCTTTTTGGCCAAGGGGGAGAGTGGCAGCTTACCTCTTGGATGCGCTTATGCAAAAACTTGATGTCCTGGCTGCCGCTCGAATAACCCTTGGTTTCAAGGTCTATTAACTTGAGTTGCGCCTCGCTCAAGCTCTTCTCTAGCGACGTCTTCTGCTTCTGCAAGCCCGCAGCGTTCTCGCGCTCGGCCGCCACATCCTTCTGAACCTCAATAACCAGTGCCTCAGCGCGCCGCATCTTCTCCACCGCGGCGAGTGCAATGTCCTCTTGTCGGGCAAGGCTAGACTTCAAGTTTAGGATTTCCTTATCCATACCCGCAGCGTCACGGAGCGATGGGCTTCCACCCTTGACAAGCTCATCGAAGCCTGCCTTGGCTTCTTCGAGACGAGCTTCGACGCCCTTCTTCTCCCGGATAAGAAGGTCGCGCTCGGTGGTGATCTCGTCCACACTCGATCGAAGAGTTCGCACCTGCGACAGCAGAGAAACAATCTTGCTTTGGGCCTCGTTATGCGCACTGACTGCTTCATCACGCGATGAGGCCACATCGACCAATGTGGACTCTAATCGAGCCTTCTCCTTGGACCACGTTGAGCTGTTTAGCACCTCATCATCCCACTTCGACCTAAGCTCATCAAGTTCTTCCCGAAGCCTAGTAATCTCTGCTTGCTTGAACAGCTTCTCTTCTCGAGCAAGATCAAGCTCCTTGGCCAGGGTAGCAAACTCAGTCTGATACTTCTTGCGAGTTTGCTCCATGCTCGACTCCTTGTCTTCAATCTCCATGGCCCTTTGGTTACGGTAATCTTCCAACTCGTGTTGAAGACGCTTCTTGGCTTGCGTTGCTGCGTCCAAGTCGGTTGAAAGATCCTCTACCCTACCCTCAAGGCGATGGTTTTGGCCCTGCAGATCCTCAATCAGAGCATCCATCCTTTGCCTCTCAGACATAACCTCGGCGTACGTGTCTTCTGCCTCCTTGGCCTGTGACTTGGCAAACTGTTCTGCTCTCGTCGCTTTCAAAACAGCAATTTCGGCCTGCTCAAGCTTGCTAAAGTACTCATCCGCTCGGCCTCTGTACATCTCTAGGCTTGAGGATACGTCAGCAAGCCTGGATGTCTCCGCATCAAGTCTGATCTGGAGGTCGGTGAATTCTTGCAATAGCTGGCTTCGGCTTTGAGCCTCCTGCTCGCGTGCGGCAGTCATCTCCTGAAGGTCAGACTTTGAATCTCGGAGCTCAACTTCCAGCTTCGCTCGATCATGGCGCATCTTGTCGAAATGAGCCTTCACTTCGGTTAATTCTGCAACAGCATCTTTGTGGCTATGCAACAGAGATTTGCGTGCTTCCTCCTGGCTATTGAAGATATCCAAAAGCTCCTCATGAGAGCGTGTTTGAATATCCCGCAGGGAGAGCTCACCAGCTCGCATGCTCTTCTCTAAAGCAGCCACTTTCTTGGCCGAATCGTCCAACATGTCGTGAAGGCGGTTGTTGGCCTTTTCAAGCTTTTGCACTCGCAGGATTGAGGCCTCGTCCTCGTATGCATCATCAGACCCTGAGTTTCGGTCGAGTTGGCTCTGAAGCTGTCGGTTCTGCATCTGAGCTAGTTGTAGCTGACTCTGGAGATCTTCGATTTCTGCTTTCAATTCTAAGCCATTCCTGATATCCGATGCACCAAAGCCTCTGTCAGACTGTGACAGATCTCGGGAATTGGCATCATGGAAGCGCCGGCCAGGGCCCACGCCATTTGAATTAGAATGCAGGCCTGCCTTGCCAGATTTCTTCATCCCAGGAGAGTCTTGGAATGGTGCCTCGTTCGGATGCAACTCTCCAAGCCCTGGTCGACTAGGGCTCTCGTTTCTCAATGCCCTCATCTCGTTCAACTGGCTTTCCGCATTCGTCCTGGCTACGGTTTGAACTCGCAGTTTCTGCTGTAGCTCTTCAACCATGCGCACAAGGTCAAAGTTCTTGAGCAAAGCCTTCTCGTTACTGGAATTTGACTGGGGGACTTGAACCTCGGGGTCAACCATTTTGAGGGCTTTGAGCATCTGAGCCCTCATGTCTTCCAGCTCTTTGTCTCGTGAGTCTATGGACGCTTGCAGTGTGCGTACCGTGGATTGTGTTTGGTTCCGTAGCTGCCGCTCCGAATCAATCAGTCGGTTTGCTTCTGCCAGTTGAACGGTAAAGTTGGAAGAAGCCTTCTCCGCATTCCTACTAACTTTCGCCTCCCTCGCAACCTCGTGATTTAAATCTTCTAGGTTGAGGTGAAGCTTCTCTACCTTCTTCTCCAAAGTCGCAATGTTAAGTTGAGCATCGCCTAGTTGCTTGTTCAGCTTTGCATTATGTTCTTCGAGCTTCGCCTTTTCTCCGCGAAGAGATAGAAGCTGGCTCCGAGAGGCTTCTGTTGCACGAGAGCTGGTTCTGGCGATTTCGAGACCCTTCTGTTGCAACTTGTTGAGCAGTGTTTTGTTGTCATTTTCTGACGCCGCGAGTCGGCTCTTTATTGTGTTGAGCTCACGTTCCATTCTCTCCTTGGCCTGATCATTCTTCAATCCAAATTCTCCCGATGTGAGGATGAGCTTGTTGAGCTCCTCAACTTGGCGATTCAGCTTGTTGCATTCCTCTTCAAACCATTGGAGCCGCTCCTGGGCAGCTTCGAGATCCTTCCGAAGGCTGGTTTCTCTTTCGCGTGCCGCCTTCGAAGCTTGGCGTTCACCAGCCATTTCAGCCTGTAGCCGAGCCTCTTCCGCTTCTGTTTTGGCTACACGAAGCTTTCGAATCTCGTCTCTGGCATCGTCCCGCTCTTTTTCGACCAAGGTTCGCGCTTCCATGGTTCGCCTCAAGGTATCCTGCTGGACATACATTTCCTTCTCGATGATTATCTTTGCGTCATTCAGACGATCAAACTCGTCCTTGAGTGCCTGGTACTTGTGCTCCCCAAGCAGCAAGACGTCATCTCGGGACTGTCGCTCTCTGCTGAGTTCCATTTGCGTTGTGTAGAGCTCGTCCTGAAGGTCTTTGATTTGAGATTCGAGAACTTTGCGGTTCTTCTCAGCCTGCGCATCCTCGGATAGCCTAGTTTCAAGCAAAACTTTGGCATCCTGAGCCTCGCGTTCTAGCTGTATTTGCTTGGATTTCAATGCCACCAATTCAGCTTGAACATCGCGGAATCTGGCAGAATTCTTCTCCATATCTTCAGTAAGAGCCCTCTTTTGCTCTTCGAGGCTTCGGCGCTCAGCTTCCGATTGCCGCTTATCATCACGCAGCAATGCCAGCTCGCTTTCCTTTGATCGGACAAGATCTTCGTAATCTGTTGATGTCTTGGAAAGCTCCGCGAGTTGCTCGTGCACTTCTTGGTTCTCTCGAGAGAGGCGAACTTCTCGAACTTTAGCGGCGTCAAGATCTTTCTGCACGGTGAATAGCTTGACTTCGAGATCTTGGTCCAGCTTGAGCAATTTGTCTTCCAAATCCTTGGCTTTTCGATCTTTAAGAGCCAATTGGCTTTGGAGCATCTTGATTTCACCTTCCATAGCGGTTTCCTTATCAGAATGCTCAGACTGTCTCCGAGATAGATCATTGATGGCCGCCTCGAGCTCCACTGCCTTGGCTGACAAGCGTGTCTTTTCCTCTTCGAGCCTAGAGATGAGGGAAGCCGCCTGTTCAAGCTGTGCACGATATTTCTCAACTTCTTGCTCTGCCCGGTTCTTTGCCTCCATCAGGTTGTCTAGCTGATCCTCTAATCTTTCTTGATCTTCCAGCGCGCCTGCCAGCTTCTCTTCCAGCTCGTCCTCACGATCTTGAAGTCGCATGAAGATCTCTTCTTTGTCCAAAGCAAGGGCGCGCTCGCTCTCCAGGGTTTTCTGGATGCGGGCAATCTCAGCTTGACAATTCCTTCTTTCGTCCTCAAGCTTCTGACGGCTTTCTAGCTCGAGTCGCATCTTTTCACTAAGGTCTTTGATCATGGCATCTCGTTTCTTCACCTCAGCCGCAGTTCTAGTGGCGCCGAGGAGAGGCCTCATCTTTACAATGAGCTGCCACCATGGATTGCCGACAAGATCGAGATATACTTGGAAGTTCCTTTGGATGATTCTAGTGGCTTCCGTGCGGAAAAGTCGCTTATGGGCTGCGCGACGGCGAATGTATCCCCTGGCCACAGATTGGAATCGGGCCATAATCTGTGTAATCAGGGCATCTCGTTGCTCCTCCAATTCAGCTAGGAGGCCGGCTCGGAAGAAAACCTTGGTGAGACCGACGCGGTACATGGTCTTGTCAAGACCGAGCCTTTCCAGCATTAGTGAGGCCACAACTTGGCCATCCGGGTGACCCTTTGGTATATCAGGACAGAGAACTTCATATCGCTGGCGGAACTCGGTAAAGGGCAATCTGTTGGGAAAGCCAGTTCGCGCAATACGAATACCTTCCAACACACCGTTACACCGAAGCTGGTCCAAGACCAGTAGTTTGTCAAACAACTTCGGTCGCTTCTTGTAGTTGGGCAATATACAACGGACGAAATGAGGATGCGTAGACTGAAGTTGAGACATCAGGTTGTGAAGCTGCTCTTTGTGTCTCTGGGCCACGGTTCGGAATAGACCCTTCTTGACACGGCTCCTCCGTCCGCCGTGATCGTCATCGGAATCAGCACAGTCCACAAAAAGATTTGCAATATGTTTATCAGTCGAAGCTGCTAATAAGCGTGTGATGTTGTTGTTTAGAGGATCTTTGTTCTTCTCGAGCCAGTCCTCAGTGGAGTACTCGACTTCGGCAGCGTAGTGCGTGAGGATGAAGCCCTGGCCTAGTCGAGAGGGACGGTATTTCGTAGACTTCTTGTCCCATAAAGAGTTCAGCTTCTCTGTGAAAGACTTATCGGTGGCTTTGGGCATGACGCAGTCTTCGTCTAGGCAAGAGAAAATTCCTATTGGATTTGGCAGTTCAATCAAGTCAATAGTTGGTTGCAAATCTCGGCCAAAATCAATGAACTGCCACTCGATTTGCTCGCGGGCATACTCCTCTTGCTCAAGAACAAACATGTGGTGGTTGAAAAATTGCTGGAGCTTTTCGTTGGAATAATTGATAAGCAGTTGCTCAAAGCTGTTCTTTTCAAAGATTTCGAAACCGGCAATATCAAGAACACCGATGAATCGAGAGTCTTCTAAGCCCATGCCAGTGCGATCGAGTTGGCGATTGATCCGAGCCACAAGGTCACTAAATCCTCGCTCGTATATACCCTTCGCGAGAGCGTCCAAGCTGAGTCGAACCTGTTCGGGAGTCTGGACTTTCTCAACCCATTCGCGTCCAGCCTTTACCTTGGGGTGTAACAAGCCCTGAAGAAACGGGTCGAGTGGCACGCCAAGGAGCTTGCAAACCTTTGCAGCTTGTAATTTGGCGTCCGCAGCCAGCCTAGCCTGGTCTGCGCTCCGGCTCTCCTTGACAACGTCAATGTTTCCCAGGTGCAGCACAGCAGCGATGGTGCGAAGAATTGAGATTTGATCTTCATCAGAGAAGCCAATAACGTCAAAAGCTTCCAGAAGCGCATTCCACTCCTCTTGGTCAGACACTCCAGCCACGCTATCATGCCCGTTGCGGGTGTACGCAAAGTCACCAATATCTAGTCCATCCAAAAGCAGATCTCTTCTAAGTTTGGAATCTGCTCCTTTCAAGATCTGATAAAAAATGTGGTAGTTTCTCTCCTGCGCATTCACCCTTACCACTCTAGACTTTTCAAGTAGGTACCAGTCGATGAACGCTCCAGTAATAGCGCCATCTCGACTGAACTCGATTCGGATAAACTTTCCAAATCGCGACGAGTTGTTGTTTCTCACCGTCTGAGCATTGCCAAACGCTTCTAGAATAGGGTTGGCACGAAGAATTTGTTCGGAGAGGTTTGTGTGCCGAGACTGATTTTTGATTGGAGACTCAGATTGCGCAACCGCTGCCAAATATTGAATAACCTTTTTGGTGTTCTCCGTCTTTCCAGCACCAGATTCACCAGTGACCAAAATACTCTGGTTATGACCTTCTTCGACCAGATTGCGGAACGCCTCATCAGCCATGGCAAAGATGTGAGGCTTTGTGTCGTCTCGACTCCGACCTTTATACATATTGATATAATCGTTGGAGTAAATCGGTAAAGGACAGTATGGATTGACGGTAACAAGAAAGAGGCCTGAATAAGTGTAGATCAGGTCTGACTGGTATCGCGTGTGCAGGTTGTGGACGACCGACGCCTCATTCAAATGGGTCAACTCGGCCATATCGTTTGCCTTGTCGAATTTGGCGGGGTTCACTTTATCAACGCTCTCGGCATCAACTTCGCGTTGCTATATACCTTTGTTAGCATCGATTGCACATGTCCATGCTAAGGAGATAACTCACAGCTCCATTGTCGGTCTGCACCAAGATTTTGTTATCCTCCAATTCCTCAATAACCCAACCTTTCACGAAAGCTTCTTGCGGGTCCTTAAGCCAGACATATCGCTTGCCAGAAAAGTCATTCTCGCCCTCAATGCTTTTGACAGCATCATGGTTCTGTCTCAAGTCTTCCTCCTCCTTGATGAAGGAGGGAGCAAAGGTGCTTGTATTCGAGCTCATCCCAGCCCTTGAGTCGGTTCGATGGTGTCTTGATACTATGCCGGCCGGAACAATCGCTGTACCGAAAGAGCTATTGGCTCGGGGCCGTGCAACCGAGGCTGTGGAGGCTGTGGAGGCCGTAGATGGCGGTGTCGACACGCTGGGGGAGGTCGATGGCGAGGCGAAGAGAACTGACTTTGGCCTAGAGGAGGGCATTGCCTGTGAGGGAGAGGCGTTTCTCGCAAACGGATTACTCCGCCGCGGCGCCGAGCCGTTGGGGGTGAATGACATTGTCGATTATCAACTAGAGTTCCCAGACCAACTCATACCGGTATGCTGTAATGCAGCAGCGTTGATGTTGGCCCCTCACGTAACCTTCGGTTGCTGGATAGGAGGCAGTCAAAGGGAAAATTAGAGAGAGAACGAAGCCTTGCTGGAGGCTAGACAAAAAAGAAGAAAATAGTACAAGAAAGATGCACGGGCACTTTGGCCAAAATTAAAGCATCAGGTATAGAAACACAATCAACAATGAGGTGCGGTGACAATTGGGGGGAGCTCCGTAAATGTATACATGCAGCTTACAGCACCCTGGTTGCTGGGGCGAGACCCCGCGAAAGTAAACAGAGGCGCCGCACGTGACTTTGGCAATCGCGATAACAGCGATTAGAGATGCACTAGTCCTAGCAAAGAATAGCATGGCTTCCACCACAGCTAGCTGATCTCTTTTGCCCAAACGAAATTGCCTTTTCATCCCACATGGCAATCATCGCGTCAATCCTCCCTCATTCGCGCTCTGCAAGGGACAGCTAGTCTGGTGTATCAGGCTTCCTCGATCCGGTTCGCTGTTGCGGAACTTCTCAGCTCCCGAGCTCTTTTTCCTTCTCCATAGTTAGGCGTGTCCGCTTCCGTCGCCGTTTCGTTTCCTGCCTAGATGAAGTGTTTGTTGCTTCGACCTCAATATCAACTTCCACAGCAACCCCAGCCAAGGCCCTCTACAGGCTATTAGCATCGCCCCCGCATGCACTCGCAACCAGTTTCAACGTTCTCTCCCTGTTAACAGCCGTGCCTTGCTGCTCGTTGAGCTTGTCCCACGGGCTGTCCCCTCAACTCAGCGATGGCTCAATCCGGTTATGGGTACGACCCGATGCATGGCTACCATCCACAGGCTCCGTATGCGCATCAGCCGTACCCCTCATATCCCGCTTCAACTCACAGTTATCCAAATGGCGCTGTGCAAACCATTGTACACAACGAACCAGCTCCCAGAGATTCGTATAATCCGCACAATGTGATTCCCGGACTAGGCCTAAATTTTTCGCAAAATACGGCACAGTGGCCGGCTCCCTGGGCAACCCAGCAGCCTTCGTTTGGGCGGGCACCTCCTGCCGCTACTGAAAAAAATGGCCCTTCGCAGCAAACTGATATGAGCGAGGAAGGCGAGGTCAGCGAAGGCGAAGTCGAGGATGTTTATGAGCCAAGAGGTGCTGAGGTTATCGCCGATTTACCATACGCACATGGAAATACAGGCTACTCCGCTGGGTTTAGCAATCCGAATGGCATACAGGTGGCTGAAGATCCATCAGCCGCCTTCTCTGCCGGTATGTTATTGCATATTACATATTAATTGTCAGTCCCCCAGATTGCTAACCGAGCATTAGGTCGGGATCGATCAGGTTCATATTCCCCATACCTATCGCCCCAAGAAATCGACCACCAAGCCATGGCTGATTCTCCTGATAGTGAGCATTGCCAAGACCAAGCATTGCAGAGTTGATGCAACGACTAATACCGAACATTAGAACCACAATCGAACCCTCCAAAATCATCACAGTCGTCCCCCAAAACAAGCGAACCGAACCATATTGTATCCAACGCATCGCCTGCCAAGAGCATTACTACTGCGCGAAAACAGGCTCAGGATGCCATCTTACGACTTTGGCCATTAAACGTACGATATCAGAATTACGTTGATGAAGGAATCGACGAGACGCTATTAGGTGGTCTCTTCGAAGAGTTAGGATTTGATAAGGCCTTACCAAGTAATATCACGGCTACCGAGTCTAGCCATGAAAAAGAGGCAACATCGGGAACAAAAGATGAGACACTGCACACCGACAGCAACCAACGACGAAATAGCACCGAAGAGAACCCTGCCAGCGCGCCGGTGAAAGACAAGTCGGAAGAGCGCAAGGATCGTATTGCGCGACTCCTAGCTGCAAAAAACTCAAAGCCAAGCACCTCAGCGGCAGTGGCTTCATTCCCCACTCGTGCACCTGGCTCCGTATCAACTCCCTCTTCTCACACACCAGTTCCAAGACAGCAAGGTTCAGCAAAGACGCAATCTGAGAAATCAAAGCTTTTGTATCAGAAGATGGAGGCTTTGCGAAAGGCTCGTGAGCTTGAGGCGCGAGGACAAAAGCGTCCTCATTCAGACGTACTCTCCCATCGAAATCACCCAGCAAAGAGCAATGTCGATGGTTCTACCGTCACCGCGACAGCCTCCTTCGATACGTCCACTAGCGGCATGCATCCTGCCTCGAGGGAACATACGCCTGGCCAGAGTGAGAGCCCCAATGGACAGCTTCCTCAGTCCATCCCTGGACTTTTCCTCTCTTCTACGCCACAGCCCTCACACTCTATACAACTATTGAATTTGGAGCGTCCAGCTTCGACGAGCTTGGTGGATTCTAATCCCAGGCCATTTAAGCGTCCTTTTGGCCAGACCAGAAGATCTCGTCCATTTCTTATTGATGTCAGCGACGATGAAGATGATACTGAAATGGATATTGACTCTCCCGAGCAGAAGGTAGTATCGTTGGCTTCGAGGCCACATCCAACGCTAAAGACTTCTATTTCTCTGCGCAGCATTCCATCGGCTAGCGACAGCGCGGCTGCAGCACAGCAATATTCGAGCCCACTAACATCGCCTCCTAGCGGCGGTGGCGACAATCACGCAAGAAATAACTTGGACAGCATGACCAAGAAAATTGAAGCCATGAAACGAAGGATCGCAGAGGCTGAGGCCCGTAAGAAAGCAAGGCAGTCGCGACCAGAGTCACCGGCTCTACCAACATTGAATGATGATTCTCCCAATAGCAGTTTTGAGGCGGCCATTGCCAACAAGGATACGGTTGTGCCTGCACTCTCATCTATCGAACCTCGAGAGCTCTCTCGTTCAACGCCCTCAATATCGGGCCCATCCCCTGGGGTGCTGCATCAGTTATCAGAATCGAGCCCTCAAAGTGGAAACGAACGACGGCGCAGTCGATCGCGTGCGGCCAGTGAGCGTCTCCCAGTCATTGAAGCTCGCCGTCGAGAGCAACAACTCAAGCTGCAACTCTTGCAGGCTCAAGTTGCAAACATTCAACGCGAAATTCAACGAACCCTAGAAGAAGAAGAGAAATTAAAGCTGGATGTTGGCACTGAGTCGGACAGTGAACAGACACAAGAGCAGCAAGGTACGTCTTCATCTGCAGGTTACAATACGAGCTTGATTATGCCATCGATACTAATCTTTCTCTCAGATGAAGCTCTGACTCCGTCCAAGCCACCAAGTCCTTCTTCTCCGCTAACAGACGCAATGGACATCGCGAGCATATCGCCTCAAAGTAATAATTCTGCTCAACATGGTCAAGAGGCATCCTTGCATCAAATCGAAGAATCACTGGAAGAGCACCAGCCCGGTATACTCGTAACCGCGCAAGCTGAGCAAACTCTACCAACTGATGGATTAACCACAGTCCAAACGGCCAATACTGCAACTGTAATCGTCGGTAACGCCAGCCAAGACGCTATCCAGAGCGCCATGTCGACAGACGACGACGCCAACGGTACAGCAGCAGTAGAGGAAGCGCAAGACATGGCCATATCGGAAGCCGGCGATTCCAATAATTCAGAGTCTGACGACGGATCTGATGACTACGAGCCTCCAGATGTTGAATTATCTAGCCCATCAAGGAATCTCTCACGAGCGTCAACCCCGTTTAGTCCTGCACCAGCTGATCTTGTTTCGATCCCCGAAACGAGCCCCCATGGCTTTCAAGATCAAGATAATATGACAAATGCTATCGCCACGCAGCAGATCTCGACCGTTCAACAGGATACAGCTTCTGAAAGTGGAAGAGAAGTAGACGTTGCCCTGCAAGCGAATGGCCGATCATTATATCTAATAGCTAATCAGGTTGACCAAGTAAGTGAGGCAATGGCGGCCCCGGCCCCGGCCCCGGCCTCTGATGCCCTCCAGACCACTTTTGTACCGTATGAATCGCCCCTTCGATACTTTCACGCATATCGCTTCCATCCCGAGTATTCCCAATCCGTCGCTGGCGGCCTTCGCTCTTTAACATACAGCAATAAAATAGACGTGAAGCAGGAGATGTGCCCTGATGAACTGGTCAACAACAGCTGTCCGAGGGGCAAAGAGTGCGAGTTTCAGCACTTTGAGAGCATGCAAGCTCCGGGTATGTATATCCCGGAGCTCTTACGAGCTGTTGTATAGAGAACGCTGACATGAAAAAATAACGTTGATCAGATGACCAAATCCTCCTCCAGCTTGGCGCTCATGGCGACTTTGAGGAGCAGAAGAAACACGAGTACATCAGCGGACTGCGGCATCTGTTGACGGATTTCCGAAACCGCAAAGTCAAGGACTTCCAAACCATCAGCCAGGGCATTATTGACTACCGAGCCCAATTCCTCGGAGACAAGAGCAAGATTCTCCCCCTGGGTGGCGTTACGATTTGACGTGACCTTGTCATGAAGCCTATCCCATTTCCCCCTCCCCCTTAAGCCACCCCTTGATACGTAACTCTAACCATCCCTCACATTCATCTTGCGTAAGAGATTTAAGCCATCCTATCCATTTCACAACATTAGCTGGCGTCGGAATCGGAGTTGCATCCAATGCCTCAGCCCATGGGAAGCCAACCATTGGGTTTGATGTTTTGCGTCTTTCCTTGACATGGAAACCTGCCTGCTGCATTCAGCCAGTGCATATTGTTTAGAACAGACATGTCTTTGTTCATGTCGATATACCCCTTCTACTACTTTTCTTTTTCTTTTGGTCAATTAGCCCCTTGTAGGAGGCATCTCATACTTACTTAGAACGATTCGAGCCGTGGACCGTGGCACGAACGAGAAAGAGTTGGAACATGGATGGTTGATAATATTTGATGAGGTTTGCTATGCAAGCTACTGCGTCTCCATTTTATGAATGGTCATGGCGCTGCTATTGAGCGGGCTATCAAAGCGAATCAGTAGTATTTGAATTGAATGCATATTTGTTTTCATGGACTTTGTGTGCTTGTTCCGCCTTGTGAAGCCTTTGGATGAAAAAAGATTTGCTTTGGTATTACTATAAGGTAGGTATATTTTCAAGTGACATGGCTATAGACAGAAGTGGAATTCAATCCCCAATCAAGAAAAAAAAAAAAAAATACGCCCAGATTATCGATACCAACCCAAGTGCGAGATCATTGGAGAAGAATATATATGGATATCAAAGAAAAAAAGACACCGTCTAGATGATGCTCTAGCGAACTTGCAGCGACTCACGCTCATTCATCACGTACACCATCGACGACATCTCCATTAATCGGAAGACCACTTCCTCTGCGTACGCCGACGCCCTTTAGCTTCTCGACAGGCTGGGCTTCGTCCGTCTTCTTTGGGGAATCCTTGTCCGATGCAATCTGCACGTGCTGTTCTCGGGCGCGATGTCGGAGATTCTTTGCCTCTTCGCCTGACGAAGATGCGACGATGGAGGCGTCGCTTTCGCTGTCCCTGTGCGGATGGGCGAGAGTGTATGCGGACCCGACGAGGCTCTCTTGGCGGACGATGTGGTACCTATCGTATTCCTCCTCGGTGTGCTCCGCGTCGGTGAAGCTGTTTAGGGCGTCGAAGACGTGCTGGAAGACTTGCGTGTCTACGTCGCGCGCCCACAGGAAGTCGAGATGTTCGTAGTGCGGGATCTCTGTTGCGACGGTCTGGCGCGGGAGCTCCTTGAGCATGGACTTGATGTCGACAAGGGAGTCGCTGCCTCCGTAGACGAGGACGACGGGGGTCTTGATGTTGCGGGTGGGATACTTGGCGACCTTTGAGTACTTGCTCGACGAAGCCAAGCTCATAGGCTGGTAGACGTCGTCATCGTACATCTGGAAGCACTTGTTGCGGATGATCTGGAACCAGTGGACGACACTCTTGGTGCTTGTGAAAGAGTACAGATGGGGGTATGCGGCCAGCTTCTGGCTCGCGGAGATGTTCTTGGTGCGCCATCCAAAGAGGAACGACAGACCCATGTCGATGAGGCGGCAGAACAAGGGCGGGTACAGGAGAGTCTCCCACATGGTGGCGGAGCTGAGGATGGACCGTCTGCCGAACATGAGATAGAGAACCGATGGTGAGGCCTTGACCAAGGAGTCGACGACGCCGTTGGACAGTCCAGCGGGGGCCATGGCAGGTGCGAGAGCAATAAAGACATTGACCTGCTGGTTCAACTTGGGGTGGATGGCCAGGGTTGCGAATGCCTGAGCAGTTCCCTGCGAAAAGCCAATGTATGAAAGGCTCTCCTGGCCGGTCGTCTCAAGGATGTACTCGATGCTATTCGGGATATCATGGAAGGCAAACTCATCGATGGAAAAGTCCCAGAATTTAACCGACGTAGGAGAGCTGTGAATAGATTTCTTAGAGTATTTGTTGCCGCGGTTGTTTCCAAACTGTGACGAGTCGTTAGCGAAGAGACTCTCGCCAGCACAAAGGGGGATATGGATTTCGACTCACCCAGACGTCAAATCCTCTTTCCACAAGCTCAAATGGCAAGCATCTCTGCTCATCCGTCAGGCAGACCCAGACTTCAGAATTCATCAGCAAGCCGTGGTGAAGGTAAGCAACGCGCTTCTTGGCGCTGTTTCGGCCGCAGTTGACTTTCGTGCCCTCCTCGCCTCTTCGCCACTGCAAGCGGTGCAGGCCCAGCAGAAACCCATCCTTTGTCTGAACTATGTGCTCTTCCGCTTCGTAACCCCATAGTTGGCAAAGCTCAACGAAATCGGACGCATCGCGCACAGAAGTAGAAATAGCTGGGAGAGAAGTGTCAGTACTCAACAGACAAGGGAGATAATCATGCGCTGAGCTGAGAGCTTCGTCAGACATGTGACAACTGACATTTCTTCTTGCTCTCCGCTTTCTTCTGCGCCGGCGAAGAAAATACGTTAAAGAGTCGTCGCGAAGCTCGGTAGAAGAAGGTGACGAGGAACGAGGCTAGATATAAAGGGGTAAGCAAGTTGTCGTCACTGTTGGATGGCTCGTACTAACGCAATGCCAGTGTCAGGACTCGGACGATTGCTTCGAGGCCGACAAGGAAGAAGGAAACGACAATCGAAATGTACTCGGTGCTATACACAGCCATGATGAGCAAACGGCGGTAAACCTTGCGCCTGCGGAACAGAGGCCGTGGGATTAGAAACGGTACATACGCATGCAGCCTGCCGATAAATGGAAGAGGCATTGTGAGGAGAGAACGGGGCCTCGCTTAGTTCTATGTGTGCTATGAGGAGTGTTCCATTATCGCCTCGTGCTGGCGAGGCAACCTGCGTCAAGAGAAAGAGAGAAGAAGATGGGAAGCGAAATGAGGCTTCTGGGAGAAAGTCAAGGCAGGATCTAATAAATCTAGGGGATCGCCGCCAAGTGATGTCACATGTAAATCTCCCAAAGGGTGTCAGGTGGGCCCTTTTTAGAGGCTTACCCTAGAGAAAGCTGGGGTGAAAGGGATTAGACCAACCAGCAGGTTGTGCGCAGTCGGGAGTGGAACTGATTGGGTCGAGATGTTTGGCAACGTGGAAGAGTGAGTTGGCAAGTTGGCTAATACAGTATTGAGTTAGGACCGGATAAAGGAATTGTGGCGGATGATGTTGTGACGCCTTGGGTCTTATGGTTTCAATGTTAAAAGTATGGGGCATAAGCTGTGGTCGATATGAGATCTATGTCTTTGTAGCCCTTTTTTTTTTTTTTTTTTTTTTATACACATTAGTAGATACAACTGCTTACCATGTAATATAGCAGAGTACTTTACCTATAGGTACCTATAGTGGAATCAGTGGAAAAGACAAGACCAAAATGCAGGGGTGAGATTGCTGCAGGTTCTATTGATCCGTAATCATGGGCATCTTGACGAGGCTGTGGGGCGCTACAAAGTCAATCGATTCTAGCTGCAGCCCACAGCCCACCAATCAAACAGCAACCCCACGGATAGCCTTTTGGAAGCTTCATCGAACGACTTTTTTAGAAAAGCCAGCCTCGCCCAAAGATCCGCAAGACAACGCGCCCGACGGCCAAACTATCCGCATTTCTCCATTGCGCGCAACATCCCCCAACATGCCGAACTCGTGCCAGGAACTCCGTATGTGTCCCCCCGCCTCAAAAACCATGCCAGAGCCCCGTCCCGCTGATAAATTCCACAGGCGATGCCCTCGCGCAATGTCTCCAGGAATCCGACTGCGTCATGATCTACCGCAACAAAGCCTCCGACTGCCTCCGCGAGCCCCTGTCATCGACCCTCCCGACCAAGTGCCAGCAGCTCAAGAAGGGCTACGGCGAGTGCAAGCGCGGGCTGGTCGACATGCGGAAGCGCTTCCGGGGGAACATGCCCGTGACGTATCGCTCGGTGGAAGCCTCGGAGCAGGGCAAGGGATACCAGCTGTATGCAGGCAAATCCGCGTTTGGAGGCAGCGTCAAGGAGACGGACGGCAATGAGCCCATTCCGCAGGACTGGAGGGAGGCTGAGAACGAAAAGTACCGGCTAGAGCAGCAGAGGCTGGCACAGAGCGGGAAATAAAAAGGGGGACAAGTTTTGAATGAAGAAGAGAGGGGATGGGTAAAGGGAAAAAAAGAGAGGAGAGGGGATGATGAAGAGATTAAAACGAATTATGGTGCATGGTATGGCGTTTTTGGCGTTGAATCGGGGGCAACTCATCTCTGGTGCTTGCAAGGCGGGGAATTGATCACTTGGGGGCACTTAGAGACAAGGGGGTGGTGAATCTCTTTTCTATAGAGCCTGTGTGTATATGCTTCCTACATGGTCCTCGAACCAGGATGATGGACGGGCTGCGAAGCTGTATTGTATGATGGAGGCATTGGTGATGTACTGTCCAATGAACCTGTGTATATTATATTAGTACCTGCAACTCAAAACAGCCTTTTCACACTTTTATTCTGATACAGCCACTCTTTCAACACCAAGCCCCAATCTCTTTATCCAACCTTTTCATCCCATCTCAAACTCCAACCCACCACGCAAACAACAAACCATTTATGCAATCCCTCCTTGTAACCAGAACCAGACGCAGCAAATCCACGCAATGCCTCTCGTCGGATCGGCGCTTCCGCAACCGCCGTCTCACGTGTCGTCCGTTGCCGATATCCGAGAATCAACGACTAGCCAAATCACTAAGATGAAACTAAAAAGGAGGAAATGGGATGAAGCGAAAAAGGGAGAGAGATACGGAGAAGAGAGAGTTGCGTACTGTTATACAGCTTCTGTTCCTTTTTCTTTCTTTATGGATTGGCGTAGCATCAATCAATCAATCAATCTGGATAATCCCCGATATTGTAATCCATGTACAGGGTACATCGCTCAGCGTGGCATGTACGGTGTAGTAGATATGGAGCACAAGTACTAAATACCACCTAAAACCCGTAACGACACAGAAGCTTGCCCAGCTCCAGAGTTCTAAGCGCCTTGGCATTCAGCTGCTGTCGTCATCACCCAAAAAAGGCATTCCTGGATTGTTGCAGAAGAGCACGAGACCCTTATTTGTTTTTGTTTTTAAATGTAAAACTCGGCTCTATCTTGCCGAGTACAAAGAAACCAATAAAGGCTACGCGTACTCTGTACTAGCAGAATAAGAAAAACACTATAGACTGGGTTGAGGAGAGTAAAAAAAAAGAGTCTCCTTTCAATAGTCTTATCTGGTTAAAATTAGCATTCTCTCTCCCTTGCCTCGCCTTCTCTTCTCTCTTTTCGAGTCACGACCCTTTCTACGACCTTGCTTCAACTGAAGACCCCCCAATTCGAAATCCGACTGAATGGCTTCCATCTCCCGGTGATCTAGTCTTTTTGTTCTGCCACGTATTGTATCTACATTGGCCCAAACAGCAGCCCATCATCAACACCAGAACGTCACTGGCCAACAGCGCCTCTCGCCACCCATGGCCCACCAAACGCAGCGTCGACTCCTCATCGTCGCCGCCGTCCTGTTCCTCATCGTCAGCTCCTACCTGTGCGTAACGCGCCTCTACACCACGCCGTTTGCCAGCGAGGCCAAGGACGACAAGAAACCACCGTTCCCAGTGCTTCCTCAAAAGCCCGTCCACGTCCAGCTCACCGACGCCGACCTGCCCATGACATACGGCTCGTTCCGCCGCCCCAGCATGGATGGCCTCACGCTCATGGCGAGCTTGCCCGACGAGCTCGTGCCCACGTTTGAGAACAAGCGCCGGCTGGTGATTGTCGGCGACATCCACGGCATGGACGCCGCGCTGGAGACGCTGCTGAAAAAGGTCGACTTCGACGCCAAGCGGGATCACCTCATTGCGACGGGCGACATGATCAACAAGGGCCCCGACTCGCCCGGCGTTGTCTCACGGCTGATGCGCCTCAACGCCAGCGCCGTGCGCGGCAACCACGAAGACCGTGTGCTGCTCTCCCTGGCCGAGGCCGAGGCCCAGACGGGCGTCAGCAAGGACCTCTCGTCTGCCGACGCCGAATCCCACCGTGGCGAGTCCGAGTTCCTGGCCACGGGCCGCAAGCTGAGCAAGGAGCACGTCCAGTGGCTGCTCAAGCTGCCCGTCATCCTCTCCGTCGAGCCGCTGCGCATGTTCATTGCCCACGCCGGCCTCGTCCCTGGCGTGCGGCCGGAGCTGCAGGATCCCTGGGCCGTCATGAACATGCGCACCCTCATCTACCCCCGCGAAGAACTGCGCAAGAACGAGAAGAAGAAGAAATCCAAAGCAAAGCGCGACTCAGACGACACCTCAGACGAAGCACCGCAATCACCCTCCCCCACCGACCAACCATCCGACAACAGCGAACCTGAGAAAGAAGAAGCAGAAGAAGAAGGCGAGACACTCGAGTCGATCGAGCAAAAGGACGCCTACACAGACCGCGAGATCGCCATCCCCGTCGAAGGCCGCGACGGCGAGAAGTGGGCCCACGCATGGAACCGCTTCCAGAAGCGCCTCAAGAAGTCGCACCGCTACACCGTCGTCTACGGCCACGACGCGAAGAGGGGGTTCCGCCAGGAGCGCTACACGTTTGGCCTCGACTCGGGCTGCGTCAGGGGCGGTGCCCTGACGGCGCTCGTGGTCGAGGGCAAGGAGGGCGGTAAGGGGTTTACGCATACGGTGATGCAGGTGCACTGCAAGGATATGAAATCTTGAGATTTTTTTTTTTTTTTTTTTTTTTTTTTTGTTGTTGATTTTCCACCATGGAGATTTATTATACACGGCTTGCTCTTGGTTTTGGTTTGAGAGGAGGATATAACGATTTGATGGATAGAAATGGTTCTTGGATACCTATGGGTTCTGTCATCTCTGTTGGGCTGATATACTTGGGATCTTTGATGAGACAACACTGTCGGCGTTCTCTCCATCCTCTTCCTCCCTTTTTCTTTTTTCTTTTTGTTATTTTATATGGCTGGTTGCAAGATACCGGTGGGCATAGATACCAACATTGTATTGCGTTTTAAGGATATCACTTTGCGGACATGGTATTATAGCACAGTATAGCGTAAATTCCGAATGATACAAGAATACCATCTTACAATAAAAACAAACGCTGAATTGGGCATTACAATCGTTTTTCTTTTTTTGCTATTTTCAAACAATCCGTAGATACATAAAAGTCACGGGCCGCTAACCACATTTTAGGACCCCTCTGCATTTTTGTTTCAACAGCCAAACCATATCTCATCGCAAATATACCTTCGAGTTGCCGATTCTTTGTAGGCATTCTCCCTCGCTAGCAACTTAGGCACCCGCGCCACACATACACACACACCCTACCGCTCATACCTCACAATTTAAGCAGACAGCTTCTGCTTCAGGATGTCCTTGAGGGTGACGGCATCGGCAGCGAACTTGCTGATACCCTCACGCAGCTTCTCGACGGCCATCTGGTCCTCGTTGAAGTCGAATCGGAAGGTAGCCTCGTCGTTGATGTAGGTCTTCTTCTCAATGTCCAGAGCAGCGGCAGCGGCGCTGTCCAGCTTGGTGGGGACAGCCTCGGTGGAGTTGAGGAGGTCCTCGAGCAGGTTGGGCTATTAAAGAGAGACGTGTTAGTTGTCAATGATCTATGTAAGCAGAGGTATTTCATCATGGGCTCTTACGGAGATGGTCAGGTAGTCGCAGCCAGCGAGCTCAGTAATCTCGCCAGTGTTTCGGAATGAAGCACCCATGACAATGGTCTTGTAGCCGAACTTCTTGTAGTAGTTGAAGATGCTCTTGACAGAGGCGACACCGGGGTCCTGCTCCTTGGTGTACTCCTTCTTGGTGCTGGCCTTGAACCAATCAAGGATACGGCCGACGAAGGGAGAGATGAGGAAGGCACCGGCCTCAGCAGCACCGATGGCCTGGGGGAGAGAGAACATGAGGGTCAGGTTGCAGTTGATGCCGTGGTCGCGCTGCAGAATCTCAGCAGCCTTGATACCCTCCCAGGTGGAGGCAATCTTGATGAGGACGCGCTCCTTGGGGATACCGAGGTCCTTGTAGAGCTATGATTCGGTGGCAAGGCGGTTAGCTCCTCTTGTCGTGAAGACTGAAAATAAACGTCTCCCTCAAAAGCTTACCTCGATGATGTGCAGGGCCTTGTCGACGGAGGCCTTGGTGTCGAAGGAGAATCGGGCATCAACCTCGGTGGAGACCTTGCCGGGGACAATGGCCAGAATCTCCTTGCCGAACTCGACCAGCAGGCGGTCGAGAGCAGTGTCGACCTGGTGGTCGATGTCACCGCCCTGGGCCTTGCCGTAGTCGATGGCAACATCTATCAGCTTGGCGTACTCGGGCTTCTTGGAGGCAGCCAGGATGAGAGAGGGGTTGGTGGTGGCATCCTGAGGCTTGTACTTGGCAATGGCTGTGAAACGCGTCTCCAGGTCAGCTTCTGTTGCGTCGAACTCAGTCGGGGGGGGGGAGAGAGCACTGCTGCTGCTGTCTGTAGCCGACGACGCAGGTCGCTCGCAGAAAAGCAGCCACGATTCTCAATGAGAGAGGAGGGCAGACTAACCAGCAAAGTCACCTGTGAGAAGCAGTTAGTTAGCTGATGCATCACACGTTGGGCGGATGGTGCGGGAATTACCAGTGTCAGAAACGACAACCTGTTTGTCGCCAAAAGAAAATCAATGGTCAGCACACGATCCGATGATTGAAACGAGAAGCCATTGCCAATTGCCGAGCCTTGTCGGTCAATGAAGCCGAATTGCTGAGCTCAAGGCCAGCAGAGAAACCGGGCGTTGGAAGCTCGCAGCAATTCGCCCCTCGTTTGGAGGGGTACAATTTTTGGCGGGGTAGGTCGGGGAACATGGAACATACGGTGCCAGAGGCCTTAAGCTGGTCAAGAGAGCTGCTCATTGTGTCTGTGTGAGGAGGAATGTTGGAAAGGGAAAAAAGAAGCTGGTAGAAAGGAGGATATCAGGACGAGTGGTTGTGTTGTGGAGGTATGGAGATGGAAGTAGGAGAGCAGCACAACAGAGTTTGGCGGATGAGATGATATATACCGACTGGCCTGGCCTGGCCTCCGTGCCAATTAGTGCCTTACCTACTAGCAGCCCAGCAATCCATCCATCCATCCACAAGCATCTCCGTCTTCCTAACAGCTCAACAACTGTTTCGCCCCCCTTGCCCGGAGCGGGGGCCATTAAGTCATAAGTCACTGTGGCCCCCCCACAGTCGCCGGGCCTTGAGGCCTTAGTCGCAAAGTTCCCAAAGTTCCCAGCAGCACCAGTGGTTTGCGTTTGCCTTTGTCACCCATCGCGTAACCTGAGGTAATCACAATTCACATCCCGCTGTTTTGCCGGGCGACCATGCCAAACATGCCTGCGAACATATCGGTGGCCGCGACTGGGGAACGTGCCACAGTCACCGTCTCTCTCACGGCGCTTTTCGCCTCTCGGCTCCACCGACCCCCGGCGGGAACTTTGGGAACCTTTTGGCTGGGCGCCATTTGGCAGTTGAAGCTGCTCCTCCGGGAGTCCAGTGGGTTGAGTATACTCTCCATACTGGGGTATTACGGCCGCCCTTCAACGGTCATAAGGTTCCGCCGTAAGGTTCCGCCGTAAGGCTATGCGAGGCCCTGTAGCCTATCTGCCCGGATCAGACTCCGGCCTCGCCCGGCCACGCTCGGTTTCTGTTAATAATGCACAAGCGCCAGCTGACCAACGGGGCCTTGGCCAAGTTCTGCTTCCGCCCCATTTCCGTGGTGTTCGAGCTTTAGGGCGTGATCATCGCTTCCATCGCTTCGTTAGGAGAATCGACGCCGGAAATAGTAAAGCTGCACATCACGGGGTTGCGCCTTGGTCTAAATGTCGGCACATTCCGGTGGTTTCGGCGCCATTGCCACGAGTTGAACCTGACCTAGTACTGTATGCAGTGTGTCAACTTACAACTCACTCACTTGCCAGTCTCTTTAATGCTCGCAACAGAGAATTTCCGCAACCGTCCCACCTGTGGCAACACAATGTTTTTCAACCTCCATTGCCTATATAGAGATTAATAATTGGGAATGCAGTTTCTCGCTTTATGCTGTGTCAACTATGAAAAAGACCTTTTCCTTCCTAACTACCTGGATCAAAACCCATGCTCTAGTCCTCAGTGATATCACCATACTCCCACATGCCTAGCCTGTCCTGCTTGGCCTCGCTCTCAATCTCTCGCAGGTGCTTCAGGTATGATTCAAAGGCCTTGCTGCGCTCCCATGCCTTGAGCTTCTTGGGCACCATGCCGTATCCGCTGGACACAATCTCCTTATTGATGGAGTCGTTGGGGCCGGGCAGAGAGCCGTCTGCCTTGGTATCGTACAGAGTGATGTAGCTGACATTCTCCTTGTTGTCAACAAAGTCAAAGTTGGCAACCAGGCGCTTGTTCTCGGTCAGCTCAGCAATGAAGCCAATAGCCTCACTGAAGTAGTCGGCACCTGTGGGCAGCTGGACAAACGACAGAGAGGCATCAATGGCTTGAGCCTTGAGCCTCTGGACACCAAACTGGGCCTGGTCCAGGGATCGCAGGTTGGACCAGGCGACCTTCTCGCTGTTGCCGTAGTCGACGTAGATGACCTCAGACACCTTGGCTGTGCGGTCGTTGCCTCGGACTCGGGCACGGTACCATTGACCATCGGCCGAGAACTTGGCAGACACGAACTCGCCAGTCTTGGGGGCGTCTGTCAGGGGCTTGTTGTTCTTGGAGTCGATGTGGAACTTTCGGAAGTCGCTCATCAGAGACTCCAGCGCCGCTGTGCCCTTTCCAATCTCCTGAATCTTGAGCTTTCCATTACCATCAATGTTGGTGATGATGACATCTCGGTAATCGGCTGGCTTCTTGTCCAGTGTGACTTCTGCCTCGGGCGCGTCCGCCTCAGCCTCCTCGTCGACTTGTTCGTCTTGTGAGGGGTCATAGTCATGCCACAAGCCCTTTCTGGCCTCCTTTGCCTTCTTCTCGGCTGCGAATAGCTCGGCAGAGTTGCCGGACTTCTCAGCAGAGTAGGCATGTACTGAAGACAAACCCTCTTCAACGAGGACTTTGGCAAAGTTTTCACGGCCAATGTACAAATCACCAATGAATCCACCGACCTTGTCCATATCGTGGATATCAACCTCGCAGTCTCGCTGGTTGCATCGTCGGTTGGCTAGGTCGAGAGCCTCCTTGCCGAATGGCTCACCGCCTTGTCCGTCGGGACGAGGAGCTCTAGGGCCACGAATGCCGCCCAGAACCAGTGTCAGCTTGACGTTCTCACGAGGAATGAGAACGGTGAATCGAGAGCCAGCCTTGCAGAAATCAACAATGGCAGGCACCTTCTTCTGTCGCTGTAGGGTGGCAAGCATAATCTTTGCCTTTTGTGTGTTTTCTGAGAGATCCAGGTACTGCTTAGCCTTCTGAGGCTTTCCAGACCACATGCCCTTCTTCTCCTCCTTGGCCTTCTCCTGAGCTGCAAGCAGCTCGTCGTAGTTGGGGGCTCTGTCAGTATCGTCTTTCCTGTGTCTGATCACAGAGGCCAATCCAGCCTCCACCAGCGCAAGGCCGATGTTTTTTCCCTTCTCGGTAACTGTGGCCACGTCTCTGGCGTCGAAGCCCTCGGTAGCGGGCTTGGTTCCATCAACGCTCACCTTGACGTGCTTGCCAATAAGCTTTGATCGCACAAACTCCTTAGCCTCATCTTTGAAGGGGCTCTCGGAAGGCTCGTTGGTGCGAGGTCCTCGGATACTGCTGAAGCTGATTCTCTTCTCCGCACTGTCGGCCTTTGCCTTGACCATAATCGTATCGGCGCCAACAACCTTGGTAACAGTCATCTCCTGGTTTCCGGCTTCTGCCTTGACCACATGGTGCTTGTGTAGACGAATCTTCTTGGACTGAGCTTGCTTCTCGGCGGCTCTCAGAGGTGCCATCTTCTCTCCCAGCATGGTTGAGTGGAAGTCGTTACACCTGGCCAATCCCTCCTGGAGCAGAAATTCAGCAATGTTGCCTCGGGGGTGGATGACACTGGCGACGAGTTGTCCCTGGGCGCTGGCGCCGACAATTTCAACCTTAACCTGTCGCTGGAGCAGTCTTGACTCGACGAATGCCTTGGCCTCGTTTCCGAATTCCTCAGCAGGCTGTGTGGCACCGGTAGAAGGAAGCGTACGCTCGGTGGACGGAGTTCGAACACCGGCGAGGAGGGTAAGGGGCTGCACATGCTTCTTCTCAGAGAGCAGCAGTCGAACCAACAGGCGATCACCGCTCAACACCCTCTCGACAACGCCGTCCACAGTCTTGCCTTTCCACTGTGTCAAGAACTCGGGGCCACCCAGGTCGTTTTGTACCTCAATGGTGCCGTTGACGCCTGACCAGAGTCCCTTGGAGGCACCCTTGGCCTCGGCCTCGAGAGCACGAAGCTTCTCGAGCCTCTCAAGGAGCTCTTCTGACTCTTCTTTGCGGCCAGCATCCTCACGGACCTTGAGCCAACCAGCCTTGATGAGCTCATCGGGAAGGAGAGTTCCGTCCTTGAGTTGAGCAGAACCAAACTCTCTGCCGGTCGTGGGAATTGTGTAGAGGACTGTGCATTGGACTGGCTTTCCGACCACCAGGTTTCGGAGATATTCACGGGATTGGAATGCGAATGGCTCGTCTCCCTCTCGCTTCAGGTGGGGAGCTGATACATAGGCAAGGGAGAAGGTGCGTTCGGCCGCGGGGTTGTTGGGGCTGGTCAGGATCAAGGTGTCGCCGCTCAAGACACTCTTGACGTTGCCGATAAAAGTCTTCGACATGATGGGCCGGTAAGGGGGAGACAAGGGGAGACCTAATTGGGTCGGTTCTGGTTAGCAACGGCAGCTGTCTTGGGGAGAGATGGCTTGTATGTTATTCGGATGCTCTTCTGCTGTGGAGTAGATGATTTTGGCAGACAACAGAATGAGATGACAATTGGCATAGGTAGATGAGTTCTCGGAGTGATTGAGATGACAGTGCATGTCAATGACCCTTTACGATCTTTGAAGAGACACAGCAGCTTGGAAGCTGTCACCGCCATGCGGAGAAAGAGGGACAATGAGGAGGAATAGCAGGCGGACCGGGATTGGTGTATCTTGAGCCTCAAACGTACCTGAGCGGAAGACCAAGAAAGAGATGGGAGGATATCTGGGATTCTACCAAGCCGAGATTGAGCTTGGAATGATGAATTGAGTAACAAGGAGCAAATTGCAGAGCGGTTGGAGAAAGCAACTTGTCGTGTGCCTTTTGGAAAGGTGTCAAGACTCTTTAGTACCGAGTACCTGCTATTGTGTCAAGTTGCCAGCTAACAATCTGGTAGCTCGAGTTAGCCCGAGCTTGCTCCAGGTGGCTTCATTGTGGGGTTCTGGAGCCCAGGGGATCTTTTGCTGGCTGGTGGCGGATGGACAGCGCTGGAAGGCCCCGAAACAGGCAATTAAGCGAAACGGAGCGCGGGGCTGGCGCAACAGGTTTGGGAGGGGCAACGGGAATTGCGCCTAAAGATCGATTTGGAGGGCAAATACTTGGGTCCTTGGGCAAAGATGATGCCTACTGGAGTCTGCTTAACTTATCTTGCACCTAGGCAGGTTGCACAGCATGTCGATAATGGATCTGCTGGAATTGCAGCGATGAACGACTGCGGCCATCCACGAGCTCGAAGCAGCATCCCGGGGCAAGATGTGATGTAATTGCGCTTCCAGCATTACCCCTCCATCGTCACGAATTCACGATGCAGCTTGTACGCAATTCAGGCACGTTTCTTGAGATAAGCTGTTTTCATTTCTTTTCTTGTTATTTGTTCGTTTACTATAACTACTCAGAACCTATGTCGACCCGAGCTACATGTATTTCGCTGCTCTATAGATTCGTTTCAATCTTCAAGGAGCTTAGGCCAAGCATAGCTACAGAACTTTTGAGCGAGCTTAGGAGGAGATGCCAATAACACCTGGGTAGTACCCACGTTAGTATCTGGGCTGTTAATGAATCACATCAAATGGACCACATACCGCAAGCAGGGCGAGGGCCAGCGTTGCCAGTCTTCAGGGACTCCTCGTTGTCACCCTTGCCGAGATCGTCGGTGCCGGCGTGCACGACAACGGTGCGCTAAGCAATGGATCATTAGCAGACTTCTTGGGGCAATGCTGAACGGACGTTTCTTACGCCAATGACACTGTTGGGACCAATCAGCTGGACCAGAGAGTCAGTGATGGTGCCCTTGGCGTTGCCCTGAGCATCGGTCTCGATGTTGCCGAGGTCACCAACGTGACGGGCCTCATCAGAAGGAGCGCCGTGAGTCTTGCCGAAGGGGTTGACTGTCGGGTGGTTTGGCAAGTCAGCAAAGCCGAATTGAGTCCGCACAAGGCACTCTGCTTCGGGACAACTTACAGTGAGGGCCGGCAGAGGTGCAGCCGTTGGTGTTGTCACCAAAGGTGTGGATGTGGAAGCCACGCTTCGCGTTGGCGTCGTTGCCGGTGATGTCGTAGGTGATGGTGGTAGGGGCACCCTCCGAGGCCTGCTCGAAGATGACGGTGCCGGAGACCTTGGCGTCTCCTCGGAGGACAGTGACTGCGACACGGGGTTAGCCAGATGTGTCGTGACGGCGCAAACAGCTGGACTATCAAGGGACACGCCAGCTTCTCAATGGCAGGACAGGCCCGCGTGTCTATCAAGGTTGCGGCGCGGCCCGCCCTCCAGCGATGCCGTTTGAGCACAAAAACCCCCTCAAACGAGCGCAAGACGAGGCACAGCATGCCGCCCCTCTCAACTAGCGACAGCTACCCATATATAATCGGGCAAGGCGCTGGCTCTGGGAGCTGTTGGACTTGGAGGTGTCTTACCTGCTTTGACCATTTTGGCGGTGGTGTTTACAATTGCTTCGTTCAACGGAGAGCTACTGATGACGATGATGAAGAGGTGGAGAGGACAGAGTTTTGAAGAGGAACGGACCAGCGAAAAGGCAGCTTTTGGGCTCCGGAGTTACGAAATCAAGCTCGTTTCAGGGTGGGGGGCGCTCCGAATCCGAGGCACTTGCTGCTTGTCTCCTCGCCCGGCACATAGCCTTTCTGCTGCATTCTACTGCCAACTACTGCTAACTGCTGCTGCTGCTGCTAACAATTCCGGGCCCCCGTCCCATCTTGGCTCCCAAAGTGTCCAGTAGAGGCTTTGCGTTGCCTTAGGTACGAGTACGAGTGGTGAGGGGGAACCCTTTGGAGCTTCTCGGGAGCTCTGTCAGCTCCATTCTGCCCCGCTGCGTCATTGGCGTCATCCTGACTTGCAGACGGTGTCACTCCAACGCCGGCAACGCTAACTTGCAAAGCCAAAGGCCGCTGACAAATGCCAAATGAGGAAAGGGCGAGCGATTCCGCAATGCGGCAGACATTGGGCATCATTTACCGGCAATCATGACCGAAGCAGGGGTTCCGATAGAGGAAGCATCAGGACGTGGAAGGGCGCGGCGGTTCTCAGCCTGTCGTACCAACATATCAACCCCTCCTCTTATCGTGATTGGACGAGAGTCAAGGGAACTAGATGGACTAATCAACATGCAGAATCCGACGACGAGTAATTGAACAAATATTTACAATACAGCGGCGGTTCAACTTTACGATTTCAACACGACGCTTGTCTCAGCCAATGTCGAAACAGGCACTTTCTCATTCACGTAGTTGGAATATCCCGCCCCGCTATACATAGCAGTGCATCTCGAACAACGGCAACACTCTTCTCATCCCGCGGCCGTATCAGACAAGGAAAACTCTTGGGATGGCTAGTCAATCCATTCGTCAACTCAACCACTGGCATGATTTCAGTGCCGTTGGCGTCCTTTTCCCTCTCGATATTCATAGTGCTCAGCATGACCGCAACCACAATCCATACCGTAGCCTCTGCAAAATGTTTACCGACACATATCCTTCTGCCAAAGCCAAACTGCCCAATTGGTAGTGGCTCTCCTCGGCCGCCTTCCTCCAAGGGAGAGTAGCGATCTGGGTCAAAGTCGTCGGGATTCTTATAAACCGTCTCATCATGGGTCATGGCGCGAGCGTTGGCATAGACAAACGAGCCGGCTGGTATGAAGTAGTCTCCGTAAAAGTCATCTTTCAATGAGCGGTGGGGAACTCCTAATGGGCTTACAGGACACCACCGAAAGGTCTCCTGGACTATGAAGTCTATATATTGCAAATGGGGTCTGTCGTCAAAGGTAGGCAATCGATCTCTTCCTGTCACCTGATCCAATAAGCGCTGGGCTTTGCTTTGGACCTCGGGATGTAGCACCATGTTGAGTATAAACACGACCAATGTGCTCCAGGTAGTATCTTGGCCAGCTGCAAACACAGCAGCGCCAGCACCCTTTATGTCTTCCTCGGATATATCAGGAGCTTGGCCCTGCTCCACCTGGTTTTGCCGTTGGTCTAACATCTCTTGCACTAAAGACTGTACTCGAGTTCTTGACGCCATGATTGTCTCGTATGGTTTATTGCGCAAATTGACAATGGCAAATCTCCATTGGTTGGCAAACTTGAGAGATCGGTCATGAAGAAAACTCGGTAGAAACCTGAACAGCGGAAAGAAATCGACTGGTGTCCCGGCAGGAGCTCCTCCATGACCTAACGCATAGGCCGCGTCCGCAGCAACTCGAATAAAAGGATCTGTGTCCGTCTCAACCTTGATACCAAACCCTACTCCAAGAGCAATGGCCGTAGCAAAACGTCGAAGAATTGTTTCCCATTCTGTTGGTTTGTCATTAATTCCTCTGAGCAATATGATCGCCTCTCGCTCTTGTAAGCCGCGGTACCGTCCAATGTTGCTCTTTTGAAAGCTCTTTTGTAGAATACGACGGTGCATTTTGAATGAAGGGCCCCATCTTAGGAAGGTAAGCGTTTTGTGCCATCCCATGACTTCGAAAAGAACGAATCGAGGTCGATCGCAATAGTTGGCACCGCGCTTGTCGAGAATATCAGTGGCTGCCCGGACCGAGTTGAGAACGATGACGGATTGGCCCAGAACATTGAATGATAGGATGTCGGATCCATATTCCTTAGCCAATCTCATATAGAAGTACTCTGGATTATCAGTTGGTATAATACGCAGATGGCCTATAATTGGTTCGCCGGGGGGTCCTGGGGGCAGGTGCCCGAGTCGTTTTCTCCATTGATGTGCCACAATCTTGACAACAACTAGAATGAGCAGGAAAGTAAACGGTAACAGACCAAGCGGGCTGCCTAATATTAATTGTGCAACCGCCGTCATGGTTTACAAGAGTTTGTCCCTGAATGAATAGCCGTAATGCGGCGAAACGTAATCATAGCCCAGCCTGGTATTTTGTCTTACGGGCCTTATTTGGAGAGAGTTAAAGATTAGAATAAGCTTAACAAGGACCTGGCGAATCAGATAGAATGGCCCGGTTTTCTCTTTGGAGATCATAGAGAAATTGAGGAAGAAACCGGAAGAACATGTTAGGGTTATATAGATCCATTGTTGGATGCAGCTGAGACTTACAGTTTCGCGGCCCGTGACGTGGCGGTCTGTGAGCCGTTGGAAGTTGCTGTGTGTCTCGTATGGAGGTCTGAGACAAGACAAAACATAGAAACAAGGAGTTTCCGTGGTCATGCATGAGTGCTGTACGGAAGACAAATAAACTAGACTACTTGATTCTATCAGAAACAACTACATGTACTTTAGGACACCGCTTTTCAGTGTGTCAATACTACATGTACCTAGTACCTACATCCACCTTGGTAGGTACCTACCTCTAGTAGGCATGTATGGTATACGTTCCTAATAGCCTAGTCCCATTCACCATTCTATCCAGTTTAATTGAGTGTTTTGCCTATATGTGTGTCGGAGCTGAAAGCCAGGAAGCAAAATATACAATCCCTGGTGTAACAAATAGATGATCAATTCATAGGTTACTTAATCGAATGCTTTTGGTCGAGATGCAGCTGGAGAAAGACGGGGAATCGGAATCCGGCATCGCCCCATTTTTCTAGGCCTGTGGTAAGCTGATATCAGCCTGCCATGCCTCGCATCATAGCGGGCATAAAGGATGATCACAAAGACACTGAGAACCGTCGCGCAAATTCAGTTTCTAGTATATGGACAGACTCTTCGAAATGGTTGCGTTCACACATGGCCTCATATCTTTTCTATCGACTGCCATAGGAGATAGAAGTTTCTACGGCGCATCTCGGCACGGAGCGGTCCGGGTAGGTGGAGCTGGAAGCCACTACAACTTGCGGATCTCTGCCAGGGAGAATCATGAATGGCGCAAGCAGGATGTTGAAGTAAGAAGGCTGAAGAGGGTAATTCAGCTGCGGTGTTGCTTAGGTATTGCTGCATATCCTGTAGCACGTAGCAATCTACATCTACCTGGTAGACTGACTGATATGCATCAAAACTTGCCAGCTTGGAAAAGACCCGAGGCGCTGTATGACATCAGCAGGCTGTGTGACGGGCTGTGGACATCATTCTGTCGAGGCAAACTGTGCTGCCTGGCATGCGTGTTTAATCCCGAATGAGACGTCGGTGACGCAGGTAGCATCGGCAGTTACACAAGTGTTTACAGTGTACATCTGGCCGTGGATGCATGGTGTTGTTGCAATATGTAATACCCATGATATGATGCTGAGATGTGTATTCAAGTATTATGCAGGGGCATGACGGGTTTGGTGCGTGATGGGGAAGACAGTGGTCACGAACCAAACAAGCTTAGTATTTACTTGGGTTCAAATGACCAGGAGCATTATCGCTATCGGAACCTAATCATCTGGCTCTCTTGGTGAATTTTTTTCCCGAGCGTTTTGGGGGGACACCAGGGTGGCATCCTCGTATTGCTTGGGCCTCCCAAGAGGTCACGGCCCCTGCGATGGCGTGTTCTTGTTTCAACCAAGTTTCGACGCCATATTAATAGATTAAAGAAGGATGGAGGCCTTCTGTTATTGGGGCCATGAGCCATTAGCCCGGTTCAATGCTCTCTCGTCCAGCCAATATGAGACCGGCACTCTGGCACTCTGGTAATTTTCTCTTGGGAAATGGGCGACCTCGTCTTGGCACTTTACGCACTGTCCTGCTTGCTGCGGCGCGCCTGAATGTGTACAAGCGACAACGGTGCTGATCCTCATCAGCCACCCCTTTCGGGCCCTTCATTCCTCGTATATACGAAGTACCTGCGCCTTCGTACTTAATGGCAAGGCTCTGAAAGACACAGTGTCAATTCCACTCACTCGATGCTCCCTCCAAAACATCTGAGGCCAGGTAGATACTGGCTCGGCGATCCGAGGCCTGAGAGCGAGGCTTCGTATTCACTTCTAATGTTCACTTTTCTGCAGAGAAAGCGCGCTCCACGTGTTCCATGGATGCAAACGGGTCTTTTCTCATTGAAATGCCCTCGCCTGGTTCACACCAAGGTGCCAATAAGCGACATTTAAATTTAGTCGATCCGTGGGATGTGCGATTACCGGCGAGAGCATCAGCCGGGGGACTCCCGCGTGGGGTCGCATTTGGCTGTCCATGGAAGGTTTCCTGCTTCTTCAGGGACCGTAGGCTCTATATAGGCATATTTCGTTACCTGTAGCCAAGAGGACCCGTGAGCTTTTTATAGTAGAAGACGAGCCCCATTCGTGGGCATTAGCAGGCAAAGTGGTGTGCCAGATGTCGATACGCTACGCTCCCTGCAACAAAGTGCGAATCTTGGGCCGGGTTTCACATCGTCCTTTATAGCGTCTCCAGCGTCCTCCAGCTGGGCTAGCCCCGTGGTTTCCAGGATTGGCAGCCGTCTCCAGCGCACAACAACCAACCCCAAGGCGTTTCTGCTGTCAATGTAAGCCTCCTCTTTTGAGGCTTGATCAAAGCGCCATCTCCCGCAGCACGGCTGACTGGCGTCGACGGGTTCCTCTCAGTGTCAGGGCCTATTTTTGACTCTCCCAGTCCTCTTACTATTACGCTGCGATCCGCATTGCCAGACCGACCTCCACGACGAGCTCGGGCGCAGTGCTGCTAGTGGCTTCGCATCGCAGAGCATAGCCAACAGAGCAGCTTCGCGCAAACTCCACCTTGTCGGGCTGTCCTGTCAGCCTTTCGGAGACAACGGAGGGAAATTCATTCGAGCAGCCTAGCCGTCTACTGCTGCTTGCATTTGATGCTGCTCGTCGCTCGCTCTGCCACGTTATCGCGATAAAGTTGACCCGTGAGGCTCGTCTCGTCTCGGACAGCCCTCCCCCTCCAAAAAAAGGCGTCAGCTGTTGCAGAGCTCCCGTGTCGCCGACGCTTCCCTCGCCTCACCACCAACAATGTCCTTTCGAAACAACGAGGGCCACCGTTACGGGCAAGTCCCGCCAGTCCAGTATCCAGTGGCAAGCCAGCAGCCCGCGGAGCAGCCCGGCATGACCCGCCAGGCGAGCTTCAACTCTGGCGACGATGGCACCTACTATGAGGGCCGTGGCCATAACCACTACAACCCGAACATAACACACCGGCCCTCTGCCAGCGGCGGCGAGGATGACCTCTTCATATCGAGCCCGACCAACTACCCTCCTGGCCGGTCACCGTCTGGCGCTGGCAGCGCCTTGTCTGGATACGCACACCAATACCAGCAGGAGCAGGCACCGCCCACGCCCTCGCACGCTGCGTACAACCCCCAGACGTTCGCCCAGCCTTCCAATTTCCATCGCTCTCAGTCGACCAATATCCCGATGCACCAACAGACAATGTCGTCGCGATACTCTGCGTCTTCGTCCAGCTCAAACAACGCCTATGGCAGCCCCTCGCCGACCAACTACGCCCCTCAGGCATACAACCCCGCCGCCTACGCTTCCGCAGCGCCACAGCGACATCCCACATATCATGGGTACAACAACAGCCATGATCAGTCTTACGGCGCTGGAGCAGGGCAGGCATCGCCGTCCTTCCCGCCTCAGTCTCCAGGCGTGCCATATCCCACGCACTCCCCAACAAGAACGGCCTCATACCAACAGACTATGCCCACGAGTCCATCTTCATTCGCAACTCAATCACAGTCCTCGGTATATGCCTCTCCAGGCTACGGCACTGGATACGGCTCCAACGGTGGCAGCCCGGGCCCCGCAGCTTACTCTTCCAACTCCCAGGCTCCATATCCTACAACTTCCCATATGCCAGCATACCCCACGAATGATAGCGGTGCCTACTTTAACCGGCCCGGTCGATCAGACTCACAAGGGTCCTCCTTGGCGTCGCCATATATGCAGCCTCTTGGATCTCCCGGGATAACGAGACATCCAACAAATGCCCCTCTGCCGAATCGACCTATGGCCGATCTGCCTGAGGAAGTAACTCCATGGGATGCTAATGGCCGTCCACTTCCTCAACCCCACAATTACCACGACGACGAACCCTATGACCAGGAGAGCATTATGCAAGAGATCGAAGCTGAATTAGGAAGAGGAGATGGTCGATCAGAACCTCGGCCACTCCCCTCGCCGCTCCCCGCCAATGGCCAGATGACGCTTGCCCATCATCCATCAAGCAGGGCAGCGTCTCAAGCCGTATATGAGGATGGGAATGACTCTGATGACTTAGAAGGAGCTGCTGGCGTACTGGCGATGCAGCAAGCCGAGCTAGAAGAAAGACGGTTCAGTGGGAGTACCTTTATATACAACGATGCGCCCACCATTGCGCACCCGCCACAATCCAACCCGCTTCCCCCGCCGCCCGAAGAGCAAGATAACAGCAGCGATAGTGATTTTGGGGGATTCATGGACCTAGGGGGCCTTAGTGGTGGTTACGCTGGTACACTTACGTATGGTAATGATATTGGAAACTACACAGGCTCTTCTTTCTCCCAGGATCCATCACGGCCTCTGCCAACGCCAAGTCATGCCCGACCTGCCCAGGTGGATTATGGTGACACAGGTGGCCTACAGGCACCTCGTGCCAAGCGGCTCAGTTTCGATGAGGGCGATGAGAGAGTCTCGATTCATTCACACCTCAGCGGAACCGATTCCCCGTCAAAGGACGATTATGAAGACTTGTTTTATCACCCTGGCCTGTCGAGCCGGCCGCTACCATCCCTCCCTCCGGCTCCCGGGTCCGACACCAGTTCCATGACTTCTGGGCAACTTACTAGTCGCACCGGCTATCATTCGTATTCTCGGAGTTCAGACTCAAGAAGCCAGCAGCTCGATAATCCAGAGAACTTTTATACTAGCACTACCAGCCTTTCACACCAGCCAGAGAGATCAGTTTCGCTGGCGGGATACAGCCATACACCGCAGGTGCAAGCACCTGCAAGATCAAGGACCGATGCGGCTGAAGAGCGCAGGAAGATGGCCAGGCAACAGCAAACGACGCCGGGAGTACCAATCACCGAATATGATGGTGGCATGAATCCGCCAGTGGGAGGCTTCGACAGCATTACTCTGCCCACTGGCGGTAGAAGGAAGAAGTTTATCCCGTCGAAACTTACGCCTGCTGATTTCAAGCGATGCCCAGAACCCTGGGCGCTCAGTGGTATTGAGGCCTGGGTCCGTGAGATGGCTGAAGGAGAGCTTGACCTGAAGGAGAAGATTGTCGAAGAGGCGCTGACCATTATGTTCACCTTCAAAGTTCCGACCATGAACGTCGCTGATGCTGAAGCCCTCAGCAGCACTGTACTGGCTCACATGCTCAAGTACGGCGTCCTTTTGCCAGATGAGGAATGGATCAAATTTGGAACCGGTCACATCTCAGGAGTTTTATGGCAGTTGACTGGGTCTGGATGCTATGCGCCCAAGTTGCATGATGTGGAGATTAATGGCCGCTGCTATTCCACCCATTGTATGCGCACCCTCAAAAAGGTGGACCTTGAGGGCTTGACAGAGAAGCCAGCGGACGACTGGCACGTCTTTTATAAGCTGACCAAAGAAGACATCGAATCCCGCTCAAAGAAGGAGGTGGAACGCCAGAATATCTTACACGAAATCGTCACTGGTGAGGAGCTTTACATCAAGCAGCTGGACATCTTCCGTACCCTGTACAGAGACGACTTGCGCACTAGACATCCGCCCATCATCAACCCTGAAAAACGTGACAAGTTCCTCGCTGCAGTCTTTGGAAAACTCGATACGGTTTTGCGCATCAACAAAGAAAATCTCCTGGCGCAGCTCAAGTATCGCCAGCAGGAGCAGGGACCTTGGATCGTCGGCTTCAGCGATATCTTCCGAGAGTGGATTCGAAAGGCCAAGACTGACTACATTGAGTATGCGACCCAATACCCTCGTGCTGCGTATATGATACGCAAGGAGGCTGGTCGAAATCTCTTGTTCAAGAAGTTCTTGGAAGACAAGCAGAAAGATAAGGCGTCTCTGAAGCAAGATTGGACTCACTTCCTCATCACTCCGCTGCAGCGTCTCCAGCGTTATATCCTCCTACTCGAAACGGTAGAGCGGAAAATGGCTGGGGAAAGCGAAGAGATGACGATTCTCAAGAGAGCTATTGAAGAAGTCCGTGTCGTTACTTTGGAATGTGATGCCAAGGTTGCCGAGACTAACAAGAGAGTGGAAATGATGGAGCTTGACAGAATGCTCATATTGCGTCCGGGCTTCCAGGCTTTGCTGAACCTTGACCATCTTGGCAGAGTCCTTATAATACAGGGTGACTTGCAGAGGTTGAGTTCAAGCGGTATCAAATGGGTGGACACTCATGCCTTGCTGTTTGACCACTATCTCATTTTGGCCAAGGTGGTCGTCTCTAGAGATGGCAGAGGAGAAAAGAAGTATGATGTTTCCAGAGAGGTGAGCTTTTCCTATCCGTTTTCTCCTATTTTCGACGTTCAAGACGAAAATGCTAATCTGCGTAGCCTATACCGATGCCTCTTCTATTCCTGGAAAGCATGAACGACGATCCTGTTATTAAACAAAAGGGAATCACAGCTCCTCTGGCCCGTACAGCAGCCGTCGGACCAGCTGGCGCTGGATCCACAACTCAACTCAGCTCACGACCAGGCCTTGAGCACATTGCGACGAATTCCACCACTGGTTCAGTAGCAGCGCTCACCCCAACACAGTCCAACGATATCGAGGGCAACATTCTTTACCCCTTCAAGATTAAGCATCTAGGTCATGAAGTGTACACGCTGTATGCATCATCCGCCCGAGATCGGGCAGACTGGTGCTCAAAGATTGTTGAGGCGAAAACAACACATGCCAAAGGGCTGTTCTCCCAAAATGCGGAGCCCTTTAGGCTTCGTGTCCTTGCTGATGCTGCGTTCCACTACGACATCAGCTCTCCTCATGCAAGATCAGCCGGTGTTCCTGTCAAGGGTACGCCACTTGACCGAGCAATTGAGGAACTAGAAGGCGTTCTTGGTTCTGCACAAGGTGTTGCCCCCGTGTGTCGCGCCCAAGTGAATTGCGCTACCGCCTTTTCAGCGTTTGGCAAGGCTGTCATTGCAATCGGAACAGACTATGGCATCTATATTGCCGACCCTTCCAATCCGCGAGGATGGACTCGAGTAAGTGTATCCGGAGGCTTGTGTTAACCCATGGACATTTTAAATCTAACAAACTGGAAATCTAGACTGTCCAGATCGCCAGGGTCACGCAGATCGCCGTTTTAGAAGAGTTCAACGTGTGCGTTGTGATTGCAGACAAGTCATTAATATCCTATCCATTGGACGTAATCGCCCCAGTTTCAGAATACGCTCCGCCGGTCAATGATAACCCCAGACGAGCTCCCCAGAGGCTGGCCAAAGATGTTACATACTTTGCAACGGCAAGGATGAAGGACCGGACGCTGCTCTTCCACAAACGAAAGGAAGGTCTGCACACCATGTTCAAGGTCCTCGAACCTATTCTTCAGAAGTCTACAGAAAAGAAGTCGCGATTCTTCGGTAGGGGCAAGGGTGCTTCCGGAAGTACTGAGTCATTCCGTGACTTTGACGAGTTCTTCTTCCCTACGGAGTGTTTCTCCCTGAGCCTTTTCCAGACTTATGTTGCCGTGTCCACAGCCAAGGGTATTGAGATGTTAACGCTTGACAAGAAGCAACCCATCTCTATTCCGGATCTCAAAGCGCCGGCAATTGCCAATATTGCCAATCGTATCCGAGAGCAGCATCCTCTGGGAATGTTCCGACTTAATGAGAACGAATTCATCCTAACATATGAAGATTGCGCTGTGTATGTCGATAAACACGGTGAGGTCAGCAGGACCCTCATCATGGAATATACAGGCAAGCAGAAGAAGGCCAAGGGCGCAACCATGTACGGACAGTATCTCATTCTGTACAACGATGACTACGTCGAGGTTCGAAATGCCGAAAACGGACGGCTACGACAGATCATTGCTGGCCGGGACGTGCGACTGATCGACTTTGGCATCAGAGGCCCGACTGGAGACAATGCGGCCCAGGCTTCGCAGGTCTACGGACACAATGGCGGGTTGTCCACGGCGGGTGACATTTCTAAGGGAACTGTCAAGATCGCCATGTCGCACCCTGAGCTGTCAGGAAGACAAATCATTTTGGAGATGCTTCTTAATGACGGACATGTCGAATGATGAAATAGACGCGCAGTTAATGGACATGTAGAGGGACGCTGTACGAATGAGGCATGTCTACGCCGCTGTTTTAGCCTATAAACCAGCATGGTTGGTTCATGGTTGCAATATTGCCTTGTTCTTCGGGCTTCTTTCGGTGTTGTCCCCCCCTTGACGAGATGCAGCTGACAGAGGGGTAAAGAGGGCTGCCCACCATCTGAAGGATGGGATGTTGGCTTGGTCCTCTTATTTTTCCATACAATTTTCTTGTTTTTCTTTTTTTTTTTTATATCCCCTTTCCCCAGGATCTTGGAGCAGTAGATCCCTCTAATCTTCTCTCCCTTTCTTTTCTTCTTTTTTTTCTCTTTTCTCTTCACCTTTTGCGTGGCGCTGGTAGGAAGACGGGAAGAACGCCTGTGGAGAGGGAAGGACGAGGCTTCTGGATGGTTTTTTTTTTTCCTTTTCCTTCATTCCCTTTTTGATACAAAAAATGTAAGAGATCTGTCTAGGTAATAGTCTGCTAGGAGAGTGTGTTCCTTATACCACTATACATCTTTGGAATATATGAGCAGCTTGTTATGCCATTTGCACCATGATGAGTGTGATTACGAGTTTCTCATAGGAGTCGTTTGCTGCTTGTGATGAAGAGGAAACGGAGACGTCAGTATCGGATAGGAAACGTAAAATTGCTTCTAGGGCCCTACGCAACTATCCAATGGAAAAAAAAAAGTTGCCGAAAACAAAGTAAATCCCCTCGATGCCCGATGTTGCCAATCGGTGAAGACACAATGAAAAAGCCCTCCTCTAGGCGATAAAGCACGTACAAGCAACCTATAACATTTGCCACGGGAAATAAGCATAGGTAAACTGCTCTGCCCTCCCCCTTGTTTTTTTTTTTGGAGTGTTTTTGTTTTGGTTGGTCGCGAATCTCTGCGTGACGATGTCTCTATCAAGCTCGAGATTGTTTTCATGATATCGCGAAATAATGTATTAGGTATACCATACTTTTCCCCTCCTCTCCCCCTCTCCCCCGTAGTATCTTTGGTTATTTGTGTGTGTTTTTTAGGTAAGGAATACCTCCATCTCTTTAAGCCTTGACTTTGGCCTCGACAGCAGCCTCGTCACCATCCTTCTTGGACAGGTTGTGCATGGTGATACGAGAAATTTGAGCAATTCCGACCAGAGCGAGGAAGAAGTTGACAGCAGCGAGGCTATAGCAATCCAAAACATGTCAATGCTGATCCCACATAACAAGTCCGGCGAGTAGTATCGGAGATATAAAAACTTACAGCATGTTCTTGGGGGTGATGACGAAGCACCAGCGCGTCCAGATGAGACCGGTGCACATGAGGGAGAAGTTTTGCGCAAAGGACAGCTTCTCGGCCGGTCGGGTCAGATCAGAGATGCCTGCCAAGACGAGAGCCCACTGTTATGGCGGCTTTGAGTCAGCCAGAGATGAATCAATCTCACAACGGACATAAGGACTTCGGGGGGGTTATATGTCTATACATGGCAACGTCCAACAAGGCGAAAACGCGCAAAGTAAAAACGGCCGGAAGACAAGGGAAATAAAAAATAATAATAATAAAGGGCGTCTTTTTTCCTCTCACCTTCATGACGGGAGCCCAAAAGTGCACCGTCTTGATGCCGACCTCGCTCTCCCACGCCTTCTTGAACCAGCTGGCCGACTGCTGCTCCGAGGTCGTGCTCTGCCATCGCTTGCTCTGCTGGCGGAACTGGTTGCGGAACATGTGCTGCGTCTGGCTGTTGAAGAAGGGCGAGGGTCCAGCAGCGCCCTGGCGGAACAGCGGCCGGGCGGCGCGCAGGATGTTGCTCGTTGGGGCCATGACGAGCTCTGCGATTTTGTCCCGAGTCAGCCTTTTCTTGGTGTTTTGTGTAATGTATAGTGTATATGTTTCCGCGCAGTTTTGTTTCCGGAATTGAAAGAGAAAATGCTGTCTTATTGGGGAAGCAAGCGACTCACTGTAGATGTGCTATCTCGAAAAAAAGCGCCGGGGGAATCAAGAGACGAAGCAAACGCGGCCCTTTTTCTGGAGGTTGAGCAGAGCAGACGAGATAAAGAGAGCAGCAGCAACTTGTCCCAGCAGCTCCGAATAATGCGCGGGCGTTAGCGCCGGGATTCACCCGGCCATAGCGACACCGGACTTTACTTTATGCACCCGATATGCGTCGCATCGCTAGCTGCATTTCCCGGATTATGTCAGATTTGTGCAACCTCTCGTCCCTTGCATAGCACAATTATGCAAGGCTGTGCACAAGTCGCTCCACCAAAATAACGACCAAGCAGCCTCTCTCTCAACGACAAGCATCTTAACGCAGGCTTCCAGACAATTCGCCGCTTCCGCCTCTCCCAATTGACCCCCTCCAACTCCCTCCCGTCCAAAATGTCCGCCAAGTTCGCCTTCGCAAAGTCCCTCAAGGAGGTGCGCTTCCTCTTCTGCCAGACCTCCGAGCAGAGCGCCGCCGTCCGGTACGGAAAACCCTCCAAATCTCCCTCCCAGCCAAACCAACAGCCCCCCCTTCGTTGCATGGCAGCCATGATGGTCGCAGGCGAAATCCTCGGAGAATTCGCATTTTATAATCTCGCTGTTCAATTACATGCTACGGAGCTAGCCAGCCCAACTATCTACCAAGCTTCGAACCCAAGAGCGCATTTTACAACCCCCCATGGTGGGGGAGGGAGAAGAGAAGCATTATACGGACACACAAGACTGACCAGAAGCTTCGTCTTAGATCTTTCCTGACAAAACAATACCCTGTCATCAAGCAGGCCAACCCAAACACCCCGATCCTCCTCCGCGAAGCCGCCGGCACCCTCCCCAAAGTCTACGCCAGATTCGGTACGTTTGCAATATATTTCCCCGTCCAAACCCAGAGAGAAACATATGAGGCGGAATAAAAGAAGAGGAAAAGGCAATTTAAGCCGCGTGCTAACGATAGACATGATTCTAGAGTTTGGCAACGAAAAGTCACAGTCTCTCGAAGGCCTGACAGACAAGCAGATCGAGGATACCGTTTCAGGGCTGGTAAAGGCGTAAATGTGACGAGACTGTATATATAAAAAAGAAGAAGAAAACTTGTCTGCATAGCTTTGACTGCGTTCGAGTGAGGGGGAAACAAAGATATCAAATGGCGTAACGGTATATGCGCCACGATGTAAGAGTCCAAATGCATAGATGAAAACTATACCAATGTTTCAATGCTGCCCTCCATGGAAAATGTGTCTATTAACAAAACATCTTGCGATGCTGAGCAGAGAGTCGTACATTACAACGTCATCAATTGAAGTCAGACGCAAACTAAAAAGACTGAGAAAAAATACTGAATATCTGAATTTCTACACATGTAAAAGGCTTCCAGATGCTTATATCGCAACAAAAGCTACACACTCTAACTCATGATTATATGCCCAATAGCGTTCTAGGAAAAGCTAGAAAATATAAAGGCAGGCTCTGTTGTTAACAGGGGAAATGGTCTGTTCATATTCTCCAAAGACATGTCGTTACTGAAGAGTAGAAGACCTCACCCGAGACACCGGCAATGCAGGCCAATCCTGCGTATCGAGATCAACATTCTTCTTTCTACCATCCTTTGAAGGCGACGCAGCATTCGAATTCGCCAATTTGATGTTTTCGCGTTCCCGTTGGTGTCTGTCTTTGGACCAGTCGCGCTGGATTTCATTACGACTGTTCTCCTGCTGCTTGGTCGAGCTCTCGAAGTTGTCAGCCCCTCTGAACCCTTGGCTGAACTTTTCTCTCAATTGTGGCGCTTTTGACGGCGAGTTATGTGCCGTCACTGGCCTTTTTATGATCTTGAACGTAGCGGGGGGCTGGATTTTCTCGAGAGGGGCCTCTCCTGATCCTGCTCGGGAAGAGGCTGCTCTAGGAGAATACGAAACGGTCTCAGTGCCGGCAGTCGCCTTGCGAGGAGACACGAAAGCAGTTGCGAGTGGATTCAAGCGGCTTTTCTTGGAAGTATCAGATTCTCCTGCGTGGGTTGCCAAACTGCCTGTACTTGCACTCTCGGTGTTGGGTGTTGGCATCAGGCCGCCGGCACCAAATCTGGACTGTGATGGTGCAAATTTGCTAGCTGCCGATGCTTCGAATGTCTTTGAAGTGATGGTAGGGTATTTGTTCTTTCGCTTCTTCGGAATTTTCAGAGAGCCGCCCGCATTATTCCTGAAATCCGGTCGGCCACGCGGTAGGGTATCGTAGGGATATTGAGTTCTGTTACCCGTTATTGCCTGCTCCTTGGACTCTTTGAACGGCTCAACTGATGATCTATCAATCTTTAGAGGCAGACAAATAGAATTAAGAGGGGACTCGGTAATTGTAGGGGCCAGTATGAGAGTATCATGATTCATCTGAGGCTTCTCCTTCGCAGGCATCGTGGATATTCCTAAGGCGGACGGCGACACCTCCTGGCTGCCAGTCTCTTTTTGCAGTTCATTCTGTGGTGCTGAGGCTAGGCGTTTCTTGGCCTTTTTGTTCTTGCCCCATTTACTTTTCGGCTTGCCTTGGTTATTTGCCTCATCACTTGCTTTGTTCTCATTAATGGACAACACCGTCCCAGGGGGTATGGTTGAATCCTCAATCGATTGCACTGATACTGATTGGAATAGCTCAGACGGCTTTAGTTTAGAAGAAGAAGAATCTTCATCATTCTTAATCCTGGCCCTTGGCAACTCTTTTGACACAAAGTGCCTTTGTTCAAGGCCGGGGCCTTCATTTTTCGTAAGCTGCTGAACTCCATCCTTGACCGGTTCCTCAATTCCTCTCCTGAACTGCTCGGGTTTTGTTTCGTCCACACCTGGAATGCCAGATGGCTCCAGCTGAACCTGCTCCTCAATACACGCCACAGAAATGCTCGTGTCCTCCATCGCATTACTTGAGAGCTTCTTTTGAGTTAGTTGGCCGGAAGTGACAGACGTTCCTAGTTTCTTGGATTTCCGTGGATCCAATGGCATAGGAATCCTATTCCAGGCCTGTTTTCGTTCTTTGATCTCATCTTCTGTGAAGATATTTTCAGAGGTTTTCGTTGCTGACGGTAAATCTGCGACCACTTTGGAAGCAGAAAATTGTGTCTTCTTCAAGTCGGCTGATACTGCTAGTTTGTTTATCTCCACGCTCGTGTCATTTTGCACAACTTTGTCAATAGTGCTAGTGTATGGGAGAGGGCTGGCCACCTTTTCAGGTGTTGGAGTTTCTTTATTTTCTCCCTCCTGACTCTTCGGCGTGCCACTGTCATCTCTTGTATCTGAATGAGAAGCAGCAGTGGATAAGTTTGCTTTGGAGACTTCCACTATCACACTAGCTGGCATCAGAGGACTGCTTGGTAATGCAATACGAGCCTTCTTAGGCAAAGTATATCCGCCATCCTCGCTCCCCGGCGTCGTTTGACTGCAGCTACTGTCTTTCCCGCCAGCAGATTCCGCCGGCAGAGGCTTTGGTTGAGACAGAATCTCTTTCTTCTTGGACTTTTTTGTTTGCATGGAAACTGCAGGCCGAGTGAAATCTTGTTCGGGCTCGTGGTGCTTCTCGTCTTTTACAGTGGCTGCTCGGCCATGACTGTGAGCGGTCTCCAAGATCTCCCTTGACTGGTCGTTATCTGGTATAATAGCGGACTCAACAACGGGCAATGCAGTATCCTGAGTCATACTCTGGCTTGATTCCATTGCATGGGACAAGACTTCGGTACTTTTGTGACCTGACGAGATGCCAAGTTGGCCTCGTTCTGGAGTATGTGTAGCAGTCGCCGACGACGACGGACTAGGACCTGCTGTATGCCCATGATCAATGTTCATGCCTGATGGGCTTGAGGAAGCCCACATTGGTTGTTGATGTATAATTGGTATTGATGGAAGCCTCCTTGTCTGCTGGTGTTGGTGGATGTTCATCCATTTCGATCGATAGACAGGCCGAATGAGTACTTCAATGCCCTTCTCTGCAATCTTGCATGAACCAACTGCAAGAGCTTGTGGCACAGATGACTCCTTTGCGAATCTATTTGCAAGATTAGTATAAATCAACAAGCAGTAGACATAGCCAAAATACAGTACCTCACGATGAATGCATCTCTACTTTGCGATGGGGCCGGATAAGCCTCTTCCACTGGGCCAAACCTATTGCCGATTCCAAATTTGAGGATCGTTTGAATATCCATATTCGGCCCAAGAGTCTCAGCGCGAATCCTAACCCATATGCTCCTATTGCGTTCGGTACAGCCACTGCAATCGCAAGGAGTGTATTCCACATTGTTCGGACCTGCAGGATTGAGGCACCAAGAGCTCTGTCGAGTGCTATCCGGTTGAGCACTTCGTCTCCATGATTTATTCAAATAGGACTCGCGAGGAGCAGTATGACGTTCCAATTGAGCCTGCTGGCCCGAATTCCAACCCTGAGCCTTTCGGCCATTCGATTCTCGACGCTGGGCTACCTTATTATAGGATTGGCCGCCACTTCGGTATTCGTTGTGCAAGGAGGAGGTTGAGGATCCATGCAATAATTCAGGCCGAGCTGGTTGAGCAAACTGAATACTTTCATCAGACCCATTATTAGCCAAGTTGCGCGATTTGGAAGCTGGTGCTATGGCTGGCATAGCGCCAGAATGCGCTCCAGTAGTGACTTGTTGGAAAGGGGTGATTTCAGACGCCCCAGAAAACTCCCTATATGGGCCAGCATGAGGTGCCGGTCTATTTGCGGAAGAGTATTGGCTGCTGCTATGTCGTGGGAATCCATTGGTTGATGCAAGGTGCTGTATGAAAGGCTTTTCCGGCTGCATATAGAAAGGAGTCGGCTCCGGTGACGCTCTCATGGGAGCCGCGAGGTTTTGTCTCGTGAAGTCATCCGGCGAGTTCCCAAAATGTTGTCTTTGATCCTGCGTTAACCTGCGGACTCTCTGGGAGGAATGCAATGACCTCATTGTGGCATGGTTGTCAAGAGGCCCATCTGTAACCTGAGTTTGACATCGTTCAAGTCTCATGGCTTCATATGGTGGGAATTGGCCTTCATCTCCCGGGTGAACTCTGCTTTCGAGTTTTCGAGCCGCCCCTGAGTACTAATCAGGTCGTTCGATAGCTCGAGGTTGATAGAGATGATTCCTATTGGGTACGAAAGTTTCTCTCTTATCATACGGCTGGTCAATAGATGCAATGTTTTGCTTGACTTGTTCCAGCTCGGCGACCTCCCTGGTGAGCTTGTCCATCATGCTCTCTCCGCCACATTTCTCCGAGGCCAAGGTGTGGTCTGGAGACTTTTTGCTACAAGTTGGCAACGTCGCTGACTCAGAACTTCGTCTTGTCTCTGTGACGGAAGTAGCTCCATTAACAGCCGCCATCGAAGTCTCATTGCGCTTTGTATCTAGACTGGAGCCTGAAGCCACAGGAGATGATGTCTCTGGCATAGATGCAATTCTTCGGGGATCATTCTGACTTTCAAGTTCACCGAATTTCTTCTTATCTGCTTTGTTGATGGAGTTTTGCAGTTGTTTTGGTATATTACTGCCGTTAACGATGACTACACCAGACTTGGTAAGTTCGGGTTGTCGCGAGGGTACAGCGGCCTCGACGGATTTCTGCAAAGCTTTAACAGCTTGAACAGGTCTGTGAGATGGCTCTGGATGTGAGAAACAATGCTGTGGGAGAAAGTAATGCTTCCCATTTTCCACAAAGCAGGGAGCTGGCTCGTTCAGCGCCGACGGGCCGCGATGGGGCTCAGACACGGGAGGGGGCGGCAAACCATTGCTCTCAAAAACTCGCTGTCCAGCTAGAAACAAATTAGTCTTTGTGGTCACTTGGATTCATTCAATCATTAAACAACTTACTAAGCCAGTTTTCAATGCTGTTTGTCCGACATGCCGTCATCAAGTCTGCAGGCTCTTCAACTTGCTCCGTCTCCTTGTTGGAGAGGAGAAAGCTGCGACGGCCTCTCAACGCGCTTGCTATCAGTGGCACCACATCATCGTGTATCAATCCCAGAGAGTTATGGTCTTGGTCATCCAGAATGCGGAAGATGGGGCCATGAGATTCCTGCCATTTGATTAATTTCTCCCGATTTTGCTTTTGCTTCAGCCACTCATCCGCCCAGTGACCGATATGCGCAGCAACTTCTCGCCTTACATCCACGGATATGAGCTTGTTTTCATCCCAGAGTGTATTGATGACGTTCCAAAGATTTATGCAGCCGTTATGATAGAGGTCATGGGCGTCGAAGAATGTCCACAAATCATCCCAGCAGTGTGGCTGCTGCATATGCTTCAGCTCATTCCAGTAGACTTTGCGGAGCGAGTTACAAATGGCCTGGATTTCGTCTCTGGACCACAGATGGATTCGACGCTGGGGTAAAATGTGATCCAATTTGCGAAATGGACGACTCCCATTCGAGGTTGAAATGAAGGCTTTTGCCTTGGACGGCACATTGGTATAAAATCCAACGGGAAGGTGGTCTTCTAAATAGGTCTGAGCCACTCCATGAGAGTGCACGCCATGCATCATTTTATAGGTGACGGGAATTCCATATGGATAATATTTAGCAAATGCTGCGCGATCTCCGAGCGGGAAGTTTTCGGCATGAACTCGAGGAAACCCAGCCGCATAGAGAACAGGATGTGGAGCCGGCTGTAGATTCATCTTGATGGTTTCGGCCATGATGGAGGCTCTTGACAACGGAAGAGTTAGTACAAAGGTTGAAAGGACTTCTGAAAGAATAGGAAATTCGAGATTCAAAACAAAGAAAAGACAAAAGAAGGTTGAAAGGATCAACAAAGGGAGAGGACGCGAGCATCAAAGGTTACTCGCACGCAAGCAAAGTCTCAAGCAAAGCAGCAAGAATGAAATCCAAAAAAAGAGCCCGTGGCGATCAAGATAGATGCGAGAGAGAGAGAACGAGAACGGGATGATTTTGTGGAGAAAGGAATCGCTGCAGAGATGAGATGACTGTAAAATATCTTACTTCAGGTGCAAGTACTCTTTTCTTTTGAGGAAGGTGCAACTTGCGCAACGAGTAGTATCCTCGCTTTGTTCCGAAACGATGATCGGGCAACTGAAAAGAGGCGAAATGCGATCTTGAGAGGCAATTGGCACGAATTGCAACTAGTAACTCTGTTGGCTTATCCAAGGATCGTTGTATCGAACGATGAAGGTCTGCCTTGATGAGAATGAAGTCGCTGTAACGAGAAGAGACGAGATGGAGAGAGAAGTGAGAGGATTTTTGCTTGTTTGTATGTTTGTTTTTTTCAGGTGAATTTATTGTGCGGTTACTAATATTTCATCTGATCTATCAGGGCACAGAGAAGAAAGTGATGGCGAGGTGAATCGGCCTGATAGACCAATTTGACAGCTGGTTGACAGTTGTCTCGATAGAGCTCCACCTGGCTGCTCAGATGGCATCTTTTTCTCTCGCGAATATTGGCATCTATTAGATTCATCTTAATTTAATACTGATAGCCATACCAATCCCTCCATAGACGTTGATTACTACCAGGTGCCTGATGCTGCAGAAATAATACATGCAACGAGTTGGCTCGCTGCGTTGATGCCTGTCAATTGAAGCGCAAGTTCAGTTCCAGAGGCTTTACAAGGTAGTACAGCCTAACTGAAAGACCTACCGTTGTTACGTTATCAGGTTGTTGTGCGGTGTTAGGCTTCAAGATACCATGGGGAGCGTCAAAGTATCAGTTGTAAAGAGCAGTCCTATTTCCCCCTCTCTTTACTGCCGTCTATAATGCCCAAATGTCCATGGTAAGAGTGGGGTATACATTCATAAAAGATACAGAGTCAAAAGCTGTTTATACATGATTTTCTATGGTGCTCACTTTTGAGCATTGAGGAGCTTCAAGATCTCGGACTCGTTGTCTCCCGCAATCGCCTTGCCATTACTCCAGTCAACGGTCTATCGAGGCGTTAGTTACCGGATTCCGCAAGCTGCCTTTCGTCGCATCACTTACCAATGGTCGCAGCAGATTCTCCTTGTTCTCCTTGAACTTCTTCAGCGCATCCTTGTCATCTCTTGCCCCCTTGACGATCTGAGAGGCACCGCTCTGGCCGACATACTCCAAGATTGTCTGCACTTGGTCGACAGTGGGGGCGTCTTCGGTAATATTCAGCTCAAACGGATCACGGCGAGCCTCGGAATCTTGAGTAGCGCTCTTCTGGGCGCTTGTCGAAGCCTGCTTCAGCAGATTGGAAACTCGCACAGAGGCCGGGGAGCTGGCCTTGTGGAAGAGCGTGATGATGTCGAGCGTCTTGTGCTAAACGACGGACCTTGGTCAGTAACAGCTGCTGCAGAGAATAATGTTACAGCTGGGGTAGCCAAATTGACATACAAATCGGAACATTTTGGGCTATTATGGAGGATATTTGCGGAATCTCAAGCTGTAAGCGGCAGTTCGTTTTGCGCTCTATGTTGCCGTGAATGACGTTATTTTCGTTCAGAACTTATCCCGCGCATTAGCAGCAGTGGAAGCTCAAGTGGCCCGTGCGGAGCTCCAAAAGAGTACCTGCAAGTACCTGTTTCTGGCCGCTACTAAACAGGCAAGGCATCAGCTAAGCTACCAAATGTAACCATTCATGCCTGGAATGTAATTTCTGGGCAAATTACCACAATGCGGCATTCATGCATTTCTAATTTCTGATCCTATTCCCATAATTCTTCTAGCCATGAGAATTCTATGCGTTGATTCGACCCAACGTCTGTTTTCCTCCCGCCCTTATTCCAAAACGCCATCCCCATCTGCAATTACGTGCGACGAGCGACCCAAATGCGTCAACCATAATACCGAAACCAGATATACCAGCTCTGTGAAGAACTCCCTCCATGTTCAATATGTAGTCTTCATTGCCGGATTTCCTCCATTAGGCAGCCATTATGCCACTAGGAGTTAGAAAATCAGGGGTAGCCACGGCAATGAAGATTGAACTAGACTCTGCCGTCACCGTTATAACGGGCATCAAATTCTACGCCTGCTTCTTAAACTTCTTCCGGATATCTTCTTCGGAAAATTTGCGCGTTAAACGCTTCAAGAACTCGACTCGCCCCTCCATGGTGAGATCGGCCTGGGCTCCAAGAGGAACCATACACTTGGCAAGGTGCTCATAATCCTTGACCATCAAGCGGTAGGTGATCATGAGAAAGTCAATGTTGTGAAACAAGATTGCGGCTTCTTTGCCGTACGTCTTTCGCTGCTCCAGGAAATGGATTGGGTGATCACGCCAATGTCTGCGTGGGTTGAGGTGGTGAGAAGTGTGATAGCCATCGTTGAAGCAGAATCGGTTGCTCTGTAAGCAAGTTAGTTCCTATTCGGATTGAAGCCATAACAAAAGATTTAGGCTGTACTCACTGCAACGTCCACCAAGGTGATGCTGGATCGATAGTCGGAATCCGGCTCATCGGGGTCAACAAAAGCATGCTGGCCCCAATTGCCCGCCATCAATCCCAGTCGTAGCAACAAGAAGGGGATGATGTACACGAAAATGGTGGCCTTCTTGTTCACAAAGGTTGCCATGGTATAATAGAAGAAATAAGTTCCGAATTCACACCCTGCCGCACGCACAGCCAGTCCCCAGCGGCTCTTTCGGGCAAAGTACATGGGAAGGTCCAGCCAAACGAGGCAAAAGAACCGTCCAACGTAGTGAAGAAAGTGGAAGATGTCGTCTCGCTGATAGCGAATTGTGGAGGATAAGTCATCCGGACCGTTGCCCTCGATGTGGTGATGCTTGACATGGTGGTAGTAGTATGAGTTCCAGGTATGTCCCATCAACGGGTCCGTAATGTATGGGAACAACTTGTCGAATGTGGAGTACTTCTTGGCCAGAATTCCACGCTGGTGGATGTGCTGGTGCATCATAAGAGTGTAGGTGCCAACATAGTAGACTTGCATGATGGCATGAATAATTCCGTGGATGAGGTTGAAGTTTCGAAACAGCAGAATTGCGCTTGGTACTGAGGTCGTGAAGTACAGTATCAGATGAACGATGAACACCACGTCTGTCTCAAAACGGGCTGTTTTCCGTGCCCAGCTGATAAACGGCTGTAGAACCAGCTTGTTGACTGATTTGGGGAGACGGCCAGGGAGGTCATCGATGGATACGAATATGGTAGGCTCAAAGTGAGCATCTCCAGGATTTCTCATGGACTTGAGGAGGCCAATGTCTTTTGCAGCTGAGTCCGTCTCCTCTCCCTGCTGTGACTCGGTCTGAGACCCGGGTGAGACATGGTGCCAGTCGCTGTCGATTTTAGTATCTGGCTGGGCATCCCGTCTCTGAGCAATGTCGTTTTCCAGATTTTTCAGCACAATATAGTCTGCGCGGGTGAGACCGCGGTCGTAAACCAAGGCACTTGTCATGGTGAGCGTATCGCAATTGGAGAGCAGCCAGAGCTTCACAAAACGGAACCAAGCTCCTAGAAAAGCGCACCAACGATATTATAAACAAATCGAACCATGGCAGAAAAAAAATCCCCCTAATATCGCTCAACCGCTTTCTTCGGACACGCCTGCCAGCGCATCCACCTGCGAGATTGCATGGGGCTCCGCATTTTGGTATCCTTCACGCCCACGGCAGATTCCAAGCTGCGAAACCTAGTCTGGACTAAGCCTCTCCGCTTGGAATGGCTTGAACTTACAATGGCAACAAAGGCTATTTGCGGTTTTGCTTGATTTGCGCCTGACAGCTGCTAAGCTTTGCTCAATTTCGCCAAAGTTTTGCCCGGCCGCTCGCCCGGCTCTTGCGTCTCCACTGATTGGCTGCCGGTCTCTCCAAGGAGAAGAACAGCTGCCTTTGCCGTGATGCAGACCGGAAAAGGAGGCCAAAAGAGTACATTCTCGTACTATTCGGTAGATTACTAGCTAGTAGATCAACTTGGTCCCCTAATAGTGGATCTCAGCGTTGGCCATGTTGCGGTGAATCTGTACCACATACGGGGGCGCCACCGTCTTGAAGTCGTATTGCGGAGCAAGTTCTTCAGCCGAATGGACAACTGCATTAACTAGCAGTTTCACATCCTCAATCTATAATAGGCATATTGCTATTCTGCATCTTGCGTGTTTATGGAGATTCGTCATTAGGGGCTCCATTCGCTCTATAATTGATTGTAGCAGTGATGAGCCACCCCCGTCTCATGATCCTCCGTAGCTGTTTAGCCCCAAAATGCTTCCCGTTCCACGTAACGCAGCAACGCAGACGGGTACTAGTCCCTGGGGCTGAGCCGCTCCTGAAGATGCTCATTTCAGGCGTTGTTGGCGATACATGTAGAATCGAGAGATTCTAGAACCAATGGAAGGACGAATAGTATTGATTCGCTTCAAGGTGCTAGAGGCTCATCTTAAAAGGGGCAAGACATGGGCCACTAGCGCCATGGTTGCTTGTAACCATAGTCATATATCACATTTTCGATCCAATCATGTAAAAGCTCCCAAGTGCGTGGTACGATATAATTGGGTTTGACAGTTCGGAAGAAAATGCAGAGGGATATTTCTTTTCAAGGACGATAGAATATCGAGGAATCGAATGCAGCCATCAGAGATGACTCGGCATGTATAGGCGCTGTGTGGTTTCTATACCTTGCCCGTGCAGGGTAGTCTGGGTCAACACAACTAAACATCAGAACTGTTTACACAGAGGTGCGAGTGCAGAGATCAAAACATAGAATTATAGAAGTGGTCGATGTTGCATTTGCTGCGAGGTGGAACGAACATTTGTGCCATCGTGCTGCGTATACATGGATGCCGTCCGGAATACGGCATGAGATTCGCTGGGAACGACCTTCGACACTACATTTACATCAACACACCCACAAGTCCACCAAACTTGATAATCAGTTACAGATATCATTTGTCTATTAATACAATAGCGTCAGATTCTACACATTAGTTTTTATGTCAATCATTGAGATTCAACAACCATGACGTAGGATGAAGTCACATAATAATGTGGAGAATCGTTCAAAACCGTCGATTTTGCTCAAGATCGATGTATTTAAGAGCATCTGAGAGCCCCAATAGTTACTCGAAAACACTTTTTGACACCAATTGTAGTACGCACTGCAAAGAGTTACAACTAGCAACCGTATCAGCCGATTTCACCTTACTGATAAAAACAGCAACTAGTCATGTCCGGGTATCCCAGCGTCGGCACATCTGGAGTATACGAAGCAGGTGATCAAAGAAATGCAAAGAGATCTGAGATGCAACAAGCAGAGAGATACAACGAGGGCCAACATGGATCACATATCGGAACTGATTCAAGTAAATATCTTCCATAGATCGCATTATACTGGTGTTTATGCTGACCTAAGCTCAGAAGACCAATGCTCCATTGCGAATAGGCTAGCTGCAGAAGAGGTAGGTTGCTTGATCTCACCTTTGGAACAGCATCTGATCTATTTGAAGCGGAGAGCAGAGCCTGGATATGACACTGAGACATCTATCAAAAAAGACCCGACACTGCCGGTCAGTGCTCAATTCCCTGTCTCTGAACCATCAACTAACAAGACCAAGGCCAAAATGCACGGCAATGAACCTTCAAAGGGGGCCAAAGTCGACGCTGAGCTAGTGGCTGACGATGAAGAATATCTCAGACGGAAAAGCAAGGCATAGTTGGATTCGGATGGGTCGACATCATGTGCATTGTCAACACAGGATCAGAGGTGAGGTCTGGGGGGAGAGTCGCAGTCTCACTCAGCACAGTAGGGCTCGACGACGACGAGTAACATGAGTGGAACCATGGCCATGGACAGGTCTCACGATATCGAGACCATGAAGAAAACACAAAAATAGATTGATTGCATGCATCACTGAGAGATCACGACTGCGGAAGAGAGGATAAAGATTGAATGAATAACATTTTGAATTGAATTGAACGCTATACATATATATATCATCTGTAAATCTCTGTCAGCCATGGCTCAAGCCAAACGAAGAATGAATAGTAAACGAGGATAAACAACAAAAGTTCAGAATATGTAAGAAAAGTTTCTCATTTGTTCATTTGGTATAGCATCCCCGGCGAGGGAGCCACCGCATGTGATCAACCGCAAATTACCTCATCATAGTACTGTTGCTTGATGGAAAAGAAAAATGCATTCTTACCTTGACAATCACAGGAATATCTGATCGATTCCTGGCTAGGAATCTTGCATTTCGACCTCAAAAGGTCCAGCAAAGATAATTAACGAAGAGCTCGAAAATTTTAGCTCGAAGTCGACGCAAAGAAAAAGGAACAGCAATTGGTCCGTGCGCCACAAAGGCGCCAAATGCGTAGTCAGCAAGGCAAAACAGAAAATCCGAAAATTTTCAATTAGGGCAAATGGGTATTTTCTGCCCGCACACTCTTAGATAGCCGAGCCCTCAAAAAGTCATTGGAAGGTGAACGCTGCTCCAGAGAACATCCACCCGAACGGCAGATAATCGTCGACATCTGGTATGATACACGCGTCTTCCTCCACTTCATTCATACACCGAATGAATTGCGACTTCGTCGAATGAACACAGCCGACTAACACGACATCGAAGTAGATTCCGTCACAATGGGCGAAGCACTGATTGAGGGATCCAACTGGCGCCTCGTTGAGGTCGGCCGTGTTCTGCTGATCAACGGCGAGCACCCCTACAACGGCCGTCTGGCTGCCATCGTCGAGATCATCGACCACAAGCGAGTACGTTGACGTGTTCCCTGGCGCAATGCGAATCCGCAAACCGGATGGCTAATCCGATGACATCTAGGTTCTCGTTGAGGGCCCTTCCTCAGACCCTAAGCTCAAGGTTCCCCGACAAGCCCTGCACCTCAGCAAGGCTCTTCTCTCCCAGTTCGTCATCGAGAACCTGCCCCGAGGCTCCCGACACACCGCCTTGACCAAGGCTTGGGAGAAGGCCGAGATCGACGCCAAGTGGAAGGGCAGCAACTGGGCCAAGAAGCGCGAGCAGATTGAGCGGAGAAAGGCCCTGACCGACTTCGACCGCTTCAAGGTTCTGCGCCTCAAGAAGCAGCGACGATTCGAGGAGCGCAAGGCTCTGGCCAAGATCAAGGCCTCCGCATAATTGGGTTGTTCGCTCTGGAGTCACGGAGAGGTTGATCGGATGGTATTAGAATGAGGGACATGGGCCCGGGCAGGAAACGCATTTACAGCAGCAAAAGATCTGCTGGATTCATTTTTGCTCCCGTTCTGGAAGGGCTGTATGTTGTCACATATCATCGTTTATGATGAACGGCGTCAATACGGAAATTCAGACAAAATGAATTCAAAGCTTATAGGGAGGATTCTCATTGTGGATCACTGTGATTTCGTGTAGTCAAAAAATATCTATGAAATGCATGTAAATCAAACACTACGGAATTCTCCTTTTCCTCCTGATATACCACATGCGACTTGTACCTTTTTTTGGGACTCCGAGTTCTACTGCCATAGAGCGCAATTGTCTTGGCTCACGCCTTGCGACCAAAAAGCCTTTGATTACCTAATTTGGGTTAGCCGGCATCATCCACCCAAACCCTAGAAATTCGCAGTTCAAATCTCCAACACAAATCGGCATTGCGCAGCGTCACGTCGGAGTAACAAAATAGATTAATCTTCAAGCTAATCGCATCAAATGTGAGTATCGATCGTTGCAGCTTTTTCTCTCCCTCTTGAAAAGGCTAGGGCGGCATCAGGTGACAGAGAAGCTCGCCCGGCTCATTTCGCTGAAGAAGAATATTTTCGTGCGAAAAGAAAGAGGGGACACAAGCTAATCCCGTTATCCCCCACCAGTCACCAAAATGGCCAACCCTCGAGTTGAAGAGCTTCCCGACGACGAGACCAAGACCAAGCCCACGGTCGAGGAACAGGATGATTCCAGCGATGAATCCGAAGCTGAAGAGCTTGGCGATGGATCTCTCCCCGCCGGTTCTACTGCTGTAGTCCACTCTCGCTACGAGAAGAAGGCCCGCAAGGCCCTGCTGGAGAAGGGCAACTTGGTCCGAGTCCCTGGCATCACCCGCGTCACTCTCCGCCGCCCCAAGAACGTAGGTCTCTCGAGATTTGAAGGCGGCTTGCCTGGGTTGAGATCTGGAAATGGAGACTAAACGGATATGCACAGATCCTCTTTGTCATCAACAACCCCGAAGTCTACAAGTCCCCCAACAGCAACACCTACATGTGAGCAAAAAAAATCCTCCCGGGGAATGGTGTAGCATGCATCTAACCTAGTTGCAGTGTCTTTGGTGAGGCTAAGATCGAGGACATCAACGCCACCGCTCAGCAGGCTGCCGCCGCTCAGCTTGCCCAGGCCAACGCCGAGGCTGAGCACGCTGGCCACAACCACGACCACGACCACGATCACGACCACGACCACGACCACGGCAAGGAGGGCGAGGCCGAGGCCAAGAAGGAAGAGGAAGAGGATGACGGTGAGGAGGTTGATGCCGAGGGTCTGGAAGATAAGGACATCGAGCTCGTCATGACCCAGGCCAACGTCAGCCGCAAGAAGGCCGTAAAAGCACTAAAGGAGAACGACAATGATATTGTCAACTCCATTATGGCATTGAGTATCTAATGGCGTGGATATGGGCAGGGTGCTTGAAATTATCTCATTAGTCTGCGCAACTATATGCGCCTAGGGATCTGTATTATTGTTCATCCAAGAGCTTTACTCGTCCTTGAAGAAAGAAAATGATGGCATGAAAGACGAGACTGTGCATGTTTCTATGAGCCATTGTGACAAAGCTTTTACGGCATTCGAGAAATTAAGGAGCAGTATGAAGATGACGCTCATAAGCGGCTACATATATGCAAGATGGTAAATCTTGCAGTGCTCTACGATAGTCTAATCCCTTGTTATTTTGCACGCCCGCACCCAATGAACGACCTGAGCTCCTCACAAGCTCATCAAGGAGGGGGTATCAAATGCATCCAGCTCAAACTAGCAGCGGCCGGCTAGAAAAGAGTCATGCGTAAAGTCACGTGATGCGATTTGTGCAAGCGGCCCCGGGCTGGCAAGTTCGGCAAAGTCAATCAACCTCCGTTAAAGATCTCGCTCTCTGATCCCAAAAGAGACCTCACATCACATCTCAAAATGGCGGCCACGGTTAGTTTGTTCCCCAATTGGCGCAAGATGTTTCGATTGTCGAATGCCGCACGGAGAAACGTGGCGGTCGACGGCCGACCGACATGCGCAACATTGCGTTCGGCGTTCATGAGCTAATTTTCATTTTCTTCCGAATAGCGAAGCGCAGCTCTCAAGCTCGACTGGGTCAAGGTCTCCTCGTCCCTGGGCCTCCGCGGCCAGACCGTCACCTCCCTCCAGGCCTTCAAGAAGCGCAACGAGGACGCCCGCCGAAAGGTCCAGCAGCTGTCTGAGCAGCCTACCGCCGTCGACTTCGCCCACTACCGCTCTGTCCTGAAGAACCAGGCCGTCATTGACGAGATCGAGAAGCGATTCAAGGCCTTCAAGCCCGTCACCTACGATGTCTCCCGCCAGATCAAGGCCATTGACGCCTTCGAGGTTGAGGCCGTCAAGAACGCAGAGGCCACCAAGCAGGCCGTCGACCTGGAGCTGAAGGACCTGGCCGCTACCCTGAAGAACATCGAGGAGGCCCGACCATTCGACGAGCTTACCGTTGATGAGGTTGCCGCCGCTGAGAAGTCCATCGACGAGAAGACCGCCGAGCTGGTGTCCAAGGGCAGATGGATGGTGCCTGGTTACAAGGTATGTGCATTTCCCGGCTTTGTGACATGCAGCGCTAATACCCCGTGCAGGAGAAGTTTGGCGATCTTGCCATTGTCTAAGAAGTTCATTATTACCCAATTTCAACTTCCCTATGTGTACTCTAGCATTGTAGATACAAGAACTCGGGGCAGGGGCGTCAAGTTTCTGCTGTTTCTCCATCTCCTGCGTCCCCATATGTATTTGTGCACAAGAAGAGAGAGAAAAAATTAAAACATAAATCTCGAAGTGGCGATAGACTTAAAATGGAGGGGCACTACTGTGTGGGAGGATCAATTCTAATAATGAATTTCTAACAGCAAGTGTTATGTGATGATGTATTGCGCCAGTGGTATATCTGTCTGCAAGACCACTTGTACTGTCTAAAACATACACCATAGAAGCGTGACAATAACGCTTGCGGCCCATCTCGAAACAAATTTGAGCCTTCTAAATATATGAAACCAAATCAAAGAAAAAGGATAATCTCTCAACTCCTCCCATAGTAATGCTCGTACCCCGTAGCAAGCCCCTGTTTTGATCGCAAAACATATCACAGATCTTGGAAATATATATGCATATATCTCTCTCTTTTCATCCCCTCGTCCCTCGTCTTCCGGTTCTAAGTCTACGCCTTTGCATATTTATCTGTCCACTCTCTTGCCGTTGCTATGGCTGCCACCTCGTCTTCTTTCCAGCTCTTGGCAACATCGGGGGCGAGAGGGTCATCGGGGTTGGGAGCACCTAGGAGGGCCTGGATGGAGAGCAGAATCGTTCGGATCTGCAGCGCAGGCGACCAGTTGTCTGTGACGACATGTAAGCATACTTGTACAAGATTCAAACTTCGAGAGGCTCGTTCTTAATAACGTACTCTTCAGCACATCCAGGCAAATGCGGCCCAACTTGTCAACGTTCGGGTGGAAAATCTTGGTGAGGAATCGAATCTTGGGCGGAGTCATGGGATAATCATCTGGGAGAAACAGCTCGAGCTTGAAAATGCCGCCTTATGCTTCTGTCAGTACCTCTGCTCCCGCTTGCGCCATCTTCAAGGGACCGGCCATAATACCTTCGTATGGTGACGACGCGGGACCGTGGATCTCGACGTCAAAGTACCGCAGGTTGTCTTCGTGAGGTACAGCACTGATTCCGGGAACTCTACACCAAGCGAGATGTCAGTGAAACGGACAGGAGCGACATGACTGGGAGCGTCTGGATGGAGGGGCGCACGGTTCGGCCATAAGGCGTTCAGTCTCCTTGATGATGCGCTTTGGGAGGGCCATCTTGGCGTATTCTCGTCGGCTTTAGGAGCAACACAGGTCTGCTTAGAAGAGTAGGAATAGAGGAAAGACAGTGGTCTGAGACTCTTCTGCTGACGACACAGATCGCAGTTGTCGCTGTTTAGCGCGAAGGCTGAGTTGTGCAGGGTAGAAAGATGAGGCGGGGCATGCGACGCTGAAAAGACAAGCCCGGCAAAGGCAGCAGCAGAGGGGCTGTTTGCGATAAGAGGCGCAGAAACAGAGGGCGACAAGAAGAGCAAGATTTTGCTTTTGCTTGTTTCTAAAGGCTTCTCTGGTTCAGTGGAGTATCGACGAGTCTCTTATTTGCCTGATGAGTGCTCTCTATGACGCCTGCTTGCTTTGCATAAGGCTGAATGTTTGTTCGGAGACGATCAGAGTAAAGTTTTCTGTGCTGGACGGCCCGTTACTCGGTGCTACCGGTACGGCGCAGTTCGCTTTATCAGAACCTGGAAGCGATACACTGGCTGTAGTGGGCGGTACAGCACCTTGATAGGCCCCTACAGAAGGGGAAAGTCCAGCTCAGGTACCGATGCGAATTAACCACCCAACCTAGTGACTTGCAGGGTACTTGTAGCGTCAACGCCCCTTGCCGTCAAATCATGGCGCGCATTCAGCCTAACTCAACCACCATCGCAGCATCATCTGACGGCGCTCAGCCGATTGATTACTTTCTGTAGCCAGAAGGCGGCCCGTTTCGCTCTTATGAAGTCGAATGGATAATGCGAGCTGCCAATAGCTGCCGGCAGCAACACGACTGCCACCTCAGCTTGGACAAGCACTCTGCCCAGGGCTCGCAAATGAGCCGCGACATGCGAGACACATTCAACCTGCAGGAGAGAAAAGAGGACGATGCCGACCTTTGACCAGCTCGCTGATTCGCCCAAGAAGGGCCGGATCATTAAATCGGCGTATGACAGTGAGAGCTTCGAGGCCGACGGCTCAATCCATGTTGAGGGCGTCGTCGGCTCTGCCACCATATCGCCTTCGGGAAGGGACATTGCCCTGGCATCGTAAGTCGAGAACGCGTCGAGGAACATCGCAATGAATGCTGACAGCCTCCCCTTAGACCTGAAGGACTTGCAATTATTGATTTAGACTCGCCGTACAGCCCACCACGGCGTCTTCGAGGCTCTGGCCAGCCATGGCTGGTTGTCGACGTGCAATGGTCTCCATTCGCAGCTCGAGACTATTGGGTCGTTTCAACGGCAAATCACCGTGCGCTGGTGTGGAATCTCAATCTCCGGGATGATTCGAGCACTGGCGCAATTGAGCACTCTCTCCAGGGCCATACCAGGGCCATTACCGACGTCAATTTCTCAGCTCACCATCCCGATCTCCTTGCAACTTGCTCCGTAGATGGCTATGTGCATTGGTGGGATCTACGTCGGCCTCGCCAACCCGTACTTACTTTTTGTGATTTCTTTGCCGGTGCTACTCAAGTCAAATACAATCGTCGCGACCCCCATATCCTAGCTTCATCGCATGATCGTTGGCTGCGCATTTGGGACGAGCGAAAGGTTTCGGAGCCTGTCAAATCTATTACCGCACATACGTCCAAAATCTATGGCTTGGATTGGAACCGAACCAAAGCGACTGGTCTTGTAACATGCTCCTTGGACCAGAGTATGAAGTTTTGGGATTACAGCAATGACGGCAACGAATTGGAGCATGTTATTCGCACGGACTATCCAGTTTGGAGAGCCCGCCATACGCCGTTTGGCCACGGCCTTCTTGCAATGCCTCAGAACGAACCTGGGGATCTTTATTTGTATGACCGCTTGTGGTCCAAGGACGAGACTATCGAAAAGTCACAGAAGCCAGTTGCCGTATTTCCTGGGCATGGAGGTCACCAAGCGAAGGAGTTCCTATGGAGAACTCGAGGTGGAGTTTCAGAAGATAACATTGACGAGCGGGAATTTCAACTTGTTTCCTGGGGAACGGATAACGAGTTAAGACTTCATTGCATCGACCCTAACATTTTCTCAGCCGTGGGATACCAGAAAGGCGCCCCGGCTCTGGACGGCATCAGCCTTACTCGGAAGGGTGCGACATACAAAACGTTCCGCACAGTTGATGATGCATCCACGCTTGACAAGCGGACGAGTACGATGAAAGATGCAAGGACTGGCACAGGCCACAAGCAAAGTGCTCTTACGGCTGCCGCACGATCCTCTGCGCCTTTTGGTCGTCAGATGAGACCGGCGTGGCGTGGGCCATCAATGAAAGTCAAGAGTGCTTCGGGCAAGAGGCTTGACCCAAGTCAAGCCCAAATCGGGTGGATGAAAGGCATCAGCATAACAAAAAGAAGAGGTTTACTGGATGGACCAAGGCGGCTGATGTCCAAAGACTCCGGCATTATGGGCCACGGCTATCCTGATGACCAATGGGGTGAGCCAGACACAATTCAAGAAGAGCTTCTGCGTGTTAGTACCCAGATACCAAAGGTCAAATGGGACAATATCGACATGGACAACTTGACGTTGAGTGCCTCGCTCAATGGCCCATGGGGAAAAGATGGAGAAGCCATCTTCATCAAGGTGAAGATCGATATACCAATAGAGTATCCCAAGCTTAAAGCACCAAAGTTCATTATTGAGAAAAGCTCATTCATGCCAGAGGAAATGCATAAGCGGCTTGACCGAGAGCTACATGAACTTGCTGAACAGTTTCTACGAAGAAAGCAAAATTGTCTGGAAGTAATATTCACCTACCTGCTAGGTGAGGTTGATCTCGAATCCAGCACTACCTTCTTTAAGAACGTTCGCGATCTAGATGATGATCTTGATGGCCTGGCCGATGATAGTTCGACAGAAGAGGAGGAAGACATTCCCGCAGGTGGATCGGCATCCATGTCCCAGGAGCTTCCTCCTGCCGATGCAGAACTCGCAGTTGCAACTCCTGCCCGTCTGATTATCCCGCCACCTCCTTTGACCTGCGGCGCTCGGTTTTCGCATGATGGTCGACTTATTTGCTTCTTCCCAACAAAAGAAGAAAAGGCACGGGTCTTATTCCAAACAAGTGCGGATGTAAATAAAGATCGCCCCAAGATGGAACCGTACTTCGCAGGCTTTGGCCGCTTGACACATGACCCTCCTCCACGATACAAGTATACTACTGAAGAAGCTTCCGCTACAGAAGATCAATCAGACTCTGAAGAAACCGACGAGTCATCTTCTTCATCAAGCGACTCTGAATCTACATCAATACATAAAATGAGCCTGTGGTATCATTCAAGCCGCCATCTTAGGAAGACTTGGAGCGAGGACCGATCTATTCGATCTAGCGGCGGTGGAACAGGGACAGGAGTAGGCACCGGCACAGGTACGGGGACAAGCCGCCGACGGATCGGCCGACCTCGAAATGTGATATCTATCCATGATTTACGACCAGATTTGCCCTCCAAGAAGGAGTTTGCGCAAGAGTATGCCATCTTCGGCGACGGAGCAGATGTCTGCGAGCATAACGCAAGAGTTGCAGAGAAATACGGCTATACTGAACTTATGAATGTGTGGCAGTACTTGGCCCTGCTTTTGAAGAAGGGCATACCCCTCGAAGTCCTGGCCAGCAATCAGAGACGGAGCTCTATCCTTGTAATTGCTCGCGATATTGTCTCCAAGACTCGCGCATTGGATAATGACCAAGCCAACACTCCAGCAGGAGACGGTGCCTTACTAGGTCGAGTGAAATGGGGCCGGCACCCTCTGGCCAAGGACTTTATCCAGGAGCTCTTCAACTACTTTGAAATGATTGCCGACATACAAATGTTGGCGATGCTTTCATGCATCTTCAGTGAATCATCAGCCGATGACAGTGTTGCCTACGTGGAGTCACAACTCCCGTCCCAGGAAACACCGCTTCCTCTCAAGGCACCATCTTTCTCACTAGATTACTTCCCTACAGATGCCACTATGTGGAATATCTATGGCAGAGGTATACCGCATTCGAATATGACCACCCCGGGCACTCTTCACACGCCGCTTCCCTATGCTGGCTCACACGCATCAGACGATGGGATCATGTGGGCTGGCGAGCCTGGCACAAATTCTTACTCCTGCGGTGAGACGCCGCCATCAAAAATGAGGCCTCCAACCGCCGATGCAGAGCCCCCTTCAACATTGCTGTCGCGATCTCCCTCCAACCGACCTCTCTCAAGGGTCAGCACCGGACTAAGCGCATTCTCAACAAACTTCCCGCGGTCATTCACGGGGGCAAGTTCGTCGTCACCGCCTGCAGGACAGCTGAGGAAGAAACCAAGTCCAGCAGAGATGATTTTGAATACGCTGACTCCGCGTACGGGATATTCCAGCGCGGGGCAGCCGTATCCTGTGGGAGATTCTAGTGGAGGCAGGAATTCCGTGTCAGACGATGAATATCGCCGAGATGACCTAATGTCCCTCGTACCAGTGAGCGTCTCTGTATTTGTGGAAGATCAAACAATATTCGATGACGACGGCTGGCTGAGTGAGCCTCTGCTGGAGCCGAGCCGAGCCAACATTTACGCCAACTACCGATATGCATATGCCGAGATGCTGCAGATGTGGCGACAACCCCTTGCCCGGCTCGAAGTCATGAAATTCAACGTCTTGAAGGACGAGTCACCTTTTGGTGGAGTGGAGGGAAGCTTTCACGATTCGTTTACCCTCCACGACGGGGCAAGTGGGAATGCATCTCATCTCAAGACCGGTTCGTCACCCATCATCATGGGCAAGAAGGATCAGCTACAAATTTTGGCTGCCTCGGGCCGTGGGTTGGACGTAACGGGTATCTGCCGCGTTCATGAGACCCAATTGGACCCCTTACGATACACCTCATCCGACTCCAAGGTCGGAGGAGCAGTGGGAACCTGCGACAGGTGTCATCGCGTCCAGAATCAACTCCGCTGTGTATACTGTCTGGAACCTGTCGACGCCCTTTTCCCGCCGTGCCTGTCGTGCGGGTGCGCGAGTCACGAAGATTGCCTCGCAGAGTGGCATGCTGCGGGCGAGATGTTCTGCCCGGCTGGAGATGAATGCAACTGCGTCGAAGAAGCTGTCAGAGGCCAGGTGGAGTCGTGGGCCGCTCTTCAAGGTGCCGTGAGGAAATCACAGTCTAAGACGTTCCTGCTGCCAGGCTCGGCTATGGATGACAGCGACGGAGAGAGCGAAAAGCATCGCAAAGGCGGCGCCAACGGAGACTGGGAACGTGTAGGTAGGAATGTACCAAGCAGGGCACAAGGTGCAACGGCATCGCCTGGATTGAGTCTTGTACGCTTTAAAACACCTACAGGACCTTGGTCAAGGGCCTCGAGCCAGAGGAGAAATGGGAAGAGGGGGAGCTGACGGTTATAGTGCTTTGGGGCTGACGGGGCGAGGTGTATAATTATAGATGACTGCAGGTGCAGGCAGTAATTGAGAATGGCGTATGGGGCCAGTCTGCTCTTGTCATCTACCCGCAAGGACTTGGAATGGAAATGGTTAGGAATAGAAGTTTTAACTACATGTACCTGTTGATCTGCTAATATCAAAATGACTCCCTGCCAAGGAATCGAGAAGGCATTAACTCTGATGATTATGTTTTTATAGTTGTCAAGTCTACAGATTACGCAAAGCCATGGTGAATGTCGTTGGAGGAGACATGGAGTCGTCTCACAAGGCAGACGGAACACGAGCCGGCGGTGGTTGTTGCCGCACCTCCGGAGCTGGAGACTGCGGAACTCGGCCGCGGGCCGAAGGCCGTGAGTTTCCGTTCCACCACTGATCAAGCCGTTCCGGAGGTTGTGCGACATTTGGAATCCGAAAAAATACTGGCTCGCAAGGATGACAGGTTACAGATGACGAGAAAACAGCTTATGTGATGCGATGTGAGCTTTCCTCGGATATGCTGGAGCTTGGAAATTGGGGATTACGTGTATCTGTGCTGTACCAGTTTATCTCCGTTTTATTAGCAGAATAAAGCAAGCAGAGTGGCGATTATGGGCCAGGCGAGAGATGTCTTCGAAAAAGGCAGTAAGTTTGCCTCGAGTAGGATCCCGTGTTAAAATCTCACCAGAGCTAATATCGCGACCAGCTCCAATTAAACTCAGCTCTAAGATCTCACAAGGATCAGAATAGGGAATAAATGATAACATCGAAAATGGAAAAAAGCTATGGCTACCTACTAATCTTAACCTACACAGCCCTGCTAGTGTGAACGTTTTTTGCTCATTGGGCCGTTGCTGAGAGAAGGATTAGATCAGCCTACACTTATCTAGTTAGTGAAGGATGTTGGATTATCCAATTAATCAACTGTATAAGTATTTGGATAATAGTGGCGCGGCGATTCGTTGACTCGGGTGGATCGGGAGAGGCGGATACCCTGAGGATCCATCAATCGTATATACTATTCCTATACGAACGCCTTGTTCATCTCTCACCTCTTGTAACAGCTATTAACGCTGGAATATTCTTATTGTAGAAATCCATCCCTGGTCATGCTTTTCAACGAAACCCCCACGTCGGCATGAACTGGGCTTGTTATATGCCAAGTCGGAACAAATTCCGTGTGGCTTCAGTCGGCGCTGATGAAGTCCGCGGAACGCCTTGTGAGCTGTCATGATTGACATAGGAATTGTGAGAAAATAAACAAGGGGGGAGGAAAAGAGACAAAAGTACATAAAAAATCTGTTAAGAGTTCTTTTTTTATTTTGTGCTGCTTTCTCATCTCATCCTGCTACTACACTTTTCGCCATTCCCTCTGTGTCTCACTCATTGCCCAAAACTTAGAGTTCACTAGGTCTTATATAACTGAGGCTTGGTGAAGCTCCAAACAAACCGCAGCTTCCAACATTATATAAGTCAACAACAAGACGCAATCTCACCCTTCTCTCTGGCTGTCAATTTCAATTCTCATTATTTTCATTCGGCATAATATCCACCCCCAAAATGGCCATCACAGCAGACGACAAACTCCTCATCCACTTCCCCTTCCCCCTGCCAGATGGCTTCCTCGATACCCTCGCAAAGCGCTTCCCCCAGCTCCGCGTCCACTTCGAAATCGCCCCCATCGTCAATAACCGCATGACAAATGCCGACACACTACCAGACGAGGTTTGGGAGGGCGTCACTATGCTCTCCATCCTCCCACCACCCAGCGCGGCCAAGATGAAGAACGTCAAGTTCGTCCAGCTAGGGTCTGCAGGTTGGGATCCTTGGTTGGAGCATGAGGCATTTCTGAACAAGGATGTGGCGTTTTGCTGCACGAGCGGCGTTCACCCGTAGGTTGTTCTCTTCCCCCCCCCTTCTTTGTGATGGTGAAAATGAGCCAAATGGGACGAGAACGAGTCGATGTGATCAAGAACGGTGCTAACGGTGCAGTCTATAACCGTAGCCCTCAGATTGCCGAATGGGCCATCGGTGCCTGGCTCACTCACTCACATCACTTCAAGAATTACATGGACCAAGCAGAAAAAGGTGTCTGGGAAATGGGCCTCTCAGGACCCTCCGTCACTGACTCCGTCGGTCTCCGCATGTAAGTAGCCTCAAAGAATGCTCTCCGGCCGAATACCCCAGCTCATGTGCAACAAACAGGGGCATCATGGGCTACGGCACAATCGGCAGGCAAGTTGCCCGCCTAGCCCATGCCCTCGGCATGGAAATATACGTCCAAACTCTCAGTCCTCGGCCAACCCCAGAGTCCAAGAAGCTCTCCGATTACATCGTGCCCGGCACCAGTGACCCAGACGGCCTCCTCCCCACAAAGTGGTTCTCAGGCTCCGGCCCCGAAGCAGTCAACCATTTCCTCAGCCAGGACTTGGACATTGTCGTTCTCAGTCTCCCCATGAGTCCCCAGACCAAACATTGCATTGGGGCAGAGCAGTTCCAGATCCTTGGAAAGAAGAAGCCATTCCTCATCAACGTCGCCCGAGGTCCCATTATCGACACGCCCGCCTTGATTGAGGCTCTTGAAGGAGGGTTGCTACGTGGAGCCGCTCTGGATGTCACAGACCCGGAGCCCTTGCCAAAAGGACACCCGCTGTGGAAAGCTCCCAACGTCTTCATCACGCCACACATCAGCTGGCGGTCTACCAAGTTGACCGAGCGGATAACAGAAGTAATGCTCCAGAATCTGGAGAGGTGGGATAAGGGAGAACCCCTGCTTAATCGAATCAAGAGGTGAAGAATTGCGTAAAGGACATACTAAGAAGCACGAAAGATTGCATCTGAGATCCGGGCGTTGTTATGCTGTGTTTCCCAATGCATAGACGTAGATATACCAAATTAAACTAGCTTCCCATTGTCAAATCATAACTATCAGATTTCACCCACCGAGTCATCTCAAACAGGTACGATTTATATAAATAAGCAAAGAGGTACCTTCATGAAGCATTTCCCTCGTTGCTGCATTAACTCATCAAACTCGTACATTTCGTCCCTGCGAAGGGCTTATTAGTCTGCTAGTTCTCCGCTTCCAATCTTAGCCTGCCGTGAATGACTCCTATATTCCCCTTGAAGAGGGATTGTCAAAAACACCTTTCCGTAAAAGAGCAATCTTGTTTCCTTTCCATCCAAAGTTCAAACACTTAGAAAAAGCTCCGTATAAGAAAAAACAAACTGAGCGGAGAAAAAAAAACGAAAAAGAAAGAGAAGAAAAGAAGAAAGAAAGAAAGAAAGAGAAGAAAAATCGAAGGAAAAGAAGAAACGAGGCAAAATGCAGAGAAATCACAGTACCTTCACATTGTCAACTCTGCAAGCCCATCATTTCGTTTTCGCCTTTCCATTTACTGCATATGGGCCGGGTAGCTTTGAATATCACGGCTTGGGCGATGAGAATCGCTAGTGCTGACGTAAAGTGAAAAAGAAGTGGTTCCAAGTTCATTCATCGCCCGCGAGCGCGTGTCGACCGTCATGTGCCGTTCCAATGCATAAACTGTCACCATGATTAATTTTCCTGTCCAGTCCAGCGGTTCAAGTGTTGATTCCGCAATATCCTTCCATTCGTGCAATATCGTTGAAGCCCAATGCTTGCCAAGCTAGCCAAGGGATCTAAGCTGATGATGTCGTACGATGATATTTCTGGTGAATAGCCCGGTGCCAACCTCGTAATTCACGGCGTAAACGAATAATTAAATTGAGCTTGACAAATGATGTTCCAAGTGGTTTGCGCAATGCTGTAATGACCGGGCTAGCTGAAATCGCGTATATTTTTGTCTGTCTCGACTTTGTTCCGTTTGGTTGCGTGTCTCTTGAATGCCAAATGGTGTTTTTTGAGACGCGTTTCCCGAGAGATTAGTGCTCATTGATCAAAAATTAGTGTGTTGTTTTCATTGAGGATGTGCCGTCATATCGCGGCTGTATTTGAAGTGTCGAAGCACGCTTCTGCTGAGCGTGCAATTTTCCGATGGTGTAGGTAGTATAGCTCCAGTTTGTGCTGCGAAAAGTAAGCATCCATGAAAAATTCATAGAAATGCTGCCATGTAGATTTGTGTAGGTCGCCAGAATTTTGGATTGAGCGAAGAGGTTTTTCTTCCCCCTTTTATCTTGTCTCATATATCATCCGTCGTGCTGGCATCTCTGGCGCTTTTCGTCGAGCTGGAGTCGCTACCTCGTCGTCAGGGCCTTCCCATCTCAATGAAAAGGTTAATATCCTCTCCACAATGATCCATCTCATTCTGTTTTCTGAGGTGTCTTTCTCGGTAGCCTGTGCCATCTTGGTAGACCATGGCATGATGCGCTGCCAGCCCTCGGAGCCTTCCATGACGCGATACTTGCCATCCATGAAGATGACTTTGGAAACCATTTTAGACCGGCCATGGTTCAGCGCCTGGCAGTCCTCCTTGCCGCATCGCCCTTGCCGCAACACGGCCTTGGTTTCCGGCTCATCCAAGTCCAATGGCGCAATCTCGACAATGTTTTCATCTATCCAGTATCGAAACTGCCGGGCTGTCTTTCTTAGACGCACGTCGTACGGCAGGTTCTGGTCCACGCCAACCATCCAAGACCTGTCTACCTCGCCAACTTTAACGATCCACAGGTCCTTGAGGTTTGGGAACCAGAACTTGTCAAACTCAACCTTTCCAGGCCGCTCCTGAGGATACCACCTCTCCAGGTAGGCAGAGTAGTGGCCCGGCCCCTCGATACGCCCATCGTCGGGGAAGCAATCCCAAAAGGCAAGCCTCTCGACACGCGGGGCCAGCTTTTCTAGGGGAGTGTTGGAGCTCTGGTCAGAGATGTTGGGGTCACAGACGAGTATGTCTCTGGCGAAGTGAATGTGAGATCCACGGCCTACTGGCTCATAGCCTTCTCTGGTCTCAATGCGAGCTTCCGCGTTTAGGCGAGTGACAACAGGGATGGGATACGATTTTGGCTTGTGGACAAGATCGTCGAGAATGACGATACGCGGCTCCACCGAGCAGGACCATATCTTGAGACGAAGCTCAGCGGGCAGATGAGAGAAGCCCGGGCCGGCGGAGGAGACGTCGTCGTCGAAACTGGACTGGTCATCAGCTTCGCCGTCGGCGGCGCTGGGGAGCGAATGAATCGGTATCATTGCGAACCAGGAGTCACAGCAAGTCAAGTGAGCTGCGGCACGTATGTGTATATGGAATGGGTTATGGTTATGTGTGTGCGTATGCGCGCGTATATGTGTGGGCGCGTGTGCGATGAGGGTATGATGGTATGATGGGTGCTCTGGCGAGCGAGGAGCAGGAGGTGTACAAAGAAGATACGAGTATGCTGGATATCGGATCACGACTCCAAGTCTCATCCGGACACTATCACCAAAAGGACTCGAATCACGCGGAGGTGAGAGAAGCTAAGAGAGCAGCCGCAGGGTCTCCCCGTCCCTTTAAGAATGTAAGGGGTGTGACAAGGCCGGACGTCGGGCGCAGCGTCATGTAGGTTGACGGAGCACGTTGTTGGGGAGACGCCATTTGCGGCGTGGCAGGCACAAGTACAGTACGGGGGGAGGGTCTTGGGAGGATGGGATGGATTGGATGGATGAGTGGGATGAATAGGATGGACTGATGGATGTGCGCGTGTGAGACACAGACAAGAGGCCAAGGATGTGCGCAGACGGTGGTCATGGTCATACCGAGCAAGCAAGGTACAAGGCAGTGTACTTGGAGCTGCTGCGTACAGCTACGGCCACTCGCGGTACGAGTACCTTGGCAGCAGCCGCAAAACGGCTTGAGCGAAACGGGGTGCGTCGTCTCGGCGCATACGAGGCCATGTCCTTGTATATGCACGAGTAATACTTGTACATGCTCGTGGCTGTTATGCATGCGGTGTATTACGAGTCCCTGAGGTAGCACCAGGCAATGTGCGGATGGGTGCGAGCATGAGGCTAGGGATCCCGGGGGCGTGGGATTGGCGAGAACGGGGCCACAAGAACCGAAAACAGATCCATCCCTCGTTGTTGTCGGGTCCGTACCTGGCTATTGGATCCGGCGCCTGAGGCCATCGCGGGCGTGGGTGGATATACAGGTCGACAAGGTTGTGCTCGTACATCATCTGGTGCTTGAATTAGCAGAATTAGCAGAATTAGCAGTGTTAGCAGAGTTAGCACCATCGACGGCAAGCGAGTGGCGGCGCCATTTGGGCGAATCCTGGGCTCGAGCTGAGCAGAAGGGAAGGCCGAGCTGCCCTGCCTGCTCCTCGCCCCGGCTTCGCTTCTCTGGTTGCTGGTCCGGCTGCAGCTGAACAGTAACTGACTAATGGCTCGACGGCGTTTCAGGCAAAGACAAACGACGAGTCGAGCCCGTCTGCGGAGCTCGCCGGCTCGGCCAGTGGATGGAGACGGCGACTGCGGCTAGAGACGACTTGGGAAAGGCGACGCAGGGCGCGAAAGCGAGGCAAGGCGATGCAGGACGCAGGACGAGACGAGACGAAGCAATTCCGAGTGCATGACTGATTATGACAAGGTGACATGGAGGTTTTGCATCAGGACCGCGGGCCGCCTCCATGGAGCACAGACACGGGTAGGGGCACAGCTTACGGGTGCTACTGTAATACAGGGAAGCAAGCACCAGAGAGAGCTTAGAAGAGCTCTCTCTGGAGAGGTACATCCAGCTAGTACTCGTACAGCTACTCGCACAGCTACAGCTACAGTAGGATTGATGGACACGGAACACCGCTGGTGTGGGCGGGAGCAAGGACGGGAGGTAGGGACAGGCACGGTACAAGACGGGCGGTACCGCACGCACCGCACGCACCGCACCGCACAATCCATAATTCCATTCAATGATGTTTCGTGAATGGGTGCAGTGCGCTGGGGCAGGACAAAGTCGCGCCGCGTTTGCGACAGGTACAAGTACCGTACGAGTATTGGTACTGGCCTGCTGACGGAGCTGCGCCTGCCTCCGCCAAAGCTTGTTCCAGGTCAGCTGCCAGTCACTGTACGGAGGAATACTACAGGCGCATGTACTACAGATACCAGCACTCGTGAGACATGTACTTGCAGTGCTCGTATAGTACAGTACAGGATTGTAGTGTACAGAGGTACCTGGTGCCCATGGACCTGCTCTGCTCTGGTTTGGCAGGTATGAATTACTCGTGTGCACTCGCGACTGCACTCGCGACTGCCACATACGTACAGTACCTACCCTGGCCGGCTGACCTGGGCGGCGGAAAGGGCCACTGCAGGTAGGTGCGGTGCAGTGCAGTGGTGCAGTGGTGCAGTGGTGGTGCACTACCAGCCTGAGAAAAAAGGGAAAGCAGGGCCTGAGAGGAGGGGACGGGGACGCGCAGGATTGGACAGAATCGAGGCAGCCAAAAGGCAACCGCGGCCCGGCAAGCCCAGCCCCTGCCACACACCCATTTGCCATCCATCAGTCCCCATCAATTGCTTGTGCAGCTGGCCAGGGATGAGGTCAGAATTGCTCACTGCCATTGGCCCTCACCGACGGTCTGTGACGGCGGCTACCTGCAAGCCTCTGCTCCCTAGGCGCTGATCACTCGCCCGTCAGGCAGGGTGCCCGCCAGAGCCTAGCGCACGCTGCAGTGGGTGAACGCCTAAATGTTGGCGACGCTGCGCTGGAGCCCCCCTGCCGGAAGCGATGCAGAGCTCCAGCTGGCTTCATCAGCTCAGCTGCCAATTGGAGGCGGCTGTAATCTGTAATATATCAACCTGGAACCTACGGGCTTCAGCCTGCCAGCATCAGCATCAGCCGCGGGCGCACCAACACGAGGACGGGGATGGAGTCAAGCAAAAGTTGATGCCGCGTGAGTACCTTCTGGTACTTGGGCAGCTTGTACGGAGTCACAATCAGACGTGCTGCCTGCCATGGAATAATACTAATGTCGGCTCCAAGTCCAGCCCTCGGATGCTCAAAAAGTTGCCTTTTGCCTCTCTCTTCTCCCCGCTTCTCCCTCCCTCTCCTCTTTGTCCGGTCAAATCAAATCGGTCCTGTCTCGTCTCTCTCTCCCTGCCTTGCCTTGAACGTTGCATCTGCATCTCGTCTTTGCCGCCCGCTACAGCTTCGTACATGTACGGAGCTGTGCTTGGGAGCACTGCTTGTACATACTCGTACATGCCTTGACGCTGCTTACCTTATGTAGGTACCATCTCTGAGGCGTGCAGCTTGCGTCTGTCGTACCTCATCATCTGCATCTGCTGCGTGCGTGGGCCTCGAAAGACGCACCAAGGTTTACGAGCAAAGCAGCAGCGAAAAAGGCAAAACGGAACATGGCCTCTTTATCCGCGGCCGTACTGTACGAGGCCAGGATCCATAACGACGGCATCTGGTCTTCCTGAGCCAGCCTGAGTGTCCAGCAGTCAAGATTCACTTCCACACTCGTGCAGCTTCCCAATCGCGACTCTCTCTGCTGTTTTGGGGGCCGCGGATGTGTCTTGTCACCCGCAGCTCTGTCTCGCCGTTCATTAGGCAGGATAAGAATGTGTGCTGCCAACGGGACCGCCGGGTGGCGTGACGGACGCCAATAGCGGGAACCGGCTGGCCCCTATCCTGCACTTGGCCTCTTTTTCTCGTTCGTCGAAAGGGACTCGTCGACCCAAGCAAGGCTCGCTCGGCTGGATGGAGCGGGCAGGTGGCTGACTGTCCTCGTGAATAAAGAGCGGCTGAGGCGGAGGGAGCTGCAAGTTGGTGGCCAGCCGATACTCTGACAAGACAACGCTAAACAACCAACCAATCTTCTTCGCCTTCATGCTTCGCTGGATCGGCGCCAAATCCAATGTCATGTCGTCGTTGCCCGACACTCTTGCAAGACAAAGACGTCGTCATTGTCAAGCAAGATGACCAAACGCCCCCGGTTTCCATCATTCCGTACTACCTACTTTTTGCTACCTACCAGTACGAGCACTCCGTACATGACATACGGGCCGACGACTGTAACGCAAAAGCCGGCAGCGGCGCTCTGCTACCTAACCTTGCCTGCTAGCTCCCTCCCTTGATGCTTACCAAGAGTGCACAAGCTTTATGATCATCACTAGTAAAGACAAACCAGCACAAAGCACAACTATACCACCCTTCGGAGCTGCTACTAGTAATAGCTCGTGCTACCCATTTTCTCGTCAGCAAAGTGTGGAGAGAGGCACAGAAGCAAAGGCAGAGCCAAGCATTGTGATTTTATCCCGACAACCGTCCTTCGGAAGGACTCTTGCTCCCGTCACATTTGCCGCTGAATTTAGAGAGAAAGAGAAAAAAAGGCCCCCCCTTAATGTTCCTTCTCAAGGGGTGACTGGTTACTTGCTCAGCTGCATTGCCGCCATTGATCAATCACTGCGAGCTGCAACATTGTTATCGTCAACGCTCGTAAATGATTGGCTGGCTCCCTTACCTCCCTACCTTGAGTACTAACCTACGGACCACCATGTACAACTTCGCAACAAATGGCCCGTCTTGCATGTGATACCAACTTCAAAGGGGGAATCATGCACCATGGGAAGCACGCACAAGGATGCCCGGGGATGGCTACGAAGCACGTCGCGGTATTGTTCAGACCAAAATGCTACCATTAATCTACCTGCCCCTGGGTCATCATTTTTCTCGTTACATGACGACCTAGCTGTTCGCGGCGGGGCTTGCAGCGACCCAAAAGCAATGAAAGACCAATGAGGAAAACCAGTGGTGTCGCGTCGTCGTCAATAGACGCGACTTGCATGCTCACTAAGGTACGAGACAGGCATGGACACTAGTATCATTCATACGGTGGACGTTCCGGAGCGCTCAAAGCCGACTGCCGCGACTCGAGCTGCTGCCGCCAAGAAAGTCATTCACAAGCTTCGCAAATTCGTCGGCGTATTGGTACAGAAACCCATGTCCTGAATCCGGAAACAAATGCAGCCGTGCATCCGCGAAGCTAAGCATCTTCCATATCAGGATGCTGTTGTCGGTAGGTAGCAGCAAGTCCTCGCAACCTACAGACGCGCAGAGCAAATTAGCTGCATATCAGCACCCGATTCTCTCTTGTTTTACGCAGTGGCCCGACGGATATTCGATCCATTGGTTAGAGGGCAGCCGCTAGAATTAGATTTAGGGGGAAAGAGGGAGAGTGAGAGGGAGAGGGAGGGGGGCAGAAGGAGACGCGAGAGGACTCACCATTGGCGATTAGCACCGGAAGACGCAGCTGTCCGAGCCGGTCATAACTCCCCTCGGAAGCGTTTTTCTTATCCATGAACCTGACAAACGCAAGCGCCTGCTTATGAGCTGGCCCCGGAGGTACTGGTTCGCATCTCACCTCTCCGGCGTCGCTTCTACTGTTGGCGATACGCTCCCATGCTCGCTTACCCGCCTCCCGACTACGCTCAGAGCGTTGCACAAAGAAACCGTCTTCGAAAGCTTGCCGTTCCTCCTGCACAGTTCTGGCCGCCTTGAGGCGTTTGAATGCCTTACCATCGGGCGAAGGTTTAACGCCGTCTCCGGAGCTCGGAATCGTCCCGCAGAGCACCAATCGTCGTACCTGCTCCGGCGCGTTCAGAGCCATGAGCTGCGCAACGCAGCCGCCCATGGAATAGCCTAATACGTCAACCTTGTTGCCTTGGCCAAGGATTTGATTGATCACGGCGCTGTAGTGCGCCGCCCAACCGGCAAAAGTATCGGGAATGTCGCCCTCGGATCGGCCAACACCGGCGTTGTCAATGAGTAATACTGGACGCTGAGCCGCAAGGGGGTTGACCAGCGCTGGGTCCCAGTGATCCATTGTTTGTCTGTATCGCAACGGCCGAGGCAAAGTCGACGGTATCAGCAGTGGCCATTTTCAACGACCACGTCTCAATCTTGCGGGATTCCGAGGAAGAAGGGAGGAACCGAATGAAGATTTATCAACTGGGCGACTCACTTGAAACCTGGGATGAATACCAGCGGGATGCCATGCGATATGCCGAGTTGTCTATAGGCAAAGGTAAGGCCGCCCACCTTGACGAACTGAGTTTTCGCCGTGTCGTAAGTAGCCATGGCCATGTCCACAGAAACAAATAAGAAGGAAGAAAGACGATGAAATCGGTAAGTTTGTACTCCGTAGATGAAACACGAATTGTAGGAATGAGATGCCTCTCGAACACGCCCTGCAAGAAACGGCGAAAGAACAACAGTCAAAGCGCCGTCGATATCTTGGTAGTCCGGAGTAGGTAGTTATATTCAATGTTACCCCATACTCCGCAGCCAAATTAACCGCTCCCGCACTTATAGTGCACTTAGCGCCAAGTTAACCCACTGTTGTCCACCTTACGCCGAGAATCTTCAAGTAGCCCGTCAGGTGATTTTGCCGTTTCTTGTCGGTTAGGAACCCATAGACAATAAAATTAGATGAGGCATGGGCATTTACTTAGACATCAGTGTCCCTCTTTTCTTTTTCTTCTTCTTCTTTCCCCCTTCTTTCCCCCTTCTTTTTTCCCGCGCTCTTGTTCGGATTGCAAGAGGGAGCGTAATTGTAGTGCGGCTTGTATGTCTTGGCCCGAGGTTAAAAGAAAAATCCGGCTCGCCGAAAGTGTGGAACCAGCGGGCTAATCAGCTTTGCTCCTCTGCCTTCTAGTTTCTTGGCACTCAGCGTTCTGTCCAAATGTGGACATTTGACTGCTTGAATTTGATATAAGACGAATAGATGTAGTAGGGGAAAAGCGTTTTCAGCATAGAGTAGCCTGTCCTTTGATGGATATAATATTTGGCTGCTCTTACTTTATCGTATCAGAGGTAGCAATCAGGCAATTTCCAGGCGAATGAAGAGATGGCTTGCATTAGTATAATCGTGTTAATCCCAAAAGCCGAGCGGTTGGTATGGAGAGACTCTCGTAGGAACGGGAAGGATGGCACGTATAAGCAGTAAATAACCTTATGATTTTAGGGCTAAACTAGTAGGACTAGCGAACCACTAGATGTAGGTGTACACGCGTCTATCGAGACCTAGTAATCAAATTCTAATCTATGACTCTAAATATCTGATCTGGCAGTTCATTTTCATGCGTCTTCTTCGATTTTCTTGAATATAGATGATTAGAATTATATATATATATAGATATATAGAGTTTATGCTTCGTAAAATGTTCAGTGCTTGATATACATGTTCTCGTCCAGCTTACACAAACCCACATTGTATCCATCTCGGTTGGCGTCCAAGTGCCCTTGATAAATCCCTCAACGCCCCAAGTGTAAATCAATCCCAAGGGCCTCCATCCCATCATTTGTCTGTCATCGATTCGGCTGGCACACATTCATCGGCCAGCTGTGTACTCCATTCAGTGTAAAGTTGACTGCTATCTTGTTACAAACTTCTCATTCTTGGGAATCAACCCCCTTTTCGACCGCACCAGGCTCAGGTTCTTTGCTCTCAGAATCATCTTGCGGACGGCACAAACTATGGAGAAATCAAATTAGAAACCAACAGATTAATTTGGAATGGTTGTAATGCTACCGTGGACTTACTTTCTCATGCAAGAGCAAATAATGGCAAGGGCAAGAGAAAAGCCCAAGATGAACAAAGCAAACCGCTGGCCCAGGGCACGTTGGAGGTGATGACGATGCTTCCGCTCTCGGCTCCAGACAGGGACAAACTTGTCATGCCCATACGATGCCATCAAGTCGCCGTTGGTATCGATGATGACGGATTTCCCCTTGTCAGAGGAGGGAAAGACGGGCACCACCTCGGTGTTTTGGCTCGTCTCGAGAAGTTCGAGAGTTGCGTCGAGGAAGTATTTCGTTGGCTGGTCAGTCTTGGATACCTTCTCCCACAGAGCCCTGTCAACTCTGAAGAGACGATATTTCTTGGGATCCGTTAACGAGTCTCGCTTAGACGTAGCCTGGGAGAGCTTTGCAATGGCGTCAAGGGGTGAAGAAACATCCCTCGCCGTTGGGGCACTTAGTACTAGCCCGGTGACGTAGAGAATGGTCAACAGAAGAGAAGTGGTTCTGATGGCCATTTTGAATAGATAGATGTCGATGATGTTGATGGAAAGGAATGAAAGAGTGATTTGTGGTTTATCTTGTTCCTCGGAGTTCCGAAGCGGAGGCTGGATATGATGACGAATCAACGGGTAGACGTAGAATAGGGAACTTGCTCAACCGTAGCATAAAGTCCTAATGATTGTAGAATCTTTTGATGTTTTTCTTGATTATCAAATAAAGATTCTAGATGTGATGATATATGATAATAACGATTGAACGATATGCCAAGGATAACTTGACAAGACTCGACCCAGAAAAAGGAGCCAAGACAAGGAGAATAAAAAGACACATAATAACACAAACAACTAAGCTTTTTTAAACAAGAGGGGCGGAGGAGACAGTCTCGGGGGGGCTCAGCCCATCATCGTTGACGGCCTGCAAATGACTGGGTCGGAGCAATATGCGTGAGTGAGAAAATCCGCTAAGCATGGCGCAGCAAACGTCGGCCATGCCTCGTTTGGTGGCCACAAACGGGCAAATGGCCCGTGGGAGGAGATGGACAGCACAGAGATTTATTGACGTGAACAGGGGTGTGCATGCAAATTGCCGCATCGCTGCGTGGGCCAGCGAGTATGAAGATGAATGGCTGAGGGTGTTTGTTTCAACGGCGGTTGCAAGTAATTGACGATGGAAGGGCAGGGGGGGAGAGCAGGAGACTTGGGCGATGGACACGAGAGCAGCTGGTTTCACGGCTCGTTTCTACTAAACAAAACCACCCCAGCAATTGAGGTTCGTGATGCTGCTTACTGGTTTAGCGATGGTGTTGCTGAGATTAGCTACCGAAGAGTGAATACGTGTAAGTGCGTTGCGGGCGAGACTCGACTAGCAACTTGGATCCCTTCGTGATAGTGGGCCTGCAAGGCCACTCCGCTTCGGTAGGTATCCGAACAGGTAAGACCAGCAGAAGCCATCAAAGATGGGATTACGAGGCGGAAGTGCAAGCCGTTGAAGCCGTCATTTTGCTAGAGAGATGCTCTCCGATCCACGGGCCATCCGGCCATGCCTTTTGTTTGCATGAGATTGGACGTCCGTTCCTGTCTTAGACGCCCCCGTCCAGCAACCACCTGAAGCAAGCCATTGGTGGCTGAAAGGGAAAGAGATTTCTTCAACACGGGAAAAAGAGGGCTATGTTTGGTAAATGCCCTGGGCCCGTTTGGGGTTAATAACGAGAGAAAAAAAACCGAAACAAGAAAGGAGAGAGAGGGAACACCAGAAGGCTTCTATTTCTCACAGTCGACGCCCCCATTTCCCGAAAGGGTAACCCTAACACACGCTGATCGCCAATACGATTTAGTTTGAGATATGCATTTCTCTTGGCACTTTGCCTGTTTTCTCTTCACATGGCGCCGGGTGTGAAGTGCCGAGGCTTTGGCCTTCGTATTGCAATTTTGTTTATTTTAAGCGTCCGTCCGCATTCTAGAAGCTCGACGGCGAGGCGGACTTGGGACGTTACGTAAGGGGGGCAATTGAGGGACGATATAGGCGATTGAATTGAATTTTGGCATTGAGAATCGTGCCTGGGAGGGATTAGAGCTCAATCGCTGGTGCTCCGTATTGGGGCTTCCAGCTGCTAACGGGACATGGCAGCAAAGTATTCGGTACTTGGTTGGCTGGTGGCCACTAACCGTTGCATCCAGTGACCGGTACTTGGTGCACTAGTCCCCCTAGCCCCGCGGGTGACGTTCAGGCCAGGGCACTTTTGTCCTGACAACACACGACTTCTTGCGCCCAAACTCTGTGTCGCATGCAAGCAACGGCCAACACCACATGAAACGCCCCAGATGCCCTCTCCAGCTCTATGCTAGCAGCCGTCGCCAGAGCCCCAAACACTGCTAGCAGCTGACAGAAAGCGCCGGGCTGAGGCGAAGCCCCAAAAGGCCCTCCCGAGCAGCCTCGCCGCGATGCCCTCGCCGACCGACGACGAAACGCCCTTTCCCGCGCTGAGCCACGCCGCGGGCCTCAATGCGCTGGACCGCTCGCATCTGTCGCCGCACGATGCCTTCACGTACCCGCTGCGACAGCCGTACGATGGCGACGGGCCGGCCGATCCGCTGTCCCATCTGAGGCACCTCAAGGACGACCGCAGCAGGAGCCGGCGGCGCAAGAGGGCGTGGAAGAAGCTCATGTGGGTGAAGCAGTCGTGTAAGTCTGCCTATCAGTGGAATTGGAATCCATCAGAAGGCTAACAGGCACGATCTCGTTTCTTCCCCCTTTTCTAGATCCGGACAACTACACCGATCAGGCGACATTTCTCGAAAACCTGCAGCGAAACCCTCGGCTCAAGCCCTACGACTTCTGGCCGCTGGTGGCCGACTCCACGGTGATCCTGCAGCACGTCTGCTCCGTCGTCCTCTTCATTGTTTGCTTCAGGGGCATCTTCCACGGGCGAGTGTCGCCCGTGTCGCTCGTCAGCGGGAGCAGCTTCGCCACCTTTCTGGGATGGATCCTTTGGGAGCGATGGGTCTCGGAGGAGGAGGACAAGGAGGACGAAGTAACCGCGGGCGGCGCTGCTGCCTCTGTGAACAAGACCGAGAGCATACGGCGACGAGCTCGTGCAGCTAGCATTCGCCGACCCATCATCACGCCCCGTCCCCTTTCTACTACGTCGTCGAGCCGTCCGACATCAGAGTCGTCTTCTTCGCGTCCGTCGGCTGGAAACTCGACGATTAATATCAGAGTTCAGATTCCAGATAACGAGCAGATGAGGGCAACTATTCTTCCGTCTCCTTCTTCCACCACCTCTCCGACATCGCCCACATCGCCGCTGTCACCAAGGGGAACTCCTCAACACGGAATCGGTGCCGATGGCCAACCTCTACTGCGCAGAGCGAGTTCGGACGTGATACCCGACTTTCCGTCAATACCAAACGAGTCTAACCGCCTGCATCAGCGCCTCGGCACGATCAAGTCGGCTTTGCTAATTTACTGCACGCTCCTCGGGCTCAGCCCCATTCTCAAATCCCTGACTCAGTCCACCTCTAGCGACAGCATCTGGGCCATGTCCCTCTGGCTGCTGGCAATCAACATATTCTTCTTTGACTACTCGGGCGGCGTCGGAGCTAAATTCCCTGCGTCGTTGTCCACAAACGCAGCCCTCATGGCCTCGACCGTGCTGGCAAGCCGTTTACCCTCTACTAAGCAGGTGTTTTGCTTAACCCTTTTCAGTATTGAGGTTTTTGGTCTGTTTCCCGTGTTCCGGCGATACGTTCAGCACCGTAGTTTCAAGCAGCATGTGATTCTAACCGTGTTGCTGATTCTGGGGGCCGGATGGGGCGTTGGAGTCGTAATGGCCAAACCGAAGCCTGACGGTTGGCCGTGGAAGCGCGGTATCGGAGGCATGGTGGTGTCTATCCTTATTGCGGCAATAGCCACGGGTGGATGCAGCTGGTGGCTCATTGGACTGCAGAGGTATAAGAACGAGATTCGAGGGCCTTGGGATCCTGCGAGGCCCATTATTATGAGCCGGCAGCGTTGGGACGATCGGTGATTTGGTACGGAGGATGATGACATGTTAGTTTTATGAGGAGTAATTTATGGGATTTGTAGAGCGGCGTATAGGTGACATCGCTAGACATGATTCAACGAGCCTGAATACTAATAGGCACTATCTCGTATCAGGTGCTTTGCCTATCCGGCATAGTGAACGTAATGATGAAGAGCAGTGGCAATACTTGTTGACCAAGGTCAGGCCAACTGCTCCGGCGCCGTATGTTCCTCCCCCTTACCACGGGCATGTAGTATATACATAGTAGTACTACGCTCAGTTGTTCTAAAGCGAACGGGTTCCACTTCCACCAAGTGGGACTTGCTTGCAAGTTAGTTGTTCATCTTCAAAAGTAATTTTGCTACCTGGATAGACTGGACGAGATCCCGTACACTCTCATGGATACGGTCGTATATGCTTGATGGCACACACATAGGGACAACTGGGTTCAAATTCACAAGCTGAATCAAAACAGCAAAAAGGCAAAAACATACAACAGCCGGTGTTCGCTGATGGTCAGCCACTCAACTACTAATCTGCCTCTCATTAGCTTAACACTGGGAGAGCGGACAGGACCCCGAATTTTCCACTACCTATGGTCGTATGTGCTTGATCTCAGGGGTAGTTGGCCTTAAGTTGCTATGGAAGGCATCTACAACTAAAAAAAAAAACATACAACAGCCGGTGTTCGCCAGTAGTCACCCACCTGACTACTAATCTGCCTCTTATTAGCTTGACTCTGGGAGAGCAGACAGAATGCCGAATTATCTGCTATCTACGCTTACATGGGCTTCAACCTTGCAGAAATTTGACTTATGAACCTAATTGTGCACGGCTTAGTGGGGCAGAGTCACCTGTTGGAGAAACACGATGCACGGTATGATTGGCTACAACCCCGCTATACCTTATGACTAATGGCAGCTGTGCAAGTCGCAAAACATCCAGGCCTCTTGGTGGTCTACTCCGTATTATGGTGGAAGATACGGAGTGAGAATTATAACTTAGTATGACGGCATGGCTAATAATATACAGTACTGTAATAATGCTGTTTTCCATTAAGATTTTGCTTTTCCAATCTTACTTTGGTTTGTGGCGTTGCAACTGATTACGCGTACTATATGATTATTGGTGGATATCGGCCCCACCCGTCCTTGACTTGTAAAACATACTAGAAAGCCTAAGAAATCTCTCTTTCTATATTCTCTGACCAACCAGAGGCTAGGTAATTGTCAGATCTTGAATAGGAGAGATTGAATAACACCACGTTATACATGGCCAATATCCTCCTTGAACTTTGGTATAAGTTTTTCCTTCACTATATATTTTTTTCTTACCAAATTTTCAATATGCTACTATTTTCCCCATCTACTAACAAAAGAATGTTTTCTTTAGGTTTGTTAGATCCTACCAGCTGTGAAATATATTTGCAACTCCAAAAGTCTTATTGCTAATTCATATATGAAAGCGCTTCTTTTTCAATTACTACCTGTTGCTTATGCTTTTAGCGCCAGCACCTTTATCCTGCCTCTCGGGCAGAACTCGCCCAATTATACTTTCGCACTTAGTATTCCCAAGAACTCAACCGATATTTACTTCCACCTATCCGGACCGACTGACTACTCTTGGGTAGCGGTGGGAACAGGGCGCAATATGGAAAATTCACTTATGGTTTTGCTCTATGCCGCTGCAAACGGGAAGAGTCCGCTCATCTCTACCTGTGGAAAGAGATTTAGCTTGGCTAATGTTACATCGCAGATGTTACCGTTAGCCCTCGTCTCTGCTCTGGTCATCAAGAGCCGGTCTATTCGTCTGCACTAGCGGTCGATATCCTAAATGGAACCGGTATATATGGGAATACAATGACACTTAACGCACGATGCTCGAATTGCGTACACTGGGGAACTGGCTCGCTAGATCTTAAATCCTCGTCTCAGTCATGGATTTATGCCCTGGGTCCAAGTGGTGGAACGGCTGCAATGCTTCGGAGCAACTCTAAAACTGCTAGCATTGAGAGACATTCAAGATACGGTTAGACAGAGTACCTTTTACACCATCACCTCATCAGCACTTCTTGTTTTCGAACTTGGCCGCTAATTTAAGCTGTCTTGCTAGGGCGCTTTACCATGGATATGGTGCGTGCAATTAGTGACTCTGCAGGACTCCCTGCATCCTTTACAACTGCAGCTGGCTCTAATATGGACGGATCCATCACGATTGATAGCAATTGGCCAAGCATCATCCACGCTCTCTGCCTTTGTGGCACATTTGTTATAATGATGCCTCTTGGTGTAACATTCCTTCGCATCTTCCCACGAAGTGTTCGATGGCATTGGATAAATCAAACTCTCTCCTCTACAATCACCTTTGTGGGGTTTATAATCGGGATTTACCTCAGCACTATGTTTACCAAGTCGGAGAAAGCTAACTCGACACATCAAATCATCGGTATTATGATCGGTCTCGCACTAATCATTCAGCTAGGAATGGGATCCTGGCACCATTGGGTCTTTAAGAGGACTAACTCTCCCACTATATTTGGCAGAATTCATCGCTACTTTGGACATATTGTAATACTACTTGGTATTATTAATGGTGGCATCGGACTGACTTGGTCTTATGCATCTAGGTCAGTTGTTATCGGGTATTCTATTGCTGTACTTATTATTTGCTTGGTATATCTTGTTGCTCTTTGGAAGGCTAAGTGGGACACCAAGCATTATAAAAGAAGTAATGTAAGTGCTGTTAATGAGCTTAACCAGCCTGGTTTGGGATATGAATTATAAAATGATATTATTAGAAGCAACATATATAATAAAAGGCAAACGAGCGTCGCGAATAAATACTTAACTACAATAAGCAACGACATACCACGGTCTCCACGGCTGGCTCTGGCCTGTCCCCTTCTAGCCCCTTAACACATTCGCCTATTATACCTAAGATTAGCTAAACTTTTTCTTCCTCCTATTATTTAAGATCTTTTTTATCCTGCCTTTTAATCGCCGCCTTTTATGTATGCTTTAGTAATGTTAAGGGCAGCAGCGCCTATTGTAACCTCCTGATACCTATTCCTAGTATAGGGTAAGGGTTCCTAAGGTAATAAGCCTAGGTTATAGGTTTATGTTATCAGAGAGGACAGGGAGTAGCTCTTAAGCAGTTATAATGTAGTTATAAGTAGGTAAGAGTAAAATAATTTTCGATACTCCTGGGGCCATCTCTCTCTTTGGGCCATGTTGGCTATTGCACTTCTGACATAGTCGGCCGCGTCAGCCAATCCGGTTGCATATCTGAAGATCACATCAATGACTTGGCCAAAAAAGAGCCCTTGTCCTTAGCCTTTAGCCATCTTCTTTCTGCGGAGCTCCAACTCCCATCAATTACAAAGATAGAACGCGACACACTCCGGCGACATGAAATCATCTACATCCGAAATGACTCGGATGTAATTCATAAGCCTGTTGAGATGTTGCGACGATCGCGATGCAATCTTGACACACGCCCAATCGGTACAATATGACTGGCCTAATCGCACTAGTTCCAGAGAGTGCTTGCTGACAACCTCGTTGCCGAGGAGTCTCGGATGTACTTTTGGTAACATCGTGGCGGGCAGTATATAAAGTCCAGAAACTTTTCCAGACTTAAGCGAGCTTCGCAAAAAGACATATGAAAAAGTCTTTCGTGATTAAGAATTTAACATCTTCCCTCCAATTTTGTTATAAGATGTCCGTCTTTAACCTTGCGAAGCCAGACAGGCCAATCGAAGTCGGCGTTATACTAATGAATGGGTTTGCATTTCTCATGTTTATGAATCGTGTTCGCCACTGATAACTCTACAGCGAGACAGAAATTCTTGATGTTGCGCCAGTAGATATGCTTCATAGTTTCAGTAAGAAATATATTGAAACCGTGCCAGATGTGTGGGTTTCAAAGGAAGTCAAGGCTCAGGCACTTGATTTCAATTTTCATTGGGTATCTGAGGTAGGCAGCGCAAAGCAAAGCCGCCTGACTAGTGCCATATCTCTGGTTCCAACAGTGAGTTCAGAAGTTTGTCGCTAATTTTCCTTGCATACTCGTGGCTTACACAAACTAGCATTCCTTCGAGACTTGTCCGCCATTGGATATAGTTCTCATTGGTGCGCATAATGTTGGTTACGTTCCAAATGATGCCGAGTTGGCCTTTGTACGAAAGGCTTGGAATGACTGCTCTGCCTTTCTCACAATCTGTGCTGGAGTTGAGGTTGCAGCCCAAGCCGGTATATTGGGGGGGAAAACAGCAACTGCCCCGCGTTTCATGATAGATCTACTACGCCAACGGGCGCAAAGCATTAATTGGGTTGAGAAACGATGGGCTAGGGATGGCAAACTGTGGACAAGCGGGGCCTTCTTAAACGGCACTGATATGGTATATGCTTTTGCACACACGGTTTGGGGTGGAGAGGGAACTCCTGTCTCGAGGATGTCTACGATCGGCGGCTGGCCAGTTCGGGAGGTTGATTATGAAAACGACGCTGATGGTATGTGAGACTGGCATATGATGTCGTCGAGATTTAAGAGGGCAAGACAGGCCAAATAGTAAAAGAGACAACCCTCATACCTTTCTAATGTCGCCTTCAGCTGTGCGACAATTGAGAACCAAGTACATGTTGCTGTAAAACACTGCTCAACTGTTGTCTTGCCAGTCAACCACGTTAGCTCTGCCACCGTCGCAAGTCTGGCTGTGGAACGTAAGGGATGTAGACGGTCTTACATCGCTCTCACGCGCTGCCCTTTGGAGCCGAGAAGCGATTATAAGACTACATTTGGAATGGGGAGCGAATATCGAATCAGAAGACAACACAAAGAGAACGCCCCTATTATGGGCCGCAGTGCAGGCCCAGACATCCGCCGTAAAGATTCTTCTAGAGTCAGGATGAGACATTACTGCAACAGAAAGTAGCGGATTAACGCCACTACATTTGGCATCATCTCACAGGTACTCTGATGCAGTGAGAATGTTACTTCAGCAACCGGAAATTAATTGTAATGCTCGTGATGCTGACGGCCGGACGCCGCTATTTCATGCATCGTGGCGAGGGCACAGTCTTGTTCTTGGCCTCTTAGCTAGCAACCCCATGGCTGACTTGAGGTGTGAGGATAACTACGGCATAACGAAACTATCCGCTGCTGTAATGAACGGCCATGAGAATATTGTCGACTTAGCTCTGCCGATTTTGGAGGGACATGTCGGTGTACCTAACAAGCCAGAGGGGCCTCTATTTTGGGGAGCCAAGAATGAAGAGGAAGTATCCAGCCATCTGCTCCAACATGGTCAAGGTCCAGATGAACATCCTAACGCTAGCGAGGCTTTAAATGGAATTTTTCAGTTGCATTCAATGAGAATTCGATTTTAATGAGAATTCGATTTTTGTAATACATGCATAACATGTATTCCTGAAGGCAGAGCGTTCATGCCCTATAAATTCTGTCAAAGTATAAATAGCTCGTTGTTGATATGTTCAGAATGTTATAGGTCTAGCATGAGGTGTTGGAAGAATTGGCATATCATGACCCAAGACGAATCTGAAAAGGATAGTTACGATTGAGTAGTACTACGATTAGATAGCTCAATATTAATACCGAAATCGCGGAGGTACTGGTCATACAATTTTATGTCTATAACGTTAACCTTTCCATGCATACGCTTACTTCTCAGTCAAGCATCACTTATTCTAGAAAAATTATTTGGCGTCAAATGAGGTGATGATCTTTTTTTCCCTCTATCTACAGTATACAAGCCACGGCAGCATTACGCGAGTTCCAGATGTCGGTTCACCGGTCTACACAAACGAGGTGGCGGCCACCGAAAAGAGCAGCACTAGCTGCCGTCTGTAGAGGCAATTGAACTCGATACACGAACTTGACAGGATCCCGTATTTTCTAATGGATATGGTCGTATGTGATAGGCCGTAAAGGTGTTTTAATAATTATAATACTGCTTGATTAGTATAATTATATACTTATCTTGTGCATTATTTTTTTATATTTCCTTAATAAGCTATTTTTATTATATACTACCTAGCCTTATTAGATCTTTTCTTTTATAGATATGATATAATGATTATGTAGCTGGTTAGGGGAGTTTTTTTTTTTTTTTTTTTTTTAGTTTGGTCTGGTTTGGTTGGTTGCAACTAAGATACAAACTATTCATTGCTAAAGTTAGAGCCCCATACACTAAAAGTAATAGACATCACTTGAACTTTATATTTTCTACAGCGTATGATTGTATGCGCCTGGTCATAGAAGGAACAACGTTGACTTCGTACGTTGAATATACATAATAAACTACAAATGCAGATAGTACAGGAGCCAGTATTCGCTGCAGACACTCCATAAATATTCGTAGTCATTGAGATTACTATGTATAATAACCTATTGATGGAGACCTACTAGCCCAGAGCCCATCACCTGAAAGCGCGTTACAACTAATGTACTGGCGAGTACATGTATATTGGACGCGTGTAGCAGCCAGGCGTGGACAATAAATGCAATTCAAATTCTATTTGTTTAAAATATTTCCACATGCTACACGTAAGTTCATAGCATCTCGATTATGGGGCTTGCGATGAGCTCTGTGGCGCTGAGCCAGGCCAGCATTTAAGCTTGTTACGCCTCATAACCTTTCACTCCGGCATGGAGCGGAGATACGCAGATGGGTACATGTATTTAACCCGACCCTTTACCTGTTATTTCGCATATCTGATGGTCGCCGAATTCCATTCCTCTTCACAGCTATCGCACACGTTTATATCTTGTACTCTCCAACTCGTATTCTTACATCGCTCCATTGCCACAACTATCACCGCTTTTGGTCTATCATATGATGTTTTTAACATCACTTAGCAACAAACAATGGGATTCAACTTGGGATGGCTTGCCTAGAGAAATTCGACTTCTCATCTTAGAAGCCCTGGTGCAAGGTGGATGCAGACTGAGTCGCTTGGCCACAGTGTCCAGAGAGTGGCAGACCGAGCTCGAGCGACATAACTTTGCTCAAATCAAACTGACACCATCGCGACTCGTTAATTTCAATTCGATAATTCATCGCAATCGGGCTTTTGTTAGCTATATTTGGTTCTGCTTGGAACTTGATGAATACGATTGCACCAAGTGCGCGCCAGCCGGTGCAGGCTCGGATTATGAAGAAGCAACCACTATCAGTGATACAGATCACTGTCCTATCACCACATCATTTCGGAATCTCTTCTCCGTTCTCAGCAGATGGGGTCCTGGCGCCGGTTTGATACTCGATATTAGTATCTATTTGCCTAGTGACTCAAAACATTGGTTTAAATATCGGACCTTTATGCCCGATACTCCTTTAGACCCGTTAGGCAGTCGGCACAGCATAGATCAGATAGTCTCAAGCAAACCAGTCTATAATGATCCTCAAAATGGATGGGTTAATGGTTTCCGACATTCCGCTCCGCCTTCAAGGGCAGTTCTCAAAGTTTTTCATTCAGTCATGGGAGAGGGACCATTTGATAGTGATCAGGAAGAGCTACAATGGTGGGATCAGCTTCCATCGGTCCCGGCGGTAACCACATTACTTCTCCGGCAACAGAACCGGCGGAGATGGAAGCCAGAAGCGCTTGCACATATGTTTGCCTGGTTTCCCAGACTTCAAGAAGTCCATTATGAACCCTGGAGAGAATGGGACTTTATGAAGATGCATACAGATAGAAGTGAGTGTGGCTGCACATCAGCCTAAGTTATTACCCGATCCCTTTTATATAGGTACACTATTGCTAATAATATATATCCTCAGAGTATCTATATCTTTTCGAGTCTATCCAACGTTTTAACAGTGATCTTAAGAGACTTGTGGTCTTTGAGAACTTTAATCAACAGTATCCAACTATTATGCAGCGATTCCAGTTTGGTGTTGATTTACAGTCTGCGGACAAAAGTCTGCGACCACTTTGACGCGGTTGCGTTTCCCCGCAACGCGTAACCCAACCACCCCCAAACTTCAACCTTATATAATTCTATCAAAATATGTCAGAAAATAGAACTTTTGGTACCGTTATATCGGGAAATCGTCAAAGAAATCATGAATTTAATAATTCAGCAAGAGCTGCAATGCTCGCGATGTTAGAAGCCGGTAAGTCTGCGTGGGCTGTTGCGCGCGAGTTTTCGACTACACACTTGACGGTCCTAGCCATTAAAAAACGATGGACCACTGACCAAACGGAAGAGAAAAAGCCACGCAGCGGCCGGCCAAAGAAGCTTAGTCGTACAGAGGTTCGTTACATCGTGCGAATGATTAAAAAAGACCGTTCGGTTAGTTGGAATGCCTTAGTTGATAAGGCCGGCGGTCATGTGTCTTACAAAACTATTAAATGTGCTATTCGTGGTGTTTTCTTGCGCAAATGGAAAGCTTTAGACCGTCTAAAGATAATAAAAGAAGCAGCAGCTCGTCGGCTTCAATTTGTACGTACTTGGTTGCTAAGAGTTGAAGAATTGATGACGGTATGGTCGATTGAAGTTAGTGATGATTTTGGGCTAATACTTAGACTAAGTGATGTTCTTGGACGAAGTTACGGCAGCGAATAAATCAAGCAACCCCAACGTCTTTCTCTTCCGAGCACCTAAAGAGAAATACAATCAGGGTCTAGTCAATCTATTGGATTATGTTAAACCTTTAATTTCTATTATGTTCTGGGCGGCAATTTGGGAAACGGGAAGGACCCCGTTGGTGACGATGAGACGAGATTTGAGAAGTAAAAATAAGGGCTATTCTGCTTGGAGTTATCGCCAAGCACTCGAGGAAGGTCTTCTACCGTTGTACGATGGAACACGAGAATTTCAACAAGATAACTCTCAATTACACAATGCAGCGGCAACTCAAAGTTGGTTGCTTTGTAATGCAATCTCATGGATTGACTGGCCGCCGTTCTCGCCCGATCTCAACCCCATTGAGAATGCCTGGGCCTTGCTGAAGAGGAAGATGCGTTCTTTATTTCCAGACCTTCGAGATTTAAAAAACAACGAAGAAGATAAAGCAAGATTTGAAGCCTGTGCGAAGGCGGCGTGGGATGTAATACCCCAGGACTAGATTTGAGACCTCTTAGAGTCACTCCCTCGCCTCTTACGCACAGTTATTCGTGTACGGGGTTGGTACACAAAATATTAAATGGTAAATTCAGGGCTACTAAATGATTATAATTTTATTGAATAATAGTTATTTTTGATTGAGAAAATTGAGGTTGTAATTGTTGGTGAAAATTGCAGGTGTGGGGAAATTTGGGGGTGGTCGCAGACTTTTGTCCTCATACTGTAGCTAAATGCGACAGTATTCGCAATCCAACACCAGCTGTCAGCCAGATGGTCGCGCTTACTAGCCTTAAGCTTGAGCATCTTGCAGCATCATTTATCGTAGATGCTAGCCACTTCTTTAACATCATCAAACCGTCTTGGGAATGGCCAAACCTAACTTCGCTTGTACTGACTTCAAACTTGCTTTCACCAGATGAAAGTCCAATCAAGATTAGAGCTATGCTTCAGGCTGCGGCGGCAGTGACTACAAAGATGCCACAACTGGAAAGAATGGAAATTTGGAACGGACGAAAGGGCTTAGCAGCGCTCTTTAAATATCAGGTGTTCTACAATATACGGCAAGCTAGAATCACTTGGAGAGGCACCTGGAATCTTGTCATGGAATCTTCCATAGTCCAGGCTTGGGAAGTTCTTACACATTAGCAAGATGGTTGGAGATTTAATCTAGTTTAGGAACTACTGGATGGAGCTACTATCAAATCTCACGGTGACGCAATTCGACACCTTATGCTTTCAGGCCAGGTCATTCGGCCTATCTCGTTGCAGCAGATCCAGACAGAACAGAGTGCCCTAGAGAGCGTAGAAACAGTGTAAGAATGATTTATCTATGAATAGATAGAAACATACAGTGTCATTGCATAATATAAGATCACACAGATCTCCCTCCCGCCTAGGATAGACAAACCAACAGCCAAATAAATAGTAAGAGTTATAGAGCGAGATAGAAAAATTCCAGGACTCTTCGTTGCTTCTAAAAGTGGGCGATGACCGTACCATTACGGAGTCCTGGTAACCATTACGAATGGTAGAAAATGGTTCGGTCATCGCTCACTTCATCGCTTTCTACCTGGTAAGGATCACTAAAAACCCCCCTGGCGCCTGAAGGTAATAATCCAACGACGCGGCGTCACTATCCACAATCATATTGCCACGGTATTATGGGATCTGCGTGACAAACTCCCAGCACATATAACTCAGAAGAAATGAGACACGTGTCAAGGCCTTTGATCCTTTAGATTAGTGTAGTACATCTGGAACTCTCAGCATAGTGGAATAGACATCGAGGCTCATACACGATGACTACTATTTGGCTAAGGTGTATTTTTATGTAAGTATAGGCAGACCTATTGACGAGGGGCCATTCCGTCGAAGCCTAAATCAGTCGTCTACCACAGATCTGTCCTCCATTGTTGATGCAGCTTTGGACGCTAATACAAATGGTGACGAAGAGGAAGCAGAATGGGGACTTAGGGATGCCTTACTGTGCTCTAGCCGTCTGCTATCGTTTCACCTATGAGAAGACCATCGATATTGGCTACAGGCTTGTTTGCTTCGGTCTTGAACCTTCATCGGACATATTTTCTGCGCTTCTACCAGTACTATAGCTTTGATATCCAAGACTTTAGTTTCACGGGCTGTTGCCGATTCAATTAAGCCAAGGAAAGATTCTAGAATGAATATGACCTCTGTATTGAGACTGCATTAAGCTTCTACTCCGGAACTAGGCGGGGGGGGGGGGGGGGGGGGGGTTGATAATGTCGATGTGACAGCGAAATTGTGAGCAGTTATATACCATATCCAGTAGTGTTTTTGGACATTGTCAAAGAAAAAACAAGTCAGCTTCTCCACGCTGCGCCCGCCAGTAATTTGTTGAGACAAGTACCTCGTGGCAACTCTGCAACAGCCACAACCACTTGTTAGCAAAGCCCTCTGACACTTCCAAGCCATACGGATCCCAAGGATCTCCCCAAACTATAATGCCAGCTTTCCCAACTTCCCCAATCATGTCCCTACAGAAATCGTAGTCATTGTAAAACCCCTCATAGCGTAAGAGAGCGTCTCGGAGCGAAGGAACGGGTAGAGGATCTATGTAAGGATGATGAACCTGAGATTTCTGGAGACTTGTTGGGTGAAGGCTCGGTGGTACGGAATACATGTTGAATGTTGCAGCTGGTGCATTGAAGGATGAGATTGCGTTTTGATCTTTTATTGTCTCTAGATTGAGATTAAGTGCATCCATGTTGTACCTTATAGCCCGGAAGCTATTAAGCTGTGTCACAGACAGGAGTAGGTCAGATGTGGGATTGCCTTGTAAGAGGCTACGGTTCACAGCGTAGGCCAGCCGATCCATAACCTCCATGGTCTGAGCGCCGTCAAGGGAACACACAAAGGCAAATTGCAAAGGCGAAGAGCTTCCTGGAGCAAATCCAACAAGCTCAATGCCTGTTTCACTATCAACACACCTGCTGGCGCTTTGCGACGTCAGCATTGAGGAGACGCGAGGATTGACAGGTTGAGCATTCGTCCTGGGTCGGCCTCGGGACCTCCGCTGGATCCCTGCCTGTTCCTCTCGTCGTAACTTTCGTTCTCCTGCTCGATGGTGAGGAGCGCGAACAAACTGCATAGCGGAGAAATGGAGTGGTAATCACGTACTGGAAACCCTCTGATTCACACGATTCTGCAGCTTTCGTCGAACTATAGGATCCGCCACTTCGGCCCCGTCCTTCCGCCCGTCTTGTGAGGCATTGCGTGATTGTGCACCCATACCAGAAGGGCTCATGTGTCTCTGGTGTTATTGCGGATGATACTTCATCGCTGCGAAAACGCGTCGTCATTCATACGGACAGACGGTTATGTCCACACATCTCATGGGGATGCTGACTGATTTTCTGCTGGACTAATGCCACACCCGGGAAGAGCCTCTACTATAATGGCTTGGTATGAGGTGGGGATGCGGAGCGGAGGATTGCTCAAGTCCAAGCTGGTATATTTGTTCACTGTGCTGACCGAATTTTGATTCGACATAGACGCAGCAGCGGAGAATGATGACACAATTATAATCGGTCTAATCAAGCAATACTAACTACTCCGTAGTTGGAATGAATCTTGTCGGTGGATCCCCCCCTGTGTCTTTAGCAACCTGTATTAGGTAGAACAATCATTATTCTACAGGGGATGAGAACTAACTCCAAACTTCTGTTTGGTGCGATTTGCGTAGTTGACAACAATATAAATACATCGATTCGTCCGTCTAGTGGCCTCGCTCATAATGATTTGTATCTCGCCCTCTTCTTCTTCTGGACTACCCGAATACCCCAACAATGTTTAACACTAGATCTACAGCAACAGAAGTTGCAAAGGCTTTGGCAACACGAATTCGCGGCAAGACGGGTGAGACTTCTTCGAACATATGACCGCCACGCTTTAAGACAAGTATCTTACTATCATGAAATAGTCTTAATCACTGGCATAAGCCCCGGGAGTCTTGGATCTGCTACGGCTATGGCTATTGCCTCACAACAGCCGCAGCGGCTGCTCCTTGGCTCGCGCACCATGAAAAACATCCACTCTGTCATGGCCGATATTCATTCCGTGTATCCATCCACTACTGTAGAACCAGTGTTGATTGATCTATCATCGCAGAAGTCTGTTCGTGCAGCAGCAGCAGACGTTAATTCTCGCATTTCGAAGCTGGACGTTCTGATAAACAATGCTGGAATTATGGCCGTGCCAGATCGCACACTGTCTGAAGACGGCATTGAAATTCAGTTTGCGACCAATCATCTTGGCCACTTCCTGTTCACCAACTTAATTCTCAAGAATCTTCAAGCTGCAGCAAAAGATGCCAGGAACGAAGGTGACACACGCGTTATTAACCTCAGCAGCAATGGCCATCGCATTTCGCCTGTTCGATTCAGTGATTGGAACTTTGAGAACAAGGCCGTACCTCCGGAAGAGCAGGCAGATGAAGAAGCATACAAAAGCCGAGGCCAGACCTTGGAATGGAGCAACGGATATGAGAAATTTGTAGCATATGGCCAGTCCAAGACAGCCAATATTCTTTTCTCTCTATATCTGCGGAATGCCCTAGCCGAGAGTGGAATATTGTCATTCAGTGTACATCCAGGAAGTATGCCACGTCTCTGCGCCTGATGGGCAATGCCCCTTGATATCTTTATGTAGGCTGACAATTTCTTTTTCTAGCCGTAATGTCAAATCTTATCCGGCACATGGACTTGTCTAAACTGCAAGCCTCCATTAAGAATGCGCCAGCAGGAGGAAACGTACCCGCCCTCAAATCTCTCGACCAGGGCGCCGCAACTTCAATTTTTGCCGCCTTCGATCCATCACTAAATGGTGCGCCTTAAGCAATCTTCCTATGTCGTTGCATACTACATCCAGATAACGTGCTTACTGATATTTCTAGCTGAATCATCTATATATTTGGAAGACTGTCACAATGGTATTGCTGAAGCTTACGCTAGCGACCTCGACTCGGCAGCTAAACTCTGGAAACTCAGTGAACTAATTGTTGGGCAAAGCTTCTCACTGAAAGGAGAGTAGGACATAGAAAGAATTAGAGTACAGGGAAGATGCAACTACCTTTGGAAGTCTCCATTCTCAAGCTTAAATGCTGAATCATGCCTACGTATTAGTTGGATAACAGGCGCGATACTGCAGCGGCCTTTTACAAGTTCCCTACAAAAAAACAAGCCATACAGGTCTAATAGCAAACCATGTTATTTATTAGAAAAGCTGGTTTTATTTAATTTATCTTATAACCTGGCGTGTCTTATTCAAGACTTCTAGAATGCTCTTCTGGCTTTGCTTATATTATGTTTTTAGGCGACGCTTCACATACACTTCTGCTTTTTTCACTTACCAAATATGTGCTTTCGTAGCCTTTTTAAAATCGAGTGATCATGGCATTGCGGTCCGGGCCGGTACCAACCCACTTGATCTACACATTGTCAATTTGCATCTTTATGGGTTAAGTCCTTTTAAAGAAAAACAAAAACATACCTTGACTCCAATGAATTCCTCAATGTACTAGTCAAACAAATTAGTGAGATCAAGAATTAAGGCAAATATGACATTTCTAACCAGGATATAGTCTTGGGCCTCTTTGGGAAGCTCTTCAAAGGTCTTCACGTTGGTAGTCGACTGGTTCCAGCCAGGCATCTCGTGATAGATGACCTTGGCACGGTCAAGAACATCCAATGATGCAGGATACGAATCGAGTTTCTGTAAAGGGTTAGTAAATGCCATTTCCTTGCCAAAAAGAGCTCAGAATCTCACCTCGCCGGTCTCAGGGTCTTCGTATGCAATGGCGATCTTGATGGTCGGGAAAGTGTCCAAGACATCAAGCTGAGAATCGAATTAGTACATGCTCCTCTAATTAAAAAATAAGAAACGCAATATTTTACTTTTGTGAGATTCAGCGCCGTATAATGGTTGACGTCCTAGTGTACGTTAGATACCCACAATAGTTTTTTCGCACAGTGAATATACGATCTATACCGTGGTGTATTTGACGACGACGAGATCTACAAGAATCTAGTCAATAATGGGTTCTAGATGTCATGAGATTAAGATAGAGAGAGCACATACCAAGCCTGTTTCAGTTAGTCAAGACTATTCATCACAAGTTCTTAGACAGGTGAATGCTTACCAGCCGCAGCGCCGTGTTCGACCAGTTGAAGTACCCTATGGCCCGTCAGTTGCGGTCATGTCAACTGGATGGAGGACTTTAAGCTTCACCCATTCTCGACCTCGTTCCTGAAGCTTTTTGCCGATCCTATCGGAGTGGTTAGCTCTCTTCGCTTGCTAAGAATGAGAAATACCGTACTCTCCGAGATCCTCAGTCTTGAACGCGCCAGAACCCACACGAGTGGTGTAGGCCTTGACCACGCCAATAACCTCACCGATCTTCCTGATATCAAGAGCAAGTCCAGTAACCATGCCGCCGATGCTATTTCAAGTAAGTACCAAATCCATCAACTATTGGAGTGGATGAGGGACATCTGCCGCCTCTTGAATGGTACGAACCCGGTAGAACTGCTGGTCACGTATGGGTACTAGACAAAGTCAACAAATACCCGCGCAAAGCTGCATGCCTTCTTATAAATAGTAGCAAGAGTTGAATCACTCCTATAGGCTTGACTTACGGATCCCCAATCAAGATCCAACATAAGAGCTAACAAGGTCAGGACATCTAAATAAGAATAATGGTAAGAGGGGTTATCTAGCCTACCATTTGCTCCTTCGCAAAGGATCTTCGTATTCTTCGCTTGCGCGTCCTTCATAAAAGCAATGGCGTCGACAGTATATTTGCGAAGCTTGGGTCGGTACACCTTGAATCGGGCGATTTCTTCCTCAACATCGTACTTGAGCAGATCGCCATATCGCTTCTGGTAACCTGATGCAAGTCGTCGGAGCTTCGACTCAAAAAGTTCCTCATTGAAGACCTCTGCGAGTCTGATACCGCTTCGCTATATCTAGTTCAGTAAAGCTCATCTAGCCACATCATTCGGACTGGGTCCTTACCGCCGCTTTCGTGCTGTAAGCAGGACCAATTCCGCGGCCTGTCGTTCCAACCTTGCGGTCTGAGTGATGGGAAGTCAGCATATATAACTGACCCGTATCAATGATATAGCTAATCACCTCCAAGTTCGACTTCTTCCAAGCCGTCAACGGCAACGTGGAGGTCCAGATCAATGTGGACTCTGTCGCTGATGAAGATTCGATCATGGACGCTAGTATATTGTTAGCATGGTCTCTGACGATCGAGAGAATATCTAGACTAGTAATACTTTGAAAGTCCTTTTCGCTCCAGTTCTTCTAATTCCGAGAAGAAAGAAGGCTATTTGATGCATTAGACAAGCCCTTGACTGAGTATCGAGCAATTTTGGGGCATGTACAATGTGAGCCACCACGGAAGAACCGATAAGGTTCCGACTTTAAGAAGCATAATTAGTATGTTATATCCACTGCAAATCGCCAAATCACGAATACATACCAGTTGGGATTGACCAGGCCGGAAGGAAGCAAGTGGAAGCTAGAAGCTGTAATAAGTATTTTGCGCCGTAATGTAATGTCTCCTGTTTGCGCATACCTGTACGAGACACCATTGGCACTATTGAAGCTATCGTCAGCAACTCAGGATCAAAGATGATACAATGAGAACATTTTCAGCTCACACAATGGAATCTTTTTAAATATTATTTATGGTTAGTTATAATATTTAACTTTGTAAGGTAAATCGACCCACGTCCGGCATTGTGGCCACCCTGGATGTCGTCTTAGCATGTATTCTTGATAGAGACGTCTTATACTGGTCGGCTTGGGATAAGACTCACCGCAGCTCGCGCGCAAAGTTGTGCCTCGGGGGCAAGGATGTCAGTCAATTTTCCTTTCTGCCGGGTCACCATTGTTAGTAGCAGTCGCATAGGAATGGTAGCAATATGGAAATGGTCGTACGCCTTCGTCGCCTACAGAGTCGCAATCATGTTAGTACAGTACGATATCAGTCGCATGGGAACACAGAAGAAGAGATACCAACCCCATTGGGCGCCCAGCTTTGGAGAATTTAATGTCAACTCGTATTCCGCATAGTGTACCAAGTTTCAGCAGCTTACAATGATCGTAGCCATGGCTGCTTCGGATTCTGTTTGCAGCTTTCGCTGGTTTGAAAGATCCAAGATTTGACGCATGTGCTATAGCAGCCATTTGAGTCACTGCAGCTTTCTTCTAGTGGGGGGCTTATCTTATCGCACCGCCGTGGCTGCAAAGCTGAGGGACTGCATTAGTATTTCCCACCAGAAACAAAAAACTATGCTGGATAGCTTGGCTTGTTGGATAAATACTTTTCTTTCCATATAATCTAGCTTTGCAATACTTTCAGGCACATACGACCATAAGTGATGGAAAATTCGGGGTCCCATCAAGCTCTCTTATGTTTAACGACTTCCATTTTTTACACCCTTAGACTCCTAAAAATCTCGTTTTTGGTGGTTAAAGTTAACCAATCCCTGCGCTACTCTACCTACAATTAAAACTATAAAAGTAGTAGCAGGAGGGGGTTTGACATCAGTGACATTCTCAAAACATAAAACGCAGTCTTAAGCTCTGATAGACGATATAATTGAAACAACCATCAAATGGTGGGGACGCGGGTCTCCGGGTCTCCTGATCGGAGGCGATGAGTTTTGTTGGCGGGAGCTCTGAGATAACATCTGAAGTGATCCTGCCTAATTAAAAGATTTTAGTCGAAGTGAAAACAACCTAAACGTCCGAATTGGGAGCAGACGGGGAATGTCGTGTAGTAATTTGTATTAGCTATGGAAGCTACACATAAATGGTGATTCTTCATTCACCACGACTTGTAAGCCAGTGATTACAGGAGGCCAATCTATGCAGGAGGCTCGCAATATAATACGATCCTATCGCATAGTATATTTCCATTACTTTAACTAATATCACCGGATTTATGGACTACTTTACGATTTATTTCTCCCGTTTCACACTGTCGCAGATTGTATCTACTTATAAGTATAGAACAGACTCCATACTTATATCGCTGCACTATATCTATACTTATGCCAAATACAAAGATTATATTTATTTACACAATTTCTAAGGTAACTATGCGTCCATTATTTCCTCTTCCACTAAACCAATCTAGTCGATTACCTTTTGGTAAAGAAAAACACTGGCCAGCATTGGGGGAGCTGGAGCCTAAGTAGTCAGTAAACTCGAGATTGGAATTTGTATGGTTAATATAATCGAGAACATTACCGCCCGGAGAGGCTGTTCTCCCATCCATTGCGCCACGAAGAAAACAATCTCCAACTAATTGATGGCAGAATTTGCCTTTGTAGCGCACACGCCGTAGAACCAGCGGCAGGCTGCTGCCTGGCAGAATGTATATCTCGTCGTCTTCCTTCATCAGCATTGGACCCAGGCCATGCCCACACATAGCCGTATATTCAATATCCTTCCTCTGTTGATTGAGAAATAGTCTATGTTCAGCAATCTTATTTCGTCCTATATTACGAAATTCTTCATCATCGAGCATAGCATCATTATTGACTTTCTCGATGTGATCATCCAGAAACCTTTTAAATGCATTGATTATACGCATCACCATGTCGTAGAATTCAGTATGGATCACCTCATTACTTTTGTTTTTTAAGATGTCGCATTGCTCCCTGAGCTTGCGCAAGAGGTTTCTATGTTCATAATCTTGATTAATAATGGTGTATATGGTGGCCTTCTCGTTCAACATTTCCCTGCTTCTTGCTAGTAATGTTTCTTGATCGTTGATCCAGCGTTGTAATATTGAATGGATCTCATTAGAAACATAAAGGGAAAAATATGTTCGTTTGGTTGTTGTTAGTCTCATGACTTCAAAAAATTGATCATCGTCAGACTTCATTGCCTGATGCTGATGACCATCTAGGGCTCCACGCAGTATGTTTTGATTGAACCATTTCTTCATGATGGCTGTATCCTCATCTTTCAGTCGTCTTAAGAGCCCATCTGGAGATCTCCTTACATCAGCCATGATGACCTTCAAAAAGCCTTCGTGACAAGCCTTTTTGACGCTCTCTGCCCTAGGCCCTGTTGCCCAGCTATCAAGTACCTCCACAGCCGTTTTCATATCGGAGTGTGAATATAATGGCTCTGTGATTTTGGATACTCTTCCGATCTTAATAGCATGAACTATTAGAGATCTCCCCGTGTAACCCCTTGCAATCAGGCTATATTTTGGTAAATCTCTGCAGCCGTCCTTGTGACAGTAATCCACTAAGGAGTTGCAAATGTTCTTAATTTGCTGCATAATAGGCGAAGTCGATTGAATATTTAAACGTCGTAACTTTGGCGCAAGACCTTCACGCAAGAGGCGCTTCGGGTCGCGCTCAATCTTAAGAGAGTCGAGGAACAAGGCCATCTCGTTTTTTATGATTTCCTGTATGCTGGCATCGCTGGTATTACTCTCCACTAGCAGTGGAATGACGCCGCCACAAGCATCATAAAGAGTGAAAAGCTCAGCACGTCGGCGTTCATCTTCATCAAGGTTTGCACTCCAATCCGGAACCCAAGACGATAAATCATGTCTCCCTTTGCGACTATGATCGCCATATAAAACAGACAGAGATTTAGTACTCTTTATGGTCTGGATTATTGGCGCCGTATACACTTCTGTCACATCTAGCTGGTAATCAGGCTGAATGGAGATTCCTTGGTTGCACAACCCTAGAAGAGCGTAAACTCGGTCTCGATCATCAGAAGCCTTGCGATGACCAAAATTCCGTAGTAGTGAAAGGATATCTGCCCCCCCAGACTCTTTCCAGTTTCTGCGGAATTGATTGAGGCTGGAGACACGCGAGAAAAGGTTGAAAACTTTGAGGTCGCTGGCTGAGATAAAAGTACGATATTCTCCATACCCATCCTCCCATCGAGAGGAGACTTCTGCAACTTTGACTAGCAACTCCCATGAAACCGAAGCGTTGCTGTATCTTAAAGTAATATTTTTAGCGACAACCGCTTCTTGAACCACCCATATGCGCTCCCACCAGGGGACAAGTAGTGTGCATCGTAATGCCTCACAAAATGCAGCCATATGAGCTTCTGGAATATCCTTTGGAAGTTTCAAAAGGCTCGAGGAGGATTCGTATCCGGCGATGATAGTCAACAGAGAGAAAACTTCAAAGGCTTGGACTGGCACCTTCAAGGGTGATGTCTTCCAGATGTCGAAGTTTTGCCTTGCAAGCAAAGCATCTGTTGGACCAATTCCAAATTTCTCGAGAGGGCGCTGACTTTCGGACGACCGAGGATTTGATTTGGTGCAGTTTTGCTCACTGCCGAGAAATATGATAACCTCGCTAGCTATACTATAAATCTCTCGCATTTGAGCAACCTGCGATGATCGCTCTGGGATGTTACTTTGGTCAATGCACTATGCTTCGGTTAGATGATGCTCCTTACTTCGTTTGATAGGGATATTTATTACCAGTGCATCTATCCAGAGAGTTATTTCCTTTTCTTGTTCTCGCAAATGTTTTAGGGCAGCTTCAAGATTGGTTGTCACTTTGACTTTGTTGCCATTAACCAAGATCTCTGGGATGTTTCGTCGTCCCCAACGCCCCCAGACATATGATAGGGCTTTGTAGGGAGGAAATTGGTCGCGAAATCTGTTGTAAGGTTTAAGTGTACAACATATTTCGTCGGCCCATCGGCCTGGTGATAGCGTGATTAGGCGGAAAAACCCAACTTCTGTAGATGAATCCATAGCGGTCGACCTCGCAGCCAGTGAAGTTGAGCGATCGTCAAAATTCAGTTTCTCAAGTGCATTATCCACTTCAGTAAAGCTTGGGCCAAGGCAGTGAGCTACCTAGTGAAGCAGATTAATAATATTTGTTTTGGATTGAGATGAATGAAGAAGCACTTAAAAACACATTAGCATTGTAGGCTCGTCAGGAATACTTATATGATCATTCTGCCCTGATTCCGATGGCCATATGGCCCAATAGTGTGCGCATACGTGTGATTTTGTTGCAGTTAGGCATCAGCCAACATGCAGTCGAGCCTTGGTAGCTATGCAGGATAGCAAGGCCAATCAAATCCCAAACCCCAACATAGCCATCGCCAGAATGTCACACAAGAGGTGGCTGTGATTTTCATTCGTTTCTGCACGCTGCATTGATACGGTGTACAAATTGAGTGCCATAAGTAAGGCTTAATGAGGGACATATCAGACAGGCCCACGTTGATCGGGTGTAGTCGAGCAAATCGAGGATGACCGGGCTCTACTACGCCCAGTTGTTAATACAACCCAACATACATAGATCGCGACAATTGGCTTACAGTGTAGGCTCCTACGCCATTACTGAGTGAGATACGCTTAAAGTGCTGTAATTTTGGGTAACATAGGTAGGTCAAGTTAGAAGGAACGAGACCATCACGATCTGATCACGATGCTCGCGTTCAATCTGTAAGGGCTTCAGCAGGCCTGTGACCGTTACCGTAGCCGTAACCCGACTTTCATTTATCAAGGTTTTAATTTAATATCTACATAAATGCGTGTCTGTACATGTTTGAACGAAAGTGACGAAGTGAACTTTAAGCCCAGGTTACCAGAAGGTCCTGAACAGTCCTGTAATCATCTTCACTAACATCCAGCGTTGCACAATTACTTCCTGTTCCTGGTATATCGGGGTTCATCTGGCTCTCTTCGACCACGGTTGTTTGCTGGTGCGGCTTCTTCTTCAAGACTGAAATCATCGTCGTCATCTTCTTGCTCTTCTTCCGACATCCCATCTGGCTCTTGTTGTCGCCGTTTCTGGCGCTGATTCTGGCGCCGCCGTTGCGTATCAGAATACTCGCTGCCATCTTCTTCAAAGTCATCGTGGTCCCAGTTTGATTGGGACCCTCTTTTTCCTTTGCTCCGCTGACTATTGTTATAGCTTCGGCTGCTCGACTCCCTCTCTATATCCAGCTGCTGAGATAAATCTCGTGGCTGTCCCAATCTCTCTGATTGCAAGAAACGCTGGATCGGGCCAGCCGTTGGATTTGACGACGAAAAGTCAGTTTGATTGCGATCGCGAATGGAGCTGGCATTCTGAGACTTTAGAGATCGCCTTTCCCAGCTTCTTTGATCAGCCTCTCCGGAGTTGTACACTCCCTGACTCGGCTTTCGCTGCAGAGTAGGCGATTTGAAGCGCCCAGGCTCGGCTCCATCTTTCTTCATTCGAAGAAGTTGATTTGTTGTAAATAATGGATCTCGTCCTCCATTTGCCTTCTCTTTCGCGCGAAGGTATCTCTCCTCAGCCACTGCAGCGGTACTGGCGCCATAAAGATCAACCAAATACTTGGTGAATTCGAGATAAGCATTGCGAACGGTTTCGAAATAATCGACACCTAATTTGACGGGGACTTTCGAATCGAGCTCGGTTGATTTGCTGTCTTGCTGGGCTTGATATTCTGCGAGCGCCAAGGCTGTCTGGCACGCATTGCGGATCTGACGCCCGTTCCATCGGGAATCGTAATACCACCAATAGTGCATTTTTGCAAAACGCTCGATCCCCTTATAATCTATCTGAATTGTACGGCCCATTCTGTTGAATCGATTTTGAATGAGATCAAGGTTAAGCTTGAAAATGTCGATTGTTTTATCGTTATCAAGTTCGGGATAATAAAGACTAATGTGGATTCGCGAGGTAAAAGCCTCATCAAAGTCACCAATGCGGTTTGTTGTTAAGAACAAGATTCCGGCATAATATTCTAGAACCCGTAGAAATGCTGGCAAGATATAAATTGATTAGCTTTATCCTCTGAGCGAATATCAAGCGGTTTATATACTCACCTGCTACCATTCCATTCCGTACAAAATCTGATTTATCTCTTTGAGCAAGAAAAACGTCTGCTTCATCTAATAATAAAATACATCCCCATTTTGTGGCAAGATTAAAGTTAGTTTGGAGTGTCTTTTCAACGTCTCTTGCTGTCACTCCTAAGTCACCTAGTCGACAATTTGATCAGTATTAGTATGACATGGGAAAGTTGGTTCAAGTTCGTAGACTGGATGCCTCTTACCGCATGTTATTTGAAAAAGAGGCTTTCTAAAACGCTCAGCCACGCCCTCTATGCGGATTTCAGGGTTATTTTCATATCCTATATTTGTAGGTTTTCTTAAATAAGGCTTACCTGCAGTAGATGTTTTGCCAACACCAGGAGCACCATGCAAGAGCAGAATCAAGCCCTTCCCTATAGTCTAGTTAAAACAACGACTCAAGATGAAACAGGAAAAGAGTCATAGGGACAACAAACGCACCTTTTCCCCTCACAATATCTACTTGTTCCGTTTGAGCCCCCTTTACCTCTTTGTCTCGGAAATGCTGAGTAATAAGCGAGACAATCATATCTTTATGACCATCCTCCAAAACAAGATGGTCGAATGCGGTATCTTTTTCTTTTCCACCATTGTCATCTCTCTTTCGCTGCTCATCAGTTAGAGCTGGCGGGATAGCCTCCCGCACTTCAGTCAAGTAGGTGAGATCTAGCTGTGCTGCCATGGAGTCAGCTTTTGCTCGTCGCTTGCGACATCAAAATTTGTTTCAGCGTATCGGTACATACCCCATTTTCTATTACGCAGAACAAATCCGAATACTCGATAAGACATGATGACCAGTTCATCATCTGAGAAAGCAGAATCATCAGGTGACAATGTCTTTATCTCGTCAAATAGCCTCGGGAAAATTGCCACAGATGGGGGCTCTTCCCTATTCTTCTTAGACAGGACGGAGTTTATATACTCGTTGCGTTGATTCTTGTCCACAAATTTGTCATCTTCATAGACAGTATCATAGAGACAGCACTCACACCGTTCGAGAGATAATCCTTGGTTGTCCCGGCCTTCAATACTCTCACCAATAAAGCTCTCTAGAGAAGGTCGTTTTATGTGTTCCTGTAATTCGCCTTCCGCCGCAAAACATGTCTCAAAGTCAACTACTACTTGACTCTCGACTTCTTCTCTAACGACCATAGTCGAGCCGGAATAATACATGTGCTTAATGCCGGCGGCTTCAACGAATTTAGCCCCTCGTTGAATAAGATTGGCGCGACATCGATCTTGTTCTGGATGCTTTTCGAGCTCATTCCATTGCATACTATTGAATTCGCTTCGTTTAAGTTTGTGAAACCGGAGCGGATAAACCTCTAAAGAGGTAATATCCCTTTCCCCTTCGAATCTTTTGATTTCGAATGTGCGTAGAACCGGTCCGATGTATTTTCCATCAAAGTCGATGTAAGAGGAATATATAGTGAATTCTGCAGGTTCAGAATTGGTATCATCCTTGCGCGCATATGCATAGTTGTAATAGAATTGACGATTAGAAATGGGCCGGTGTCTAGAACTGGTGACTTGAATAACGCGGTATGCTTGTTTGCCGTCGAGGCCAATCACCTCCATTCCTGGTCGATAAACATGCCAAAGGTCCGAGTAAAAGACTTTGCGGCATCCGGGACTTTGCAAAAACTCAATCCTTGCCGCAATATGAGCATCGAAGAAATCCAAGACACATCTTAAATGCGCCATTGCAGTCGGTGACTCTATGATTTCGTTAGTCTGTAATGCATTCCAAACCATGGTGCCAAAGTGCTCTCAGCGCTTTATCTCACCCAATTCTTTATCATCATTATTGACTTCAACGGTGGGGTTAACCATCTCATCTTGTTTTTCAATGCTCTCTCCCCTCCTTGTAAGCCACTCTCGTATTCTATCTTCATACTGGGTGATTGCTTTGAACGGCCGAAGGAATACGACAGATGTCGTGTTAATATCCAGCGTGACTCCATCAGGGTCAATGAGCTTCGCAAAAATCTTCAAAAATAGGCTAGAGTGAATCCTTATCCTCTCGGGTAAAGGACCTTGACCTCGTGGTCCCGAAGACACTGCTGTAGGTTTCTGGGCTTGAGGTTTCTGGGCTTGAGGTTTCTCCGCAAGGCGACCACGCCTTTTCCAATTGTGTTCCCAACTTTCTTTTTCGATCACTGGCTCACCCACAAGAACATCAATAACGCAAGAAATACTCTCTGCTGCCCGGCCTAAATCTTTGAATGAGGTCCAATCAATTAAGTTGGCCTTCGGCACCGCATAAATTATCGGTTCAGGCTTAGTCGGAATTTCTTCTTCATCTGCAGTAGACGTTCCATCTTTTTTATGTTCTTCTTCTTGTTTGGCAGCTCTCATTTCAGCTTCTTGCTGCAACTTGGCGGCCTTCTCTTTCTTCCGCAGCCTTCTGCTTAGGCGCATTCGCATCAACTCTTCGGTGATACTCTCTACATTCAACTCCATTGATCTCAGATGTTCGCGGCGTTTCATCATCAATGTCTCGCGTCGAGATCGTTCCCAATCATCGCCACAGTCTTCATCATCCTCATCGTCGGACTCAGTGATTTGACTGAGATAGTAGTTTGCCCAGTATCTGCTACCTTGCGCAAGGCTAATACTGGCATTTAGCTTATAACTGGAAGAATTATCTAGATGGCCAATAGCTTCTTGTAGTGAAATTTCACTCAAGGGGGCTTCCAAGCCATTTAGATCATCCCACTCGTGCCGATGCTTACGCAGGCAATCTTTGATGCTCTGCAGCTTCTTGAATTCGTCAGGTGAGGGTTGCAATATATTCTTTTTTGCATTCGATGAGTCGACGCTGGCTTGCATTTGCAGACGCTGAAGTTGCTCTCTCAAATCTCGAATCTCATCCAATACGGTAGAATTGGGATCAATCGGAGCAATGTCTGCCGATACAGCAACTTCCGCGGTTTTTGAAGTTTGCTGGTGCAATTTATTTTGTTGAGATTCATCATGTAATTGTCCATTGGAGGCATCAAAGAGATTTTGGACCTCAACTGTGAGGCCATCGGAGCAATCTGGCCGCACCGTCACGATTTCAGTAGCTGCCATGGTACGCGTGTACTACAGGTATCGTTCGACACGGCTACTGGAGTAGGAATCCTTGATAATGGAAGAGATCAGGCAAACAAACAAAACCGATATCCTGTTAGAATACAGTTAATAAAGTTCGCGTATCAATATTAAAGAGTTAGAACCAGGATGTATATCATCAGTGGACAGCCGAGGTGCCTAATATGCGACATTGAAACTACACACATTTTTAAGCAAGTACAAAAGATCAGGTATAACAATTGAGCATAGCTTAGCTGCATTTAATGCACCCATTATGCGCGCTGGAATCAAGAGTCGACCAATGAACACTGCCTTCGGTAACACAACAGCTGGCAATGCAGTGTGACAGTGTGACGATCACCAAAATAGGCTCAACGACATACGGTGCCTCCGAAATGTACTCAAATAATATATGATTTATTACTCTTAAGACGCCATATTGCTTCTAAAAATGACAATAATTGGTTGCCGACATAGGCGCATTCTTTGGCTGCATTTATTGCACACCACTATGCGGCCCTAATCAACAGCTGACCAATGGACACTGCCTTCGATGACTGAACAACGGGCAGTGCAATGCAACAACAAAAATGGCTCACCAAAATCAGGTTCGGCCAATTGCAATGACACGTCACAACTAGATCCAGGAAACTTCTGTAGGATTATATTGGGGGCTAGATATCTCTTTGGGTATTGTGAAGGATGGTGACAAATTCGTGGCTTCGAGGACGCGATTTCTAGCTCTCTCGTTATCCTGCTCCCATAAGGAGAGATTGACTTTGCTATCATCAGCCCCAGCTCGGTATTCAAGATCTCTAAAATCCAAGTTCCTAAATGAGAATTCTGTCTTATCCTATTTTTCGGAGCCACTTTCCATGACGAGGCCACGCTCGGCAATTCCTGAACTGGGTAACCAGCCGCCATCAGTTGACTTCATCGAAAACCGCTTACCAAAATATTCCCAAGCCTTCAATGATCCCAATATTCGTTTTGATGTAGCTTCACAGCAATTTGTCTCTGAATACGTCACTAATGGACCAAATGAAGCTTTTCGTGAAGGGCCTGAACCCAATGCGGTGCAAATTAACGATCATCTACCAGCGGTTTCTCCAGTAGACGACTCTTCTCTTATGGTTTCTGAACCCAGTACTCGTACTGAAGAAATGGAATATTGGGATGAAATATTTCCCGATGCTATAACGAAGTTTCAAAAAACTACCCCTCCCAAGATAAAAAAGGTAGAACTTCAGATCAGAGACGATACAAGCTGGCAAGGCATATCTCTTAAGCTCGAAAAAGCTCGGTCAGATTACTTAAACCAAAGTGGCCAACTCGGACAAGCGTTTCGTTGGGGTGCCGACCATGCAACGAAGGGAAATAATATTGTTAAAATAGCCCAAGGTGTTGCGCCAAGTAACCCCTATTCATCGCCAGTCCTTGGAGCTATTCAATTCATATTGAATGTACAACTGTCTGATGACGTCCGGCCGCGCCGACACCGCTAACAAGTGATATTCTCAGGCTATGCAGACATCGGCCGATGCTCGCACTCAAGTACTCGGTGCCTTCGACAATCTTCCAGAGATTTTCTCCGAAACTGAGTCATTACTGTCATCATTTTTGGAGAGCCAGACTGTGAGGAATGCCGCGATTGACTTGACGGTGGCTGTTCTTTGTGCTGTTGAAAACACAATTGCATTTTTCAGCACCTCGAGAGGTATGGCCAAGAGCATAATATGAAAGAATTTGAGTAGAACAGGACTTCGTTCAATGATTGAGTCATCGTGAGTCATGACTGACAAAGCCAAAGGAAAGAGATTGGCCAAAAGTGTCTTTGAAGGCTCCGAATACATCAAAGACTTGAAAGAATCGTTCAAGTCCATTGAGGAAAAGATTACCACCCTTCGAACAAAAAGCAGCACCGCGAATTATGCGGCCTCTCGGCAACGTAAGTTGAATCACCGAGATGATCATCTATACACTTGACTAACATAATTCTACCTCTGAAAAGATAGGCAACGTATTGAAACGAAGGCTGACTTAATACATAAGGATGTACGACGAACTGAAAAGAAGACTGACTTATTGCATAACGAAATGCTTAGTCTGATGAATGAATATAGCAAAAAGCAGAGTGGTAAGCCCTCTTAAGCCTTGAGTCCCAGAATTTTCTGTATAAATGTGTACAATGCCGCTGACTAACTAATGTTTTCCCAACCTTGGTAAAGAGGCACAAAAAAGAGAGAGACGGATTATGGGTAGGTCATCCAGATAAGGAGACCTACAATTGATAGCCATTGCTAATAATCTCGAAACAGCTCAATTGGCACGAGAGAAAGAAAAGAATGTGCACCTCCATGCTGAGATTGAGATACTACGCTCCAGATCACCAAGTCCGAATGCTCTCATTTTGGTGCAGCAGCAAGACGATATATCTAAGACATACCTCGATGAAAAGGAGCTGCAAAAACTCCTCGATGTTGAAAATACGGACGTCGACCTGAGGTTTATTAACCAGCGAAAGGCTCATCTTCAGGCCGAAGAACTATCACGCGCTGAACAACTAGTCAACGACAGGAAATTCCGCGCTTGGTTCATGTCGCTCCAGTCAGGAAAGCTCCTTATCCTGTGGAATCAAAGCCAGCCAAAAACCCATGCAGGCATCTCCCCTATATCAGCCTTCTGCGCCTCGCTAGAGCCCATGTTCAATTCACACGACCGATTCATCTGTCTTACATGGTTCTGTGGCCTTCATTCCAAACATGGAAACGATGAAGCCCGAGCGATGCTTGCTAGCCTGATCAGTCAATTATGCCAACAACACTGCTTCGATTTCGGGCGAGAGTATGCGGATACCAACAAAAGGCTTATAAGAGAACGTGATCCAAGAGAGCTGTTCACACTCCTCTACCGGCTTATAAGCTCATTACCGAGGAACATCACCCTCGTGATACTAGTTGATGAAGCATACATCTACGAGCGCGATGGATTCCAGGACGAGCTTAGCATATTTAATGAGCTATTGGAACTGGTAAATGAAGCAGCGACTCAAAGTGTCATAAAACTGCTCTTTACAAGCACTCGAAAGGTTACTTTCTTGAACGAAGCGTTCAAGCAGGGAGGGCTAACCCTACATGTTGAGAACGCAGCACATCAGAGAGGGGGGCCATCTAAAAGACGCATGAGGCGACAGATGAGACCAGCTTTTGATGAAAAGGGACTTGGGGAGAATAATGAGGAAGGCGAATAAGATCATTACGAGGAAAATGAGTTTTAAGGCATTCCGCCAACTACATATACCCCCATCTCTCCAGATAATAATGGAAAAAAAAAAAAAATCACGGCTAGTTTTATTGTATTTTCGCAGCGTAATGTCTCCCAATCCAAATTGTGTTTGCGTGCTATTAATACACGGAGCTTCTACGCCAAATGTCATCAAGGCAACACATTCAAGGTTAACAATTACCGGATTAGTGCAGCCAAGCCGTCGGCCCGTCTCGCCCCATCGAAAAGGGCTGGAATCAAACAGACCCCCGCAAAGTGTGTCAGTCTTTCTTTATACGAGGTTGCATTGATGGACTGCTCAGCTGGGTGTGGCTGTGGCTGCGGCGCGTGCTGGGTTTTATGCTATCCGCACCCAATTGCCAAGTATAGTACAAGAGTGACGGCTGTCGGGGTATTGGAAAGGGCTGCTAGGAGTCTACAATTTAATACATGAAATGTGTCTGTGTCGCGAGCAAATCTCCGAGGCGGCATCTATCAAGTCGTACGAGGGTGGCGTTGTTCATATTCGAGAGTACATGTAAGTATGAGGACGCGAGACACCGACGACCCGAATACGCGGGTGAGGCGACCAGAGTACGGGCGGAGAAAGAGAGAGAGAGAATCATACTCAAGAAAAGATGCTCACTTACTGTGTCTCAGAACAGATACTGTTAGTCAAATGTGCGACAGTCTGGGCATGTGCCCTATGATTGTCGGTACGAATTTGTATCAAGTCTTAGGGGTCCTCTCCCGATGCTACGGAATCGGGGTACAGAGACAAAGTGGCAGGTACCTATTCATATACATGTCTTTGCGATAGTACATTATTCATGTACAGTACTCGTATAGCATGGTCTATGAGACAACTTTGAAATCCACAGTTGATGCTCTTTCCCATAGCCTAGCACGGAAATCAATTGACTTTAGCCCAAGACCGGGAAAGTACAAGCAAAACGTAAACACAGAGCCGAGTAATACACCACACCAATTCACTTCCATCACATTCTCTTCTCCCCTCAGGCCAGCCACTAGTTTTTTCCCATTCGACAACTGACATAATACGAGTACATCCATGACAACGCTACAATACCGGAACGCGTTACACCATCTGCCAGTAGCGGCAACGGCAAGGGGGGCGAACAGACACAGTCATCCACCGCCTCAAACATCAAACAAACGAAAACCCGCCCCGTCTCCACCAGCTGTCAACGTCTATACTCTATTCTCCATCTCACTGAGACACGGCAGAATCCGAAATGACAGAGACGGGCAGCATGGTTATTATTATCCCGGTGTTACCAATAGTATTACTGTTGCTAGCTTAGCCACGGATGCTCAAACTTTGTATAATACTGGTGCCAAAAATCTCACCAAGTACTAACCAACCCATGCAGGGGCATACGTGTATTACTACTACACCTACATCAATAGAAACACAGACAGACCCTCCAAATCCCACCTCGTAAAGGAAAAAAGAAAAAAACCAGTGAAAAATACACCCGAAACACGTCCCCCCCCAACGAGGTTCCAGCCTAGCACGCTTCCGTTCTGGCCTCCACACGAACCATGCAAAAAAGGGCAGCAAATAGCTGCAAAGACTAGCAGCATGTACCTTGCAGGTGGCGCCGTCTCTATTCCCCCCGCCACCGCGCCCACGATCCAATCAGCGACCGTCCTCGCCAGCTGCTTTTCTTTGTTACGCGGCGGGATTTTGGCTCGTTGGGCTGTGGCGGGATTTTGCTTGGATAGAGGTGCCCTTCATGCTAAAGCTCAACTGCATTTGCTCCTTTTAGGCACGTTCCGAGTACGAGAAATGGACAGCACTAACGCATCACATCAGTGGGCTCAATCCAGCTTATAGCACTCATGGGGCAGCTCCAGTCGCCCTCAGCAGCGATTACGGCTGAATATCAGGGCCCTGCATCCGCTAGAGCTAGAACAGGCCGTGCATTCTGGGGGAGCTGCCAGCACTTTCTGCTCGCTTCGCTTCCCCGGTTGCTCCTCCCCCTGCCCCCGACCAAAAAAATCCTACTCTCGCCCGTACTAGCCAGAACTTATGGGTGGACTGATAAAAAGAGGCCTTCCTTCCCACCGACTTCGCTTCACCTCTTTTCCTCCCCTCCCAATTTCACTCGCAGAAGTTTTGATACCTCTCCCTCCTGAGCTCTCCGTCCTTGCTCTTGAAAGACCTCGCTTGCTTTCCTTCACACAGAAAAGAAAACCAGAACAAAACCCTCACCATGAAGGCCTCTGTCATCACCCTCCTCCTCGCCGGCCTGGTTGCCGCCCAAGACTTCACCGGCCAGCCTGACTGCGCTGTAAGTTGAATCTCAAACGAGATGGACACAGGCTCGTCATAAAGCTCTTGTTCGTTCCGGCACTAACACGCACATGTAGATTCCCTGCCTCAAGGACGCCATCCCCAAGGCCGGCTGCGCTCTCACAGACACCGCTTGCGCCTGTAAGGCCGACGTCCAGGCCAAGCTCGCCGGCCTTGTTGCCCCTTGCCTCATCAGCAAGTGCAGCGCCAGCGACCTCGCAAAGGCTCAATCTGCTGCCGCTGAGGCCTGCAAGAAGGACACCAGCGGCTCCTCTTCTGCAGCCTCTTCTCACGCTTCCACCACTGCACCTTCAAGCGAGACTTCTGCCGCTTCTACCACCGACTCCACCACTGAGGCCGGCAAAACCACCACTGGCCCTGCTTCCACTGCTGCCACCGAGACTACTGCTTCAGAGACCTCTGCTCCCGCCTCTAGTGCTCCCACCTCAGCTGGCCACACCATCCCAACCTCTGCCCCCGGCGGCATTTCCAACAGTACCACCTCTGGTGTTCGTTCCGTCGTCACCCGCACCTCTACCGCCTTTGTTGGCGGCGACGAAGGCAGCTCGACCTCTGCTGCTCCTGCGTCCACCACCCTCGCTGGCAACGATGCTTCCGCCCCTGTGGCTGGTGTCCTCGGTGCCGTCCTGGCCGCTTTGATGGCTCTGTAAATGCACGGTTTATCATACTCATCGTTAATGGTTCAAGGTGTTGGGATAGCATGTAATCATGATGTGACGAGTTTATAATATGAAGTGGCGTGGACATTCAAAACGGCCTTTCTTTTTTCTTTTGGGACCATGATTGATTAATCTGGTCAAGGATTTTTTTGGTGTTTTGTTTTTGTAATGCAGATTCTGACTGAGCGCTTTTTAATACCACAATGCAATAATATGAAGGCTGATATATTATGGCATCTCTTTCTTTCACAGCATTAATCGTATCTATTTTGAATATTGAGCTGGTTGGAGACACTGCAGTGTCTTTCTTTCTCGGAGAAGGAATCGCAAAAGCGTCCAATTGGAGACGAGGTGGAATGTAAGTGGAATTGTATTGTCTCTCTCATCCTTTGTTCATCATGTATGATTCTCCGACATCTCAATTGATGTCTTCATCACATCTTTATGCCGTCGCTCTCGGCAAGTCGACGTCTATCACCCAGGGCATCTGTGATGGGCGGTACCTAACACTCATAATCGCGGCGTTGACAAACAGTGTCTCCTCGCCCTGCTTGAGTATATTCTCTCCTTCTGTCAGGTCGACGTAGCAGCCGCGGTCCTTGCTCAGCTCTATGAGGTTCTGATCCTCCCTATCAGCCACCGCATCGTTTGTGGGGATGGCTATAGGGGGTGGCGTGAGTGTGTAAATGAGGCGGGAGTTATCCCAGTCAAGAGCGGTAGCTGGCGAGATGATTGGTTGTGAGCTGTCAATTTGCTGTGGCGAGCCATTCAGACCAGGCACGTCGGTATCGGCCTTCCACCGCATCAGGTGAGCGCCCCATGCTTCGTGGATATGGCCAAAGCAGTGGATCTTGGGCTTTGCGCGGTGTATTGACCGGAAGAGGTTTCCGCAGCCTGCGTTGTTCTTGCTGAATGTGTAATCGAGGACACCTAGGGGAGGGCCGTGGGTCATGGCAATGTCGACGTCGGCCGGAATGTCGAAGCTGTGCTCTCCGGGAGGGTATTGAAACGCCCAATAGCCATACTGAGGCGTATATGGGCTTGCAAAGATGCGCAGGTGTGAGCCGTTGGCAAGATCCAAGGTATACGTGCCCTCGGTGAGATATTTGACCCCGTCCTCCTCAGCTTCCTTGATGATCTGCACCACCTCCTCATAATCGCTCCGGTCACCGATCTGCTCGCAGTAGTACCTCTCGTCAAGTACCAAGTCGTGGTTTCCCGCAATCACTAACTTCAGAGGCGAGCTTAGCTTTCTCAACATGGAGAATGTTTTGCGGATCTCGCTAGGCCGACCGCGCTTTGTCAGGTCGCCGCAGTGAAGCACGACGTCTGCGTCTGGGAGCGGGAATCTGAAGCCCGAGGGAGCGTAGAGCTTGCCTCTGGGAGTGGCGAGTTCATCCTCGGTGTTGACGGGATTGTCCTCTTTGGTTTGTGGGACATTGCTGTGCGTATCAGATATGATGAGGACGCGGGTTTTGATGGTGGCGGAGGAGGGAGAAGAGGGAGCAGACAAGGGAGGAATTGGCATGATGGAGGCGACTCTGTCAATGCTTGTAGTGGTATATGATGCTGGTTTGTCTGAGAATGATGAACTTGTAGGTGTGGGTGATGATGATGTTGGGGTTTTATTGTAGTTTTGATGTTGATGCCTGCTGCTCGGCTTATAAGTGCAGCTGATGTTTTTCCGCGGTAGGCTCCAGGCAGCATGTACGGGCCGGAACCAGCGGCTCAGAAGCATTAGAGCATTAGAGTAGCGGCCCTTTTGCGGAATCAAGGTCGATTCAGGGGGCAGTATATATTCAAATAGAAGAAATACAGCAGGCAACAAGGTGAGAAGGCGAAAATATGGTGAGTTTTATTATCAGCACCTGGTGAAATCACTGGGCGAGGTTGATGTCAGTAGCTCGGTCCAGCATGAGAGCGAGTGTGGGGGAGCTGCGCTTATCCCAGGGGAATTTAGTGGGGCCCTGTGCTTGTTGTTAGAGCCTACGAGGATCGACAACTTTTGGTGCTGCAAGGCAACTTCCTCTCCAAGCACAGCTTGCGATTCAACATCTGGCTCGAGACTCGCTCAAGCACGTATCCGCATCGCCACCAGAACTCCCGAGATACTATTTTGATTTTCAAGGACAACAACAATGGCTTCAGAGGCACCTCAGGACGTCTCCATGAGCTCTCCACCTGCTATTCCAGCCGCCGATCAAGACCAAGAGCCCAAATACGGCGGCTACTCGCGCTTCGAGATCGAGCTCGAGGTACGCCGTAACTTCCATTTCCCACGCATTTCGCAAAAGCTCCGCTAACCTCGACGCCGTAGTTTGTGCAGTCGCTCGCCAATCCCTACTACCTCAACCACCTCGCGTCGCAGAAGCTCCTTACCCAACCTGCCTTCATCGCCTACCTCGACTATCTCCAGTACTGGTCCAAGCCGCCATACCTCAAGTATCTGACGTATCCGGGGCCGACGCTGCGCCACTTGCAGCTTCTGCAGCGCGAGAGATTCAGGCAGGATATCATGAGCCCGGATTTGGTCCAGCGGCTGGTAGAGGACGAGATGAAGGCGTCGGTGCAGTGGCATCGCGAGCCATGAGAGTTTGCATAAGCTACGATTGGGCTTGAGCATGGACAGCAATGAATCTTTTTTCTTTACGGACGATGCATACGGATACAACTACGAACAAGCGAGCACAGCCGAACAAACTGCCGAGATTATCGAAAGAAAACGCTTCTCAATGTCTATTTTTAAGCGAACCCGGCGGCTGAAATATACCACATATACTCCATAAGGATCCCATATCCCATCCTAAACGCCGAAATACCAAAGGGTAAAAAAAAATCCAATCATCATGACGAGCCCAAGGGAGCAGCAATCAGTTCTCGCGCCATCGGTGACCGCACGTCATGCACTTGAAGAAACTCGTCATGGGCTCATCGGCACTTCGAATCTGCACCTGGAAAAACGCCGCCTCCTCGCCGTTGCACCCCTCGTTGGGGCACTGAGCCTTTGACTTTTGCGCATTGTCCCAGGCGCCCGGCCCGCCAAAGACGTCCTCCCTCTCCTTGCGCTCGAAGACGCGGCGCGAGAAGACCGGGTCGGTGATGGCGTGCTCGTACGGGCATGTCCGGCACTCGAGTCGGTTTGTGCGGTTGAGCGTCAGGGAGACGGTCAGGATGTTTGCGCAGTGCGGGCAGACTGGAGGCCGGGTGAAGGGGCTTTTGGTTAGATGTGCGCAACGTCAGACGATATGGAATCATTTTTTAAGCTTACAAAGGAGCATGGTTGCTGTGGTATTTGTACCCGGATCGGGATAGAAGATATGAAAGGATAGATGTGGATTTACAGGCAGGAATAGTAGCAAGTGATGCGATCCGTTGCGCGCTCTGCAGAATAACCAGCAGTCTCCGAGTATGCAGTTGTAGTCTTGGAAGAAAAAAAATGATTGTTTGAAGCTCGGCATCCCAAAAGTCAAAAAGTCGATGAGCCAAACAATTCCGTGGTGGGGTCCGTCCCTCCAAGCCCAAGCGCCGTGTCAGCAAAAAAAAGGGAACAAGCAGAACCAAACACAACAAAAAGACGCCCTATAACAGCTGCTACCACAGCGCTAACCGACCCCGCTAAGCCTCCCCCTTGCCCCCCTAGCTGTCCAAGCCAAACCTGCGAACCCCTCCACCAAAAGCCCAGCGCTGCTTCTTCCCCGGCCTATCACCGCTACTTGCAGCCATTTCCTATCCGTATCGCTATCAAACTGCTTCGCCTCGTCCCAATTTCCTTCTCTTTCTTTATTTTCTCTGCTGTTTCCCAGCGTCGTTCGCCTTCTTCCCGCGCGCATCCGAGCCTGTCCAGCCCCCGTCGAACTGGTCTGTTATTCACCTGCACTTTTAGAAGAACAAAAAGTCTCATAAACGACCCATCATGAGTGGCGAGGAGCACGAGGTGCGTCACATCATCCCCCCAAATTTACCACGCATAAACAACATGCCCAGGCGAAAAACACAAAACAAGCATATACATACACACAACACGCATATATAGCGAAACCCAGCAAGCAAGAAAAGACGCAAGACCTCTATGCTAATACCTTCTCACAGGGCGCCTCCATCGAGGAGCAGCTCATCGAAGCCTGCCGGCGCGACAACGTCGAGCTCTTGACCGAACTCCTCGAAGACAAGTCCGATCCCGAAATCTCCAAGCTGCTCAACGAAACCACAACCGTCATGGGCAACCACCTCTACCACGAGGCTGCCTCCCGCGGTAACTGTATGCCTAACCGTCCCTCCCCCCCTCTCCCGGTTTCCCCGTCTCATCATGCTGCCATGGCCCCCCAATCCCCTTTCTCGTCCTTCCACGATATATCCAAGATCAAAACTAAAAAACACACCCCTCTCCCTCCAGACGACATCATCGACCACCTCCTCGACCAGCCCGACTTCGAATGCGACCCCATCAACCGTCTCGAGGGCGACACTCCCCTGCACTCCGCCGTCCGCTGGCTCAACGCCGAACCCGCCGCCCAGCGCCCCTTCGGCCACCACCTCATCGACATGATGCTCGAGGCCGGCTCCAACCCGCGCATCAAGAACAAGGGAGGTCTCACCGCCTTCCAGCTCGTCGACCCCCGCAACCAGGAGCTCCGCGACCTCATCCAGCGCCACGAGTACGCCAACCAGAACGCCGGCGACTTCGTCAACGTCAGCACGCCCCCCAGCGCGCCCCCGCCTGGCAGGCCCGTCGACCCCGCGGATCTCGCGGCCAATGGCGCCCCGGAGAGCGACGATGACGACGACGCCGAGTTCAGCGGTAGCGACGAGGAGGAGAGGGCCGAGTGGGAGCGCAGGAGAAAGAGCAAGGGCAAGCGGTAGGTGCTGCGAAAGAGAGAAAGAAACCCTTGTTAAAGCCAACCCTGAGCTATAAAAGAAATAGCACGCACAATGGCAGGCCCATGGTCAAGAAAGGAGATGGCAGAGATATACTAGCCGAGCAACTTGATTGATTCGAGGCAGGCGTTGGAGGCTTTATCGTATAATTTACTTCAAAGGAGGAAGAATCCATGTTGGAATACATGTTGCCACAGAGACGAGATGAAGCACGTCGGAGTGACTAGACTCGCACTCTTATACACGCCATCATAACAAGAAAAGAAAAGAGAAAAAAATAAATCAAATACTTCAAGATAGACATTTCAAGTATGCTTGTTCATGTGTCACGACTTGGATAGAGGGGGGATTAAAGTGATTAGTATCTATAACTTCTAGGTATTATAGGGGGAGAAAAGCTCGTCTGCGGGATGAAAGGAATATGCAAAAGCGTCTCGCCTCAGCCAATCTTGTCGCCATCGCTGTTCAGGCACTCTTAGAAAGTTGCCCAGGTGCAAGCAACAACGACACAGACCATTACCATGACTGTCCATGGTCTCACAACGCCTGCAGACCCACGCTCTTCCATGATATAGGTTGCATTTCGGAGCCTTTTGAGAGAGTGTGACGACAATTTACCACCACTTGCCAACTCAAACATTTCCGAACCCAGCTTGCGGAGAATATCAGTCGACCGGCCTTCAGGACACATGACGACTTCCCAGCCGCCACCCTTGGGAATGATAAAGGTTGACTGCTGATCATCAAAGGCGAAGCTATAGGCGTCCGGGCATACGGCCTTGACTGACTTGCTATACTGCGATGGCTTGCAGATGTTGGGGTCGTGATACTTGCCGATACAGCAGTCCTTGTCTGTTCCGGTGGCCGCGCAGGCGCTGTTGCATGGAGCAAAGGCAGGCCGTTGAACGTTGTCGTCAGGATAGGGGTATATGCCATTTCCAGGATGGGTGGGAGGAAAGGCAAGATTCAGCCACGGACACCATGCACTGACGCTCTCATTTGTCTCCTCCGACTCCAAGGGGATCGGATAGGTGACGTTGGAGTAAAAGGTGCCGTTACCTGTGGGCGAGTACACCCAGCCCGTGGTAGCAATGCAAGCGCAGTTTGTGAGGTTCGGTGGAATAAAGGTGGTGTTCTTGGCAGGGATATAATTTATTCCCATGGGTATGTTGTAGCCATCGACGAGAGAAATGTCGTAAAACGTTTGCAAATTGTCAACTCCACCGGCCAGGTTAAACTCTGCCAGTGTTGCAGGAGTAGCTCCCTACATGTATAGTTCGTTAAGACTCGTTTTCATGATTCTTAGCAACTCCAATGCGTCAGGGTGTGTCACATACGCTGAATTCACAGTCCATCTTTGCGAAGCAGTCTCCTGTCTTGCAGGCGCACGACTCTCCGTTGACAGTACAGTTTGTCCGGCCCCATACTCGACCTTGCCAATCAGGACCTACCTATAGGTTCCTGGTTTTGTTGGCTGCCAATTCGAATCCTCCAATTCCAGGCCCTGTTCCAGACTGCGTAGCAACGCCAGGCCATATTGTCGAATCACATTTGTTGGTCACTACTAGGGGGACCTTCTCATCCAGCTCACTAGGGGGGCCTCTCTTTTTCGCGTTTTGTGGTTTCTCCAAGGCACTGCTGAAGAAGGCCGCTTGCCAGTTGTGGTTCATAGATGAATCTTTTGCTGCTTGAGTATCCGGAAGTAGCAACAGGGTATTTACCAATGCCAGGATCACTTTTCTGATCCTTGAATGTTTATAATTAGTACTTCGTCTCCAGCGACTTGAGGTATGCGGCATGGCTTTCCGTATGATGTGAATTCGAGTTCGAATACCCGTGCTGCCTAGATTCCGTGAAGCAAGCTACAGCCGTATATCTAGGGAAATGTAGAATCAAGATATGAGGAAACCCAAGCCTGATGATCCGCTTGTGAAGACTCGACGATCGACCAGAAGGGCCGATGGGGCAGGAGTTGACAAAGCTGGAATCTTGTTCCGGATCAGTCGATTTGCCGGCTCTAGGAGAATCGGGACAGACGCGCCTTCGTAGATGAACAGGGAGAACACTGCAACCTATAGTGTTGCTGATGCCAGAAATAAGGGCCAAGGGACAGCTGAAAGAGGAAGCAGACTGAAGCGGAGAATGCGCTGATGATCGACAGCGCGGATCTCAGGGTTCCTGGAGGTGCATGAGATGTTCAACAGAGCCGAAAATCAACGCGCGGTGATTGGATACTGCGGCGTCTGATGATATCTCTCAAAACCAATAAGAGGGAAAAGAATATAATAGAAGAAAAGAAAGCGAATCGAAATCCAGGAACGTAGATGAGGGTTGCAAAATAGATAGATAGCCAAGCAGCTTGGCTACAAAGGAGATATTTTGAAATTGATAGTAATAATAATAATATTGATGGGAAGAAGAAAAGGAGACAGAGTTCAAATATTTGGTCGAATGGACGATGTGTTGATTTCCTCCTTCCGCTCGATTGCAGAGTATCAGAGAGTGTTTAGCGTGTGACTCCGTGAAAGAGCAGGTGCTGTTGCAGACTTTCTTTTTGCGGCACTTGTGCGAAATCCCGCCAGAATTTATCGGATGTACACTACTGGTATCTAATCTCGCAATACAACTTTAATGCTGTAATAGTCTTGGGCATATTATCCATAGGAGTTGATAGTCGAATTGGAGGAAGAAACCACGCAGGAGGATACGGACGCTACAACTCTTTGCAAGACCAAATGGCACAACGCTGTGGACTAACATGTTCCTTGGTCTAGCCGTGCCCGACTATCTATTAATGACTAATGACATTGCCAATCGTAATCTTCTTTCGTTTCATTCATCATCCTCCCCATTCAACAAGCAAGAGTGGTTGTCGAATCATGCTCTGCTCTCAGCTTGTTTATGCTCGAATCCAACAACAATAAAAAATCATCTTGCTAAAATAGCAAACAAAGAGCCCACAGTCCCCCTTGGCTTTTCTCTCAGCGCCCCGCCGGCTATCTAGATAGCGCTGGGCCTTGTATATCTTCCTCGTTTTGGCCGCGTCCCCCGGATAGGTATCATGTGTGTATATATCTTTGACTTCAAGGCGTGATAGCTGTCTTGTCTTCATCAAAGCTCCCAACGTGTAAAGAGGTATGTACTGCTAAAGCTTCCTCATCCTGTCTCTCACTGTTTACCTGAAGCGGGCTCGGCAGCGGCCCATAACTTCGCCTTGGCACACGAGCTCCGCGCTAAACTCTGAGCCGTCCAGAGTCAGGTAAATATCAAAGTACACTCTGTAAAAGGTACCCTGGGGAGTATCCATTCGCTCAAAGTCCTTTTCAAGGTTCTTGCGGGACAGGTCGGATGTGAGAGTAACAACTTCCTTGATGCCTAGAGAATTGTATGCGTTAGTGTTGCTCGTGATCAAAAAAGGGGAAAGTGGTGATAATAATGATAAGAGAGAAACTTACGAGGATCCTTTGTATACTCGGGGCAGACGTCGTCGTCACAGGCATACAAAACGTCTTCGTACATGAGGGTAGCTCCTGGAGCGACTTGTCGGAAGAAGGACACCTTGTAAGGCTCGCCGTTCTTAACCTTCTGGCCCTTGTGCACAAAGATTTGTCTAGTGAACTTGCATCGGTCCTTTCCGTCCAGTGACGGCACTCGGTAGGCCTCGGGGTGGTAGCCCTCCTTGAAAGGCTGCAGGGTCGCCATGAGGTAGTGGCGTCGAGCAATACGGTGAGTAATAACACGCTCCGTAATACCAGCAGTGACTGCGCCCTTGACAATAGCGGCCACCGAGTCCATGGGTCGGACAACCTTGGACTGGAACTGAGGGGGGACATGCAGCTTGATCTGCTGGAACAGGTACTCGGAGGCACCAAATCCACCAACAACCAAGATGTTTTGCAGCGTCCGGTTTTGGGCCTGGATGGCAATGATCTGGTTTCGCACCAGCTCCAAGATTCTGTTGACGACAGGCTCAAAGCACTGCAGAATCTCTTCATTGGTAAAGGTCATGTAACCTTCCTCGATGCCAGCCTCGGGGAACTCAGCCTCGATACCGACATCAACGGCCCACTTCTGACCGTTGTTTCGGAAATCAGCCTTGATTCGGTTCTCAAAGTCCATGATACACTTGGCGTAGACACGGCCGGCTGTCTTGGATCCATCTGGAAGCTTCATCTTTCGGATCTTGGTCCGCAGAATGTTGCTGAAGTTACGGTTCAGAGCGGTGGAGCCACATGAGTCACCAGATCCAGCAGTACATTCGGCGACTGTGAAGGGATTCTCATCTTCGACTTCATACGCAATCAAATCAACAGTACCTCCACCGCAATCAACAATCAGGACGGCATCGTGGACCTTGAGGTTGAGCAGACCCGTCTTGGAACAGAACAGAGCTGCCGCCTCCGGCTCAGAAACGAGAGTCAGGCGGTTGTCGTTTTCGTCGCGGAGGAAGCCGGCCTGAATGGCTGCAGCACGGGTGGCAGCCTTGCCAGCGTCGTTCCAGATGGCCGGCACGGTAAGGTAGTATCGAATGTTGCGCTCTTCTCTGTTGAACACCTCTCCAAGAGTCTTTTGCAGGGATGACCGCATAGCTTGGCGGAGCTTGAAGAGATAGTCGGCAGCGACATCGATTTCGGACTTTCCCGGAGGCAGAGGGGGCAGGTTGATGGGGTCAATGTATGTGTTGCCGCTGAGCATCAGCTGCAACTTGAACCATTCAACCTTTTGCACACCCGGCTTGGGGTAACCAGTGGGAGCCAGAGCATCAGCGATATCCGGACCCCAGCCAACCACCTTTTGGTACTGGTCGTAATAGAGAACAGTGGGAATCTGCTTGCGCGTCAGCTCCAATCCTCTTGTAGAGTCAACAAGGGCGCGGCACTCCTCACCTTTTGCTTGGTGTATGAACCGGCGCCTGGCCATTCTGTGATAATGTCTTCCTTGGCCTCGTTGTTGGTTGCAAAGGCAAAGGCAACACCGGAGAAAGTCGTACCCTATGGATACGTCGTGTTAGCAAACATAGTCTTGCTCTTGTTTTCTGCTTTCGTGGTCTTTTTTTTTTTTCTAGTTTCCTCCTTCCTGCCTCCTGCTTCTCGCTCTGTCGAGCAGCACAGGCTTTTACAGTTTGAGAATCGGGGGCTACTAACAAAATCGATGCCCACGATGAGCTGGGCCTTGCTTCTGCTCGCGCCTTCGACCTCGGCCGCTGGGTTGTTCTGCTGAAACTGCTGCGCGATGGGACCTCCCGCGGGTGGTGGTCCAGGAGGATATCCTGTAGGCTGGCCAAAGCCTGGAGCGCCTGGAGGAGGGCCGCCCTGAGGCATTCCAGGAGGCATCTGGCCCAAGGGATTCATGTTGGGCGGGTAGCCGACGGGAGCGCCTGTGTTGATGGGCGGAGGGCCACCAGTCATCTGCGATGGCGGGGTGCGGTTCTGGCCTGGAGCCATAGGGCTGGTGCGGCCCATGGCACCCTGAGGCGGTTGGGGATAGCTGCCAGCCGTGTAGCTGGGCGGACGGGCGCCCGGGCCTTGGTGGTTCATTGGGCCGGTGGACGAGCCTGGAGGAGGCGGCGTCTGGGGATGCGGCGAGTGCGTCTGCGGGAACTGAGGTTGAAGCTGTTGAGGTATTTGGGCCGGAGGAGGGGTACTGGTGCTGGTGGGGGGGACGCCCTGGACGCTCTGGATGCTGGCGGTGGATTTGCGTTTGCCGAGACCAAGGCTCTTGAAACGAGAGTTCAGAGAACTCATATGGAGAGGGAAGAGAAGGGCAACTCGGGAAGGGGAAATAAGAGGAGGAGTGGAGGGGAGAAGAAGGGCTGATGGGGGACGAAGGCGCAGGGTGCTTTGCCGGGGCGAGAGGATTGGGCTTAGATCGGGTCTGGTAAGATCAGGTCCGTTGCGAAGTGTCTGGCGCCTTTTAGTGTCTGGCGCGCGCAGCAGAGAGTCAGTCCTAAGGAGGACGGGAATCTTTCAGCGGGTAATTTAGCAGGTGGGAAACGGAGCAGCGCGCAGAAGGACTGGAGGGAAGAATGCACGACGCACGCACAACCGGTTTGGTTTGGTTTGGTTTTGATTTAGTTTGATTTGATTTGATTTGATAAGGTACGGAGTAGGTAGGTACAGTCCCCTACCTGTTACCAGGTACCTACCAAGAAGTGGCCAAAGCCAACAACAGCCCAGGACTGCACAGGACAAGGCACAGGACTTGCGCTCTCGCTCGTACGTTGCTTACATGCAAGTACCGCACCCGAATTACTGTACAAGTACTCGTACTGCACATTCCCCCACGCCCACCAGGGCTGGGATAGGGCCAAGCCGACCTGGCAGTCAGCATTTAGCAGCACGGCCAAGGGTGCAGTTTGGCTGTGCAGCGCCGCGAGCAGCAAACCGGCCCTCAGAAAAGATCAATCCGTGCCCTTTGCTGGGCAGGGCTGAGCCGCAGCTCGAGAAAGCCTTGGGGCTGGCGATGTGCCTTGCGCAAGCAGCCCCAGCAAGAACCACACCGTCTGACACTAACACTGGCACTGACACTGACGTTGACATTGACGTTCGATGACAGCACATGGCTTCGATTGACGACGGCCGGCTCCGTAGTTACTACCAAATGCCACTTTGCGATACAACATGCACCCTCGTGTCGAAGCGCAGATTGGGATCACACAGACACCTTCGTACTTCGTATCAAGACGAAATCACCCGCGGCCTTGACGTCAAGGCGCCTCTCCCCCATATATGCACTCCGTATTGCGTAGACATTTGAGCAACTGCGCGCGCTAGCTTTGCTCGATCCGGGGCCCACGAAAGGCTAACAGCACTGACATGATTCCATTCCGTGCCTCCCCGTGCCTCTTTGCTTTGCTATCTTCCTCTCTCTCCCTTTTTTTCCTCTGCTATTTTTCATGCTCCTCTATGCGTGCAAAAAAAAACAATTGCCATTCCTACTCCGTACATGCAGCTCTTCTGGAGCTATGGATGTCTAGCCAGCCGTGTAAGAGCCAGGGTGCCCCATCCAGGGCCTCTCATAGGCCTACCTCGTACCTGTGCAATAGGTGCGGCTGAGAAAGTCGGACAGCGATCAGCAGCAGCAGTAACACGAATATTGGATCGGGCAGCTCTGTGTGCCAATGGCATGGTTCAGTGGCGGGGCTAATGGCGAGCTTGCCATCTGCTAGCGATGCAGTCAAAGATGGGCCAGATCTAGAATGTAAAAGCAATCCAAGGGAGCGAATGCCCTCATTCTCTGTCTGCGTGACAAATCCAATGCTGTTTGTACAGTAATACTTACAGTACGCAAAAAGTCGCCGCTTCGTTTCTTTCTAATCGCTCAGCATATCACAGCGAGTGCGTGCGTGGGCAAAGTGGGCTCTGCCAACCAACTTGTCGCACCTACTCTCGTATGCACTCCCACTGGCATTGCGATTTGTGGAGGCGTTGATCGTGGCGGGGCGAAGCCACTCGCAAATCGACCCAAGCGTCAAGCAAAAATAAAATATTCCGCCCACTCTTGTTTCCAAATGGCCCGAGAGACAAAATACTTGCACATGCCGTATTCCAACATCCAGCCCTCCCTATTAGCTCCCACCATTCACCATCCCGGGAGGGAGGCCTCGGGCTGCTAACCTAGAGGACATAGACCCAATACAGTAGCACCTGCAGCCAAAGTACAAAGTAATGCAACGTGCCACACCCACAGGCAAGAGTCCTCTCTTCTCGTGTCTGTAGGGGCATCGGAGAGAATGTTAGCCCAGGACTTTTGGCTCTTGGCGGGTAGGACTTTGCCTTGGGCAAGGCGGGGTTGTTCGGGCTGCAGAACGGTGGGGCGTCTGATAGTGACAGGAAAGGACAGGACAGGACAGGACAGAAATTGTGTGCAGCGAGCATTGTTAGTGTTAGTAATCGTCTGAAAGTCCACTCTCGCTGATGAGAATGAGGATGAAGCCCATGTGGTAATAGGCGGTATTTATAGACTGGCCTGAAATAGGGAGTCTTTCATTTAGTAATCCGCGTCTACATAGTACTGAACTTCGTTCGTCCCTCGCTCGCTCAATAATATGCCCCAAAGCAATCTGCAATCACGTGTAAGCTTATCCTTCTCCAAGGGGCCGGTGCAGAGCCGCAACGAGTCTCCACCGCCGCCGCTATTGTTTCTGTTTTTGTCCTCACTTGCAGGGAAACAATTTTAGGTGCAAAAACCCTTCGTCCCCACACAATTTTCACCAGCAATGAATGGTACTAATACCGTCTAACTCTCGCATTTGCCCCAACAAATAGCTTGCGACCTTAGCTCAGCTGGGAGAGCGTCAGACTGAAGTCTATAACTTCAATCGCCTGTTATCTGAAGGTCGTGTGTTCGATCCACACAGGTCGCATCTTTTTGCCCATTTGAGCAAAAAACCCACCCATCATTCCATACAGACAGATATTTTCTATTCTTGCGAACTGACTGACCGATGGAGGAAAGTCTTTTTTTTTTTTTTCCCCTCTTCCTATATTGTGTGTGTGCTTCAAACCTTTTTTCTCGCTTCATGTGATAGAATTCTCTCCGTAGGGATGAATATCTATCTCTCAGCCTCTATCCCCCTTCTCTTCTCTTGGTTCACAAATTATTTTTTGCTGGTTGCTATGGAAAGTATAAATGGCCAGCCCAATTATTAAATAAACAGATGAGCTCAAACTTTCGGCTCGGAGACAATCTCTACACGAGTGAGTCCAGTACACCCCATTAGGCTACAGAGTACCTATTCAGCCAATAGACAATATTTGTGAAGGCGTTGTCGTGCGAAACGGTGTCGCTTAAACGAATCATCACTATTCCAGGGTAGGTAGCAAGCAACGAGAAGAAAATAGTAACGAGGTGAATCATGAGTGGCAATTGTATCGCGGGCAGTTAGAGAGAGACAGGTACCTAGTCAGGTGCCTTCCTCATGTTGCATTTCTCTTTCAGCTTGGGCACCTGCCTCGTCTCAAGAGGCGATTGGTGCGAGTCGGTAATAGATCTGGAAAGAACGATGCATGAACAACTCCACGTAGCCCGGACTACACATAATTCCATGATTTGTTCCTTTGACAAAGTTAGAGTTGCCCTCTAAACTTCAGCAATTTCAAGCACGAGAAGGGGAAGGACACATAACCAACCACAATGGACTTTTATCAAGTGAACCTGGTTGTGTTGGTTGTCGTCAACCTGTGTTCTTTCATCTGTCGACATCGCGCTCAGTGCCACCAGCGGCGGCGTCGTGGTGTCCCTCAGGATGAGGAAAGCAAAGCAGCTGCTACAAAGTTTCAACGGCAATTCCTCTTTGTATACACCTTAGTGGTCGCAGCAGATTGGCTTCAGGTGTGCAAAAAATACTTTTCTCCAACTAAACTGTCCTGACACAAACCCCAATATAGGGACCCTATACATACGCGATTTACAAGTACGAAAAGCAACTCGAAGAACATACAGTCGCACTTTTATACGCCTCGGGTTTTGTTTCGGGAGCCGTGAGCGCCACCTTTGCAGGACAGCTCGCGGATTGCTATGGGAGGCGGGCTGCCTGCATTGCATATTGCATTTGCTACGGGATAACATGCCTTACTATGCTTAGCCAGAACCTCAACATCCTATATCTCGGCCGCTTCTTCGGGGGCATTGCTACAACATTGTTGTTTAGTGTCTTCGAGGCTTGGATGATTGCCGAATACAATCTATTGCGAGTTGACGAGAGCATAGTTTCTCTCAGCCAAGTCTTTGCAAACATGACTACCACCAGCAGTATTACGGCAATATTCTCCGGTGTACTTGGGAATTGCCTCGTCCAATGGTTCGACTCTCGGCTGGGACCCTTTCTTGCCAGCCTTGGCTGCTGTATCGGGGCCAGCATGCTCATCTTGGCGACGTGGCGTGAAAACTATGGTAGCATCGAGACGTCGAAGGAAACCCCAGATGCTTGGAAGCTGAAGCATCGCATGCTTGCAGCATTAACCAGCCCTAAGGTTATGGCTGTGAACTTTGTTTCTTGTTGCTTCGAAGGTCCAATGTACCTTTTCGTGTTTTTCTGGTCAGCTGCCTTGAAGGGTGTGAGGGTAAAATCGGGACATCAGGACGAGCTCCCTTTCGGTCTCATCTTCTCGAGTTTCATGTGCGCCATGATGGCTGGATCCAACATTACGACGGTTCGGAATTCCTTGTATTCGAATGACAACACATTGAACACGCTCATGTTCGTATTTGCTATAACATCTGGGGGATTCGCCGTTTCGACAGTGGTAGACCACGAATATGTGCTCTTTTGGGCATTTTGTGTCATCGAAGCCTGTGTGGGTGCATATTTTCCGAAAATGGCCCTTGTCAAAAGCAGAGTAGTCGACGACTATGCTCGAGGTGGAGTCTATAGCGCTCTCAGGCTGCCTTTAAATGTCTTCGTGGTTGTTGCACACAGCCTGGACCGTGACGGTAAGAAAACTCTACTTCGTCTGTTTTAGCCTCTCTCTAAAACTCTGTGGCACCTAGGTGATGAACATCGGAACTCTGTTTTCTTATTCTGCGCGGGTCTTTTGTTGGTTGCATTTCTCGTCATTTCGGGGCAGGCTTGAGGCGGATATTATTTCCATATTGATTTTTTTTTTAACCAGGGTAGGTGTTTGCCATCTGGCCTCTCTTGCTTCTCCTATGGAAGCTGGTCCACTTGTCCACATTGCTGCGATCTGGCCTAGCACTGGTCCATTTTCTGACTGCCTGTCCGATTGCCTCTGTACGACGACGTGTAGTGGCGGCTCGATGCCGTCCAGCCTCTACTCGAAAGAGCCTGAAGCTATGGGCCAGTTATCCACACGTACAGTATGTAGGATTAAAAAAAAAAAAAAGGTCTCCGGGTCAGGCTAAAGTGGGTGAGCGAGGGGATACTACTACGGAATACCGCCTTTTTAAAAACCTGGAGACCAGTCGCTTTGTCGAAAGAGACCAGCTTCCCCGCGCCCAATAATTGATTGCTCGTTTTTGAGGGAGGCGAGTTCCCCATCTTTCTCTGCATGCCGCGATGATATAAGGCCCCCAAGTAAGACAGCTCCTGGCTCGGGCCGCTGAAGCTCCCCCTCTCGTTCGTGATTCTGTGAATCGAGTAGGCGTTTTTTTGTCTTGTGAGATCGAATCGACGAGGACCCTTATCTAAGCGAAGCCGAACACAATTGACGAGTCTGCCGGAATACTCGATCCTCTGGGTGTCTTATCTCTCCTCGCGAAGGCATTGCTACCCGCCACGGCACAAATTGCGTCCTTTCTTACCTGCAGCTCTATCTGTCTGGCCCGCCTTGTCCCTATCGAATCCTCAGCCAAACCTCTGCGAAGTCGGACTCGCTCGATATTTTGTCAAGACGGCCTGCTTTTTGCCTTGCGTCATATACGAGTAGATACATACTCATAGTAGTATTTGCACCTGACGCTAGTATACGGGATCGAGAGATTTCTGCAGCTTAGGGTTCCCGGGTCAACAGCAAGGCTACTCGGCGAAACTTTGCATCTGGCCGTGCCATCGCAGCGTCGTGATCGCCCGTCATCACCGGCAAATCCAGGAGACGGCGGTGGCTGTTTGGCGTTGGAGTGGCACTCTGTGCCTGCATCCTGCATCTTCGGGCCATTTGGGGGGAAATTAAACGGTACAGGGGCCAAGTCCGCAGCACCACTTGATGAACGCCACTGGAAGGACGCTGAGTCGCCAGCCCAACTAAGTTGCTAAGCCAAAAATCGCGCGCTTTTCTCTCTACCACGAGACTCCTCGTACGCAGGACGGAGTACATACGCGGTATACGGCCCTTTTCTTCAGAGTCTCCAGCTTGGGCCACATTCGCTCCGCAGCTGCGTATGCGGGTGGCTCCATGGCCTTTGTCTCTCCACGCCCAACTGCCCGAGCTTGTTGTCCGGAGACAATCGTGAGGGTGTAAGTGGGAGCATGTACTGTGAGTGACGGCGCAAATTGGAGAAGCTTGGCGGGATTGGGGTCCGAAATGCTTACATAGTAATTGCGTTGCTAGCTGCACACGATACCACCGTCAAGACGGCGTGCCACGAGGACAAGGTTCGAGGCCTCGGCGCCGTGTGGCGCGACGGCCACGGCGACAGGGTGGTGCCAGGAAAAGACGAACGGCCGAAGTCGACACTGTCCGTCGCCAGTCGAGTGTGGCTGCTGTCCATCCTCGTACTGTCTGTGCTGTCCACGGTGAGTGAGCGTCATGGTTCCTCTTGTTCGTTGCCCGGGCGTCTCAGGCTGCCTTCTGGAAAACCCCATTGCCCGCGTTACTCCATCTGTTTGCCCCGTCTCGACGTAACAGCCTCCTCCTCAGTGGATGCCGCCTCGTTGGGGAACAGGAACATTCCAGAGTTTTTGCCCAGCAGGACGGATATTCCGGTGGCCGTGAGCTTCCCACAAGCCTTGTGACGAGTGGAGAGACGTGTCGTGTCGACGCCTTGATTCGCCCGCCGCCTCTACGCATGCGGGAGACGCTCAATGGTAGGCTACGCTAAGCATGGAGCTCTCGGCCAAACGCCCCGCGCCGTCCCCAGAGTTGGGGCTAATCCCTGTGCTATCCATGCTTGCTTTCTGAATGCGCTTCCACGGAATCACGCGAAAAGTATACTGTACGCACGATTGTGGCCGGTTCGCTAATGTTTATAACAACTAGCTGGCCCATCTGCTGCTCCATGACGCCAAGATACAATCTGCCATCCTCCAACTGCCGTGGGCCTGCCAGCTTTTCTCCCTCCTTCATCTCCATCCCAACGTTCTGTGGCCTCTCTCTCTCTCTTCTCTGACCTCGCAACTCACTGTCCACGACGAGCTCATCTGCCCGCTGCCGCCTTACGCACTCTCACCCCCTACGTCGCGAGTCCTCACAATGGGCCTAGCAGAGCACACCAACAAGGTTGTGTCCGAGTTCGAGTTTTCGGACGAGGACCTCAACCGCCATGTCCAAGAATATTTGAAGCAGACCAGTAAGCTCAGCGCCAATTCCCTCGGGCGCATTGGTCGTCGCTCGTGTGTGTGCTCACCACTAACGTCATCGCAGACGAGGGATTAAAGGCGGATGGAACCAGTCTCAGTCAGATTCCCTCCTACGTGACTGCTGTACCGAACGGCACAGAAAAGGTGAGTTGTCCCGCCGCTCTACAAGTTCGCTGACGAGGGACGGCCTAGCTGACGAAATTGATGTTTTTCTTTTGCAGGGCATTTATCTAGCTGTTGATTTGGGCGGTACCAACTTTCGCGTTTGCTCCGTTACACTAAACGGCGACAGCACCTTCAACCTGACCTACAGCAAGGTTGCCATTCCCAAGAATCTCATGGTGGCCAAGACGGCAAGAGACCTTTTCGCTTTCTTGGCGAAACAAATTGAGCTCTTCCTCCGAGAGCACCACAGAGAGCACTTTGAGAGCGCCGCCCACCGTCGCAACACGACTAGCTTCCCAGAGGGCTATCGCGATGAGCAGATCTTCCGCCTCGGCTTCACATTCAGCTTCCCCGTACAGCAGCTTGGCATCAACAAGGGCAATCTTATCCGATGGACCAAGGGTTTCGACATTCCGGACGCAATTGGCAAGGATGTCTGCAAGCTTCTCCAAGACGAGATTGACCGACTTCATCTTCCCGTCAAGGTGGCTGCCTTGGTCAACGATACTGTGGGAACCCTCATGGCGCGTTCGTACACATCTACAGGAAAGCACCGATCTCTCCTCGGTGCCATCTTCGGCACCGGAACCAACGGCGCCTACATTGAGAAGACTTCAAACATTACCAAGCCCATCCAGGGCGAGTACGATACCTCAACTGGTGAAATGGTCATCAACACTGAGTGGGGCTCATTCGACAACCAGCTCAACGTTCTCCCTACTACTACTTGGGACGCAGCGCTGGATCGCGACAGTGTTAACCCGGGCATCCAGATGTACGAGAAGCGTGTATCCGGCATGTTCCTGGGTGAGATTGTGCGACTCGCGGTTGCCGACATGATGAAGGACGACGAGACGTCCCTCTTCCGTGACACAAACTCCAGCACCAATGACTGGTCGACGACGACGAACCTCAGCCCCAAGTCTGGGCTCCTGTTCCAGTGGGGACTGGACACCGCCGTCCTGTCCGTGGCTGCTGCCGACAACACCCCCGAGCTGGTGGCTATCCGACAAGAGCTGGAGAACACGCTCCAGGTGTACACCCCCTCACTGGAGGATGCACAGGCATTCAAGGCCGTTGCTGGCGCTGTCGTCCGCAGAGCGGCTAGGCTATCAGCCGTCGCCATTGGCGCCATCGTTCTCCAGTCAGGAAAGCTGAATGATCCCGCCGAGGAGATTGTCGACATTGGCGTGGACGGCAGCTTGGTAGAGCACTACCCCTTCTTCCGGGATATGATCTACGAGGCCCTGCGCGCGATTGACGGCATCGGCCCCAGCGGCGCGGACAAGATCCGCATTGGTATTGCCAAGGACGGCAGCGGTGTTGGTGCCGCTTTGATCGCTCTGATGGCGCAGAAGATGGAGAAGCCTGGAGACTTCCTTGCTGACCTGCGACGGGATATCAAGCGCCGACTTTCTCAGCCTTTCGAGTCTCCTGGTATGTGACCTATTCGAAAGATTTTTGTCCTCTTTCGTCTTCCTTGCATTCTCCCTTTTCTCCCCATCCGTTTTCCTTTGCATTTTAGCTAACAAACTTTGCAGTAGAAGAATCCTCATTGTTATCCCTTCCAGTCTTGGTTGCCACCGGCGTCGGAGTTGGCGCACTTGCCGCATTTTTGTGGAGCAGATATAATACATGGACCCTAAGGAATTAAGAGGAGAAATGGTGTTGAGGTGGTGTTGTCATTTGGGTTGTTTCATAATTTGGGTCATTTTTCATTTTCCGGGGAATATCCAAAGGAGGCGTCTTTGCACTTGTGGACAAAAAGTTTTCTGTATATCAAGATTCCTGTTGGGACGATTTTGTACGATGTCATGCATGATATGGAGAGAGCAGGTCTTTTTGTCTTTGGATTTAAAGCTTGTCTGGGATTCGCCGGAAGGCGATGTCTATTTGAAGGGAAGGATGGATAGTAGTTGATTGTAATTAAAGATTCTACGATGCTCGTTTAAGATTCTTCCCAAGGTTCCATGTCTATTTCTTTGAGTGTTTTTTTTGTTCTTCTCTTTCTTTTCCCTTGACGAACTTGCAATCAGATAATGCATGATTTCCTAGCAGTTCTATATTGTGATGCGCTTCACTGTCCAAATGCAGCAGCTGGGTATGATCTATCTTTCTTCCTTCTTACGGTGGAGCTGCTCCTGGAGCTTGCGCCGGATCCCGGCTCGCTGCCATTCTTCGGCGGCCCAAGGAGAGACGGCGCCATGTCTGCAGGGAGATCATTCCACTCCGTCTCGGGCCGCTGGTTCTGGAACGACTTGCCGGATGCGACTCTGGCAGGTGGCCTGACGGGGGGCTGGCTTGCCATGGGCGGCAGGCTCAACACGGCAGCGGTGGTGCTAGATATGTCGGGGCGAGAGACCGGGGGCACCGAAGAGGGGAGAGAGCTGAGGACGGAGGCGCTGACGGGCTTGGAGACGAGCCAGGCCGAGTCGGGGCGCAGCTTGATATAGTAGCCCTGGATGGCGGGCTCCTGCTTGCGGAAGCCGCGCGCCTCATACCAGTGTAAACCCTCTTCGTTCTCGGTCCAGACATGGGCGGTGACGGTCTGGACGTTGAGGGTTGGGTCGGTGACAGCAGCGGCGACAATGTCGTCGAGGGCGGCGGAGACGAGGCCCAGGGAGCGGTATGGCGACAGCAGGCATAGTGACTGGATGTAGATATTCTGGACGACCTGGGAGCCGGCGGCGCGCGCGTCGACGTCGGGCTCGACACGGCAGACGATGCCGCCAACAGGTTTGGGGTCGTCACCCTGGTGCGACCAGGAGATGAGGCGTGAGAAGCGGCCGGTGACGGGGTCGGCGGCGCGGTTGTAGAAGGTCTCGGGATAGCTGACGGGGAGCAGCAGCGAGTTGAGGCGGCGGAAGGCGTTGACGTCGGCGGTGGTGATGGGACGGATGGATGCTTCGAGAGGGAGCCGGGGGTGTTTTGAGGCTTGACTGTTATGATCTTGGCCTTGGTCTCGATTCGCCGGAGGTGACGCTCGCGATGAAGAGAGACTTGGCGGCGCGGCGGAGTGTGGGGATGCAGAATCCGGAGGCGGGGCGGACTCGGCGGCCTGGGCCTGTGATTGAGACTGAGATTGCAATTGAGACGGAGGAGGCGCCGGCGCGAGGGAGATGGTCGAGCCGTTGCTTTTGCTCGAAGGCGGCGGAGCGTATTGCGGCGGTTTGGCCTGGAAGAAGGATCGGATGGACATTTGCGAGGGCTTGTTGGCGGTGGTAGGGAGTGACATGATGAATAGAAAAATGGGCCGAGGCCGAGAAACCAGAGAGGCTCACGCGCGTGATGAGAGCAGTAAAAAAGATGTAAATGCAGGACGGAAGAAAAGTTGCAAAGGCAAAAAGACGGAGAGCGAAGCCTGCCGGTTATAAAAAGGGCCTGTAAAGAATGTAGTTGAATCAATGTCAAGGGAGCCACGTCCTCCGGAGAAGTGCCGTAAGAATGTAAATTACGAAAAAGGTGCAGGATTGTTGAAGGTTTACGATTGGATTGGCTTTTAATCGGGCTAGGTTTTTTTCTTTTTTTTCTTTGGTCCAGGTCCGTTTGCCTCGCAGCGCGTTCAGGGGCTTTACTGGTGGAGGCCGCTGCAAACGGCGCTCGCGGGAGGCCATTTCCAGCGGGTGCTTATCAGCGATAAGGCTGCAAATGTTCCGCGTCAGGGGACTTGGGCGGGATGCTGGGCTCGCATCGCATGGCTAGTCAGGGGGGATGCAATCTGCAATCTGGAATCTACAATCTGGGCTCCCGGATTTGGCGTCTCATCGCCTGTTTTTCCGTTCTCGTTTGCTGTATGTAAGGGGTGGACGGCTGGGCGTTTTTGTCTATATTGGTTGGCTGCGGACAGTATCAGTTGACATCGATACAAGGTACATGGATGCAACGTACAGTACAGGGCCTGTGCGCGCTGTAACTCAGCGGTAGCCAGCCGCTGGAGAGCTGCAGCGCAAGGCATCTCGTCCCCTAAATGCCTAAAATTGCCACGGGGGGATCCCGCAATTATTTACCACGAAGCGCCTTAGCGGCATGCCGGTTATCACTTTGCAGCGCAGAGCAGCCACTGGAGAGTCAGCACGCTGGCGTGCATTTGATTCCTAAACCCCAAAACTCCGATTCTGCACTCAATCGCCTTGACACTCCATTCTTTTCTAATCCACCTTTTTTCTTCACGGCTTTGCGCCAGCAGAGTATCTCCCTCTGCGTAGCCACTGCAATTAATCCGGGCAGAGCCAAGTCGCCAAGACAGGAGGAGAGGAGAGCGCGCGGACATTAATTCCCAACCATCGCTTTATTTTTCCATCGCTCGGGAGGGAATATCAGCGCTGCCAAAGCAATAAAAAAAGATCGCCCTTCGCTCACGCCAGCCCAACCCCCCAAAGTTACTCAGCGGAATGCTTAGTGCAAAGTGACGAAAGAACCGCCGGCGGCGCACCACTACCAAAAGTACTTTGATGCTAGCACCAGCGTTCGGATTCGAATCCTCAACGTGCAGTCGACCATCGCTTCTGTTTGCCTCTGTTTAGCCTTTCCGTCAGATCAACCGGGGGCGAGAATCCGGGACCGCCTTTTCCGCCCGGCATTGCTCGGTCATCCATCACACGACGCCAAGTTGCACAGAGCCGACACTCACACACACACACACACCTCAGCTCTTGGAACCATTTTTTTTTTAAAACCCCTTCCTCCCCTATCCAGGGCTTACTGCGGCACATCATGAATTCAGCCTCGGGTCGGGCGGGCATAATCCGTGCCCGGGATGATGCTGGCAGCATGGATAAGCTGGTAAGTCGTCGATCTGATGCAATTCCCATTTCCCACCCGTTGCCTGCGAGGCACCACTTTGGCTGGGTCCAGAGCCTCGGCGCTGGCGTTGCGTTTTGCCCGCTGCCCGTGTCCTGCGGACGAGGACCAGTCTGCTGCATGCGTGCATCACCAATCAAACTTGGAAATGCTCTCTTCGGTGAGATGCTGCTGCTGACAATTCCCTGTCTCGTCGCTATAGGCGCATTCGGTGCTCGATGACATGCTATACAACATCGTGTCGGACCTGTTGATGAAGACGCATCGAGAGGAGAAGACGGCGAGGGCGACAACCGCTGCCATTCGGGTAGAGAAGCTGGCCTCGGATGCCTCAGAGAGCTCGACTCCCGACTCAGCTCCCGATGTGCGAGTCGAAACGGATGCCGCCATCTACGAAGACGGCAAGGTGCTCCTAAAGGGCAACCCTCTTAAGACAACGGCGGATATCCTGTGTCCCCGATGCCATCTGCCGCGACTGCTCTATCCAACCGACGGCAAAGGCGCCCGAAAGCCCGACCCTACGATTGTCTACTGCAAGAAGCACCCCTTCATCGAGAAGCCTGGGTGCGACATCTACGGCCAGAGCTGGGTTGGACCAGGCCCAGGAAGGGGCAAGAAGAAGAAGGACATGGACAAGAAGGACGGATCGGATGCCCCCGAACAACGCCCTCCCAATGTTCTCTCGTTCCCTTCTGCAACTTGCAGCAAGTGCAAGAGGTGCATCCTGGTTACACGGCTGAATAATCACATGGGATCGTGCATTGGCAACAGTGGCCGCAACGCCAGTCGAGCAGCCGCTCAGAGGATGAATGGCAGTGGTTCCCAGAACGAGCCGACGCCTCCTCCCTCTCAGAAGGCCACGCCTACGCCGACGTCTCGGGCACAGAGCCCCAGGAAGCGAGATGTGAGCGACGACGACTCCTCTTCGGAAACCAGCCCCAAGAAGAAGAAGATTAAACACAGCCAGACGAAGAAGGTCATTATTAAGACGAAGCCTTCTTTGAAAAAGGACAAGATCAAGAGCAGCTCGTTGAGCCAGGAACAAAAGGCCGACTACGACGTGCCCTCGCCAAAGGTGCTGAATAAGATCAAGTCCAAGACGGAGAGCCCGATCAAGAAGCTCAAGGTGACCAAGCCGGCCCTGAGCTCACCCATGTCGAAGAACGGTCGAGATATCGATGGGGAATCCGAGTCGTCGGGAACGCTCTCCTCCCCACCTGCTGGACATCATTAAGGGGGGGCCAAATCAAGCAATCTGGAAATCATGCTTGCTTCTGCTCTGCGTGATCACTACCGGCAGATTGGATACGGGATAGACTCGAAGCGGAGGGCCTTTGGAGTTTTGATATCCATGGATACTGTATTACTACTATTACTTCCTTTTCTTTCAGAGATACAAGAGAGGAAAACGAAAAACGGAAAAATGAACCCCCAGACTGCTTGCTTTGCGTTTTTTTGATTTCGCAGCTCTGGGGGCAGGTTGGCTATTGGGCTGGCTGACTGGCTTTTATATAAAGACGACGATACAACCAGCATCCCGAGGAAAACCGGGAATTTTGGCGTTGGGGGGGAAAACGATTCTTTGCATCATGATTTCAGTTCATTGCTTCTTTTTGCGCTAGGTTAATGAAGTCTGTATGTATAAACCAAGGAGGTTCCTTCTTTTCCTTTTCCCATTCTTTTGTATTCAGCTCTATTGTGCAGTCTACTGTCGCGTGAAATGCTTTTTGATGGTGTTTCATTGTCATTTTGGTTCGCCCTTGACGCGTGGGTTGAAGAAATGGGTGAATAGCTTTCCCAAATAAAATAATAGCAAGAATAACAAAACGCCATGCCGTGCCGTCTATGCCAATCCACAAGCCATATATACATGAACATCTGAATGCACATAATATGTAAAAGCCCGCGTTAAATGCATCCAGATGATCGTACTCGTGTTTCCTTTTCACAATGCCACTCCCTGCCGACCGAATATCTGAACTTCTAGAAGCCTCTCAAAGCTGTTCTTCATTATCCACCACCCACGCCTTGAAAATTTTAACCTCCTCAACAGGCCTATCCTCTGGCCCCGTGGGCACCATGCCCATGCGCTTCACCACGCCAAGACCGTTCTTGACCCTGCCAAAGATGGTGTGCTTGCCATCGAGCCAGGGCGTAGGGGCGAGCGTGATGAAGAACTGGGAGCCGTTTGTGTTGGGGCCGGCGTTTGCCATGCTGAGGATGCCCGCGCCGGCGTGCTTGAGGGCCGGGTCGATTTCGTCCTCGAACTTGTCGCCGTAGATGGAGGAGCCGCCGCGGCCGGTGCCCGTGGGGTCGCCGCCCTGGACCATGAAGTCGGGGATGACGCGGTGGAAGATTGTGGATGCGTAGTAGCCGCGAGTGACGAGGGTGGCAAAGTTCTTGCAGGTCTTGGGGGCGTGGGTTGTGTAGAGCTCGAGGGTGATGTTGCCCTTGAGAGAGAGATTGAGGGTCAGTAAGTTTTTTTTTTTTTTTTTTTTTTTTGCTTTTGGCTGTGATTTGGTTTGTTGTTGGAGATGGGAGGAATTGGGAGGAGGGGAATTACCATTGAGGTTTCTAGAACGACGTTTGTAGTCATGGTTGGCGAGATTGGGTTGGTTAGAGGAGTTGCAGCTTGGAAAGAAAAACGATGTATGGAGGATCAAGTGTTGGTTGTCACTGCAGGACGAGGCTGCGATGCTGGTGCTGGAGAGCTTGGTGTGTTATCGCTATCGTGGCGCGCCATTGGCTGCCTTGTCTGGGCGCTGCAGCAATGGCCGATTAGTGGCTTCTCCTCTGAAACCCACTGCATTTCCTGTGGCGCACACGACCTGAAAGCCTAGGATTCGAGGTTCCATTATAGAGGACAACGATTTGGGGGATTTGGGTTTCGTTCTTTTTTTTTCCGTGTCAAATACTGTTTACGCAAACCACAACCATTCCTTTTCTTACTTGTTCTTTTCCCCACAACATTGGACTATATTGATTCACAGTGTTGCACCATCTGGATCCTGAAATGTTCTGTCTGCCGCCGTCAACGTCATAGAACCAGCCGTGTCAAGTTCAGACCACGTTTCGATTGCTGGGCATGTCCACAAAATATCTTCAGCAACTGGCATTCTGATCATTATCCCATAGCAGCATCTGAACAGAGACGATGGCTGCTACAAACGTCACCCTCATGGAGGGCTTGGACAGCCTCAACGTCACATTAAATACCACAGCATCTACCTCTCCCACAACAATACTGGATACCTTGAAAGATGTCAGCTTCCTCCTACTTGAGTTGAAGCTCGTGAGCGGTGCCATGGGAATTATATATCTCGGAGCCCATGCATCCCTACGTCGTCCACCATCGGCGGCTGTCTCAAAGGACAAGAAACGCCGGAAGGAGGACGATGAGACGTTCACCCAGGGCCTGGAGCTCTCTGACGCCATCCTATTTCCCATCATGGCTGCCTGTGTCCTTGTCGGCCTTTACTATCTCATCCAGTGGCTCCAGGACCCGGCAATCATCAACAAGATTCTTCGCTCCTACATGACGACCATGTCGATGGCGAGTTTGCTGACGTTTTATGCACACGGGATCCAAGTGCTGACGTCCTTTGTGTTCCCTCGTTTCTGGCGTGGGAGGGACGGGAAGCTTCGCAGAGTCGATCAGGCCAAGAGGGTGGTTGCGGTTTGCGATGATGTAGGCAACGAAATCGAGAGCCTCGGCACTGGCGAGACGAACCCGCTTCCCGGCTCCTTGGGATTTCTTACGCCGGTGGCGTGGCTGCAGAACAAGGCCTGGAACCTGAGGGATCTCCTGACGAGGCACTGGCTGCTGGAAATGTTTGTGCATGGAATGGGCAAGGAGACGGCGCACGTCAAGTTTGCGCACATGCTGGCGCTGCTGATGGCTGTGGTGACGGCGATTGTCTACTTTGCGACCTCGTGGCCGTTCCTGTCCAATATGCTGGGTTATGGCATGTGCTACGGGTCGTTTTTGATTCTCTCTCCTACTGATTTCCTCACGGGGTCGCTGGTGCTGTGGGGTCTCTTCTTCTATGACATTTTTATGGTGTTTTACACGTGAGTTACTCTTCTCTTATTATCTGTGTATATTGATGGACTAACAAATCTTTTTCCGTAGGCCTTATATGGTGACGGTGGCTACGACTCTTGATGTACCAATCAAGCTCACATATGAAGCCGCCTCCAGGAAGAGCATCCTCGGACTGGGAGATATTGTCATCCCAGGAATGGTCATTGGCTGGGCACTTCGGCTTGATCTCTGGATCCACTACTACAGGAAGATCAAATACGAATCTACCGACTTGAAGATAATCGAGAAGGACTCTAGCTCTGGGGAAATTACCACGCGAAGCGAGACCAAGCACAGGGAGGTTAAGACCTCCTATGTCGACGTCAAAGGAAACTGGGGAGAGCGCATCTGGACTCGTCAAGCCTTGGGCCTTGTTAGCTCACAAAACCTCCCCCCCGAGGTTGCCGCGTCAAGGTTCCCCAAGACGTACTTTACCGCCGCCATGGTGGGATACTTTTTGGGCATGTTAGTTACGTTGGCCATGCTGCTCATCTTTAAGCATGGACAGCCGGCGTTGCTGTATCTCGTGCCGGGCGTGCTTGGATCTTTGCTGTTGACTAGCTTGGTGCATGGGGAGTTTAAGGAGCTGTGGATGTACACGGAAGATGGAAGCTTAGACACGGTAGACGTGGTGGTTGACCTAGACGGGAATGGCAAGGCTGTCAAGACGATTGGCAAGTTGGAGGACGGCGTGGTAGACATGACCAAAGATGAGAAGAAGAAGGATGACGAGAAGAAAGATGATGATAAGGAGAAAGAAAAGAGCAAAGACAAAAGTGCGGAAGAGGGACGAACGGGAAGGAAAGGGCACAAGGTATTTTCCTTTTCACTAGAAGCGCCGTCTGAGGGGGCAGAGGAAAAGGATTACGAGACGTAAGGGATTCCGGCAACATAGGCCCTTTATATATAAATACAACATTAGTTAGATGAATAAAGAATCAATGTGGAATTCCTTGTTTCTGTTTCATGATCGGCTACAAGTGTCTGTGCTTGACAAATAAATGTACGTTTACATATATGTATGTGTAAATCAAGCAGATATAGGTAAGACACAGATATATAGGAAGAGAAAAATAAGGATTCTTTCTTATCTAGAAGATGTAACTGTCTTGTTTACCAATTGTAATCCCGTTTATCCTGTCATGATGCATTCATTCATTCCATCTCTTCTTGTTTCATCTCAACTCATGAACATGGCAGCCCAATCGCCATCTCACTCGCCCAGCTCCTTCAACAGCGCCTCTGCACTCGCCAGCGTCTCCTCCAAATCCAAAACCTCCGGTTCCGGAACCTCCAGGCCTTGACCCCCCTCGCCCCTTCTCACCACCGTGCTAATCATGTACTCGTTTCCAAGCGCCCAGTCCAGCTTGACGTCGACGTCGGTCAACTTTTCGCCCTTGAACCAGACCTCGAGCGACTTGTCCGCGCCCTCGGGCGGCGCCTCCCCCGGCGGCGAGAAGTATCTCATCTCCAGGTCGTGCAACCAGGGCGCGAGGAGAGCGTCGCCCGTCATCTTGACGTAGGCCTCGCGCAGACACCAGTTTGCGTAGAAGTAGTCGAGCAGCTTGGCAGGCTGCTGGGTGGAGAACGGGAGGCCGCGCATGCGACGCACCTCGAGCGGACACAGGACCTCGGCGTGCATGCCGATGAAGGACGGCCAGCCCTGGGTCTGGACGTGCTTGACGTCGCGGTCGCGGCGCTCGCCGGGGCAGACGATGTCGGTGCCGATGGCGACGCCCGCGGGGGGCAAGTAGGCGCCGAAGAGGACCGCGACGCCGGCCTGGTGGGTGACGTTGAAGAGGAGCGGCTCTTCGCCCGAGGGGAGCAGGAAGACGGGCTTGGTGCGGGCGTCGCGCACGGCAGTGGCGGAGCGCCAGGGGACGCGGCAGTGGCGGGAGATGGCGAGGCGTTTGAGGAGGGCGGATGCGAGGGAGAGCTTTGCGTCCTTGACGAAGTAGTATTTGAGGACGGCGGCCTGTTCGTCTGGGGAGAGCAGGGCGAGGGCGCGATGGGCCTGGGGGTTGTGTGTTAGCCGTGAGCTGGGAATGATGCTGATTTATGATGATAATGATTCACGATGATGAAGAGACGTGTCGAATAGACAAAAACGTACGTATTTGGGGAGATCTTTGGTGTTGCTCGCCTCGGGCCAGAGATTGCGAGTGTCGAGGGCCCAGAGGAAGACGCTGGGCTGAGCCATGGCTGCGATTTATATGTCGAACCGATTACCCTCTAAAAACGTGTTTTATATAAAGAAACGAAAAAGATTTGTGATCAACTTCAACACAAGGCCAACAACGAGAGACGAGAGATGGCCCGTCTTGGTCTTGACTTGCGTAATCTTTGTATGAGTGCTACGTCAGACTCATTCATGAGACGTTGGTAGGAACGTGAGATGGCCTCAGCTCCACGCTGCCAATCATCTTGCTAGCTGCCGCTTCCCCGCTCCGGCCCGCAGAGCCGCAATTCATGGGCTCTGCTTTTCTGCTTACATGTCTCTGCTATGTCTTTTATATTCTATATGTTTACTTGTATGTATTGTTGTGAGCATAATGAGATTCCGGTGTTCTCTGATACTCTCTCAGAAAATCAAGTTGAGGGTACATGAAGGTACATGTACCAAGCTGTACTTCTACACACGCTGAAAACCACAAGGGGCTAAAAAGGTGTGGAAGCTAAAATCATGCTGGGTCGTCTCTAGGTACCAATACAGGTGCATTATTAGTACTAGTATACAAGTACACTTTAGTCAATGGTCTTATCGTCGCGATACGGCAGTGAGAGTCGTTTTGTGCAGTACCAGCTCTGTATATTAGTACTGATCTACATTCCTAGCATTTGGAGCAATACTAGGAGAGCGAATGCGGTCGACTGGGGCTTAGCAGGTCTTAGGTCTGCAAAGAAAGCTCCTGTGTCTCAGCCATACGCTGGTCAATGGCCAGAAACACCTGACGAAGACGAATCAACAACACTCTATAATATCGAGTGTAAATTGTATATAAATCATAAGCGCCGGACAGGCGAATTAAACCTAGCATTGTTATTTCGCCTGCAAGTTTTTAGAAACGCAACTTGTCGCTGAAGCTAGACAGGCGAGCGTAAAGAAGACCTGCTATGTAGACGACAGACAATGATGATGTCGAACACTTATTGTATGCATATATAGAACCGCAGATTTCCGAAAGCGTCTCCTGAACCTATATATTGATTGAACCAATGATTGAGAAACAGCTTCAAGGCTGGAGATGAAACCGTTCCCAGCCGTGGAGTGTGTATTAGGAAGGCACTTACTCTTATACGGTGCCCTAGACTTCCCTGTACAAATAGCGACAACTGATGGCCGCACGAAGTCAAACATTATCCTCCATGCCCTTATTGTTGGAGCTGCACCCGTCAAGGCCATTTGTGGCACTCTGAGACCTAAGGCGGCCTTATTGAGCCTATTAGTCCTTAGATCCAGCGGTCGGCCAGCGGTTGAGGCCGCAAGACAGCTTGAAGTTGAGCTCTCCAAAGTGCCGAATGCATACATCTGTTGAGCTGTTAGGGTAGCATTCTCACAATTGTCCCTAACAAACCATTGCCTACCTTAGTAAGTAGCTCTTTATACCTGAAAAGCCTCTCTGTACTAACAGTTGCTTGGGTCACTTTGAGTTGCGCTGGTTCACTTTATCAACAGACTAATAAGAGAAGTGGCGACACAGCTCTTTCCAGAATTCAAATTAAATACAACATAGCAAATACAAAGCGCCCTCCGATACAAAGATATTAGAAGTGAATAGAGCGTATTATCTTATGCTTCCCACAAGGCTTCTAGTAATATATAATGCATATTATCACGTGAGGGGAGCAGGCTGGCCGTGTTAGGTAGTTCTATCAGTGCCTTACCTACTATTATCTCACCTATCCCGCAGCCTATGGCTAATCCCCCTCTTTAATTAGCCTTATGGTTCATCTCCCCAACTCAAGCTTTAAGGCTGAATGACTTTTTACGATGGCAGCTTCGGGACATGAGCGGCGCGATATCAGCCATAGTCAGTTCGGCGACAACACTGTCATCCACCAGGGCAATGTCCACCTCCATCTGCCCCGCAGGCCGGCCCGCGCTGAGGTCGTCCGCGTTATTCCATACCCCCCCAACGAAGATCTAGTTCGTCGTCGGGGTCTTATCGACAGACTAGACAAGCTCCTGCCGCAAACCCCAGGGTTCCATAGCGCTGCTCTTTGGGGCTTAGGAGGTTCAGGGTAAGTTCTTTTCTTGGTCGATTATTCTATCTTACAGGCAATCATACGGGTGTTAATAAAAACACAGCAAGACACAGATTGCGCTTGATTATGCATATCGACGGTGTGACGATAGTAACTGCTGTGTCTTCTGGGTGCATGCAGACAGTGAAGCGACTTTTATAACTGACTATAAGGCGATTGGTCAGAAGCTCGGAGTCGACGAGAGCCTTGATGGGTCAGATCTGCTTAATGCGGTGCGCAGCAGCATTGAAGCACAGCCGCGATGGGTAATCATCCTCGATAATGCTGATAATCTGAAGCTATTTGGAGTGGATCGCGAAGAAGGGATGAACGAGCGCCTATCTAGGTACATCCCCGGGGGGCCGCAGGGAACGATATTATGGACGAGCCGTGATGCTCATATCACAGGCACGCTCGTCGGCTCGTCTCGAGGTATCGAGGTTTCATCCATGACAAGGGGTGAGGCGACAGCTCTTCTCGCGGCAACTAGAGGTGATCGGTTGGCTGTGGAAGACGTGGGAATCGATCAACTGCTAGAAGAGCTGCAGCGGCTTCCATTGGCGGTCTCGCAGGCTGGAGCATACATACGGCGGACATCGATGACGATCAAGGAATACCTAGATCTGCTAACACAAGGCTCCAGCCGATGGGACCTACTTAAGATGAACAGTTTTGATCGGCATCGACGGCCCGAGGTGTCGAATAGCGTGCTCGAGACTTGGAAAATCTCAACCCAGAAAATTCGAGAGGAAAGTGAGCTGTCGTACCGAATTCTCAACGTCATTGCATACCTAGATAGCCAAGACATACCGCACGAGTTGATAGTGGCAGCCAGCCGGTACAGCGTTGACGAGGAGGGTAGGGCTGAGCAGGTTCACAAGCTTGAGGTGCAGCAGGCTGTTATGCGACTGGTGGAGTTTTCTTTTCTCGATATGCGTCGAGGGGAGGGAGGTTTACGGATCTATGAGATGCACAAGCTTCTCCAGGAGGCTGTTCGATACGGTCTGTGGGTTCAAGGGCCGATGGAAATGGCCTTTAGTGAGATTACGACTCGGCATAATCAGCCGCAGAATGCAGAGGCATACTACTCGAGTATAGCTCTGCAGATGGTGGATGATATTTTCCCGGTATCAAAGCAAGACTCATGGGCACGATGTGAGCAGTTTATAGCACATGCTATACGAGTAGGAGAGTGGGCAGAGATAAGCGGGAAGGCGGTTGAAACATCAGCATTACTCGGAAGAGTATCGGATTTTCTATATGATCGAGGGCGGTGGAGAGAGAAGGAGCCAGTTGACCGGAGGGCTTTAGATCTCCGGCGGGAGGCGCTTGGAGAGGAGCATCCCGATACGGTTATAAGCTTGTCAAACCTTGCGATAACATACCATGAACAAGGCCGATATGATGAGGCTGAGAGGTTAAAGAACCAAGTATTAGATCTTCGGCGGGAGATCCTCGGAGAGAAGCATCCGAATACGATTAGGAGTATGGTAAACATTGCGGCAACATACTATGTACAAGGCCGATACGACGAAGCTGAGAGGTTAACGAAGCAAGGATTAGATCTTCAGCGAGAGATCCTCGGAGAGAAGCATCCGAGTACGATTTGGAGCATAGCAAAGCTTGCGGCAATATATTTTGCACAAGACCGACTTGATGAGGCTATGAGGTTGAGTAAGCAAGGATTTGATCTACAGCGGGAGATACTCGGGGAGAAGCATCCAGATACGATTTTCAGTATGACATACCTTGCGGCAGTATACTATACACAAGGCCGATATGATAAGGCTGAGAGGTTACAGAAGCAAGCATTAGATTTTCAGCGGGAAGTGCTTGGGGAGAAGCATCCTCATACAATGCGGAGTATGGCAAATCTTTCAGCAATATACTATAGACAAGGCCGATATAATGAGGATGAGAGGTTAAAGAAGCAAGCATTAGATCTTAAGCGGGAGGTACTAGGGGAGAAGCATCCCGATACGATTTGGAATATGGCAAACCTCGCGATAACATACAATGCACAAGGCCGATATAATGAAGCTGAGAGGTTAGCGAAGCAAGTATTAGATCTTCGGCGGGAGGTGCTTGGGGAGAAGCATCCCGATACGATTTGGAGCATGGAGGTCCTTGCAAGAATACGGCATACCCAGGCCCAAATTAATGAGCAGGAACCACGCCGCAGAACTGTCAGGGAGTTTCTTACAAATAAAGCTAGAATATTCAAAAGATAGGAAATACACGAAAGGTGATGAGAGATTAATGGTGGCATGTTGGGCAGGGATTTATGACTTTATTAACTTATGCCACCTGATGGTCTGCTGAAACCTAGATCCGTTCCATATTTTGACCAAGTACACACGACCCTGAAAGTGAACGAGTCGCAGTGATGATATACCGTACGTGATCTTAGTAATGAACATTATGTTGGAGTCCTGTTCGGTTTCAGAGTGTGTTGTAAAAGAGGAAGCTACCCTTGTATTTTCATAACTATAGTAAATCTACCTATGTTTGGTTTTGTACATCATCCTTTTGCCTTCTGGTGTAAGTGGCTTTGATCTGCAACCTGATATCTTTGAGCTTTCATCTCTTGTCCTTAATGGGTTGATCTTATCGGCATTGGTTTCAGCCATTTGATCTTGTCACAGTGTAGTAATCTACACATATTGTTTGAAAATAATGGCTCTATGAATCGGCATTCATTCTACTCAAAATACAATTGTACACCAAGTGCCTCTCTTGTGGTCTTGTTATTTGGTCCATCCATTGTAGCAGTACACTTATCCGGCAACATCAAGGACAGACACATGGCATCACGGACGGGTAGCTCTCCTTAGATTGCAGTGGAAGTAAAGCTTCCTGCTGCAGTTTCTTTCATTTGCCTCATTCTCATTTACTTTTGTTGCAAGTTGCCATTGCACATGATTCAAACTTTTACAGTCCCCCTTCACAAATGCTTGCCAAAAAACTCCAAGAGCGTCTTGTAACCTCTCTCATACTCAGCCTTGACCCGCTCCTTGGTCAAGTCAGACCGAGCCGCCATCCAGCCATGGATCTGGTCGGCAAACGTCTCGACATGGTGGGGAACCTTGAGGTTCTCCTCAAACTTCTTGACGTCCTCTGGATTCTCATCTCCAGATGCCAGGAGGGCAAAGGGGATGGTGAGGCCCTCGGCATCAGCAGCGTCGACCATGGCAGGGTGAGCCGAGGCCGCAGCAGTGAAGGGGTTGGTTGGCGCCTTGACTGTGAGAGCAACAACTTTGCCGCCCCAGCAGTACTTTATTTCGCAACAAACACATTAGTATTCTGCTAGCATCACGAATACAACCATGATAGTGATAGACTCACCCCTAGCATGGCCAGCTTGGAAACAGCCGGGCTGTGGGCCTTGAGAGCATCCACATACTCGGGCACATAGCCGGCAATCTTGGGAGGAGGGAACTCGCCGAAAAACTTGCCCAGGGCCTGTTGCTTCTCTGGGGTATCGGGAGGGTAGCTGCGAGAGGTCAGGTCAGCTGTTTTTGCTAGAATCCAACTGTTCACCTGACTTACTATTCGATGGGGCAGGGCTTTCCCTTGAACCAGTCGGGCATGAACACCTTGTACTTCTGGTGGTCGTCACCAAAGGCCAGGATGTCGGCTCCCTGGACAGTCTGGTCAAAGTAGCCAAAGATGTCGTAGATGACAACGATGGCCTTGGTAGCGTCGGCGGGGCCAGTGACATCTAGACAAGGACAAGAGGCAAATGGACTCAGTGACAAGGACTTTTTACCGGGAGGATGGTGGTCATGTGCATCGGATAGTGATCATGGGGAACATACACGTCTTGTAGCCGCCGACTTCTTCATACGAGCCCTTGGGCTGGTATCCCTTGGACACGATGGGGGGGATGTTGCAGCAGGCGGCGCTGTGGCCGTGAGAGGCGGGCATGGTAGACATGATGCGGGCTTGGGCTGCGGCTGCGACGGATTGGCGGTGGTAGTGACGATGGTGTTGAGGCTTGGGCTGAGAGAGAGGATGAGGGCGAAGTTGAGGGCGAAGTTGAGGGCGAAGTTGACAGCAGGTCTGGAGCTGCCGGTGGGATGAGATGAGCTTGGAGGGGCAGCTGTGGAGGCTGCGGGGGCCAGCGATGGAGGCGGACACTGAGGACAGAAGACGAAGATGCCTCATCAAACTGCGCGGGTCGGGCCGGACGAGCAAGTAGTTGGGCTGCAATATTGGGGGAGATGCTGCTGTTTGGTGTAGTTGGGTTTTGTCAATTGTCACTATCACTCAATGATTGCTTCATCCGCTGCTCATGGCCGCTGACGTATGTCCAAACACTCGGATAGTGCATGCATACTAATCGACTCGTACGGTAAGTAGATAGGCCGAACACTCGGTGGAGATGCAAGTATCATCCATACCTATGACCTACCACCGGATACATGACAAGACAGGCCCTTGTCAAGCTTCCAAGTGGAGGTTGGAGCTGTCGCAGAGCTTACGAGAAGCTTAGAGGCCGAGGTTGAGGTGGGGGCGGGGTTTGGGCTGGCTGTTAGCCTGGTGATGTCAGGATATTGCAAACCGAGCATCACAGAAGAGACGAGAGAAGATCTCCAAGTACCAGTACTTATCAATCAATGTTTCCATTGTCACTAATCAATCTGAATTGAGCATGTGCAAGGCTTTTGATGGTGTTCATAGTCATCATAGAAACTAAATCGCACTCGGTGCAGACCCTCTGGATCTCACTGTCAAGATGAAAGCCAAATTCGGCGTCCTTCTTCAAGGCATCGTCTCATGTAACTCTCAAGCCAGTCAAACTACAAATCCACCATTGTGACCTGGAATTGTTTGGGCAAGATGTAGCTTCAGGCCAACTTGCATGGGACGCGCTATGCACGACACTCAAGGCAATGCCATCGTTACCCTCCCTGCTATCCATCTCCCGACCAAAAGCCAGAGGAATTCTGTAGCATTCCCAGAACGCCTGCACTAGCTATTGGTCGGCAGCTGCGATATCGCCATTCCCTCCAAGCTTTGCTCCCTTGGTCGTATTAACTAGTGCTTTGTCTTGTCTCTGACGGATAATGGCCTCTCGTGTAAATCATGCTAGGGTTATTAGTGACGTGCGCTACTCAGGGTTCGTTTTTGATGTTGGGTAGTGATTTCATCATCTCCGTGATTCGCGTTTTATGAACATCTACTGTCTATAAGAGGAGGGCTCAGGAACCCAAAAGCTGTAAATCGCCTGGTACGAGACGTTTGGAAGTGGTTTGGTAGGATCTGAGCTGTCGACTCCCTCGTTGTCTTCTATCCAATCATCTGGATTGGATTGGAGGGCGTTGCATGCAGTAACGCCGCTGCTTATCGAAGTACCTGCCTGCCGACTAAGTGAAGATACAAGCGCGTAATTCTAGCAGAGACGAAAATGAAACGATGAAAGTGTCCATCAAGAGAATGATCACCACAGTGCTCCGTATTCCATGGGCAAATTGAAAAGCAGAAAAGAAAAAGTGAAGTTACAGACTGTTCTCCGTCTGTAGGTATGAATTACCAAATGTCATCCATTAATATTGCCCGAGGCACCTCCTGGCCTAGTATCTACAACATGTAGCAAGAACGCATTGCAACTCCCCAAGGTACCTTCCTCCGATTCACTTGACGATTTTTACCCATCTTGTAACACCAAGGCACCAAAGCTTCTCAATATCCCCCTCTGTCTCTTTTTCACCATCTTTCTTCTCCTCTTCATACAAACAGACAGACCATCATGACTATGTTTACCTTCACCTCGCGTCACGAATCACGAGCCCTCACTTACTCTCGCCCTTTTTTGGAATCACAATCCCCTTTACTCGGCATTAGCGCCATGCCAACGGACACTTTCCGGGACACCAAATTTCGAATCCCAATTCTCTGGGTTCCAGGTAGTCCCCCCTTGTTCCGTATTTTTCCATTTTCCTCCCTTTGGATTGCTGATCTATGGAGAGAGGGCAGTTTATTCTCTGGAGTTGGTTTAGCAGCAACTGCATCAGCACACCCCTGTCCGAATTGCATTGGCGGATGGAAACTAGGCCACATGAGAGACCAAAGCGAGAAAAAGAAGGAATCAGACGAGACAGAGAGTGCTGAAACCACCAACACTAAAAGCGCCAAAGTGGCTTTTCCTTCTCACACAATTCACAAATATACGAAGCACTTCATATTCATACACCACACACTTCAAAGCCATTGCTGTTGCCGCTATCACGATTCGGGGGATAGCTCAAGGTAGCCCACTCCTAAGCCCGAAACTAGTATCTCGTAAACCAACCTGTCACTAACAAAAAGGAAAATAGCTAATGCACCAAAATCGAACCTCAGACAACGTCAGGACAGACCACCCAACCCGGCTTTTGCATCATGTCCAAGCTTTCCCCCTTACATCCAACACCCATGCCTTGTTGCAGCACTTGGGACCCAGCTAGCTGGTAATTTTCCATCTCTTCGGCATATTGGCCTGCAGCTAGTGCGGTCCAGTGACCCAGACTATCTGTCTGCCAGCGGCGACCCAAAGCATTGACCAGACACACCACTGGGTCTCCTGTTGGCGGTCAGTGGTCCCTGCATAGCATTCCCAGTTGGCCCCTCCCCAAAGCGTCTCCCCATGCCCACATATTCACCCAATCTGTCATGAGATATCTGCAAAAAGGCGGTCACCGCCACGGATTCAGCATGAGGAGTGCGTGCGTCTGCCCCGCCGTGTCCAGTCCCGGAGACTTTGCTGCTGTTGTTGCTGCTACTAGCAGCAGTAATACCCAATTGGGAGGGTGTTGGAACAGGCCATTGGTAGAGCAATATGCGATCTTTCTCCGTCGGCGATCGGCTGCTGCAGGTTCGCCTCATTTCATTACCTTGCCTGTCCGGTGGGTATCCCAAGGCTGTCTCGGGGTTAGGGAGGTGGGGAGGGTTGGCCGGTCGTTGCTGGCCCGGGGACAAATATGTCATGTTTGAGACAACTGCTGTCAACTACTCCATAGCGGTGGCGCTCTCGTACGGAATGGCCGCTTCACATGGATCAAACAGCCTTGATATCCCCCGGGGGGCTACTCGCAAACACGGGAGACGCAGCAGTGCTCCGTCGCTAAAGCTAATCGTGCCCGGCAGTGCCGTCAGCGGCTCAGCTGAGACCCGACTGGTCGGAAAACTAAGCGCTAGCTATATCCAATCTGTACATGCAATTTATACAGCCGCACCTACGTGTTGTTCCGTATAGTTGGAACCTCGATTGCTCGCAAAAGGGCTCCCAAGACCCAGGGATCCGGGAACATCAGATGCGAAACGGCAGGGGCTATTGGCAGCGGCAAGACAAAGCGTCATCGATGAGCTGAAGTCAGTCCAGGCGTGGCCCCTCAGCCTCAGCTCTCCTCAACGCCAAACCGCGCTCAGCTCACAGCCCAGGCCTGACACTCACGAATCGTTAGTGTCGCCATTACGCATCAGATGTCTCCGGCGCCATCAGTTCCAACCTGTCAACAGGTCACAAGATGGGAGCCCCTGGACGGCCTATACTTGTAGCGTCTAGGAGAGGCAAGACAGGTCAATTTTGACGGGGGTGGGAACATGGCCTGTCATGGTCTTTGGTCTTTGCGCTTTCTAGACACACGGTAGAAAAAAAAAAGCCACCTAGGTGTCTCCCCCGGCCTGGTCTGGTTCCCCCCCATCCAAAATGTCATCTTCCCACGAATATTGCCAGCCATCTGTTTCGAGTCGGTCCAGTCTGCAATGCCGCCGCCAGCAAAAGATTAGCCTGGCTATTTTGATGCGGAATTCACTCCCGTCTATTCCGACGGCACCACTAGTATCAGAAGAGCAAACGATGCGCCGTTTCACCCCCCTTTTTTTTTTCTTTTTTTCCCGCCTTACTTGCACAACTCAGCCTGCCCGTCTGTGAGAGGTCAGCATCTTCCATGTCTTACTAAATGCTTTGGTAGCATCTTACCTCCTATTCAACCTAACCTCCTTACGAAGTAGTAGGTACACTCCCTGGTGCCCATACCTTACTTACTGTGATACCGAAGGGGTACTCTGCATCGAGCCCGTCTGGCGAATTACGTCGTGCAGCATGCCACCTTGACAGCCTTTAGCTCCATGACCGGAAATTCGTCATTCAATACCCGGCGCCAGAGCCCATGTCTCGCATGGAACTTCGCACGGCTTCCAGAGTACAAGCCGCAGCAGGACCTGTGTTCCCCCCCAAACCCCCCACGTCATACGGGGTGTCAGTGCATATTTTTTTTCTTCGTATGCAACGATGCATTCAACCATCTGTCTGTGAAACACATCCTTGCATGTTGGAAACGGCATCATGATTTGGCTCTCCCTGCATACAATAGCAACCGTACCGGGCAATTGGTTCATGCCAATCCAAGTAAGTCCATGTTTGAGGCACTCGTGCCCAACAACTTTCGCCGACCATTGTGCACCGGGTCTCGTGATGGCACCACAATAAAATCGCAAGGCAAGAGTGGTCTCGTAAGATCGTCAAGTATTAGTGTACATGCTACATCTAATTTACACGTAAAACATGCTGGTATCAAGAAAGCGCCCTATTCCCCAGGCAGAGCACCTATGCAGAAAGGTTGACTTGCTGCGGTGCTCGTGCCAAATATTTCGCCCTGTCCGAATATAGGAAAAAGAAACAAAAGGAAAACAAGAAAGCAAGCAAGGAAAAAAAAAGCCCAGAATTTTGTGTTTTCCCCTGGCCTTCCAGACTCCGCCCTTTGAACATGGAACTAAACCCGTACTGCCCGTTCTGTCCGCACATGACGACTTTTTTCTCTCTTGTTTTAAAGGAAAGAAACGATATAAGGCAACAATTGCAAGGGAAAGGAAGAGTGAGAGCAGGGAAGGAGGGGAAAAAGGGTGACCACTCGTGCTGGCTGCACCTCGTGTGTAGATCGATTTGGCATGATGCCTCAACAGGCGCGGCTGTCTTGAACGTTTAAAAGGGTGCCAGGAAAGAAGGGATTTGTCGGTTTTCCCGTTGTGGAATGGAGATGACATATATCGAAATCAAGGCGAAAAAAGTGTGGTGTGCTGTCATTCCAATAACGCCGTCTCTTTGAAGCAGATGATTCTTTTTTTTCTTGCTCTGCGTTGTATTTTTTTTTTTTTTTTTTTTTTTAAAAAAAAAAAAGGTTGGCGATCTGGGAAGCAAGTGTTAGTAAGTTGGCTCTAGAATATCCATGATTTGTTCAACTCACGCGTATAAAGATGGTACTCAGTCACATGGGGTGCCGCAATAGCCGCAGCATCGGCCTGGGATGACCCAGACTTCCTTGCCATCTAGGGCACAGGTTGGGCATCTTGTGCCGGGGACCTACTCAGAGTTAGTAAGTTGGGCATGTGGTGACCAGCACAGCCAGGAACTCTTTCTGACCTTGGGTCCCACCATGATGATGCCGTCAGACATGGTGGATTGTGAAGGAACTGGGTGTTCCGGTAGAAGCGGGAAGATGGGTGCGTGGGTGCCGCGGTGAGTATGTGAGATAGGCATGGCTGGTGAATGTCTGAAGAGGCAAAGGTATGTGACAAGAAGTCTAAGACTGGTCCAATGTTATATAGTAGAGAGAAAGCAATGGTAGGTGTGAGAGTGGTAGTTGGCGAGCGAGATGATGATGGTGTTGGGGCCGGGAAGATAGGCGTATTATATGTCCAGAGGATTCAACGTGGGGTTGGCTAGGGGGAAGGGCCCGGCGGATGGCTCTAGACACAATTGAATCGAGAGAGGCTTGATCGATCTTGGGCCAAAGTGTGGGGGCTCATTGGCATTTATGTTATTTATTTATGGTTTTTGGTCGGGGGCAATCAGATTGGTATCAGAGTGCTAGCGGCTGGCAAACTCTCCAGGAACAAAGTTGTGAGTGACAAGTCGATGGCGCTAGAAAACGGACTGGGGGGCGGCGGCAGAGGCAAAGCAGGCCAGGCCCTTGTGTCGTTGTTAGTACCACTACCAGCAGACGAGCTAATGCGGGCAGCGGCCATGGCTATCCGTCCGTTGATCGGGAGGCAAGGCGATGTCTCGAGGTGCTTGTTGGGGGTGGGATTTCCGAGTTGGCCCTGCCCGCAGTGTGGGAGCAGACATGTCATATCGGCTGTGAGACGATGCCCTCATCTCATTGCTCGCTACCGAGCACAACGGCGCTTGAGAGCGGCCGGGCCTTGTACCTGGCAGTACTGCTACCTGAGCCTCCTCTGGGGTGGCTCTACGAAGGGACTGGCAGCAAGTACAAGTACTGTGGCCCGGGGGGGTGTGCAGCGGCGCCGTGCGGCGGCTCTTGAGCTTGAGAGACGGACTGTTTAGACAGACAGACAGACAGCAGAGGCGCGTTGGGTGGAGCAGCAGAAAAAGAAAGCTATCCAAGGGAATGCAGGGCAGGGCAAGGGGCAGGGGTGCGGGCCTGGGGACAGATGACAAGGCCGTGGAGCGATTCAGACATGGGCCGGCTTTGCCATTGGCAGCACCGGTCCAGGAACCTGGTATCAAGGGCCAGGCAAGGGAGCTGGTCTCTGGCAACGTGACGCATGATGCTGGCCAAGCACAAGTCTTAGCTGTGCACACGAACTGACACGGCATTGATGCTCTCTCGCCGCTGCTGCACTGCCGGTGGCTTGCACACGCAGGAGAGCGTACAGTACTGCGTAGTATGGGAGTGTGTGCTGTACTGTATGAATGAGGGCATTGCATGGGAGTGACTTGAGTGCGTGATGCCTGTCGTCTTGTTCATGCACGCCACGATGGCTTCTGCCATCCGCTTGCCGGGACAGCTCTTGTGCCACCCGCTGAACATGGTGCTGCATGTACGTCAAGTAGACAGAGGTGTTGTGCTGGTAGCACCCGCAACTCGAGCAAGGGGTGTGAGGCAAGGGTCGAGACGAGAACCGGCCACAGGGAGGGGCAGCGTTAGCGGGGGAGAGGAGAGGAGAGGAGAAGAAAGGACGGGAGATTTGATGCTTACGCTGTACTGTACAGTGTTTTGGATTGGGATTTGGATTTGGAGCTGGCGATGCGAGATGTAGTGGTGGAATGGAGGAATGCAGAGGAGAGGAGAGGAGAGGGAATGAGAGGAGAGGACTCGGCCGGCGAATGGCTTTGTCGTATATCACATCTGGATGTCGAGAGAGCAACTTCAGTGTACGAGTACCTACCGTATAGTGCAGTAGAGCATCGTATCTGAATGGTACGAGCGCTTGTACTTGCATGTTCCCTGGAGGAGCTGAGCATGCAGCCGCAGTACCCAGCTAACTTGGGCAGTACCTGCTCGGTACCAGCTCCGCCGACCTCGCCAATTGCCCAGCTGGGTTACTGCAGCGAAGCTGCTGGCGAGCCTGGCCAATGGGCAGCGCGAATGGGTGCGATGCGATCTTGGTTTCCATGTCGAGGAGTGACGCTACCGACAGGACGAGCAGCCCACTAGCAGGTGCTAGCATCAGGGCCTAAGGTACTGGGCAGGTACTAGGGAGGTTGTGGTGATTTGATTCGCAGGCTGCAGTACATGGAGGTGCTGAACTCTGTGCGCTTCATCTTGCCGGCCAGGTACAGTACAGTACTTGGTGGACTGGATGGAGCTGGAGAGGAGCTGGAAGATGCCGCGATACCACCCCATGCCATGCCATGCCATGCCATGCCATGCCATTCCATAGTACGAATAGGCATAGGTACCTTACAAGTACTGGAGGCAATACCCTACGAGTACCTGCACTGGTACCGGTACTCGCACGCACAGGACACATGGAATCGAGCCCTTGTCCCTCCCCAGCTGCTGACATCGACACTCGGCATCTGAGGATCGCAGACTCTCGATTTTAGTCGTGCTAGCACCACCACCAGCGCAAGCCACTTGGTGTCATTGCTGGCGCCGGCCGTGGCCTGTCCCAAGTGCATGGAGCCGCCTGGAGGCATCAGGGCCCAACAAATGAGCGTCCATGGCTGGCTGCTAGCCGGCAAAAGGCAGCGCATGGCCGGATGCCCAATGCTGCAAAGGGCGTTGGGACTGGGTTCGTCCTTGGTTTATCTCTCTTGCTTCCGTTTGGCTACTGCAATTTCAAATTGGCGTCTTGCCTGCCCACACACACTCAGTCACTCACACACACTTAGGTCGTGGTGCTCGCTTAACAAAAAAAGAAACGAAAAAAAGGGCAAAAGAAGAAAAAGGAAAGGGCAATGAAAATTTGAGAGAATCCTGCTGACGCTGTTCGAGAACCAGAGACAAGGATGCTTGGAGGTGGAGGGGCACGGCAGAGAAGGTACCGTAGGTACTCGTACAGTACCTGACAGAGAGGAGACGGGTGCTAATGCCACTGCAATACACGAGTAATTGCCCATCAGTCAGTCAGGATTACTCTTCCCACCTCTAGTTTTCTCTCTCTCTCTTTCTTTTTTTGGCACTCGTACTCTTGCCGTTGTGGCAGACTGCAATTTACCTGTGAGCCTGCCAAGCCTCAACCTGGAAGCTAGGCACGGAATCCCCACCCCTCACCTGCTGCTAAACCTACCTACTACCTACCACCTACATACAGCACTGTACAGTTACACGCACCACCAGCAACAGGCATCATGGAGCGATTGAGCCCTACCAATTGCCTCGCTAGCTCCCTGGCTCGCTGGAACAGACGATTGGGACGACACGCAGATCATTGAATCAATCAACGGCTCCAGACCGGCATGCGCAATCCACTTCTGCACACAAACGTATGATGCACCAAGAGGCCACTTGCTCTGCCGTCGTACGTTTTGCGCGCGTGATTTCCCGCATGCCTGTTCTTCTGCGACAAAAGACCATCGACGAGGCGCCTCCTTCATTTCCAGTATGCATGCTGCCGCCGAGGCGAAATCCCAATCTCAGCGCCGACTTCTCCCGGATTACACAGGGCCGAAGCGGAGACGGTATGGGGGGAATAAAGGGACACGGAGTAACTGGGTGAGCGCGAGGAGAAGAGAGGGAATAGTAATGGTGCCTCGAGGTAAGCAAAGTGGCGGCCATGACTTACACGGATCATATCCAAGCACCATGGGGCAAGACACAATTTGGCAAGCTTCAAGAGAGCCACTCTGCTTTGCTCTGCGTGGGGCGGATGAATTTCTAGCCTCCGCACTCCTTCTACGGAGCCCGAAATGAGCAACATGTGCGCTTACGAGCAGCATTGTCGACACAGGCGGCATCGAGGCGAATCTGCCCTTACGCGAGCACACAGCACCGCTGACGATGGGTGATGGTATTGGGCTGCAACGGTGAGCGATGCCGCCTGCCTCCACTCTCCTTGTCGGCGATTACTAGTACGATGACGGTCTGCTGCAGCTTCACCCCAAACCCCCGCGACGATCCTCTCAGATAACCCCTGAGACCCAATACTAGCCGTCTGGCCTACGGATGTCATGGGCGATGGGCGATGAGCGAAGAGTGGTCCAACCGTGCCAATCGCCAAGAGCGCTGCCACAAGCAAAAATTCTCATGTTACGGTACTCTACCCAAGCCTTTGATACGAGCTACAGGAGCAAGTCTGGCGGTACGAAACGAGAATAAGGCACGCAAAGGGCTCCATACATGGCAAGGTGCTTCTTGCTTTAGCATCTCCCGCGCTACCAGATCCACCAAGACCAGCTCCATCATCCTACATCTTGGATCAGACATCTTATCCAGCTATCGCCCCTCCAGCCACAAGCGATCCTGGTCGTCGGGAACTTTACGAACGCTCCGTGCAGGTACTAGTTGTGTAGTCTCTCGATGAAACTCCTGCAAGTTTGCGGCGTGCACCATGTGCTCAAAAGGGGGGGGCCAAGGCAGAGGCGGCCGCAGTCCTTGTTTCTGGGTATTATGGTACATATCTAATCTTTATTTTTTTTTTCCCCTCGATGGCTCTCATACGCGCACTCCTCCTATCCCCCAGGACGGCGGGACCACGTGCCACATACATGATATACGAGCACTGCACACACAACATTTGGCCATCATCAATGCGAAAAGCACGAGCGTTTCGTACTCTGTGCCTCTGCATACCCGGTTACCCTTTTCCCTGTTCAAATTACCTCTTCAGGGACCAATTTTACAGGATGCACCGCTCCATGCTTTCGTACTGCGTGCGTGTCTGTACAACCTTTAGTCCGAACGGAAACACACACAACGCCGATGACAGGTACGGAATATCAAGGCTAGAGGTGGTGTAACTAGGTTCCGCGGTGATGGGAAAACTTCTCAAGAGATGGACCAGGGTGGCCGCGGCACCGCATTGGCTGCCGGCACAGGAAGGCTAAGCCACTAGCAGCAAACCCCAACCAGAAGATTGCTAATGGCCTGCCTGCGGATCACAGCCGGTTTGTGCAAGGCGACTTGCGAATGGGATCGAATGCCGACTACTGCTTGTATGCGGAAGCGGGTGGTGGGTGCAGCTCTGTATCGTCATGGCCTGGCACAGTAAAACATGCTTATGGAGCATCATGCTGTTGCTTGGCGGGCCATTACTCAAATGTCGATTGATAGTCTGACGCCTCGTGTCAAGCAGCACTCCATGACAGTCAGCGCCACGGATAATACCTCGACTGCTGCTCGTCCTCCGAGGCACGGAGATGTATGTGCTGCGAAGTGCCACTTGATATCGATGCCACTTTTACCGGCAAGGGGCTGCATATTTGCCGATGAGAGCCTGATGCTAGATTGCAGGCACAACGGGAAAAGGACTGCTTTTTCCGAACAAGTAGCTTGCGGTCGAGGACGTCGTCTCATTCATGCTTCTTTCACCCCGTGAACGTGTCGGAAAGGTTCCGCAACTTCTACGAGCACGACTAACAGGACTCGAGGCGTTGCGATTGGGCATGCACAGAGGCTTTTCGCAGGCTAAACGAGGCGCGGTGCCGTCTAATGTGCGGTACGAGCCTTGGGGCGCTGCCGAAAAAAGATGACACGACAATATCGAATCGGGATTATACAGGTACGACAACATGTACTTGGCCGTTGCCATTATTAATGCGCAGCGCACAAGTCCCGACATTGCACTCGCTCTACTACTACCTAGAGGCAGTAGACGCGGGCCTTGGCTCATGTTGGACATACATACATATGTACGAGTGCCCCATGCGTCCCTACAATTTCAAGTACAGGTACGAATACGCCAAGGCGTGCAGCTGCCGGCATGTAAGTACAGGTGAAGATGTGATGATGAATGGTCACAGTTGCATTATTTAACCCGTGTCCATTTTCTGGGCCATGCCGGTCGCAGCCCAGCCCAATTTCACACGGCATGCTGCTAGTTAATTTCGAGCGTCGTCCTTCTCTCTCTCTCTCTCTCTTTCTCTCCCTCTTCCTCTTCCTCTCCCTATCTCCCTCGCTCCCTCGCTCCCTCGCTCTCTTGCGTACTCCATATTTTCGTACCGTCTGCCTCACTCATCATCTCTCGCCATCGCTTATCATCTTTCAGAAACGTGTCAACCAACGACCAATAATTTCACTGTATCGAATACTCCGTCATCCCGTACCGGTACCTACCCGCAGACGCAATAAACCCCACCTCCTCTACCCGAGCATCCTCGTCTTTTGCCCTGGATTTGGCTCCACTGCTCCAACATGGAACCACTGCAAAAGGTACAGAGTACAGGAACAGGCGCGGGTACTAAGGTCATGTTGGTGCTCTGACCCCACCATCTAGTAACCACATATCTGTAATTAATTAGATCGCTGGCGATGCCCTTGCCCATGTATGCTTACAGGTACTACCTTATTTTGTAGTAGTGGTCATGCTCTGCCGTCGTACAGGTACTGGCAAGGTACGGAGCACGGAATACGGAGCCGCCCTCTATTTCCTCCGCAGTCACCCGCCTATTTGCTGGCAAATCATGTGCAGTCATGGTTGACGACTCGAAATTGGCAATATACTGTTCTTGTACAATGCCTCGCAGCTGACGAGCTGCTCTGCTCTGCTCCGTCCTGGCCTGGCCTGGCCTAACCCTGCTCCCTCCATGTAAGTGCGGCAAAGGCCATGTCTGGTCCATATCAAATGTGCTAACTTACGGAGTACATGGCCTGGGCTAGGTTTATTAGTGCCTCACCTTGATGCTCGGGCTTGAGCCTCGGCTCAAAAGCAAGTTCAAGTCAGATATGCTATTGCTCCAAGTCATCATTTAGAAGCAATGACGAGTTGGTCGACCCTTTTTTTTTTCCAACTTGTCTTTCGATGCGTATTTCGCATGTTCCTTCGAATGCTCCGGAAGCACTTGGGCCTCTCTAGTCCTGAATCCGTCTAGCCCTCTCTCCAGCATCTTGGCATCGCCCGGGACGAATGACTTTGCGCTCTCCGTATTTCGTACATGCCGGCACAACTCCCAGGTGCACCCCCTTTCCGCCAAGGAGGCTGTTCTGGCCTGGAGGAGCCGAATCTGGCTGGACCAAAGTCTCAATCCTACGCGGCTACACCTTCAATATCTTCCGGAGCTGTGTGCTGTCTCGACGTTGCATTCTTCAGCTGCCTCCTCTGGACGTGGGCGCCATCCAGCTCAGGGCTGGTCGGGGATCCGCAAGGGTTACCACCCGGTAATGTGCTGCCGTCGTATTGAGATGGGTGAGCACATGTGGATGGAGCACAAGTACAAGTACGAGTACCTGCCTCCAACCCTGAGGTCATCATGGCCACGGCCAGGATTCATGTTAGATAGGCGGCTCATCTGCTTTGCCAGATACGGGCTGGCGCCGCTGGAATAGGCAAGCACAACGGGGGCCAAGCTGCAAGGGAAGCAAATTTTGGGGCTGGCAATCCTCCAGCTTGTTCTCCTCTACTGTACTTCCTCCCTGGTACAGTACCAGGACGAGTACCGTGACTGGAATAAACAAACCCCCTCCACTCTCTTTTCAGGCCTCGACAATCTCTCCTCTTCGCCCCTGATGCCTGACGCCTGACGCCATTGCGATGCAAAATAGCTGCGACCTCGCCGTAAACCTCCTCTTCCGGCCGGCGACTGATTCAGATTGCTCTCCGCCAACCCAGCACCGCGATCTGCGCAAAGGCATACGAGTGCTCACTCGTACTCACTCGTACAAGCACTCCGTTTCTCAAGCTAGCTGCCGCGAACTACTCTAGGTAGACGGCAGCTCGTGACCACTTTTTGTTTTGCTCTCTGGCTCGCGGCAGCCAACCCCCGGAGTGCGATTGCCTCTCCGCCTCGTACACTCTCTCGCTGCCTTTTTTTTCTTTTTTTTTTCCCTTATGCTTTTTCGACGGGACTCAAACCCGCGGGTGATGGCAAATTTGCCGTGGGGTGCCATCCAAAATTACAGAATCCGCACTGCCATGGAAAAAGAAAGCAAGAGGGAAAAAAGAAAAACGCCGATGGCCACACATTGCGGGACCCGGTGTCACGAGAGACACTTGCGGCTGTCAGTTCTCAGATGGCTCGACGGTCAGGCGGTCGCTTTGACGAGTGTATGAAAAAGCAAAATTTGGCTTGCTCAGCTTGGCCAGGGGAACCCAGCCAGAGCGCTATTGACAAAGCGGATCCCCTTTTCTCCCTCCACTCGGCAAACTGCACACGACGGTATGTTTCCCATGGTGAGCCGCTATACTGTATGGCATTCTGGTTTAGTCAGAGGTTGCCTACAGGTATGTGCTCTTTGTTCCGTGTTGCAGGGCAAAATTCACCACAGCCATGCTGTAGCATTTCGTTGCCGCAACTGCTGTAACATATGACGACTCTGATGAGCTGACAATGGTTTGTCTTTTTATTTTTTTTAAACTAGTTAAGCACAGACACCGATTTCCCCCCCTTGGATACGTCTCCGAGCCGGGTCGACATCTGATTTCTTTTGATTCATATTGCCAGTTTCGTCCCGTGCTAGCGGTCGTTGAAATTAAACACCGGTCTGTCATATCGTGAAAGCCGTGCAACATCTGACAAAGCCTACTTACTTGGATGGCGAGTCAAACCCAGGAGATACCAGCCACCGTCCCAGGCGTCTCTGCAAGACAAATAACCTTTCGTCCTTGTTTTTTTCCGTACGCGCTCCTGGCTCATGAAATCCAGCATTCTGTACCTGGAGAACAGACGACCCTCACCCCATGCTCTCGCACCCCACTTGATCATCTCAGCGGCTGCAAAGGCTAGTGGGGTCATAGCTAGCAAAACTACCTTGTAGTTGAACTTTTGCCCCGGCCTGGGCTGGAAGTTTCCTTGGAATTACGGATACTCTATACCGAAATGCGTACTATACTACAAGTGCAGGCATGTGTGGAGTACTACATGGAAATGCTAAACTACTGGGAAATAGTGCAAACGGTCGTCTGGTTGCAGCTCCTAGAGAAATTCTAGATTGAGTTGCTAGTGGCCAAGCGTGAGAGCGTTTAGGAGGGGATCCCTTCGTATTCAAGGGATTCAACCAATGCCAAAGGAAATGAATCAACCTCTTGCCTGGCAGTAGTGCTGCCAAGTTATAGGTTACGGAGCCCCAGACGCTCTGTCGAAACAGAGTTTCAACCTGCTTCTATTACAATAGTATGATGTATGCCGCATCAAAGAGGTGCCCAGACATGTCCGTGTTGTCCGTGCCACTGAGCTTTTGCAGGGTGGTTGTGCATATTAAATGCAACCGGGGGAGGGTGTTAGGTTCTGAATGACAAGTTAATGCACATTGGTGACTCCTAAACGCCTCTCTTTTCGCCCTCGATTCAAACATGGATGGCAGCATTGGTTTGAAACCCCCTATTGGACAAGCATTCGAGCCTCGCAACCTACGAGAGCCTTGACTTGTGGCGCGAAAGATTACCAGCCGGCTGGCGGAACAAGGGCAATCCAAGTATACTAAATTGCTCTCCCGTTAGAATCCCGTGTCACCTAAAGTCCTAACCCCCCTATGGCAGAGTCCAAAGCCGTGCTTCTCAAACTAGGACCAAAGAGCTTCACAAGAATGCAATGGCCCAAGCTGGATTATCAAAGCGGAGCTTCCATTGACCAGGGGATAAGATCGGCCAAGCCACCGGCGGAAGCATGTCTCACATTTCACCAGCGGGAGGAGTATCAAACCACATTTTAAAGCCGTACCATGACAGGGCAACCCCCTCGAAGAGCTTCCTTAGCGCCTAGGAAGTGATTGGATGAAGCGGTCAGTTAGTTGCCCGAGGAAACGATGACCTACGCACCCGGCAATGCTGCATGCTGCCATCACAGTTAACCGCAGCCGTCTTATTGGGCTAAGCAGGCATTCCCCGTCTTCACATCTTACGTTTGAAATATACAAAGTGGTGCCTCCTGCGGAGCCGATATGGACTCGAAATCACCGCCGCGGTCCCCATTTGCTGGACCAGATAGCTACGGTGAAAGGTATTGGAGAGTGAACTGAGACCACCAACCCGTGGCTACGCAAAGGCCATATGCTACAAGCCAATCGCCGACGTGACTCTAATTCGGGGGCCAAGCCAAATCTCGCCATTGACAAGGTGTGCATATATGCCCAGCCCTCGTGACCGGACCTCGCTGTCCACTTGTCTTATTCTGCTAGACAGGCCCTGTCCGGGGGGGGGCGTGAGATGGGAACAGCTTTCTGAGGATTTGTTCCCAGTGTCACTGATTTGTCGCAGCCAGACGGCTTACTGTTGCCAAGGTGCCACTGTTTTGGTCTGGTTGATAGGCCATTTCGACTTGTTGGGCCGGTTGTTTTGATACATGCGTCTTGAGAGGCGCTTGACTTATAGCCCGCCGACTGCTAACCACAACGGTCAATATCCCTTGTGTGGCTAATATAGAATCTGCAGTAGCCTTCCACTCCTGCTGTCGCTTTGCGGATCTTTGATGGGCGTATAAGGCATACTTTCAATTGGTATGGATGGAGTCCGTCTTCATGTGTCGACGCAGGTGCCAGACCCCGGCTGCATGAAGATACACCACGCTTGGCTTCCTCCTCTCTCTCTCTCCACCTCGGCGAGTCCTGCCACCGGTCACAATTCATCTGAGCGGCTATTAGGTCATGGCTTCGAGCTGCAAGGAACCTCGCGACAGGTTACCGTTGGTAGTTAGCATCTCCTTCCTGTCGTTTATCTTTGACGGCCTGACCGGTGAAAAGCATGGCGTTGAAAAGGAGCCCTTTTTCTACAGCATTCGAAAGAGGCAAGGCTATCCGGTTAAACTGGAACCCGTCAAGATGCCCTGCTCTGCAGACATCTCCTTGCCGGACGCATATAGCTCAAGACACCTGGACCAATGAAAAGCCAATGGCCACGACCTATCAGGCTACGCCAAACTCTCTTGACCAGACGTGCTTTTGCTATGCCTAAACTTGTTCCCCCACTTCAAACTGAGAGGGAGAAAGGAGAGAGAAGGAGACAGAGAGAGACTTGGAAAGGGAAAAAAAAAAAGTCGCACCATGGATGGGGTGCTGGCACGTTCTGTGACGTGTCGACGGCGGCTAGGACATGACAAAATGCAGCTTGCCAGACCACAGCTAGTAGCACGCACAGGTCATCATTTCGTGCCATACTTGGTACACACCGGAGCTCAGTTAGCAGGTTTCACTGCGTCACTGGCAGCCAAGCCGGCACGAAGCAATATCGGCAGCCCGCGGGCTGTGGTTTGTCAATTGAGTTGATGGTGGAGGACTCGTACTCGGCTGCCTGCGTGTCCGGCCACCGACCGTCGGCAGTGCAACGCTTGGTCCATTCCGTGTCTCCCAGACCATGTTTTACCGCGACGTTTACTCCGTACACCTTGAGGCACAGGTCTGCCGACGGTGAATAGCCCGGCGTTGCGGCTTGTTCCTAGGAGCACTGCGGAAACAGCCGCATCCGAGCTGGCAGAAGGGGGGGTCGCCCAATCGCCTGCGTCGGTCAACAGCGTCGTGATATCGTAGTAGCAGCCCTTGCTCCGATGCCACTAGCCGCGTCGGCGCAGATAAAAAAAAAAAGAGCACAAGAACGAAGCAAAGAAGAAGGAGACGAATCAAGTCCGAAGGCCTGAAGCGGGTTGGTCAGCGGAGAGCGATGCAGCCAATTGGTTCGCTACTGGATCGTGACGGTTTGCGACCAATTTCCGGGAGCCTCCCGCGCTCAGCGGCCGCACTACTGCGCGGGCAGGCCATTCTTCATGCTCTTTTCTTCTAATTTTTTTTTTCCCCGAGATGGTGACATTTTTCTTTTTCACGCGGCGACGTTTCGCTAGTTTGCAACAAGTTGGCAGCAGAATCTGCGTCTACCCTTGACGGTGGTGTGGATGGAATAGAAAAGAGGACGAGGAGGGGGGGGGGGGGGGCATGCCATCTTCAGCAGGGCCGACGTTAGAGCTGCATGGCCTGTTACACCATGGATGAAGCGTGGCTACACCCGTGTGCCATTCCCGAGGAGGATTTAAGGCTTTTTTTACAAAGTGTTGGTAGCCCGAAAGGAAAGGATCGTTGGAGTGTGTGTGCTGGGAGAGGAGAAACTGCGTTTTTCTTACACAGCATCCTTCAGTCTGCCGTCTCAGGCATATGCATACGCATACGCATACGCATACGCCCTGGCCAATCAACAAGATTTCAACTTCACAGCAGACAACATGCACAAGAACGCAGTGGATGGTATGTGACGCAGGCAATGCATGGCCTAAGGCCTTTGATATCAATTTGATGTTTTTGCCAAGACGGCAAACGAAGACTGTCTTCCTCCAAACGCCCCCCCTCCCCTCCCAAAGAAAATAAAATAAAAAATATATTCGTCTTCGCCGAGAAGACTTTCCCCCGATAATCCAATGGGGGCATATAGATGCGTTTTTCTATAATGCATGAGCCCCCTCTAGCCCGAAATATCTAAGATGAACCAAACGAGGGACGCCGTTTCCATAACGCTAACGAGGAGGGAATACACGCTCTCTCTCTCTCTCTCTTCCCAAGACTCTCTAAGAGGTTTCCGAAAAAGGGGAATAAAGGAAACCAAATTGACAAAGAAAAGAAAAGGCCGCTGAATAAAAATGTCATCTTTCTGTTTAACCGCTGAGTTGGAAAAACCAAAAACAAATCAAAAAAGGATGAAAATATCCTCCAGGTTTCTGTGAAATGTGAAGTAAGAAAAAAAAAAAACAAGGGAGGCCCGTGTTTTGGGTGCCAGCGTCATCTTACGGCCATTACCGTAACACCTTTTCAACCTTGACAAGCAGCTTGCCGCCCACGATTTCGTTGCCCTTCATGTCGTAGAGGCGGATGAAGCGGTAGCCTCGCTGCAGCCGGTCAAGGCGGATGCATGCCCAGGCGAGACACGGTGAACTAACGGTGTGCGAGTTGTCCTCAATTTTGAGTCTATTTTGTTTCCTGGTTAGCCTTCTTTCTTTTTTCTCCTTTTTAAAAGCTTGGTCTTGTCATTCTCGGCCGTAAGCTGTGATACCACCGGGGGGAAGGGCGGCGGTTGAACGGGGGGGGAGGCACTTTGCTTTCAAGCAGCTTGTCTATGAGGTAAAAATGCAGCTAAAATAAACTAAGGGGTATCTGGTGCGGCCAGCCAGCCAAGAGCTAGTAGCTAGCAAATGCAAGCCACGGACACCAACGAGAATATAGCTCCTATTGCTGGTAACCTCCCGACGGTAACTTGCCGCGAGGCCAAAAAGGTAGAAAGGGGGGAAGGGGAGGGAACGGTTGCGCAAACGGGACCCGAGAAGCTGGATCCGAAGCGCTACTCTCACACTCGCGCACACACACGAGAGCTTTGGACAGCAACAGGAAGGGGGGAAAGATACGATGTGACGCGAGCCTAGAGACCGGAATCAGAGAGGCTCTCCCCCGACCACTTGGTCGATTTTGCCAGCTGCCGCCCAAAGCATCACGTCGTACTTGTCCAACATGTAGCTCAACAGCAGCTATCCTGTGGCACAAAGAGTCCTCTGTTGCGCAAAAACCCGGGTCAAGGAGAAGGGAAGAAGGGGAGTTGACAGAGGAGGGGGAAAAGAAAAAAAATTTGATTGCAGAAACTCACCGAATGAAACTCAACTCCTCCACCACCATGGGGATGTTGAGAAACTGCAACTTGTCGCCGGCGTTCTTGTGATGCGAGTTGGACATGAATATGGGGTTGGATGACTTGGCCGCCTTTGTGTGCTGCTTGTAGGAGTGCTCATGGCCGTCCTTGTCGTCCTCACCAATATGCAGCTCGGCCTTGATGATGGGACGGAGGGCGCTCGTGTCCTCGCCATCCTCGGGCGGAATGTTGCGGCCGGCGAAGAAGGTGATGGTGAGGTCCAGCGTGTGCTTGGCAGCGTGGTCCAGCGTGACGCTGGCCTTGTCGGCGCCCTGGTACGCCGCGGGCTTCAGGACCCAGCCGTCCTCGCCGGCAAACATGGCCTCGTTGAGCATCATGCCCTCGTCCATGTTCTGCCAGTTCATGGCCACCATCTGGACGCCTCTGCGCCAAAACAGGCTCGGGTCCGGGTTGGAGCTGTTGATCCTCCGGCCGGCCGGGAAGGCCCTCATGAAGAAGTTCTTGTTGTGCGTGAAGACCTCGCGCGGGAACTTCTCGTGCAGGTCCAGAATCCTGTCCTCGCTGATGGAGAAGATGTGGGTGGGCTGTTTCGCCTGAGGGGTGCTGAGGCTCTTGAACCGCTCGCTGCGGGTGTAGACGGCGAGGTCGCTCAAGGGCTTGCATATCGTCACCTTGCCGTTCTCATCCTGCTGGGGTAGGGCTCCGGCCGGCGAAGAGGCGGCTGGGCGGAGACGAGGGGGGGCGTGCTCGTCGTCGGAGGTCGAGCCGTCGTCTTCTGTCTGCAAAACGGGCAGGGAAGCCGTGACGTCGTGCTGGTTGTTGATCTTGGCGACTGCTCGCTTGACTTTGACCATGATTTTGCGCCGGAGGTCGTCCAATGTGGGTACTCTGAACTTGGGATCGCAGCCTTCATAGGGCTGTTGGACAAGCATATCTCCCCAGACCTCTATCATGATTCTTGCCATGACCTCTTGCTGGTTGTGATCCGCGTGAACCTCCAAGCTGATGATGATGGGCAGGTCGTTGCCGTGAGCAAACGCATGATCCCGGATCGTTTCGCACACCTCGCGGAAGCCACACGGAGTGGTAAATGTCCAGCCGTGGGTGACAATGGGCTCTCCCGGAGGCAGAGAGTGACGAGTCCTAGACAGGCGGGGGACCTCTAACTTTTCGCTGGAGACATTGGCCACCGGAGCAAGGTAGACGTTGCTGGATCTTGACGATGTGTCGTCGGTCATGGTTCTGCTATGGGTGCTGGTGCTTCTTGAGCGTCCGTTGCCGCTGGAGTTTCCGAGGTAACCTTTCGCAGTGCCCTTGGCGGATTCAAGCTTGTCTTCCATCTTTTCGATTACGGCAGCGGCCGCATAGGGAAGAGAGCTTCCAGAAATACCAGAAATGGCCCTCGAGTGGCCGTTGCCAGATGGGGATTTGGATCTGCCATTGACCAGAACATCGTCGCCGTTCCAGACGTCGATTTCGATGCAACGGCCGCCTCTCTTTAGGACCTAGATGAGATAGCCGGTCAGTATCACAGTACACACACTAAGCCCGTCCCCATTCGCCTCTGTACAGCCTCATGAAGCATATTGATACGTACATTCATGTAGGCCTCTGGAGAGGTTTTGGATGCCAATTGGTTGCCGCTGATGTAAGTATTATGGCTGCTGTTGATGAAGTAGTTGGTGATGGGTTTCGAGTAGTCCTTTTGTGACGGCTTCCGAATGGCGTCCCAACGATACTCGTGTGCCAAGACGTAGAGAAACTGTCCCAACGTGTATGTTTCCTTATCCAGCTGGACAATGACCTCGCCCTGAATCTCCATAATGAATTTGATGAATGCCTCTTTCGATAACTCAGGGTCGTCCTTTCGTAGATCGTCGTATACACTCTCTAGAATAGTAATCATATCGGGCGTCATGGAATGCTCGCGGGTCAGGGTGTTGACGCGCGAAAGGGTCGGTTCGCCATCGCCGAGCCTTATCGGGGAGATCATTGTGGCGTTCTTGATCATTCGCTTGAGGGCATCGAGACTCGGGTCGAAGATGGAAAAGGTGCGGGCCCGCCGTGGCTTTGGCGGCTTCTCGTCCGTCTTTGAACGACGGCGCTGGAGGGTTGGCCATGTGTTAGCGTGGTGACTTGTCTTGCGCATAGCACTGTAGACAGAGAGGGATAGACAGAGAATAGGAGTTGCTGATATATTTGGAAAGAAAAAGGGAAAACAATATCAAGATTAGTTGGAGACTTACAAAGAGCCCGCAGGAGAGAGACATGGTAGCTGGCTGGGGGTGGTGGGGGAGGAAGACAAGGACGAGAAGCGAGATACTACCGCTGTCGCTGTCGCTATCGTGGTGAGGAGCGCATGAGAGGCGAGCAAAAGCCAGCCGCTCTCGGAAGGCGGACAAGGAACGAGAGGGTTTGGGCGAAATGTGATGAGGGGCTTCAGAGGATCAAGACGTCGGCGGAGGATGACGGTGTTGAGATGGGATTTTCAATAATTTTTTTTTCCCTTGCTGCCCTTGGGGTGGATAAGCTGCCCGGCGTTTGTCGTGTGTTCTCGTCTTGTCTTGTCTTATATAAGGCGGCTCTCGATTCCCGTTCTGGATCAGCTGTGTAACCGCAGGGATTTTTTTTAATTTTTTTGGTTTCTATCTTGTGCGCGAGTCTGTCAATCACTCCGGTCGTCTGCAAAGGCACAATATCGACGCAAGAATGCAGGTTTCGAGAGAGGGATGAAGGAAGCGAGAGAGGGTAAAACGAAACGAGCTGGTGAGAGAGGAATCGGGTCAGCTTCTTAATTTAGGTGCCGCTACTAGCAAAGCTCACTAGCAGAGGTCTGGTGCTATTTCAGCTGCCAATGGTTCTCGTTTGGGTAAGCTGGCGGAGGGTCCCCTCTTCGCTGGGACTGGGACGGTAAGGGTCTGGGACTACGTACTTCTAGTACTTGTGCATGTGCAGTGAGTCGGCAGCAGCACCTTGTCACTTTCGTACGAGCACTCGTACTGCACTGTGCAGTAAGGGCCACTGGCAATGTGCCGTGTACTGACAGCTTCTCCCTGGGGGGGCTTTGCTGGGGGACGGCGTTCCGGGGAGGGTCTTTAGTGGAGCGGTTTGGATCCAGGCATTTGCAGTCATCAATTTGGCAGAGAGAGAGAGAGAGGCTGGGCTGGGCTTCTCGGGGCGGCTCGACGGCGCGCACCGTGCGAGGGCAGCGCCTTGTTGCCTTGTTGAGCCTCAAGTTTCGGGCTGCGGCGCTGTGGCGGACGGGGAGGGCGCACAGTGCGAGGACGGCCATGGCGAGACCCAAGCGGCAGAAGCGACCTGACTCGAACATCGTCTCTTTCGCCTGGGCTTGTCTGGTGTCTTGCTTTTCTGCATGGGGCGGGACCGTGTTGTGCTGCTTAGAGCTTAGAGGGGCGCGTGCACAGCCCTACTCAAGGCCAGTCGCCATCGCCGAGGGCCATTCGAGGTTCCCACTTTGCTGTCTGAACCAAGTGCCTCCCGTTTGTGCTGTTCCCGTGTCCAGCCTGTGAGGAGCCTGTGAGAACGAGGGAAAGAGGCTTTGCTGTGCTTCTGCGTTGCTGTCTGAAATGCGGTCGCCGGTGATTGGGCGCTGGGTCGAGTGAGGCTGGCGGTAGCGGAGATGCCGTCGGATGCGAGCAACGGGATTGGAGGGGAGTCAGAATGAGAGGGACAGCCAGGCCAGGGTACGTACCATCAGTCGTTTGGCAGGGCTGGACCCGGGTTGGTTGGTTGGTTGGTTGCCGTGTCTGGCTGGCTGGCTTGATAGGGCGAGATGAGATGGCCATGTTTTGCGGATGATGAATGATCTGTCTGGACAAGAGCACCTGCAAGGCGCAACTGGGGATGGTGCTTGTTCCCAGCATGCCGCCCTACTCCAGATACAGCAGTAGTCGGATCCGACTTGGGCACCAAAATCACACAAAGTGACACGATTCTACGAGTCTCGCAAGCAGGGCTATCGGGGAGGGATTCCCAATGCAACCTTTGCGATGCATGTGTGGTGAGGCTAGGTTGCTTTGGACCGATGCCAGCTGAAAAAGTGGTGGCCTGGTGGCCTCGTAGGGCGGAGATAATGCCTTGGGCAGATTTTGGACGGAGCAGGACAGCAAGTAATTGGTCCAGGTCTCGTCTTGTTCTTGTTTCATGGCTTGGCCAAGTCTAGGTACCTGTTCATTTCTTTCATTCATTCATGCAAATGAAGGGGATGACGGTGATGAATGTCAATGGCAATGTCAATGTCAACATCAACACGTTGGGTGGTTGTCAACATCGCCATCGCCGTCAAGTGAAGTGACGCTGTCCAATAATTTTTTAAGGTTGTCCAAGCCTCCCAGCGCTGCGGCTCGGGGCGTGGCACCGTTGCTGGTGGTGCTTCTCGCCTGGGGCTAGTGGGGCAGCGCCAGTGAGGTCACCCACTGTGAATAGCGTCATCTGCTCTTGCATTCATTCATTCCTGCTTCTGCCCCTTCTGCGTCTCTCATCAAACTTCTTCTTCTCTTTGTTATGCCTCGATTGTGCCCGCAGACGGGACACAAGACACAACAACTAAACTCAGCCACCCTCTCACGCCGCATCAGCAGCCCCTTCGCCTATTCATTCGTTCGGTCTGCCCAAACGGGCGTCAAGCACAACGGCAAAGGCTCGCCTTGAAGAATCCTGCGGGGCGCGGCGTGCAATCGAAAAAGCACGCATTCGCCAAGATGGGTGACCGGCATGAGGCGCAGGTCAGATCGTGGGGGTTTGGCAGCGTTTTTACCTGGAGTGACGGCCCGTAAGTCGAACCAGAGCATCGATTCTTTTGCATGCCCAGGTGTCAGTCGTCGTGACTGGTTGATACGCGTATTAGCCGGATATCTAGTGCTGGTAATAGTCTGCTGCACGAACATCATGCTGTTGTCTTCATGTGGTTCCCTTTGTAATGCTTCCAGTGCCATTGAGCGGCTGCATCACGTTCATTCAAATGATCAGTTGATGGCGTTGTCTTGTTCCCTCCTCACTTCGTTGTTCGGCCTCTACGGAAGCATCTCTTCATGTTCCATCGCCAGCAGGTCAAATGGTGGCTGTGTGCTCGGTCGCTAATGCGCTGCTGCAGAAACTCTCACTACCCTCCCCACTCGCATGGCGGGCTGACAACGCATCTGATTGTCGAGGGCGAGATGACACTGTGGTATCCTAACGAGGCGGATCGTAACAAGGTGACTTATGGCGTCGGCTCCAGGGTGGACGTGGAGGCTGGGCGAGTGCATGAGGTTTGGATTGGGAGTCAAGGTTGCACGTATGTGATTGGAGAATGAGCTTCGGCGACTTGGAGGGGATTGAGTGTGCAACGCCACTCACTCAGCTTGGGAGCAGAAGATTTGAGACATGCAGATAGCATTTAGTCCCATTTACGAATGCCGCCGTCATGGTGAGAGCCGAGATGATACAGGTTGCTGAATGAAGTGGCCAGAGGCATTGAATGGCTCTGTCTTTGTTGTATAAACGCCACGTGCTTTGGGTGCATCAACACTTCAATTGCTGAGTAAAACCACACTAATAACGATGCATTATGTAGAATCAGAATGAGACTATGGCAAGAGTCGAACTGACAGCTAGATCGAAACCAGCATTATTCATGCAAGCAATTGGTAATGCAAAAAGCGAAATCATTACATCACGTCATAGGGCAAAGAATAAAAGTGCCAAGATGCACGTGAAAGAAAACAAAAAGAAGAAAGAGAGAAAAAAAGCCATTCCTCCAAACTCTACTCTCACGATGGTCTAGGGTAACTCTAATGTGAGACATGTTTTCTACTTTGGAGTTGGCGCGAGCAACCTCAACCAACTGATTGCTCGGCGACGGCAGCCTCTCGTCCGCGCGTGCCGTTCGCCCAATGATGCAATGCTATTTCCACCGTCAATGGGCAACGGAACCATGTCTTTGGGCGGAACCGAGATTTCGCTTGCCGGGGGCGGCCAGTCAGCACAATCCCAAGCTTTTTTGCTTCATTTTTGTGGGAGGCAGTCAGCAGAAGGGATTGGATCGCCCGCAGGTTTGTCATGGATGGGGTGATTTCCAGATGGAGTACAAGTATTGCGACTGGTTCATGGATCCAGCCTCTTTTCACTACTAATTACTACTAATTACTCGTATTAGCACGTCCTAAGAGTAGCACTCCGAGTCAGTAGCTTGAGCAATGGAGACAAGAGCTCTCTGTCTCGGACAGTAATTGCTTGCGCTGCACCTGTAACCTTGGCCTCATCAAACTGCTTGCCTGATACAACTGCTAGTAGGGAATGCTTCGTACTCGATATTGCTCCATGTTACAGGTTGCAGTTGAGTTACAGCAGCAAAAGGGGTAGCTTAGTCATCGCCCAGCTCATTTCTCTCCCCTCCACTGCCATTGTGACTTTGCTCAACGTGCTGGTCGGGCTTTTGGAATGCCGCGCTGAAATTAGAAGCACCTCATCGTTTTCGCCGCATCTTGCTGGGGTGCCTCCGGTAATTATCGCTAGATCGTGGTGGGATCCGTTGTCTGTAATGAGGGCTCCCCACACGCCATGCAGGCCAGATGGAGATCTTGCACCGACGTGCCCGCAAAGTCGCCAGTCTTGCAGCATCCGATGATCCGTCGTTGACGTTAGCGCTGGTTGATGGGACTGGTGATGGACGCGATTGATTGATCGATTGATTGACCTGGTTGGCTGGATTCCGCTGCAGTCGCTACTCGGCACACAGAACCAAGGCAGACGCGCGGACTCGACCGGGACAGACAGACAGACAGACAGACGAATAGACAGTGAGAGAGCCAGACAGACACACAGCCAGACAGGTAGGCGATGATGTGATATATTCTCCCACTGTCAATCCGGATTTCGGACTTGAATGCCATGGGCTGACTCTCTCGTAGCTATTGAGCGCGCTAGACCAGCTAGCCCCGAATCTTGCTCTCCAGCTGGCCGCGACGAAGCCCAGCCGCCGGCGAATAAGGATAACGATGCTCCGAATGTTCAGCTGCCAAGGTTTTTGCGATTGATGGGGCTTTCCACGATGCTTCTTTTCACCTTCGTCGTCTCACCACCCGTCAGTCGCTGTCGCATTGAACGGAGGAGCTTCTCCGTAGAGGTAGAGAAAACAACAACGCAACGACGAGGGGGACAGGGTGCTCCGGCATTCTGGTGGACACGGCTGTCGTGCCAATCCAATCTGTTTTGTCTCAGACATGCAGCATGACGAACTCTTGGCTGCAATGCGACCAACCAGGCAATCTCACAGGGGTAGCTTCGGTTGTAATTTGGTCGCCCCTGTCACCGTCGACCAGGAAGCCTCATCAATTCCATCAGCGGCGTGCGAGAATTGTGGAGCAGCGCAGCGCATATACGATAGCTTAGCCGCTTGTTGGATTGCTCTGGGAGATGATGTGCGAAGGCCATCGCCAGGCCCTGGTGTCGCGACCTTGGGCTGTTTGGCTTGTTTATTCGGCCCTCCAGACTTCTTTTTTTTTTTCTTCGCATTGAGCCAGCTGCTTTTCCAACGCGTCATTCCTTTGTCCAACTGACTCCCTTTCAATCTGATTCCCCATTGATCCTCTCTACCAGGCGAGAATACTGACGCCGGAACCGGATTCGAGGCGCAACGGCGTCGGCTTAGAACAAGCATTCGGAGGTGGCGTTCTGGTCAAAAAGCTTCACCCCTCCCCACGATTAAGCATCACGGTGCCATTTGTCGCCTCAATTCTGGGAAGCGAAGACGGAAGGAAAGGAGGAAGAGGAAAAAAAAAAAACTATATACCCGACTGCGCTACGCCCTCATCCAAACCTTTTTTTTCTTTTCATGCTCTGCGTGTACTATTACTATTTTCTTTCATCTTTAACTTCCGGCTTGACGTCGAACTCTCTTACAATTCTCCTACAAATTCCCCTGCCGAGTACCCCGTACATCCCCATGTTTTGAATTCTGTGCCCACGTTTGGAGAGACATGGCGACGACTACATTCCACACCTGATTTGAGCACCTCACACAGCTGGCCTGGTTGTTGTTTCCCACGACACTTCCCCACGATTTTCGCCCATTCTCCGAAACCATCACCCTCTTCCCCTCTCCTCCTCTTCTTCTAAATTCCCACCCGGGCAATCCATTTGATGGGGAATACACCGTCGTCAGAGGCGCCTCGGAAGCCTTCCCAGAAGCTGTCTAAACCTCGAGCGGCTAGCCATGGAGCAATGCCGAGGCCGCAGAATCCCACGGGAGCAGCTGCGTCAAGCAGCACCCGTATTTCAGAATCGTACCTTGCAGCCTCAATACCATTCTCCTCGAGAGATTCACAATGTGGCAGTGATACGACACAAGAGCCTTACGTCGAGAGGCTGTATGAGCCTACCAGACGGCTTTCTCGGCGCGAATCTGATTATATGCGGAGCCCCGTTCTACCAGAGTCACCCATTACAAACACGAGATCGCACTCTTTGTATGCAAACTCGACGGCAAGCAGCCAGATGCGCAGGACGAGCTCCGTAATGCACAGCAATGCCGAGCGGCCTCTTACACGGACTCAAAGGTCTGTTCATGTTGGCTTCTCTAAACCGTTGGTGAAACTGACAAAAAAACTAGTTGGCATGGCAATCGCTTGTCAAGGGGTACGTCGATGCAATCTGAACTGCTACAGTTTTACGCTTCTCAGCAGCTGCCTCGGTCAAGCTCAGAATTCTTGCAAGAGCTCCAGACAGCCGCCATGAACAGCCAACTTGGAATGCGCCAGAACCAGAGCCGGAGACAGAGTCAAAGCCACAGCCAAACCCAAGAGCGGCGAGCTTCTAGTATTGCAGGCGCTTCACTGGCAAGGACAACCTCGGATCTATCATTCTACGCTCCGGTACGACGACGTTCTGTTATTCAAACGCCTGGCGTAGCGACGCGGCCAAGGCGAGAGGACAGGCTTTCCATTCCAGATAGGAAAAGTTCTCGGAAGAGCCAGCCGGTTTTTGGAGATGGCCAATTTTCATTCAACCCTAGCTCCAAATCGCCAAGACATCTTTCCATGCCTCCCATGTCCCTGCCTCCCATGTCTGTGGGATTTGCGCCACTGGAGCGAGCCGTCACTCCGTGCGAATCAGACTATAAGCAACTTGGGGGTATCAAATTTGGGTCCTTGAAGATTATGAATGGATCTCCTCCTTCAAGCCCGCAAGACAAAACTAACCAGCAACACGAATCAAGCTCCGAGCCGCCGCCTGAGGATGCGGGCATTGAACTGAACATGGCGCGTCGCAAACATCGTCACACCGTCATTGGTTCCGGGGTAGAATCTCGAGCCTTGGCGTCTGTCTCTGGTTTCAACTTGAGCGAAAAGGCTTCACAGCCGTCAAGCCAGAAGGCACAGCCTCCCTTGATTGACTTGATGCCCAGTCCGCTGTCAAAAGTCCCTAGCCCTCTCTTAGGATATTCCGATATGGAAGACAACGAAAGAGTCTCTGGTAAGGGTGTTGGAGTTTGGAGATCTAACAGTGGCTTCGGTTCTACAACGTCATCTGAGTCTTCGCAACGCGCGTCCTCCAAGGCAGACAGTGGCTACAGCTCTAATGCTTCGGAGCGCTCTTTTCCGAGTTCGAAAAGTATCGATGACAATAGCTATATTCGCCAAAACCAAATACGACGGCCAGCCTTGGAGCAGCCGACAATGACCCCAATCATTACTGCGGATGGAATTAAGAAACAAGGCAAGCTATATAAGCCATTTGTCCGTTTAGAAAGAGAAAGGGAGAGAACCAGTGTCCCAACAAATGGCACGACTAAGGAAGCCATCGAATCTGTTTCTCCCTTTACGAGGCCGAGAACGAAACGCAATGAAAAACACCACACCACTGCCTCCTCATCTCGATCGCCTTCTCGCAAAACGGATGGAGGCCGCGCAACCCTCAACACAATCATGAGCGTTGACAACTTGGTTCCCCCTGACAGTGCCGCACATGGCCACGATATTCCTGAACCAGATTCTGGGATGGATGGGTCTAAATCGCTGAAAAAGCGACGCTCGCTGCGACAAGTTGCTGAAGCCGCGACGTCAAGAATGCCATCCCTGAGTTTGAGTCGCCGGAAATCCGCTGCAGGGACGACAACTTCTTCGATCAAGGCCGATATGGAAAAGAGAAAACGGGCGATTTCACTCGTAAGCTCCGCGGCGGCGAGCAGCAGCAACAGCCCATACTCTCACTCGGCGTCAGCGGCTGCCCTTTTACACACCCCTGCTTTGCCGGATCAGCATGCCAAAGACTCTTCTCTGAAAGATCGATCGTCAGCACCAGAACTACGAGTTACGATACCGGATAGCACCCCCCTCAACAAGGGTGCAGCAAACCGCTCTTCCTATTCAACCATTGGGACACCGTCACCGAGGACTCCACGGCCCCGTGGTATCATGGATTCTGGCGTCCCACCACCCATCCCGCCGCAATTCAGGGAGCCAGCTTTTGGAACGTCTCCAAGCCGCTCCTCTGGTTGGCCGCTAGCCCAGCCTCACCGTTCCTGGGACGGAATTCATGCACAGCGAGGAAAAGCCGAAGATGCACAAGCCATCCGGCGCAGCGGACACGGCGTCCTCGAAAGTCCCATCTCTCCGAGACATAATCAGCCTACACGCGGCAATCCTCCGACTTACAGGGGAGTTCGAATCTGAACTGTCTTGAAACAGATATAATAACATAATTATAATTTTCGACATCATCGTCTCTTTTCTGCATTTGGAGCATCTATCTTTATATCTTTCAGACTCTCATTGCCGAAACGGCTAGCTATATTGCCATTTTATTTTCTGCGAACTCACTTGCTGTATTGATATCCTTTGTCGACTGCAGTATTGATATCACACATATTGGTGCTCTTCAAAACGACAGATTCTCTCTTTCTCTCTCTCTCTTTTCTCTCTCTCTTTTCTCTCTCTCTTTTCTCTCTCTCTTTTCTCTCTCTCTTTTCTCTCTCTCTTTTCTCTCTCTCTTTTCTCTCTCTCTTTTCTCTCTCTCTTTCTCTTTTATTATTATTATTTTTTTTTTTTTATTTTTTTTTTTTTCACATCTGCGGGCACAGAGTTCTTTCTATTTCTTTTCCCTCGCTCTCCTTCTCTCAGTTCCTCAACAAGTTCATATTTTGATACTTTTTGCTATTTGGCGGCATTTCTACTGCGTCCATAAGCCATGCGCCCTTGTACATTAATTTTCAGCATTGGTTTGGCTAACACACGGGATTTTTCGATACCCTTTCTTTTGTGGGCTATCTGCATATGTTTTGTTTGCATTTTTTTTTTAAAAAAGAGAAAAAACCCAGGGTAAAAATTACGGAAAATACGCGACGGAGGGAAATACAATTGGGTATTATTTTTTGCACGCGGTCTGGGCACCATCTAAGGACGCTGGACAGTGTATTATTAGAAGCTCGAATTAACATGACTTGATGATCTTTCTTCAATAGTAAATGTTTCTTTGAAAAAATCTTGTCTTGGGAAGCAAAACAAATGCTCAGTATGCCCCGTGTCTCTTCTTGTACGCTGGTCCCTTGACTAGCTCTACCTTGTTCCTGCTCGTAAGAATCGGCGAGCGGCTCTTGAGTGTAAGCCCTGGGACCTTGGCACCATGGCTTTCCAGTGCCCAGAGCGCAACACCGATCCAGTTATCACCATTGTAGTTGAGGATGCCCTCTGGGACAGGGAATTCGGTCTGAGGGCCAATACTGCTGACGTATTTACCATACTGGAAGCCGTTGACGTACAACAAAGCGCGATATGGCGCGGTGCTGGTGGTGTTGTCAAAGACGAAAGACAGCGGGACGTCATACTTGTCGGCGGGGATGTCAAGGGGCAACTTGGCTGCGTAAAAGGCGATGCCCGCGCGTGAAATGCCATTGTAGGGAGAGCCGCGAGAGAAGGCGTGGAGCGGGGGGGACGGGAGGTGGAATCCCTGGCGCTCGAAGAAGAGGCCACCCTCGTTGAGAGGGCCTCGGAAGACATCTTGGTAGTCCTCAGCTCCGAGGTTGCCGGTGATTTTCCAGGGGGATATGGGCACGTTGGAACCCTTGGAGGAGACGAGGGTATAGTCGATGATGCCACGGGGGCCCTTCATGCCATCGAGACCAATGTCCCAGTTCTCGTGGAGGCCTGTAGAATCGACAACGACGGTGAGGATGTAGCGCCGGCCTCGGACGAGATTGTTGAGCTCGTAGGTCGAGTTGAAGCTTTCCGCGGCGTCGAAGCCGTTAAAGGAACCGACAAACTGGTCGTTGAGCCAGACGGAGCTGGCAAAGGCGGATCCACCCTGGGTAGTGAGGAAGAGCTGCTGTTGCGCGGTGTACGCCGTGAAGCGGCCGCGGAAAAGGAGCGTTCCGGTGTGGAAGCCGTAGTCTGAGCCGTATAGCGACACAGGTGTCTTGAGAGGTGCAATGGAATTGTTAGACGTTCTGTGGCTAGCAAGCTGCCAGTGAGAATCATCATAGTTGCTGTGAATTTCTGGAAGAGAGTCTAGCCGATACCATGTGAGCTTTGATAGGTCTGGGACCTGGATATCTGGAAGCTCAATGGTTGGGTTAGTGATCCAGTCTCCGAGTTCTGAAACTGTGTATTTCAACTCTTCTCCATTGACGATAAGTCTCGAGACGTCCTGTGGGATGCCGATGATTTCTAGCGGAGTTGTGACGTTGAAATCCGCCTGCAGGGAAAGAGCTGAGCCTTCAATGGCTACAGAGCGGACGAGATAGGCCCCGTTCACAATGACAGCAGCGGGATTCATCAAGGAACTGCCGTAAGCGGGCTGGTTACCGCTTCCAGGGAGAGTGGGAACCCAGTAGTTGTATGCAGAGTTACGATCTACAGCCGGTGGTTAGCATTTGCTTCAGAAGATGAAATACGGATGAGTGTTATTACAGAATCAATACTTACCAACCATGTGGATGACCAAGTCACCCAATTGAATAACTTGCCTGGCGGGGGAAGCCGTCCATTGAAGAACAAGAGTCAAATCCTTGGTAGTGTGAACGGTAACACTACTTCCTTCAATCTTGTTGATTTTGGTGGCCTTTGTACCTGCAAATGGGTTCTTGACAGCATATTCGTGTAGCTCATCCGCGCCGCCATAAAGAACCAGAACCGTCTTGTCGGCAAAGGCTTTCCACGTAAATATCTCCGCAGTTGAATACAGCAATGTGTAGTTCCCAACGGGATAGTCGGTGACGTGAAACTTGGAGTCCCGACCGTTTAGAGTCAGCGAGCCGCCTTGCTGAGGGATGGTGATTTCTCCTTCGGAAGTGGGTAGTTTGATTGTATACGATGTCGACGCTGTGCTTGAGTAGTTTGCATGGCGCACAACAAAGAAGTTACCGCTTTCTTCGGCCAAGAGTGGCGTTATCGCAATGTCTCGATTGTCGCTGTATACACCTTGGGTTGTGTTGCCTGGAGTGGTGGTGATATACCCAGGGGAGACTTTCATAAACTGGCCTTGCAATTTCAGTTCTGAATACTTTTCTCTATCGACTGTCCTGTCTTCTCTGATGCTCTATCGATCAATCAGCATTCGACCGTTTGGAAGTTAGGGCATCTTTTAATACTAACAGATCCGTAGTCGTATGATGTATAACCGCCAGGGTGGCCGAGGTTACCCCAGTTGGTACCGCCAAATATCTAGTTTGATAGCGTCAGTACTTTTTGCTCTCGCCTTACATGTAGCATCCATGTGCTGATGGGAGAATACATACCATGTATAGGTTGAATATAGTCACGCCAGCCGCATAATTATTCTTATAAAAGACTCTCTCAAACTCATGGTTAACTAGAATAGAGCATTGTTCAAAACCCCATCCACCAAATGGATCGAAAGAACCGCCCTGGAACTAACATGGGTGTTAGATAATAATTCTAAAGAGTATAATAAGTAGCAGAGAAGTGATACCAACCTCAACAAGGGAGAATGGCGTATTTGGGCTTATGCTGAGGTGCTGCTGATGGTACGTCGTAGGTAAACCGTTTTCTGGCCAGGAATAAGGATGAGCCTAATCATGTTTAGTAATAAATCTTCACACAAGAGATGATGCCTTCAACATACACAATCAAAACCAACAGGATAACCATCGTGGCCCTGTAGCATATTAGCTTAATGCCGTCAAGTCACATCTCATAGGAAGATATACGTAGATATCTACAGATCCTAGACCTGTACCAGGGGCGCTTGTGCCACCGGGGAAAGCATCGTTGTTGATCAGAGGGACAACGACGCCGGCATTTAGAGCCTGATCAATAACATATTGAAAGTAAGGTTTGTTTGGAAACACAACGCCCGCATGGCCGGCGCTATACTCGTTCTCCGGTTGATACAGAATCACCGGTCCCCCATTTGTGATTTGTGCCTTTGCAATGATCGACGCGATGTGTGCCATGTAGCTAATATGCATCAGCCGAAAAGAGCCTGTAGTCTTCAGAAGCAGGTTGGACTCACTTGTCTGTGGCATGCAGATAATCAGGAGCATCGGTTCTAAGAATGCCCTTGACCCTCTGCAGCCAGCCGGGAAATCCGCCTCCTGACACTTCGGCGTTGATGTAAGGCCCTGGACGAGCTAGCAAGTAAATGCCAGCCTTGGTGGCAGCCTCAAAGAAAGGCTCCAGGTCAAAGATGCCATCGGCACGAAAATTGCCTGGCTTGCCTTCCAAAAGTGCCCAATCCACATAAAACGACACCATGTTAAAACCAAGGGCCTTGATCTTCTGGAACAAGTCAAGGTATAGGGACGGTACCGGTAGGCGAAAAGGGTGGACTTCGCCAGAGAAGATCATGACACGCTCCCCATGAATGAATAGAGAGTGCTCGTCCCATGTAACAATGTTCTGAAGCGGCCCTTTTGCGCTGTCAAGCACAACCTCACGAGGTCGGCCGCCATGGATGCCGGCTCTCGAGGCACTGGTGCCTGTAAGCAGCAGCGCAAACGCCGACAATAGAGAGTCTGGCTTCATTTTTATGTCCGTATCCTTCTTGTCTGTTTTTCTCTCCCTTTGTGGCCCTGAGGAAGAATATTGAAACCCCCAATTGGACCAACAACCGCGACAACAGCCAATTTATGCTTCTCTTCAACCCAGATCGCCATGCCAATCACACATGAGGGGCTCGGGACAAGACCGAAGTCTCCAGGTTCCACTGCATGGTAGCAATGCTGCTCTCACGGTTAGGCAGTGCTGTATACAAAGACTGATGTGGTAGATGGACTAAACGAGGCGAGATTTAGATCGCGGGGTTGAGGTGAGCGTGTCTCGTCATTGGAGCGCGTACTCGGAGTTGCAGCTGATTTTTGCCTATAAAGAGAAACATGCGGATCTTTGGATCCTGCCGGCAGCGGAATTGTGGCGGCCTGCTCCGGCGCGCCTTGGAATCTCTCAGACATCATTTCCCGTGGTTGGTCATCATGGGATTTCGGGTCTTGACTGACCGAATTGCAGTTCTTTCGCCTCCTTTCTTTTGCATTTTAGACGAGGTTATATCATGTGATATATCTTTTGCCGGTGGCATCTCTACGAAGGCGGCAATCGCTTGTCGCACCTTCCCTTTGCCGTTACTTGAATGTTTTCGTTCCTGAGGCAATGACGCTGCTATTTCTAAATGCGCGCTGGGGGTTTCTTTGCCTCTCTCTCTTCTGGAGTAATTCGGGGCATTTCCGCCTCGGTTCAATTCTTTTAGAAAGAGTCGATTACATGCCGAAATTAGCAAAAACACGCCATTGACAACTGTTGCTGGCTCTTTTCGCACTTCATCCCTCTGTTAGCTATAAATCCGCCTGACGTCATAGCTGTCTTCCGTTGTCTCATCCGAAATACCCAATAAACCTGACCCATGAGACAACCTCCTATTTTCCGCCGGGTTTCTGCCACTTAGTGCCGAAAAAAACCAGCACTAGAATGAGCTTCTTTCGATGCTTACAAACTCAATTGAGCACTACCTGATATATACCATCTACTGTGCTTTAGGCAAATAGTACTACCCTTAGTATTTGACCTTGGTTTATCTCATTCATTTCCATTGCCCGTAATCTTCTCCTTCCTGTTCTGGGCCGTGCCTGTTTCACTGTAGTGGTCAGTGTGAAACAAACTGACTGGGTCGTCAATTTGACACTTTCTAGACTGAGGCTTTGATCCTTATCTTATGCTACGTGCAATGTCTATATGCTCCGTACTCGGGTACTTTTCAGGAGTAGGATCCAAGTCGTGATGCGCAAATTGCAAACGGCTCCCCTTTCTACCTTTTCTTGATTTTAAGAACTTGTCGTCCTTGATGATATAATTGATTGACAGACTATTGGTTATATACGAGTGTTCTCAAGCGATGCATGAACAGGCTCGTCATAACTCGGAACTACTCCGTCGACTTCTGTCGATCGGAGAGACACCAAGCTACCGGTAGGTACCTAGCCAAGACGTGGCTGTGCACCATAATTACCTGTCATGCCGTTCCTTGATCGAATCTTGTGGCTACTTACGGCCTTGGTCCCTGGGCTGTGTTGCGTTTGTCCGGTACTTAATCTGCATTAACGTTGCTTGGCAGATGGCGCACTGTGCTGCAGAGCATACGTACTCATCTAGCTGTAAGAGGATTGCCAAGTCGTACGAGTGCGAGTGCAGCGGCATGTCTCTCCAATGAGTCTACAACCGAGCATTGGTTCAGCTGCAGCGCTCAGGAGAGGCAGCGTGCAGAGGCTTGCGACAATTGTCGCACTGACTCGGCATCGATGAAACCCTAGGAATCATTGGGCAGGAGAGCGACGTGTCACGGTTCGGCGGGTATCGGGACAGCAGGAGAGAAGAGACGACAGACCCTGGGCGTCAATCCGCTGTGAGGGCGCCAAAGCACGAGGCCATTCGGGCTTCCATTGGATCTGTACGGAGTCGTACGGAGTACACGGCGTTTACTTGCCTGCATGCAGAGTGTTGCGCGTACAAATATACGGTACAACATCATTTTATACAGATCCATATAGGATAGGTAAGGTACCTACCTAGTAGATGCCAGCACAGTGTGCAAACAACTGCTCCGACTCATCCCACCTGAACGGGACGCGCACCCAGCCAATGATCTGGGTTGTATCAGTAGTGCATGCAATTTCAAGCTTGGTCAAACAGGCAAGAGAGCCGTCTATTTGCTGCTTCTCGCGCACGTACATGTGCTTGTTTGGACTTGCATAGCTCTGTGCAAAGCTGAGGATAAGACAGCTGAGCTAATAATAGCTCGCGCTAGAAGCAACACAGACGGCTAATGCAATAGCTAACGTCTCCGGCAAATGAGATGTGATCATGGTCGTCTGCCCACGATTTGCTCTGGCCTGATGTTGTTGATATTATTGATGCTGTCGCGAGGCAAAGTGAGAGCTGTATTTTATTCCCCAGGCATCGCACAAGCACATCGCTGGCCAGTCGCGTGACAGACAGCTGTAGAGACCCCCAGAACGCAGACCAGAGGCGCAGCACCGTGGCCGGCCACCCGTCTCGCACTGGCTGGCGCAGGTCCACAGGGCAGAAGATGGCGGAGGCGCAGGCCGCTACAGCGAGCTAGGCGGCCTGCCCCGAGAGCCCTAGTCCCTTCAGGGCCAGCACAACAAAGCGCCGGGTCGTTTCTGCCATCCGCGCACAGTGCGCACAGTGCTGTCAATGTGGCACGGCTCTGGTGGGATTTTGGGGGGTTTCTTTTCCCGCTGGCTGGAATACGAGCTCTCGCCGTTCCTTTGTTTGTCAAACCCTGTCACCTCAATATTAAAATACTCTCGTTTTATCCTCACTTCTCAATCATTCTCCTTTTCGTCCCTCGTTTTGACGCTTTTGCACACCCTAAACAAGGCCTTTTAGGTCATCGCTTCATTTCGCATATCGGCGCCATTCGTTCTTTCCACTTAGCAAAATACAAACGCACCTTATTTTCTTTCATTCTTACTCTTTTCGTTCGGCCGTCCGCTCTCTTTTCCTGGCCTCATCATCGGGAGCTTCTTGACAGCAACACGCCCGTCTAGCCTGCCGTCTTGTCTACCAAAGCCAAAGCGCCAGGAAGGGAGAACCCCAGTATCGCGTCAACCAGCCCTGTGGCTTCGACCCGACCTTCTTGTCGACGTTCCCAGGCGTCCCCCGACGAATCCGACTAACGAGAGCTCAGAGACTTTGCTCTACGTCAACTTGAACTCATCTCTCTTTATCATCTCTTCTTACGCTACGCAACAACATTCATCATGTATTCTTCAAGGCTTGTTCAGGTGCTGGTCGTGGTGGTGTCTATCCTCTGCATAGCGCAGGCCACCTGGTGGGACAATCAAAAAGTTCACCACAGAGCGTTGATCCGACGAGCAGATTCCCTTTCTGACACTCTGAATGGTTTGACCGGCTCTTCAAGTTCGGAAAACGCAACCCCATCCTCATCCTCGACTCCGACGTCACCCTCCCAAACTTCCAGCTCAACGCCCTCTGAGACCACGTCATCCGACGATTCATCATCAAGCACCTCTGCTTCTCCATCCTCTACCCCAACCCCGGACGGATCTTCTTCTTCAACTCCTGCACCGGGCGGCACTACTACTACTCCTTCTTCTACCTCGGCTGGTTCTACCACTGCCGGTCCTGATTCGAGCTCAACTTCCGCCTCTGCTCCATCCACCACGCCTCCCCCTGGAAGCACCACGTCCAGCAGTAAGGAGAGCAGCGACAACAAGACTTCCGATGGCGGAGATGACAAGGGTGGAGACTCGCAACAAACTACCTTTGTTTCGACCAAGGTTGAAGTAGTTGTTATGACCAACACCGATGGCTCCAAGACTACTCATACTACCACGACAAAGACCACGGAGACTGCGGCCCTCAACGCCGATACCTCTAAGCCCACCGGCATGTCGGTTAAGACTCGCAACACCATCATTGGTGTCGTTGTCGGCGTTGGCGGTGCTGCTATCCTCGGCGCCCTCCTTTTGGTCGCCTTCCGAGTCTGGGGCCGCAAGAAGCATGCCGAGGAAGCCGATGGCCTCATGGCTTACAACGCTGATATCGTTGCCGCGGAGAAGTCTCCCCGAGGTAGTTCGTCGGGTGGCCAGCGGAATCCGTTCCAGTCGACGTTGGAGAATTACCACCAGCCAGTAAATGCATCGGCTAACTTTTAAGGTATTTTGCGGTGGGATTTTTTTCTTTTTGCAGCTGTTGCGGCATGCGGATATGGTCCACCCCAAAGCATGGGTTACGATGTATGTCGAGAAGATTTTGACAAGCGATGCCGCAGACTTTGGAAGGACGGAGGAACAAATTAAAAAAAAAAGAATCTGAGCGAGGCTACTATACGTGTATGCGAGACTGGTTTGCAAACTGCATAGCGAGCTCTTTTATTTTTCTGTTGCTTTGCATATAGAATTGATACTGTTTATAGGGAAAGAAAGCGTGATACCTAACTAATTACTTGGAACACTGAATATAAATATTTCTTTTACGTCCCATGGTCATGTGTCTAACTTGCTCATTCTGTTTCATTATTCGATCGCCTGGGTTTGACATGATCAATCATTGGTTTAGGCAAGCCGTTGTAACCATGCGATGACAATGTCGCAATGTGTCTCTCCCTTGGAATGTCTGAAGCACAATGGCTACGTGGAGGTGATGCTATTTCCTTTTCCTCACAATGGGGAAGGTGGATTTTTCGATGCATTGTTTCTAGAGACATTTCATCTGGCCTTGGAGGCTCATCACGCCTTCTTTCCCTTGCAGCAACGAAGTGGGCAGATCTGTCTGTCTCTCTGTCTTTCTCTCTCTCTCTCGCACATCTTTTTTCGTGGCGAGGTTCAGAGCAGACGTCAGCACAGGCTACTGCTACCCAATTTCTCACCCACGATACCCAAGGCAAACGCAATGCCATGAGGCTCGGCGTAGGCTTTTCGTCTTGTTTTCTCTTTTGCTTCGAAAAAAAAGCTGCAGCCCTGGCCACATATCCCTGGCCAGATGCCGCGTCGGTCTCATCTAGACAGCCAATGGCGCTGCTCCAACAGGACAATGCAGGACTAGCCGCCGTGATGCATCGCGAGCGCGTCGCATCCAAGTGGGCGCCAATGCCTGCATTCGGGCAGCCGTACAGATAGTAATCGCATCTCTTCCTGCACGCCCTCTACCTCGTACTTGGCACGCTTGGGGGACCAATTTTGCCGTCGTTTTTCATCTTTCTTGGGTTGCTTAGCATCGCCCAGAAGGGCAGTGGCATCTTTTGCTCATTAAATGAGCACAGGGATATTCCCATGAGGCATGGGAGAGGTGGTTGCGCTAGGGCCAATCTAAAGATTCCCCATGCTCCGCAAAACTTTTGGGATTTGCTGGGTGTGGCACGAAACTCCAAGACGGTGGCTCATACTTGTATCTGTAGCCTCGTCTTTCGTGGGATTGTGGCCCCTGCTATGTGGTCTTAGCTCCCGAGGTCCGACCCCGAACCCCTGGAGCTAGGGAATTGGGGAAGTAGAGGTACAAGAGCGTCGCTGGTGGAGGGGACAAAGTTTGGGACTGGAGAATGCTCGTGAGATGCTGAGGGTTGATGTCTGTTTCGCGTCGCATCAAATCGCTGACGCAAGACTAACAAGGAGCAGCTCGTAGGTATGTATGTAAATAGCTAAGGGTGGCCGAATCGGCATGGATGGTCATGAGAATCAAGCATCGATCTGCGCAGCACGTGAATCGCTTTGGCTCTCAGCGTGACAGCTTTTAGCGGACGTCGTCGCAGGTGAGTGACCTCTCACAGCAGCGGTTTGGTACACGCTCTCGGAGTACCATTGCCTCTTGTGCTAGCGCCCGGCCATTAACCACAGCCCAAAAGCTGCGATTACACGCAGGCGCTGCTAACACGAGTGCTCTAAAGACCATTGGCGCGCCGCCCAGAGGTACTAAGGATGGAAGTATCCATAGCATTTGGTTCATGCTTAGCACGGGTATCCTTATTTAGCAGCTCCCACTCGACATGGGGAACAAATTCCAATAGTACGAGTACTACCTTAGAGAGCTCAGTTTGGCAAGTCATGGAGGACTCTGTTTTTTTTTTTTTTTACCCGAGCGTTTCGAGATGTCTCTCCACGTTTGGTACGTTTGCACCGCGTACAAGTACCGCAACCCCGTATGTGTCTAGGTACCGGATACCTCTGCGTTTTCATGGCTGCGGACAAGCCGCTCGTCACCGCCAACACTTGAGCCTTTTTCAGCCACCAACTGGCATACTGTCCCTTGGGTTGACAAGTTGCAATGCATGGCGTCCACCTTGCCGCATGTGGTGGCGCTGGCGTCTGGAAAAGTCTAGAGTTGGGCTTTTGCGTCGTTGTCGGTAATACTGTATGTACAGTAGGAGCAACATGAAGCGAGCTTTTTTGGTGCCTTGGGAGAGAGCAGCAGTGCTTCTGGTGAAACAGGCGTTGTTACCAGCAGTGCCTCTCTCTGCCTCCATCTTTCATGTCCACTTCACCTCGGTGCTAAGTACCTGTACTCCGAGCTTCGTACCCCGCCCGCCCCCGTCTCTGTCACGGACGGCATTGGGCTATTATGGCCGGGCCTCATTAAAATTCTGGCACCGGTGTGCAAAAGTAGGTAGCAACATATGCTGCTACTGTACTGCGACGAGAGACTGCATTGTCATGTGCTAGTGCTGCCGCTGCTACCCTCCGACTCGACTCCATAATACGGGCATATGCTATGGAGTACGATGTGGCTACGATGTGGCCATACATGCCATCGGGCCAGTAGCAAATAGGGCCTGGTCCAGTCTGTCCAAACATCTCACGCCCAAAGCAGGGCGCTGGAGCTGCTTGTTCGCTGTTCGCTGGCCACTGGGCCACGACACCTGGCCTTGCTCGTCGTGCAGCTGCTCACTCCCCTCCGCTCTCTCTCTCTGCATCTCTCTGCATCTCTCGCTGTCCAATCTGTCTCCAGCTTCTCTTCTCCTTCACCCCAGACCCGCCCTCTCAATGTGGCCGGCCACGCATCGAATCGTCCTGTCTGTTCGTCCCGGCGCTCGTTTCATGTTTGCAAGGCTGTCCAACTCTGCTATTCCCGACTCCAGATAGCCAGGCCAGATACTGTACGATACGCACACACACACACACTCTCGCACTCACACACCCGCGCCTTTTTCTGTCCCCAGTTTCCCACCGCCCCCCCTTTTCTTATTTAGTTCCAGGTTTTAATACTGCGGCGGCTTGCCAACGCGTCGCGTATTTTCACCCCCCCAGACGGCCAACCGCTGCTGTTTTTTTTTGTGGTGTCCCTGGCAGTTGACGGTCGGCTGGACGGACGAGTTAGAGTAGAGGGACCTCGAGTAGGCGGATGTTGAGAATCAGCTGCAGGCGAACACGTTTTTCGTCTGCGCTGATCTCACCTGGTGAGCAACATCTCCAGTCCGGCACGGCATGGGGGCCCGCTTCCTATGCAGCAACACCGCCATGTATGTGCCTTAAAAGTGCAGAGTAGCTAATTCTCGTCTTCTTTTTCCTTTTGTCCCCGTATAGAACTTCGCTACGACGTCGTCTTCAACCCCGTCGTCGACAATCCCTCTTCCTCCTGCTGCACCTGCGCAGGACGGCCTCGGAGACTCCAGCGAGGGATCAAGAACGCCGACGTCTCCCGCCTTGTCGACTGCCTCCACGGCCGACGACGAAGACGACGACATCGGATCGTCTCCGATCCTTCCTCTTCTTCCCGCCCCCAAGCTATCCGAACGGGCTTCGGCGATCTTGAGGGCACCTGCTTTTGATCTTCACGACTTCCAGGTCGACGACGACGACCAGGACGACAGCGACGACAACCTCGCTTCTGACGACGAGCAGTTTGGTACCGCCAGCTGGGGCTCTCCCTACCTGCGCAACGACCTCAACCTCCGCCGCCAGAGCTACGCCAGCGACGAGTCTGAGAGTGAGGGGTCTGAAAGCTCCCCCATCCACTCCTTGGATATCAACACTCCTTTCCTGCGCCCGCCGCCTCTTCTCGTAGGGGGACGACCGCAAACCCCAGCACCAGCACAGGCGCTCTTGCCTACCAGCGCCGCTGCCGCCGTTCTTGTGCACAGGGCCAGGCGAAGGAACAGGGGACTCACAGAGGGCTGGATCCGCACCCACACCGCCGGCGACCAGAATACTGAGGCTCGACTTTGGTTCAGCGACGGAGACAGCAGCGAGCACTCTTCATTGAGCGGCTCGGAAACTGAGTGGTACCGCCGTCGAGACCCTCGAACACCTACGCCCTCTGGCCGATATAGGGCAAAGTCTCGATCCACCTCTCGATATCCCCGCGCCATCTCCAGCATCGAGACTCTAAAGGCCGGTGATCCCACTCAGGCAGAAATCGACGACGAAATGGCAAGCTCAGTCGCCACCGAGACGGGCTCAGTTATAGCCCTGCCTATCTCCGAGCACCACAACGACATGGCGACCGCAGAGGCTGAACATTTCACCATGCCCGCCATCAAAGTCGCAGATAAACCCTTGCCTAGGGAACCGCCCGTCGTCGCGCCCCGAATTAAGAAAAAGGTACCATGGAAGGGCAAGAACATTATGATCTTAATCCCGCGAGATGATGAGCGCGGTCGTCCAGGACAGCCGCCGCTCCCACTTCGCCAGGACGAGATTGAACGCATGTTTGATTCATGGACGGAGCTGGGATACAATGTAGACGGCTTCGACTTGCCGGCCGAGGAACACATTGTGGGTGAATCCCAAAGCAGAGAGCTCTGGCCCAGCCTTGAGGACTTGGCGCAAGAGCGCTACGACCGAGATTTTACTGTGGTCTTGCCGGACTTGAATGGTAAGTTTTATAACGGTTTAAAATTCCTTTCTTTTCTTTTTCTTGTCTTTTTGCTGTTGGAGCGTGCTGACGACTAACGCTACCACTTACCCATAGCATGGAAGAACTACGTCAATGAGTTGCAAGAAGCCAAGCTAAGAGCCCTTGGCGTCTCATTTGGCGGCGATGAGCCTGAAGCTGCGCCCTCAATATCCTCACAACCGTCTCGCATGCCCTCGGCTCAATATCCTCCACTCCCCTTCTCTCCTCCAATTCCGACATCCTCAGCATCCAGCAATCACGCGATACCCGGCTTCCCGTTCCCGTCTCCCTTCATCCCCGGCGCCGCAGCCGCCCAGAGCCCTGGCTTGCCGACGGGTGCTTCACCAGTTCCCTTTGGTGTGCATGGCAAGTTCAATACACGGCAGTCCATCTCATTCCCTGCCAACAACTCACCTTTCCAGCAACCACCTCAAGGATGGCAGAATCAGGCTGGCGTCTTGCAGGGTCTAAGCCCTCACGATTCGCCGTCAATCATGAGCCTCAACGGCATGATTTCTCCCCAATCTCCTTATGGTATCGATGGATTCAACCAGGCTGGAAGCCCGGCGTTTAATCTGCACCAGAGGCATCAATCGCTGCAATACCTGCCACAGCAATATGCTAGAGCCTCGCCTCGCCTTCAAGACGTGAGGGAGGATGAAGAGGAGGAGGAACATGTGGGCAAGAGCCCTTCAAAGACTCCGGAGCCTGCACAGCGCAATGCCGACCAGCTGCAAGCCGAGATTGATGATGCCGAGTATCACCTGGAAGAACAATTGCGGAATGAGTTGGAGCACGAAGACTACAATCCTCAGACCAGAGCTGAGTCCATCAACCACCAGCCCTTTGTGTCTGCACATGCTCATCAGCCCTCCACCGGCGGCTTTGCCCCGGTTGAGCATTTTGCTAACGAGCCAGGCAAGCCTCTTGTCTTGCATCATCCACGACCTCACAGCCGCGGCCACTCTCTTACGCAAAACTTCTATCGGGAGACCGATTCTTCTGAGGGCATTAACCAGGGTGGCTTGCCGCAGTTTGCGCCATTGAATGAAATTCCAGAGGCCCAGCGTGTTGACGAGGCTTATGATGAAATCCAGACCAACCCGAGCAATCTCGGCACCCCGATACAAGACATTGACTTCGCTGCAGCCTTTAGCCAGCACCAAAAGAACATGTCTGCTTCAAGCAACCCCTGGCAGGATGCTGTGTCACTCGCCAATGGTGGCGGTCAGCATTCAGCTCAGGACAGCAAGTCTTCCTTGTCTAAATTCAACGTGGAAGCGCCAGAGTTCAAGTTCAACCCCACCAGCACTTTTACTCCTGGTCTTTTCAACTTCTCTGCCAGCAGTTTCCAGCCTGCTGTCTTCCATGCTGCTCCTCCCGAGGACATGGACCAGACTCCCTTTGGAGTCCCGCCTCAACAGCCCCCAGCGAGCAAGATCAACGTCAATGCTCCAGCATTTGCTCCTGGGCAGAGCGAATTCAGCTTTTCCTCATCCGGGCCCAAGTTCCGACCCGATGCTCCCGCCTTCACACCTTTCCAGCCCCAAGGCAACTCAGCCCCAGCCCCTGCTGAGTCTAACACCAAGGGTTTCCCGAGGCGGACCGATTCCATCTTTAATATCAACAATATCAACATTGTCCCTGATGATTACATCACTAAGAGGACTAAGGCTGTTCCCATCATGAGACCCTCTAGTGTTGCGTCTGCCGACGCATCAGCGGCTTATGAGGGTGATGTGAGAGACCCTGACGGACGTGTTGGTGATATCTCCAGAGTCAAGAGGGCTAAGAGTGCCAATCTGTCCGATTCTGATGACGTGCCTCTCTTTGCTGATCAGCCAGACGACTCTGCTGAGGAGTTGGTCGAGGAAGAAGAGACTGCAATGGTGGAGTCATCGGTTAAGGAATCACGAAGCATTGCCGAGGAAGGCTCTGTTGATGGAGAAGCCGTGTTGCCCGCCGACACTTCCATGTCATCTGTCGATCAAATTGACACTCAAGTTACGACTGCGGCTCCTTCCGAGACTTCACCGGCGGAAGCATCTGCCAAGTGGACATCGTCATTTGAGCACACTCCTAGGCTTTTGTCGGTGGCCACCCCAGTATCTCTCCCAGAAGAAACCGAACCTCGCTCCGATGGAGAAGGATTATCCGAATCTACACAGCCTCAGGTTCTCTCTGCCCCCGAAGACCCCCGGCTTGTGGACACGAGACGCAAGCTTACTCCCAAGGGTCTTTCTGGGTCTCGTTTCGCATTGCCTCTGCCTAAATCGTCGGGCTTGGCTGCTTCCCGATTTGCAGAACCGACTCCTGCTCCTACTGCTGAGCAAGACGATGCCGTAGTTGAGCTGGTACAGGAAGATGTCAGCACCTTGAATCCCACACCGACCACTAACGGTGGAGGGCGCGAGCCTACCTTTGAGGAGATTGATGCAGTCATGCAGCGAATGGAGATGGATCATTCTCAGGGTGTTAACAAGTCCATTGAGACGTTCAAATATCCTCAGCCATCCGTCGAGATCAACGAGTCGTCTGAGGAATTGAATATTCCTTCAGATCATGCACGCGAAGGAAGGAGTGTTGTTCCACGCCAGTACAGGGACGTACCGGACAATGCCTCTCAGCCAATGCTGAGCACCGAGCTGGAAGATCCATTTGTGGATCCACCTTTGAGTGCCCAAGTTCTCAGACGTGGCAACGCGTTTGGAGATGGCGAACTTGATAGCGAGCCGGTAAGCGATTGGGAAGGCGCCTTTTCTGAGGATGAACACTCGAAGCTTCAGAACCGTGCCCAATTCTTCGATGGTCACGTTAACGAAGTCGTTGGTAGCCTGTTGGCATCCAGACTCGAGCCTCTTGAGAAAGCTTTGCTTTCTCTCCATCAATCTTTGGCATCCAAGGGCCAACGTGCTCCTTCTTCTCGACGTGACGTCCGTGGCGGTTCAATGGAGTATCAAGAAAGTGATGCTGACGACGAAGATGACGAACCACTTCCTCGTCGCTCAACGAGCCCTAAGAGAGACCGTAGGCTGGATCAGATTCGCTCAATTGTCGTCGAAGCTCTAGCGACACAGCAACGCAGCCAGCCAGCTCCCAACACGGAGACTAACGATGATGTAACGCTGCTGAGATCTCTTGACGAGATCAAGGAGCTGTTGGTTTCCAGTGCCAGGCCCACACCTCGTGATGACGGCACCTCTCCTGCTCCGTTTGAGAACATGCTCCAAGCGAAGCCCGATGAAGAGCTTGCCGCCCAGATTCGCGAACTTCAGGCAAAGACCGCAGACTTGGAAGAGCGACACCGCCAGGACCAAGAGAAGCTTGAAAGGGAGATTGCCGATCGCAGAACCGCAGAAGATGCAGCAGCTGAGCTGAACCGAAAGTTGCAGTCCGCAGAGACTCGGGTGGAAATTGAAATCATCAACCGCAGTGTGTTCGACCAGCGTGTTGCCGACCTCGAAGAGAGGCTGAGGACCCAGGAGGATACCAACGAGCAGGAAGTCAAGAACAGACGCATTGCTGAGGATAACCTGTCCGAAATTCAGCGCCTGTTCCGCAATGCTTCTGAAGAGGAGGCTCGACTACGCGAAATGGTGGAAGAAAGAGAACAGGTCATCAAGACACTTGAGCACTCTGCTAGCAAGACTACCATGCAAATGACTACCTTGGAGGCTGCTCGTGATAACTGGACCCACCATCAGGCCGAAATGGTCAACAGGATCAACGTCCTCGAAGCCGATCTGCGCAACGTTCGCCAGGACAATAATACCTGGAGAGCGGAGACTGAGCGCGCTGATGAGGCCGCACGCCGCAGCAATGGCGAGCTTGGCCATGCCTTGGATGAAAACAAGCGACTTCACAAGTCGCTCAACAACGTCATTGCCCAACTCGAAGAAAACGAGCGACTTCGCGAATCATGGCGTGGCAAGTTCCTCGCTCTTCAAGAGGACATGGGCCAGGCCGCCCGCGAGGTCGCCGAAGAGAATGCGCGACGCATCAAGAGGGATCAGGCCATGTTGGCACGCCAAGATGTCTTAGAAGCGCGACTGCAGGCTGAATCCAAGACCCGAGAACGCCTAGAGGTTGAGATGGAGCGACTCCAAGATAACGAGCGAGCCGGTATGCGTGCTGTCAATGAATGCAACCGTCTTGAGGAAATGCTGTCCGAGCTACGCACCGAAAATGCCAAGCTCCAGCAGTCTTCTGCTCGATATCAACGTGAGTTTGAAGAGGCCCGAGAATCAGGGGCTAGCGAAGTCAAGAGAACTCGCATGTCTCTGCAGACTGAGCTCGACGCTGCCAACAACCAAGTCAACGTCGTTCGTGAAGAGTACGAGGAGCAAAATGCGAAGTTGCGCGCTGAACTTGACCATCTCAAGCTTGAGATCGACACCGCCAAGGCACAGAATGAGATGCTTCTCGAGGGTGCTCAATCTAGCAGTGCCAGCGAATTAGATGAACTCAAACGCAAGCACCAAAACGAACTGGAGGATATCCAAACTCGCTATGAACGCCAAGTCCACAACGCAGTTGAGGATGGACAGCGAACAGAGCAACACCTGTTGGAGCGCCTCAGTCTGTCCACATCCAAGACTGAACACCTCCAGGACCGCATACTTCATCTTGAGGAGAAGCTTGAGATTACGAAGCAGGCCGCTGCCGCCGCAGCTCAAGCTGCGAAGTCGGCTGGCGTTGACTCTTCCTTCTTGAGCCCCACGATGGCGAAACCAGCAGAGAGGGTTGAAATGCCAGAAAAGATTTCCCCACAAGCTCTCCGGGAATCCATCATGGTCCTCCAAGAACAGTTGCAGGCCCGCGAACAGCGCATTGAGGAGCTTGAGCAGACCGTCGCCGAGCTTGATCCCGACGCTGCGACCAAGATCGCTAAGCGTGACGACGAGATCATCTGGCTGCGCGAGCTTCTTGCTGTGAGACAGGGAGATCTCCAAGATATTATCATGGCACTCTCAGGAGATAAGTTTGACCGCGCCGCCGTCAAGGATGCTGCCATCAGACTAAAGGCCAACTTGCAAATGGAAGAACAAGAGCGTGAGAGGGCCATGAATGGTGGCTCAGCCATCAGCCTCCCCAACATTGCTCAGACAATTCAAGCTGCAACACCGCGTGTAGCGCAAACCATTGCTCCCATCGCAGCCGCCTGGGGCAATTGGCGCAAGAGTGGCCAGTCTGGCTTCCGAGGCATTTCAGGAGTGTTGAGTTCGCCCGCTGTTACGGGCAATTCCACTCCCTCTAAGAGCAGAAATGACCCGGTGCAGAACGGGGGCATTCTGAGCGGACTCCTTACCCCTCCGGCCACAGCTCTTCGACAGTCTCCCACCCCAGACGGCCGCTTACAGCCTACCGCGTTTTCCAGCACTGGAAGGCGATTTACAGGTCAGAGCGTTCAGGATCGGACACGTCGAGAGTCCAACGTATCCCATCGATCTGACAAATCTCGCTTTCCAGACCTCTCTCATCGACGTCAAGAGTTGGCGGCTGAACCAGTGACACCTCCTCCTATTATGCACCAACCTGTATATGACGAGGACGCGCAGCCTGGGGATTTTGACGACCATGACTTCTTTGAAGAGGACTAAACCTGCTGTATCGCGATGAAGGAAAAGAAGATGGCATGAAATGTCAGGGGCTTACTAGAACAATGTCTGATCATAACCTGTGGCATTGTTCGTCTTTATTTTATAACCTTTCCTTTGTATCTTGCTTTTGACGCTTATGCCCTCTGTTATGGCTCGAGAAGAAGAGATATATATTTCACCTACGATGTGCTTTGAGACGATTCACCCCCCGAAATCAATACCAGACTGCGATTACACATAGCCCTAGAAGAGATACCCGTTTGGATTTTGTGCTGTTTGCTTGATATTCACATGATTGAAGATACACGCAAAGTTCTAAAAAACAAAACGAAACAAAAAAAAAAAGATCCCTCAGATTGGTATTACTACACGCACGCACACATACATCACAACCCCGACAACTCACAAATATGAAAAACATACCCCCCAAAAAAAGAGGTGTTTATATTGGAAGTGTTTGGTGGCTGATATTGGTACATATTATCTTTCTTGAATTACTGTTACATTTCGATTATCTTTATAAACTGGCGCTGGCCCTTGCCGTGTTGGGCTTTTGATACTCTTTTTCTTTTCGCCTTTTTTTTTCCTAAGTTCTGTTTTTTTTTTCTTTTTCCCTTTTGTTGCTTTTCTTTATTTATTTATTTTTCCTCTTTTGATATGCATGGTGGGAGGGATGGATATGAAATCAGGTCGCTCTTTCATGCTGCCTAGTGATTAATGTGACCTTAAAAAGGGGGTTGAAACGAATGGACGCATGAAATGGATAGTCGTAGCCTAAACGGCGGCGGATGCAGAGTATGGAACTCGTCTGCAGACTTATAGTATTAATGGACTAAATGAAGCTTGCAATGAGACTTAGGAATCCTTTTTTTGTCGATTTGATATACATTTGCTACCATTTATGTGATGTTTGATAGGCAGCGTGTGTGTGAGAGAGCGAATCAGAGAGAAGTGGTAGAGGTGAAAATTAACTCGTATTATATCCAATTACTAGGACAAGGTTTTGTCGTCTACTCATGAATTTTTTTTGTTACACATTAATTGCTGCTCAGCAGCTTCCCTACAGCCCACTTGACCGAAAAGTTCCTCAGGTCAGAGTAATGCTGACCAACTCCCACAAACACAACAGGCACGTTCGTCGCGTGGACCAGGCTGACCAGGGTTCCGACCATGTCGCCCACGGTGTCGCACTTGGAGATGATGAAGCCGTCTAGGGCGCGATCAGAGCCAAAGGCCGCATTAAAGTTGCGTGCCTGGGCAACAGAGTCTGTTCCCACAAGGGCCTGGAAAGAAGATATTAGCAATTGAGCGATATACATCAAGTAAGTATATATGTGTGAGATGAGGGAGACGTACCTCGCCAACCATGAGAATCTTATCAGGCTGGGCAAACTTGGCAAACTTCTCCAGAGACGACATGAGTCTCTGGTCGTTGTGTCTCCTGCCAGCCGTGTCAATGAGAACGACATCGTAACCCTCCTGAGCAGCATGGTTAACCGCATCCTTCGCGACGGCGGCGGCGTCCTTGCCGTATCCCTTTTGGTACAGCTCGACTTTTCCGCCTTCTCTGGCCGTGAGCTCCTTGAGGTTTCGCACATGCACAGCGAGTTGCTCCACGGCACCCGAACGGAAAGTGTCGCCGGCGGCGATGAGGACCTTGTACTTGTTCTGCAGCAGGAAGAAGCAGATCTTGGACAGATTGGTGGACTTGCCGACGCCGTTGACTCCGACGATGGAGATGACGTAGGGTCGGGGTTTGCGCAGAGAGGTGACTGGAGGAGCTGTGATGGAGTCGATCTCGCGAAGAAGATCGAGCGAGGAGGTAGGAGTGAGCATTTTGGTAAGAGACGATTCCATTGCCGTCTGGATCTTGGCGTTGATGCCTAGTATATGTAATTAGTAACCTTTCCTAGAAGACAGACGATATAAAAAGGGGGCCAGCATTTGCACTTACTCTCAAAGTTTCCAGTCTTGACGCCAACCAGCTCCTTTTCGACACCCTCGCACAGACGAACGGCGGCTTCGCGCGCCACATTTTTGCGTAGCAAATGTTCTTCCATGCCCTTCATGGCCTTGTCAAGGTCCTCCTTGGTCAGCGTCTTGCCGCCCACAACATTTCGGAACAGCCCACTGATGGCATTGACTCCAGTGCCCAAAAGACCAGTCTTTGAGTCTGCTCGCGCGGCCTTCTCGGCTTTCTGGGCCTCTGCTGAGGCCAAGATGTCGTGCACCTCGTCTCCCAAGTCCTTGAGAATGAACTTGCCCTTGCTTGTGGATCCCCAGGTGGACGATTCAACAGCATCAAGAGCGCTAGACCGCCCGACTGCCTCAGCCTCTGAGTCACTTGTGAGATTAGGCCGGGAATAATCCAGCTGTACGTCGTCGTCTTCCTCGTCAGCGAATCCCTCGGCATTCCATTTACGCCCCTTCTTCGTGGCCTTGGCGCCCTTCTTCTGTCGAGTTGAAGCCAAAGCCTCGTCTCCAGACGATACAGGTGCTGAACCAGTGTTGTGGGCCTTGCGAGCTCTTCTGGACATCTTGGCTACGGGGCCAGCCTTGGCAACAACCAAGTTGCCAGGAGTTGAGGGGCGTGAAGCGTTAGGTGTTGGGATGGGCGTCGAATCAGCCGATGTATCTTGGGCAGTGCCATTGGGCGCATGGCCTCTATATTTCAGGCCCGACGCCGAGGAGCGAGAGGAAGCTTCCTCGTCTATAGGACTTATAGATCCGACATGACTCGATTTGTCTAGCTCCTGCAATTGCTGGTCGAAATATTCACCAAACGAGTGGCATTCGACGAGGGTCGTATGGGGCTTCTTAAGTTGATCGCCGTAGAGTTCGACAAAGATGGTTTTGATGTTGTCCACGAGCTTATCAACCCATGACAAGTGTAGCAGAGAACGGTAGACAACCTGATGTAGCAAAGTCATTAGTATACCCGGTGTGCGCAGAAGATCCGGACCGCCCAGATCATGTCCATACCACAAAGATTAAGCCCAATTCCTTGACAAAGGTCCATTTTAGAGTGTGCTGGTCGCTTCTGTAGGCAGGATTGGTCGCGGCCGACTGCGAATCGGTGGGCGCAATGCTGCCCGACTTCTCCTCGATAAACGTGTCGGCAATGAAATTGTTGACAATGGAGGGGCTGACGGGCGCATACGTCCTCGACCAGAGAACCACGCCGGAGGTGGTGAGGATCTCAAACGCATCCAACATGTTGAATTAGCCAGTCGCTGTCGATTCGAGAAACCAGAGGCTGAGTTTGCGAGCTGGTCGGAGCCGTGGAGAGAGGAAGAGAGTGGACGTTGGAAGAGGTCAGGGAAAAGGTGTAGTCATCAAGATAAACGATAAGGAGTGGAAGGTGGTGGAAGAGCAAAGCAACGACAAGAGGCCAGCAAGGAAGTCCCAGCCCTGGCAAAAATCAAGATACCAAGCGATGGTAATTATGTAGGACGGAGAGTTTTACAATCTCACACCGTTCTTTGTCTTTGCAGCGAGAGGCAGACGCAGAGTTGGGTCGCAAGTCGAGAGACAAGTTGCGCTAGCAGTTGTGAGGTGGCGAACAAGTACTACTAATAAGACGGAGAGAGATGCGATACGAGATAGCAAGATGCAAGGCACAATCAAGGCAAGTCAGTTCGTTGGTCTATCAGGTCTATCAGGTCTAGAGACGCCACACCCTCTCGCGCATTTCGCCATGCTCAATTAATTCCATCGGTAGCCGAAGCGTCTCCGAGCTTTCTGGCCTCTTCACAATGCTGGATTCTCCATCTGAATATCGGATTCCCGGAGTACGCGATGGGAATTTTAGTTTGTACATGGCATGGTCCGATGCCGACGCGCGGAAAGGACAGAAGCCGGATCACGTGTCAACGGGATGGGCTGCACGAGTAAAAGTCCATGCGCCTAGTAAAGTGTAAAAGGGCCCTAGAGCTGCTAGTAGAGGCCACGGTATAGCACTCAAGAGGCCCGCGGCGGCTCTAGTGCCCAGCACGAGTACGGGGCCTGTACCTGCACTGAGCAGGGTGTCTAGCGCATGGCCGCACGTACCTGGAAGTACTCCTCCCCTGCAACGCCCCCAATGCGCGCATCAAGCTCAGCGCATGTATGACGCTGCAGCAGCCAAATCAACCACTTCAACCTGGCATCTCGACATCGCCATCTTCACCTCTCCCTGTAAGAACACCAGCGGCCTCGCCCCCCTCGACGCGCCCTCGCCCCCGAACCGAAAGAGTATTTCCTTCTCTCGTCCTCTACCGTTTCTTTTCAGCTGCAACAATGCATCGGGCGGCGCAGTCCCCTCCGTTGCACCACCCGGTGCCGCAGCATTTTTCCACGGTTCCCCAGCTCCGATCACCGCCTCCGCCTCCGGGGTCCGCGCAGTCGCAACAGCTCGGCTATGGCGGGAATCCGTATCAGCAGCAGCAGGGCGGCAACATAGGCAACGCCTTTGGCGCATACGGCCAGTTCATGAACGATCCCACGGCCCAGGTCGCGGCGCAGTTTGGCCAGACTGCCTTCAAGCACGGCCAGGAATATGTGGAACAGAACGTGTGTTCATCATGCCCCTGTCTCTGTCTCTGTCTCTTCTCTTTGGACAGAACCGTTTCTTGTGTCCATCCAGCTAACCAGGTACTCTGCTTCAAAGATCGGCCGCTACGTCAATGTTTCCGCGCTCAAGTACTACTTCAATGTCTCCAACTTCTACGTCGTCAACAAGCTCTTCCTGGTCCTCTTCCCTTGGAGGCACAAGCCCTGGTCCCGCAAACAAGCTGTGGGAGCAAACGGCCAGGAGCTGCGATATCTGCCTCCGCGAGACGACATCAACAGCCCCGATATGTACATACCAGGTCGGTTGCGCGCATCGAAACACCAGTTATATGCAAGGGAACGGCAGCTAACATGAACATGTAGTCATGGCATTGGTCACGTACATTCTCCTATCTACTCTGGTTGCCGGTGTCAGGGGCAAGTTTAACCCCGAACTTCTTGGATACACAGCAACAATTGCGCTCGGCGTCGTCATCTTCGAAATCATCGCGTTGAAAGTCGGATGCTACCTCCTGAGCATCTCCAGCCAGTCCCAGCTACTTGATTTGATTGCCTACTCTGGCTACAAGTTTGTTGGTATTATTGTCACCATTGCCATTGCCGAGATTGTCAACGGTGGCAAGGGCACTGGAGGCTGGGTTGGGTGGTTGGTCTTTATCTATACTTTCTTGGCCAACTCCCTTTTCCTGGTATGCTACAACATCGGTTCTCAACCCCCATTCCGTGATATAGCAGTGCTAATTAACCTGATGTTTAGATGCGATCGCTGAAATACGTCCTGTTACCTGAAACAGCCGCCAACTCCGGAGGACCTATGCAGACGGACACCAGGGTGAAGCGAAACCAGAGGACACAGTTCCTTTTCTTCTACTCCTACCTTGTCCAGCTGTTCTTCATGTGGCTTCTCACCAGACCTTGAAACCGCCTTGATGGGGGAAAGAGAAATAAAACAGGAATGAGGCACCAAACAAAAGCTTTTGCATGTATGAAGGAAGAAGAAAGAACACCATAGGATATCACGAGAGGCGTTAGACACGGCATAAAGAGGTCCAGCGGTGGTGTGCATATATGGTATAGGCATAGGGACCAGCGTTGAAGAGTGAGGCTGGCGCTATCGGCGGCGTTTTGGGGGTTTCCGCTCCACTGCGGGGGTTAGACTTGTTCCACTTAATTATTCACCAAATGACACTTGAAGCTTCTTGGTTGAGTAGAAGAAGAAGCCATGGCTTGTTCAAGAAGAGAAGAGGAGAGGAAACGATCATGTGCCCGGCATCCTCCATCCTCATGGCGGGTGCTGGAGGGACACGTTTCGGGAATTTAATCAGCGGCACAAGATACAAGGAAAGACTTATACACTGTCCGTAATGACAGGTGTTCTCAAGTGAAATGACATCAAATGCATGATTAGATGCCGTTGCATTGAGCTGATGGTAATGTTGCTTTGCACGTGTCAGCATTTGCAGGAACAGTTTGTCATCGCCAATTGCTGCTTTATAAGAGTGACGTGCTGGCCTATTGCTTGATTAGGCTGCGATGGAGTTCTGCAGCCTGGTGGAACACATACTCGTAGACGCTTTTTTTTTATCGCCCTAGTGCTAGGCTAGATATTGCGCTGGATTGTTCTATCCGTCGCTCGCCATAGTCCAGCCTCGAGTCCTCTTAAAAACTCTTGATTCATTCATAACCGACACGCCCCTCTCGTTTCTTCCTCTTCCTCCTCTCCTCTATAAATATCTATACGCATAAACATATATACCATCCATCTATAACTTGGCATCTCCAACAGCATCGCCAACCATGGCACCATCACCCATCATCCAGGCAACGCTGCAATCTTCCCTCTTGGCAGCCTTGTCCAACATTCTAGCGCAAGCCATCACCGCATACCGGAACAACGTGAGTGAAAACCATCCGCAGCATGATTGATGATATTCGGATACCACGTTTCTTTGTGGAAGCTGTATATACAAAACGATCATCGACTAATACGATCCGTGACCTATAGGAAGCCGTGACGATAGACTGGGTGCCCGTGTTCCAATATGTCATCTTCACCGTGGTGAGCACGCCGCCAAACTTTCTCTGGTGAGTTTTTCTTTTCTACCGTCGGCTATTTTCCCATCTCAGCCGCAAAAACACCCAAATCATATACTTCCCATCATCACAGCATGATAATATCCCATGGCACGACATATCTTTGACCAAGTAAACTAACACCCTCACAGGCAAGACTTTCTCGAGTCGACATTCCCCGCATATCCCCAACCCCCCTCCAAGAAACAGCAACCCTCAGACTCCAAGAAATCCCCATCATCACAGCCCCCTCCCGCCCCAAAACTCTCCATCGTCAACACCATCCTCAAGTTCCTCCTCGACCAGACCGTCGGCGCCGCGCTCAACACGCTCCTCTTCAGCACCTTCACCCGCTCCCTGCGCCACGCCATGGTCCACGCCCCGCGCATCACCAACCTGCCCGCCGCCGCAAAGTTCTGGTCCAGCCCCGGCGCCGTCGACTTCAACCGCGTCGACTTTGGGCTTGTCTGGGCAGAGGCAAAGGCCGAGTTCTGGGCGCTCATGTTTGCCGCCGCCAAGCTCTGGCCCGCCGTGTCGCTCATCAACTTTACGCTCGTCAAGTCTGTGCAGGGGAGGAACTTGGTGGGTGCGTTGGCGGGAGTTGCGTGGGGGATTTACATCTCTTTGGCCATGGGCAACTGAGATGACTGAGAAACTTGGATACTTTATTCATTCACGCTCAGGAGGCATAGCTGAGAGCAGACGTCGATGGAGATTGAGCAGCTTGGTTGGTGAAGGCTGAGTCGAGCAAGCACCGTTCATGTCATTAGATAGACTCTGATAGAGTAGACACCTACTGGAGTAAAAAGCGTGAAAATAGAAAGGAATAATGCACCACTTCATTCACAAGATAGTGGCCCTCTCACATCTGCAACATGTACTCTGGCACTTGGTTAATAATACAAAACTCATTCAATTGACTCAAACACCGCTGCTACGCCAGCGCTATCCCTAAGCTCAGCTATCCTTTGCAGTGATCATACTCGCTCGCTTGCCAAGTCCAAGAGGTCCTAAGCCCTCACGTTAATCCACCGCTGCCTGTGGTATGACCTCATCTCAAAGCGAATAAAGTAAAAGAATGCGTACAAGATGCCTCTTGGATGTCTTCCTCCCCAAAGTGCAGTTCCAATGAAGAAACCAGAACAGAACAAATAGCACATCAAACCGTAATCCCCCCCCTCCCTCTCTCTCGCCTTTTTTTTTTTTTTTTTTTTTTTTTTTTTTTGTTGTTGGTCGATCTTGACCAGAATATGCCACAATGAAAGAACCCCAAAGTAAACCACAAGAGGTTTGCCTTTTCCCCTCGTCATTTTGCAAGGGTTTGTGTCCTATCATCATCCGAAAAGGACAAAACAGCAGACCAAACTAAACTTTTCCCATGTTACCGACCCTGACCGTGATATGCCGAAAAGAAAGAGGACAGAAAAAAAAAAGATCAGATTCCATTTTGACCCCTGGCCGATAAACCCTGGCCGAAATATGCAGAACAACAAGAAAGAAAACCAACCCGACCGAGACTTCTTTTTTTCTTTTGTATCGTTGTTGTTTTTTTCAATTTTTTTTTTTTCTTTTTTTCTCAATTTTTGTTTCCAAGTTTCTTTTGATCCTGGACATGGTTTGTAGGCAAAGGCAAGAAACAAAACAACAGTAAACGAACCCAGATTTTCCGATAGCTGGTTGTAACCGAAATTTGCAAGCAAGACAAATAACAAATTCTTCTCCGTCCTGAAGCCAAGCAACAGAGAGAAAAGGTGTAAGGCGACCAAAGGAAATAAAGGAAGTAAAAAAAAAGCAGAACATGAAAGGTTGAGTGACATAGCTCAAGCCACAAGATAGCCTCTAGCTTTTTAGGTGAGAGGATTGGATCTTCGCCGGGAGCGTCTTCCTCAGCGTCTTTTTTTTTTTTAGACAGAGGAAGACATCTCATAGTCAACCACTACCTACTGATCGCCATCGGCTTCAGCATCCTCATCCTCATCGATGGAAGCCAGAGTGGTAGCGAGCCCCGTCATTAAGAGGGAGGAGTCGTGGACGGCAGTCTCAGAAGAAGGAACTCCAGAAGACGAAGTCTCGGTGGAGGACGACTCGGTAGACCACAAGTCGGTAGAAGGCGACTCAGAATGCTTGAGGCTAAAGAAGAGAACGAAGTCAGTTTCTGTTCTTTTACATGGATGAAATAGATGTTGGCGGCCCAAGCAGCACCGACTTACTGGTCAGCGGAGTCAGCATTGTCCTCGTTCTCTTCATCAGACACAAAGAACACATCCGGTGCGTCGACCTGGTAAGGCGGCGCAGGAGTGTCATGTCGCTCAGCAGAGACTTCAGCCTCATCGTTGGAAGGATGAGGAACAGGGTGATTGTCGGATGGGGACCGGTTGAACCAGTCCTCTTCCGGGCTGGAGATGGTCGTATGGTAAATTTCCGCGAGCTCGTTAACTTTGGAATACCAATACCAAAGCCAGGCGCGCCAGAACCAGAATTCTCTTTCAGTTGGGAGGGGGTTTGCCAGGGCCTTGCTGGAAATCATGTAAATGGTCCAAACCACCCAGCGAATATCCTGAAGCATAGGGCCGCCCAGCTGCTGGCAAGCCCAGAGCCGAGCAGATTTCATGACGACATCGCCGTTGTGCTCGGCCTCGACCAGGTGCGCAAACGATTCCCGAGTCATGTTGCGGCCACAGAGCATCCAGCCAGTCAAGCCATCGTAGTCAGTAAATCTCAGAAGAATCAAGCCGCGCTGACGTCGGTGGGCCATGGTGACAGAACCGAGCCCTGTGTAGCTGGCGGACTGTCGTGGGATGGCCTCGAGTGCCGAGCCATGTTCAAGCGCGTCGGAGGGAAAGACGAACATGATGCTGGGTTGGAAGTCTGGCTGATCACCTGTTGAGACGTAGCCACGAGTATCTCCTCGATCACTGAGAGAGATCATCATCTGCATAAATCCGGACTGTACACTTTGGAAGGCGAAGTGGTAGTCATTCTGTCTGATCCAGGCTACCTCGGGGACTCCACTGTAGTATGCAGGAGCACACTCGCCACAGCATGGCTGGTCAATCTTTGACGCGGTAGCCATGCAGTGGAAGACACGGTGAACTACGCAGAAATGGTAGTTGTATCCTGGAGAAGTCATCTCCCAGTGATGGAAGATAGGGTTCTTCTGCTGGGAGCCAGCATGTGCAACATTGTAGCACCCGTAATTGCAGTCTCGAAGATAGCCAGACTGGTAACTAAGGGAGAAGTCCATCTTGAAGTCAAGATGCTAAAGGTGTACCAAAGTCTGGCGTACCAATAGGTAGGTACTCAAAGTTAGAGGCCAAACTCTCTCGGCAACGGTGATGATAGCGATGGAAGGGGGGAAATTGCTCACGAAAGAGGTTGTGTAGATTGATACTGGTAGCAGGATAAGGGCCTTTTGGCTTGTAGTGACTGATTGCTAAAAGATGGTGACGATGCTTTGGAAAGGGCACCGTTGATGAAATGATAGGGGTTTGGCGATGATTGCGGAGGGAAGTGTGAAGAGGAAGAAGAAAGGAAGAAGAAAGTAAACAGCCGGAGCGCGTGTGGGAGGGAAAGAAATACACGACACGGTCGAGGCAGAGGCGCCGCCAGCTGGCAGATCAGTAAAAGTATCCGCCTTGACGCGTGCTGGGCATAAATAAAGGCAAAGCACTGATAGAGGCCGGTTGCCAGCTGCTACAGTGATTTATTTATCCAATAAGAAAAATAGGAAAAAAGAATATGTGGGTGATGGGATGTTCAATCAGTCGCCAGCTGGCAGGCTGCTATTGTCAGGGGCAACGTGAACGCTTGGGGGAGAATTCTGAAGCTGAAGCTGAAAGTTGGCGGTAGATGGTGGATATCAAGGAGGGATGAATTTTTTGGATGAAAGGTGGGAGCCCGGATGTCATTTATAGAGAGAAAGACAGCGGCAGAGTTAAGGGGGGGGGGGCATTGGAGGCGCTGGCTTCTTCAGTGCAGACAAGCCACGTACTGGCAGGAGGCACATGATATCTAGAAATCGCCGCCTTTGTGTGTTCTGCGAGACTTATTTTCCCATTATGCCATCATTATCATGACTTGCAGAGCTCCTCACAAGATTTGAAGATCTGAAGAGCTGCATATCTCGACGCTGTGCGGGCTGGACAGGAGAAAGACCTCTGGGATTTGTATCCATCGGTACCCAACGCCCCCTCTAATGCGTCACTCCGCTTTCTTTGAAGGCACATGTACCTTACACCTGCATTTAATATCGCTACTTACACTTCATCAAGTCGTGTTGGACACCTACCGAGATATGAAGATCCATCTCTCTGTGCCTCTCTATCGACGTACTCTGGAGCAGGCACTCTTTTCGCCACGACGACCACTGTGAATAGCCTCACATGTCTATGAAGGTGATGTCATTTTGACAGCACAGGAATTAATACTGTTATGATGAAACCCTGATGGCTACTTCCAAGATACCAAGGTAAGTTGTCTTCTCCTCCTCCTTCTATCTGGTACTTCTTCTCACCCTTCCGTTTTCTCTTACGTCTACCATTTTATAAAATCCAAGAATACCAACATCAAATGCGCCGTCGTCAACCCCAAGCAAATCTCAAAGAAAATGCCTAATCTATCTAGAAAATAGAATCAGATTTTGACAGGTTACATATTGCCTGTCAATGATGGAGAAACACACAGATGCCCCCTGGGCCGAACACAATCAAATACGGCAAAGTGCTGGCCCTAAAACAAGGGCCCTTGTCTGCAGTAACAACTACCAGATACGACAAGATAAATCCCGGCGAAAATGCATCCAATCACATGCCGCCATCTACATTATTTTGGCATATTTTAGTATACTAGATATGTACTCGTTCTCGTTTTCTCAGGATACCGTTCATCGCCTCAACGGCTTAGGACCCACCGTCGCTCTAAAGCGGTTCGCATTTCCGCGCCGCTTGTTTCCATCTCCCGAGCGGATCTCTCTCCAGCCCTATCCGGATCACGACACAAATCCCGAGGTACCAACAACGGCTTGCTTACTGTGACCAAACACTAATCACAGAATCCTATTGATATGATATCTACTACGTACACATGTCAGAATCCTAATTAATCAATGAGTAAATCCATCTACAAAACACCTCACCCTTCAACGCCGCAATAGCCGCTGCCGTTGCTGTTTACTCGGTCAAACTAGGCAATCTGCCATTCCCGATCCAAGCCGCGGGGCTAATTCCCCCGAGGATAATACAATTAGTGACGGATCTGGGCTCTGTATTCCGTAGCTTGTCGTATTTTAGTAGAGCTCACCTCAGCTCTCTCTGGCTGTTGGGTCCCTTTTTTTTTGCCTTTTCCGATTCCGATTCTCTCCCCGTCTCCTTCACTTTCTTTCTGCTTATATATAGGTTCCATGACCTCCCGTGTCCTTCGGCCTCTGCTTCTCAACTCCAGGCAAATCACCCCGCGCCCTTCAATCCAATACCCCGCGACCCTCAGATTCCTTTCGTCAGCAACCGGCAAAATGGCAGACCGCGTCCACCGAATTACCATGTTTAAGCTCCCAAGCGAGGAGAGCCAGAAGACGCTTGTTGGACTGTATCAGACCCTCAAGGAGAACAACAGCAAGGTTAATTGACCCCTCCCTTCCTCCTGCCCTTCTGAAAATGAAGCTACACACATACTAGGGCGGCAGCGACCCCTCATTGATATCCCGATATCGCCCCTCATGTTTCTCCGGCAGATTCAAAAATGCAAAGAAATCATGTTATATCAAGATGCAAATAAAATGCTGACTTGTATACAACAATCCAGGACGGCAAGCCCTACATCCTCTCCGTGGCCGCTGGTCCCGCCGAGCCCGACCAGCGCTCCCAGGGCTTCACCTTCGTTGCAAAGTCCGAGTTTGCCAGCCTCGAGGACATGAAGTACTACGACGAGGAGTGTCCCGCGCACCAGGCCCTCAAGAAGACAGCCATGACTCTCGGTGTTGAGGGCATCATGACCGTCTACTTCAAGCCCCAGGTCGTCGGAGGTGTTGCGCCCTGAAAAGCCGTTCCTCTTTGATGGGGCCGGGACAATGTGCAAGTAAGCGCTTGCATTGAGTTGAAATAGATGCCCACTTTAGAAGAAGAAATAAAGTAAACTCAGCAAAACTTTATTGTCCTGGCATAAGCCTTGCTCCATAGTGATTAGAATGGCCGTTATACTAACCAACCAGGTACTATTACTTGTTATCTCGATCTCGTTTTCCATCGTATTTAGAATTGCTTGGCAAAGTGAAATGACGTCCCATATTAACCCTGCCACACCCCCACGCAACACCATCATTACATCATGTTAATTCCAACTCTCAAATCCAACCAGCCTCTCGCTTTCGCGTCAAACATAAACCGTCAAATCCAACGATATCGATCTTCAATCGAAACAAACACCGAATCAATCCCGCTTGTTTCACATTTCCCAGCTCCCCATCCCCATCTCTCCAGGGTAGCTCACCATGAGTGCCTCCGACCTGAATCCAACTCCCCTCTCCAAGCTCCGAATCTCCAAACACCAAATCCCAGCTCACGACCTCATCCCCAACTCCTCGCTCCAGTCAAAGCCCCTCATCATCTACCACTCCGCCTTCTCCCCCACAGACGCCTCAGCAGAACAGATCGAGTCTCATCTCCTCAAAATCGGCGTCGTCACCCCTCAATGGCGCTACACCATGTATGACACCACGCACTTCCACAGTACGACTCACGAGGTCCTGTGCGTCACAGCCGGTCGTGCCAAGCTGTGTTTTGGAGGTGATTGCAATCCCGGACGTGTCGAGCCGGTGGTCAAGAGGGGAGACATCATCATCGTTCCAGCCGGCATCAGCCATCGTCTCCTGGAAGACAAGGACGGCGATCCGTTTCTCATGGTTGGAAGCTATCCTAACGGCAAGGACTGGGACATGTGCTACGGTAAACACGGTGAAGAGTCGATAATTAACAACATCAAGGAACTGCCGTGGTTCAGCAAAGACCCAATTTACGGCGATGAGGGCCCTGTACTGAGCGCATAAGTCTTGACAGCAGCTGCGTTTACTCTGACAGAGCAGATCAGGATTAGCATCACGGCCCTCCTCAACAAACCGCCAGCGCACGTTCATCTCAACCCAAGGATGGGATTCTCCAAGAATGTCTTACTTTCCAGTACATGCAATTTACTCCATCACCGCACGACCAAGCCCTGAAGTCCTTCCTGGTTTCAATCTTGTTTCAATCTTATTTATGTCTTCATTCTTTTATGACAAAGGCGGAGCAAGAATCTCATATCGTATATCATACATTGATCTAATCGACCGTCACCTATGACATCAAAGCTATAACACCAGACGAGAGCATATGATTTGCTGGCTCTTGATCAAATTGTTCCAAAAAATAAGCCCATAGCATAGCGAAGCATCTTACAAAGCGGATAAAATGAAAAAGAGGTCCACCACAACTTGAGCTTATACCATAACTTTACCTTGGATGTGAAGGTTATCATGTTGTATAGGCTGAAAAGAGGTCCTTCGGAGGTACAGCGCAATGCCGAAACAAAGCCGCATTAGGAGTTGTGATCCAAATGGTTGCAAGCCAACTCAGACGATTCGGTGGGTATTGCGAAGATCTGTCATTTCCGTCTCCGAATCACTGCCGCGCCGCGAGTATTGTCCGTCTTTCGATCTTGAACTCACGATTTTCAACGGTGTGGGATGCCTCTCTAGAGTGAAAAAGGCGGCAACCACCATGACTGAGCAAATACAAGCTAGTATCTTGATCTCCTCGGAATACGCTCCAGCATAGACCGTCCTGACTAGATCTCGCTGATCAATTGGAAGCTGCAGCCCTGACAGTGGAGACCGGTGAAGGCTCTCGAGCTGCGCTTCGGTTAGGTGACCTTCTAGATATCGGTTAACGTGAATGTTGAAAATGACTGTGCATATTGAGAGGCCTATGCTTCCCCCCAACACTCGAGCCTGGGCAACGGCCCCTTGTGCTGTGGCTTTCTCACTCGACTCAGCCGTGGAAATGCTCGTCACAATTGTCGTCGCCGAAAAGCAGAGACCGACTCCCAGTCCGAATATTGCTTGGTAGGCATACTGAGACGGCTCAGCACTGTTTGCTCCCGACTGGGTCGTCATCAGCCCAAGTCCCAAGAGTTGGAGACAGGATGATGCAATGAGCGTATACGACGTGTTGTTTTGTTTACTGGATATAGCGCCACCCAAGAAAGACCCAACAGCACAGGCACCAAGGAGTGGAAAGAGATGAATGCCAGCCATGAGAGCATCCTCGCCATTGACGATTTGAAACCGCTCCGGAATAATGATTGTAAGAGAAATATACGGAAATCCAGTGAGAAGGGTGAGCCTGCCGCGCGTCAAAACATGTTCAATGGTGCCAGGGAAATTGTACTCTTACAAGAGGCTCGCCGCATAGACCCTGTGCAACATTAACCGAATTGGAAATATTGGCTCAATGTGACGGTGCCTTTTCGAATCTAAAACCACCTCCCAGTATATGAACGCAGACCAGCTTATCCCTGATATAATAAGGGCTGATATAATTACCGGACTGGACCAAGCAAATGTCTGAGAACCAGCCTGCTGAATAGCAAAGACGAGCAAAGACGAGCTACAAAGCAGAGTGGCACTGCCGATGAAGTCTATGCTCGCAAAAGCCTCCCAAGAGAGAAGATGAGAGACTTCCTCCAGGGGCCAGAAACTCGTGATGGCGAGAATGGCAACTAGTCCAAAGGGAATACTAAAGTAGGTAAATGTAAATAACCGTTTAACGCAGATCAAGCACGTCAGGCGTTTTTGCAGACTCACTTAAGGTTGAAGAGCCATCTCCAATCAGAGAGCCTGGAGATTAGGCCTCCAAGAAGAGGGCCAAGGACGAAGGCTATGGCAAGTGTTGCTCCGATCATAGCCCCGATTAGGCTGGGGCGGTGGATGGGACCGACCTCAACAAGTGCTATCTGGGTCAAGCTGTACAACCCCGATGCCCCTATGCCTTGGAAAGCACGACACACAATGCTGATGGGCTTGAGTCACTATCGTCCTTCCTTTTGTCCTGCGATGCTTGAGATCGGGACTATACGTACAGTGCAGTCATGTGTTTAGAATTGGCACAGCCCAAAGAGAATCCAGAAAAGATGACCCAAGAAAGAACCAGAATGTTCTTTCGTCCGTATATGTCGCTCATTTTGGAGATGCAGACGGCGAAACCTACAAAGCTCTGTTAGAGAAGTCAAATCTGTACTTGTGCAAACACATGGCCCGAACCCATATATGTCAGCAGGTATGCCAACACGATCCATGGTGCATTGATAAAGTCACTCAAGTCATTCGATATCGTCACAAGCGATGTAGACACGATCGTCGTATCGAGGGTCGAGATTAGAAGGCCAACAAGGAGCCTGTATCAGTTAGAACCGCAAGACTGGAGGGGTAAGGCCATACGTTATGACTAGAACTACCTGCTGCACACCCTTCACCTTTGTCGAGCCTCCATAGCCGAGTTTTGCTCGTGAAGCCTCGTCGTCTATGGAGTTGGAAGCCTGCGATCCTGCAACCATCTGGCCCAGGGATGGATTTGGGTATGAGAGTGACACACGATACTCTGTCGTCGTCATGATTCCTGAGGAAGGTGGCTGTCTTTTCTCAACTCTTTGTAGGCAACTGTTGGGTCTGTCCAAAGATGCCAAAATCGGGGTTCCGCTTAGCTGTTCAGCACTTGGATCTTGAGCAAGTGGATGTAGAAGAAAGGAAGAAGAGAGGCTTATGTTTTGAAGCTGGACTCTTTGCTGCCGAGGGCTGTCAAGTAGGAGGAGAAAAGCCGGCAAAGAGAATTTTTGCTGGTAAAGCAGGTCAATCGCGCCCCGACTTGCCGTCATAGGGAAGGAGCTGCCCACACTACAAATTCAGGGCCTGAGACAAGATGCAACTTCTTCGTGAAACTATCAGCTTCAAAGATGTCTGAACCCCAAAATACGGAAATTGATCACAATTCAGACCGTTTTGCGTTTATTCTTGTTCCTATGATAAATCATATACGGTCATGGCGATCATCAGGCTGTGGGAGCTGTGGGAGCTGTGGGAGCCGAAGTCAGACATAGTCGTGCTGAGACAGGCCGGCGAGTTGGGGCGATGGATGACGGTCCCTGTCCAAGAGGAGGGTGCTCATTGAATAAGTATCCGAAACATCTCTGGACTCGGTTGCACCTGTGCGGCTCATGGCGCTGTATGTAGCCTGTGTCTTACAGGAGATGCGTGACCACGTTGTCCAGCAGGCTCTCGAAAAGACGTATGCCAGCATCAATGCATTTCATCGGCCAGACGTCTCGGTGGCGACGACCTCACAGGTTTGTTGGGTGTTTCAGATTTCCCACGCTCTATGCTTAATGGACACTAGGAACAGCCAATTACTCTATCAGCGGACGGCTCAGTGGGTATCGGAAGGGTAGCTGAGCCAGAGTGACACTGTTGTATGATGCCAGAGAAGTAATTGCGTGGCAACGGCCTTTCTGGTATATGTCGCGACGTTATACCGCTACCGCTAGAGACAGGTCGCAAAATGCACACGTCGTGCCAGATGCTGGCTGGCATTTGACGCCAGCACCGAGCCGTTCGTTTGCGTTCGGGTTACACATCATGTCTTCCGGCCAGTCAGATGCTTGCGATGAGAGAGCACTTGCGTGAGAAAATAGCGATCAACTGCTGAATCTGTGCCACTAGGGGTTTGTTTCATCGCACGAGGATCTGGACCAGCATGCCGCCGCTCAAGCCACCTTGCAACAGATCTGGCGGCTGGTATCCAGAACGGCTGGAGTCAACTAGCCAATTGCACGGCCCGTTGCATCGGCATTTCATCTACTCGGCCATCAAGTCTATGGCTCGCGCTTCGAACATATGCGGAACGGATTGATGGACCAAACCCAGAATGTTTGCTCTAGTGAAGAAGGTATGGCGCCGACGGAGATCCCGCAAAGCTCGCCGTGGTATTAATACAACGAAGTCGTTAGGCATATGCTCGGCTTGGCCGTTCCATGTGTTACGTGGTCGCGGGAACTAGGAAGCGGTCGAACCACGAGCTACAGTCCCATGGTCTCTAGATTGATGACATTGAGCCAGCACAGTCTACCAGGTTGCCTGCGTTCCTGCGTTCCTGCCAGGCTGGCCTTGGAAATAATGGCAAATGCTCTATGTCAATCCAGCTAAGTATCATGAAACTTTGAAACCTTTGTATTCTGTAGTCAGACATGCTCACAAGACCCGGTGGACAAGAGTTTCTAGTAAATGCTGGGGAAAGGAATGAAATACTACGGCATACCACATATTGAGCCCACGAGAGATTCTGCTTCTGTCCGGCGGTGTTGGCGGGTCGAATATTTGAGGCTTCCATATCGATCTGACAAACCAGTCCCATGGTAACGGGCCCTGGAAACCATCATATGATGACCCCTGAACGGGGAACTGCGCAATCGATGCTTGATTCCGTAGCTAAACTTAGATCATTTTCGAGTTCTTACTGGAGAGCTTCAATTTCCGCCACCACCTCTAGTTTGGAGCCGCCTCTTACCGCCAATACCTTCCGGACGTACTAGGGCCTCGAGTTCATCTGCTAGAGTTCCATGTGTTTTCACCCCCGCATACGTGCATTTTGCTCATCTGCCTCTTTTCATGTTGTGAGCTTGCCTCGACTTGATATTGACACCGAGCTTTGCGGATGTTTCTTTCTGAAGGGCTATTAACTTTATCACCACATATCAATCAATCTCGAGTTTTATATGTGAAGAATTGCGCATGAACACAACAAACAAAAAATACCAGCTCCTCTATTCAGCTCCATATAAGTCTTTACCCTATCTCGAACGCTGTTACACCGTCTCTTTCTCCCTTCTCTAGGCACCTCAATCTTTGAGTTCCTTATTCCGTCACGCAGCAACATCGGTCAGCGAGCACCAAGGCCAAATGTCTGTACCCGAACATTATTTCGATGTATGTTGAACAGAGGTTTTGAACCGCAGCTTGTACGGTCGGATGTATATCACCAAATCCTAGTATTGATTCCATTGTTGAACGGTATCGGTGTTTCTATGGCATGTTCTTTCAGCAGGCCGTAACATTGCGATGTGGTGGAATTTTAAATCCAGAGACGTCAAAGACCGATAGTCACTTTCTACCACTTAGAGATGCAGTTCAGTGTCTAATACCCCAAGAGTGGAAGCGTGAAGGAAATTAAATCTATAACGATTACCGTATATGTCATCGACAAGGATTAATGAGCAGTAACCCGAGTCAACGGAGATGCAGCTACTCTTTTCAGCCGCTCCAGCCAAGACGGCCTGCCCTCATTGGTCGATCGGATGCCTCAGATGCAAGCTTCGGGAGGATTCCCTTCCTTTGGGCAATACCTGCGAGTCTCTTACTTGCTGAAAAGTACTGGGGCTAAGATGCCGACGGGGCATTGCGTATGGGTTTGTCAGATAAACGGGAATCAAGCCTGCGGGCATTCCTACGATCTATCTACTCCGATGCTCCATGTTTCATCTGCAGGAGCATGGGTCAGCTTCCTGCAGGATTCCCAATGCGACTCATTGTCTCATGGGTCAACACTTTAGCAAATATCGTCACCACCGCGGCCCGTTTCCGGATTAGAAGCTGCAGTTCTGGCCACTTAGTGCGGGTAGTGCACACACTTTATTTCAAGAGTAGTTGATCCGCATCTTGATCTATTGGTTGAGCTTTGCGCGCCTGGCTACCGCTACTGGAATGCCCGTTCGCAGGCCGTTCGCCTTCAACCAACTCCTTTTGGATGATGCTCCGACGGTCCATTCACCGTGTGTGCGTAAGAGCGCCTTTCATGCAATTGGCTGCGTCACTATGGATAGGAAGGCTGACTAGGCTGCAGTTGACGCAGCGAGGCGTTGATAACTCCGTTTGTACAGGAGAATGAGTGTGGGTGTGATTGGGTTATGCAGGTGGGCAAACGGCCCTCATCAGCCCTTCCCTCAATATATAAAAACACTTCGAGGACTCTTTGCTCCACTCTTTACTCACTCTTCTGCACTCCTCTTCTTTGGGCATTTTCTTTGTTCAACTCCATCTATCCCTCGAGTCCTTCTTGATTTATCTTACTACACCTCCACTTGGCCCAAAAAACTACTTCCTCTCAGAGGCTCCGGTACACTTGTGCGGAGGGGGAGTAGGTACTCCTCATCTGGGAATGCCACATGATGTGCGAAACACCAAGAAGAGAGGTCCCAAGCCTCGGTGCCAACAGTGTAGATGATATCGCCATTGTTGGCTTGGCGTTGCGATTTCCTGGCGAAGCTACTTCGCCACAAAAGCTCTGGGATGTGTTGGAGCGGAAAGAGTCTCAGTGGTCTGAATTTCCTAAAGACCGACTTAATATTGACGGATATTATCACCCAAGCAATCAGAGGTTGGGAAGTGTATGCTCTTGCCTGAGTTCTCTACATATTATGAACTCCGTACTGACTTGCTACAGCTTTCGTTTCGAGGAGGACATTTTTTGAAGGAGGATATCAGTGCTTTTGACGCTCCTGTGAGAACAATGACAAAATTCCATGGACTAGCGTCGAATACAAACTAACAAAAATGAACCAGTTCTTCTCAATCCCGACAGAGGAAGCAAACGCAGTTGATCCTCAGCAGCGTATGCTCCTTGAAGTCTCGTACGAAGCTCTTGAGAATGGTACGTTGTATTCAGAGTTTGAGCTGGTTCCACAAGCCTAAGAACGCTGACGTATGCAATAATTCAGCTGGTATTCGTAAAGAAGATATTGATGGTAGTGATGCTGCGGTCTATGTGGGATCATTTGTCAAAGGTAAGTTAAATAATACCCACTTGTCTCTCCGAAGATCCTTCAGGAATAACAGCTTACGTTGCACAACGTTAGACTATGAATACATCAGTCTCCGTGACCAGAATTGGGGTCCGAAATACGCCGCAACAGGAAATGGGATTGCTATCATGTCGAATCGCATATCATATTTCCTCAACCTGCATGGCCCGAGCATGACAGTAGACACTGGCTGTAGCTCCAGCCTTATTGCAGTGCATTTGGCTGCACAGAGCCTTCGAACTGGCGAGACGTCATTGGTAAGAATTGAACTAATACTTCACAGCATGAATGGCCTGTGACTGACCTTTTATCAGGCTCTAGCTGCAGGAACTGGCATGATTCTGTCTCCTGAAACTATGCTGCCGATGACGGCGTTAAATTTCTTAAGCCCGGACGGAAAATGTTTCACATTCGATTCGCGAGCAAATGGTTATGGCCGAGGTGAAGGGATTGGTGTTGTAGTCATGAAGCGTCTGACAGATGCTATCCGAGACAACGATACCATTCACGCCGTTATGCGGGCTAGCAATGTTAACCAGGATGGCCGAACCAAAGGTATGTTGAGACAACATCCAACAATCATCTTCTTCCAAGAGATGGACGGTACATTAACGAGATATTAGGCATTACCTTTCCTAGCGGAGACGCTCAGGTTGCCAACATCCGTGCTGTCTATGATTCAGCCGGTCTTGATTTTTCTCAGACTGGCTACATCGAGTGTCATGGCACTGGAACGCAGGCAGGTGATTGGCAAGAGCTCCAAGCTATCTCTCAAAGCATCGCTTCTATCCGCACTATTGATAACCCTGTCATGGTGGGCTCTATCAAGACCAACATCGGCCACCTTGAAGGTGCAGCCGGGATTGCTGGCTTAATCAAGGGAGTCTTGGCTTTGGAACGCGGTCTTGTGCCACCAAACATTAATTTCATAAAGGGGAATCCCAAAATTGATTTCAAGAAATGGAAAGTCAAGGTGGTTATAATTCCCAATCTTCGGTCATTCAAATTTCTTGTTTACTAACTGCATGTTAGGTCCCGACGGAAGTTAGTGATTGGCCTATCCCAGGCATTCGTCGTGTCAGTGTCAACTCCTTCGGCTTTGGTGGTTCAAACGCCCATGTCGTGGTAGATGAAGCCCCAGGATATCTTACGCTGAAAGGTCTGAAAGCAAACCACTCCTCTACCGACGTTACACCACAGAGTAGCGCTGGAGCCTCAACCGAAGCAAGGCCCGAAGCCCGGTTGTTTTGCTACTCGGCAAATGACAATCCTGGTGTTTCCCGCGTTATGAAATCTCATATTCAGTTTCTTGAATCCATTCAAAAAGACACCGGAGACTCTTTGCGCAACTATTCGTACACTCTCGGCTGCCGTCGATCTAATCTCGAGTGGAAAGGGTTCATCATAGCCGAATCTGCGTCAGACCTTGTGGCTAAAATTCTAGCCTTCGATACGACTCATTTGACTCGCTCGTCGCTGAAGAAGCAGTCAAAGCTTGGCTTTGTCTTCTGTGGTCAGGGTGCCCAGTGGGCGCAAATGGGTACAGATCTCATGTCTTTCAACGTGTATAGCGCCAGTCTTAAGGAGGCCAGTTGCTTCTTACAAATTGTACTGGGATCTCGATTCGATCTCTTGAAAGAGATTCTTAGAGGAGGCGAAGACACACGTATATCTGATCCTGAAATCTCCCAGCCGGCAACAACCGCTCTTCAAGTCGCCCTTGTCGATTTGCTCAAATCTTTTGATATTCAACCCAAGTATGTTCTTGGGCATTCTTCGGGAGAAATTGCTGCTGCTTATGCCTCGGGGGCTATATCACGATATGACGCTTGGAGAATTGCCTATTATCGCGGCCTCGCTGCTGCCAGTATTCCATTCAGAGCTTCGAAGCTGAAAGGAGGCATGATGGTAGTTGGAATGTCAACTGAAGAGGTATCAGCGTATCTCGCCAGGGTTAATAAGTCGGCGCAAATCGCTTGCATCAACAGTCCTCGATCCATTACAATTTCTGGTCAAGCTGACGCCATCGAATTTATCGCTCATGATCTGCGCCAAAAGAACATATTCAACAGGGTCCTAAATGTCAAGGTTGCTTATCATTCGTCCCATATGAAGCTTGTCGAAGACGATTACGTTGCAGCTCTCGACGAGATTATTGCCAACGATTGCTTCGAAGGAGTCAAAATGTTTTCTTCTGTCACCGGCAAAGAGATCATGGGAAGTGAATTGAACGCCAAATATTGGGCAAATAACATGGTTTCTCCTGTTCAATATGTTGCGGCAGTTCAGTCACTAATGAACCTTCCGGTGGATGATCGTCCAGACGCTTTGGTGGAACTTAGTCCCAGTGCCGTTCTTCAATCGCCAACGGCCGATGTGCTTGCCATGATTGGTGTTGCCGGCCCATCATACCATTCAGTCCTTGAACGGAAACAAAATGGGTGTAAAACAGTGTTCAATCTTGTTGGTACTTTGTGGTCCAAAGGGTATCCAGTGAATATGAAGAACACCGTATCAAAGGGCCATGGGCATGAGTCTTTGAGGTGTCTCTCCAATTTGCCATCATATGTATGGGATCACACTAAAAAGTACTGGCACGAGACTGAAATGAGTCGTGAGAGCCGTCTGAGAGAGAATCCTCGAATGGACCTTATCGGCTACAGAGTAGTTGATTCCATTGCATCCTTTGAGCCTATATGGCGAGGTTTCTTGCGCATCTCAGAAAACCCTTGGATTCAAGATCATCAAGTGCAAAAGACAATCGTCTATCCGGCCGCCGGCATGATTTCAATGGTTCTGGAGGGAGCAAAGCAATTATCCAAAGGCACCCAGAATCTTCTGGGCTATGAGCTTGTAAATATGAGCATTGAGAAAGCCATGACCATTCCCAATACCGCTTACGGCCTGGAAGTCTCACTAAGAATAAAAAAATATCCGGTGAATACGGAGGGTCACGGAAAGATTAAAGAAGGATCATTTGCCATTTACTCTCGTCTTCAGGGTCAATCATGGAATCGACACGCCAGTGGCAGCCTACGTTTCCATTACAAGGTTGGAAACTGGGGAGCTGCTTTCCGATCGTATGAGGTTCGCCACAATGCTATAAGCGAGAATTGCAAGGAGTCAATCATTCCACGACAACTTTACGAGCACCTTGATTCCATCGGAATGAACTACGGACCCTTATTCCAGAATATTGCAGAGGTTCGCAAGTGCGATGGCCACTGTGTGAGCAGAATCAAGATCCCAGATACGAAGTCCAAAATGCCCTGCAAGTTCGAGTATCCACACCTTTTACACCCGGCTACTTTGGATTCCATGATCCAAACTCTTTTGGCTATACAGCCATCGCCAATGGTTCCTGTTTTCATTAAAAGTCTCTTTGTGGCAGAAAACTTGGGTGGTGCAGAGTCTGGCGCGGATTTTACCGGCTACTCTTCAGTTAGCACCACTGGTATTCGAAACGCAGAAGCCACTATTGTCATGAGGCAGACAGCACTAGATCAAGCATATGTTGTCATTGAAGGCCTAAGTTTTACTGCATTGCCTCATCCATCGCCCGAAGAAGGGGGGTTCCTACCCAGCAATCGCAATCTTTGCAGCCAGATCCTCTGGAAGGAAGACGCTACTTTTGCTCGGCCGAGTTCGTACGTCGAACAAGTCACTATTCTGGCTCACAAGTATTCGGGATTGTCGATTCTCCAAATCGGCGGCGGTTATCAGCTCTCGCAGGCAACTATCGAGGCAGTCAGCTCAGATCCTGACGTGACTCCTCAGCTCCTGAGATATACCATTCTTGAAGTGGACAGAGATGATACCGCGTCACAAATTCTTTCCTCTGTAAAAGACACCTCGCTGCAACCGTTCATTGAGAGAATATCGGATCTTTCAGCTATCAGCAATGATTACCACTTAATCGTTGCTTGCGGTGACATCCAGGCGGATATCGACCTATTGAAAACGAAATTGAAAGTTGGTGGTGTCTTACTAATGGAAGTCACCGTCCCTACAGAGTCGAGTAAGCAGCAAATTGGCGAACAAAAAAGCACATCCGACATTGACAGTGCCCGGGCGATTATAGATAACCACATTATAAGAGGTGGCGGGGACTACATCCATTTCGTGGAGGGCGAAGTCGAAATTCTCCTGGAAGCTCATAGACATAGCCAACGCTCTCGTCTAACCAGTCCTGTCATCATCATCACCCCAAAAGAAGTTGGCTCTGAAGTTCAAAAGTTTATCTCTGCTATCAGTCGAATGAAAGAAGCAAGCAAACTCCCTCTCAGTGTCTCGTCTATAGCAGTCGACAGACTACTTGAAGACCCGAGTGCAATCGATGGCAAGACAGTCATTTCGCTGCTTGAGTTTTCTGGACTTGTGCCTCGTGGTTACTCCATTTTTGATTGGGAGAAAGAAGATTTCAACGCCTTTTGCGTGATACAGAAACGGGCAGATCATGTCTTCTGGGTCACTCGAGGAGCCCTGATGAGCTGCGAGAATCCTCGCGGAAGTCCCATCATTGGACTTTCTAGGACTCTAATCTCCGAAGATCTCCTCAACTCAATTGTCATTTTCGACTTGGCGGATAAATCAAAGCTCGATGATTCCGCCGTTGTTAACAACGTATCGTCTCTTCTGGATACGACCTTTGGATCTAAGCAAGGGCCCGTACAAGATACAGAGTTCGCCGAAGATGGTGGAAAGATTTACATCCCTCGTCTCACAACACTCCGTTCCATCAACCGCATCATTGAAGGCGAAGTCCTCTCTGGGAAGATCTCTCAGAAGCCATTCGCTAGCGACTTTGGTCTGCAACTCACGATCAACGCACCGGGTATTAGTGACGATAATTTATTTTTCGTCAAGTCTGAACGGCAAGATTTAGGAGCAGACGAGGTCGAAATCGCATTTAAGGAGGCACCTTTATCCATTCTTGATCTCGAGATTGTCCTTGGAAGATCTCAGGGTTCGACTATCGGGTTGGATGTTAGGGGCGAAATTACTCGGGTTGGCAGCGAAGTCAGAGGGCTGTCTGTAGGCGACAACGTTGTTGCTTTGGTTCCTAATGGCTCGATCAAAAACTTGGTGCGAGTCAAATCTCAATTCGTGAAACGCGTTGACGCCGACATTGTCCCAAGTTTTCTTGTCAGCGCTTACTTCGCCCTCATTCATATAGGGAGAGTAAAACGAGGCCGCAGGGTGTTAATACATAGCGGTGCTAGTGCTTTTGGCCTCGTTGCGGTTGAGTTGGCAGTGGCTATTGGAGCTCAGGTATTTGCTACTGTTATTGGTCCAGAGGTTGATCGACAGCGAGAGATTCTAGAACGACATGGCGTTCCGAGAGAGCATATACTGGAAGCAGATTCTGGACTCTTCGTCGCCAGTCTGCTAGGAGCTACAGATGGTAAAGGAGTGGACTGTCTATTTAACCCAACTTTGGAAGCATTCGACGTGGAATTCGATTGCGTCCGAAAATGTAAGTCGTGGCTGTGCCCCTTTCACTTCCAACTCTCAGCTAATATTACAACAGGTGGTAGCATCGTCCGATTCGCGAGTAAGTCTGCGACTCCAGTCTCTAGTCGTACGCCAACATCCATAACCGTTTCCAACTGGGATCTACATCAATTCCTCAGAGAGGATCCTGATTTTGTAGCAGAACTCCTAGAACGAGCTACTCAGTTTATCCAGACTGTTGCCTTCAGACTCTCCTTACCCGCCGAACTCAAACAAGTTTCCGACATTGGCGAATTGAAAGATGGTCTACTACACCTTCAGCAAACGCCATATATTGGATTTGTCTCGCTATGTATGGCTGAGGACGACTCGAGCACAGTTCCTGTATTGAATGAGCATATTACAAAGTCGCTTCAGGAGTCTCTTGAGTCAGATGGGACATACCTGCTAACAGGTGGTCTGGGTGGCCTCGGGAGGAGCATAGCTGAGCTTCTTGTGAGTAATGGCGCCCGGCATCTAGCTTTCATTTCTCGATCAGGCGCATCATCAGATGCATCGAAGGCATTCATCGAGGATCTGCGGTCGAGAGGTGTTGACGCGCGAGCCTATGCTGTGGATATTTGCGACAAATCTGAGTTAGACTCCCTCATCAAGGATGTTATTGCCTTGGATAAGCCTCCCATCCGCGGTGTATTTCAGTGTGCTGCGGTACTCAGGGATTCCGTCTTCAATAACATGACATTTGAGGATTGGGACACAGCCATCAAACCAAAAACTCTTGGCTCGTGGAATTTATATCGTAGCATATCGGCTGCAGATCAAAATCCCTTTTATATTTTTCTTGCCAGTTCCTCAGGCATTATAGGCAACCGCGGCCAAGCCAATTATGCTGCAGGCAACTGTTTTCAAGACTCGTTTGCAAGATATCTCCAGAAGCAAGGGGAGCGTGCTGTGGCCATTGACTTCGGTCCGGTCTTGGGAGCTGGTATGCTTGCTGAGAATGAAGATATTCTGGATACTTTACGATCCAACGGTTTCTTTGGTATTCAGCATGAAGATTTTCTCACAGTTGTCAAGCATGCCATCACAGGAGAGATAACGCCGGGAGTGCCTATTCCTCCTCAAATCACCGTGGCTGTTGGAACAGGAGGTATTAATGCGCAGATCAACGCTGCAGACCCATACTGGACTCGCACTGCCCTTTACTCGTACCTCAACTTGGTTGACATTGCTCCGCCAAATCTACTCATTGATGGAGATGAAAGCAATAGAGACATGAGGACTATGATAGCCTCTGTTGTAAGCTTTGATGAGGCATCATCCATTGTCCGCGACGGCCTCTCCGTGATGCTAGCTAAGGCAATGAATACGATGCCCTCTGAGATCGATATGAATAAGTCATTGATTGCTTATGGCGTGGATTCTCTCGTGGCTGTCACTATTCGAAGCTGGATTCTAAATAATTGCGGCGTCCAATTATCTGTGTTTGAGATTCTCAGTGATTCGCCCATCACAGAGATGGCAAACACAATCGCGGTGAAGGGAGGTTATGGAGGAGGGAAATCGGAGTAAAGCAAAATGGAGTGACGATTAACGAAAGACAAGGAAGGAAAATTGGGTCAGGTTAAAGGGCGGATATGAAGACAGCAAAATGTAATAGCCAGTTCACGGACGGGGAGAAAACAGGCGAGCCATCTCTTTAGATGCTAGGTAACTAGGCAGGCAGGCAGGCAAAAGTTCATGCGATTTCTGATACATTCCGTCGAAAATAATCGAGGCAATTAATGATGCAAAAGAAAAAAAGAAAAGCTCACAGGGGCAAAAGAAAATGAACTGCGTAATCTGGGAATCGAACCCAGGGCTCCCCGACGTTGCTCAGATGGCAACGGAGAATTTTACCACTAAACCAATTACGCGGATTTCTTGTTGATGATACAATTGCAGTATCATGCTATGAACATTCTAGCTGCAGAATCATTAAATCAGATCGTATCGATGCCTCTGGATACGGCTTCTCAGTTATGGATATTAAAGACAAACCATTGTCATCTGCTCACTATCTAGTCAATTAATTAATCGCCAACAGCATATTAAGCAATACATCCTCCGTTATTCCCGCTCCAAACATCACCTTCATTGCAGTCAAAACGCCTTATTCCTTGCACTCGTCGACCTGAGCCTCAACCCCATTCTCATTCCACACTGCTTCGATCACGCTCATTTTACAACTTTCAACCCTGTAGACTCCCTAAAAGAATATTAGCGACCGTACAATTTTCAGAGCTAAAAATATGGACCATCATACCTTGAAGTCAAACCTATGATCAGCTGCTTTGAATAACTCGCAAAACTCTCTTTCTTCTCGCTCCTGTGCGTTGAAAAGAGTGCCCATGATCATGTCCATGCTTCTCATGAGCTTTTCATCCCAAGGATTCTCTGATCCTGGATCTCGTATGCAGTAATCATTGATGACGACACGAGCTCCGGGCTTTAGTGCAGGAATGAGACTCTTCAGAATTTTAACGGCATATGGTTGGGAATAGTTGTGAAAAATCCACCGAAAGTAGTAAACTAGCATCGTTTTCGAAGTCAGTCAGCCAGCCATGCCCATGGAACTAGAGGAAGACGGCCAATGAGATTCGACTTACCATCAGCGCCCTTTGCAGGTTGCTCTGTGAAGAAATCGTGGACTTGCAAGGAGATTCTCTCTGCTACGGTGGCATCCTCGCAAATGGGTTGCGGCGCACTGCTTATCATTTTTGGCAAATCTTGCACGATAAACTTCATGTTCTTCCACTTCTTGGCCATTTCCACTGACACGAAGCCATGACTACCGCCGACGTCAACAAACGTACCTCCGCGCTCATTCACATCGGAAAGGTCATAGTTGTCTACAAAGTAGCTGACTTCATAGCCTTCTCCGTTTGTGAAACTGAGCATCGCATTGGCAAAGCGCCTGGCCCTGACTGGATCCTTACCAAGGGTCACAAACATGGGCTCTTCGCCAACCGTACTGAAAGCAAAATTGAATCCTGTGTGAGTTATGGAGGTTGCTTCGGGGTGGGATTTCAACGCTTGCATTACGTGACCAGCAGCGGGAAAGATGTCTTCTGAATTGAAGCCAATCCAAGCTTGAAGTGAGGTGTCTTGTGCCAAGATACGTGAATTTGCAGTGTGGGCAATGAGACCAGGAGATGGTTCGCAGAATATATTGTTAGTCATGGCATGCCGTAGAGCACGGGCAAGATTGACAGGTTCCAATGGAGTTTTGGATTGAAGTTCAGTTAGCTTGATAGGAGCATCCAGTGGAACCAGTTTAGCTATACAACGGTTAGTCAAGGTCCTGGAATAAATGCTTTTTTCGCCGTACCAATTTGATAGCTATTGATGAGCTGCAAGCTCAAAGTATCCAAATACTATCAAGTCAAGTTAGTACAAAAGCAAAGACGAAAGTGCACCAGATCTTACACTCCAAACATCGTATCTCACGCTTTCACGAGGACCCCTGACGAGATTTGTAAGCTCTTTAGTAGCGAGAACAATCTTTTGACGACTCTGTTGAATCTCGTCGGGTAAGAGAGGGAAATCGTCGGGTCCGTCAACGCTGAGACTTGGTTGAGCAATACCATTCGACTGGAGGTAAGTCTGCAGCCTCTCGGTTTCAACGCGGATCGTCTCCGCCAGCACAAGCATTCGAGACTCAGGAGATTCTACTTTCGAAACTTCGCTTTGCTCTTCTTCTTTCTTTTGCAGAGATTCTTCTTTCGACCTCGTAGTAGCCAGGCCAGGAAATGATCGCCGATTGAGTCTTTTTTTGTCAACATCCATGTTGGCTGTGGATCCATTGCGCTCGCTGGATAGCCACGAAGGGACTCTGAGTTTGGCCATTGTAGGTTCAAATCAAAAGCTGGAGGAAACAAGGTTAGAAAACGACCTGAATTCTAGAACGAATATTGAAGAGAAAGAGAAAGATAGTTGAGAGCAACCCTTCAGGTATTTAATAAAAAAAATTAAAAAAGAAAGAAAGGAGCAACAAATAGTATAGCCATGGCTGTATTTGCCAGATGTTCTTTCAGATCTGCCCATCGTCAGGCAGTCAGGGATATGTCCAACATTGAAACTAAGTAAATATTCCAGGATCCATGCCCACGAAATATAAAGAGTAGGAAGTCATCATCTGTTCCATTCCGCGCACTTGCGTGAAGGAAGAGTTCGCCTTCATGTAGCTATGACTCACGGCATATGGAAACAGCCCTAATGGCCATTGTCCCAAGCTCTCATGATCTCACTGCCCTATTGAGGATCAATATCCATACTTCAGCAACTAGAGAAGCTGAAGCTCTGGTGTGCATCCGCCATGGGAGATGCTCATCTATCCTTTCCGATCGTGCATATCAGACATGTCTCTTGTCTCATAGACGTGTCTGGGAAGCAAGTTCGGCAATGGGGAAGAAGACGAGTCTCGTGAAGCAAGTGCCCAGCTGAGTACTTCCCTATACCTTCAAGTCTCACATTCAGGTGACAATTGTGATATAGCTGATGCCTCACGAAGCTTTGGCCATATGCAAGAGGGCATGTCTTTGATAGACAGTGCCGTTTCCTTTCTTCTCACTCATGCATAGATAGAAGGGCCATCGAGCTGGCAAGGGCACTCAATTATTCACGCAATGGCTTCGGCGATCAACAGACAAAGGAGATGTTGCGAGAGAGAAATTTAGAGCAAAAAAGCACTTGGTAAAAAGGAATTGCACATACAATGAGGCCAAATCTGCCTGAGGCTGCTTTTGCAGACGATGCTACCAGGAGTGGCAAGAGCTCGGGGATACCCCTCTTGCGTAAGGGGAAAGAGCGATATGATGTGTCGTATTCTATTTCCGTCGAGTCTCTCTTAGACGCCGACCTTTTCTCCTCTGCTTTATTACCGCTTGCACTAGCCAGAGTTTTCGTTTCAACGAGTTGCGGTCCTCGATGCGGCCGTCGTTGTGCTCATAACACGCGCAAAGCTTTCAGGTGAGAAATGCAGGTCGAGTCTCCAGATACGGCCGCAGTGAGAAAGAAATAGAGAGAAGTCAGAAGAAGAAGAAGAAGAGGCCCATGTCACGCTTTCAAGACACGGAGACTCACAGCAATTAAACTAACCCCAATCCCAGATGGCCCAGCTGCAGCTGTTGGCACTGATACTGCGAGCACCACCATATTCCGTCCAAATGGCCGACACTCTCCGCATCCAGGCCGCGGTAAGCCTGGGTCGATCGATGCAAGAACCGGAGACTAGCACAACCCTTGTCAAGCATGCAAGCATGGTGTCCTAATCCGCGATCCCCGACAGACTAGAGCGGCCTCAGTCTCCAGAATTACGGAGCATCCAATCCAGAGCCGTAGTGCTGTAGAGGTGCTCCCTTCTCACAGGTACCAGGTACCCGTTCCCAATGCCAGTCAGCTCTCGTGCAGCACCGGGATGGCTAATCGCCGTCAGTAAGATCAGATCATGACCCTGTAGGAAAATATACCCGAAACCTCCGTTCGGGTTTGAGCAACTTCAAAATCAACGACGGGGTCACAATGTTCAAATCATCACAAATCACTGCTGTTGGCGATGTGTTGGTCCCGGCCATGGCAGGGGTGAAGCTGCGAGTATCATGCAACAAATATCAGGCTACGAGTAATACTGCGCTACTCAAGCTAAGGCAGCATGACTTGAAACCACGACGGCTTGGAGCCGCCAGTGCGGTTCTTGGATCCTCAGTATTCAGCCTTTTCTTCTCTCCGCAGATTGGCTCTCCATCGTGCCCTGTTCCCAAGCTGATACGAAGCTGATACGCTCCTCCATTAGCGGCAGACATCCAAGGCGCGGACCGCACGCCACCCCGGCAGAAGTGGACTTGGACAATCCCCATTAACCACTGTACCACCTGGCAAAGATACATACGCTGTGCCACCTCGATTAATGATCTGTCACTAACTTCTCGCAAACTGACAGGAGAGCAGCGAATAGTTCAGCCAGTTTCCACCGCTATCGGGTTTCTATATGAACTAGCGTGGCACTCGGCGTCTTGGACGAAGTACCTGTCACTTTTTTTGGTACGACAAGCCATACCCGCACTGCTACAAGTGGTATCCATCTCCTGCCGTGTTTTCAGCTTTCGCTCAGCCCTTGCGTCCGCAAACATCGCTGTCCATATTGAGATATCGCCGGGAACCCTGGTCAGAACGCCACCGGGAGCTGGTCCGCCGCGCCACTGCCCGAGGGAGAAGTGCTGTAGGTGAGTGAAGCCATTTGTGAGACTGTTTGCTGTCATTGCATCTTCTGATATAGGGGAAGTGGTGTACTCGTAATACAGGATGTACACAGCACTCCCAAAGTAGAGAGACGTGCAGCTCCAGATTACACCGGGCTCTGAAAACTGCGGCCGAGACGCAGTCTTGGCCGCAAAGGTCTCGGACATGTTCCTCTTTGGTAAGTTATGACAGATGTAGGTGGATCACAGCGGGTGTTTTCGTTGGCCAACTCGTATATCACGGCTGCGGTTAGTTGGTCTCTCTCCCTCAGCCATCCCTGACTTCATGCTAGGTCAGAGTGAACCACATTCATCGCTTAGGCGCGGGGCTGTCACTTTTCTTTTTTTTGTCCAGCGACTTCCTTTACGAGTGTGCAAATTATTCGCCATTGTTGTGCTTCACACTGCAGCATACTGTATACGAGTAGGTCAATAAAACAATGCAGAAAAGGGGGCACACAGAGTAGTACTACCCATGTATAATGAACCCTTTCAGCCCAGTTGTCCATATTAGTGAGGTATCTTGTACCTAGCTTTTAATAAATACCACTATCTAGAAGAACGATAATTAAATTACCATAGAATGACACCTGCAGTAGGGTAGTACGGACAGATCCAAGTACTAATCCAAGACCTATATATTGCCAAGAAAATGACAAATGATTACACAGAACTACGGCTTCTGTCCGTAAATGACGTGAAACGGCATGTACATGAGCGGAGCATTGTCAAAGTACGCCCGCCGAACCTCGATCAGGAGTAACTCGACCTGCTCCCGGTTCCACCCAAGGCCCCGAGTCAAGGGGCCCAGGGCAATCGCCTGCAGCCCGTCCAGGAGAATGGTCCGCCAGTAGAGACCGACTGTCTTGAGGACCTTGTTCTTGGGCCATGTCCCGATGGGCACATGTAGCACGCGTTCCGTGACATTGGTGAAGCCTGCTCGGTGCATCATGTCGGATAGCCTTCCATCGGATACGGCATCCAGATCAATGCCAAGGGCGGCTAGCCCGTCCGTCACATGCTTCCAAAAGCGGGCGACGGGGTGATCCGAGGGCAATTCCCCGTTTCCACCCGCAAGGGCACTTTTGGGGGTGTGGTGGATTTCTTGGAGCTCGATCCAGCCGCCGATCTTGAGATGCCTAATGGCGCGCGTGCCGGTTAGCAGTGATGATCGTGGGATGATGGTGGGGGTTAGATTTACTCTACGGCTCTTCGAAAGAGCTTCATCCAATCTCGTACTGCCATGACGGTGTGCCTAGAATGAATGTAGTCGAAATGGTTTCGGGGATGCAGCCACGGTGATTCCACGTCGTCGACCATGAATCGGACGTTGGGCGGCAGCCAGTCCGGCTGGATGGGCGACAGGTCGATTCCCAGAATGTGAGCGCTGGGGAATCTGTCTCCCACTAGTTGAATGGACGTTAATGTAATTCGCTGAGCAAAGTGGCCAAGGTAGATACTCACTTTCAATCGTCCAAATGCCCGTCCCTGTTCCTATATCGAGCATCTCTTGGGGATTCTCACCGATGGGGGCAAAGTGCAACTTCTGGCTGCACAGTAGTTTGACCATGGCGTGCTTCATATCTTCCCTCTCCTGCTCGACATCGTCATTGGGGAAGTTGTAGCTGCCTTCACGGAATCGATGATACCGCCGGCCATTCTCATACATGTAATCGCGGACCGAGGACATGGCAGATGTGCTGGCAGAGGTGGCACTGTCACTGTCATAGCCGGCGTCAGATGCCGTGCCATCAGATGTGTTGTCGCCAGCTCCGCCATCGGTGCTCTCTGCACTATCGGCGATGATTGATTCTTCAGCTTGGTCAAGCGCTTCGAGAGATAGCTGCTCTTGCTCAGAAGGGGACAGCTCCGGAAATATGGAGACGCCGTTCGGGTGAGTTAAAGGAACCAATATAGACTCTGGTCTAGCAGCATTTCCCAACGGTGGGGATCCTTCTGGACAGCCATCTGCTGGCTTTTCATCGGTTTCCTTGGTCATATTGAGAGGCGGCATGACGATCTCGCCCTGTGTATCTTGGTATGTTTGGCCATATGGCTTGTCTGTCAGCTCTTCCCTAGTGTCGGGTAGTTGCAAGGGTGGTAGTTTATAGTCAAAATGATGGTTGACTTGTGAAGTAGTAAGATGCTGAGGTTTATATTCGCCATATGAAGCATCGCCAGTGATGTTGTTGGCGGTGGTATGGTTCTCCTTTGGAGAGCTGGCCGACTGACTACCAGCACCCGTCGTGCCGTTGGCGGGAGAAGAGTCTGGTATCATTTGAGGCGAATCCTTCAAGTCATCTTGTGAATATCCATCCATGGTTAAGTGAGATGAGGTGGAAGTGTATAGCATAGTTTATCTGATGTGAGAGAGAAGGGGGAAAGCAAAGAACGGCGAGGCCGCAGTCGCTCGAAGAAGGACGAGTGTCGCTTAATGGCCAAGCGGTGGGATCAGGTCACGGACGGTACGCCGGGACATGTATTTATCTATCGACTGCTTAGTACAGCGCTCGTTGGGCAAAATACGTAAGTTGTCTTCATTCGGGAGACTGGAGGCCGCAATGTCTCGGGGGAACAATTATGCTGTTCTAGCACAAGACAGGTACGGAGAGGCCTGCCGCCCCTCAGAGGCGAGATGGAGATTGGCTGCACGATTCCAGGGGAGCTCCAGGAGGGACTGTATGACAGAACAGAATGAAAGAATGGATGAATAGGCGCCCAAGCTGTTGGATCTGATTAAAGTCAAACAGCGTAGATTCGAGGTATGAAAGAGATGTCGAGGGATCGGTGGTGGGGAAGCTGGAAAGAAGGTTCGCTCTGCATTAGCATTTGACGGACGAGCCAGACAAGACCACCTGCACTCGAGCTAGCAGGACAGGGCCTGATATAGTCGCCGTTCACCAATCACCAATGCAACGCCAGCTGAAAGGCTTCGATACAGGCAGCTCTAGAGGCGTGGGGCGAAGCCATTAGGGGGCGCCACCGGCTTGATGGCCGTCACACTCAGATTTGATCTGTGATCCGTGCAGGAGGACAGCGCCAACAGCAGTTGAGCAAGGCTGCAAGGACGCCAAAGGCTCTCGATGCGGTAACCAGGACGGATCAATTTCACTGCGAGTACTGGTACCGGTACGGAGTGCTTGACAGTGTCAATACATACATGTAGGTACCTATAGGTAGTAGTGCGTGGTACTGGTACTGCTACAGGGCCAACAAACAAGCTCAGAGGATGCGCAAGCTCGGTACGGCACTTAACCAACAATAGCCGAGAGGTACGTTGGTTTGCCCTGTCCAACGCGGGAAGCTCACACTTACGAGTAGTATACGAATAGATGTACTCGTACTGCTCCATACTATTATCCACCCATGTATTCATTCATTCATCCATTCATTCATTCATTTACTATTCATTGGGCAGCCCAACTACGCGTGTCCAGATGGGCTTTCGTACCTGCAGAAGAGCTCGACAAGGTCATGTTGGGCTGGTGTGAAATAGCTCTGATGCTACAGTACTCTCATCTCGCATCTGGCTGGTGGTTGGCGGGGGATTTTCAGTGGCGGCGGGTCTGTCTCCAGCTGTGTTGAACTATACCACATCAATCCCTGGACCTTGATCAGCTACTGGACAGCGCGGGTGAGTGAGCGGCAAGCACTCACAGGTAGTAGTACTGTATCATAAGAGGTCACCACATGTACTCACTCACACATTCTCATCTCATCTCCCCTCACTCTCACTTTCACTTTCACTTTCACTCGACGTCTCACTCCAATCTGCTCATCCACCCCAACTACCCTGTATCTTAGACAATCCATTACTTCAAAGATATCTGTTAAAGTTTTCCCCGTTTGAGAATTTACTAGACTACTAGCACATCTCACGGTTTCCTTTCCTTAAATCCGACATTTCTACCGGATACACAAGAATAAGACCGCTGCACAGTCTGAAGCCCACTTTTTTTTTATCGGACATAGGTACTAGGTAGTCTTAGATGCTCGAGTCCATCATATCAACGCCAGCTCATGATTTTCTCTCACTCCCATTCTCAACTCGAAAGCTCAATATCTCTGTGCGACTCTCACCTAGTAAATTAACCGTCCACTTCCATGTCGCGCACTCCCAAGGCCCCTCGCTGCGTGGGCAGCCCGTCCTTCGTCCCAGATGAAGTCATCCAAGACGCCCCAAGACTCCAGCAGGCCCGCGAGTTGTTGGCAGCAAACGACTTATACAACGCCAGCCGCGCCCTGCTTAGCCTGCCCGAGAGGGACTCCTTTACGTATCATGCCGTGACAAGTGTCAAGCTGGCTGAGGTACAGCACGTTGTCGGGCTGGGCGGCGTCAATGGCCTGCACACCTGGTATCGTGACGAGGATGGCACAGCTGTAAGATCAATGCCCTCTTTCCTCCCTTGCACAACTCATGGAACCGGAACTGAAAGCAAACTCTCAGAGAGAACCTCCGCCGCTACCAGACATCGAGGCGTACATCTCCATCTTCAGCCCCTCGACGGCCACGGCTTCGGCTCTCAAGAACTTTGAGACCAACGCAAAGAAGGCGTCGATCCGGTCCGAGGTTGCGCGGCACATGGCAGAGAAGCGTTATGTGCACCCGGCACTCGCCTCACAGCTAACAATTCCCAAATCCAAGCAGCCGCCCAGCCAGAACCCGTACTTTGACTTCTGGGCCTGGTCGTGCCGCAATCTGGAGTGGTGCGGGCCGTGCACATCATCTGAGCGGGTGGCGACGAGCCACCATGTGCTCCCGATTTTCATGCACCACTTTGGCTGTGCTACACCGTCGCACGAGAGCTTGCAAGTGTTGAGACTCCTGGCAGACGGCCGAGCCATTGCGGATATGGGCTCGGGTAACGGGTACTGGACTTTTCTGCTTCGGCGGTATGGATTGACCGTCTACCCAGTGGATAACATGCAAAGCGAGTGGAGGGTCAATTGGGTCGACGACACCGTCATCATGGACGGCGTCCAATGGCTACGAAAGAACGACAACGGCAAAGACTTGGTCCTGCTGCTCGTCTATCCCGTTGTCGGAGGCGGCATCGGAGGAGGCACAGAGGGCAGCTTTACCAGGGGTCTCGTCGATGCCTTCCAAGGAGACACAATTGCCGTGGTTGGAACACAGAATGCAAATGGATACACGGGCTTTAAGAGCATGACAATGGACGTGTTTATGGAGCAAGAGCACCCGGAGTGGACCAAGGTGGTACAGATTCCCCTGCCAAGCTTTGCGGGCAAGGATGAAGCATTGTACGTCTTTCAGCGAGGCGGCAGAGCACCCAACGAATCAAGTTGAGATGACGAATCGAGTCGAGGTGGAAGTGGAAGTGGAAGCGGAAGTGGACATGAAAATGACGTGTCCAGGGACGCAAGGGGAAGGACATGCATACATACAAGCTCGGACTTGTGGACACACTACTGGAACCAAGTATGGAAAAATGAGATGGATGAGATGAGATGAATAAAATACAAAATCAATGTGCTAAGCTGAGCACAGATCTGATGTATATGGTTATGTGGTTATCTTGGACTGCTGCCCATTTCCTGTTGAGATGAGATGCAACCAATCCACCTGTATGTATATGTACATGTACTATTTTCCTTCAGATATAGGCCGCCCTTTCGGCGCTGCCCGAGCCCCATCATAGAGCCAAACAACACGCGATGCATGTACCTTTAATGGCCGAGTAAGCTTACTCGGACTCACGGGAACCATATTTCTAATATGCGTCAATCGTTATGGCGAGGCACACATGCGCACATGATTGAGGCTCTGCAAGGGCACTAGTTTCGGGTCATGCTGACCTTTGCCTAGTCGGTGTAGAGATGGAGAGCACAGACTCATTATACGGATACGATGACGGCCATGAGAGGGCGCTATTGACTTTTTTCCCACCAACTCTCGTAGGGCTGGTGGGAGGAAACAGAGCAGTTGAGTCGTATGACGGGGCTCGTTTCAGCCATACATGTTTCTTCTTTGGAGCGCGCGCTTGTGGTGGTTGCTCTGCTGCGTTGTGGGTGTGTGTTGTTGCAGGCAGGATTCCCACAACTACAGCCTCTCTTGTTTCGTGATGGCGATGATGCCTAATTATACCTGCGTATGTACAATGACAATGACTCAACTGCCAAAAGTACCCAAGGCATCAATGCCCAGCAGTCATATTCGTATAGACTGTTTGCAGCAGCTTCAGCTTCCGTCGTGATCAAATAGAAGCGAGAGATCAGCGCAATAGGCACGGCCCTGGTCCCTCTTTGGTGGCCCTTCACCGCGCCTCAGCTCGCTGGAACTGCCGCAACTCCTGCAGCGGCTCTGCGCTCTAACCACGGTAGGGCGTAGCGCACATGCAGGCGGCCTGGAGTTTACTAGCACCACCTGCTACTGCTAGGTGCATATGCGCTGAGCCTGTGCTGTAACCGCCATCCATATTCATGGGCCGCTGTCTTTTCGTCCTGCCTTTTTATTCTCTTCCTCCTCCATCACCATCGTCGCCGTCGCCATTGTCGCTGCTCGCCCGAGACCAGGTCGATACTGCACTTGTTCTCGCTGATCCTCGACAGCGCCTGGTGGATCGCACTAACCAGCGGCTTCACAAACCCAAATCCCCTCCCCCAGACGCCACCCCGCGCCCAGCTCCCGCCATGGACCATCCCGGCGCGACCATTTCCCTGGCCTCAATCACCAATCCTAGGGCCAGGTCCAGGTCTCGCGATGGCCGCTTCATCGAAGAGCCCAAGCAGCCGCAGCGCCCTGCGTACGGCGACTCCCGCGAGTCCAGCTATGTATACCCGGACGACGACCTGAGATCCCCCCGTGGATCTGGCAGCCATCTGCCGTACCCGGACGATGACAAGCTGAAGTATCTACCCCAAAAATATGGCCGCGGAATCGAGGACGACGACTTGGCTTACGGCCTGCCGCCGCCACATTCGGGCCGCCATCGCCCCTCCCAGTCTGTGGACTTGCGAAAGCACTCGGACTCGGACCGGGACGACTCCAGGTCTCACCGACGGTCCAACACTCTGAGCGTGGATGTTGCCGGCGGCCGTGACCGCTCGCGTTCGCGGTCAAGGGACGGGCGAAGCGGCCGAGACCGATCACCGCAGCCGCCCACAGGCCGCATGTCAACGCTGACGGTTAACACCGGCCGTGGCGCAAGCCTGTCGCTCGCCTCGGCACCGGCTTCTCCGCTGCTTGAATCATACCATGGCACATACCAGAACTGCTCGCCCATGCCCTCGCCTCTCCTGCTTGCGTCCAAGCATCCGTCGGAGCTTCCGAGAGTCGTGGATGCCCTTTCACCCGTCTCGGATGGTGAAGACGGCACCAGGCTCAATCGACGGGCTCGCTTCCACGATGCCGAGGACATTGCGTCTCGCCTTGCGCGAGCGCTAAAGGGCACTCACAAGCCCGACGTTGCGCCGTTCATCGAAATCCTCCCCAGCCTGTCGCACGAGCAGGTCATGGAGCTCCGTTCCGAGTACAAGCACATTGTAAAGACGGGCACGGACCGCAAGGGCGTCAACATCGCCAAGCACATTCGCGCCCGCTTCAAGGACGAAGATCCACTTCTCATGAAGGCGTGCTACGCCGTTGCTCTTGGCAAATGGGAGAGCGAGGCCTACTGGGCCAACTTCTGGTACCAAGGCGACAAGACCCGGCGCGAGCTGCTCATTGAGTCGCTCATGGGGCGGACAAACGAAGAGATCCGCCGCATCAAGGACTCCTTTTCCGACAAAAAGTACGACAACAGCCTGACCAAGTGCATGAAGACGGAGCTGAAGGAGGACAAGTTCAAAAAGGCCGTCTTGATGGTCCTGGATGAGCGTCGTATGGAGGAATACGACTACGAGGGCCGCAGACTGCCTCTCGACTATAAGCTCATTGATCAGGATGTCGAAGACCTGCACAAGGCGGTCAAATCCGAAAAGGGTGGAGAGACGATGATGATCTCCATTGTCGTCCAGCGAAGCGATGGCCATCTGCGTGCTGTCCTCAAGGAGTACGAACACCAATACCGGAGCAACTTTGCTCGTGATGCGCTCAAGAAGAGCGGCAACCTTGTGGTATGTAGCTTTCCCCTTCCAACTAAGAACCGAAAACTTTTGTATGAAATCGCCAATGCTAACAAACTCATTTAATCCAGGGCGAACTCCTCGCACATATCCTCAACGGCATCATCAACCGCCCCGTCCGAGACGCCCTGCTCCTGCAACACGCTATCACCGCCTCGCGCAAGGACTCGCTCCGCCGAGAGCTGCTCATCTCGCGCCTCGTCCGCTTCCACTGGGACTCGTTCCACATGCAGGACGTCAAGAGGGCCTACCGCGAGCGCTATGGCCAGGACTTGCAGGATGCCGTGCGTGAAGCCACGAGTGGTGAGTGGGGGCTGTTTTGCCGCGAGCTGTGCATTGCGCGGATGCCCAATGAGATACGAAGAATGGAGAACAGTAGGTAAGGAAATTGGTAAGACTAGATATACGTTAGTGAGATGTATGAAGTATGATGGCTTCTACTTGATTTGGTCTTGTTCGAACAACGCCGGTTGGGATCGGCATGAGGCTAGGAAACGAATGACATGGCACGACTACAATTGCGCCCTAATTTCCCGGGATGCAATAACTTAGTATTTATAACTATATATTTAGGCATATATAGATATAGATATATACACACACACATATACAAGCTTGTTTACTCCCCTCAATTTCTCTTTGGACGCTTGGCTCTCTACTTCTTTGACCCTTTGCCTCCCTTGCCACCCTTTCCTTGACCCTTTCCGCCACCTTTGCTCTTCCCGCCTCCGCCAGAAGAGCCACTCCCTCCACTCGCACCGGCCATCATGACTCTTAGCTTGCTGACGGGTACACTGTTGGCGATTTCCTCTGGCTTGAGTGCCTTGATGAGCTCAATCTCCCTGGGCCACATCTTCTCCGAATCCCTCGCCGCCTCGTCTATGACTCCTTTCCTGGCCGAGTCCGTCTTCAGCCGCTCCAGCACTTCCTTGATTGCCTTGCCCTTCTTCACGGAGCCCGGCTGCATCTTGACTTTGTATTTGTATCGAACCAGGGCGCTCCAAGGTGCGCAAACGGGAACGACTTCCAGAATCTCGTCTCCAGCCAGCGGCGTGCCAACCAACGTGTCCAGGTTTGTCGCCTTCTCTGCCTCGTCAGGTTCCAGAACATCTAGGCCCTCGTTCATCATCGCGCGGCGAATCTCCTCTTGTTCTGCAACTTCCTTTTGTTTCCGTTCGTGTTGAGCCCGTCGGCGCTCCTTCTGGGCTTCCAGTTCGGCCAGCCGTTGGGCTTTCGCGGCAGCTTCTGCTTCAGCACGCTGTCGTCCTATCGTTGCTCCTATCAAAGCTTCTGCTGTGGCGCGGTCTTCTTCATCCTGATCCTTGTATTTCTGAGCAATCTTCTTTGCTTTTCCCTTTTGTCCACGCTTCTGGCCTCTTTTCTTTGTTGCCTCTGAGGCTCCTGTAGTATATGAAGTAACATCAGAAGCCCGGGTAGGGGCTTCAGAAACTTCCGTGGCTGGTTCAGAAGGCGTTACCTCGTCTTCCTCATTGTCATCTTCTTCTTCGTCTGCATCCGCCTCGTTTGCTCCCTCTCCTTGCTCCTCTTTAGTTGTATCCACAGGCAACAGCTCAGCCTCATCGCTCTGAGGCTGGTCACTGATCTTTACAGTTGACAACTTGTCTGATGCGTCCTCTATAACCTCGTCCTCGTCGCCAGAGCCTTGCAGAGGATTGGCTCGTTTGTCGTCTCCAGGCTGATTTTCTTCCGACTCGTCGCCCGAATCTTCTGAATTATCAACTTCTTCAGCGTTTTGTAACTCATCTTCACCCGTCGTCGCAGTCTCTGTGGCTAATGAAGAGCGCTCGTCATGCACTCGGTGTTTCAAATGCTTGCCTTTGCTCTGCTCGCTAATCTTGAACGTAAAACCCAAACCAAGTAAAAGTTGCGTCGGAGGAAGATAGTTCTTCTTTCCTTGAATCGTAAAGTTCCCAGCTGGTAGGATGTCTCCTGTCGGGGTCGATTTAGATACTTGATCCGCATTCACCCACCATCCGCCCATGCCCGCTTTGGAGTCCCAGGCGTCTGAGGTGCATACTGACAGTGACCCTGCCTGTGATAGAGTTGCGGGAGGGATAGGGGCATCCGGCGTGTTTGGGTTATTCTTTATCACAATATGCGCGGCGCCACGGATATCAGCGTGACAGTAAACATCTCCCTTGCGCAGATACCTTCTGTAAAGCATTTCGCTCTGCTGAGGGTCTTTCCCTCCAAGAACCAAGTACCCATCCGAAGAGATGAACCAGATGAATTTCTCAAACCACATCTGCTTGCGAATGGGCTGCAAAAGAGCCTTCTCCTGCTTTAAACCCTTCTTCAGATCTTCTGCAATTTTTTGCTCGGTGCTCTTCAGGGCTTTGTTCGCTTGAAGCTGAGTTTTTTCCTCCTTCATAGCAGCAGACCTTCGCTCTTCATAGTACTCTCTTGCGTTGCTCCAGGGGCTTGTATTGAGGACGATATCAACAGTGAGAAGCTTGTCGGCTTTCTTATCCTTGGTTGGCGTGACTTCGCTCGCCTCTGCTTCAGAATCGCTATCGTCCGTTTCGAAAGGATTGTCCTCTGCCGCTTCGTCCTCATCAAACTCCTCTTCTGCGAGGAGAAGCGTAATGGTGTTTTCTGCTAGTTTCAGGGGAAGGCTGATGATCTCGGCAACCGGGTTCTGTCGTTTCTTCTCTCGCTCAATGAGCTTTCCAATATCTACCCAGTCCATACCTTGAGCGAGAAGGCCATTAACCGCATCCATGGCTTCCTGCACACGCTCCACATTTGCTTCAATCGCAGCTGCTTTGCGAAGATTCATCGCCTGTGCATCCTGCAAACCTTCGATTCGCTTGGCCTGTTCGTGCCTGGCTGCTTCAAGCTTCTTCTTGGCAGCTTCCTCTCTCCCACTAAGACGAGATTCTAGCTTCTGGCCCTCTAGAGAGGAAAAGAACTCATCAACCGTTCGGTTATACCCTTCAAATTCTAATACTTGAATAGAGGGGTCATTCTTGAACTTTTGAGGGACAAATGGATGGAAATCTTCATAGAGCAATCCCTCATGTTTTTGAGCCTGATCCGTCTCGTCCGGTCCACTCGAAGGAGCCGTCTTTTTCTTGGCGAAAATGTAACCCTTGCAGGTGGCAGATGCGATAATGTTTTCAACAATATCACGAGCTTCAGACAAGTGTTTAACCAGTTCATCCAGCAGCAGCTCATTATCAACCACATCAGCCGGCTTGGCGGAGACATCAAAGCTATTTGCCTGAAGAATATTTTCAACCAGGGCAGGAGGCAGCTCTGTTATAGATACTGCCAACGCTTTCCGTAGATCGCCACCAGACTTGCCTTTCGCTTTCGAACCGGAGAAAGTAGCGGCCACTTTGCTTGCTTCAGCCTTTTCAGCAGCAGTCTTAAGGGCATCCCTTATCCTTTCTTTTGTCAAAGCAGGGATGCCACCAAAGTTCTGCCTATTCTCCAGAGAGTACTGTAGGCCAACCCCTTGGGGCTCCTGCCCCTCTCCCTCACTAACATTGCGAGAAATAGCCAATATCTTTAGGTCGGCATCTGTGAGAATAATATTTCCACTCTATAGCAACACCCAAAGTTAGCCTCCAACTGCTTCAGGAATAGATGCACGCTCATGAGGCAGAACACAGCAATGTACTTACGGCGAAGAATTTGAGGAACAGGCGATATTGGCCATCGCTAAACTGGAATTCGAGGATTCTATCGGTTCCCACTTGCGCAACGGACGTCAATCGCCTGGTCTTGAGATATTTGCGTAGCCGAGCTACAAAGGCAGACGGTGCCGCTGCAGTTGTTCGGGCAAAGTCAGTCAAGTGGCAGCGAAACCCATTGTCTATGACAAGTTGCTGCTTGTTATCCGGTTTGGCGAATTTCAGGAGGAGGATCTTGGAGGAGAGGTCGTAGACATTCGCTAGCCGTAGAGTCACCAAGCTCCCTTGGAGCTCGTGCGCAATGACCTAACCCAAGGATGTGGTCAGCAGGCGATTGGTCACGTTTGTTCATACCGAGAGGAAGCGAGAGAATTGCAAAGTACCTTGACATCTAGAGACGAAAACCTCTGCTTCATGCTGGGATTTGAGTTTGCGCAGACCCTGAAGCGTATATATTTGAAGCTTCAATGGTGGGAAACTGCATTTGGATCCGTGGGGCACTTGGCCGCGGGGCAGCTGTGACGACATAAGCATGGGCATCACGTGGCTTCGCATAACGCATAATGGCTCGTCGTGGCCAACGATATAAGAAACGAGTGATTGTTATAAAGAAGCTACGAAAACTAAGTCGCTGTTAGATGAAGCTTGCATGGCATCTACGTAGGCAAAAGATAGTAGCAGTATTCTCTGACGGGGACACAACTGCAAGCCAAGCATATGTAGCTCTGGCTATAGTAGCACAGGCAGCTACTGTACAGTGCTATGCACAACACGCCAGTTGTTGTGCATAGTAGTGACAGCAGCTGATGCTGATTTGCAGCACGTGCAAGCACCGGAGCCCAAGGCGGGCAGTGCAAAAAGACTGAGGTGGCAGATTGCCCTGTCCATGGCAGTAATTGAGATGAACCACCGGCTGACGAATAGCATTCAGTAAAACATGCGGTCGAGAAATTAGTCTGCGAAAAGGTGAGACATTCTGATACGAGTGAGAGACACTAGAAGTTACCTAAAGCGGACATAACAGTCAAAAGAGGAGGCTGGGGGTTATTAGGGAAGGACCTCTGCAGCCGAAATTCTCGTCGCCTCCTTGCAGAGCAGCTGTAAACAACACGTCGACTCAATTGGCCCATTTGACAACCACCAGAGCAAAAAGAAAAGTGAGAAATGGGAGCAAAAAGCAAAGCAGACGACCACGCCAGGAGTCGAACCTGGAATCTCTAGAGAGGGTGAATTCTCTGAAACCGAAATCTAGCGCCTTAGCCATTAGGCCACGCGGCCGCTAATCTTGAGTTGGTGTGACGGGTGCTCCAATGCAATGAACAAGGCTTCACTCTCTTCCGGGCAAACCTCTGGGGAAATCAGCAGCTGAAGCCATTCGACCGAGGCACATGTTGCCACGATTGGACCCGCCGCGTCCATGTCACCAGTCCAATCGAAAACGCGAAACTGAGCTTCTTCCTCGGTCCCGCGATTCGCGAGCACGACGCGTCGCAGCACGGACCTGCTCCCTGCCGCTCTGTTGGACGTCTGGTGCTGTCCAAGTGGTACAGATTGAAACGCTGGCGATATCCTTGTCACCCCCCAGAGGCAGAAGGATCATCTTGGACAAATGTCGTCCCAGCAACCAGATAATTGAGGTGGAGGAGACGGGAAGACAGCCAAGGCTCCCAGCGTTTGGCAGCTCCTTGTACGATACAGTATGCACGAGAAGTCGATGCCCACGAGATCCATGCTAATGTTGAGGACGAATGTACGAGTACGGTATACGGTACGGTACAGGCAAACCAGGGGCGGCCGACACAGGGAGCTTAAAGGGACAGATCTGTCATGGATTGGGCACAAGGAACCGCTGCAATTCCCACCAGAACGTCATGGCCAACTGAAGGGAAATGAGCTGCCCGAAAAGCGGACCGAGGCCTGGCCCGCGACTGGTCGACTAGTTTGCCAGCCATCTCTCTATCTGAGCCTGAGCCTGAGCCTGGAGCTAGGCAAGGCCCCCCTCTAGACCGATCCGACGAGTCTGTCGGCTTGTTGCCACCCAGCCACATATTTCGGGTGCTACAGCACAGCTGCCGTACAATCGAGTACGCAATTATCCTGCTGCATTAGCATCAAACAGCCCAATGGCGGCTTTACACGATGTCAACACGCACGGGTGGCAGGGAGCGAGCACCCTTTACATGCAGCAAACCACAGCCATAGTCTCAGGCGGGCGGCACGCCAAGCTGGCCAATGGCAGCCGTGCGAGTGCAGCTCCCCGACCAGCGTTGGGCCTCGAGTGTGGCCAGCTAATAGCCAGAACGCGCGACAAGATCGAGAGCAGCCCTCCCCCAGCCATCTCTTGTTTTGCGCTGCTGCAGCTAAGACTGCATGTGCATCACAAAAGTGGGCGCTTGATAGACCTCCTCCAGCCGGTATTGGCGAAGGGGGATAAACGATGGACAGAGATGCAGCATCAGCTCGGACGGAGCCTGCCCTCCCTTGATAAGCCAAAACTCTTTTCCGGTGGCGCCATACGAGTGCGGCACATGTCACTAGCAGGACTCTCAGTATTACCAGACTCAATGGCACGGCACGGGTTGAGTTGGCTTCCCAGCCTCTCTCGCTTGCTGTCTTGTCCCCTCTCGCTCTCTCGCCCGCAGGCAGATGAGGCTGGATCGGGGAACCCTCTAGGCCAGGAACCAGTCGCGCCAACTGCTGGCCAAAAAACAGAGAGGCCACAGTCGCGCTTAAAAATGGGTCGGAGCTGACCACACCAATATGGGGAGCTACCACAGCTATGGGGTACTACAGGTACTAGATTACATTACCGGTTTATTACTGCCACTAGTGGCAGAGTAGCCATGAACATCAATCGCCGAGCCTGACTGGTCAATCAGCGGTCGATTCAGGGGGACGCAAGGGAAGCAGGGAAGCAAGGAGGCTGGGGAGCTCTTGGTCGCCCTTGGGGTCCCATCCGCTTACCGCTGGGTTGCAGCATCATGTCCGAGGAGTCCACTGGCGACTGGAGACTCTAGTACGCCTGAGACGCAGCCTCGGGAAACCAGTGGACGAGACGCCTGCTGAGCTTGCTGAGCTTGCAGGGGAGTTGGATGAGGTTGGCTGAATGTGGAGACGATGGCGGAGACGAGAAGCCCAGGATACGACAAGACTAAGCCGCTTGTGATGAGAATAAACAATAACATGGCCAGTCCCGGTGGCAGGTAAACATGGAGGGCCGATAGGCTTACCCTCCTTGGCAACGCAACACAGCGAGCACGCCCACAATCGCAGGCCTGGCCCCCGACCTCAAAAGCCCATCGAGCGTCGTTGCTTCTGATCCGCCATTCCTTCCCTCCAATTATCTCAATCGCCCGCCAGAAACAAAGGAACAAAGAAAGAAAAGACTCTCAGAGGTATTCAATCCCTCTCTCTTTTCTCTCTCTCTTCGACTTTTGTTTCAGGAACAAAAGCTTGAGGATCCTTCTTGTCTTCCTTTCGTGATCTTACGGAAGGTTGTATGAGAAGATTCTCTCGCGCCAGCGCAAGCCGTCAACCTGGACTTTGAAGCCCGAGTTCCCGTGCCCTTTAGCATCTTCCCGTCCACTTACAAGGACAACGAAGCAGCACGCCCTCAGACTCAAATCACCACTCACGAGGAGGTTCAACTAACCCTCCCTCAAAAGAAACCAGCCGGACGGGAGGGTCAACTCTCTTCTTTCCCCCCAAGCACCGACCTAGCTCCTCCTCGCGTTGAACAGCGCTTTGAAGAAGAGGTCCGTATCACTCGTGAGGAAGAACGTCACCGCCGTCCCGGTTCCCGCCAGTCCGAACGCTTCGTAAAGGAAGAGTTCCGGTAAGTTGATATCTTTTTTCTTTGCCATCAGATTCGCTCTATCCGTGTTTTTCTGTTCCTTGCGGTGTGAGCCGCTTGGAGCAGGAAAAGGGGCGAGAGAGGGCGGTAATGGGGACCCCGAGCAAACGCAAAGCGATGGACCGCCTGCCAGAGCGGCTGCTGAAATTGCCCTTCGTATTCTCCTTGCAGCTTTTGCCGCGGCTTCTAGAACGCGTCAATTGCGAGTGGAGATGAGAATGGGCACGGGGAGGGCGGCGGAGCTCACTATGGGGAGCTGACAGCCGGGGTGGGAGTTCAGCTAGGGTTCCCAGCCATGCTATTTTATCCCGGCTCAGGGGTGTCCGGGCCCACAGGTGTTGGCCCAGAGACGAGGGAAGCTCAAGCACAAAAGGGAATCTCTCCAACTAACTCGAGTACTTTTAGACCTATCCCACCTCCTCCTCGCGACTACACTGAGACTCAGGTCAAAGTCGATTCCTCTCGCCGCCTGTCCAACCCCATTGACGTTGCTGAGCGTGAATACCGAGAACGTTTCCGTCCTCAACAGCCTGAAGCCACCACCGGTCTTGAACTAGTTCAGGTCCGCCGTCCTCGACACGAGAAGCCTGTCCACAAGGTCACCGACATCACTGTCGACGAGCGTGTTTCTATCGCCCGTCCTAAGTTCCGTGAGGAAATCAAGATCACTGAGGAAATCCGCGAGTCTACTCCGTATCCTTCCGAACAATCAGCCAAGATGGGTTACTACGACGACGAGGGTAAGCTATACTAACCTTTCTTTGTTGTTTTCCTTCTGTCTGCCAACGCGTGCAAGCGTACGCTAACGCGTGTCGCCGGTAGGCTCCTACCACTCCATCCGCCAAGGCGTGGCCAAGGCTGTGGACAAGCTGCTCCCTCATCACCACCATCACCATCATCATCACCACAGTGACAATAATAACACTACCATCACAGAGCATGTTGACATTGATGTCCGCCACGATGCTAATCCTTCGCGCCGCCCAGCTCCCGCTACCGAGTCGCAGCCTAACACTGTGTCCATCCCCTGCCACCACATCCGTCTGGGTGACTTCTTGATGCTCCAGGGCCGACCATGCCAGGTCATCCGCATCTCGACCTCCTCTGCCACTGGCCAGTACCGCTACCTTGGTGTTGACCTCTTCACCAAGCAGCTGCACGAGGAGTCCTCCTTCATTGCCAACCCCGCTCCCAGCGTCGTTGTCCAGACCATGCTCGGCCCTGTCTTCAAGCAGTACCGTGTCCTTGACATGTCTGATGGCTTCGTCACTGCCATGACCGAGACCGGCGATGTCAAGCAGGGTCTGTCTGTCATTGACCAGTCCAACCTTTGGTCTCGTCTCCAGCAGGCTTTCGAGTCCGGCCGCGGCAGCGTCCGTGTCCTCGTCCTCAACGATGGCGGCCGTGAGCTCGCTGTCGAGATGAAGGTCATCCACGGCTCTCGCTTGTAAACACTCTCTGCTTTGTTCTCAGGGAGGGTTATACATCCATCCTATGGATATTCCAGGCTCGGTTCTAGTCTGAATAATGTGAAATATACCCCATGGGTTTGGAGGGTGCGCGGAACGGATGTTTGTCATTTTTGGATCGGTTAGGGTTGTATTTTGGTCATGAGGCAGAGTGCCCAGTAGATAGGATCTACCTATATGCCGCACTGTAATTAAGATGGATTTTGCATAATGTCTTTGTGCTGCATTGTCTCAGTGATGTATTATGTCGTGAAGTGTGTCCTTGTCGTCGCGTATACTCGACGCTGCTCCCAAACGCGTAGACAACATGATGGCCATGTACCACCAAGGTACCCCTAACCAGCTGAATGGTCATGGGATACATGGGGAAACCCCACATATTAGTACACGATGGCTGGTTTGTGAGAGCTGATAGCGCTCTTTGCTTGGCCCCACCGTGCCTGGAGTATGCTGCTTTGCTACTTGATGCTACTAACCTACCCTACGCCTGTACTTATTATCTTTCGTCGTTGTTCCAGATGCCTTCAATGCAGCTGCAATCGTTTAATAGCAGAAAAGTATGGCCTTGAAGGAGGACCATACGTAAGCAGATACCCTAGACCTATGGGCGGTACAAGGCAATCGCCAAAAGCAGATAGCGCGGCAAAAGAACCAGCCCATGGGAATATAGCCGACAAATGACAGCTCGCGATTTTGAGTTGTAGGGAGGGGAATGAGGGGGAGAGGCCGGATAAGCAAAGTGTATGCAGGCGAACCATGTCTGGATGATAAGAGGCTGCTCCAGCGTTACGTCGACTCATCGATCGCGTGCCGAGAGTTTGCTGCTTCCGACGCACCTTGATAGGTAAGTCCATATATAGGTAATGATATAATCATTCTCGGCGAGAGGAAATACGTGGCAGACACACAACAAAGAATCTTGCTCAACTCGTTACTATGGGTGGCCAACCGTCTAAACCAGTCACTGCCTCGGAGAGTGAGAAGCTCATCCTGGAGCGTCTCCGCAGCTTCAAGGTGGAAGATGGAGACTATCTCAAGGTCCAGATGAGCGGCGATGCCGAGAAGACGGAGTATCACGAAGAGATCAAGCGGGAGGCCGAGGGTCTACCCATCTCGTCACTCGAGGTCTTTATAGACAGTGTGATGAAGGATCCCAAGAACAGGTGAGTTGATGGTTCTCTTGAATGGTGGCATCATGGATGCTGACGGTGAGGGCTACCTCTTCAGACTGGCGCATGCTGCCTTGAGCTCGTCCGATCCTCGGCAAGCTCTGACTTCGCCATCAACAAAGATTGCAAACCAGCACGTCTTCAACGTCCAGATCCCCTTTGAGGGCGACCCCATCACCAACCAGCGGTCCAGTGGGCGCTGCTGGCTCTTCGCCTCGACAAACGTCTTCCGCGTTGCGCTCATGAAGCGCCACAACTTGGCGTCGTTTGAGCTGTCCCAGGCCTATCTCTTCTACTGGGACAAGCTTGAAAAGGCCAACTGGTTCCTCGAGCAGATTGTCGAGACGGCCAAGGATGACCTCGACAGCCGTGTTGTGCAGAGGCTGCTCGGGGACCTTATCTCGGACGGCGGCCAGTGGGACATGGTGTACAACCTCGTCGAGAAGTACGGCCTTGTCCCGCAGAGTCTGTATCCTGATAGTTGGAACGCCATGAACTCGAGCATTCTCAACAGCATCATTAAGACTAAGCTCCGCGAGTTCGCGTTGCAGCTGCGCGAGTTGTGCAACGGCGTCCCTATTCCGTCTTCCGTTGTCAGCGCATACAAGGTGTATGCGATTAAGGAAATCGCCCTTATCATGACGCTCCTGCTCGGACAACCCCCGAAGCCGAGCGAGGAGTTTACGTGGCAGTTCCTGGATAAGGACGGCAAGGCTCGCGAGGTCAAGACGACGCCCAAGGCCTTTTCCAAGGACATTTACAGCTCCGAGTTCCGCATCACCTCGGACGCCATCACGAGCATGATTTCTCTTGTCCACGACCCTCGCAACGATACGTTGAGAAAGCTCACCGTCTCCAGGCTCGGCAACATCGTCGGCGGCCGGGACATTACATATGTCAACGTGGAAATGGACACTCTCAAGTCGACGTGTGTAAAGATGCTCAAGTCCGGCTTGCCCATCTTCTTTGGCTGTGATGTTGGCAAGTTCAGCGACAGAGTTGCGGGTATCATGGATCTGGATCTGTTTGACTACGAGGCGGGCTTCAACACCGGTTTGAAGGGCATGACCAAGGCGCAGAGACTCATGACAGGCGAGAGTCTCATGACGCACGCCATGGTCCTGACGGCGGTGCATGTGGATGAGAAGACGGGCAAGCCAGTTCGATGGAGAGTACAAAACAGCTGGGGCACTGCAGTTGGCGACAAGGGCTGGTTTGTCATGAGCGATGCCTGGATGGACGAGTTTGTCTATCAGGCAGTCGTGGACCCCAGATTCTGCAGCAAGGAGGTGAGAGATGTGCTGAAGCAGGAGCCCATTGTCTTGCCATTGTGGGATCCGATGGGTTCATTGGCTTAAATTATGAGTTGTCTACTAGTTCTTTTTCCATGCCGACTTACTCTGTATGTCTATTCGCTTGTTGTAAGTTATAAGTATGTTGAATGGAAGTAATTTCGAACTTGTCGAGTCCAGCAACTTCCAGTATCTGTATCTCATCACGCCTTGCATGTAATGACTGGAGAGATGAACATGTTCAAGATGACCATGATAAGAATGTCACAATTTTACATACATACCTACCAACACATCTTTAAGGGCAACGAGGATAACGTCTCATTGAAGCACCCGTCCTCACAGCAGAATACGAAGCCAGTTCTCACAACAACCACAACGCTTTCCCTAGCTCCAAAACTACCAAAGTAACTGATCCGAATACGGGCTCGAACGCAACCGTGACGGCTCAGCGTCTCATGGCTTCTGGAAATACCGTGGCATCCCCCCTTGTCATATGTGCCCAACCCGCGCTTGTTCTTGGCGGGAAATGGCCGCATTGGGCTTCAACGGGAACAGGGATCCGGCATGTGCTAAGTGTGGGACTTGTTGAGTGGGCTTTCGACGTCGATGCTACCAAGGTTTTGGGAATGCCCAGAGACTGTCTTATCCTGAACGAGAGACGGCAGAGCAGGGAATGCCATGCCATGTCCATCCTCCCATGGGTTGTTACGTCCATGTCCTCCCTGCCCAACGTTTTGAACCCTCCGTACTCGCATGTCCCTCCGTTTCCCGGCTATCAAGGTTTGAAGCCAACCTTGCCAAAGTATGCAACGGGCATGCAAGCACGCCTCCTGCCCACATACACCCACATACGGGCGTACGTAGAGTACCTGTATGTATTTCTTGCCTATGCATGGCATATTCCCGTGCATGCACGTGTCAGACGGGAGGTACGATATCAAGTGCCGTATTGGGTATGCCGCATGCCTATAGGTTGATGTATAAATAAACATGAACCCAATCCATACATTCGTATATATGTAGATGCGTGTATATATAGCACGGCATTAGGACAAGACGTTGGCCTTCCAATAGCATTTCTTTGCAGAAACTATTGCGTGTTGAGGGGCCAGTCGTCCGAAGCTCGTAGCCAAAGAGCTTGCCATTCATTCTGATGGAAGCAGGCGAGAGATCCATGCTTGTGTCTCGGCTAGACAACGAGGGGGTCACATCTCCGCACATGTTTTATAAATTCTCCAGCAGGATCGAAGCTCCTTGGTAAGAAAAGGCCGAGGTTTGTTAAGCCCCCCGGTCAAGTTGGGCACAAGCATGGACCAGTATGGCAGCCCAACCTGACGGCCGTGTATTGACACAGATCCACTCGAGAACTAGCCATCAGGATTGGTGTGGCCAGGGGAAAGGCACCAGAGTGCCGCGATCAATCAGACGGCGTGCTCTTGTTATGAAGATGAAAGCCGCCGAACTTTGGTTTTCGTATGACGGTGGAGTAAGGTTTGCTAGTTGGAAGACTCATTGTAGGGGAGGGAGGGAGGGAGGGAGGGAGGGAGAGAGAGAGAAGCCGTGGCTCCCGAATGGTTTCATCTTCGACTCCGTATCGTGTAGGTCGTCTCCCACATACCAGTATTTGTCCTGCTTAGAGACTCCCAATTCAGCAGATGGGAATCTCTTTAGCCCGGCAAATTTGACAGAACCCGGAGGTGACACCAGATGAGATGCGGCATATTAGCTCATCCAGTGGTGTTCCTGGCTAATTGTTCGCACGAACGGGTTTGGGAACATGGCTAGCAAGGGGGCCACTCCGCCGGTACGGAGACGAGAAACACAATCATCTCGATCATTGGGCGCGACGAGATTGGAATAGCTGTGCACATGGCCCCGATAAGAGAAAAAGGCAACCGGAGGCGTGCAGTCAGCTGTGGCTCTGACGCTGGCGTGGTGGCGATATCAAGCCGCGACGTCATCATCGTATTTGTCCCAGATTTGCCAAACGAGGCTATTCCGGTCTACCAGCGTAGTTCTGCGCCCAAGGATTCAAGGCAGCTCCTCCGGAATTGTAAGGCTTGAGTCTAGATGTTGGAGCCCAAATTGGCCGGATAACGAATTGAGCCCGTTTTCAGGTTTTCATTAGGTGGGCAAATACAGTACATACATGTAGTTACCAGCCCAAGAACGCTCTGGCATCTTCCTTGTCGTTCGCTGATGTGGTTGTTCCTCCACATCCGAACGTCCGGGAGAAGCTTACCAAGTCCAGTAGAGCTGCATCGGAATCAGCAGAGCCGAGGATAATCGCAGAGCTTAATCATGTGTAGCTCAGCGGGACAGCTCCGTGACAAAGCTTCATCATCACAAACCGCAACTCTGATGCCACCACAAGCTTCCATCGCCATCCACAGCATCTCGCAGCTCCCATCAGCTCGAGCCACAGCAGCGGGCGCTGATTAGCAACTACCGGACCGCTGCTAGGGCGCCCTGTCCCGCTAAGAATAGGCACAATTAGCACGCTGATCGGTGCCCCTACAGCGCCTGTAGTGGCGTTGGTGGCTCTCCCTAGCGGTAACTCTACGGGGACTCTGCCCACTATCGACCCCTGGCACCAGGCAAAGTCGTCATGACCCCAGACCGTTTTGCCTGCATCGCGCACATTAACCGTCCACGTCCCCTCTCCCTTGCGTCGGCGAATCACTCACGAAGCAAACCCTTCTTTTTTCTGGACCCTGCGCTGCATGGCTCGGGCCTTTGAAATTTTTTTTTACCCTGCCGAGTGCCTTCAATTCTTATCCTCGTAACCCCGGACCCCTGGTAGAGCCGATAGATGCATTGCTGGTACTAAGGCTGACAGGGAACCCCGCGATCATATATACAAGGATTTTCTCCCACCAGAATTATTATCTCACGACGTGGACGGCGACCCCTCATTCCTAAAAATCCGGTTCTTTGCATTGCTCGGCTGGCTGTGACAGGATTTTGACAGCCGCTTGTGACGTGTGACTCTGGCATCATCTGCTTTGCTCTACTTCAGGCCGCTCTCAGTGGTCTCCATTCTGCATCATCCTTTATATCGGGTCGGCCGCCGTTCGCATCTGTCTGGGAGACGCCTCGTCTTGTGTCCGGGCCCAGCAGCACCATGACTGACCGATATCGAGGAGGGTATCCTGCGGCTGGCCGGTCCGCCACCTTCAACAACCCGGCCCGGATCTCTCTGCCCGCTGTGGGCGGATATGGAGCCTTGTATGCCAACGACGCGGACTACGTCGCTTCGCCCACGAGATATTCCGCAGCCACCCCCAGAGGCTACACAGCAGCTGCGCCTCCTGCAGGCGTCGTTGTGCCTCCGAGATCATACTCGACCGTCAACCCAGAGCCGCGGGCTCCCAGGCCGGGCCCTCGTGAGCCCAGCCGTAACCGGCGCTCTACTCTCGATGCGTCAGCCAGGCCTCCCATCATCGTCACGACCATGCAGGACCACCGCCCGCACCCTTCAGCTCCGCACACTGCCGATGTCCTTGCCGCCCACAGAGGAAGCCCTGTCCTCCAAGACACCTATCGATCCAGTGACGGGAGGCTCTATTCTCAGCCAGCGTCGTCCATCAGATCCCGGAGCACCGCCCGTCCATATCATACCTCCTCTGCTAGCGACGACTTTGGCCGCTCCCGAGAGCAAGGCGAGATCGTGCTGGCCAGTCGCGATGCCGATGCCTATCGCAACTCTCGGCCTCACGTTGTCTACCCAAGCAACTCCCGGCACAGCAACGCCGCTATTGACTACGGGGATGACGGATACCAGTATACAAATGCCGGCGAGCTGGTTCGATATGATCTAGACCATGGGGCCGCCCCCGCCCCGGCCCGTTCCCGCAGGCATGACAGCTTTGACAGGACATATTCCCGCCCCAATATCAATTATAATGCGGACCAGCGAAGCTTCAACGTCAACACGACGCTTGATCCCACGCGTGCCAATCGGCCTTATGACAGTCGAGGTGGTCCTCCACCTTCGACCCGTGGGTTTGACAAGATTGGCCGAGCATATGAAAACGGTCGTGACGTTCCCCCTGCGGCACCAGCTCCCCCCAACCCCAACTCATCCGGGCCTCTGGATGTTGCTGGAGGATCTGCAGAGCAGCGAACCATCAGGCGTCCCAGACCTCTTTCGCTCACGCAGGAGCCAGGAGCTCACGGCTCTCATCACGAAGACTATTACAGAGGCTACGATGATGACGGCTTTGAACCCCGGCGGTTCTATGACGACAGCGTCACCTCCCGAGGTTTCGGTCTACGGGTCCAGCCTGACGACCTTGAAGACCACAGGGGCCGCTACTGGGATCCAAGAGACGACCAAGGGAGAGATGAGTCGTCCAGGAGAGAGCATTCTCGTAAGAGAATAGAGGCTCCAGGCAAGGAAGGACAGCGGCCTCGCGATGAAGAAGAGCGGGGATCTGACCGCGAGAGAGATGATTGGTACCGAAATAAAGATAACCTCCGTGAGAGGCTAGACGGTAGGAGAGACGCGGATCAGGAAGACAGTGACCGATCCCGAGCCCGAGAAAAGGTTGCTTCCGCAGGTGCTGCTGCTGCTGTCACTGCCACCGCCACTGCAGCAGCCAGTGGCCTCTCATCAAATATGAAGAAGGATGAGAAGACAGAGCCGAGTGAGTCACGGAGACGCCGGGCTTCTGATGAGTCTGACGAGCGGGATGAGGACCGAGAGCGTCGTGCCACAAAGCAAGATGTGGAGGCCAGAGATCGGAACAGGCGATCAGCCGAAGCCAAGCTGAATGGCGATTCGGTAGCAGTTGTATCCTCGGATTCTGATGAGGGGAAGAAGTCAGCGCGCAGACATCGTCCCTCCAACAGCTTTGATCCCAATGACACTGGAGATCTAAGACAAATCCGGGAGCAGCTCGCCGCTGTGAAGACATCTGATAGCGAGAAGGCTGAAACCAATGGCAAAGAACGCGTATCTCCTCCTGCTAAAGAAGATCGTCGGTCTGAGTCACCTGCTGGGGAAGACAACCGTGGGCGTGATCTAGTTCTCCGTTCCCCAGAGGAAAAGCAAGTCCGTGTGGTATCGCCGCCGCGCGAGAAGAAGGAGGACAAGCCTCTCAAGGGTATTCTCAAGCAGCCAAGCGCTAAATTCCCCGAGGAACTCAATCCTATTCGCGAGGGTGTGGCGCCGCACAAGGAGGATAAGAAGTTGAAAGAAGTCCCACCGGGCGCTCGATGGACCAAGATCAACCGCAAGATTGTCAACCCAGAGGCCCTGGAAATCGGCAAGGAGAGGTTTGAGCTCCGTGATGACTTTGTCATTGTCCTTCGAGTCTTGAGTAAGGAAGAGATTCAGGCATATGCTGCTGCCACGCAGGTCTTGAGAGGTAAGGCGACTGATGAGCGAACATAACCATCATCTCCCCCTGAGTCCTATTTCACTCTTTTACATGACTAACATATGGATCCCGTGGAAACAGAGCGGCGGCGAAACAAGGAGTCCGGCGGTGATCATGACAGCGATCGTGACCGAGATCGAGACCGAGACAACCATGGTCGAGACCACGACCGTGATTACGATGACCGGGATTATGATGGAGAGTATGGTCGTGAGTACGACCGCGAATATGATCGGGAGTACGATCGAGAGTACGAGGACGATAGGGAACGACGAGGAAGCCACCGCCATCGCCGTCATCGAGACGATCTCGAGGTGGTAGATCCTCGTGAGCCTGATCGCGAGCGTGACCGTGACCGCGACCGAGAGAGGCGACGCCGACACAGGCGTGATGAGGATGATGAGTATGAGTCCAGGTCACGAGACGCGGAGCACCACCATCATCACCGATCCCATCGAGAGGCATGATGATGTTTTATGAAAAGCATTTTTGGAGCGAAGCTACAGCATTTTCCTACCTAGGCGTGCAAACTTGTGTTGCGTGCGTGTTATCATGAGCATGTCTCCTCTTTCTATTTCTCTTTTCCCATCTTCCTTCTTCTTTTTCTTCTCTTCTCTTTTTTTCTTTTTTCCCTCTCATCTCCAAACGGGTTGAAACGACACAAGGCGTTTTGCTTGGGCTATATCAAATGATTTTTTTTTCTTACTTTTTATATGTTGAAGTAAAAATGGGTTGACGAATCTACGCTTGTGTAAGTAGAGGGTTATGTGCCAATGAATGAATGATGGCGAGCGAGAGATTTGGATTTATTGGTTTCTTCATATTCTTGGATTTATTTTTACACATGGCTCTAAGGGAATAAAAGCTTGGATTGATTTTTCTCCTGCATAGGCATGTCAGAACTGCGACGATTTCCTGTGATTTGCTTGCATCCAACGTTCGCGATATACACACTATTTGTCTCTTCCTGTCGGCCAAGAACGGAATCTACAATTCATCTGCTTCGTCAATCTGAGACATGCCGTAATAATGGAGACTACTGTTTCTTTGCCTCTGGCACATTCCTCTTTCATGCCCCCTCGCATGGCCAAGATGGGGGGAACATGGGTAAGATACTCGGCTATCCCAGCGAGACGGAGCAACAACTCCATGTCCCGTTCTCTCGGCCCCAAGCACGAGCACGAGCAGTTCCTTGCAGGCATTCCCCCTTCCGCCCCCTTCTCACACACCTTGCGGAGGGGCAAGAGGGCATACGAGTAAGTACTCGTGCAGGTAAAGATTGTCGCCCCCCGAACCCTGTCTCGGCTGGGGGCGATACAATGTGTGGCGATGTGTAGCAGGCCAAAAAAAATGAAATAAATAAATAAAATAAAATAAAATAAACAACAGCTGTGTGTTGGTGCTTGTTCTCTTGTTGCTTGTTTGTACTGCTTGGTGTTACCACCCCCTTCCTCTTATCCCGGAGAAGGGAGGGGGGAAGGATCGTTGCGGGCTGTGCTCGTGTATCGCATCGGGTTCAGATTGACGAAAGGGTGTATTTTGTGGACTGTTTGATTTCCGGGGACGAGATGGGCTGTTGATGAAGGGGAATGGAGTTGATGTCGGGGATGCGATTGAGTGGTACAGGGTAGGTGGGTGGGTGGGATAACTGGGAAGTTCGCGTATAACATCTACAGATCTCCATGGCTACAGTACAGGCAATATTCATCAAGAGCAACTCAAGTACACTCGGTACTCTATACTTTGGAGTTCGCTACAAGTACGAATGGAAAGGTACGAGTACAAAGCACTAAACATGCAACCACACCACTTCCTCACCATTGAAGTTGGTCGTACGACGTGTAATTTAAATTAAAAGAAAAAAGAAAAGAGACGACAAGAGTAGACAAGGAAAAGAGAGGGAGACAAAAAAAAAACCCCCAAGGGGAATACGAACGCAGCTGCAAATGACGTCCTCCCACCGAATCCAATGGCCGATCTGTTGCTTTGGTAAAACCACCCTCCTCCTCCTTGAATCCTTCTCCCAACCTGGAACACAACAACTTGTCTTGTACCTGTACCGGCTACTTCTTAGCGACAAGCACCTACCCGTAGTACCTACCTACCTACCTAGATACCTATAGTAGACAGATCTTTTTTTGCCCGTCGGCTCTTGATCTTCAAGGCTCAATGTCGCTTGTATCTGCCATGAGCCCGACATGTACCCGTCAAGTAGTAATACTGCCCTCTTTTCCCTCTGTCTCTTCACAGAGGAGCCCCCCCCCCCCTCCTCCCATTAACATCCCGTTTCTTTTCCCTTCTATTCCCTCATCTCCTCTGTACAAATACTCCACACTGCTACTCTCTCTCCCCCCAGTGTGGCAGCTTAAGCACCACCAAATCTGTAACCACACAAGTTCCTTTTTCTGGTCTTCGTAGTGGTGGGCGGCTGTTACTCCAGCATGTGCTCATGGTGCCATGATATCATCAGCATCAGTATCAAAACCCACCTGAGTGGTCCTGTACTCGCACCCTGCAGTAGGCACCCAAGGTACTCTGCCCGTACGTGTACTTGGATACTATCAATAGTATACTCGTAGTACGAGTAGTATACTCCGTAGTGGTCCAGTATAGGTACTATACCCCTCTTCCAGGCCGCGCACCACTGCTAAAGCATCGACTTCCAGCGCCATCAGTGCCCAGCCAAGCGCTAAATGTCACCGCTAGTATCCCGTTACGGGGGCAAATCAACTAACCAATTAACCCGCCCTACCCTCTTTTGTCCACCATCTTCCGTCTTGTTGCTTTTCCATCGATCCTTTTTTCATGCTCGCCTCGCTGCTCTTTGCTTTTTATAACGCATCACGAATAGCCGTTGCCTTTTTCCGCCGCCGCGGTCGCCTCCAGCCGTGGGCAAGCCGGTTTTCGCCCGTTGTTTCCTCCCAGCCCCCAATTATTGCCTTTCCCCTCCTCTGGAATGTCACCACTGCCGCGAGTTGCCAGTCATTGCCAACAAGATGGCTCAAAACCTTACCAGCACGTCTAAATGGCACACTGACGACTTGCCAGGCACCCTTGATCGTGCTATACTCGTATGTGTACATGTACAGAGTACAGCGTACGCACATCTGTACAAGTACAGTAAGCTCTTCGCCCCCAGCTCGTGGACAGCAAAGCAGGTACCGAGTACTCGTCTAGACCGTTGCGACACCCCACGCCGCCACCGTCTCTCTCGTCTCCAGCTCCAGCGAGGCTCAAGTATCATCTACTTGGCCAGGGGGGTGAGCTTTAGACAAAATTTCTGCCAGGCCCCCGCGCCCCTTTTCCAGCCCTCGCCTCTCCACCAAACCCACCCACACCCCCTTAATCTGTGCAGTTCATTCAGACGCACAGGACAGGCATGGGAATCTCACTACTTCTGTCCTGGAGCGCCGACCGGCTTCCTGTCTGCTTGTTCCCGGCGCGTCGTGGCGGTTTGCTTTTCCTCTGCGTCGTGTTGCCTGTCCTTTGGACCGTGCTGTACTGTACTCGTACTAGTGCTAGTACGAGTGCCTGGCTGTCCGTCGTGGCAGTCAGTCTAATAATATGCACATCCGTTAGCATCGGCCCACACTCTCCCCTTGCTTGCCTGACAGCGCAAGGAGACTGAAGAACAAGTCTAGAAGGAGTAGAACAAGCTGTGGACAAACAGGCGGTAACAGATGGTAGCAGAGAGCGCTCCGTACTCGTACATGCTGCTGCTGTACTCTGTCTGTCCAACCGCCGCTCTGGACGGAGCACATCCGTGTTGGACACGCGAAAGGGTAGCTGCGGGTTAGCAAGCTCGTACAAGTACTAGCACCGTACTGTACTTGTGGTGGTATGCCGCTTGTACTACTCTGTTCTGCTCCTAGTAGATTTCTGCTAGTCTCACATGATGCTGTCGCATGTGTACTCCGATGTGCGCACACAATACCACATGTGCATACCTGGAACCCAATGTCAATATGGCACACGGAAGAGCGTACTCGTACACAGACTGCGGTACAGCGCTCCGTCCTTGTTCATGGCAGCGTCAACCCCCGGAACACACCGGTACTCTCCCCTGCCCTGCCCTGCCCTGCGCCTATTCTAGCCTCCATGGCTTGATAGCAGGGGAACAAACAATATCAATCCCATTCTTCATCGTTTGTGGCTCAAGCGCGTATACCCTAGCATCCAGATCAGCAAAGCATCAGGACCAGAGTGTTGTATACTTGTGCTGCGTAATTCGCCGTGAACCTGTATGTCAAACGCCAGCCCCTCTTCAAAAAGTTCCCTCCCAAGCATTACCAATCACGCGAATTGCCCAGCTCCAAACTTTAAACAATACCCTCAAATGTCCTTTGCCTGCGGGTTTTTTTTTCTTGTGCCCTTACACTCCGTACTGCCATATCAAATTTCCCCAATGATGGCTGGGTATAGTCGCCCCCACCCCCTTCATCACCATCTCACCGCACAAGAAAAGAACCGGACCAATGAATCGTGTGCCAGGTTGACGCGGAGCCTGCCTTAGTTGATTTTGTGGGACGCGTTCTTTTCACAGGAGGGGGAGCCGCTGCGATGGAGCATATGAAGACGTTTGAAAATTGGTTGATATTGCTGGCGGTGGGTAGCTGGTACCTAGCGTAAGCCACTTGATAGCACCAAAAGATTTTCACATTGCCAATGTCATTTGTATGAGTACTCGTACGGAGTACTTGACATGAGTAACGGGGATCGGCGGGCCGTTGCGGTGCCCATGCATAATAATAACGTGTCAGGACGTATGATTAGTCTTCGAGCTATCGAACGCCGCTAAAAGAGAGCAACAGTGAAGAAGAAATACAAAAAAAGAGAAATTAGTGAGAGAGAAAAAAAAAAGGAGAAGTTAAAAAAGGTGGATGAAAACATGAATGCCCACTCTGTATTGCGCAACTCAAAGAAGAGCAATACCGCTTTGTACCTTTTATTGCAGCGTGAGCTGTTCTTCAAAGCTCCTGTCTTACACCTTGTCATATGCCATCAAGTTTCGGGCGTGCAGTCGCGACGGACTACAGTACAGCACAGGTATGCTGACCGTCGATAACGGAGCGAAACTGAGCCCGAGGTGAGAAGCGTCAAGTCTCCGTTAGTCCTTGACAGCAACAAATCGCGCCAGCGGCAGGCTAACTCGTTGCGGCGAGAGTGCACGCTTCTCTCTCCACTATACCGTGGCGAATGATGCCCTGGTCACGATGACATACACGCGGCTGCAGCCGTGCTGGCCGTCTTACCTCCCCACGAAGATTAGCAGGGAGTCTCGGATGCAAGAAGGGATCAATGGATGCCTTTTGACGGGTGTAGTGGGTGCTGCACAGGGTGTAGCCCAATGCGTCCGGGCCGCTTGCTGCCTGGCAGGGGATGCAGATTTCTCAGGAATAAGACTGGGAAGGGCTCCATGCACGTAGAAAATTGCTTGTGGTAGCATTGCAGCACCCCTGTTGCCCTGTTCGTTCTAGGGCAGATATATTGGATAGGGGCTGGTTCTTGGGGCGCTGTTGGAAGATCTCTTACCCACTTTGTTCTCCAACAAGCTCCCTTGGTACTTACTGGAACTCCATACAGTACCTCACCCCATGCGGTACGGAGTACTTTGCCAACTTCTCTCGATTTCCTGAAAGTGATTCCGACAAACAGGTTCGTGTGTCTGGCATAGCGGGCCAAACTCCGTCGAAATCATAGAGTTATACTAGTATGGGCCATGAGAATAAAGATGGGGTATTGCACTCACAAATGAAACGAAGAGGAAAGTTCCCGTACGAAGCCTACTGGTACTTGCTCGCCGCCTAATACTCGTATGACACAATTGTCATATATCTTAGCGAAGTGTACTCCGTACTTCGTACGAAGTACGAAGTACAGATATGAGGTAACAGATACCCCGAGGTCATTTGCTGAAGATCGAAGCGCCAGCACATACGAGTACAGGTACGGCTGCAGTGCTTGGGGGAAACTGCCACAACACTGCAGTCGCGTATCATGTGCATCGCCAAATATGCCAACTCACATGTGTATGCAGTGCCACTCCGTATGCAACAAGTTTCTCGAAGCTCACCGACTCACCGCTACCTTGGGGCTCAGAGCCAGGGAAGACGAAGAGCTGAGGCGGGGACGTGTCAGGCCACTGTCGCATTTGGCAGTTAAAAATCCAAGTGTGCTGTACTGGTACCTGTTCACCAAGTTAGCATCTGTATACAGGTAGCCGGAGTGATGTATCATATAACGCGAGTGGTCAATCAACGCCTCCTACTACGGGTACAATTACGAGTAATACTCCGCAGTGCCATACCTGTATGCATATTTTACTCTCGACCTAAGGACACGAACCGTGCCTAGCTAACGGCTGCAGGTGGACGATGGTATTAGTGCCTGGATGCCATGCATCTCAGATGTGTCTTGGGGACTGCGCTGGTAAGGGAGAGAAAACGGTCAGTTCTATGCACGGATCTGTCGCTGGGATGCCACTTACGGAACGCCAGCGCATATGGAAACTAAAGTCCCGTAAGAGGAAGCCAACTCATTCTGCTTGCTTCGCTCGCTTGACCTGCCGTAGAGCATCAAGTATACATGGAGATGCCCGGGGGCTTTGAGTTGGATACCCCCACGGCCCTCAATCGCTTCAGGAGCATGCCTTGAAGCATGTACATGGGTGTGCATATTGGCCTCCCACCTCGGCTTGAATCCGTCCAAGCCAAGTAACATCGTCTGCAAGTACGAACCACATGGTACAGAATAACACTGCCATTTGGAGAATAATCCGATATCGAAGAAGAACGGCAGGCGCGGCTTTCAAGGCAACGCACAACGAATCTTGGCATAATGATGATGACGGACTCCACGAGACCTCGGCAGAGCTAAAAGAAAGCTGCTTATGTGGCCGGAGGTTGACTTCATGCATCAAGCAAGTGTCGAGAGACAATGAAGAGCGTCAGACCGCCATATGCGAGGCAATGCAAGTTTTTGATGACATGAAGCGCGTGGCAGTTGGGAACGGAAAAGTACTAGGTGGTAGCGAGGTCGGTAGCTATTACCTGTCGCAAGACGCGGACTCGTTCCAACTATTGGAACAATGCACTTGATGTGAGCACCGAGTTCAATCGGCCTGCACCGCTTGCACGTTTAATCGTGTACATGCTTCGAATGAAAAGGCCTGTCTCCCTCTCATGCAGGCAGAGACCGGAGAGCCGGAAAGTCATCCTAGCTCCCATCTCCCGCATGCAGCTAATAGATTCAGTAACATCCCAAGTAGGATGGGACTGAGACTCGCCAGTGACGATTCTCGCGTATAGATGCGGAAGTACCTGACGAAGTACTGGTACATGTGTGCGTACGAGCAGTACACATGCACTGCAGACGAAGAGGAGGGTGAAGGGGGGTGACCGCAATAAGCCCTGCAGACGGCGAACTTGCGCGATGGGGCCGTTTCTTTTTGGGGGCCGTTTCTGCAACACACGACGAAAGAGCCTCCGGTCTTGTGACTCTTGTTGCTTTGGTAATGCTGGGTCTCCTTGACCGACATCATGTTACATCTCAATAACGGCGATCGGCCAATCTGCGTCCATGGCTCGGAGTATCCACTACTTGTGATAGCTCTTATTAGCCAGTATCATAGCCACTCTGCTTGGCCAAGAAATCGGCACTTGATACGGACAGACAGTCCGCCTAGTAGAATTATGGCTAGGCAACAAAACGGCGAAAGAGTCGCTGTGTGTGCGTACGAGGACCTAGGGCTTGGTTGCAGAGGCAGACAAGAGCCATTCTGACCGCGCCGACTCCGGCTGTGCCTGTACTCCGTCAGTATGAATCATTGGTGCTGGGTAAAGCGCCTATTCATATTCATACAGGTATTCATATTCATATTCATCCATATCCATAACCAATTTCTCATGGCAGTGCCTCCGGTCGCTCACGGTGGGCGCAGCGTCTCGTACAGGTCAAATTGTGCACGACGCATGTGCTAACTTTGAAGTTACGCACCCGTCTTGCAGAGCTACTCGTACGAGTACGCGATGGTCTGGTGCTACGCCGTATTGGAGAACCCGCATCGCCGTGATTGATTGTCCGCCAATCGAAAGTTGAATTTGCCAGGGACATCTGCTCCGTCAGACCTGGCAGGATCGGGCATCGCGTGGTGGAGTAGCTTGAGACGTGAGATGAAATGTCAGCCATTGTGGTGTAGCGCTATGTTAAAGGTTTCTCGTGTTTAAAATTTGAGCCCACTAAGCTTAGAGCAAACGCAATGACGCTCGGATTTACTGCATCCCGCGCGCTCCCGTACCTGTACGGAGTAGAAGAGCAAAGTACTGTACTTGCACGTCCCATGGCACTTGCTCGTTGCCTCGAAGGCTCTTGCCATGTTGCAGGTATCACACGCCACGCCAAGTAGGTACGTCTGTCCGCCAGTCAGTATCCCCAACCCCCCCATTATTCAGGCCACTGCTTATAGGTGTAGGTAGGTAGGTAGATGGTAATGCAGAAAGGTACTCGTACTCGTATGTACAAGATGAAGAAGTTAGGTAGTATAAAACCTACCTATGCTTTAATTTGATTCCCAATTCCTTATTGTTGATGTGAACTGCTATGATATTGCTGTACGTTGTGCTGCAGCTTAGGTACCTACCTAGTACCTACAGTACCTAGCATCTGTATCAGGGACTTTGTGAATCAAGATACTGTACTTCATCACCACCGAATTCTTACAACCATTCTCCTCGTCATCGTAGTTGGTAGAGAATTACCTCCATTATCTGGATTGGGATATGCCAAGCAATTCGGCTTAATTCCAGAGAACTTTTGAGCCTCTGGATGGAGCAGCTTCGGCGACTTGATGATACTCGCAATGAGCGGTAAACAGTGCAGCATGCATGAAGCGTCTTACATACCTGTACCTCTGTACATGTACCCGTAGAGCAATCGGCGCTCCGGTCACCTGCTAATGCTACCTCCAAAGAGGTATTGACCTCGTACCGCCCGAGCCCGAGTATCAGCGAAGCACTAACTCTGTCAATCATTCCACCAAAAAAAGATGTCCAAGAATAAGCGCTTGTCACAATCCGAGAGTCCTGATGTGACCTCCCAGAGAGCTACTGGGCGCCTATTGTCTCAACTAAACAAGTGCAAGCCAAGGAGAACAAAGCCACGTTCAGATGGCCCGGCGGACTGGTCTCTTCGTGGGGCCGGAAAGCCCTTGCCGGAAACCATGTCGCCACGAATCTTCTACCGAAGCACACCCACAGCGGCCGAGGATCCCTGCTCGCACCCTTCTTGTCTCCTCCCTGCCTTAGCGAACGTGTGTTAGTGGTAATGGGCATAGGAGCAGTACGAAGTACTATGTATACTCGCATGTACTGTACTTGTATCTTCTGTGTGTACGGAGTACGGAGTACGGAGTACGTGCGAGGAGTACCTACTAATTGTACATGTATCAGCACAGCACCAATATATATCGAGTACGGAGTCTGGTATTACAACTCGCAAAGTGTGGAGCTAGGATGGCACGCTGAATCATGTGGTGTTGAAGAGCATTGATCGAGAGACAGACTTACCCGGTACAGGTATTTTGTAGAGAGAGGGGAAGGGGGATGAAAAGTGGCATGATTTGTTATTGAGGTTACGTTACTAATCACTTACTGTCTTGTTGTCCGAGAAATTGTCCACGCTTGATACTACATGAGCTTGTATCGTGTCTAATGCGCCGCCATGGTCTAAGTTGTACTGTACTCTGTAGTTTGGGTGCAAAATGCTGCAAAAACAGCCGTAGGACCTGTCGGCGTCTGTGTGCAGTAAGCGCTGACAGAATCGTCGGGGAGAACCCATAGCCTGTTCTCCGTACCGCGGTTGAGATCTTCGGAGCCTGCTTCTGCACAAGCCACGCGGTAGGGATTGATGGAGATAGCTTGATGGCCTATCAATCTTCTACTCCGTACCAACCGCCCATCTTCACGGGGCCAAGCCAGGGGGCGGCCGAGGCGCCGTCGATGAGCAGCATCTGCCGTTCTAGGATTACCACTGCTCGTGCTCCAGCCTTGCGCAAGGACATCGACGTGACGCTTGCCACCATTGAGAGCAGCCGATGACATGGTTCCTGGCGGGTCTGTAAAAGAACACGCCGGCGTTATTATTGATTGGCAGTAAGCATCTTCTGTTTTGCTTCCATCGAGCTCATCACTTTTCATCGTACATTATCATATTACTGTACTCGATGATCCAGACGCCTTGCTCTTTACAGAGGAGTTAAACGTTACAGGTACTAAGATCTTACCGCTAACCCTTACTCAATACGCTGAGTCCAGATAAGTAAGGTAGGTAGATATGGATGGTTACTCATCCACGCCCTCGTAAGAGATAGTACTATTGGCCCCTATTCTCTAGATGGCCTGCCATCGCGTCAGAGCTGGATTATCTCACCCCTCGAAAAAAAGATCTCACACCGGATGAATTGAAATCGACGATTGCCGGCTGCAAAAATCACAGTAGCGCCGCGACTGAGCCGCAACCAAAACGGTCATTTGGCCGAAACTTGCGAATCGGCCTGCCAGTGCCTCTCCACCTGCAAAGGGACATGCATCCCCGATGATGGCTAGTCAAATATTCAGCCTGAAGAAGAATCAACTAAGGGAATATCAGTCGCTGAGCATGTCCAGATATTGCCCCTTAACACCGAGGCGGACTTGAGCAATGGCTATTTCCTGTTTTAGTTGTGCGAATGACATGCCTGCAGTCGGCATCTCCGGACAATGTCAGTATGATTTCACCGACGGCGTACGTGTAGTTGCGTTGAGAGTAAGTTGAACGGGTACATGGCAGTGCTGTACAGGTACTGTATCTGAAGTGTCCATTCCCTCTCCAGTAAGGACCCGGAAGCCGATGAGATTAACGGTCAAGGCGAGTTTTACACTGATAACGCCGTCCTCTGAAGCAAACTCGCCGTTTCAATTGCAGTCTTGGCGCTGACATATTTTCTGGGTTCGGATCGTCGCTTTAACCACCGCGGATCGCCACGGCGTCAGTTGCGAGAAATAAACGGATGGTGGTTTCACAGGTTGGTGCTGATGTACCACCAATGTACCGATTCTACCTTGCCTTCAAATTCTCCATTAGCAGGTGGTAGTGGTTTTGTCGCCAGGGATATCTAGGGTCTTTGATGAAGAGAGATCTTGAGTTTCTAGAAGCATGCCCAAGATCCTTCTGTTGAGCCCCAAGGAAAAAGATACATGCAATGTACTAAGGATAGGATGCAGAGTACCCTGAACTTTGATCAAGACGCAGCAGAAAGCGAGATGCAAAGTACCCAGTACTGCATCTTGTGTAGTGGATGCCATGTAACAGAAGGCATGGGAAGGGGCGAAGAGGACCCTCGTATCTTCGCGCTAGGAGAGGCAACAGCGACCAGGAGCCCCCCGCCAGACGAGCTCGAGATTCCACAAGAGACGAGCAAGGATTTCCTTCTCCATCAACCAAATGGCTGGACTCTGTCCATCCCGGTCTGCCGCTCGACCGCATATCCGCCAGATGTTGGCCTTTGTGCCAAATCCCTGCAACAAGCACGCGTATTGCACCGTCCTGCGTCGACAACTCTAAAGATGTCCGTGCCATGGGGGGATGACGCCGGAGTCAAGCTCCTACCAAGAAAACGGACATACCCCAAGATTTCTCGACACAAGGGCCTCCTTGAACGAGCATAATCACCGGAGCTTGAGCATTAAGCGCGTCGGCCCTTGACGGACCATTCGGCAGCGGCGGTCTTAGCGATTGATGACCGCGTGCACGGGCGACACGCCAGAGGGACAAGCTGCAAGATCAGAGAAAGCTGCGTGGATATTGCTGCGAATTCCGCCGGCGACGAACCGGAGTCTGAGGGAGATTGTCCCGGCTTCTCCCCATCTGACCGCTCCGCTCAATGTAGTGTACGAAAAGGTATACTCCGGTACGCTATACGCATCGTGTTGTGCGGGCATTAACTGGTATTGGGAATCCGGACGAGCTATCCACTTATGACCCCTCGTCGCCGCATCGGAATATGATATGCCGCTGCTACCACAGATGAGATGCGCAACGAAGGAAGAAGGCTGGCTGGATCTTAGACGATCTCACGAAGTCTGGTGCGAACAGGCATGCGCATCTGGAGAGGGTTGACTGCCTGTCAATGATCCTGGGCGGCGCCAACGTTGTTTAGGCCCATTCATCTTAGTGGCATTCCATGCTTCCACGTGCATCAGCCTCCTCGCCCTGCAGCCGGCAAAGCTGTGTCTTTCTGCGAGTCAAAGGACCGCTTGGCCATTCATTGCCAGCGGATACAGCACAGCAAAGCCCTACGCAAGAAGTGGTGCTTGGGCACTCGCTTCTACTCGAAAGAATCTCTGCACGAGTGGGCAGAGGAAAATTTTTTTACCGCCTTCTTCTCTGTCTACTGTACTGCGGACATTCAAAAGGAAATTAAAAAATGTGTCATTTTGCCTTAGTGGCATTGGGGCATACTAAGGCAGGTAGCAGCGGCACTAGTTGGATTTATGCGGCTACGAGAGGGTGTTATCCTCCGCATCTGCGCCGAATTGAGGCGGCAGAAGTGACTCCGGGCCCCTCATCTCGTGCCGTGCCACTTCATCATGAGAGCTTTGCTGAGCATGAGAAACTATGAACCTTGTGGAACACCACAATTTCCTCATCCAAGTCTTGGCACGCGCCACGCACGCCCAGCGTGTGCGGTGCTTCGGACCATGGGCTACTATTAATAACGAAGAGCATTTGCGTGCCTCGCAGCTACAGTGCTGCACTGTATAGGCGGCGTGGGCGCCACTACATTGACTTGTAGCGCAAATGTCGACCTGATTGATATTCTTTGCTGAGGAGAGCCAAGAGGAGAGCCAAGAGGAGAGCCAAACGGAGAGGAAAAATGAACGACGGCCAAAAGAGGAGGCCTCTCCCCGACAGCATACACGCATCAGGCTAAGAGAGAAATGCGGCATCCATCCGGGACTCCGTCTACTAACCTCCATGGTCTGGTATCGTGAACTTGACGACGCAAGGTACGGAATGACCTGTAGAGAAGAGTCGGTAATGCCGCATGCCTTTGTTTGCTCGTTCCATGCACGCAGACAAAAAATCTTTAGCCCAGGCGGCTGGTCCGGCCCGTTTTGTGCATGTGGGTATCTGAGAGGGGACCTAACCGCGACTAAACTGTGTGAGGTTCTCCGCAGCCACGACAGAAACGGAAATTGACAAGAGTGGACATGCTTTTGTTCCTACTTTGGTTCAATTGGCAACGGTTTACCAAGCGGTGTTGCACTCTGTCCGAAACATAGGTACCGAACAGGAGGATCACCTGAGAGAGGGCGAGGGATATCAATATTGCCGATACCATATGGGCGTTGCACTTTCGGTGGCACTCACTACCAACCTACGAGATATACCTTTGCCAGTTTGCATTAACAATGCCCTCAGCTCATTACGCTTGTGGCGACTGTGCAACATGCCTCTTGTAAGCCGCTTGCAACAAAGCAGCAGTCAGCACTGCAGAGGTGGCTACCACTCTCCTCAAGGACTGAGGACGAAGTAATAAAGCTAACGAGAAACAGGCAACAATCTGCCTCGAGACGCCAAGCCGGGCTTAATGTCGACACGCATCGGCACGAGGTCAATTACAAATGTTGCGCAGATATTCCTCACACAAACAGGCTCTGACATGTCCCAGGCCAATAGAAGTTGGAAGATGAGCGGTCGACGGCTCCCCGCCACTCCCACGCGCCGTATCCGAAAAAGAGCATGTACAGTACCATTCCATACAGGTTAATATCGCTACATACTTGTAGTACTTACACATATCGTACATGTGCAGCCATTGTCTACTTGCAGAGGGAGGCCCCACGGCCAATCTGCCTAGAGTGGCGGCGTGAATATTTCGCAGAGCAGTTTCTATTCCTGGATGACCAAACCGGGACATGCGACTTGGCCACTGCTTTGCGTGACGCCTCCCGACTGACCTAAGCACAGGATTACTCGTACTGCCACCACTACTATGTACGCTGTTATTAATACTTGTATGTATGGCATCGCCGCTGCGCAACACCTGCCTCAGCCTCTAGGTACCTGTGGCTATGATCTTCTATAGGCACTACCAAAGACAGTATTGTAGCATTTTTGAACTTGCAGGCATCTTGCCGCGCCTTGACAAGGGCTTTAGTGCTGACCGAATCCGCTAACCATTTGGCAGGTCTTCTCCTTGGATGGGTTCCACCATTGCTATCCACCACCATGTCCAAAAGAAACGACCTAGCCACATTAGCATGCTGCTAAGTCGTTTTGTGCGCTTGGCCTTTGGAGAGTGCCAGAAAGGTACACGGAGAGGTACTTGTAACTCTCTCGTATGCTTCGAGGTATCATTTTTAGCTTGGCCGTTGGCACAGTATCAGCTAGGCACCATTGCCAGGTCGCAGACAGCGTCGGCCGGCGTTTCTGGAAAAAAGGAGGCTCCTTGGTCGGTCGGCGAGCTCTACCAGTTTTCTGGATACAGGCCGATCGATATACTACAACTATTCCTTTAGTACGTGTATGTACTACTGGCATCAGTGCTTTGGAGAGCACCCCTGTTCAGGTCTGTAAGCCGAAGCTTGAGTGCCGATGCCTCGGAATCGCCCGCCTCCCAGGGTAAAAGGGGCCAGCACCAAACTTGTATGGCACAGGACGGACTGAGCAGCAAAGAAGAGGTACAGTACCTTGCCTGGACCAGGTACCTGTACCCCGTCCTGACAGAGAAGGTACTTGTACCTTCTTGCTGGAGGTAGCTAGCACCGCTACGGAGTAAATTATTCCAGGTACGAGTATTATCTCCTTACCCTCTTCGAGCGATGTCGTGTGCATAGGATGATCACCTTCGAATTTCTTTTGTGATTGAGCTTATCCCGGTTTCGCTTTTTTCCCCTCCATCATTCTTCATTTGCTTATTTACTCTGCGTGGCTCCATGTTAAATCGGACTGCGTCTTTTTACATCTAGACATTTGCAAACCAGCTCAGTCCTCTTGTACGAGTGCTTGTACCGCGGTGATACCGGCTGCCGTCATTCTTCTTTGCTCTGGTTTGTACGCATTGCCACGAGCGTCGCTGATGGGATGCCGCAATATCCTTGGACTTGCATGAACTAATGTAACAACTCGAGTAGCATTTACCGCAGAACCTAGCACCTGAGCGAGACGCCTGCAGGAGGCTTGCCTTTTAGGTACGAGTAGTCGAAGCAACCAATTGCCTTCGACTTTGGGCGGTCGAGATATCACAAGCCATTTGCGACGAGTGTGGCTTTGCATCCGCAGTCTGGTCTGTACAGCACGGGATATTGCTTCAATTTTGGCGATTCGGCATACAAGCACACTTTAATAAGACGCGATAACTCTGCGCATTGGTCCTTATAGCTGGCACAAGTTGGATATCGTCGAAAGCATCTCGTCTTCCAAGTGAGTACTGCTTCATATATATTTCATGCCGCCTATAAATATCCATTGTTGGAATTCAATCACACTCTCTCGGAGCTTCCTTCCCATGCATGTATCATGGCGAGAGTGGATTGATCACATTCTTCTCTCTGCATAAACCACACACACTTCTTTTTGTCGCCTTACTCCAGACATATTGCCTTCTGCGCTGGGTTTGCTCGGACGCGTTTATCCCGCGGCTCCCAAAAAGGGAAAAAGGAAAAAAAAAAAAAAAAAAAAAAAAAGAAAGAAAGAAAGAAAAAAGCAATGAGAGAGAGACGTGGCGGCTGATCCTTTGAATCAGCGAACCCAAAAAAAGGCCAGATATAATAGCCTATCCCTCTATCCCTAATTCTTCACTGGATGACCTGGCTTGCGGCTTCATCCTAAACTTAGTTTTGAAGAGCCGGCTGCTAAAATAACACCCTCGAAGAAGGTAAGCAAGCTTGTCTGCAAGCCAAAATTTTCATACCATAACCTTGACATTTTCACTCATTTAAACTCAAGCCAACTGATCTTGACACTGTTTAGAATTTCCAAGCCCTCGATTTATTTTCTGATTTTGCTATCATGGCGACCCTCAGCCAGACCCGGGCTTATTTTCAGGACCACACAAATGAACTAGTAGGCAAATTCTCTCTTGACCTTCCTGCGCCCCCTTTTCTTCACTCTCAACACTACTATTTCCACCTGCAACTTCCATCCAGAATCACAGCACCAAGCGGTGTCAGCAAGCAATTCGTAAAGCCTTCCATCATCATTCAAACCTGGTGTGATCAGTGGCCATGAAGCTCGCTAGCGTCCTATGTCGCAAGGTTAACCAGGCCGGGACTCACTGAGTGGGCAGCTCCTGTTTCACCAGCGGCCAGGGCGCGCCACCTACGACAGGGTCGAGTGGGCCTAATGACACCGGTCTGGTGCTCCGCAGTGTCAGTCAATGATGTTGGAGCAATGAAGCTAGGCGAGAAGAAGAGCCCTGGCCTGGTTGACTGCTGCCATTGGGACAGACATGACCCAGTGGTCAAGAGGCAAAGAGGGCTGCGGCCAACAGCCCTCACTCATTGCGTCGCTAGAATCAACCTGCATCTTCAAGCGATTGCAGCTTTGGGAGCTGTTTGGCGTGGTTGTACCGAATAGCACAGCTCTCCACAATCTTTATTTTGAGCACAGTTGCGTCAAGGGCAAGGGGCCGCCTTGTACTCGTCCGAGTACAGGTACCTAGCATCACGTTGACTGCTGGCATCGGTCTGAGCCGCGCTTACAAGCACAAGTACAAGCATGCCTGTACGAGTACGGAGTACCTGGTACATACAAGGGCAGACCTGAGCAAGGCTACGAGGACTGCACATGCCCAAGACCAGTGGAGATTGAGCAGCAATGGACGGAAACACAGCGTTGGATTCCACGGGTCCAATACGACCCAATCGTCAAGCTCTGAGTGGGGGGCCGCAAGCACTGCATCTCTCACAAAGCCTGTCTCGTCCCAAGGCTGATTCAGCTGCCCGGAGTGGCGCGCCGCGGCGCCATGCCATGCCACTGCTGATGGACGAGAAGCATCTGGCTTGACGAGGGCAGCTTTCTTGCTTGCAGAGACATAAGCCATCTCATCTCTACCATGGCGGCGCAAGACGCAAACAAGAACACAAGACAAGAAAGAATGGGGCAGAGAATGGTCTCGTCGGGGGTTCGGTGCCCGCCGCGCCGGTAGCCGAAACCGGGGAACCTTCATCTGGTCTATCATCAGTCTCTTGTCTTGTCTTGTCTCTGTGTTGCCTGGGCCCTCCCATGCCCTCCTGTCCAACATTGAGCGTACGACTTGCTGTGCCTGTACTCGTACGTACCTGCCTGTACGTGTCGGTCCAGGTGCTTATGCAGTACTGTCCTGTCCTTTTCTGTACTCATACGGCACTGAGTCCAGCTTGACTTGCCGGCTTATGGATGGCGATGATGATGCATGGCCGGCTCCCTGTCCGCATTGTCGCTCGTCATGCTAGTGCCGTCGAGAGATTCGAGCGAGCGAGTACCGGTACATGCTGTCGACTTGTCTTGCCCACTCACACACACCGCCTGTGGGCTAACGAGACGGAACATGGTGATGGCAATCCCGGCGCAATCCTGGTCGGCTGGCTAGGCCCGGCTGGCCAATGCCTGATTGGGCAGCTGGTCCTGGTCGTGTCGCCCCTGGCTCGACCTCCCACGGCCGTTATTGGCCGTTTAATCAAAACCTCTGCGCCCCTGTCGCGTCTCCCATGCACTGGTCTGCCCCGGTCCTGGCCTATCCCTGCTCCCCGTCGCTCTCAAGCTGCCTCCCCCGTCCGACACCCCCTCCCCCTGCTAGCAGACCCAAAAAGTATATGGGACTTGGGTCACCTAGGCCCTTTTTCTTTTTTCCAATTTTTTTTTCCTCAATCCTCTGCGCGTTCCTCGAGTTTTTCTTTTTAAAAGCCCGCTTGACAATTCCTCGGAAGAGAGAAAGCCGAGCCTCTTTTCTTGCCAAGCGCGTTTGCCTCTGCGTTTGCGTTCTTTTCTGCGCTGCAATTCCCCATAGAAGCCGTCTCGTTTCAAGGAAGCGTACATACGATAGCTTCTCAACCACACCGTTCTGTACGGTACGGCGGTAAGCATCTGTCTGTACTTTGCATACCACGTCAGTCCTTGGTTCCAAACGTTTGCTGGATCCCCTGCTCCTCTTCAACCACCACCCCTCCTTGTCCTGCTGCCAGGTCTCCTGCTCTCCCCCTGGCTGGTCGTCTCTGTGCCTGCGACGGCTCAAGAAACCGCCCTGCCACTTTTCCTTCTCCCCTTCTTCGCAAGCCATCCCCCCGGTCTCCCGCTCATCCCTCGCTGGCGTCCCAATTCATCATCTGGAGCTAGGCGGTACGACGTCCCCACGTTGCCTCTACCCCAAAGCCCTGCCCTCCGGTACGCGAGACCAAGATTGCTTCTACCGGCGTTGTCCTTTCAGGCCTAGCACGCCTCACCCGTGTCATCCCGGTCAGTCGCCAGGGGATGGCCCACCCCACCACGCCGTCCTGGGCCATCAGTCTGTCAAGGGGGCAGATAAAACATCAAACGCGTCCTATCTCAACATGTTTTTCTTTACCAGCTTAATGAGTTATTCGACGTTGAAGTTTTACTGATGCGTCTTCTCCATATGCAGCATCAAGCCCACCACCAGCAACAAGGTCACCCGCCTTCACAGCAGCTCCAGCACTCGCGCCCACCAAGCATTGTTCACCAGCATCACCAGCAGCACCCGCAACACCAGCCGCCGCAGCATCACCAGGGCGCATACTCGTCGCAGCACACTCTCCCGCAGGCGTACCAGGCCAGCAACCAGGCTACCAGCACGCCCGAAGCCTTGAACTACTACAACCACCCGAGCCCGTACAGCACGCCAGGTGCCACGAGCGGATACACGTCCGCCGGTAAGTCGTCGCCCTGCGCCAGCAAACGCACGCTTGCACGCGCGATTCCTCGGCGTCCCAGGATTTGCTAACGCAGGATTTGCTTCCCAGATACCTCCGACATGATGGCCGCCGCCCAAATGCCTAGACCTCCCTACCCTCCAATGTCATATCATACACCACAGTCCAATTCTCCCGCATCAGTAGCGTCACCATCGCAGCATGACCAGCACCGAAGTTTGTACGGCCAGCCGCCGTCGCAGCATTTGCAGCAGTCCATGTACTACCAGCCTCCTCCCCAATACCAGTCAATGCCCCATCAGGCGGCACCCTCTCCCTACGCGCAGCACGCCCATCATCACCAGCAGTCAATGGCCTCGCAGCCCAACATGATGATGTCGCATGCGGCACCGCAGAATCAGATGCCGCCGCACGCGGCGCAGCACGCACAGCATGCGCAGGCCGGCATGACGGGCAGCCCGCGGCCCAAGATCGAGCCCCAAGTTCCCCTGCAGCTTCAGAAACAGCAGCCGCAGCCTTCTCCCATGGCGCAACCCCACCATCAACAAGGCCCGCCACAGCTTCAGAGCCCCTCAAACCCGAGTCCTGCGGTCAACCCCAATGCTGCCCCCGGCCCCATCCCCGCGACGACTCCTCTCGTCGTGAGGCAGGACGGCAATGGCGTCCAGTGGATTGCCTTTGAGTACTCTCGAGACCGAGTCAAGATGGAGTACACGATCCGCTGCGACGTCGAGTCGGTCAACATTGACGAGCTCTCGCCCGAGTTCAAGCAGGAAAACTGCGTCTACCCAAGAGCGTGCTGCCCCAAGGACCAGTACCGCGGAAACCGTCTCATCTACGAGACCGACTGCAACAGGGTCGGCTGGGCCTTGGCACAGCTCAACATCCCTCTGCGCGGCAAGCGAGGTCTGATCCAGCGCGCCGTGGACAGCTGGCGCAACAGCAACCAAGATCCCCGGCTCCGAAGCCGACGAGTCCGCCGTATGGCCAAGATGAACAGCCGCAAGCAGCAGCAGCAGGTCCAGGGCGCTCCGCACCCCGGCGCCCACATGTCGGGCCCTGGTGGACCAGGAGGCCTTTCTGCCGCTCCCGCACCCATGCCCACAGCTCATGCACCCAACATGGGCAAGCCAACGATAGGCAGCATGGGGCAGCCTATGCACCATCACCATGCCGGGGGCCACCCTGACGGCGCACCGGGTGGAGAAGAAGTCGGTATGTTTCACCAGATGTGATTTCTTGCTGTCGCATCTGCTGTATTTGCATCACTTTTGCTTTGCAAACCTCACTAGACAGTTTTTACGCCGTCGAAACGTTGTGTTGATTTAATGATACCAACTCATTTTTAACCCACTGCCAAAAAGCACTTTACACTCTTGTTTGAAGGGGGGCCCCTCTTTATTTATCGGCCCCTTTTGCTTTTTACTGCTGGTTTTTTTATATCATTTCTTTACCTTTTTTCCTTTTTCCTTTTTCCCTCTTCGGCTCTCTATGACTCTTAGGAATTGGGGTACTGTAACAATTTTTTGTGTTCTTGACGTCTTTTTGTTAAATAGCAATGGGCCGGCTTCGCTTGTCTTACCGCGCATCATATTACCTATCTTATACAGCATGCCTTAATGGCAAGAGGTCGATAGTCGGTCCCTCGGTTGGCACAATCCTGTATATTACCATAAAAGTCGCATCGGCTGCCGCTGCTGTCAAGTTGTCTGCTTTTGCTGCTGGTTTTCGCGCGACTCTTAGATGAGTTCAAATACGCCTTAAGGCTATAAAAAGTTATCCCCCCCTTCCTCCCGCTGGCAGCTCAGATTGCTATGGCTAATTAGGGGTTCATTCAATTACGCATCTAAACACTCTTTTCCCTCTCGCGCTGCTCTCGTTCTTCATTTATTCTGCTTGTTTGCTGTCTTCTTTTTGCATTTTGCTCTATAAAAGTTTTGAAGACGTTTCGTGTCCTTTCTTGTCCTTTATGTTCATAGTATTGGTCTTTTCCTTGTCACCGTCATTCGCGTTTGCTCACCGAGTAGTAATTATGGAGAGTAAAGGCTAACGCGTTTGTTGAGGCGAAGGAAATAATTCCTACGAGGATCACCATCACCACCACCAGGCGCCAACAGCTCAGATGCCCCCTGTTGGTAGTGACGATGTGAGACAGGCTCACGTCTTTGCGGGATACGCGGGTCCGGGCTCATACCCTGTCGGTCCTCAAGGCGGGTCGATGTCTCATATGGCTCCTCGGACTAACGGGGCCATACCGGCGAGAAGCCACAGTCGCGCTGACGATACCGGTGACGATCTGTTCCCCGATATCCCGGAGGCTAAGAGGCGCAAGTTCATCCTGGTTGAGGACAATGTGCGGGGATCGCGCCTTCGCGTGCGTGTCACGCTCGACGGCGTTGATACCAATGAGATCCCCGACAGCTTCCGCAAGGGAGCCAGCGTATTTCCCCGAAGCTACTTCCCTCGTGAGATGCAGAGCCCACCCCCCAGTGCCACGGGCTCACGGTTCTTCGTTGACGACTTTTCGGATGATGGCACTCAGGAGACTGAAGGTCGTGAGGCGTCCCGTCGTGGTGCTGAAAAGCTGAGAGGTGAAGTGGTTAAAGTTACCATGGCAGAGGGCCAGGAGGGAGAGGCGACCATTCCAAGACTGAGGAAGTCAGGCCGTACCAAGGAGGTGCGACTGAATGATCTCGGATACCGTATGGCTTGGTTGCAGAGCCGAGTCTTTTCTGGAAGGACTGTGTTCCTCCAGCGAGCGCGTGAGTATCCCCTCCCTCTCTTCAATACCCAATCTCCACGCGACTTTCTTCATGTTATGAGAGAGCAAGTGCTGACAGAATTATTTAGTTGACTGCTACCGAAACAAAACTCGTGCCGCCATTGAGAGTACCATGGCCGACGTCCACGCTGTTGCGCCTCATTTCGAGACGAGGCCGGGAAAACGGCGATGGGCCGGCCGGATGAAGCGTGGAGCGAAGAACGGCGACGACTAAAGCTTTTCAGGCGATGCCTGTCACGACGACTCCATTTCACATTACTTTTTTGTATCTTGTCACTTTGTAGCTATTCGGTGATTTTACCCCCGTGTTCCTTTGGCTGGATTGCTTTCAACCATGTTGGGATTATAATGAAATCCGGTATTTCTTGTCATTTGTTTTTGGTCGACGGAATGTATTTCCCCTGTTTGTATGTTACGGCTTTGGAGCGGAAGCATCTTGGGCAAGCGATTTATGTGCTGCGCTGGGATATGGAATTAATTGGCGGCTTTGCAAGCGTTTTTTTTTCTATGGAGCGGATGACGAGATATAATGACGAGCCGGCAAGGCTACTTTGTTTGAGGATATATGTGCGGAGGGCTAGACGAACAGGATTTAACGTCTCAAGATGAAATTTATTGACGACATGTTTTCACTTTTCATGGTTTTGTTTGTATGGCCTTGCTTTACTGCTCTACTTACTGTTTGGTGAAGTAATACGCCGTTGTCATGCAAAGTTTCGGTCCAAGAGTCGAGGGTGTGTGTATTCAGCGGATGAAGCTGAAGTAGGAGTAGGTTATCCTTCAAGGTTTAATGAGGTTGAATCGGGCTGGGCCGTGACAATGTGATTCGCAGATTCGACACGCCCTCGTGTCCAATAGGAGCCGGGCGTATGCTGGTCTGCCGCCGTGGTGTATATGCAGTACTCGTACATGCTCCGTATCCTGTACATCCATCTGGACGGGACGGAGGCAATGCAAGGGGGCTCGCAGGTATGTACGAGCATGTATACTAGCAGTAGGTAGTACTTACTCGTACATACACTTACATACTGGCCCATGTTGTTGCAAACGAGAGGCAAAGACAAAGTGGATTCGGCGGCACATGGCTATTCCCTGCCCTTGCGCAGATCGCATGCCAGCACTATAGTAGTTCCGTCACGAGCCTTGTCGAGTGTCTCGGGCCCCCCAGAAAAAGACGACGAGGTTCGACAGCATCGTGCGGCTAGCATTACTTGGCCGCACCCACAGCCCACAGCAAGGCCAAGGCCGAGCAGGGTTCAGCTTCAGCTTCAGCAGGCAGTTTATTGCCGGCATTATGCAATTAATTTGATTATGGAGTACATGCACTGCACTGTATCTGGGGCTAGCATAATAGCAGCGCGATCCAACGGCCGCAGGGCTGGGAGAAGTAACTTGGGTTATTACGAGGACACAATATGGAGCCGCACCGCAGGAGGTACTTGGTACTTGCAGCTATACCTGTACCTTGCAAGGTACTACTATAAGTAGCTTCCCAACTTGCGTGTGGCTGGCTTTTGACCCGCTTTTGCGCGGCTGTGGCTCGTCGTATGTGCCTTTTCGTTGCTTGGCTTTCTTTGTACTTGTACACCAGCCAGCGACATCCTTGAGTCTATTGCAACGACGAGCCTGTTGTTCTCTACTTTCGTTTCTTTCGTTTCTTTCGTTTCTTTCGTTTCTTTCGTTTCTTCTTTCTTTTCATTCGCTCTACGAGAAACTGCAAAAGGGGGAAGAGAGGCAAGCTCAGGTAGTTTACTGGTCGAGTCTTGATGGCTGTGGCGGCATCTGCGTGATTCTGTCGGTTTCTGGTCTTCCGGATTGTGATTGCGACAGCGCCCCCCAACGACGACGAAAGCGACGACGACTACGACACACGCACACAACAGCAACAAGCGATAAAAGCGGGCGACGGCGGCGAGAAGACAAGAGGGGAAAGAAGCGGAAAATAATACAAACCTGTGCATATTCCCTACCCCCCCTAGCCATGGCGCATCGCCAATACCCGCCGCCGCGTGGCGCTGTCGAGCTCGACACCTCCGGCCGGTCTCAGCTTGACGGCGAAATCTTCGAGATGCCTGGCGAGTCCATGGTGCCGAGGCCGGAGGGGCAAACCAGGAAGCCGGTGCAGGCGCAGGACGGAGACGCCGTGCAGGCGAACCCGTGGCCTTTCTACCTGGATCAGGACGTCAGGACAGAGTCGCGCGTCGATGGGGAGGAGGAGAAGAAGCCCGGCAAGGCGGATGCGAAGAGTGAGGAACAACAGCCGCTGGCGAATCCGTGGCCGTATTTTGGGCCCATGTCGCCGGGCGAGGAGGAAGATGGACCGAAGGCTTCTATAGCAGCAGCAACAGCAGCAGGGCCTGGTGCTGGTGGATCAGGGACCAAGGCGGAGGAATCTAGAACTGCGGAAGCGAAGATCGAAGACGCCTCCGCAGCACCCCCGCCGCTACATCTTGGTAGTAATCACAACAAACCCGCAGGAGATGGCGCCTCTCCCGCCTCTCCCGCCCCTCCTGGTCCTCTCCCCCCAGCGACGAGCGAGTCTTCGTCGCCGCCGGCACCATTTTATATTGCGCCTCTCAAGTTATCCAGGAAGCAAGTCCCGGCCGCGGCCGCCGCGCCGACATTCAAGCCATATCTCCCCCCGGAAGAGAGCGTCGCACCGGTTGCGCCGCTTAGTGTGAAGCCCCAGAGGCCGTCTGATGGTCCCCATGGTGATGGGGCAACCACGTTGCCGTATCGGCCGTATCGTCCTGCTGGATATGAGGATGAGGTGGTGACGGCTCCGACTCCCCCGGTGGCTCCACAGCCTACGTCGCCGCCGCCGCCTGCGCAGTCTCACGGGCCTCCGGCGGTAGGGACCGTTCCTCCTCAGGCTCCTCCCCAGGCTCCTCCCGCTCAAGCTGTTGCTTCTCAAGCTGCTCCTCAGGGGGCGACGACTTGGGCGGGATCTGCATCTCCGGATCTCGCCAAGCAGCAACAGCAGCAACTGCAACAGCAACAACACCCGGTAATCGATTCGCCTGGTTCAGCGGAGGCGCCCTTGGCTGGAGTGATGCCGCCACAACCTCAGTATCATCAGCCAAATCAACCGCCGCCGCCAGCAGCAACAGGTCCCCCTCCTCTTCCGCCCCCTCTTCCGCCTTCACTTCCTCCCACTGCTCCCCCTATTCAGCAACCTGTTCCAGTGGTAGCGGTAGCGAATCATCCACCAATGGCCGCTCCAACCCCATATCACAACCCTCAACCTCCCGTGCCTCCTCATCCAGCACCAACTGGCACTCCGTATCAACCGTTACCAAGTCCTTCAAACCCAAGCCCTGTCACAGGCTACCCTCACCCATTACCAAGCCCTTCACATCCAAGTCCTGCCATAGGCCACCCTCCAACCTCAAGCCCCATTCCAGGCCACCCAGCATACGGACTGCCCAATTCTGCGCCAGCTTCATCCGTCCCTAGCCCACAGATGGCTTCCTTTCAATTCCAGCCCATCAACCAAGCCCAGCCGCAAAATCTGTATCCTCCCCCGACTCCCACGCCTCCAGTGGCATCGCAAGCTCCCCCGGCTCCGGTATCTTACCTGCCTACTCAGCACTTTACGCCTCCACCACCGACATCCGGCTACGATATCCCGCAACCTACCTACGCATCTTCAACCGTGAGCCCGCCTCCTCAGCCGCCGCGACCGGAATTCCAACAGGCAGCGATGGGCGCCTATCAACAATATCCGCCTCCGCAGCCGTCGCCGACTTACGGGTATGCTGGTGCCCCAAGGCCAGGCACGCTACCTCCTTCTGCTACGTACCCTTCCGCTTACAACGCACCATACGGACCGGCAATAGCCCCCCATCAGCACCAATATCCAACCCAGCCTACCTATGCGGCGGCTAATGGCAACATCCCTTCCTCTCCAAACCTGCCGCAGGGTCAATACGTGTCTCCTCCCCTGCCACCGCGTCCAGCAACAACGCAGCCCCAGTTCTTCGCGGGATTTACCTCTCAAAACGTCGTGGCATATCCTCCGCCGCCCAAGAGAGTGTTCAGTCCGCCGCCTGCGGCCCCACCTCAACCTCCTCGGCGGCAGTCCGGGGGGACGAGTAGCGGCCGGCTATTCAGCAGCTCGTCGGCGTTGAAGTGGATAGACAAGACGGGCAAAGGGCTGGAGAATAAGCTTGATGCGGTGCTTGGTTCTCAGGGGTCGTCTAATCGGCCACCCCCTCAGCCTCCTCGCCCCAGTTAGACGGTAATGAAGTTTTGTGTTTTTGCTTTATTTTGTTATTACTATCAAATATCTATTGTATAGATGTTGCATATCTGGCGAAAATATTCTTTTTTTGCATTGATAAGGGGCTGACATGTCTATCATGTGTGCGAATGAGAATATTATAGGCAAGCGGCGTGCTGCTTGGTTTTTTTTTGGGGGGCTGGTTTTTGGCATAATCATATTTCAGGGATAGCTACGTATACCATGACCTTCACAACAGATATATGCGTGTTGGAAAGCTTTGGGAGTTGCAACATATTGGGGCTGCATCATTGGTATGGAGAGATGTCATCAAACGCAGTTCATATCTATGCGGTTACTGTTCTTTTTGCACTAGACGTGGATATATGAACACGATTTTACATTAAATAAGCTGCTTACCTTGGTATCAAGTTATTTTATATAGGGCATTGTAAGAGAGCAGTACTTTCACAGAAAGCAATCGACTTCTGCAAGCCCGTTTTAAATGACGTGCCATTTCTCCACCATCAAATCACCAAAGACGTACAAATCATGTAATCAGTTTTTGCCCCTCGCTGCGGCTCTCCGAAGACGGACCATCCAACGAAATAACCGCACAGCCGCAAAAACAGAAAAAAGGAGAGTGACCTCCGATCTTTATAAGTGAGAGATTTTACGGCCGCACGGAGGGAGATAAAAAAGCGCGGCTTCCCTCCCGTCCCCAGTTTTTGAGCTTTATGCATGATTCTGTTTTTTTTTAGAGTCCACTTGATACGTCAAAATCTGGCTGGCACGTCACGAGTGACGAGAGAAAGAGTCATGATGAGGGGGGAGGGCATCTCTCTCTCTTGTTGATTAATTTCGCTTTTCTCCTTCTCTTGTTGGGGTGGACGGCAGCAACTGCTGGTCAGCATGCTTGATTATTACTTAGCGGTCGAGCACGGCTGAGATTACTTTGACGCTGTGCGACCGCACTGTGACGGAGGCTCTGGTTGCCACATGAGGTGCCGATGGCCTGGTGATGCCGCAAGTAGCGAGTTGCGTCTTGTGTCTTATGTGTGTCTCGTCCACACAATATATTAGTAGGTACTACAATGCTGTGACACTGGGTATTCTGTACACGGACTGCAGTAGACTACCTACCACTGGGCAGCAAGTATTATACGTTAGGACCAAACGTAAGACCAAGTATTACGAGTACTTGGTAACTCGTACTTGGTAACTCTGTGCTCATACTGCCTACTACAGTATGTACGCAGAAATGGCTGCAAAGTTCGAGGCTTGAAGGCTGATGTGATCAATGTGGGGGACAATCTATTTTGGGCTGTGCACAGGGCCGGCGACTAAGAGGTAGCCGCTGGCGGCCCGACATTGTGCGCAGCTACGCATACACGAAGGCGGAGCCTGTTGATTTTGGTGTTGGTTTTGCATGTCCTCTTCTGTACTCGTACAGTATACTGTAGAGGACAGAGAGAGCTTGTTGGGTTCCAGGTGAGGGGCCGAGGCACGATGCTAGACAGCGGGAATTATTCGTAAAAAGGGAGAAAAGGGGGAAACCTGCTGTTTTCTTGACCGATTTCTCGACGATACGAAGGCGGACAAGGGCTTCCGAGACATTGGTGGTGAATCAAGGCGAGAAGCCCGGCACGACTCGTACAAGGGATTTAGAGACCCATTGACGTACCCGCGGAGACTTTTATCTCTGCGTAATCACTTAAACGGCACTAGGCAGGCCAAGTGTAGATACTACTAATGCAGAGGCGCCCAAAGCGACAACCCTGTGCTTTCGGGTCTTTTTTTGTCGATTGAGCTGAGCGAGTGCTGAAACCGACACACGAGCACGTTTGTGGTAGTCACGTCGCATGCATTGTGCATAGCCATCAGTCGACTTGTCTGGCCGGATTACTGGCCTGGTTCGCTTCGTACGACCAAGTAAACATCGGATTTGTTGGACGGAATTAGCGAGCTGAAGGACACGGGCGAGACTTTTTTTTTTTTTCTTCTTCTGCATTTCACATTAGACACTTTTCCTTCTTCCTCCTAGAGGCTCAGATCGCCGGTCGGTGTGACCGAACACCAGGTACGGTCGTGTTGCAAAGGGCGCAGCGAAAGGGAAAAAAATGTTGAGCCATGGGCGCTCGGGATTTCGACTACCCCAGGAATTTGGTCAACAGGTGCCGATCTGGCTTCGCATGCCAAAGGTGGTCAGGTGAGAGCGCAAGGGTGGCGTTTTGAGGGGGTTGCAGGCGACGTGGTGAGGCTGTCCGACTTGCAGATGCAGGCATTTTCCCTTGGGGTTTTGCTGTGCACTCTCGCTTGCCGTCCAGATGACGAGCGCATGCCCTGAGCCTTTCTCGCTACCGGACCAGACGCGGGCACGCGCCAACTGAGAGAGAGCTTGGGCTTGGAGCTTTGGCCCGTAGTAGAAGTCAGATATGGCCAGCGGCGTTTCAAGGTTTCAAAGAGACCACGAGGCCGGGCACTGCGCAATATAATGTTGGCCGTGTTTCCTCGTGAGGAGACTGCGCTGTCCGAGGCGGCAAAATCATGGCCACATCATGCATGAATGCGGTGCCAGCCCACTCGCGAGCCCTCTCGCTCTCGGGACCCTCGTATCCCGAGATGAGGTTGCAGGCGGGCAGACGACAAACCCCCGAGGGCTTGCCACATTTCGAGGCATATTTGCCAGTTCATCGCCAGCGCACGTCAGCACTGCACGTCTGGCTGGCTACAACAGTGATCATATGCAAGGCGGTAAATGAGGCATCTCGGTGAGCCGCTCCCCTGTCGTTGTGGCTCAACAACCCTGCCACTGGCAGCCAGTTGATGCGGCTGAGGGCGCCTCTCGCAGACTCTTGTATGCTTGTTTCCCCGTCCTTGAATGTTTGTTTCAATATAGCCTCCCAGGACAATCAATTTTAGCGCCGCCATGCCTCACCGAGCCTCAGCTGTATCGCCCACCATCAGAAGAGCGGTCATGGACTCGAGCCTCTGGTTGGATCTCTCTCCCTTTTGTGCTCTCTTCTCCGTTTCACTTTTGTTTTGGCGTCTCCCCTCCCTCCCCGACGCGGCTCGTAGGCACAGCAAAGGCACCTAAGCGACCGCTCAGCTCCACACTTGGGTTGAACTGGGCTTCACCAGGCTGCAACGACGGGGGAGAGGGGCTTAAACGATGAGCACTGGTTGGAACACGAAATCAACCCGATACGTGACTTGCATCTCGACCCATTTTTTTTATGTGAGCAGATGGAAAGAAAAGTGATAACAATTAAGGAAAAGGATGGCCTGAAAAAAGAGTAGGGAGAGAAGATGGCGATGAAGAAAAAAGGGAAGAAAGGGCCAGTGCGCTGCTCAAACATCAATGTCTTGAATGGGCAAGTAGACTAGAGGTTGGGCGCGATTCAGCAACCTGGTCCTCCGGAGGTAGTCGTAGTCGTAGTGGTAGGCGAGTAGGCGAGTTGGCGAGACCGCACAGGCACTATAAGCATTGGACCGATGGCCATCTATCTGCTGTGATGGCTGTACAAGTACTCACCAGGTCACTGCGCTGTTCCCTTGCGTGGACGCATCAAGCGACACCAGCGACACCAGCGCCACCCAGCAACTGCGGCTGAGAGCGATGCTCCGTTGCGGTACTTTGCAGGTACCACAAGTCTACCTTGGCCTGCAACTGCATCCTTTGCAAACAGCAGTGGACCAGCGCAGACGCAGAAGCTGCAATCCTCCGGCCAGCAGTCAATGCCATCTGTAAGGTATTCCATCCATGTTTGTCTATTTGTGGACAATCCGCCGCCGTGTTGCATTGCCCAAGCAATTTGCCATGGGCCCTGTTCGGTAGCACCCGATGCTTCCCCCGCCTGGCCGCCTGGCCAGTCACCAGCGGCCTGGATTGCTACTCGTTCACTGCTCTGCCCACTACCCACTGCAGCTCAGCGCCAAGCGCCCAGTTACAGCGCCCACAGCAGCGCGCGCGCCACAGCACTCGACCGCCCGCGCACAGGCTCAGGCTCAGGCGCCCTTCCAAATCTCAGCTCCCCCCTTCTTCTACTCTACTATTCCTCCCTCCGCTTTTTTTTTCCCTCTTCCCTTCATTCTCTCCCTGACATCCTTCGCACCGACGAGAGCATCGCTTCGTCGGCCCATCACCGCACGCTTTTTCGAGCATCGCCGCTTTCCCGCTCGATTCATCGACGCGCCCCGCTGCAGCATCTTCGATTTGCAATACGCTTTTTTCCCTCTTCTTTCGCTCAGGCCTGCCCTTGATTGCCACGCAGCCGCACCTCGTCACCGACATATCAAATTCGGCTCCCGCCTCATCGGCTGCTGTTCCAAATTCTCCTCTGCAGGTTAGTTGGCCGCTGCGGTTTCCATCTCGATGGTTTCATACCCATCTCTGTCTTTCTCCCCTGTTTTGCATTGATTTCTTCTCTGCTGTATTCGCGGCCTTGATGGCATTGCTCTGCTCCTGTCCTGGAGCAAACATTTGGCCTCGTCAGGCTCTTTGTCATGCATAGTTCGGCCTAGCACCGGATTTTGCTGGTGGCGTATCTAGCCACCGCCCTTCAGCAGGCCCCTAGGCCCACTCCCTTTGTCAAACCATTTCATCACAGCCTCTCTGATCTTTCTTCTCCCTCATCTCTTTTATTTTTTTCCCCCTGTCTACATTTGCATTTTGCATCCTTCGCTGCCGGGCTTTACCCTATTCTCATTTACCTGGTGAATATCAAGTGGCCTATATTAATACCCCGTCAGGATTTGCAGTTTCACCGATTCCGATACCCAGCGTAAATCGACGAGCCTGCTTCCTTCCCACGAGGAACGAAGTACCCGATCAATACAGTCACCATGACGACCATGGTAAGCATCATACTCTCTTTCTGGAAATGTTCTTTTTTTTTTCTCTCTCTTTTCTCTCTCCTTCTCTCTCTCTCTCTCTTTCGTGGTACACTTCCAAGCTGGGTGCATCGGCTTCAGCGTGTGAACCGCTGGCCAGTGCACCTATCGGCTGCCCCGATTGAACTCACCGCTGCTCTGCTCGAGAGATGGCTCCATCTGTGGAGCAACCAATTTCATCTGCATCATGCTTTTCTTTTTCATCAATCACCGGCTAATCTGTCTTTGCGTTTGTTCAGGACCTTCGCGTCGGTAATAAATACCGGATTGGCCGAAAGATCGGCTCTGGTTCTTTTGGCGACATCTACCTTGGTACCAACATTATCTCTGGAGAGGAAATTGCCATCAAGCTTGAGTCCGTAAAGGCCAAGCATCCTCAGCTTGAGTATGAGGCTCGTGTCTACAAGTCCCTTGCCGGCGGCGTTGGAATTCCCTTCGTCCGCTGGTTTGGAACTGAATGTGACTACAACGCCATGGTTCTCGACCTCCTCGGTCCCAGTCTGGAAGATCTCTTCAACTTTTGTAACCGCAAATTTTCCCTGAAGACGGTCCTCCTTCTTGCCGACCAGCTCATCTCCCGCATCGAATACATCCATGCCAAATCGTTCATTCACCGAGATATCAAGCCCGACAACTTCCTCATGGGTATTGGCAAGCGTGGCAACCAGGTCAACGTGATCGATTTCGGTCTTGCCAAGAAGTACCGCGATCCCAAGACTCACTTCCACATCCCATACAGAGAGAACAAGAACTTGACCGGCACTGCCCGTTATGCCTCCATCAACACCCATCTTGGTGTTGAGCAGTCTCGTCGTGACGACATGGAGTCGCTCGGCTATGTCATGCTGTACTTTTGCCGAGGCTCCCTCCCCTGGCAGGGCCTCAAGGCTGCCACCAAGAAGCAGAAGTATGACCGCATCATGGAGAAGAAGATGACTACCCCTACCGAGGTTCTTTGCCGTGGATTCCCCAACGAATTCGCCATCTACCTCAACTACACCCGATCTCTGCGCTTCGACGACAAGCCCGACTACAGCTACCTGCGCAAGATCTTCCGCGATCTCTTTGTTCGCGAGGGCTTCCAGTATGACTACGTCTTCGACTGGACTGTTTACAAGTACCAGAAGAACGCCCAGGCCATTGCTCAGGCTGCCGGCCAGGCGAACCCCGAGGATGAGGACAAGGCTCGGGCTTCCCGCATGACTGCTGCCGCCGCCGTTACTACGGCCAAGCCTGGTGCTGTGCCCAGCTCTCGCCGCAAGATGCTCGAGCGTGGCTCTGGCGCTGGCGTTGATACCCCGGACACTAGCCGTGCCATCGGTGGAAGCGATAGGATGTGAGTTTCTAATTTTAGCTTAGCCCAACAGCTCTTTCATCGTAAGGGGTCACTTTTCCTCCGTGCGATTTGTATTTTCTTGATACCGCTGAAGGGAACTTTGCTGACAAGTATGGCTGACTCAGTGGACGCTAAACAGGCTTCGCTCTGCTTCAAAGGGAGCGGGATATGCCTCCGGCAGCTATCGGCCAAACTGAAAGATAGCACTCTGGGCTTTTTTCTGCACCTCTCTTGTGGGATCTGAGCAAAGTGATGGCGGGTTGCTGCGAGAACCTCTCTTTATTTCCCCAGATCGACATTTCCAGACACTCAACAAGCCTACAGTAGTCATCTGACGGTGGCTCTGGTCGTCTTAAGGCCGTGGTCGATCTTTGTGGTTCTCAAATTCGCCTTTATGCATCTGCCCCCTCCCTTTTGTTTCATTCTTTCCATTTGCCCCTACGCATCGCTTTATCTTGTTCTTCGACGCATCTCTAAATTCACGACTTGACGCATGGCTCGGATTACTCTGAATAACCGGGAAGTGCTTTGTTTGGATGGAGCCTTTCAATGCTCCACCCAAAAGCACCTTCCTTGTGATTTGGAGACGTTAATCTGAACGGCACGTCCGGTAACATTTGGTTGTTGGACTGTTTGCAGCAATCTCGAAACTCAATGGCTGCCCTCTCTGATGGCTCGCCAACGCTTGAGAGATTGCCGTATACGCCTTGCCAGCTCGAGCGCTTAGGATGCCGGGCTTGGACCCATGGTTCTTGACAATACTCTTCTGCCATGGTCCCAAGCTCAGTCGTTGCGGTACAGCTGCGTCTCAGTGAGCAGGCGTTCTCCTATCTTTCCTTGGTCATTAATACTACGCATCATACTTTCTACTTCTCGGTTCGATTTTATTGTTTTCTATTTTTAGGCCGGCGTGTCGAAGGGCAGCTTCTGGGGAAGTCGATGAGATTGGCCTGCAAGTGGAAGGGGCAGTCTCTTTGGTGCGGAGACATCAACATTTTACTATTTTGATAGTGAAGGTTGTCCGCGAAGCTCACCTTGAGGGACGTGGTGGAGGACGGCGATGGCGACAAGTTTGACACGATTCCGCTTGCAATTGGGCTTACCGGCAAGACAAGATTCACCTTGTGGTGGATTAGCCTAATATGTCCGGGAGGAGTGTCTTGAAGGAATCACTACCATGGCTTACTATATGGTATCCGGATCACGGCCATGGCATCTGATGCCAACTCTTTGTTACCACTGGGTGTTTGTCGTTTAGGTCGCCGCCTTTTGGCAATGGTTTTGACGGCACAGAAGACAAGAAGACGGTCAAAGATTCATGGCACGGTCAAGGCATCCACAAAGATCTCTTGTCGCTAAGAAACACGCTCAGCTCAGCCAGTAGTAGGTCATATAGTCTGCAATCAAATTTGATTTTTTGTTTTTTCCTTTTACACCGCCGATGCAAGTGCCACTTGGTGTCTCACCCGCAAAGTGTGTTGTAGAAATGCGTGTATGCGAATGGAGGATGTAGTCGCGTGCGTGGGCCAGCAAAGGGTCCCACGAGGCCACCCATGATCACATGTTCCATTGCCTGACTGAGCCCCATGGCGTTGTGCCAATTAGTGGAAGTGGTAGTGGCAATTGCAGTCGGGTCCTAGCTGGAGCACTAACTACATGTACCTATAGCAGCTGCCTGAGCAGGTATTGACAGTGTGCCTACAGGTGCCTACAGCCGCTGTAAGTGGAATTCCCGTGGTAACTAGCACCTAGTGCTACTGCCTGGCACCACCTAAGCAGTCGCGCAGTGAGGTTAGCAGCATGCACTGCCTGCAGCTGACCTGAGTCGTCCATTTATTCTTATGCGCTGACGCAGGGTTAGCCGGCAAGTCGACCGCTCCGTCCTGGCAACCCTGGCAGCAGCTGCATGGCCGAGACGGTACGAGTACTTGGCTGTACCTTTCAGCCACACGGAATGCCTACCGGCGTTGGGCGTACAGCAAAGTACCCGCTGGGTTGTCTGGAGTCTGGAGAGCCAAGCTGAAGAGATCAGGTATATATATTGGGAGGCTGTGTCTGGGTTCTGCAAGAGCTCCAGTCCAATCGCAACGGCCAGATTCAATTGTTGCTTCAGCCGTTTGTCCATTTCCTCGCCCGTCTCCTCGTTTTTTGATTGAGCGTCAAACCCCGCTTGAGCGGCCTCTTTTTGTTCTTTCTGTCTGAACACGGTGTCCGGCACGGTGCTTTGGCTTTGCCGCCAAAATCCAACAAAAAGCGAGGAAAAAAAACCAGCTATAATATTCGGACCAGACCAGACCAGACTGCTCTAGCCGTCATCGACATTCGTTCTTTTTCCTCTCTCAATCAGACGCAGCATGGGAACCGACCAGCCGAGCGACGCGGCAAAGATGACGCCCTCGACGCTGGACCTGCTGGTCCTGACGTTTAACTGCGCTGCAAAGCTCATCAACGTGCCTGTTTTCGCGGGCCATTTGCAGACTGCGCTGGCGCGGAATGCCGCGGAACTGCCAGAGGTGGTTGTCCTGTAAGTTGAGAAGATTACCTCATCACGATCCTTTCAAGGTTGTTTTATATGTTTTTTCCCCTTTCTTCTTCTTTTTTCATTATAACATCTTCGTCTTTTGATTATATTTCTGAAAACAAAACAAAAACGAAAAATGATTGCATCGTGTACTTATTCGGCAAAAGGTCGTTACAAGAGATTGCTCCCCTGAGCTATGCTTTCGTTGGGGATTACTTTCTGAAGCCATACGTGGAACGGTATGAAGAGGCTCTCAACCTCGCAGCTTCACTGCACTCACAAAATGGAGAGAATAATGGCATCTCAGCCGCCGCTGCTGCTTCTACTCCTGCATCACAATCGCAATCACAACCACAAAATGGGGGAAACCACTTCACGCTCATCAGAACCCTCAACGTGGGATACACTGCCATAATGCTCTTCGCCAGGGATCCGACCCGGCTCAAGGACGTCCAGGAGGCCGAGGTGGGATTCGGTGCTGCCGAGATGGGCAACAAGGGGGCTGTTGGTCTGAGGGCGCTGTACGAGGTCGGTGGAGAGTCGACGGAGCTGACATTTGTGGCGACGCACCTGGCAGCCATGGAGTGGAATCTCCCGCGGCGCAATGCCAACTGGGGGGCCATCATGCGAGGGTTGACATTTGAGAACCCGGAAGAGGTGCTGACCAAGATGAGGAGAGACGCCGAGTCGAGGAGCCAGAGCCTGTCATCCGAGGAGGGTGATGCTTCAGAACAGGCCCGTTTGCTGCGTGAGGAGCACCACGAGCAGGACCTCCGGCTGCAGCAGCAGTTTCACAACCTTTCCGTCTTCAAGCCTTCGTCTCACCTGTTTGTTGCCGGAGACCTCAACTACCGCATCTCCACCACGTCTCCGACGCCCTACTCTGCGTTCCCGAACCTGGACCCGGGATCGGAAAACTACTACACAAAGTTCCTGCATCTCGATCAACTCACTCGGGAGCGTCTGGCCGGCCGGACACTCCATGGCATGTCGGAGTATCCTGTGAAGTTCCCGCCAACATACAAGTACGTCGTGGACTCAAAGACGCCTCCTCCCGGCAGCGCCGGCAGCTCCGTCGACGAAGTGAAATGGGAGTTTGCCTCGCACCGGTACCCCGGCTGGACAGACCGCATCCTGTACCTCGAGCTCCCGTCGTGGGTCGATGCAAAGATGAATGTCCGCGAATACGACGCTCTGCCCGTCATCCGGACCAGCGACCACCGCCCCGTCTTCCTCCGCGTCGACGTGCCCCTCATCTCCCCCGGCGATCTCGCACCCCCTGCCGCGGTCCGTGAGTCCGTTGCCGGATCCGCCTCACCCGGGGGAAGCGGCGTGGATCCGCGAGTGCGGTTGCCTGTGGAAATCGACCCGGAGGCCTGGGATCGCCGAGTGGCTGCGCGGCGGCGCGAGATTGCGGCCGGGTGGACCATGTTTCTGGGGAGCACGAGGCAAGGGGCGTATATTCTGGCTTCGTTGCTGGCCACAGGCGCGGGCGGATACTGGCTATATCGTGCTGCGTACATGTGAGGCTGTGTGAACCGGGGGAGGGGGGCAGGGCCCATCTAATTCCCAATTGGCTTGGAATTCACATCTTTTCGGTACCGGAGCATAGACAGGGGTTGTTGTTTAAACGCGGCAGTGCAGTTGGAGGGCTGGCGTTGCGTGGCTTCTTTCATTTCCATTTGTCTTGGGGGAGGGTTTGTTTTTCTTAATGGCGGCTGAGGATATTGTTGGAGCATGTGTTAGAAGTGTTTGTTTGCTGCAGTTCGCTCTGCATAATGATTCATCATTATCGTCTGGCTATTCTGCCAAGGTAGATAGATATAGTAACATGGTAATATATACATGTATATATATGCATACACACGGTCGAGAGACGTCGTTTCATCACACCCAGGGCGCGCACATTAATAATATTCCTTCCCCTTTGCTGTGAGGCTATACAACACAGACTGACTTGGCTCCCAAGAGACTCATCTCCTCTTCCGCTATCTTTTTCTTCTTTGTTTCCTTTTTTCTTTTGTTCATTAATTAACCATGTACTTGTGAAAAGCGTCGTCATACGCTACGTCTCCCTAGCAGTCATCGACGTCTCTCATCTCTTTCAAAGGTCCTCCCCGCCCCAAAAGGGAGTATGCGCCAAGGGCCCCCCCTTAAAAAAAAAAAAAATGAAGGCAATAGTATTGGGAATAATAAAAAAAAGCAGATACCAAGTAGAAGCGCACGCACAATGCGAGTCATTTACTGGTGAGCGGTGATATATCATAAAAAGAAGAGCAACCGCGATTACCTATTACACCCACCCTCGCCGAGTAAATTTAGAACAGTGCCTTTTGAAACACAAAGCCAAAAGAATAAAACAAAAACAAAAAAAAAGATTGCACAACTTATGACGGTAGTATTTTTTCAAAAGTCTTCAAAGTAGCGGTCGTATCTATTAGCCATGTCGGCGGTGTAAGGGATGCGAGTCCCGTCTTCCTCGGGGTACATGTCGAAACACTGGGCGTCGCCGGGATATCGAAGGGGGGGGATAATCGGGCCGCGCTGCCGACGACTGAGGATATCATCCCAGCTGACTCCGTTGAAGAAGGGGTGGGCCTTGACGCGGCCGGCCCCTCCGCTGATGTTGCCCAGGCGCCTGGAGCGGTCGATTGTGCAGAACGACTTGATGATGTCTTTGGCCTCGTCTGAGATGGTTGGCTCTTGTGGGAATACGACGGGCTTCTCGACGATCCTTGGCACGAGGTTAGCAAAAAAAAAAAAAAAAAGGGGGAGTAGGTAATATGCAGCGCGAGGGAGCTTATAAGAACTGCCAAACGTCCAAAACTTACTGCTTGTAAATCTCAATAGGATTCTGATGCCAAAACGGAGGGTAGCCCGTCAGGAACTCGTATATCAGAATGCCCAACGCCCACCAGTCCACCGCCGTCGTGTGGCCCTTGTTATGAATGACCTCTGGCGCAAGATACTCGGGCGTACCGCAGAGCGTGTAAGTCTCGACTGGCCTGTCATCCTTGTAGCCCAGCCGTTTCGCAAAGCCAAAGTCAACGAGTTTGATGTGTCCATCCTGGTCCAGCAAGAGGTTTTCCGGCTTGAGGTCTCGATAAGCCACACCACCTTGCCGCTCGTGCAAAAACTCCAATACAAGGACAATCTCAGCGGCGTAGAAGCGCGCAACCTGCTCGTCGAACCGGCGGTACTTCCGTAGATAGCTGAAAAGCTCGCCGCCGGGGACGTAATCGAGGAGCATGTATAATGATTCGTTGTCGGAAAAGGAGCCTAGGAGATTGGTGATGAAGGGGTGGCCAGCCACGTCTGCCAGTATGGCTCGTTCATTGCGCACGTGGTCGATTTGTTTTAGTTTGATCACCTCCGTCTTCTTGAGGATCTTGAGAGCGTATACTTCAGGGTTCTTTTCCTCCTCTAGAGGTTTGGTGGCGCTGGCAGGGCGGACAAGACACACTCGCGCAAACGTGCCTATATAAAAAGATTTGGCTATTTAGTAAAACCCAGCTATCGCGATTCGAGTCTTGCTACTAGACAGGGACAATGGGGGAGTAAAGAAGGTGTAAACGAACCTGTGCCCAGCGTCCGCACCCGGTTGAAATCAGACAGCTTGAAGCTGCGAGTAGGCGGTAGAGGTGCGGGAGCGGAATCGGTAGAGGGAGCGCTGCCGGCATGGAGCTGATGAGGCGATGCCATGCCGATCGATAGCGCAGGAGTTGCCGGCTGCGTTTCAGCAACCGTAGCCGCCATCCGCGAGGCCGTGGGCTGCAAAAATGGCTACGAGGCCGGCCGTAGGTGTGCTTCCGGCGATGAATTGGTGAGTTGGTTGGCAGATGCGGTTCAGGGGAGGTCCATGGCCTCGTGGACAGAAAAGAGGACAAGGAGACGGGTGGACGGAGGGACAGAGGGCGAGGGAGAGCTTTGCGCGTGCAAAAGATCGGATGCGATTTGTGGAAGGCGACACAAAGGAAAAAGCGCAAGGATCGGAGGGAGATGTCGGGCTATAGCATCAATCGAAGCATGGCGGGAGAGGCAGCGGAGGATCTGGCGACAGGAATCCGGCGGATGACGGGTGGGATCGATAGGAACGGTTGGCCCGTCGGACTTGGCGCTGACTGATGGATGTCTTTTTCTCTTTTCTTCTGCTCTCTCTTGTTGCTGTTTGTTTCTTTTTACCTTTCTCTGGCCGGGGGTTGAAACAAGAGCAGGTCGTTGGCTTTGCTTTGCCTTTGCTTTTGCTCTTGTCCGATGCCTCTGGAGCTTCGGGTTATCGTAGGGTGAGCACAGGGTGAAATGCAGAGAGGCAGAATAATGAGGCGGAATCTGAGGCAGAAGCAAAAAAAAAAAGACAGCAGAGGCTGAGGCTGATGAATATCTACTAAAACTAGTGCAAGCAGCATCCATTTCATCGTGGGGATTCGGCGAGGGGCGGTTATGACGCAACAGGGCGACATGCTAGAGGGGCCCTAGCAGCTGGTGTCGATACACCAAGGGGCACGCTATGTATGCGCTACCGGCTAGCATCGCGAGGGACCGGAATTTTTTGGGGGAGCTGATGTTGATGATTGATGGAGATGTTGGGGATGCCATCGATTGGGCGAGGCTGCGTATTTGGCACTCTGGATGGTGCATTTGTTTATTACAAGAGGTTTCTGCCGCATCAGGTTGTTGATATGGACTGCTTGGTAGATCACCTGTTATTGTCTACTACCTACCTAGGTATTGGTACTATATTAACCTGGTTGTATTATTAGAACGCTTAGTACCGTAGTAGCATCTACCTGTCACATTGGTGGATTACGGTACGCGGCAAATACGAGTCAATCAGTACCTGGACTAGAGCAGGGTTTTTTTTTTCTCCCCCATCGCATCAATTGATTATTAAGGTTGCCTTGGCCTTGGTAAGCCTCGGGCATAGTAAAAAGTATCGATCGCATCACATTCTCTATTCCGTGCCAGATTTGATTTATAAGTCAAAAGTGCATATATCCTATTTCGCTGTTGACATCACAATACATCCATCTCCATCCTTGGGTTGGGGCATGCATGCAGTTCCATCAAATATGTAAGTCATCAAACCGCATTTGACAGGGCCTGGATGAGATTAGTGATGCGACTGTGCCCTTTTCAGGTGCAGTGGCCCAGGGCCAATAAAAGACCACATGGCGGCCTTTTTATGGAGATGCTGCGTGTCGGAGTCTTGGATTGATCCATTGCCAAGGGCTCGCGGCTTCTGCGGCCGGGCGATGGATTCAGGTTGCTGTACAGTAGGTGCCAATGCCGGCTTAAGATCAAAATCAGGCGCAAAAGGGTACATGTAATGCTGCGATGGGGTTGAATTCAATCAATCGTGCTGGTGATTCATAATTTCTGACAATTCCTGACGATACATGTATCCTGTCTGAGCCCCGTCACTGGCACAAGGGACAATTTGGCTTCTTACCAGACCTCAACTTAAAACAGCTTCAGGTTCTCATACACGTAAGAGTACGAGCATGGACCGGGAAGCAAAAATTAACACGGAGAACCGGTAGGCAGGGTGCATGTCTGGTCAATATACGAGTACCTATAGTACTGTACAGCACCATTACTCGCACAACTGTACTGTTGCCAGCTACCTTACTAAGTAGGAGGTATTCACCGAGCTCGAAGCATTGAACACCAGATCTCACCTCACCCCCTGGCCTGAACCCCTTCTTGCTGACGTCTCAACGCTGCACGGCGGAATTGAATTTTAGAGTACGAACAGCTCCAGGTGCCGAGATGGGCACCTCGGCCCCCCTGTTGTTGCGCGGGATCAGCGGACCTGCTAGTGCATTCCAGGCACTCGATGGTCTGGTGCTACAGCGTCCACCAGTGCCGCCCGGGAATGCAGCGCAGTGGTTGGCCGTGGAACTGCAGCCCTGCAGCTAAGGCAGACTCGCTGGTTGGCGAGGGGGGACCAGGCTGAATAACTCAGCACAGGGTTCCGTCGAGCCCCGCCAACGGCCGCTAACAGCAGACAGCTGCAGCCTGGACCGCTGCTGTCACTGCTGAACTCCCGACTGAACTGGCCCTCACCACCACAACTCCCCCTCGAAGCCACCATCGCCGGCATCATCCTCAGCTCCCGCGCATCCGCTCCCTCTTGCTCGCCCTGCCAGCTCTCTGCCGCCTTCTGCCGCGTCTCCGGCCTCTGCTACAGCATCTTGCTCTGCTCTCTCCCTCGCAACGGCCCGATCCGGCAGCCCGACGCCAGCAAACGGAGCACCCAACGGCTCTTTCAGCCATCCGACGGCCGGCAGTCTCTCTGCGGTCGCGTGGGCTGGTGCCATTGCTTCTCTCATAACACCGTCATGCGTCCTTGAACGCCTTCGAAACCATGTTTTCCAACCTGACCAACATCGTCCAGAGGGCCCAGCAGCTCATCGATCCCACTCAGGGACTGAACCTCTCCAACTCGGACCGCAATCCCTCCAAAGCCTCCCTCTTCCAGAGCCAGTTCCGCCTCCCATCCTCGCAGACGCCCCTATATGAGATCAATGCCGAGTTGACCATACCGCCCTCAAACACTACGCGCGGCGATCCGGACCATGACAGGGGGTGGCATTATGCTGGAAAGCTACACCTTTCAGAGGCCTACCTTTGCTTCTCGACAACGCCCACGAGCTTTACGCAATCGGCGAGCACTTCGACGTCTTCCGCCTTTACCGGGCAGACCAATGGCAGCGGGCCAAGTGGGAGTGGCTTCACATTCCCCCTCTGCGCCGTCAGGCGAGTGGAGAGACTGAATAGCCAAAACTTTCAGGTATGTGTAGTTGGATGGATGACGGCATCTCCCCCCTCACCCTCCCCTCGAAATCTACGTCAGTAAAGATGTACGGCTGACAAGCATATCACCCAAGTTCGCTCTCGCAATAACTACTTGGAATGGCTTATTGGCGGACGTCGCGAAACCAAAGGATGGCAACAACGGCGGCAAGGATGTTCGAGAACAGCGCATTACGATCCACCTGGCAGGCACCCGGCAAGCTTGTGAAAGGTTCTGCGATGGCCTAAAGCGAGGTCTGAGAGCCGGAGTGGGCAACGTGGGCAAGCTGCGCAAGGTGGTGGCCGAGTGCTACTCCGAACATCTCTTGCGGACCGACGACAGGGCGAGCGTGTCACCTCCAGATGCGGGACTGGGCATGGCCTTCCGGTATCCTGGAGATCCAAAGAAGCTCCGCGACAGGGCCAAGATGAGGCTCTGGGCTGAATATCTTCGCGACAACGGCCGAAACATGATGCTGATCCGTCAACCCACGTTTCACAAGCTCATTCGTGTTGGTCTCCCTAACCGCCTGCGAGGCGAGATATGGGAGGTAACCTCTGGCTCTTTATATCTCCGACTGGAAAACCCAACATTGTACAGTGATACGTTGGCCAAGTTCAAAGGCCAGGAATCGCTTGCAATTGATGAGATTGAAAAGGATCTCAATCGCAGTTTACCCGAGTACCCCGGCTTTCAGAGCGAGGAGGGCATCGGCAGACTCCGCCGCGTTCTCACGGCCTACAGTTGGGTCAATCCAGATGTGGGCTACTGCCAGGCTATGAATATTGTCGTGGCGGCACTGCTCATTTACATGTCCGAGCCACAGGCCTTCTTCCTTCTCTCCGCTCTGTGCGATCGTCTGGTTCCTGGCTACTATTCCACCACCATGTACGGCACTCTCTTGGATCAAAAAGTTTTTGAGTCTCTTGTTGAAAAGACCATGCCCATTCTGTGGGAGCATCTTGTAAAGAGCGACGTACAGCTGTCCGTCGTATCGCTTCCTTGGTTTCTCTCTCTCTATATTAATTCAATGCCCCTGGTGTTTGCTTTCCGTGTGCTCGACGTCTTTTTCGTCGAGGGTCCCAAGGTACTGTTCCAAGTTGGCCTTGCCATCCTTCGGATAAATGGCGAAGAGTTGCTGGACGCGGCCGATGACGGTGCCTTCATATCTGTTCTCAAATCATATTTTGCCAGGCTCGACGAATCTGCACATCCAAAATCAGAAAATCCCAAACTGAGGGCGGTGACAAGATTTCAGGAGCTCATGGTTGTGGCCTTTAAGGAGTTTGCCGGAGTTACTCATAGCAGTATTACAGAGCTTCGACTCAAGAATAAGGATGCCGTTTTGAGCAATATCGAGAGCTTCGCCAAGAGAACGGCAATTCGCAACCTGGGGCCTGACAGCAAGTTGCTGAGCCCTGAAGAGCTGGGCTCCTTGTACGACCGATTTTACAATGTCCTGTACGAGCGGCAGCAACGAGATCGAATGATTCAGGAAGAGCTGCAGCGCCAAGCAAAGAGTAGCAGACTACGAGGCTCCGACATATTCTCTTCGGCCGCCCCCAACGAAGTCGAAAAGGGCCGCGTCGGACTTGGACCAAGCACTAGCCTGATGGATTACGATGCCTTCCGCGAATTCTTGGCCGGCATGTCGAAATGGGCCATCTCAGACTCCCAGGCAAACGAAGCCAGGCTCTACAACACCAGGAAGACGCCCGACGTTATGTCGCCCTGGGGAAGCGGACCTGAGCCTGCGGAGCATGAGTTTCTACGACGCATCTTCAACAAGTGGGATGTCGACGGCACATCAGCCTTGACCCTCCAAAATGTGGTAACCGGTCTAGCCAGGATCAAAGGCAAGAGGGACATCATGGGCACAATCACGTATTTCTTTGAGCTGTATGATGACGACAACGATGGTAAGGTGGACCGAGAGGGCATCTTGCGTATATCCGAAGCCCTGCTCTTCTTATCCCGTCGCGGCCTGGAGGGGACGTTGAGCCCGGGGGCTTCAACCATGGGGTTGAACGGCGATGGAATGAGCGCCAGCGACTCGCAGACCAGTCTACCTCCTGAAATCTCCAACGCCGAGCGGTTTTTGGGCAGTGTTAGTGCGTTCATCAGACGCTGTTTTGAGTACGCCGACCCTGATCACCCAAAGAACCAAAACAGCACCGGCTTTGACTCATTGGTGTCGAATGACGAAATGGTTGATCCAAACGCCTTTGCCATTGGGGACGACGATGATAGTGAAGACGAAGAGGAAGACCTCTTGGCGCTTGATTCATCACCGACGGCCACCCCCACGAAAGCCAAGAAGTCTGTCGATCTATTGAGTCCGAGTGACCAGGACTCCCGCGGCGACAGCGTCGACAACGAATCTCGCCGGCGGGTGTCAAGGCAAAAGGCCGAAGCAGCTAACGCGGCGCTCGACCCAGCCCATCCCCTTCACATCACTTTGCCGACATTCCGAATGGTTGTGCTGGCAGACGAACTTCTCGAACAGTTCTTTGAGTCGTCCTTCCCAGCATCGCTCCACATCATCGAGGGCCTTCAAACCACCAGTAGCTCTTCGTATGGCCCACTTACAACATTTTCCAACTTGGGCTTTAGTACGCGATCACAGGCACAGGCTCAGGCCGGGCCCATTGGAGGTGGCCGTGGCCTGCGCGGCGTTTTGGATAATATTGTTACCGACGGAATGCGCGTGGCGAGCGAGGTGCGAAGGCGAATGGAAGAGGCCCAAAGGGAGCTTGAAAAGAATGCTCTGCCCAGCCAGCGGACGGAGGAGGACGAGGAGGACGATGATGATGTCGGTGTTGCGATTGGTGTAAGGAGGGGAACAGGAGGTGCCAGCACAGACGTTGAACGCCGATCGGTCATGAGCACAGACCGTGATCTTTTAGATGGAGCAGATGCGGAAGCTGGGTCAGTGACGGCTTCGAAAGAGCCAGGACACGATCACAACTTATTAGAGGTTGACGCGGCAGTTGGGCGGCGCCGAGCAAATAGCTCATCGACTACAGGGGGGCCTGGTGTCGTAGAATTTGAAGGGTAACGGGTTACTGGAAGCATGGAGATGAATGTTACACAGCTATGTCAGGTAATTTTGATCTCTCTGATGGGAAATGAAAGTATCGGATTCCAATGCATGTTGCGAGCTTTCACCCCTCTTTTCTCACTCTTTCACTCACACACACACACACACTCTCTCTCTCTCTCTCCTTTTTTTCATTTTAATCATTTCTCATTCTTTTTTTTTTCACGCTGCCAGTCAGGATAGGATGGGAGCACTTGTACATAATAAATCAACAGAAGAAGATAGAGGAGGGGGCACGGGATTGGCTTGAGATGCCATGGCCAACAACTGGATTTTTTTTTTTTCTTCCTTCTCCCTTTCCATGCGTGTGTTGGAGGCTATGGATGTGCGTGGTCTGCTGTGGGATTTTGCCTAGACATGAGATATATACATGAAAAACCAATAGTTCGTTGTAGTCTGTAACGACTTGTTGAGGGCATGTTCTGCATTCAATTTTACTGACCAATTGTAATTGGGCTTGGCTTTATATATTTTTGTATACCAATCAAGTGCAGACTAAATCCACGTGTCGTTTTGTTTATTAAATATAGCATCTTTCCATGCCTTCTTTATACCTACCAGGTATCATTAATGCAATGCGATGCGAATACCTAGGTAACAGGCATACCCACCCAATGGCTCGTCCGTACAAACAAAGCCAGACCCCGAGAGAGAGACCTGCAGCTGTTGGGACCAAGAAACGGCCCTAATGCGAGTTAATGCCAGTCGTGAATACTAGTCGGCAGGCCAAGATTGATGAGGACCCTGAATTCGGGTTGGTCGTAATTGGCAACGGGGCGACTTGGACGCAATACTTGTACGGAGCAGGTCTACGGGAATATACAGTACTAGACTAGTACGAGTAGTACATAGCATGTCCCTTGTATGGGCAAGGTAGCAGTGCTATTTACGTGTAATTTGAATCCATGGCCAAACCCGTTTGAATCGCTTGTTTGTACAGAGTGCAGGCGTTGATCCGTGCAAATGGCATGAGGCCACTCGCCTCCTCTGGCAACGCTCAACTGTTTCAGGGCCTGTCTCTCTCATCAGCCATTTGCAGATTTTTCGAGGGCTATATTTGCGGCATCTCATGCCGAGAATTAAGCGTCCATATCAATGTCGGGTTGCCCCCCTCTCAGGAGCAGGGATCGCCGTCATTAAACATGGGAATCTAGCGGCGGGTGAATCCCCCCCCTGCTTGTTTCTCGCAAAGTAGAGCCCAAAAGCCAAAGGCAGAGCAGCAAAAAGGTTCGGGTGGATGGGCATTTTTTTTGGTTCATTTCCCTAGGAGAAGAAGAACAAAAACAAGCGGGATCACGGGGGGGAGGGCATTGATCTCTCATTTCCCCCGCTGAGATGTTGGAGATTGGAAGGTGAGCGAGGCCATGTTTCTTGATTTTGGTCTTCAATTTGTTTGGAGGGGTTGAGGAGTGCTAGTTGCTTCTTTGTTTTTAGTACCATACTCGGGATTCAGTGGGGAGAGAAGAGATGGTCGATTCCTTTGCTCTCTTAAAATTACTCGAATCTGCAGAGCAATGCGTATGTACGAGTACGATCGTGTGATTAAAGGCGGCTATTGATTTAGAGTAATATCATGGATGGCTAAAATCGGCAAAGAGTTGCAGTTCGGAGCAACTATAACTGCCTTCAATGGAGTAAAACTAGCAGATGAAATGGAAGGGCTGCGGGGGAATACCCAGTACTTGGATAAACTCCAACACAATACAAGTCGGTACCTCGCACACATTCAACAGCTGCTTCGAGTTTGGAAGCTCGCACTGGGAGGCATCGCGCACAAGTCACTGGTACAGCATCAGGTGGACAGCAATCGCCAGGCCATGCACACACTCAGTCAACAGGCACAAAGTAGGGAGTACCTGCGCGTGCGAGCGTGATACACTCATGTTTCAGGTCGATGTCATGTTCCCCCTCCACTGCGCGTGCCTGTGCTGTACGAGTACTCGTATGAGTGTATGAGCGTATGAGCGCTCGTACATGTACTGTACCGGGTACGGGGCCGCTTTGCCGCCCTGGCGTTGGGGGCTCCTGGTTTCGGCCTCAAACATTCCTGGGCGGCATCTGGCATTTGCTTGGCTGGGCATCTAATCTCACTTGATCTCATCTCTCTTCTTTTCTTTTTTTTTTTTTTTTTGTTTTTGCGACTGACGGCGTGCTCCGAGGTTGCATGTACATCCTTGTACGAGTACCAAGAACAGATGGAGGCTGCTTGTGCCTGGACCTGCATCTCCAAACTCGTTGCGAACCGATGCATCAATAGCGGCCAGCTGCCTCATGCGGAAGACGCTCTAGCACTCTTGGGCCTTAGCCCGGCGTCTGCAAGTCAACTCTGGCACGGCTCCAGCACTCAGTCCTTGCTTCTTTGGGGCGGATTGGGAGTTCAATAATGCTGGGGGTCCACCACTCCAAGCGATAATCTCGAGTACAGTAAAAGGGGGGGGGGACATGCCGAACCCTTTGAGCATCGCGGCAGATTAGCATTGATCTCTGTTTGGTAGTACCGTAGTAGAGGCACTGTATACTGCATTGACTGCTGCATCCGTGCCCTCCCCCAAGCGAAGCCGCTCGTCCAGCCGCTGCGTCTCTTTGGCCGGTTGCGTTGCTGCGTGTTGATCGCCAAATTCGCAGCACAACAGGGGGCGACAGACCCCCTTTTCTGGATCTGGAGGGACATCTACGGAGCACTACTATGCTAAGGTTGGAGTGGGATTGGCACAGTGTGGAGAGGCCTCGTTGCGGAGCGCGGGACTGTGCAGCTCATCATTTCTCGTACATACAGGTACATTAGTAGGTAGCGGCTCTAATTACTGTACAGCTGCAACTCTGGACTGCTCCAAGCAAATCTGGAGTGTTTCAGCCAATCAACCAGCTACCGTCGCTACAGATTTGTTCCCTCGTGCACCAACCCTCCAGTGACTTTCGCTCCAGTCCCTCAACTCGGTCGCCTGTCTTGTTTGAATTGCTGTCCCCGTTACAGTACAGTCCCAGTCCCGGCCATAGTACCGCTATTGGGTAGATGCCATCACAGTAGCTGCTGCTTTGTTTGGCCTGGAGTGACGCTAGGCCCGGCCTTGCACCAAGGAATTTAACCTGCCAGATCCCCTGTGTCGCGAGTCAACCGACTCAAGACCCCTTTGGACACCATCAATTGATAGCCATCATGTCCGCCAACAGCTTTTACTTCGCCGGTAAGCGCCAGCCCTGCCCTGATCTGATCTGATTGCGTTGTCGTGTCGGCCTTGCATCCTGCTTGGCCCTCGTTGGACCTCGTCGTCCCGCTGCCGTGTTGCCGACAACGAATGGCTGGCGGCAAAGACGCGCGCAAAGGGGCTATCGAGACGAATGGGGGCATCTGCATGAAGCCTCTCATCATCCCGTCGAAACAGACCAAGTCAAGGGGCCGAAGCGGGCCAGGCGGCGCATCCAAGCAAGATCCAAGGAGCCCAGCCAGAGCATCTCGCCATTCGACCCTCCTGCTGTGTCATGTAGACGAGACGGGATGCCGTCTTGTTTCATGTTTGCCCATCGCTCGCCTATCTTGCCTATACTTGTCCGTTGACTCCAGCTGATGACTCCTATAGGGCAGCAACCCGCAGGACAGACGCCCAGCCTGTCCTTCAATGGCAGCAGCATTGATAACAATGCCGACAGCCTCGCATCCAACAATCCCTTCCGCAACTATCGCGCTACCTCTCCAAGCCACCTCAACACTTCCTTTCCCACGACGCCTACATCCCCCTTCGACGACCCAATGCCGTCCTCGCGCCCTCTGTCGCGGAACCCGTTCCTGGACCAGCCGCTCGCTCCACGGCCTGCCGATGTGGCAGCTGCAGCCAAAACCCAGTCTCTCACTGCTGAGGAGATCTTCGTGCGTTTTCCCTCGTGGCCTTCCCTTCTCGCACGTCCACGGCCCTGGATATGGGACGAGGAAGAGCTCCAGAGACTATCTGACCGACCCAAGCGCTAACCGTTCGTTTTTGGCTACCACATAGGGATCTCTGACGCTTGACGACTCTCCTGCGTTTTCAGTCAAGCAGCCCATTGATTCAACACTGCTGAAGAAGCGCCCTACAGACCGACCCGCGCCTCCTCGCCGTGAAAGCGAGAGCACCGCGTCTGGCAAAGCTGCTGAGAAGCATCGTCCTACTCGCTCCCAGGAGGAGGCCCTGAGAGCTCGCAAGCCGCCTCCACCTGGATCAAAGCCGCCAGCGCCAAAGCCGACAACCCGCCCCAGCCTTCTGGATGATTCGCCGCCTCGTAAGCCGGTGCAGCGACGCCCAAGGCGCAACTCCGACTCGTCTGTCATGGACTTTGATAGCAAGTCCCTCACGGCTGAAGAAAAGAGGATGATTGAGGCCAGGCGCCGCCAGCATAGCAAGACCAAATCAACACGTCCCAGCCGTAAAATGGACATTATTGATCAGCTGGACGCCACCAGCATCTACGGCACAGGCTGTTCGTATATCCACTATCCTTGGCACCCTTTGACTATGACCTCCGTAGCTCTTTGTGTTGTATTCTGACCTTATCCTTGCAGTATTCCACCACGATGGACCCTTTGATGCTTTGAACCCTCATCGGAATCGCCAGAACAGCAAAAAGCTGTCTCCGATGCAAGCATTTCCTGAGGGCTCCCTCAATAACACACTGGGCGGCTCCGGCCCCCTCAATGCGCAGGCCGATCACTCGACCTTTATGGGCCACGGTGGTGATGAGGCGTTCCAGGACTTTGCTGCCAGTGGAAAGGGCAAGAGCTCTCGAGAACCCATCATTTTTGATGCTCAGGCACGCACAACCTTGGTGCACGGTGATGAGAGCCATGGCTTGGGCACTTCAACTTTCCTTGAAGGAACGCCGGCTGCGCGATCGGCCATTGTTCGCCGACAAGTAGAGCATGCTCAAGAATTGGCCGAAGGCGGTTTGCAGCGGAAGAAGTCTGTGGCTCAGAGAATCAAACAGAGGGTGCGACCAGACTATAGCAGTAGGCCCATGCCTGGCCATGGCCGTTACGACTCGGACGATTTTGGCGAAGAGCGCATCACCGTCCCCAGACCTCCCCCACGCGAACGCGAACGAGAAGGCAGACTTTCGCCGCCGCCCATGCCACGACGAGGCTCAGGAAGTGCTCTGGAGCGACGAACAAGCGCGGACGAATTACCATCCCCTTCCAATGAGGCTCCTGCTAAGCCATCCGGCCTCCTAGGCCGAATGAAGAGTTTGAAGGGAGGCAGGCGACCAAACCGAAATGCTGAGGCGGGAGGGATGGCCACCTAAGCAATATCAGTATTGCAGTTGGCAGGGCGCGTGAGTATGAGAGTAGCTGGACGATACGAATGCTCAGTTCTATGGTCAATAAATATGATATCCGCATGATGATGGGAGAGCCGGCAAAGGGGGTCTCTCCCTAGAGGAGTAACGTTCGGGCAGAAAGGAGCCTGTCGATTTAAGAGTTCAGTCTTGGTTATTCATCAGGCCCGCATATGAAGACTAGTTCTTTTCTTTTTGTTTTGATCCTAGCGGGCTGTGTACTTAATATATGGAATTGCTTTTTTTTTTTTCTGGACGACGTTGATTCTCTGTTTTCCTTTTCTCCTTCTTGCCATGCATGACAGAATTTGGGGTTGCTCGAATTGTTTTCTCTAACACAGACAAAACGAGGAGAAACGAGTGGGGGAAAGGGATTGGGGAAACATACAGCTTGGAGCTTTTCTTTATTCCCTTCTCCTTTTGTGTTTTACCTTTTTTTTTTTTTTTTTTTGGTGCCGGAGATGCGAACAGGGAGAAATTTCAGTGACTAGCAGCTTTGGCTGGGTACATCGTCGACTTAGGCTCCGATAGAATGTCTTGAAACCGGTAGACGCCCTCCATCTCGACGTTGGCCCTTTTGTTCTCCTTTTTTTTTTTTTTTGGTTGAGAGAGAGAGAGAAACTTTGACGCAGGGTGACCGGGATTTTGGTTTTTGGTTTTCCTTATTAGAAGACGTAGATTGCTACGAAGAAAAAGATTATTCTTACAATTCATGACGTGAAGCTATTTCATAACGTGCCATCTCTCAATCAGTTCTCGTGGCAGACTCGGTTGTTGCTGTGCGAGTCGCTTCTTTCTGCCACCTACTATATGTAGGTACAAACAACTCTCTGAACTGCCTGGAGATTTACTAACAACCAGTAGTCCAAGTTGCTTATCCAGCATCCCGTGATCCAAGTTTAATGCTGTAAGGTGGTGATGATGGTAGATATCAAAAGACGTACCATCTACTAGGTTGTAAGTAATGATAGTGAAAAGATACATGGCGATAGTAGCAGGTAGACAGAAACTGGCTACTACCTTTACCAAATCGCTTCCCTGGACTGCAGAGTACCATTGCATCCTTGATGAGGAAACGGCTGGGTATTTTAGATATAGTACTACCCTAGGTAGTTTGGATACTACCGAGAGTATGCACAACTACCAATAACAGGGCGTGTAGTTGATACTAGAGAAGTCCAAACTTGTCAAATAAACGGTTATATGCTATGCTATGCTATGCTATGCTCAGCCCTGAGAAACGAGGTTCAAACACTATATAGACCAAGGCAGCGTTGACCTTCCATCCGCACAGATCGAGAAACGCAAATATAACAAGTAAAATCTTGAACAAACATGCCAAAAAAAAAAAAAAAAAAAAAAAAAAAAAAAAAAGCTGCGGGCTGCCTCATCTACTATAAAATACGAATATGCTATGCACGTGAATCAATCCGCCTCCAATTATAAAGCCTCCGCTTCAAAACCTATCTGCCGCTACGGCTCTCTCTCAAAGCTCCAGACGTATCCTCCAAAAGCTGCAAAAATTCCTTGTCCATGACTTAAGTACATGTCTTTCCTCCACTTCAATACCACAGCTTCGCCTCGCGCTCTCAAAACAACCCTGAGCAAGCTCACTCACTCACTCACTCACCAGCCTTCCTCCGTCGCCCACTTACAAACTGAAAGGGGAACCCAAAACATTCAAGGGAAAGTAGAAAATGAACCGCAGAATTATATGAGACAAGCCTCTGCGAGACGCTTATCGGTGATTGAAAGGATGTCTCTTGATTCTTCTGCGCCTATGTAAAGAGGTTACCCCTGTCCCAACCCAGCTAGAGTCGCAGCGCTTTATACGGTGTATGTAATCGGGGAGAGAGAAAAAAATAAGGAAATAGGTTGAAAACAACTGTCCACTCAAACATATTGCTCTCAGCGATGAGCCACAATATCTTTGCGCTTTCATGGGATACAAGAAGGATTTCCTGGAAATTAAGGGTTCTAATATGTCGTAGAACAAACGCGACCACTATCGCGGGTGGGCAGGTTGTGATGGCGGCAGGGCACCAAAGACGTCTGATCGTCTGTTGCTCTGCCAAAAATCGATAGATTCCACTACATCCTCTCCCCGTTCATCTTCATAGGCGAATAAAATCTGGTGGAATGGGTTAGTAACAGAGTAGGTGGAACAAGTTAAGCCACTGGTACATACCTCGTGAGTGCTGCTATGGAGCATCCTAATATTCTTGTGTGGTACAATGTGTACAGCGCCATTCTCAATGTTGCGCAGCTCAATAAAGTTGGGCTCAAACGCAAGAATCCAAGGATAGCTGAGCGCAAAGCTCTGAGGAGAGCCTTCCCAGTCAATTCGCCATTCCGGTCGAGCCCTCCATCCATTTCGGTTGACGAAAAAGGAGAACTCGGAATAATTAAGCAGGAATTCTCCATTGAGGCGTTCGATGTGAATAGGCTTAGCTCCTTCCTTGCGAGCCACGAAATCCAATGAGGTATCCGCTTGATCAAGGAGCGACTGTGTCTCCAGAGTCTCCAGAGAGACAACTTCAAAGCCCCTGGCACAGGCCACGCAAAGCTTTGACTTGAGGAAATGAACCGACGACGATTCTGTTGGGATATAGAACTCCTTGAATGGCCTCAGCTCATCAAAGCCACCACCCATGAGCTTTCCGAGACCCTTCTGCTTCTTGCCCTTCGTCATGGCGTCATTAGGCTCAAACACCTTGATCGTGGTGGATAGTGTTGAGGACTTGACGCAGCAGACGAGATGCCGTCCCATGCAGATGCCAGTCTTGAAGAAGCTACAGTGGTTCTGAATCTTCTTAGGTCTCTTGGCCAGAGCAGGGTCATCGGACGTCAGGGCAGACAGTGAATACGATTGTAGTGTCTTGTTAGAGAGTACGAGAAGAAGTTGATACTCTTCGAGGATATCAATCTGGGTAACACTGGCTGTTTCAAGAATCCGTCGGGGCACTGCATCTTTGTTCTTGCGATCCGAGATGTAGACGCCGTTATCGGTGCCGTAAAGAAGTTTGCGACCACCGTCTGCAAATGGGTTAGACACAGATTGTCAAGCGCGAAAAATGGAGTGAGGGAAAAGCGAGAATGTATTGAAGACTTACCAAATGGCGAGACACAGTTGACCTGGTTCGTTCCAACAAAGAAGTTGCTTGAGATGATGTTGGTGGTGAAGAAGTCCGCACGAGCCCGGAGGCGCTGCTGTGCGGCATCAATATACTCGAGCCACTTCTTCCGTGCTGCCTGGTTCGAGGCATAGACGGTAAGCTCATATCCAGCTTTACCAAGATGCTTAAAGGTAATCGGCCAGCCGTCTCCCTTTTTAGTCTCAGACGCGTTGGCCCGTATGACTGGTATTATGCTAGAAGATGTGCGTTTAACGGTGCCGTCGGACGGGATGACTTCTTCCATCTCCCGAATAGCAAGCAGTTCTAGCGGAATTGGTCGTCGATATGCCTTGACTTCTTCCGTCTTACCGGTCTGCTTTATGCGAACAAGCAAAACAGCATGGTCAAAGAGGAAAGCAGTCAACTCGGCAGGGTCAGTAGGCGACTTTTTAAACTGGCTCTTGAACACAAGTTCGCGACCATCTTCAGTGAGTTTCAAATCGACCCGTTCGTTGGGTCGGAATCGAAGCTGCTCCTGAAGTCTTCGTAGGTTGAAACGGTTCTCGGCTTTACCAGACTCCGCATTCACTCTTCCAAGGAGATCTCGGATTATGGTGAGGACTTTCGGAATGTCTTCCTTGTCAGGGCTGCCATCTTCCGTATACTTCAACACATTCTCCAGCAGTAGAGGGTATCTAGCCAGACGTGTGGTTGGCTTGGTAAGGTAACCGTTTAGCTCCAGCTTTCGTGACTCTTTTCGCCGCTCGATTTCGTCAACCAACTTGGAGAAGAAAGGGTTGACTGATCGCTCATTTTCGAACTCGAACTTAGCTTCCAACTGTTTAGAGCCGTACCAAATAAAGGGTTCAAATTGGGGCACGAATTCCAAGAAAATATCACCAATGTTTTGCACAATGGGATCTTTTTGCTGTCGGGCGGTCAGAGAGCTTGCAAACCGCGAGCTGACATTATGGACGCTTGGATGATCGATAATGTTGCTGAAAATATTCTTGACAACTCGCTCTCGGCGTTGCAGGGGGATGGGCGAGGCCTTTGATCGCAGAGGAATAATCCAGAAATCACGGAGGTACTCGAGATCCTTTACGAAATCTCGCTCAGTGTAACATATCTCAGATATAACCTCTTGTCTCTTCTTTTCTCGTTCGCTCACCGCGTCAGCAACTTCCTTGGGTACGGAGTTGATCCACAGCTTTTGCTCATCAGTTTGGTCGACTTCGTCGTCGTTGACATTGGCCGAGTCCTCCTTACGCAGCCCACCAGGATTAACCTTCAGGTTCAGTCTAGAAACCTGCTCTAGTCTTCTAGGGCAAGCAATGGAATAGCAGAGTTGGTCTCTCGTGCAGGTAGGAGAGTAACACTCTGAAAGCAATACGAATACACCATCGACGGGGTTTTTTCCTTCGGGCTCGTCCATGAGAGTTTCTCGGAATTGATACATTTCTGATTGTGAGTCTCGCAGTCGATGCTCATAGGTGACATCATGAAAGAACTTTTGCGCATCCAGAGACCGACCGAGCAGTAAAGCCAAATTTCGATCGGTGGTCCTGATGATGTAGGACAGCACATCAACTGCCTCGGAGCCGCTGAAGGCATTCTTGTACGTGAGTTCGTTCTTCGTCCTGTCGCCCACGATAATCTTCTGCCGGAAGCACTCGGCCACTCGTGAAAGCAGAGCTGGGTATACAAGCGGAGGGCGGATTTTCGTTGTGGCAGTCGTCGGGCGCTCGCTCTCAATTGACTTGCTCCTGGACGGTCTTTGCACAAGTGTGGCCGAGTCAGATTCGGATGGAGCTATTGTCGAAGCCACAGAGGCCATGGAGAAAGTCCTTCCATGATCCGCACCACTAGTTGAAGAGGCCATGCTTGCTGTCCGCGTCTGAGAACCTGGCATAGGGGGGTAGCCGCTGTTTTGAACCGGATATCCGGCCCCTGAGTTGAGCTCAGTGGGTGCCCGCCGATTGGGAATAACTCGCCCGCTCATAGTTTGTTGGCCATCGCGATCTTGAGGATGGTAGACTCCAGTCAAGGACATTGAGCGATCCTCGTGACGATCTGGCACCACCCGGCCCTGAGCGGTCGTCCTCGACTGGGCAGCATGCTGCGTATAGGGTGCTTGTCGAAAATGGTTTGCGGACGATTGCTGGTAAGAATTTTGCGCTGGGGGATACATCTGTGGGCGAGGCATTGAAGCCAAAGACTGCGATCGGTATGGGTCACTATTCAACGCAGGACCTGGTCCTCCTCCTGGGTAATGTCTCTGAACTGGACCCCTGGGGCCACCAGATGGCAACGGCGGGCCACGAGAATCAAACCGTGGAGGCGCCGCGCTTGGGGGCCCCGGGTATGGGCGCCTTGCTTGCTGCTGTTGCTGTTGCAGATATTGTCCTTGAGACGAGTGAGCTTGAGGCCCACCAGAAGCAGAAGCAGAGCGTTGACCCGGATAATGGCCGTTTGCCATGTAATTATCGGCCGGTCGAGGTCTCGGTGGTTGCTGCCCACGATCATCATAGTATCCCTGGCCGGGGCGAGGAGGCGGTTGGCGCATGCCAGAGGCAGACGACATCGTATGTGTCCTGCCTTGGTCAAGCATTGGTGGGACGGAGGACGATGTCATGGTTTGGGACCTCCCAGGAGGGGGGGCAGCACCAAAGATGTTTGAGAACGCGGCATCTCGTTGGTAGTTACCATTCTGATCGGGATAACCCCGCTGGCGTTGGCCAGGAGGAGCCCGTGAGTTGTATTGATAGTCGGCCATATTCGCTGCGCTGCAAGAGGGACGAGATCAGTCAGACGGCGGGCACTCGGAAGGCCAAGGCGAGGGGAGACAAACGAAGATGGGCGTGATGCGTCAAGCCAGCTACTGGGTGGTCGGGATTTCTCCAATCCAGCCAGTAGCGTTGCCTCGCGTCTAGTCGTGAAGCAGTGTAGAAGTTGTTCGATGTTCCGAGCCTAGAGTCGAGCGTTCCCCTTGAAAACGAATTCTCGGCCGTGCCAGAAAGGGGAGCGGGTGGTGGAGCGCTCGTCTCCCTTTCCCGGGCGTTTGTAGTCACCGGGCCAAGATGGGTGAATATGCAACGGCTCTATCGATGTCGCTATTTCGTAGCCTTGAGACGAGGAAGAAAAGACGCTGCGTCGTGTCAAGAGGGTGGCATCAGGGGAGTGGGCGCAAGATTTGCTTGTGGCGTGGGTGATGATGGCGGTCGCGGTTTGAGCCCCCGGTAGCCTTTCGAATGCAACAAAGCAGACGCCTCGCGATGCACAACCAGCAATTTAAATCGACAGAGCCTGGCAGCTGGATCGGCAGAGGTTGGTTGACGGCCGACCGACCTACCTTATGGTCAGTAAGGCGGCTTTGCTGTTGTCTCTGATGACCTGCTTGAGGCAGCTGGGGAATGAGAAGTGGTCGCTGTGCAGACGTATACTAAGGGATACAGGCGGTATTGAGTGCTCCGTACCTGTTTGGCGGCGTGCTGTTGGCACCGGCGCACCGCCTACAGGGGACTTGACATACCCGGAAGACAATGCAGCGTGCCACTATGGGGGCCACTGCGCATTCAAAGCGACCTGGAGCTAGGCACGTTTTTGGCCCCGGTTAGTACGAGTCCTTTTACCTGTACCTGCCAAGTACCTCTAACCTCTACATAACCTGCAGGCAGTGCTGTTGCTGTTGCTGCCTCACACTACGAGTAGGAGGATCGGATCCTGAAAACCCACGAATTGGTACCTCCATGGACATTTCAAAGCAGTTACAAGGCAGGTACCGAGTAAATTCCCCGTGCATTGTACACTGAGATGGTGGAATGGAACCTGCGACTCCGTATTCTGATAGGCAGAGTACACAGTTAAGGATCATGCGGATCACTCAACTCCCAAATGCTAATGCTAATGCTAACATACAGATAAGGCCAAGCGAATAAGTGCAACTTTAGCGGTATCCAGCGTCCCACTCAGCTGGGAGAACCTCGGGCAATACGAATCCCAATGCTTTAGTTGCAGATGCCTTTCAAGCACACGGAGCACTAGTCTGCACTCCGAAGCTCATTCAAGGATGCAGGGTAGCTCAGTCTGGCCAATCATGGAAGAGAACAGAGATCTGTCACGTGATATGCGCTGCGTCTATTGGCCGTGATGACGCCTGTTTCAACACCGGGTGCCGAAGCATCTCTTCTCCCATCTTGTCGCGCGTGGTTGTGTCGTCGACCGTCTCTACCTTTTCTCCTGCTACGACGATAGCTACAGCTACAATCATGGAGTCAGAACTCGCTCCCAAGTTTGCGCCGTTCATCGGCATGGTGAGTTTTCTCCTCTGAGCGAAATGAGGCCCCTGACAGCAGTTGACTGACACGCTCCGTCAAGGGCGGCATCGCGGCTGCAATGATATTTGGATGTACGACTTCCTTTCGCCCACTTGGCCCCTCTATCGTCTTCGATTATACTAAGGACTATACGAAATAATAGGTATCGGTGCTGCGTATGGTACGGCGAAGTCAGGTATCGGCATCGCCGGTGTGGGAACTTTTCGGCCGGATCTCATTATGAAGGTGCGGCGTCCAAGCTCGTCCTGCATTTTGGAAATGGGATGTTACTTACAAATACTAGTGTCTGATCCCCGTCATTATGTCCGGTATCCTGGCGGTTTATTCGCTTGTCATTGCAGTTCTCATAGCCGAAGACCTTGCCGCTCCCTCAGCGAAGAGCTACAGTCTATTTACGTTCGTCGAGTCGATCGAGAGTCTCCCTGATTCATATCTGCTAACATCCAACCTAGAGGCTTCATGCACCTTGGCTGCGGCCTATCGGTGGGATTGACTGGGCTTGCAGCTGGGTACTGCATCGGTATTGTTGGTGATAGTGGCGTTCGTGCTTTTATGGCACAGTCTAGAATATTCGTTGGCATGGTGTTGATTCTTATCTTTGGCGAAGTTCTGGGTCTCTATGGGTATGCAATATTGCTCGTATCATCTTACCTATGCTAACTTTTACTGATTCAGACTTATTGTTGCACTTTTGCTCAACACAAAGAGTTAAATTCGACAGCACCGAGACGGACATGTTTTTTACTGTTTAAACGATGTTTACAGCTGAATGGCTCCGGTCAATATTCAATATTTTTTAAAGTGTTTGTGTGTCTGGACATCGTGCACATCAGCAGACTGGCAAAGGTGATGTCTTACTTGTTACACGCTGTGCGAAAGGGCGAAATGCGTAAATACGAGGGTTGGAATTCAGGCTGTCCGTGTTAGAGATCTTTGTTAACCCATCTGAAATGTGACAAAGAGTAATACACTTCCTAGAGTACTGGTGGTGCAGACGTTGGAATCAAAGTGGCTTGTAGATAAACGATATGTTACTACCACATTTCCCGTACAAGATACGTGAGAATATTCCTTCAAGAGACTGAATATACACAGATGTGACCTGCCTTTGGTAGGTGTAAGTAAGGTAAATAATTGTAAGTAAATCCCATATAATGTCAACTCCTGAAAAAAGACTATGATAGCGTGGTTAACATGGTTAACAAGATAGGTAGATGGTAGATGGTAGATGGTAGACCAAATCGTCATTATAGTAGCCGTCCGCCAATTCGTCGAAGTAACGTTTTCCGCCGGGTGTTGACTGCTTCTTGTCGCAGTCGGGTCCAGTTCCTATCGCGTTCCTGCCGCTTCATCTGAGCCAACATCCAATCCCATTGCTTATCTTCCTCCCTCAACATATCCTCACCAACCTCGCGGGCTATCCTCTGCTGGCGGGCTTCAGCAGCAGCTTGCTCACCCACCAAATAAGGATCCTCCAGCGGACGGAGAATAGGAGGTTCGTTGCTCTCATTCTGCCTGTTAATCGTGGAGGCAGTGATACCAATCACTTCAGCCGCAGCTTGGATTCGTCCATCAATGACCCGTCTCTCTGCGACCTTGCGGTAGTGACGGGCTGCTGGAGCATTGCCAGCTGACCATGTAGGGATACGGAAACTATGTTCGCTTAGGACCCTCGGTGAAGCCAATGGAGGAAGCGGTGGTAGCCCGATTGTCTGTCTTCCAGCCAGGGAGCTTGATGCTCCCGAGAAAATCCTCTGCGACGGCCCTGCTGCTGCAGTTGTTGTCGTTGTCGTCGGTGTAGTTGTTACCCTTGGCGTATATGCCGGAGAGGCCTCGTTATATGTAGTCCTGGAACGGTACGAGGGCACCTCCGAGACTGCCATTTCCGTTAGTAATTCCTCTCTCAGGACATTCACCGCCAGGATGCATCGGCGGCCGAGTCTTTCTCAATAACATCCATGCAGCTGTGTATACATTAACCACAGATTTACACATACCATATGAAGGAGCCGCAGAGCGAATCGAGGCTGTATCAAAGTCATCTGCGCTGTAACGAGGCGCAGACACGAGTCCAGTCATGATGACGGCGAGGCAGTTGGTAGAGAGTACGGATGAGACAGCAACAAGAATATGATGGATGCAGTGGTTATATTTCAGAAATATGTCCTTCAGCCTGATTCATACAAGCAGAGTGATGTAGAGTGTAGCAAATGTCAAGCAGCACGGCGTTAACCAAGAGAAGAGATATATATATATATCCAGACCGTAACAAGGATGATATGCGAATAAGCCTGATCACTGTCGGAGCGGGACCTTGGCGAATAACACTGGTATTGTGCGGGATGGCGAGGGTGACGACGACGCTCGGGCTCAGTTAAAGGGGTAGATGTACGATTTATGTTTGCTTGCACAGCGGATTCTGGGCTGAAATGCGCAGGCCAGCGAGTCATCACGCGACTCTGCCTCTCCGCAGGTGGTTATCGAGAACCGTGGGGGCGGGGAGAGCGGCGGAGCAAACCTTGGCGCTGTGCCTAGAGCACATGGAGGAGGTCTAGAAATGCAGAGCTGGCCTTTAGTGGACAGGTCAGGCAGCTAAGGTTTACCGCCTGTTGTGCTTATTGGGGCTTCTGCAGGTAAAAATGCTCCGTTGAACCGCGGATTATGTATGGAATGTTGGGCTTGGTTCCCGCCGCCGTTTAGGTTGGTTGGCTGGCATGTGCTTCTGGGATATCCATCCCCAAGGCGGAATAAGTGAATGGATACTGTACCTTCTGTATACTAGGTGCCTAAGGTAGGAAACGAAGAGAGAAATGTCCTGGCCGATGCTCCAAGTACAAACGGAGACACTACTATAGGTCGATGTAGGTAGGTAGGTACTTGGCAAGCTTAATGTTTCTGAGCCATTACATGTATATGATGTTGTGAATCCAGCAACAGCTCCAAGAATATCACTCACTGGTAGCGCACGTTGCAGCCAAAACAGCTAGTAATTGGCCCGATTAGCCGACATGGCGCAATTCCTTGCTAACCGGGACCTTGTTCGGTTTATCAGGTACGAAGTGCAGTAGTGCTAAGCCAGGTACTAGGTATTGACCATGTTGCATATTCGTTCGGTCTTTGCTGTATCTGATTGCGGAGCATCTCAGGATTGATACGGAGAACGGCCCGGAGTAATACTACTAGGTACCTAGGTATGTACATTCTGGGGGCACTAACGGGCCTTTTGACACGCGCGAATTAGCGTATTTGTGTAGGTGGTTACCGCCCAAGGCTAGCGCTCTTTTACCGCGTAAAGGGTTCACACGCAAAGCGCGTCCAGTGCTTGTCATGCCGCTATAGCATTTTTGAGTTGAGACTTCAAGGTATCAATTAGGCTGCATGCAGACCTACATCTTGCATGTATCTTGGCCTCGTCAACCCCTCTGCTACCAAATAAGCGAGAGGCCATTGCCCTCACCAGAACCCCAGCTATGCTCTGCTTATGAAATTTGTCTGTCCTTCAATCACGATTATGACAACAATCATCTGCAGCCATGTCAGCCCGGAATCCAGAATCTCCAGGTGCGCAGTCTGATGGCTCAGAGCAATCGCACCGTCTGCCCTCACGAGGAAGCCTAGCTGTGCGGCAGAGACAAGATTCACAAGCTCAAACGAGCGCTAAACGAAAGCGCACCGATGTGACTTCACGAGAACGAGAATCCATACCAGCTTCTACGATGGACGACAACGACGACGACGATCTGGACGATGTGTATGATCCGGATCAACCTCTGGAAGAAAGACGGAAGGTCCAGCAGGGTTTCCGCGATCTCCTCCGCGATATCACAGAAAACAGCGAGGAATATCTGCAGGGCGATTCTCACGGCTTACACGAGACTATCTTACGGGCCAATGAACTGTCCAAGCAAGTACGGCAAACCACAGAAGCTACCATTGATTCACGGTTGCTTGTCAGTACGACCGACCTGTCATACCGGAAAACATTGCGCCTTACCCAAGGCAGCCTATCACAGGGGATTGACGTGGATGACTTCATCTCCAAGGCCATCGCATATATGCGAAATGGTGGGGGGATTACTAGTGATCAATCCTTGGAACTTTCGAGCACTCAGAGGCAGCGGAGGCGGACAATACACGATAGATCAAACGACGACGATAATGGCGATGTAGGAGACGAGGGAGACATGATGAACTGGGCTCATCTTGGCCGTTTTGCTTGCTTGCCATACATCAGACGGCCTGCGCTGCCCGGCTTCCTTCTCGGCCCCTTATCAGTGGAAAAGAAGGCACGCAAAACAGCAAAGCGAAATGCCCCCTTTCGCCCAAATAGTTTGACAGAGACGAGGCCCGAAATACTCAACGTTGATGACCTAGCCAAGAAAGAAAACGACCTTACTGTCATATGCGGAAAAATTCTTCAACAGCTCTACAAGATTCAAGCAGATACACAGCAAACAGTGGCAGACTTGATCACAGACGACATGGACGAAGAGGAGAATACCCGGATTATGCACCAGCATGGGCTTCGGAGTACAGGAGGAATCGATTTGATGCGATTCGTAGTTAACCCAAAATCTTTTGGGCAGACTATCGAGAATCTGTTCTACGTGAGCTTTCTTATCCGCGATGGGAGGGTGGAGATTGATTTCGACGAGCACGGTCTCCCCGCGTTAGGTAAGTGTTTTATCGATGCAAAGCACACAATGAGCTTCTGCAATATGCAGCTGATACTGATACCACTTGCAGCACCCGTAGACCGAGAGAATGATGACGGCGTTATTCGTCAGGCAACATCTAAACATCAAGCTATTTTATCCATGGATATGGAAACATGGCAAGACATAATCGACACAATGGGCATAAAAGAGCCCATGATTGAACACCGGCGAGAATTGGCGGTTTCTGGCCCAGGAGCTAGGGGCTGGTATGGCTAAATATGGCCTTTGGATAGCTGAATTTGAACTTGACTCTTTGCGTCTGTGGAAATTCTGCTTACCCCTGGCGTTTCATGTCTAATTATAGACAAAGGGGGAATGGAACAAGAGGGATGAAGATTTGGCCGGAAGAAGAGTCAGATGGACCGTGCCCGTATGTTATGAACAACGTTCTTTCACCCCCCCTACTATTTGTTCCCTTGGTATAACTTGTGGCCTGCATGATAAAGAAAGTGGAAACGTCTCTTCTATTCTTCACAGGCTGCATAATGATAAGGAAGCCGGTGTGAATGAAATCAAGCAAAGCGACAAGGAAGTTGTTCAACATCGCCATTGAACAGAAGAGACATGTCTTGATTAAAATACTCTTTATAAGGTTTGTCAAAGGCATATGTTTGTTTTGGCCGTCTGCTTTTAATTATAAGGCAGAATACCAAGCTTCATGATTGACTATATATACGTCGTGCCTCTGCTAGCAGTAGACACTCATTTTTATGATCTCGAAATAAAGACATACTATTTGCACAGCTGAGCGTATATATACTTGTGCGCTCTCATTTGGCATCACAGTCCAACTTGTGTCATTTTCCAAGGCATTCTATTATTGACTAATCCTTGAATTATCACATCTATCACCACGAGCTAAATTGAACATGTCCAGCAACAAATCAAACCAGGTTGGCGTCGAGCAGCCAGGCAACTGGAGCAACGATATTCCTGAAAGATTTGCTCAACGGGATGTGGGAATGCAGTCTCCTCCCAAGCGCAGGATGAGAATGGTAGCTGGAACCTCAACCAAACAACATGAACATGGCGGCCGAGCAGCATCTACAACTACCAATTTAACGAATAAGAACGAATATGATGAATCAACAGGAGCTGCAGCTGTGCTTCTAAGCAATAAGGACGAGCGTACCAACCCAGCAGCTGCTGGAGAAGCAGTTTCGGATGAACAGGCCTGGGAACACGATGATGGGAGGATGTACGAAAACGAAAATAAGGACGAAATGGATAATGATGCTACTTCTGTTATAGGAGAGAACAGCCCTATTTTGGATGACATGGAAACGTATTTTCCCGCTGTGAATCACGGCACAGCTGTAAAATCACTTCACGAGGAACTGGCCGATGTTAGCGATCAGAGCGATGATGAGGGCATATACAACGCCGCTGTCGACGAGAATGCGCTTCCAGTTGACTTATCACATTCGAGTCGGTCGATATCAAGCGATGTTGCGATGGACGCTGTGAGCGATATTGAGAACAGCACTGTCAACTCTATCGAGGCAGAATCGAAACAGAACTCGGAGGCAAACTTTCAAGAGATTCTTCATGAGCGTGATCTCTTGAAGAAAGAACTAGAGTCTCGAGATGAGAGAATGGCAGCAATGAGTCAAAAATGCGCCGTTCTAGAGAAAGAACTGGAGTCTCGCAATGAGATAATTACAGCATTGGAGGCAGAGAACGCCGCTCTCGTGAATACAGCAGTCAAGCCAATTTCATTTGCAGATGCTTCTACTAATACTGAGACGCCCACTGGACAGATTCGGCAACCAAACTACCCGAGAGAAGACGACAATGAGCAGCAACCCATCTCGATCAAGAAGCCTTCATCAACGCCGGCATTTTCACTTGCGGCGCAAATATCTACGGTGGTCCGGTTCATTCAAGCTTATCTCGATACGGCGAAGAAGTCATATCTCGACTTTATCAGCGTAATAAACGTTGGGTCACTGGCAGGACAAGACTTGTTTCTCTCGGGTGTGAAAAGGTCAGCCTCTTTCAAGGGAGTAGCGGATTTCTTGCAAAATTGGGCACAATCAGCAGTGGTTTTTCTAGCAACTCCGTTTTGGATGGTCATGAGCTTTTATCTGTATCTGTCTATACAGCATGAGAAGAACGTGTGGATGCAGGCGAATGCTCTGACTAGGAAACAGCTGTTAGGGCATGTAAGTGGGGCATCAGGAGGATTGAATTGGGACGTGTTTTTCGCCTTTGGGAGCATGATTTTTGTATAATAGATATGTTTGAACACTTGTGGATGATTTTGGCAGTATAAGATGATTGGATAGGTATGTGTAGTTAGTAGTGAGCACTGGGTAGTGGAATTTTAGTTGCCATTGAAATGGATATAACGAAACATACTAGGTAGGTACTACTACAGTACCTAAGTGGGTAGTATGATGGTTTCACTTACATAATCACTCTGTTGTTTGGAGTTTAAGAGAGGAAGTCAGAAAATAGATCTCGGAGCATGGAGGAATCGTTTTGATCGGGTAATTTACTACTAGTAGTATGTATAGGGAAAGTTCAGTATCAATTGATCATGTATTCGGCATCATATCAAGAAGCTGGCTGCAAGCGCGCATCGAGTACAGCGTGTAGGTACCGAGGAACTTTCCGCCCCACTGCACCCCGCGACTCTCGGTTGTTGTTTAGAGCTGCGACGAGGCTTGTAAGCCTTATTGCCTGAATACCCAGGCGTTGAGCAATGCGACCTGATACGAAATAGCATATTTGTCCAGAAACACGCGCAAGAAAAGGGAAAGGAATAAGAGAAAAAAAAAAGGAACCTCCCAAAAATGTCTGTAGAAATGCTTGACCCGAGTGATTTATACCTTTGCTTTAGACAATACCTGCCAAGTATCTATCAAGTATACTCCGGGGTACAACCTCTTCAACATCACCCCCTCACAGACGCACTGAGGCACGCGCACGCAGCACAGCAACATCAACAAATAGGGTTGGCCGTAAGGTGGTCGAAGAGGAAACTTGGCAGCGCTGCTAGCCGGAAAGACACGGAGTCGTACCGTTAGCAGGCTGCTGGAAATCTCGCAGCCTTTGAGTGGGCGGCCGGATTGATGGGGGAATGGGGTCGATGGCCGAAAACCCATTGCTAGTGGCTGCACGTGACCCGGAAGAAAGCTCTTACCGGAGTAGTCGCTTTCCCGTCCTAAACTGCTCATTTTGAAAACTTCTCCCGGCCTTAACCAACTCATTTGCATATCCATCGCTGATTGCTCTCTGTCATCTGCCAAGATGTTCAAGAGGTGAGTCCTCACGCTTCAATGTGGCGCTGGGCATTGATCCCCTGCCCTGCATGCGAATTGGAACAATCCTCTAACCGTGCCAACCCGACAGCGGCGTTTCGTCCCTCGCAAGGGCTGCCCGCCCATCAATTGCCGCTCGACGAGCTATCCGACCAGCCTTCCCCCGATCCCCCCTCGTCAGGCTCGCCAGCACCCAGAGCGTTGGAGATGGCAAGATCCACCAGGTAAGCCGTGCTTGGGATCAATCGGTCAATGGTGAAAACTGTTCGCTAATAGCCGCTCTAGGTCATTGGTGCCGTCGTCGACGGTTAGTGAAAACCCTTGCGTTTTTTTTTTTTATATAGACGTGTATAGGAAGCATTGCGGCACCATTGAGCAGGCGGCTGATTTTTCCATAGTCAAGTTCGACACTGCCAAGCTGCCTCCTATCCTGAACGCTCTTGAGACCACCAACAACAACCAGAAGCTGGTCCTCGAGGTCGCTGTAAGTACATTTGGTGGCTGTTGTTAAGTAGCTCATCTGACGTCTTGTCTAGCAACACTTGGGTGAGAATGTCGTTCGTTGCATTGCCATGGACGGTAAGGACATCCCACTCTCGTCTTCTCATTGGACTTTGAAAACTCATGAGCATAATAGGTACTGAGGGTCTTGTCCGTGGTGCCAAGGCTTCCGACACTGGTGCTCCCATTACCATCCCTGTCGGCCCTGCCACTCTCGGTCGTATCCTGAACGTCACTGGTGACCCCATTGACGAGCGAGGACCTGTCAAGACCGACAAGTTCCTGCCTATCCACGCTGATCCCCCGTCTTTCACTGACCAGTCCACCTCTGCCGAGATTCTGGTCACTGGTATCAAGGTCGTCGATCTGCTCGCTCCTTACGCTCGTGGTGGAAAGATTGGTCTCTTCGGCGGTGCTGGTGTCGGCAAGACCGTCTTCATTCAGGAGCTGATCAACAACATCGCCAAGGCCCACGGTGGTTACTCTGTCTTCACCGGTGTCGGCGAGCGTACTCGTGAGGGTAACGATCTGTACCACGAAATGCAGGAGACCTCCGTCATTCAGCTTGATGGCGAGTCCAAGGTCGCTCTGGTCTTCGGTCAGATGAACGAGCCCCCGGGAGCCCGTGCTCGTGTCGCCCTGACTGGTCTGACCATTGCTGAGTACTTCCGTGACCAGGAAGGCCAGGATGGTAAGTTTTTATTTATTTTGCTGCGCGCTCTCGCTCCATTTTTGAATATACATAACTAATTTCTCCTGCACAGTGTTGCTCTTCATCGACAACATTTTCCGATTCACCCAGGCCGGTTCCGAGGTGTCTGCTCTGCTTGGTCGTATTCCCTCTGCCGTCGGTTACCAACCTACTCTCGCCGTCGACATGGGTGGTATGCAGGAACGTATTACCACCACCAAGAAGGGTTCCATTACTTCCGTCCAGGCTGTCTACGTCCCTGCTGACGATTTGACTGATCCTGCCCCTGCCACCACCTTCGCTCACTTGGACGCCACCACTGTCTTGTCCCGTGGTATCTCTGAGTTGGGTATCTACCCCGCCGTCGACCCTCTTGACTCTACCTCCCGTATGCTTGACCCCCGTATTGTCGGCCAGGAGCACTACCAGACCGCCACCCGCGTCCAGCAGATCCTCCAGGAGTACAAGGGTCTCCAGGATATCATTGCCATTCTGGGTATGGACGAGCTGTCTGAAGCCGACAAGCTTACCGTCGAGCGTGCCCGAAAGATCCAGCGTTTCCTCAGCCAGCCTTTCACCGTCGCCCAGGTTTTCACTGGTATCGAGGGTAAGCTCGTTGACCTCAAGGACACCATTGCCTCCTTCAAGGCTATCCTCAACGGTGAGGGTGACAGCCTTCCTGAGGCTGCTTTCTACATGGTTGGTGACCTGGCTTCAGCCAAGGCCAAGGGTGAGAAGATTCTGGCGGAGCTGGAGAAGAATTAAAAAGGCCTCAGTTAGCTCGTCCCAAGAGCTGGGAATAGTTGGCCTGTGTATAGACTAGTATAGTAGTAAACAGCTATCTGATAGTAAGAGTTCTTCAAACGTGCTATCCATGGGCTATATGTACAAGAGCTGAGAAATTTTGCAACCATTAATATATAAAAAAAAATCATTCAAAATATCGATGTAGCATCATATGTTTTGTCCATTTTTAAATTCATCATATTATTATCAAAGTTCTATCCAAACAAGTTCAAATATTCTAGATGACGAAGACTCTAGAGACATGACAAGACGAAGCTAATGAGAACAGTAATCTCGCAGCAAATCTTGTGTTTGGTCCACGTGTGCTTCGTATTCTAGAAAGTAGTTTTGAGGCGAGTCCAGCTCGGTATCTTCAAGTATGATCTTGGACAGTTGCTTGCGGCCTTGAGCATCAAGGGCCGCACATGGAACTTGTAAGAAGTCTTGCCATTCCAGATCAAGATGGCCGCAAATGTCTCTTATTGTGCGGTCTCCCACGCCCTCCAGCCACCAAACTTCCCGTTGAACCAGCTTGAAAAAAGTCGCAAAGTAAGCAAGGATGATCAGAGCTCGCGGTCGCGACATACGCGCGACATCGATGAACTTGGTAGGAAGAAATGTGAAGATGGTTATAATCCTTAAACTCATCATGGATGAAGGCCCTTGAACCAAGTCCATGTATAGACTGCCTAAGTACTTCAACGTCTCAATATATGCCTCACTATAGGAGTAATCGGGGTCACTTGGAGTGATGGAGGAAACCAGGAGGAGAAGTTGACGGGGGATAAAGGTGGCAGATTTTACCACGTCGGTGGGAGGACGGTAGAAGAGGCTCTTTAAACCACTCTCGACCACAGTAGGCTTGGAAACAAGATCGATGACGAGGGTGATGCCCTTCCACACAACAAGCCAGTCGAGGATATATAAATGAGCGCCGTCTGGCTCCCGGAAGTTCTCGGATGACAAAGCCGTTAGGAGCAGAGAGTTGGCAAGCAGAGCAGGGAAGTCTCCCGGGTTAGCTTCTTCAATTGCCTTGCGATATCCCGCCAACGACTTGACCCGGTATGCCAGAGCACGCTTCGGATCGAACCGCTGATTTAGACGTTGCATGTGTAGACTAGCGAGGGCGAAGATGGAGTCGAGGAGAAACGGAGATTCGGATCCATATCGAACCAATAGGCTTCTCATGATATATTTATGCCCGTCGTCTGCGACAGTAGAAAAAGAGCCGCATGTCTGAGTCGAATAGAACCATAACGCCTTCATATCCGCCTTGTCAATGCCAATCGGACACCATAGTAGCTCAGCAGGTATAGTAACAGTCTGGTCACTAACCCTCTCGTCCAATGGGAGTATGGGCGAGGAAAATAGAAACGACGATGCCGAAGATATGCTGGCGAGGTTTGTTGAAGACGTCGCGGACTTGATAAGATGTGTAAGTGGTCGACTCTCGAAGGAACTCGAACTCGAGCTCGAGCTCGAGCTCGAATGCCATGACGCTGACGCCGTCACGGGGGAGTGATGCGGCTTTTGGGGTAAGACATAGACACACTCGGCCTTTCGCAGTTTACATGACCGGCAGACGGGCCTCGATTCGTCACACTTCACCTTTCGCGCCTTGCAGTTCTGGCAGCCGGACCTGGACTTTTTGTGAGGGCGCTTCGCATGGTAGGGCCTTGTCGGCGGGCTATCTAGTTCTGGGGCTTTCACAAGCGATGTCTCAGCCATAGTTGCCGGCGAAAAGCCTTGTTAGACATTCCATGTGGAACTATTGGCGCAAAGAGAGAGAGTGATGATGCGGTTTTGGAAGGCCTGCTGCTTGATGACAATGCAGATCAGCCATGCGATGCACAGCCCGCTAGTTCGGAACGAGCCTGCGCCCGGGTACAGGGCCCTATCCCACCACGGTTATGATGAGTGTAAAAACGCTTGTTTTGACGCTGCGTAATAGCCTCGGTTAGGCCAATTAGTACTTGTTATTTACCGATATTTAACCGAATTTTAAAAGAAAATTTATTTCCTAATGAAATAAAGGATGGAATTTATAATATTATTATTTTTAAAACGTGGCATTGTATATGAAAATATTATACTTTATTTAAACAAAAAAGTTAATAAATAAAAAGATAATGTTATCTCAGCAAATTAAAAGTATTTAATAAAATAATACTAATAGCAATAATATATAGTAATCTAGTAATAAAACCAGGAAGCATTTAATTGGGCAAATTAATATCACTATTTCCTGTGTGTTTCCCAGATTACCCACACATTACAGCACATTTTCGTAGTGCGGGTGTAGCTTAGCTGGCCACAGGTAGGTACTACTAGGTAGGCAGAGAGAGGTAGTCAAAGATTTTTGCGCTAATCGCTCCATACTCATCACCAGCCAACTAGAAGTCGTATGATTTTGTCTAGTAAAGGACATATGGAGCACGGGAATTAAATCCCCTCGCTGCACTACCGCAACCACCGTCAACCTCGCTGCTACCTCTCAATTGAACTCCCTCGAGCTCCGTCAATCGCAATCCCTACAACATGTTGCGCTCTATGGTTCTGCGAGGCAATGCCTTGACGCAGACCACCCGAATGGCTGCGACCAGGGCCATGTCGAGCCAGGCGCTGTCCAACCCGACCCTGGCCAACATCGAAAAACGCTGGGAGGGAATGCCTCTCCAGGAGCAGGCCGACCTGTGGATGGCCCTGCGTGACCGTATGAAGGGCAGTTGGAACGACCTGACCCTGCAGGAGAAGAAAGCCGGTAGGTGTGCACCGCAGAGTTTTTTTGCGAAAATCCCTCCCGGAGGAGCTGGGTTGAGCTTCTCGCCTCGACCGGGAGCTGCAACATCTTTTCTCTTCCGTTTTTTTTTTTTTTTTACTCGCGAGAACCTACATCAGCTCATACGACGACGATCCGGCAATCCGCGCTTGATTGATATGGAAACTGTTCGCCAAATCGAAACGGGCCGAGGTGTTCAATACCATCAATTCTTGGACCGAGTGGACTGAGAATTCATTCATGCCAATCAACACAAAGAGCTTTTCTCAATACACATACAACATTCCTTACACATGTCACTACTTCTGCTACTGCTACCATTGTCATCATCTTCAGCTGCTGACCCGATATCATGGCGATAGCTTACTGGATCGCCTTCGGTCCTCACGGCCCCCGCACCGCTGACCCTCCCGGAACCAACGCTCGTGTTGCCTGGGGAGTTGCCATTGGCCTCGCCGCCAGTCTCGCTCTCTTCGCCGGTATCCGAGTTGCCGCCAAGCCTGCGCCTTACACCATGAACAAGGAGTACCAGGAGGCCACTAACGAGCTTCTCAAGGTATATATATATTTCTTCATTATGCTGCTTGACGCTGCCAGGACATGACTAACCTGTTCGAATAGGCTCAAGGTGCTGATCCCCTCACTGGTATCTCTTCCCCTGGCTATACTGGCAAGGGCGTTGTTCAGTCCCCCCCTAAACAGTAAAAAAACACACAAGATAATACAACTCGATGCTTCGCACGATCCAGGCGGGCATGGGAGAGGTTTATCAAAACGATATTTGTACATGTATAGCTTAGTCCTAGAGAGTATGCAAGACAGGGTTCTCGCATGGCGTTGATTATTCAAGTGACGAGTCTAGAATGATGCTACATCAGGAGCCAGTGCCATTCTTCCATGTCATCACTTTCTCCGTCGACCCGTGGAGATGGTGGTGTCAAACAAATTCACGGATACATACAAAAAAAAAAAAAAAAAAAATGTTTGCTTCGAAAAGTCTTCGAGCTGCCCTTATGCACTTACTATTCCGAAAAAATTATGTTTCCACATGCTTCCCAAGCCTCACCCCCTGCCTTCCTCTGCCTGCCCCAGTTGCTCTAGTGAGTGCAATGGGTTGTGTGCATTGAACTGCTCTTCCTCTAGCCGCTGGCTAAGCTCATGGCGTCCGTCTTTCCCCCAATATGCCGCTTTCTCAAGCCCCTTGACGCAGGCTTCAGTGATAAGAACGTATGGCGTTGGAGCGTCAAACATTGGTTCAGCTAAAACGCGTTCCATCTCCATCTTCAGCCCTCGGGCACCCGTTTCGGCTGCGAGGGCACGTTCTGCAATGGCGCTCAGTGCCTTTTCTGTAAAGTATAGCTGAGATGGGTATGTCTCAAACAGCGCAGTATACTGGGCCACTAGGCTATTGCGTGGCTCAGTGAGAATTCGATAGAGGTCTTCTTTCGACAAGGGGCTGAGAGCGCAGATGTTGTGTAGGCGGCCTATTATTTCAGGAATAAAGCCGAACCGCTGGAGGTCTTCAGACACTACCAAGTCTAGTGGGGTGAAACTTGATGCCGACTGTGGGCTGTAGTGTGCTAGATGGGCGTATGTTTCGGTTGGCAGGCTGTGGGTGCTTCCCGTCCCGGCGTGTTGACTTTGAACGTCTCCTCCAAACCCCATTGCCGGCTTTGAGACTCGCCGAAGAATGATCTTATCTAGCCCCACGAAGGCACCGCAGAAGACAAAGAGAATGTTGGTGGTATCAACGGTGTACTGGTCCACTTTGCCTGGCGGGCTGCTAACTGGCATCGATGATGTTGGAGCACCAGATGCATTGTAGTTTGTAGGAATGGGTGTAGCAGCACGAGACGAGCGGTTGTCCTTGACGTTGATAGTGACCTTGGTCCCCTCGACGAGTTTGAGCAAGGCCTGTTGGACGCCCTCACCGCTGACATCCCGACCCGTTGTTGTTTCTCTTCTCGCCAGCTTGTCAAACTCGTCTAGAACCACTACCCCGTGCTCTGCTGCCTTGACATCATAATTGGCTTCTATAAGCAGCCTTTCGATGCAAGATTCCACATCCTGTCCGATGTAGCCTGCTTGGGTTAGGGAGTTACAGTCGCAGATGGTGAGCGGTACTTGTATCTTCTTGCTCAGAGTTCTGGGATTTTCCATCAGCTGAATGCGCCAGCAATCATGGCATTTAGGAGTAGGCCCCTTACTCTAGAATATACGTCTTACCAACGCCAGTCGGGCCAATCACGAGGATATTGCTCTTGTCAATCTTGACGTGCTCAACAGCCGCCGGCTCCTCGGGCTTAAAGATTGGAGCATTAGGGCTTGCCTCGGATGCGAGCTCAGATGCTTGACGGGCCGAGGAACTTTGTCCGGGAACTTCGTCTGGATAGACTGTGTTACCGGCAGAGATCTCGACGTTTGTGAGCAGTGAACTTACCTTCGAGAGGGAGAGCATCCCAGCGCCTTTGAGACAGCTCCCTATCACGGGCAAACCGCTGGCGCATGAGTTTTTCATGTTTCTCCTTGTCCTCCTGCTCGTACTGACGCCTCCTCCTCAGATTCTGGTAGTGGTTGAAGATGGCAGAACAGATTGTCTTTTTAGCACGGTCCTGGCCCACGACGTATTCATCCACACGCCTTTTCAAGTCACGAGGGTAGAACTGCGGCACTCCGAAATTTACTTTTCTAAACATGGGGCCACGGCCAGATTCCAATGCAGGATCATAGCTTCTGGTAAAGCCAGAGCTAAAGTCTGGCGTCTGCTTAGACCGAAGAGACGGGCATATCGATAGATGACGGCTATAGCGACCTGGTTGCAGGGTGACTCGATATCTCTGGATTGGGGAAGAGCACCAATGGGACAAGAGACGCCCCCGGCTTAGTGCCATCATCGTGAATAATGAGACGTGCGGTAGGGCATATCTAGACAATGGAAGTGGTGGTGTTCAGGGGTCCAAGCAGTTGGACGGTCTGACTTATGGGCGTGGCGACCCGCTCAGGTCATCGTATAGGGTCTCAAGATATTGTATCAATATGTAGAAATTGTGCAGAAGGGATGGGCGGGGTCAACGCTATTAGGAGTTCAGATTGTAAACAAGAATCGAATATCTTCTAGAGTGCGCTCTCAAGCACACCAAGTGTCTTGGTTTATACTGTCTTGCAGCAGCTGATGTGTTAAAAGCCAAGATCCGCAAGCAGTGAGACGATGTCGGAGTACGCTGGAGATATCAGGCTGAGGTAAGCAGCTCCCCAAAAGCTTAAACTCCGTAGACCGGTTTGCCAGCCAATTAGTTTGAGATTGACTTTTGTTTGCGTTAGAGCTCTGCTTTGGGCATGGGGGCTTTAGTTGAATAAGTGCATAGAGTGTCGAACAGGTTGGGGGGAATATATGTTCTTAAACATTATAGTCAGGTAGTAAGTATACCCAATAGTACGGAGGAGTTCGCTGCAACCTCAGTAATGTAAAGACACTAGTGGCTATGAGGGATAGATGAATATCACATGGAAATTTGGTTTGTGAACTCAGAATATTTATCCCTGAATAGTAGTGCATTATTAAAACAAACAATAAAGCAACTCAAACCAAAACATTAATCAACACATTGGCTACTGCCTTGACAACTGTACGAGTATGCTGAGTTTTTGCATGAGTTTGATGAGTAAAAAAGCCTCTTTATGTCGCAGAAGACTCTGGCAGAAAATCGGATTGGGCTATTATTATTGGCTGTGCCATGGCATGATGTCAGAAACTAAATCATGCCCGCGGAAACTCCGCGGAAAATCTTTCGATAAGCGTCTCCCCCAATGCCCATGGGCATTGATGGCAATTGCTTCCTTTTGTTCCATGGACTCTTCGTAGTAAATTCTTGGCTTATCCAGTTGAATCATATTCCAGAATGGGACGCCAACCGAGACAACGTCCAATTTCGTGCCACTTGTGTAGGGTACGCAAGTTGCGCTGCAGCCGACAGTTTCCATGCTCCAACTGTACGTCTCGCGGCGTTGTTTGCCAACATGAAGGAATCGCGGTCGCGGCGGCAGCGGCTGCGGGAGTTCAAGCGCAAGTCAAGTCTCCTGCTTCTCCTGCTCTGAAGGATGCGTCGACGCTGGAGCTTCTGGCCCGTCTGGAGCGCCTGGAGAACCTCGTCGCGTCCCAAGGGGGCGAAAGGGAAGACAGCGCCAAGAAGGGGGTTGAGAAGCCAGCACCACAAGCGCAAGCTCCTGTCATGGCCTCGCGCCCAGTGCCACCTAGACTGCAGCGCCTGACAGCCGATGCGCTGGAGCTGGAGCGGTCATGCTCCGACCAAAAGTTGATGGTGAGCCCGAGCATTCCATCCCCAAGGGGCTGTCTCTGCGCGGTAAGATGTGCTTCGTGAGACTGAGATCTAGAGTAGGATTCCCTGATATCTGACCCCATCATCTTCCGTACCTGTCCCATTCGATTAGCCCCAAATCAGCCATCCTATGCTTTTCAAAATGGGCATCCTGCGTCCATGACTGGGCCGGTGGATGCCGTCAAGTGCATCTGGCTGCCTCGCCGAGATGAGATGCGCATCATACTGCAGAAGTACATAGCTGATATTTCCTTGTTCTACCACATCATACACGTTCCCACAGTGCAGAGTCTCGTGGAAGACATATACGCAGGGCTGGAGGCAAATGTTCGTGTCGACGTTGGCGGCATATTGCTGCTCCTTAGCATCTGCGCAAGTACAACATATGCGTGGTCGGCCCCCGATGATATCAGGTGTTTGTTCTCAGACTATTCCGAGGCGAATGCGCAGTCAACCTTCTGGGTCAAGGAGGCAATGGACGTCGTCGATCATGCACAGAGAACTGCGCATGCGTCATTGGAATGCATCCAGGGCCTCACCATCTTGTTTCTCGTCTTCTGTAATTACGAGAGCGTCTCATTCCGTGCCCGTAGTGTCTTCATGTCGGCCGTTGCAATGGCCACGGAGCTGTCGCTGCATCGTCTCGATGACCCTCAAGGCAGCCCAATGCTAACGTTTCTTCGGATGAGCGAGGCTAGGAAGGAGATTGGTAGGAGAGTGTGGTGGTTCATGGTTGCAACTGACTGGTAAGTCTGACTGAGTCTCTTTGCATATGATGACAGACATACCATTGTCCAAGATTGCTAACCGATCCTCAAGGACACTCGCTCAATTCAACTGTCCCCAAGAAGGCTTTTATCTCATCCACCAAAACCAGATGGCAGTAAACAAGCCACGAAATGCAAATGACGAGGACATCATGGAGGGGGCAGAAATTGTTGATCGGCCAGCAACTGAGGCCACCTGCGTCTCCTACTTTGTCCAGCGCATCCGTCTGGCAGAAGTGTGTCGGGCGCTGGTTGACCGTACGCCTTTGGGCACGCCAACCTCCGAATCCGAGGTGTATAAAGGTGTGTTGGAGGCAGACGCAAAGCTCAACCAGTTCATTCGGGAAGCCCCAGACTTCCTTGCACTCGACTGTTCAAGTCTAGATGATCTTCCCATCACTGATCCCAGACGCTCGCCATTTATCACTGCGCAACGCTATATGCTAAATTTGCTACTTCATCGTCAGCTGTGCAAGATTCACCTCCCCTATCTAGCCCAGGGGACTGTCGATCCTGCATATGCATATTCACGCGACGTCTGCCTGAGGTCAGCAAGGGTGGTTTTCGAGCTTGATCACCAGCTGCAAGCGCAATGTCTTCCCTTCTTCAACTCCCGTTTGAGGTTGGCAATGGTCCTGCGTAGCCTGTTCCTTGCCAGCACTGCACTTGTGTTGAATGCCTGTCTGAAGGGTGATGCGGAAGATAATGGCGAGGAGGAAGATGAAGTGACTGGTGCGTGGAAGATTTTGCACGAGGCACAGGGTCAGTTTCCACCGGCGGCGAGGCTGCTGGAGTTGTCCATTCAGATTCTCAAAAAGTACAAGATCAAGCATCGCGCCCTGGATCTTTTACAGCAGCAGGTGTCGGGGATGTCACCTTACGGGGAAACATTTCCAATGACACCCGATTCAACAAATCATGAGCTCCGTATGAATCCGATGCAGCAGCAGAACATAGGCCCTGAGCCTGACAGCGTCCTAATGGACCAACATTGGCAGATGCTTGAAGGGAAGATGGACTTGAATACAATAGATTGGGACAAGTTATTCTGGGGTATAGACGCCCCGTTTATTTAATATCACGGCATGACATATAATATTCTAATGAAATCAATGAATCTTACTTGACGCCGAAGATGTGGTATGAGCAGAAGATGGTTCCCGGCTTCAGTAAGCAGTGGCTTGCACCCGCGGAAATGAGGCCTCGAAAGGAGAGGCTCTACTATGCCTGTGCCTTGTTTATTTCTTTGTTGATTCTATAGACGAACACACATTAACTACCGGTTATGGGAGGGTATTACTATATGGAACCTCTTACCTCGCAATTTTTCTGGTTGGGAGTTGTCCTGGGGAGCAAATACAGGTTGGAAAGTGTAAAAACCTTTCCGAGAATCAGCATTGTGTCAATTGCAGGGCTGTTGCTTGGCTACTGACCACCCACAACACCACAGAATACAGTAAGCGCAAGTGGCAGCGCCCTTTGAAAGCCACCACTCATGATGTGGGCGAAGTAATAGGGTAGGTAGGCAACGGTTATAGTAGCGATAATAGAGAGTAGCTAGTAGTAGTAATACTCGGGCGATGAGATTTGCATTGAGTTGAGAACCGGATTATCAGTAATCGCGTTAGTGCAATATGGTGAAAAGGGATCTGACCATGGATTTGCGTTAGTTGCTTAGTACCATGTAGTTAGTTAGGGGCATAAGGTTATCGTGAAGCAGACTAAGCCTAAACAAGGACACAAAGAAAAAGAGGGAGCTGTCATATCGATCCATGGATGCTTTTTGCTGGTATTACTGCAGCCGCTGCTACGTTTAGGTAGTTTTACGGTTACTGGTTTGCTACCTGTCATATTGGCTTGGCTACATTAGTGACCTACCTTCTCTCTTTGTATGCAAGGCAAGATACCTATCATGCCTACTAGTAATCAAGTGCTGCTTGAAATGCTTAGGTATTCTATATTGCAAGCATTCCAGTTCTTTACCATCAAGCGCAAGAATGCAAAATGCATGCAACCCCTCTTCCCCGCATTTCCCGTTACAGCAGTATGTATTACTGTACAGTACAGCTGTGGAAAAAGGAGGGGCCCTATTTCTGAGCTCACGGGCTGCTGCAGTGGCGACCAGGCCACGCCCAATAGCATCTCGCCTGTTGCATCACCGTCCGTTGCACCTCATCATGCGACCGTCTCCGTGTATTAGGTTCAATTGATCTGCCTGCCCAGCCAATAATCTTGGCAGCGCGCACAGTATGGTGCCACGGTTACTTTGTACGGTTTACCTGGGGCGTTACCAGTAGCAGGCCGCAGTTTCTTTGTTTGCTTGCTTGCGCTACCTTATCTTACATGCCGTACTAGCTCATGTGCTACTGTACTCGTATGTATTGTACGTATCCATATCCAACGATCTCTGGTTCTGCCTCTCACACACGCATTGCAGCGCATCCTGTTCTCGTCCAGCCACCTACTTTATGCACCATCCCGCCCAATATACAGCTTCCCGCAGGCCGCGCTACTTTCTTGACTAATCCATCCTCAGCGTCGTTTCTTTTTTTATTCTTTCTTTCTTGGTCGTGTGCAGAATCCCAGCTTGTCGCCCTTGTCGCGACACATCCCTGTCTCGTGGTCGTTCCCGCCAGCCTTTGGGGTAACCTCCAACTCCTTAGCCTGGTATAATACAAGTACCCAGCTCTTGTCGCCGGCCCAGCCCTCTCCTAACCCGTTAGCCGCCAGCAAACTATCGCCAACCTCCGCAAGCGCTGGACGAGATAGACTCCCTTTCCGCCCCCGGACAAAATGCCAGTGCTGCTGCTCTCCCAGCCTCTGACCATCATCTTCCATTGAAGCTGCGACTGCCGAATCCAGCCATGGCGACAATTGCCGTCCCAAGACCCGCTCTGCCTCCAAAGAACGCATCTCAGCGCGGAAACACTCCCGTCAACTCTCCCTCTCCACTTCAGACGCTCGGGTTGGCATCGCCCCCACAATTGCCTGGCTCCGTTCCCATTCCGATTCCCAATAGCCCTGTCTCCCTGTACGAGTACACTTCCGAGGAAGACACCAGCTCGTACACGCATTCTCCCTCCCCAAGCCATCCCCGAGCCCTGTCACAGGCTTCCCTGCTCTACCCGCCCGATGACTTTGTCTGTATTGATGGCGACCACGTTTCGATATATGAGATAGATGCAGCGAGCGTGGCCGAAGCCTTAGATTATGCCTCGAGACAGCTCCTCCCTCCCCCCTCGCTGGTCTTCCCCTGGCTGCACGGGTTGCATCCGGACAACCACACGCAGCGGACCTATTTCGATGGCCACCAGTGCCCCCTTGGGAATACGCCAAACTGCCTGAGGGCAATCACCATTGTCAAGGCAGATGGCGACCTCAGCTTTGCTCGCCTCAAGGGCGCCATTGCCCCGGCGGAATTCATGCGGCCCGGGGCAGCTCCCGAATTCATCGATGCAGATCCCCTGATGGGCCTATCTGTTCGTAACTTTCACATCCAGCCTGCCAAAGTTGCTGCCACCTCGGACATCATCGTCTATGGGTTGAATCCTGACGAGACCCGGAGGGTTGCGTGGCAGATTGCTGTCGCTCAACAACGATGGCGAGATAAACAGCATGCACAGGCTAAAAACATGCCCGTGTATAATACCTTCGTCTGTACAAGTCCATTTTCTACCTTTGAGGAAAATCATGGTAGCCTGGTAGCCATCGATGTCTCCGGTAACTCTACCGGCCAGGTGCTGGACCTGGTGCAGCAAGAACACCAAGAGATGCGGAACATGACAGAAACCTCCGAGATATGCCACAACGTCTACTTGGGTCCTAGCCCGGAGCCTGGTAGTGTCGAGGAGCAACGATTTGATGTCCTCATCGAATGCAGTGATACGGGCCGGCTGGATCCAAGTGCCATTCAATTCATTGCTGAGCATCCTCGCGAGTTGCCCCGTCCAACTTCTATTTGCTTTCCTTCCTCTGGGAGTATCATGCCCCCGACCTGGTCACAAGCTGAGGCCGACGCCATTATTAACACCTGTAAATGGATCCATCACATCTCCCATAACACTGTACCCGAATCCCATTCCATTAGCTCCCAGAATAGCGATAGCGATGCTCTTCAGCATTTCAAGTCTCATAAATCGACCGCCGACGCGGGAGGCCGAAAAATCCTCATCCACTGTCCCGACGGATATACAGAATCAACTCTGCTTGCTATTGCTTATTTCAGTTATGACACCGGGTTGCCTGTACCCGATGCTTGGCTCAAGCTTCATACGACTCAACGTCGCAATTTCTTTGCTTATCCCTCCGATGTATCGCTCCTGTCGGCCATAGGTCCTCGCTTGCTGTGCCAATCTCCAATGTCCTCGGGAAAAGGCCTGGATGACATGACGAAGCTCATGAGAGCCGAACCGTCGTGGTTTTCTGATTTGGATGGCTCGCTTCCTAGCAGAATCCTGGATTATCTCTATCTTGGTAACCTCGTCCACGCAAACAACCCGGATCTCTTAGCGCAGCTTAACATTCATCAGATACTTAGTATTGGAGAATCTGCGTCGTGGTCAGAGGAGGACCTGCAGAAATGGGGCTCTGGAAACATTTGCTTTGTCGAAGGTATTCAGGACAATGGTATCGACCCATTAACTAAAGAGTTTGGACGCTGTCTTGAATTCATTGGTGAGATTGATCCTCTCGAGTTTGTTTGGCTTTGGCGGGCAACACAAAGGCTAACTGGCTGCTGTATAGACCGAGGAGTTCAGAAAGGCACGGCCACATTGGTTCATTGCCGCGTCGGGGTCTCCAGAAGTGCTACTATCTGCATAGCGGAGGTTATGCGGGCGCTTAATCTCTCATTTCCACGCGCTTACTGTTTCGTCAGGGCTCGCCGCCTCAATGTTATTATTCAGCCACATCTGCTTTTTGCGTACGAGCTTTTGCGCTGGGAGGAGTTCCTTCGACAGAAAGGAGGCTCCTCGGAGCCATATAGAAGGGAAATGGAATGGGGGGAGATTGCCAGAGAAATTGCCCTCATGAACCGCCCCTATTCTAGATGATGTTGTCAGGCTGTAGTTTTGGCGATGTTGTTTTCTGATATCACCTGTGGATTTTCTGAATGGAACGCACTTTTTCTTCCTCTTCCTCTTCTTTTTTTCTTTTTTTTTTTTTTTTTTTTGGCTTTTTGGCTTTTTGGAACTCGACCTGCCGCATCTGGAGCCTGTTTTTGATTGTCCAAGTTTGGTTCTCACTGCGCTTTATTATATATAATCATAATTATGATTGCCAAGTATTCCTACTTTTCCATCCCTGACCGGGTTGGCTGTACAATTGACTTGCCAGTGACGTCCCAGACCTCAACGTACAAGACACACACTACAGTTGAATGAACCCCCCAGATGCTGGCACCAGAGACGACGGCATTGCTTGAATACATCATTAAGTAAAAACAAGAGGGAAAAACGAGAAGAGGAAAAACACACAAAGACCTGCCCTATTACCCCTAAAAGATACTACCTATACCCGTCTTGAAAATGCTTGGAGAAGCAACAATCAGCTGGAACTTGTTACATTTGCTCACCTAACCTTGTTTATGCCGAAGGATCACTTTTGCTATCTCCCTCTAGAACTCTACATTTGAAGAATCGTGTTAGCAAAATCTGAACGCTGGGTCGAGATAGACTCATGATTGGAAGGGAGCTTTCTTACGAAAACTGTTTTACGAGATATCCCTCTCCACCGTGTTCCATATCAATGTTATAGACGTAAAAGCCACCATCACTGGTTACCACCATAACTTGGGGGCTGCTGCTACTCATTGCGACGACACTGCGAAGTGGACTAGAGCTTTGCCCTCCGGGTAATCGAGCTCCAGCTCCGAGTCCAGTGGTCTTGGGAATTTTGATATAGGCAAAGTCTCTGAGTGGTTCCCACATCTCAGTGACTGATTGTGGAAGATAGGAGCCTACAACGCCGACAACTCCGCGGCCCATGATTTGAGACGAACGTCGCAGCATACTGCTAAAGGAGCCACTTTGGCTGCGGTTGGCTGGTGCGGCACTGGCATCTAGAGCAGGACCATTGCTTCCAAGCTCTGCGGTTTCACTCTTAGGGGATTCAGTTGTGCTATTACTTGGTGAATCTGCACCATCGTGGCTGCGAGCTCGGGACCACCGATCTTGTCTTGGAGAACCTAGGGATTCAATTGGGGCACCTGCCGGGGTGGTATGCCCAGGCGGAGGGCTCAGTCGAAATATGTGTACTGTGTCTGACGCGGAGGAGACGCAAAGCAGCGTTGAGCTGAGATTGAAGGACATGCTGTATATAGTTGAAGGATATGTTCCACGCCGGAACTGATAGAGCTTTTGGCCTCGGGGCACCGAAAATATACGTATGATGGTACCAGTTTCGCTTGCAGTCGCCAGCATCGTGCCTTCGCTGTTGAGACTGATACAGGATAGCGGCGAGCGATGAGCTTCTATAACGTTAACGGCTTTGAGCGTCAAGGTGTCAAACATGAGAACTTCGCCAGACGTGGGAGCAACATATGCCGACTGTGGAGGAGCATGAGGGGGCCGCCTGCTATCAGACTCTTCTCTAGGTTTGGGAAGTGGATATGCGATGAAACAATTCTCGGAGGATGCTGATAGCGCGCATATGGCCGACGGATTCGGCGAGGTAGGGATGGTGTATAGAAGGCTCATGTTGCTAATGTCGTACAAGTATATTTCTTCCTCGAGGACAACGGCCAACCGCTTGCGATTTAGTCGTACGGCCAAGACGGCGGATGGGAAGGTCAGCTCGCATATGACCGAAGCCCTCTACAGTTGCAGCAATGAGCAACACGTCAATCTGGTTAGTTTGCTGCTAGGCACCTACCTTGGTGTTTTGAATGATAAGATGGCGAGGAGAAAGAATAAGGGCGACTAGGGAGGTTGAGAAGAGCATTTCGATGATGGCGATGTTTCCGTCATCGCTGCTGAATATGCGTGAGAACGGGTCCGTGTGATAAATGCCAAAGCCCTTCGATGTGCCTTGAAGCAGCCAGTCAGTCCACGATGCCAGCGTAGGCAGAAGAGGGGGCAGCGCCGGGTATCTGGGCCAAAGTATTTACCAACAGCAAGGCAGCTATGGTCTTGGTTGAACGTAATGAAGTTGAGCGTTGGGGTCGCCATCGTCGTCGTCAGGCACAAGTTGCTCCGAGAAGAGATCTGGAAAGTGAGGCCGCTCGTGGGAACTATCGCTGGGGAAGATGACGTCGATGGTGCTTCGAAGCGTCGCGCCAATAGAAATGAGTCAAGGGAAGCAACATAGGCGGAGCGCAGTCCGCTAGGAGGTAATGCTGGTGGGCAGAAGCTTGTGAATATCTGACAGGGATACGATGTCGGTATCCAAGATGCGACATTCCATGTACAAGTACAAGAAGACGAGGAGGCAGCAGGGCCTGTGCAGCGACGGCTCAAAAGAGCTGTTGTAGCTACAGGTACGGCCTAGGAAGCAAGGTACCTAGACCTCTTCTCTGGGTAGGTACGGAGTACTGCCTAGGTAGGTTCCGTGCTTAATCGAAAGTGGGGCCACTTGGGGGTACCTAGTTATTGACATACGGTACTGAAAGTGTTATACGGAGTATATCGTACTCGTATTTATATGTTTGCTTAACTGAGTTTTAAAACGTACTATTGAATAATTATAAATATTTATAATATAAATATAATACAAATGATGTATAAATATGATATATATAGGTATGTATAATTACTCATATAAATGTGTTAATTTATTCTATGCCTAGTAGTTGACCTTCGCAAAATGCCTTGTTATGAGCGTCACTTAAATTGTTTATCTTTATCATCATGTATTATGTACAGAAATAGCTACTAGGTACTAGCCATCTCGACAAGAATCCCGGTATACTTAAATTACCTTAATGCAATAAATTGCATTACTGTGTCGGCTATGAAGAATTCACATCAACTTGCCATGACTGAACTACTCCGTCATCGCCTGTGGTGACTAGCATTTCCTCCTCTCCTCTCCTTGTTGATCCCGCATCATGTCGTCTACACCAGGTGATGTGGTTGATCTCGTACGGGCCGTGAGCGTTGGGTACCGTTGTCAAAAGCTGCCACTGTGGACCACCGGCAGCGGAACCATCGTGATTCGAGCGTGAAGAGCCATCAGCGGTATTCTCTCCTGGTGGAGGCCGAAAGTTTGATACATCGTCGCTGTCTTCCTTGTACAAAGCGACAACGCCATCACTGCCTGTACTAGCTACAAGGCCAGACTCGGCACTCCATGTAACTGAATATACGTCCTTGTCGTGTACCTTTGGTAGCACGGCTGTGCAATTCCACTGTTCCCTGAAGGACCTTCTCATTGTGCTTGGTATACCACCTAGGCGATCTTGTGGTATCGCTCCGTCATCCGCACCATCCTCTCCTTGCTCAAGCGTCCATACACGGATAGTTCCATCGGCCGAAAATGTCAGGAGTCTGGGAAATGCATCATTCATTGGCCGTGGCTCCCATTCTACTCCCCAGACCGTTCCCTGGTGTCCTTGTAGGACAGCAACGCAAACCCATTCCCCATCAGAGTCTTCGCGCCAGATGCGTGCCGTATTATCATAGCTGGCGCTGGCGAGCACATCGACGCTGTAATAGCGCTGCCCAATGTTATTGCGCCCGGGGACGTCAGGACACCAGGCTACGGCTTTTACATCTCCCTCATGCTCGTTGAGAACCGCAATCGTTTCCCAGTCGTCCTCGGACTCAGCACTGGCTATGTCTTCCCAAATCCAAATAGATTTGTCACGCGAGCAGGTTGCGAGGTAAGCGCCAGATGGAGAAAAAGCACAGCCTTTGATTTCCGAGTCGTGGCCCTCAAGCACAAGGTTATAGTCCCAGTCGCCAGCCTTGGCAGAATCTTCCTTCGTAATCCCTCTCGTCATGTCCTGGCTAAGGTCATCGGCAGAATAGTCGGCGCTCTCATCATCCCCGTTGGCCCAGCGCCACACGCCGGCGGAGGAATCGAAGCTGCCTGTGATGAGGCATAGATTATTCGGCGGCAGGCTAGGCTTCCACGCAACGCTCCGGACGGAACGTGAGTGGCCATCGGCTAACACGCTGTGCAAAGAAAGCGTGGACAGGGAGAAGACGGTGACATTCTTTCCGTGAGCGGTTGCAATCAGAGGGAGATTCGGATGCGGTATCGATACCCAGGCACGCTCGTGGAGATCGGGCTTGAGGGACTGCAGCTGAACAATTTTAGCAGAGGCCATAGCTGGGCCTATCAGGGCAGGAATATCCCTGCCGGCTCACTGTGGGAAAAGCTCTCGAGTGACTGCATTCGGTTCAAAGTCGTAGTAGTTCAAGGTGGGATGAAATGCCCCTCATCTATTCTTTAAAACCCCCACAGCACTATCCGAGCTAGACCCGATGACACACATACCTATCAATGTTCCTTATATAAGATTTGGAAATCGATGGATTATTCTGCATCCCCACTGCCAGTATGGCAACGGTCGTGTTTTCATGGAAGCCGGGAAAAATAATCCATAACATTCACCTAACATCTACAGGAAAACTGCTTAGCTGCCCTACCGAGGTTATGCCATACAAATATCAGTTACCTAAGCTGGCTTCGCAGCTTCGCGGTGTAAGCCGGTCGAACTGAAGCATAAGACAGCTTCCAGATTAGCATCTTTGTAGGAGACGGTTTCCAGCTATGGAAGGAAATACTGACTAGCAATTGGTTAGACCTATATTTCTGAGTAGTTCAATTATCACCGCCTAAAGTGTGTTGTGTGCTTTAATTTTTCAGTCCAGTCTGGGGGTGTTTCAAGGAGTGTCACATGCAAAACCCGCTGCAATGGCCCCAGGGTATTAAAATCATAAAATCTAGACACCATGTCCGATGGTCATTGATCGCATGTAAGGGGGGGATAGTCATGACGGGTGTACAATGCACATAAATGATAATCATTGCTCAAGAATAACTGCTTAGCCAAGTCCTGCCGCTCGTGTAGCTGACCGAAACCCTATGTTTTCGCTCGAGGGGGAGGTAGAGGATCTGCGTGGGTACTCGCAACGGCTGGCATGTGTCTAGGCGGTGCGTCTGAATAATCATCTTCATAGTCGTCTTCATATCCGTCATCGGAATGGGTCGAGCGACCCCGTTCATTTGTTAGAGCAGGGGAAATATCAGATGGTCGAGCTGCTGCGTGGGGTTGATCCGTGATATGCTCGGCTGAATGGCCACCTTTCGTGGCTATTTTACTGTTCTTCTTCCCCTTCCTGCTTTTTGCTTTGGCCTTTTCTAGTAATCGCTTTCGATCTGCTTCTTCCTGCCGATGTCGACGATCCTTAATTTCGTAATCTCGAATAAGAGTACGAGGTGGCTCGCCAAAAATACGCTCATACTCGCAAAACTCGCATATCCAAATCTCCGTTGAGTCTGGGAGGCTATGATAATAGTTCTCTGTCGCAATCTGCCGCCGAGTGCGCGCAGCTATGACAAGTTCCCTCTCTAAGCGACTGCGAGTTTTCCTGGTAGAGCCAGTGGGGAGCCTATTAGCTTGCTTCGATGAAGCACTCTGGTGTAAGCCAGGGCTCGGGGGAGCCACAGTTGGTAAGTGCTGTAACGACTGGGCTGGGGTGCCATGGCCTACGGGACGACCTTGAAGGCGGTTAGTGGATGACAGTTATAGTAGAGGCTCAAGAAACTCACCAGGCCACTGTATAGCACCGGGTGTTTGTGATTCACAAGTGAATGTGAACTGCGTAGAGGCAGGCATTTCCCTGTATGTGGCCACGCGTGGTTGCAAGAGACTTCCATTCTCCTGTCCCTGTAGAGGTACCTTCTCAGCAGTAGCGATTGCAGTAGATATAATACCGCTTCCGGTTTGACCTATACGCGAACTTGTCAGCCGACGCACAGCTTACCGCGCCTATCGCACATTTGCGCACGAAGAGCAAGCAAAGGCACATACCAGACGATGCCCATTGGGATGAACCAGCTTTTGAACGATTGGACCATGCATTGCTTCCGTCTGGCAAAGCTCGTAAGGGGCTACGTCCATTTCTTAACCGTCCAAGTCTCCCTCTACCAGAACCAGACAATCCTTGACTGCCTGTCACATGGGAAGTATTTCCCGAAAGCCCTGCCGGGGGCAGCTGCGCTCTACCAATGTGTACTTCGTTCACCGGCGATCGAGGTCGTATAGAAGTCGGCAATGCGTTAACGTCGCTGCTTAAAGAAAGGCCGTTATTCGCTATTGAGTCTCCAGTAGTGGGGATTTTCCGTTTCTTTTTGTTATTGGTGTTTTCGAAAGACTCATAGCCATCCACTGAGGAAGCAGTGGACGCTATTAGTGGGAATTCAATCGTTTGGCGAAGCGGGTCCAATGTCAATGAAGACTGTATGACCATTCCCTGGAATTTTGGTGAGGGTCCCATTACAAGCGATCCTCGCAATTCGTCATTGATTACAGCCGTCATGGCAGCTCCATTCCGCCGTAACGTAGAGTTCCGCTTAGAATCATCACGGTGGTGTTGAATAGTGGAGCCAATTGTCGTCAAGGTTGATGTTCCATTATCATCTCTCGTGGTGTAGGATGGGTAGTAGAAAAGAGGAACGTGGTCATGGATGTAGGAGGGATATTTGATCGAGTTGGCAACCTCAGGTGATAATCTCTCGCGAAGTCGACGCTTCGGCAGGGGCCGAATAGGCCGATCGGGAAATAACAACGACACGGCATCAGGAGACATTATCATTCGTTGTTCTGCTTAAGCAGTTAACATACAATTTGTTAGTAGGTAAACATTTAGCAGGGTAGCGAGAGTAGGGAATCTGAGTGTGGGGTAAAAGATAGATATCCAGATTGAGAGTAATCGCAACTGCAAAAAAAAAAAAAAAAAAAGGGTAAAAGCAGTGTGATATCATAAAGCGGGGCACCAAAAGACCTCTGGTTAACCAAAGATCTGAACTTTAGGATGGTTTGCTCCCGGTATGCCTGTTTGATGAGTGCACATAGTCGGGGAACTCACACCTACCACATATCGTACAAAAAGGGAGATCTTAGGCTTCCGCAGCAGTGTCCAGGGACTGCAGCAACCCTCAACTGCAGCAACCCACGGAAGATGTGCGTCGACGGCCTTGCCTTTGGCAGAAGAGTATGGCCTGCCAGCTTCAACAATATTCCGGGCCTTGACGTTCTGGCTTGTATCGTTGAAGTGAGATTGGGATCGGCCGATTCGATTAGATAGCGCAGCGTTCCTTGCCAGTCGAGTGAAGATGAGACGATAGGCAAGCGAGATGTCGCGCAAGATTTTAATCGGAAGAGACAGTTCGGTAAAGCAAACTCCTGTCAAGGCTCTAACTTATGCTTGTGTCGTGATGAAGATAGCAGTCCGTTTTCTTCAAAGGGTTTGATGTTGCAAGTCTGCCAAGCGCGGGCGCAAAGCAGGAAAACACTCGGGACGATGAGCAAGCAGAGGCTTCGAGGCCGATAATGCCGGTTCTAGCCGAGTTAAAACAACCAATACTCCAAAATAATCCCGTTCGTGAAGAAACAAGTTGGTCAACAGGGCCAGTAGAACTGGACAATCTACAACAGTCGTAAATAATGAGTCGTGGTGGATTGTCTTGTGTGGATTAGGAGAGGTATGGGAACCTAGGGAAGTAAACCAGCCGCCCCACAGGTTGGTAAGCAAAAGGGGTCGTGGGTATATGAGGGGACTTAACATAGTCAATCTAAATTCTTAGTACCTGTTTTTCTGTTTAAATACTTACCTACGGAGTATACTCCATACATACACACACATATATATACATATATGTACATTTATATACATACACTAAATTTTGTTTAAAAAATAACATAAAAATAATAAAATATTGCATTTTATTGAAGTATAAAATCTAAAGACTAGTAAATATGTTTTTTTTTAAAAAAAAATCAAAAAAAAAATCAATAAAACCCCTTTTTAAATAAGATAGTACTATATTAATAAATATTAGATTTTTGTGGCAATATTTCATTGCTACTTGAGTATAATTACCCCTGTTAAGGCTAGTTTATGAAGTTCCACGCTGCACTTCCCTTATCGCGCACTTAGTGCCCACAGTATCGCTACTTTGCATACTAGTAGCTTGTGCATTCCATGACGCAGCAAACTTATTCCAACGATGCAACTTATAATCTAAAGCCAAACTCAGATACATTTGAGCCTCACATCATATCTCCAGATTGCATCAACCATCCTACTCCCGAAACTGAAATGCAATGGCGAGCCCAACGGGCCACACTCTCTTCAAAAAAAAAGAGGGCATCCTGTCATTCACAATTGATCACAAAGCCATAACATGGACCCCAGTTTCGGGAGGCCCAGCAACTGTTTCGCTGCCTGTTACCAACATAACCAGTATTCATCCTCCGCGGCGTTTCTTCAGATTTGAGTACTACAGCTAACGACTGTCAGATCTTCAACAAACTCCTGACAGCTCTCCCAAAGTTATGCTGAAAATATTTGAAAAGTCCGAGAATGCAAACGACCCTATCACCTACCTGTTTCATTTCAACACTCAGGAAGCCAAAGCAGAAGCTCAAGCTGTCAAAGATCTCCTCTCGCGACTGTTGGCTGATCTCAGGAATGGCGATGCAAACGTATCCAAGCTGGCGACTGCAACCTCAACGCCCGTTGCAAATGGAGAGGGAGCAGGGAGCTCCGTCACACTGGCATCCTCAGGTGGTGTAAACGCACAGCCCGTTCCTCCAAAATGGTTCGATGATAATCAATTGAAAGTGAATATTGAGCTACAGCAGTCCCTCATGAAGAAAGACAGAAGTTTGCACCAAACGTACATGAACGCCATATCGACTAAGCCAGATTCAATGACTAGTGCTGCCTTCAACTCTCAGTTCTGGTCCATGAGGATAAATCTGCTAAGGGCCCATGCTATTGAAACAAACCAAAAAAAAGGCGCATATAACGTCCTTTCGACTGTCAAACCTCGAACCGTGGACGGGGAATTGAAACTGAACATTAGCGTCGAGCAGGTTCAGATGATATTTGCCCAGCATCCATTAATCAAACGAATATATAATGAAAATGTACCGAGACTTACGGAGGCGGAATTCTGGTCGCGATTTTTCCTCAGCAAACTTGCTAAGAAGCTTAAGGGGGAGCGTGTCACTGATAATGACCCTGCAGATGCTATCTTTGACAAGTACAATGTCGATAGCAATATCCAGGATGCTCATTCTAAGATTACGGTCCAACCAGTCCCTCATATAATCGACATTGAGGGCAACGAAGAGAACCAAGGAGGGTTCAAAGGCGGCAACGCCAAGGATGTCGAAATGCGACCTCGAGCTAATATCCCTATCGTTAGGACACTCAACAGTTTGAGCGAAAAGATCATGGCAAATGTTCCTCCCTCGGACAACACGGCATATGATGCTCAGGGACTCTATAATACATCTCGAGAGCTAACTCTACGTGATTTAAGAGGGGATGGTGAAGAACAGCGCATTATGCTTAGTATCAAAGAACGGAATAACTTCTTCTCATCAAAAGATTCCACCGCTCTAAAAGGAAAAGACATGCTTAGGAATCAACGACCTGAAGACATTCTCGCCAAAATGCAAAATTTGCACACTATCAGGCCTGACAAAACTGGGGATGTTGGACTTCAAATTAACATAGATCTCGACATAGATAGTGATAGTGACAACGAGTCAAGATCTGGACTCAACACGACTCGTAACGCAATTAAAGAAGCAGAGAAGGATGTAATGGCTGGCATACAACAACAACGTTCTCAAAAATACGGACGCGCCTCGGATGATACCTCTCCAATGGGGATACCTCCTCTGATTTCCGACAAGTGTGCTCTAACTCATGCGACAACGATTGAGTTTCTTCACCAATTTTGGGATGGCTTTCTTTCTGGTGACCCTGACCGTGCCATAGAGGTCCAATACTTGGCTGAATCTCTAACGAGGTCCATGACACGTATTCAGGCTGTGGCTGACGAGGCCGAGGTTGAAAGAGAGAATGCCATCCAAAAACGAAAGCAGGAGATTCGTAACCACTTCGAACGCACGGGGAAGAAAATCCGATGGAAACCAGATATGGTTGGGGGTGGTCGTGATGTCGTTGGCAAGATAATGCAACCGACGCTGGATGCACTACGGCGAGCACAGGACACTTATTCTAGGGCATTGGGCGAGGAAGGTGTCCAAATATCGACGGAGAGCACATAACAAACTCGAGTTCCCGATGTCTCACGGCCTGGGACCAGCAGCCCAGGTATAAGTAAGCTCGAAAATGCTAGACGCCCATATCTACACGCTCAAGTGCTGTAGTTGATGAGAGTTTGTGGTTCTGATACCAGTTACTTTTACCGTCCCACCGTATACTTGACATACTAAGTCCGGCTAGACAGATTCATGTATGTACGTCACTTCTAATATTAATAAATGCAATCGAGGTCTAACAATGTCCCTGAAACCCCTCGAAAATTTGCAGGAGTTTTTATGTTTTGTTATAACTCCCTAATAGTTTACTGAACTCCTTGCGGTTAGATAGGCCGTCAATCATTTGATATGACGCTTATCCTCAGCAAAGCCAAAACCCATGCTTGACTTCTTGGCGCTTCTTTTTCTGTTGCCGTATTCCTCATCGAATTTGCGGATTAGTTTCAGAGATACCATATCTTCACTGATACTCGCAGGAATACTCTTCAGGGCCTTCTCGAAATGAACCTTCCGAAGAATCCGTCTTTCTGGGTATTGAAAGGGATGAGGGCCTTTGTGTTTGGCTGCAGCTTCATTTTCTTCTTCTACTGCCGCCATTGCTGCAGCGACGCACATGTTCTTAAGGTCCGATCCCGAATAGTACGGGGTTCGTTTCGCATATTCATCCAACGACACAGAGTCATCCAATATCTCGCCCTTGAGTTGTAGTTTTAAAATCGCCCGTCGGTCATCCTCAAGAGGGAGATCAACAAGAATCTTGCGCGGCAACCGCCGCAAGACGGCATCATCCAAATCAAAAGGTCGATTGGTCGCAACCATTATGAAGGCGTTTGTCTCTTCCATCCCGTCCCATTCCTTGAGGAATTGGTTGATATGTTCACGATGAGAAGCCCGGTTGGCGAACATGCTTCGACTGGCCAATAAAGAATCTGCCTCGTCGATAAACACGACACATGGGGTCAATTTTTTGGCCAAGGTGAAGACTGCGCGAATGAGCTTCTCACTTTCCCCAACCCATTTATCATTGATCGACGCGCCGCTGACTTCAAGCATGTTTGCGCCGCTTTCCTTAGCAACCGCCTTTGCTAACATAGTTTTACCTGTTCCAGGGGGTCCATATAGGAGACACCCTGAAATCTTATCCTGTGATAATACACCATATGAAAATGCATCCGGTCTCACAAGGGAGAGTGAGGTGAGAAGCTTCAGAGCAGATATAGTTTCGGGTGGAGCATGAACGTCTGCAAATGTTGTTCGAAGATTCTCTCGATTAATCTGACCAGAAGCTATTCGCTTCTCGTATTCATTCAATTTCAGGGTAGCACGGCCCTCCAAAATATTGGGGTCATCGCCAGCCGAAGGAGTTCCATTAAAAGCATCTCCCTCAGCACGATCTTCGTTGAAGAGGTTATCGCCATTCCACTGCTGAAGACGGCCCAGGGTAAAACGCTCCTGGAAGCCGGATTGCGAGCTATCAGCACTTGTCTTGCCTTGTGACTTGAAGGCACATGCTAAGTGATAAATCTCCGGTGCCGGGAGAATTGAATTCTGTAGCATCGAAAATTTCGGGTTTGATGAACGCAGATAGGATAATATGGATTCGAGTGACAGGCCGGACACCTCCGACGATGATCCGGGATCCAGAGCTCTCAGCATACGAGTAATATTGTTAACATTCTCAACAAGATAGTCAGCCTTTTGTAGATGGAATGGCATTTGAGTTCGAACATTCCCCTTGGGTGTAATATATCGTTCAACATAATCTGGTTGGACATGGCGGGTGACGACGAAATCGCTAGTAGCAAATTCCTTGATCGTATTCTGGTATTCTTCAGACTGTTGCTCACATGACGAGGAACCCAGTATAGCAATTTGCAACCCTTGCTGCCAGGCAATGTCCACGAGGGCTCGCAGTCGGTTAATCAGTAGAGATCCTTCAATTGTCATGCCCAATTCAATGATATCATGAAGATGGATCAATACTGGTCGAGTGCGAGATTGAGAGGATCCAAGGCTAGCCGACCGAATAATTTGGTCCAATATTTTGTCAATCTTTAGATTTTCCCACTTACTGAAACTCTCATACTCTCCCTGGCGTAATTTCTGAAGCTCTTCTACGACAGTCGATGAGCTTGAGTTACTTGTGGCGATTCCAACGTCCGCATCAGAATCGTCATCCTGGGTCTGAAGGGGCCTCTCATCCCGACCGCCTGCGATTTTGCCATTCAACTCAGCAGCCCTGAATCCCAGCATTGAAAGGGGGCCACGCGAGTAAGCCCAATTCTGACCCAAATAGTCACCCACAAGTTCTGAGAGATCGTACGCATCCAATTGAATCAGGTCTGCGCCGCTGTGGTGTGCAAAGTATCTTCCGATGGCTTCTGAAATCGACCTCCCTCCGTACCCCGATGTAGCAAGAATTGTAATTGGCCTCTTGCTCGTTTTGTAATCGAATGTTGGCGGGGGTGATATAGTCAACTCGCGATTTACCAACTTTCGCAGAGCGACGAATGTGTCAACAGGGAGGTCGGCGATAACATGGGGCAGGGGATATTCATATTGCTCAGCAAAGTCAAGTTGATCGTCCAAAGAAGCCAGAAGGGAGGAGAGCTGGTCACGATGGCCCGGCAGGCCACTGCTGAGAATTTTAGGAACGTGAGACCACCAAAAGGGCCGCACTTGGTAGGAATATTCAGATTGTCGGATAGGGTATATGGCGTTTACCAAATGCGTGGCCGAGTCAATAGTCATATCCCCGACCCGAACTGCCCTTGCTATTATCTCTGGAGATTCCCATCTTCGATCATCCTTGTCTAAACGAGAATTTTCCAAGTCCATAGCGAGTTCACGACCCCTACCCAAGAGGTGCTTCAACGCCGTCTCAAAATATATCTCCAGAGCTTCAGACTTCTGCTTGAAGGACGGCCCTTGGTCGACTGAAAGTGGAGACAATTTTGCGTATCTTGCATCTTCTACCAGCGCAGTGGGTAGTCGTGGTGGTTCTTGGGGCGAGTAGAGAGATACGTTACTTTGCAGAAAGCTCTGAGATAGTTCAACGGGAGGCAGAGCAGAAACCTGTCTTTTCCGTTGGTGGCGTGCTCTCATGGAGCCTGTTGCGTTCCCTCTCCATCGCCCACCAGATGTTTCTGTACCGGGTTGATTTTCGACCTCGTCATTCTGATCTATTGAGTCCTCGGCGGGTTTGACGCCATTTCCCCCACTGCGGTTGTTTAGGTGGATGGCAGACGTATGTAAGGCGCGTGGAATGCGTGTTGATAGCCTGACGGTCAATGGAACCATTGGCAAGATTCCAGCAGTCTGCATCCCCATCCAATTGAGTAGCTGGCTAAGAGTTCCTTACAAACCTCACCATCAAGCAATTAGAGAGCAGGTGGATCTTATGGCCAGTACTTCGAACCTAACTTTATGAATGTGTTCGAGTACGATCAAGTGTATCGGGCGGAATGAAATACTCATTGGAAAGGAGGTACAATGGATAGTTATGGAATATATACTCGTGTTCGTATAGATGGGAGGGTTACCGCAATATTCAGCATTGGCGAACTGGTAGAGTCTGAAGTTGCTTGTAGAGTGGGGCATAAAGAGGCAAAGCCAGTGTGCGAACGATATTCAGTAGACATTCTAACACTGTACGTTCCTCTAGGTACCAGTGTGAATTGCTTGGTGGGGCGCGTAAAGCGTGTAGCTCTTTACGCGTTAACATCGATACAGGCGTTAATGTAAACCAGCATCATGGACACAAACAATGTCTAACTGGAGGGAGCTTGGAGTAATACCAGATTCCGAAGATGAAGGCGATTACTTTGTCGATGATGAAACGCTGCCTCCATCTCCCGCGCGAATACCAGTTATATCCTCCGCCTCCAAAGCCCAATACGCAGACGATATTTGGGACGTCCCTGAATCCGACAATGACGGGCAAGATGACACCCCCATCTTGGATATCCCTCCATCATCACGAGGGCCAGGTTCACGAGAAAATCCCGAGTCCGACCCTGCAACCATCTCATTTGCCCTAGCCGAGGATACCTCTCAGAATCAGGTACAACCGTCCCCTCTGAATGGTCCAGAGACAAGCAGTCCCTTTCTCGTATCTACATTTAACGAGGTAGCTTCCCGCAGCAACCAGGACACACAAGATGCCTGTAGCTCCATAATTGGAGATAAAAGTACCTCGAGGAGCAACGACGTCGTCTCCCTCGTCTCAACACTCTCAACCTCCCGTAACTATTCAGCGACATCTGGACGCGATGATGTTCGCCATTATGATGCGAACTGGGAGCGTACAGAGGCCACGTCCGGCCACAGACGATCATTACGACCTCGAACACTGATCCAAGAACATCCATATGCTATTGACCTTGCGCGTCATAGCAATGATTTCAGGCAGCATGGACTTATACCCGTGAAGCTGGTAGTTGATACGGGGAGAGGCCGGCTACCAGAAGCTTCACAGGATGAGGACTTTGATCTGGACAGCCAAAATAATGATTTGCCGCCAGGAACCGACAACACAGAGTTTAACAGTTTCACAACCTCCCTACGAGAGCTTCGTACGCCAGATGTTGTTCCGACTTGGCCAAATATGCCCCAGCCCAATAATCAAAATGCCAGCCACAGTTCAACCAGCCCGCCGGCGAACGCAGTTGATGATGATGCTTTCGACCAAGACTTGCCAGACTTGAATCAGCTCTTGAGACGGAACTCACAGACTAGCAGGAAGAATAAAGAGATACGAGAAGTGTCCCAAATCCAACTCTTGACCCAGAGAACCAGGAGGCGAAATATTATCTACAGTGATTCGCCGGAACCCAATTCTACCGTTGGCCGGGTACCAAGGTCTCCTGGCCCTTTTGCAGAGTGGTCAGATTCAGATACTCAGCAGGCTGCCCCCAGTAAAGTCATCAACCAGCAAAGCTATTCCCCAGAAATGTCCCCTAGACCTCTAGCTTCTGCTTCTGTGATCTCAGTATCGTCTCAGGAGCGCGACAGTCAAACCGGACAAGGCCAGCAAAGGCATCGAGAAAATTCAGAAACCATAAGTGAAGCCGAGAGTGATATACATCAGGTGGTGACTGAATTCAGGCGTCATATTCGAGGTGTCCTTCCCGCCTCTTGGCTTCGACTAGATCAGCAAACGAATAAGAATAATTCTTACCGGAGTTCCAAGAGGAAACTCCAGCATCGGTTTCCTAACCAACAACAGCGGGGAATAGCTATTACCAAACCGGTAGCCCCTGATTCTACTGCTTTCAATGCGATTCTATTGGAACTCGACGAAGAGAGCCCTGTTCGGTATACAGCGGATGACACATCTGAGCGTCAATCTGAAATGCTATCCTCACATCCTCTAGACCTAGAGAACGATAAGGCCGATGAACATTCGGCTGCAGAAGAAGACCCTATGATTCCCGTAGCCATTGGTAGCAAGCGTCAGCTCCAGCTTCCTAAGATATCAAAAAGAAACAGGAAACGAGTTAAAGTGTCAAGCGGATCTCGGAGTCAGTTCGCAAAGTCTCGTTCAAGGCAGCAGACGATAACCGGTTTTTTCCATTCTAATCCCGAATTGTCTGCATCATTGGCGGTTGATCACTTCTCGGATGACTCGTTGTCGTCGAACAATGATAATTACGGGAAGTCAATCAGCAAACTAAAACCACCTTTCAAATCCCCTCTCTTACTGAGTATTCTCGATACGATAGAGCCGGATGCCCCTAGATTCATACGTATTGCTGCACGCTCTGCTAAACAAACTATGAATCAGGGACGTAGTAGCGTACAGCAAAAAAGCATCAGATTGGCTACAAGGCAAGACCAGTTAGATGCTATGTCTGTTATGGAGAAGTGGAAGTCAGGGTTGATTGCACAGCGACCTTCCGTATCGGCAGCCAGCAGGTCCAATACAAGGTGGCGCCAGACCGCAAATATAGATCAAGAGCTTTCAAATGGTGAATTGGCTTCAAAGACCACGTCCGGTGCACTCAGAGGCGTTTCCCGAAAATTTGTCAAGTACCATGGTGAGAGTGGCTTTGTTAGCTACAGGCGGAACCAATCATTTAAAAGTACCAGCAAATTCTTCACGTCAACAATAGGCGAGAACAATCATCTGCCTTCGCGTGCTTTAAGGGAAGCTCAGCTGGAGCTGGATGGGAGAGCTGGGGAAGCCGTCGCTTCCTTTCGCTCAAGGAAGAGGGCTCTGGACCATATTTTCAACAAGCAAAAGCAAAAGAAACATTCTTGGCGGCTGGCTGGAAATAACAACATCTTAGCCTCTGCTTGTGGTGTTACGACATCTTACACCACAGAGCACGCGGTGTGGCGTACGTCCAAGGGACAAGAGCAAAAAGCAAGGCAAGCAAGACCCCGAAAAAGCACCAAGCCTCGTCGAATTGATGTCACAGCACCTCAATATACCCATGCTGCTGACCCCCTTCCACTGGATGTTCCTATTTCAATCAACGACGCTCCATCAGAGAAAAGCAAACTCTATGGCCTAGGTCCCTATGGTACCCGATACACCCATCATTTCGAAATATTTCCTCTCATCCCTGAAGTCCAGTTTCACAAATCAACAGTGCTAGGCAGTGGTATTCTAAAGACTTTCTTGATCGAAGATTCACAAATGAGAATATCTGACCTTGAAACACAAATCTCAGTCAAACTGGGTGACCAGGTTTTTGTCTGGGGCTCCTGGAATCCCAAAGTGTCATCTGAAATTGGGATTTTATTTGATTTAATCGCTGAGCGACTGGAGGAAGGTCAGGAGGGGAGTCTCCACGACGGACGTTACGCTATCGATGCCGTCCATTCTACCTTGAACTACGTAAAAGATACCCTCAACTCAACGGGAAAAGAATCGCAAATGCCCCCTCTTATACCGCGGCTGCAAGAAGTTTTCCGCAGCTTTATCGATCGAATCAATGTCGGGCTTGGGCAGGCTTCATTTAATCATGCCCAAAATCGTCAACTTCTTCTTAAAATACTGGACAGAGTATTGCTAATGTCATCCATGGTGGTAAAACATTGTCAAATTACACCACAACTCGTGGATGAGCACCCTAACGCAGAACAAACGGCATTGTTATTGGCGCACTTGATGATTTCGGTCCTTCTCCGCTGCGGTATCAATCAAGTCAGGCAAATTTATAAAGACTTTAGCCACCTCAATTACGGCGGTCGTGTATTGCGGGAAAGTGCTGTCGAAATGCATTCATGGGCCATGCTGATCAAAACTTTTGAGCATATAGGCTCGCGACAAGTTTCTTTCTGGATTGCACTGGAAACAGTTATATTAAAGCCACACATTCTCTCTAGTGCAGACGCTCGTGAATTTGAGCGTATCTGGGAGACATTGTTCACACTCCTCCCGCTCTTTGATTTTGATGGCGCTGGGAAAATAGCTGCCGAGAAACGACACAAGACAGAAAATGAGGGCTGGTCAATTCCTCAGAAGCTTATCCGGCGCGTCTTCCAGTTGTACCAAGAGAATGATCAGCAGACTGCGAGCTTCAATAGCTACTGCCGGGCTCTTATTTCGCGATGCCACTACCTAGTTCAACAATGGGGTTGGCTTCGTAGCGCTTCCGTTGTTGGCGTTATCTTTGACTTCTTTGGATCACGGAGGCTTGCTCATCTCAGGAATGAAGAAGTCTACCGGTCACCACAATTTCTGGAGACTCTAGCTGATGGGCCAATCCTCAAGGTTGAAGAGGATGACTGCTGCTTTCATATATTCCTAAAGTTGCTGGCCATAAGCATCCAAAAACTTGGGAACTTTGGCTCAGAGAAGGACATACGCAATCTAATAACTCGAACAATACCAAATCATAGTCGCTTATATCTCAAGGAACACGACATTCATGAACGAGATTTGGCCGCTTTAAGAAATCACCATGATCTCATTGGTACTCTGTTCTGGGCGGCACCACCTGATGTCCGACCTTCTGTGGCTCTCATAGAGGGGCTTATTTCTCCTGCTAGTTCTCATAAAGAGGCATGCCTGATAAATATCAGATCATGGGCTCAACTTGCACGGTTTGTCGTTTCTTCTGGTGAAGCAAAAGCATCATTCAAACCTTTCAACAAATGGAGGAATACTTTTTTCCAGCAGATGTTAGTGCAATTCGATGGTATCGCGGCGGACATCCATCAACAATATCTAACTCTATCCAAGGATAAGAGTAGTTTTGTTACTCAGAAAGCTGTTGAAGCCACAATATCCAAGAACAAGGCAGCCGTGATGGACATTCTCCATCTATCATTGACAGCGTCGTTGGACGTGATGAGATACGCTCCAGATTTAGAGGCGGCGACGTACTGCTTAAATACCCTTCACTTGGAACAACTTTTCAAGTATTTTACAGTTGCGCCTTCTGAATTAGAGTGGTCTATACTACGGGCAGCCTTGACTATCTTGGACACCTTTGTATTCACAGTCGAAAAGTTCAAAGATAGCCAGGAGAGCCAACAGAGCGAAAGCCAAATTTTAGATTCTGCGCAAGCGGATGATGCTTTCTTCATCCTAGAGCAAGATATTTCTCGCACTTATTTCTCAATGGCCAGATGTGTCTTATCACTTCCGACAGAAACGTCCAACCTCATGAGGGGATCTGTGGCTGATAAGACCTGGTGTGTTAGACAGATTATCATATTATCTGCAAGGATGGGAATAGGCTTTATTAATGGTGGCCTGTTGAAAATATCAGACATGTTCAAGGCTGGCAAGTACTGCCTGTTCCAAGACCAGTTACACACGATGGATCCCTCACACAGACAGCATTTTACACTGTTCATATCAACACTCCTGGAGCACAGATTTGATGATTTTTCTGACGTTGATTTCAAAATATTTGAAGTGTGGGTTCTATCATTGATCGGGCCCCTCAAATATATGAAGTACGAAAATCTCGTTGGCATACAACGTTATTGCTATGCCGAAGGTTTCGTTCCTAACGACATGGCCGAGTCAATAACTCAACCGAGTTATAAAACCAATCAACTCTTATTTGAGTTTGCGGTTACGTCAATGCGCAAAAGTATTCGCCGCGCAGACCCCAGTATTAAACGAGCCCTTGATCTAGAATACTCTAAAACACTCAAGCTTGCAATGAAACAGATGCGAAATGACCTGAACTTGATGTATGGAGATACTCTACACCATCAGCGTTACGTTACCTTGGTTCAACACATTATATCATCAATCAAGGCGCACGGATCGGATATTTGCACAATAGACAACTTCTTTCTCCAGGTCAGCAGAGAATACTCTCCGCCCATTCAAGATTTCCAACTTCAGATTCCCAGCATGCTCTCGTATGGCATTCGCATAGAAGAAGGAGATCCTAGGGCAGCCCATGAATTGTTCTTTCTCCTATTCAACAATTTTAAGCACGCACTGGTAAATGGAAATCTTACGCATGATGTCAGTATGCTTCGGAGAGGCATGAAACATAAGAGTATATTGGCTTTTGTGCTGGGAAAGATGCTACCAGCCATCCTCAGAGTCTCATTCACGGACAGCTCCTCCTTCGCCCTTCTGGATGTATATGCCGAAGCTTTACGCTTACTACTACGTGGACGGATGTTGCCACTGCAGCTTGACAACAATGATCTCCCTCATGTTGTTGTTACCACACGAGCTATTGTGGAAGGTATGAGAATAATGCGACATGGTAATGGGAGTATATCTGGTCCTCAGGTGCACATATTGAGACAGGCGCTGGCCATCTTGAATGCACTGTGGCCATCACTGTTGATTATCAAGGCAGAAAGACCTGAAGATTTATGCCTTGTTGAGATAGCTGTCACAATTCGCCATATTGCTTCATTTGCAACAGCCGCACAAGGATATCTTGTCGATGTCACTGAGATAGGAAGCGGCTCGCTAGATACTGACCTTTTGTTCCAAGGCTTTGACATGGAACAGCCTCTAACCTTTGACTTACACGTCAATAGTTTCTCAACCAGCATTAGAGACGATATTGCCAAGAGCTGGATTTTTGGTCAGACAAGGATCTCTATACAAATGCCTACCAAAATGAAAGAAGATAAGCAAGAGAGTGTAGGGTTAGTCAAACCAACTTGGGTGGCTGAAGAATTGGTGTATGATTTATATAACCAAATTCAGAATTGGTATTCCCAATGGCTGAAGTTTAACTAAACTCAACTACAAAAATAATTTATTAAACATTAATTATAATTATTAAAAAAATTATATTATAGTTATATAAATTTTATATATAAAGGTTAAAGTAATTAATAAAAAAAATAATATTTTTAATATATTAATATAATTTTATATAAATATAAATTTACTTTTTTTAATTATTTAAAAAAAAATATTATAAAAATTATATTATTTTTATATTAAAATTAAAAAAATAATAGTATAATAATTAATTAATTTATTTATAAATTAAAAATATTATTTTATATATTTATTAAGGTTTTATTAAATATTTAATTGAATTAAATTATAAAGTTAATTAAAAAAATATAAAGTTTTAAAAATTATAAAAATTTATTTTAATTAATATTATTATTATTATTATTATTTAATTAAAAAAATATATTTTTTAAATAAAATATAAAAAAATAATTAATTAAAATTAAAATTTTTAAATTTATTTAACTATATATAATAATAAAAAATTAAACTTTAATATTAAAATAATAAATTTAAATTATATTTTTTATATATATATATATTTATAATTATAATTATTTAAAAAACTATTTTTTACTTTTTTTTATTAATATAAATTTATAATTTAAATTTAGTATTTTAAAAACTTTTAATAATTATAATTATTTATATTATTTTAATTTTTTATATTTTTATATTTATAATTTATTAATTAAATTATTAAATAAATAAAAAATAATATATATAATAAATTAAATATTTTTCCTAAATATAAAAAATAAACTATCTAAAAAAACTAAAATTAAAATAATTATTATTAAATTTTTAATTATTAACTATTAATTAACCTACTGAATTTATATTTTTTTTTATAAATAATTTAAATTAAATTTTTTTTATTTTATTTATTTTTAAAGTTTTAATATATTTTTTTTACTATATTAATTATATTTTTATTATAAGTTTTTATTATAATAATTATTAATTTTATTATAATTATAAATAGTTTTTTATTATTTTTAATTATTTTAATTATTTATATATTAAATTTTTAATTAATTATTAAATTATTTTTTATTATAAAGATTTTTTACTTTTATATTATATTATTTTATTAAATTTTTTAAAATATATAATTTATTTTTAAAAATTATTATTATTTTTTATTATTTAATAAATAATTAATTTTTTTACTTTAATTAAATTATTAAATTATAATTTAAAGTTTTTATATTATATTTAAACTTTATTATTTAAACTTTTTTATATATATATTTTAATTTTAATTTTAAATTTTAATAAATAATTATATTTTTATAATAAAATACTACTAATAATAGTTAGTTAAATAAGTAATAATATATTAATATATTAAAACTTAAGGAGTTAAATAGTTATACTTAAAAAAGAGTTTATAAAAAAAACTTAATAAAGTTTTATTAATTATATAGCTTAATTTTTATTATTAATAAATAATATATTAAAGTTATTAATATAGTAAAACTTTATTATAATTATTTTTCTTTTTAATAATAATTAACTGCAGTTATTTAAATAATTAACTTATATATTAATTTCCTTTTTTTTATATATTAAATAATTAAACTTTATATATTTTATTAACTTTTTATATTTATTTTATATATTTCTTTTAAATATTTAACTTATACTTTTATATTATATTTTTAAAGAATTTTTGTATTTTTATTAAATTTTTATAAAATTTATTTATTTAGATTTTAATTTATAAATAAATAGTAAATTATTTTAATTATTAAAATATTTTTCCTTTAAATTATTAATATTTTATTTATATTTTATAATAACTTTAATTATATTTAAGTTATAAAAAAAAATTAATATTAATTATTAAAAAAAAAAACCTAATATAATATTATAATTATATTTAAAAATATATTATTATATTTAAATATATATTATTATATTTAAAAATATATTATTATATTTAAAAATATATTATTATATTTAAAAATATATTATTATATTTAAAAATATATTATTATATTTAAAAATATATTATTATATTTAATTAATATATTTATTATATATATATATCTTTAAATATAAATAAAAAAATAATA